TTTTTTCTTATTATTACTTACTAATTTATACCCTCCGTTACCTCCTTACTTACTACCGCCTTTAGCAAATATACCGCTACTTCCCTCTTCCTTATCTCTGCCTCTTATAAGGCTATTAACACTATCTATCCTAAAGATTTCCGGAACCGTCCCTTAAAACTAAGAGCTTAGCTTAATCGCTAAGCTCTGGCGTTAAGGCGAAATTTACTATAACAAACTTATTCACCTCGGGGGGGGCTAATCCCACGGTATAGAGCACTAAAGACGGGGATAGCTATATAAGTAAAGCGAAGGGCGGCCGGCCGAATATTAAGACCTTCGCGACCTACCGTTCGTATTACTTCGATATCCGCGATATAGCGAACTAAACTCTTATAAACCTTATAGGTAACGCAGAGATATCCTCTATTAAGGTACGCGCGTCCGATTAAGTTATACTATAGGCCTCCCTCTATATAAACTAAACTACCCGCGCCGCTACGTACCCTATAGACTTTAATACCTACCAAGATATCCGAGCTACTAGGGTTCCTATAGACCCTCTGGCCATTATTAAGGCGTATAGCCTTTACTAGTTCCCGGTATAGAAAGGTACTTATATTCTCTATAGATTATAGTGGACGGCTATAGGATAGATATTAAAGAAGATAGTTTAGCGTTTAACGAATATAAATTAAGTTTAGCGCGCGTGAATTATAGGCCTTATCCTAGCTCTATAGGACACAGTTAAGGCCGCGGGTTAGACCTTATACTTAGAGACCTATTCCCTCCGATAGTTCGCACTAATCGGTAATCTATAGACACTTATATAGGCCGCGGAAATATATAAGATTAACCTTAAGTTTTATCTCTATCCTAACGCTTAGTGCTAGGCTATTAAAACTAAAACTATAGCTACCTTACTCCGTTAAATCTAAATCCCCGATTTCTATAACCTAGTCCACCCTACCGTAAGCCCTATAGATCCTAATAGCGCGGTCTTAGTCTATATCTATACTAATAGAGGCCTACTATATAGCCCGATACCGCCCTCGGATACACTCTCCGTACCTATTAACTAGTTTACTATCGCCTTACTATTTAAGTAAAAACCTAAGTATTATATCCGAATCTCCGGAAGCAGAATCTGACTAATCGCCGATAGCTAAGATAACTATTTCCTAGACGAAGAGGTACCTATCGCTATACCCCTTATCGTTCTAGTATCTATTAGTTACTATAACACTAGGAACGCCACCTTACGAGGAGTCAGACTGCTTATTATAAGCGCTATAGAATCCGTTAATAATCCCGGCGCCTTAGCGCTTTTCTCCGCTACTTCGAAAGCTATAGCGCTAAATATCTTTATTAAGGCAAACCCCCTCACTATAAAGCTCGCTACTAGGTTAAGATATTAATTTAATCGTTAAATAATTAGAGAGAGAATCGAATCACACTCCGACCTCGACCTTCTCCTAGCGGAAGCAATAGATATAGATCGTAAGCATATAACAGACTACCTAAATCTTAAGGATACCGTCGAAATACTCGACACCGCGACCGCGCAGCTCGACCCCGGCCCCCTTAAACGTATAATAGAAGCTCTCCTAGACTATATCTCTACACTAGCTCCGGAGTTCCCTTCCGACATTTATACGCAGGACTAATATTTCTTTTATTCTCGCTTTATATTTCCTTTGTTTCTTTCGCACTGAGGGCAGTGCGCTTTTCCGAAGCGGGCAGATGTTACCGGGTCAGGTGACCACTCCCGCTACTTTATGTCATCTCTACGGAGACTAGTTAGAAGAATCAACTATCTCAGACTGACGCACGCTCGTTCCTCTTCCTTCGTAGCATCTTGGATCATATTGCGTCGTCGATGATAGCCCGCGTGTGGAATTTGGAGACGCAGAGGTAGCTTTACTATAGGAAGTTTCCGATGCAATCGCCCTTGATCTTGAAAACACCCGTTCCGTGTATTATCATCGTCGCGCCGACAACCTGGTCAAAGGATTAACTAGCTTCGTCAAGGATTACGCAGAGATTGTTTCTGAGTGATCGCCGTCTCTAGTCAGGTACTCAAAATCTCAGCTCCAATTTCGATCTAGCCGATGGCTTCCCTAAGCAGCGACAGACCACCATTATATTACCTGACAGAAGCAAGGATAGTGATGGCCCTATAATGCAACATCCTTATTAACTCCTTCAGAGGAGCCAGCTTCGCTCTTTTTTTCCCCGCGTCGGCTTCGGGAACCACGGAACACACTCCTTGAAATTAAGCCCGACAGCCCGCACTTCAATTTCTACCTCATTCTCCGCCAGGCGCAAATGCTGCGGGTCGTCCGCCACGAAGCGTGGAGACTCTACCTCACGTCGCCTAGCCAGGCAGCTCAAGAAGCTCTCATGCGAGACTGCTATGCCAAAGCTGGTCTTGAACCTCTCCGGACGCAGTATTTCGAGGCCCGCACCCCTTTACCCGGGGACCCAATGAGCAAATATCCGTGGCCACGGATTCACTTTCTGTTTAGCTTGTGCTGCTTCGTGCGGAGAAGGTACGGCCTTAATGACATGGGAAAATCACGAATCACGCTTCAATCTGTCTAAGGGCTAAGGAGCAGTTCAATTGGTCGTTGAATTTGCCTCTGATTGCGTTTCAGGCCACAGCATGTCCGAGATTATCGTCGGGCGATGTCGGCTCTCGATTGACCCAGGCTCGAACTCCGCCAGCTCGGTTGTAAACTCAATGACTTCAGGCACAGACTAGACTTGGTTGGCTTTGATCACCAGCTATTTTTCTCGAATGTAGTTTCTATTAGTGGGATGCTCGGTCTATTGCTGGCTTTAGGTATGAAGTACTTGAACCAGACGATCAGACTGTGCTCCAACAACTCGCGCATCTTGACATGTCTGTAGCTCCCTCATCTCGAGCTATATTTGTAGGCCGAGACTGTGGGATCTCGCTCATCTGTCTTCGGCCTTTCGCTCTACCTCACTTGCATCTCGCACAATGTCTGAGGAGCTTTCTCCCGGGTGAGGATGTCAGTGAGATAGAGGAAGCTGATAGACTTCATAACTTCTATTGCCAGATCTTGTACTGCGTTCAATCTCGATAGATATAGTCGTGTGCGCCGCATCTACCTTAACATCTTCGAAGGACTAATTGACATCTAATTCAGCGATGAAGTTAACGTACGGACATCAAGTTAATTCTTCAAAACTGGATATAATTTGATATCGGCCCCCTTTTGATACCGTGGTCATCAAGTCTACTGACGATGCACTCGAGGGCGATATCGTGAGTGTCGGGTTGAAGGCTTCAAAATATGTGCCTTAGTCAAATGACTAAATATTGAACAATTTTAGGAGATGGCGAGCCCTGATATTATATCCCCGATCAAGACTGCATATTCATGCAGATATTTAAGCCTCAGTCTATTGTCCATATACCTGTGTTTAGGGTACCGCCAATCGAAAGCTCCCCTTGTGATAATCCAGCGGATACCACATGGCTAAATCTGCTAGAATACTTGAATCTTTCTAACGTTTGTCAAGATACATACGACCATAGGGTGTGGAGAACAGGGCTTCCCGTCCGCTCAGCCGTACTTAAGCCACACGCCGGTAGGTTAGTAGTTGGGTGGGTGACCACCAGCGAATCCCTACTGTTGTATGTTTTTACACTTTTTACTTCACAATGCAAATTAAATTACAGTACGGTAGCCTGCGACATATCGTAAAGCCCAGCAAGGCCAGTCATCTAAGATCCAATAGCCGTACACCTCTATTGCATGAATCTCAACCGCGCGCCATAGGATTCAACACCCGCGTTTGATACACTGCACAATTTCTTCAGGCGTCATATCCGCGATCAAATTTCAAAATGGCTTTGCTTCAACTTTGCATCAGAGGTCCCAGCCTGCGTCAGGGACGGCTCCAAGTTTCTTGTGAATAACGTCTTTCTATGGCATATGCGTCGGAGCCAGGAGTTGGATGTGAGATAGCGCCGGGATGCCGCCCAGTCTTGTGCGAAATCTGCTAACTTCCGGTCTCGATTAGGCCTATTGTGTTATATCCAAAGTCCTGACCGCAGCCGATAGCGAATGTTTCTTGATACTATGTAAATAGGATGGTAATGTGCCCTTCGCCTGTAATTTACATGCTATGGCCACTGTATCTCAGAATTATTTGAGCGAATGTTCCTTGATACTATGTAAATAGGATGGTGATATGCCCTTCGCCTGTAATTTACATGCTATGGCCACTGTATCTCAGAATTATTTGTAAGATACTAATACGAAGGCATTCGCTCATGCCATCGGAGCGGGTCTTATTGAGTGACGTCTGTAAGATAATACTAGCCACTTTAAATGACATATTGTATATTATCGATAGTATGCTCGCTAAGAATCGCATGTTGTAAGATGTGAATCGGTCATCGTTGCTTGCATCGAAAGTGTTGATAAATGTATGCTTAGAGGTCTTTAAAGTCCCTGACTCTAAAGCATGGAACATTATCCCTGTTTTCAAATTGATTTATTGCGTCTGCGGAGTCGCGGGGGACACGACTTGATAGAGTTTTTGTGGAGAGATGGTAATGATCTTCAACCCCGCGATGCAATCATCAATCTTCCGTCGGGTATTTAGATCGGGTAATTTCTCTTCGCGCTCCACTATCTCCTTAGCTTGGTCTGCAACTTTGCATCCATTTCCGCCAATAGTCGGCAGTAGTGGGCTGTCAGGAATGGCCAGGATACGTGTAGGTCTGGTTTATGAGCAGAAAAGATAATGCTCTCTTTACTTGCTTCCTTTTCGCACAATCACAGACTTCCTCGCCATGAGCTCTCCCCAAGTTAAGATGCCTTTGGCACATCTCTTACCTCCACTCATACTGGGTGGAGCTGGGTTTCTCCCACCAAATCGTTTCAAATCCCTCCTCAGCGCAAGCCCTCCAAGTACTTAAACGCGCTTTCCAAATGGGGTTGCGCGCCATCGACACATCTGCTTATTATCACCCTTCGGAAATGCTACTTGGAGAAGCCCTTGCACATCCAGACATTGCCGGCAACTATACTCGCGATCAATACATCTTGATGACCAAGGTCGGTCGCATCACTGCTACACAATTCGACTATTCGCCAGCCTGGGTTCGCAAGTCAGTCATGCGATCACTTGAACGACTGCGCTCGGAATATCTGGATGTGGTATTCTGTCACGACGTGGAATTTGTCTCCGAGGAGGAGGTTCTCGATGCTGTGCGTGTTTTACTTGAGATGGTTGATGAGGGCCATATCAAATATGTTGGGATATCGGGATATCGCATTGACGTCCTCGCGCGAATCGCTAGAAGCGTCCAAGAAAAATACTCCAGGCCTCTTGATATAGTGCAGAATTGGGCTCAATTAACGCTACAGAATGATCGCTTGGCCCACGAGGGCTTGCAGGCTTTTCAAAAGGCTGGCGTTTCCTGTGTTTGTAGCTCAAGTCCACTTGCGATTGGGCTCCTGCGATCAAATGGTGTCCCTGTAGGTGATCTGGGTGACTTTCATCCGGCGCCTCAAGGGTTGCGAAGCGCAGCAAAAAAGGCGGCGGACTATGTTGCTGCGCGGGGCGAGTCCCTTGCGGCCTTAGCCTTGAGGTATTCGATTTCTCGAGCGCAGTCAATATCGGTCTCTGATTTCCGAGTGGCCACTATAATGGGGATTACCTCGGTCGCTGAGCTTGAGGAAAACCTGGATACAGCTCGGCAGGTTCTCCGGGTGACAGGTGAGCAGCGCTGGCTTTGGACTCCAGATGATCCAACGTCAACGAAATCGGAATGTACGAAGATGGAAGAGTTCAAGGCTCTGGTTCAGTTAGTGCAAGATATACTAGGGGGGTGGAAAGACTATTGCTTTCCGATTCCAGGCGATGGGTGGGACGTAGCGAGAAGGCGGCCGGTAGATACTAGATTATGAGTGAGATTCAAGAACGACCAGTTATGATGGCGAGATGGAACTAAAGCACGAATTTTACTCGAAGAAACCAATGCATAAGTTCATGCTTTCGTTAGGAGCACTTAAATCTGTACGGGCCCGTTCATACTTGAGCCTGAGCCACTGCCCCTTTGAACCCCCTAGTTCCTGGCTCCGCCTCGCCCCGCATCTCCACCTCCGCATATTCCTTCTCCTCCTCGGAATATGCCCTGCAAGATGGTGGGCACAAACGGAACTTGTCGCAGCCAGTCGCGTGTGTTAAGAGCCTGCGACTCTTGTACACATTTCAAACAACGCTGTGATGGACAGCATCCGTGGTACGTGTCATGAATAATAAAGTCTGGATCCGAAGCTAACAGCTTCATCAAGCCATCGATGTGCAGGTATTGAAATTTAGTGAAACTGAATCGAATGTTTCATCTCATCTAACAACTTAAGTAGGGCGCGACGAGCCATGCAGCTATACCAAAGCGGTTCGAAGCGTGGTTGACGACCGCGCTTGCGAAGTAGCCGGGACTTGAAGCAAGACAATGATCTTTGCGTCGAGTTTGAAGTACCTCAATCCACAGGTGGTAGCCCAAATAACACCGTGGTATCAAGCAGCGCGTCAGTGCAAGACGGTGCTCACCAATTATCACCAACAGAACTCTACGAGGAGATAGCGACCGTAGTCAACTAGTAAGGATTCTAGAAAGGAATTTCCATTGCTGGGATCGTATGTCAGTATCAAGTCGGCTGTTGTGATTGTGCTGAAATTTGAAGAGTCCGGTAGATCGAGAGAGAAAGTGTTAAAGAGCCTCTGGTAGTCTGTGATGTGACGTGCTAAGATCTCCTCGTATGACTTGAAAATAACGGCAGCAAAGGTCTTCTTGAGCGAGGGCTCTGGATCATCTCCACGAAACGAGAATCTAAATTTCTGATTTCCGTGTGAGATTTCGTAGCTTGTTCCGCCTCTAATAACAATCGTCACAGTCTTTGACTTGGACATGCTGGAAAGTGCGAGTGAATTCCCATCGCACATAATACTGCTTGGCTGGAGCGCCTGCGCGATTCCGAGGAACTTCATTCCCGGATGCGCTAGTTGGCCATTGAACTGCAGCTGGCCCTCAGTGCAGGTAGTTTCTACCAGCGATTTATTTAGGTACTCATTCTGTAAACTGAAATGAATATTCGGCATTATAGACTTCGACGCGAGGTGATAAACACAAACGTCATCAGGTCTTGAGCAAAAGATAGAAACATTGAACTGATTCCCCCCACTCAAGAACGAGACCTTGTGAACTCCTGTGGTGAGATCTAGGCCTCGAAAGTAGGAAGAGGGGTCATCAATACCGCCAATATAGACTGTCAGTTTGGCAAGAGGCGTGTATGATTCGTAAGAAGAGATTGGGCTGAAAAGCGCGCTAACATTGCCTGTTCCATTTTGGAAAATTTCTTCTCGTATACCGGGCAAGATGTGAGACCGGTCTTCAGGTGGATTCTCTCCAGAATATCTTGAAATCTCGAGAGGCCCGCCTGTACAGAGACTGTCTAGGTTAACGTTGATGCTTTCGGATCCGGAACATCCAGCGGGTAGGAGGCCCATACGGCCATTACCCAGGGGGTATGCGGTCTTTTCAATCCCCGAAACATCAGCTGGAGAACTCGACCAGAGCCATTTCGCAGTCGCTAAGTTGCCAAATTCAACGATGCAGAAAAGAAGAGGGATGATCATTCTGACAGTCTCAGCTTCAAGATCTGGGCCATTTTTGTAATAATTGATCAGTTAGGGTCGCCAGGTTTATTAATCTTGTGGTCAAACAGCTGACAAGAATGACCATTCTTCTTCGTAGATTACCCGATCTGCAGCAATGAGCTATTTACCCGAGACTTGTGACCTGATCCCCCGCATCATTGCGCATGATGCGGGGGATATGCAAATCAATCAAGCAGGTTGTTGAAAATGCGCGATATGTGATACAAGTTTGGAGAGAGTGAGGTATAGCGAGTGTGAAATAGAGCAGAGTTCGATGGTCGCCCGGTAAATTGCGCGGCAATAAAATTTACAATCAATGAATCCCTAGATTTTGGCAGACAAGCGGTCGTCTGCTCATTCAGATAAAATCTTTACCTGAAATGTACCACACAAAGAATTTACAGGGCTTGGATTGAGGACTAGATTCTCGTATCACTCTTTTCCTGAGAGTATGCGATCGTCCAATTATCGTAAATGTTTTTACGTAGTAGGGAATGTAAAATGTGAAGCTTTTTGGCATCGGGAGCTGAAAGCCAGTCAGGAACCAGTACGGCCTGTTTGGGTTTGACATCAAATTGTGGTTTGAAAATTGAAGGAGCTTTACTGGTGACAACCCGACCGAGTAGACAACCTCTATAAGCTTCCATTCTTGAAGCTTTAGTTCCTTTCAATCTCTACATAGGCATCCTAAGCCCCTGGCACGCGTGGACGTGGAGAACGATCAAATTTCATGATCGAATCAATCCTGACAAGAAAAGAAAATTGGTAAGCTTTAGAGTGGAATACAAAGCCTTCAATTGTTGTGGCGCCGTTGGACCCGCGACTTTATGCAACGACACGGTTGCCTGACATCTTCCCTTGAAGTTTATCTTGTGGCTTGTCTTTCTTTGACAATTGTTCGCGGCGAGGCGGACGTTTGTCAACGCCCGACCCGGGACCCCTTAGGCATGAAAACACGGGGACCAATGACAAGCGCAGCAACGCTAAAATTTTTGTCCCTAGTTTGCGAACTACTGGTCTACGCTAGGGAAATAGCTTTGTGATGTTGGGGCAACTAGCTACGGAGCGTTTCCAGAGTGGGAGGAGAAGCCTTGGCACAATCGCTGGTAGGAAATTGACCGGTCTCTTTTTGACGTACCGTATAGCACCGGAACCTAACCTCTTTAGCGGATGACGCCGGAAGAAGCCTCCTTCGTAGCCCTTCTTTAGTCGGTGTCTTCCGCCATTGATGTTTCTGAACTGGGCAGTCCCAAGCCAATACTCAATCATCGATGATCTAGGAACACAGAAAGCCTGATTGTTTTCTGAACAGGCACTTCTCATGAGAGCTGAGATCAAGGAACCCCCATTACCAATCGTCCCATCCGGTGAGGGGGACTGTGGAGCTGACTCAGTGCTAGCCTCAGGGTTCAGGGCTCGAGGCTCAGGTTCGGTGCCTTCTGAGAGCCGAATTGGTCCAAGCGTCGCCATTCGTTCGAATAACTTGTGGCGCCCCCGGGGCCAGTGTACTTTTTCTATCAAAATGTCTGGCTCGAACCACGGTCGACCTTGGGATCGGCATTAAAGATACCAATCAGACTTCCATTCCGAGGAATTTATCGACGGTAGTGCAGGCATTAGCCTAATTCAGAATGTGGACAAATCCTCCGCCCTTTGGCGACATAATCATGATTAAGACCACCAAGCCGGACGGATTGGTATCTGATGGTCTTTCGACGAAGGGTTTGAATGGGAGCAGCGAGGGGAACAAGTGGAGCCGCTTAGCTCAAATTGCTCGGCGTCATAACCGAGGTGACATAGGGGGATTGATTGTAATTTCTCGAAGCGAACTACTATCGCCAAGGCTGAGAGCCTCGCGTACTGAGCAGATTGAGACTAATCTCGAAAACCCTGTTCTATGGGACGAGGAGACAGGAAGCTTTCCAAGACGTGTCCGGAGAGTCCCGCGGCAGCGACCGGAAAAATCTATGCCGATCGCAATATTATTGTCGACATCAACTGAGATCGATGGACTTGCAATGGACAAAGGGCCAGTAACATTCGAATGCCGATCGATCATGAACCTAGACTTCTTAGAGCCTCTTGGCCCGACTCTGACAGTCTTGTCAAACTCGATCAATGGTTTCGATCGGTGCTGATTTTTGATGTGACCAGCCGGATTCTACGTCAAGAGACGACCTTTTGAGCTGCCCATTTAGACTATATAGAGCAAGATCTCTGACCCCTGGTCGATAATTCACGGAGGCTGACCCTAAGGACCCTTCGACCGTGTCAAGGAGCCAGGAACAGCCCGCGACAAGGTTTTTTCCGGTTGAACCCTTCTCTCCGTGAGAACGGGCGCGCCACCATAGACCCTTAATTGGCTCGGACTCGCTCCAAGGGCCCACTGGTGCCTGCATCTAGCGGGGTTTGAGTGGATTCCATGTGCGCCGGATTCATGGACATCCTGTTGTTGCTCATTTTCCGTGTTGAGCATCTAGTGGAGTAAGTAGGTCACTGTTGCCCTCGGGGCTCTTTTAGGGCTCGATCTCGCTGTTTGATTTCTAACCTCGAACATCCATCCTCGACTTCGGTCTTTCACATTCGTTCACGGCTTCTGGTATCTCTCGTTTAACCGGAAATCCTCAACACTCGTTCCTATCTGCCTATTTGCAGTCATATCACTCTTTTATAATCTGTGCAATTCTTTATTGCAGTAAACCCGCACAATGAAGGTTGCTTCTGCTGTCACTCTCGCGTCTATCCTGACTGCTGCTCAGGTAAATCATATTGTCATATCTCTATCTACCGTGTCATTCAACTCACTATGGTAGGCATGGCACGTCAAGGCTCCCGCTGCCGTCCAGGCTCGCCACTTTGGCACCTCTATTCCCATTCCTCCTCCTGGAGAGATCACTTCCAGCATCCCTCTGATCGGCCCTTCTCGGACTCCTATGGCATCTTCTACTCCCTGTGATGAGAAGTCGTCTACTGCTCAGTCATCTGCCACTCAGTCATCTACTTACACGTCGATCCCGGTTTCTATCCCGACTGCGCCTGGCTCTTCGATGCCTATTCCCAGCTCTTCTGCTGTGCCGAGCTCTTCGGTGCCCGTCTTCTCCGTGCCTGTCTCTACCCCGGTCTCTTCTCCCGCTGGTAGCTCTTCCATTGCTACTTCGTCTCAGACTACCAGCATGGCCTCTTCTATCACCAGCACTCCCCCCATGATGACTACCTCCACTATCTACACTACCAGTGAGATCACCGTCATCAGCTGTGCTTCCACCGTTACCAACTGTCCTGCGGACTCTACTACCGTGGTCACTTCGACTATTCCGATTACTACCACCGTCTGCCCGGTTACCGAGACTCCATCGTCCAGCGCTCCTGCTCAGGATTCGACCGTTACTGAAACTACTTACGAGACTACCACCATTTGCCCCGTCACTGAGACCATGACCTCTGGTACCAACACCATGACTACCACCTGGAGCTCTGTTTCAACGATGACTGTGACTGTTCCTATTCCCACCGGCCCGGCTGCCACTGGTGTTACCTCTGCTCCTTCTTCGCCTGCTGCCACTTCCGTTCCCCAGGAGTCGACTGTCACTGACATCACCTACGAGACCACTACCATCTGCCCCGTCACTGAGACCATGACTTCCGGTACTAACACCTTCACCACTACCTGGAGCTCTGTTTCGACTGTGACCATGACCGGTCCTGCTCCTACCGGCCCTGCTGCCACTGGTGTTACCTCTGCTCCTTCTTCGCCTGCTGCCACTTCCGTTCCCCAGGAGTCGACTGTCACTGAAATCACCTACGAGACCACCACTATCTGCCCCGTCACTGAGACTATGACTTCCGGTACTAACACCTTCACCACTACCTGGAGCTCTGTTTCCACTATGACCGTTACTGGCCCTGCCCCCAGTGCCACTGAGACTGAGAGTACCTCCGCCATTGTTCCTACGATGACCGGCTCCGCTACTGAGTCTACCGTTGCTCCCTCCGGTGTTGCTCCCTCTGGCGTTGCTCCCTCTGGCGTTGCTCCCTCTGGCGTTGCCCCCTCTGGCGTTGCTCCCTCCGGTGTTGCTCCCTCCGGTGTTGCTCCCTTCAGCAGTGTCCCATCCGGCACCTCCCCCGTCGGTAACACAAGCATCCCCGTTGGTCCCATCGCCTCTTCCACCATGATGAGCACCAGCCTGCCCAAGCCCACCACCGCCCCTGCGGCCAGTGCGACCCCCGCCTTCAACGCTGCTTCTCCTCTGGCCGTCTCTTCCGGCCTCGGCCTGGCCTCTGTTGCGGCCCTCTTCGCCCTCGTGCTGTAGAGTGATCTCATGACTTGATCTGTTTTAGACCCATTTACGTCCCTTATATTCTTTTGGTCAAAATTGTGATTCAATTTTGCTTTCTTTTTCTATCTCCGCAGACCTTGTCTATCTACCGCTGCGTTCGAGTGTCGTTCGAGTATCGTGAATGATACGTTCATCTGTACGACAGTTTGTTCATTCGGATAAATTTCTGCTTGTTAATGCGATAGATTTCGCGCCCTTAGTCTCATTACTTGTTTAATCATGAAATTGTAAAATTTACCCTCCGTCCTCTCGGTAACCTTTCAGCCGCTCGTTTATTGTCACTCTTGTTTAAAGTAAGATTGTGTGGATTCTTGAGGTTGCGCTATTGAAAATCAGGAACTCTTTCATAATAACTACCACATTCGTTTATGTATACGTCAAGACAACACGAAAGACATGAAATTTTGGGCTAGAAATCTGATCTAAGTTATACAAGTTTCAGCTCAAATTGCTATCTTGGCTGCCCACTCTGTTGCTTGCATGTATCACCGTTTGTTTGGGGGCGACCAACCCTCTTGTTCTCGAATCTCCGTCATCTGAGTTTAGTACCCTGCTGGAGTTTAGGCAACTTGTGCCCAATTTGGGATACCCAATGAGGCATGAGGCACGGTGCAATACTTCTATGATAGATAAAAAAGGAACTGCCGGAACATTTTCACAGGGTTCTTATTGAAGCCTTGTGACAATTTGCAACCGAAAGAAAACTCCCACCCCTATACTCCGAAGGCATCGCATTCTACTAGCCAGGGAGCACAATTTCCAACACTCATAGCGAGATACCATACATCTAGTTTGATGCAGTGCAGTGGGTTTTGATCAATAAAAGTATCCTTCGATGTTCCCAGGTGGTCATTTAAGGATCCTTCCCAGTAGAATCGCTCCAAAGTGCCTTCTGAACTAATCCTCCTCCCTTATGATTCCCGCCACTTCAAACTTACCATAGTACCTCACAGCCCTTTCCAAAACCTCCTCTTGCTGCAGCTATACTCTCTCCAATCTCGTAGCTCAATTAAGTCACCGCAAGATGTTGTCATTCATTCCACGAATTCGGGTTACAGGCCATCCAGCTATGTGTACCAAATTACGCGAGAGAGCCCACTGAGAGTAGCTCGACATATCCACTCACACCTTTTGTTCTTTACATAAAGATGCTATTCTGCATTCACCTTGTCTCGCTCATTATGTCTCGGTCAACATCTTGAATACCCTGCGACATTTTATAGATGCTTCCAAGATTCTTTGATTAACATCATTCTGCAGACGGTCTGGCTAGAATCCACGACAGAATCCAGAAGTTTCAAGGTCCTATACATGTTCACCTTTCAGATTCCATAATGCAATATATATAGTGCTGGCCGTTATTGCCTTCTATGTCGGGGAACATAGAGACACTCATTCAAACCCTAGTCACATGACACGCTAATCCTGATATGGCTGCATTCGTATTCAAAGACTTGTTCCAGGTTTGCATTGTAATAACGAAAACGTATTAAATATGAGTAAGCTGTATAATTATGTATTGTTAAGTATCCAAAAATGACCACCCCGCCCACAATGGCGTCGTCCGTACACACTCCTCCCAACCTAGCACCTGCAAACACCCAAACCACTTACAAAATGGCAAGAAATATTGATCCCTGGCAGCGTAAAATGATTGTCCATATAATACGCAGCAAGAACAGACCCACTATATCACGAATGGCAAAGGTGGCGAAGTGGAGTGAGTGTTCTATCACTAGCATACGCAAGAACATGTGGTTGTTCGGTAGTGCCAGTCCCGGTCGGTCGACAACCAAGTATCGCCCCTATCATGCTAGACGCCCTCTGTGACCACATTACTCTTACTCAGAATACCTTGTGATCATAAGATTTTGAGAATTGATCAAAATGTCGGCTTATATGCCACAGATAAGAACATAGTCATCAAGTGAGGTAGGAGACTTTTCCAGGGTCTACTTTCCAATCATCGGGATATTGTTGCGCAGATTCCAAGATAGACTCGTAGTCCTGGCCATCTATGTTTCGCTCTTTGGGATTCGCGCCGTATTGAATCAAAACACGGCAGGCTTCGGAGTTGCAGTTTCGTGCAGCCTTATGGAGTGGTGTCTCGAGAAGCAGGGAGTCTTTCGAGTCAATTAACGCGTTTGATTCAGCCAGAATTCTGATGCCTTCGATCCAGCCCCTAGCGGCAGCCAGATGCAGGGGCGTAATGCCTTCGACCATCCTAATGTCGGGACAGGCTCGTTTTCTTAGGAGCAGCTTCAGAATTTCAGAGTTCTTCTTAACGACAGCAAAATGCAGAGGAGCCTTTCCGTTAGCTCCAGACTCCGCGTTGACATCAAGTAGCGGCTGGTACTCGAGTATCATCCTGAGAAGATTAAAATGGTTTCTGAAGAGTGCCTCGTGGACCGGTCTCCAGCCCTTTTCGAACATCAGTTAAGCCCAGAAGATATGGTAGAAAGGGTACGGGGCAAAGTACATTGTGCGAACAATTAACATCTGCCCCTTTCTCAAGCAAATTTCTCGCAATCCTGCGATCGTCTCTCATGCATGCATAATGAAGCGCTGATTGTCCCACGGTGTTCCGACTATTCGGATGTGCACCATGCCTCAACAGAAGCTCAGTCATTTCGGCATGTCCGCGATCAACCGCCCAGCTTAACTCGGACCGTCCATTTGTCCATGCTGGTCCGACATGGCTTTTATCACCTGGGCGACTATATTGTCGAACATTAACTGAGGCGTGATGCTCAAGAAGAGTCTTGGCCACATCAATCTTGCCAGCCTCGGCTGCGAATGAAAGCGCTGTGCGCCCACTGCGCGGGTCTCGGGCATTCACGTCCACTATTTCTAGCCAGGATTCGATATCCTTGATTTGACCGTCCTTGACAGCTCGAAGAAATGCCCCAGTTTGAATTGGACTTGGTGATTTATTAATCTCCAGTGCATCTGGTCTTGTCTTTATGTCAGCACTGAAAGAAACCCTGTCAGATTTTTTTCCTTAATAGGGAGTGATTCACTTCGACTCTTCAATGGCCATATAGAAAAACAATTGTCTTGCGTAGGCAGCAGCCACCCCTGCTGCGTATCCGTGCCATATATCATTCTTATGCGTGTCACAGTAGTCCGAAATGCCCCGGACAACCAAACATGGGAAATCGGAAAGTGCCCCAACTGCTTCCATCTCAAAGCATAACACCCCGTGCTCCTGCGCCAATTGATCTCTCTTCTGAGCATCCTTTATCACCATTTCTCCGGATGCTATCGTGCCCCTGTGTACAACAATGAATGAAACCTCTTCCTCATCGTCATCTACTGGTCGCTTAATCCGTTGATTAATGTCACACCCGCAATCTTGACATGATGCCCCATCCTTTTTATGCGTATAATCCGATGGATACAGATAATCGTTTATAGACCCGGGAAACTCGAATCGACGAAGTGCTCGGCGACTAGTATCGATTCTTTTCAGATTTCCCCAAATAGGATCATCGTCGATTAGCTGACGTCGTACAGCTATCTCTCGTGTGGCATTAAGAAGGGCTGTTGGTGGAGGCGCGAGGAAGCCTGTTCGTTCGAAGTGACCCGTCCTCGCCCTTCCGTGATCGTATTGCACTGCTCCAGAGTGTACACCAGTCGGTTCACTGACCACAACATGCCCTAGACGAATCATACCAGATTCTGTCTTTCTTGGTACGCCGCCGCCGATACCTACTAGAAGACCGAATTTGAGGTTTGGGTAAGTCATCCTCATTTGAGTAACGACAGTGGCTGCAGGACAATTCCCAGCGCGAGGAAGACCAGCAATCACGACGTTATGGCCATTAATACTGCCAAGATTGTAAATATTTGTGTCTCCGCGAGGTTGTGGGAGACGCTCATGCTCCTCGTCCAGCATCTGCAATGCCGCGACCTGTTCCACTTCTAACGGACAGATCCATCCTACTTTGTAGGACTCGCGGCTTAGCCTTTGTTTCGACATCTTCGGTTGCACAGTCGTCGTGCCTCGCTAATAGAGGTTGAAGGAGAACAATAAAAATATATTTTCAACGGACTTAATGAATAAGACAAACGATTCAGAAGGAAGGCGGATGAGAGCACCCGGCGTAACCTTCCAGAGCCTCACAGTCATTGCTTGGGGCCAGAGAACTTGAGGGGCTGAGCGCTTCAGCGCGAGCCTGGAAAGTGAGGCGGAGGGATCGGCCAATGAGCCACGAACACGAGTCGAAATAGTGCCTCGGGTATACGAGAAAAATCACTTCCAATACCGCTCAGCATGATTGGCGACGCACCAACACCTCTTGAGGCCGGACCTGAGCAGGGTGGCAAGAGATCAAATACTATTGCTATAACGATATAAGTTACCTAGCTTTACGCGGAGTCCATTTAATACTAATCGAGAAGGGAGAAGGTCCAACCTCCTGCTCTAGGCTCCTAACTTCCGGGGACGTGTACTTCTTATACTGGTTCCTAGGAAGCCAATTACCAGTACATGGGAGCTACACAGAGCGATACTACTACGAGCGAACCACATTTGTTTATCTCGTTATGTGTCTAGGGTTCGAAAAACCGTCTTATCAAGGTCCGATATGGAGGGCGATAACGCCCGCCACTGTAGCAACACGGAACTGCAAGCCTGATGATCCTGCTTGATCACCGAATTTCCACTTCATTTTCGCATCGCTAACTGACATTCAAGCTGCATTGGTTATCCGTTTCTCAGTTTACATGGAACCCTCTAGTCGTCCAGGCATCTGGTTCTAGATCCTTGTATTCATTCTATAAAAGACCAGGTACAGTATTATTACAGTGTACATACAAAACAGGTAATTTACGCTCAATCCATATTAGGTTTAGTGTATCATGTGATTAGGGTTTGAAAGTGTATCCCTATATTCCCGGACATGAAAGGCAATGACGGTCGCCACTGTAACTCAGAAATCGATTCAGAAAAACATCTCTCTTGGAGAAGGATAAAGCGCAAATCAAGGCACATGATCGGAGCCTGTCATCTGCCGGTGGTCACCGCCTCGTAACTTTCCCGCCTCTGCCAAAAGTCGTGTTTTGGCCAACCAGCGTCGTGCTGGTCCTTGAAGTTGTCTGAAACATTTCATAGCAATGACAGGGTTGTGAAAGCTCAAATGATGTATTATTGGACGTGCTTGGGATGTACACCCTAGCATGTGTGTTGAAGGTGTCATAGAAGAGACTCATTGGGAAGCCGAACTGCTCGCACCTTGGTACAGTTATGAGGCTTGGGTAAAAGGCGGTTCACCCAAGAGTGGGTCGCAACTTGTCAATTGACCAGTCACCGTGAATTGAGACTAGGCTATCACGCTTTAGCTCTTGCCGCTTGGCTCCTCGGCTCCGAGGGGCTGCCAGACAGACGCGATCATCATGAAGTACAGTGGTTCGGATTCACTTCAAGGAAGGGGCATCCGTGGGCGGATAAGTGGGACCATGGCTGCCCTGGGACCGTCCACGGCTCTGGCATTCGTGTTTCTACAATCGGCCCGGGGCTTACAGCTGATAGTCATGCGCTCAAGACGATCCAAATTAAGCGGAGTGAAGAATCATTCAATCAATTACGTCACCCAAGCGCTCAGAAACTTAAAAGTTGAATCAATATGATAAGGTGTCTTCCAGTTTCGCTATGAAGATACATGCACACTCAATCGTGATCAATTAATGCAAACATTCCGCGGCTATGTCTCAAGAATCCCAAGAAAAGCCCCCAGGGGTGGAGCTACTGAACAACCTAGCCAGCATTGTACAGTCCGTCGCAACTAATTTACAACGCAATCGTATTGATCGAAAGGCGTTTCAGAAATTGTTGCGGGAGTACTCCGCACGAGCTGAATCAGATGGTCGTCTCGTTTTCGCTTCGAGGAAGCATTCCCAATGCATTAATCATGGACTTCTTCTAGCCCACACACATATCGAACTTGTGTCCTGGCTGCAAAAAAATAACTACAACCTTGTTTCCACATCGGTGAAATGGTATAGCTGGAAAAAGCTATTCCCAAAGTATCAACTGCCGCTTTTGTCGATCGCTTCGCAAACGACTGAGCTCCGCAATATGTTGCGTAATGTCGAGGAGAAGGCCGACATCTTGTATTCAGATCTAAAGGCACATAATGTGAACTAACATCCCAGTTCAAAAGTACCTGTGGTTTACGGAATCAGCTAAGTGTCTATCAGATCGCGATTCAACCAACCGATATTGAATATCGAAAAGTTGTCACACCTTTGCCTAAAGGCCCGCCTCCAGAAGGTATGGTTATTACTCCTGCGCTCTACAATCTGGATAAAATCAATTCTGATATATGCATCAGCATTCGAAAATTTACTTCGTCGGGGCTCCCTTCTCAAAGAACAACTAAGCCCGCTGTTGGACCAATAAAATCTCTTCAAATCTTAATTATCACAATCATTATGCCCTATGCTTTAAGGGTGGACTATTTCAACACTCAAAGAGATCTTGTAGAGTAGTAGTGCAGCTTTAGGTGTTTGTCATGCATTTCTTTATGAGACTCAGCTCTGAAACTACAGAGGCCCTTCTTTGTTCGATCTTACATTTCACTTACTACTAAGGTCTGTTGATTTGTTGGAAATTGATAGTTCTCTTTCTTAATTAGTTCTCGCTGCTTGGCGGGCGAAATTTTGGTGACTTTTTAATTCAACGGAGGCATGCATCTTAGTACTCAAAGTAGCGATTGACACTAGCCCTACGATCGCTTTGCCATGAAACTCAATCGACGAGAGGACCGGACGCTAAAGGTTTTTAATGGGAAGGATCTACGGATCAACTCTGGACTAAGAGAAACTTCGATGCAGATTCTTGGCATGACTCGCAGACTAAATATCACATTAATTAGGTATTCCTCCTGCAAAGCTACTTAAATTCAAAAATATCCAAAACATCACAAATACAGAGCCCCGGTACGTCCGATCCATGTTCACCATCTATCATATCCATCATTTCCAGCAATTCCGATGCCAGAGGCACCACCTACTGGAAGAGCTGGTACATACTCAGGGAATTCGCACCACCACAGATCTCGCCCGAGTTTCCTGTAAGCACCAGTCAAGACTTGTCACTCCGGCCTAGTCTGCTTTAGCCCGGGGTTTTTTTCGACTAATGTCTTCACCCTTTCGTTTCCAGTCCAGCCGGCCAGGCCGTTCTTGCATCCTCCAGCCCTCATGGCCCTTGGGCCCTTATCCCCTGTTCCAGGTCTTCGGATGCGGAACGACTCAACCTCCTAGGCTTGTGACAGAGATTAAACCAAGAATCACCGCCACTCGGCTATCCCATGCCATTTCTGGTAGGTCCCCTGTCCGTCTTGTAAGTATTATTACGATGCGATCGGTGACCGTATTGATCACGCTCGGAGGCTTCGCTAGGCGGAGGCATCATGGGTAAAACAGTAGTTAGGCGATACTAAATGAAATCTACCTTTTAGGCTTCAAGTATCAGGGACCCTTCCATTGGCTAGATTCCCGCTGGGCGTTCGGACCATCTTTCCTTGTGGAAGAGGTACGGTGAACGGAGGCGTTGATGAGTATACCCTCAGACGTGGCAAAGACGAGCCAACGCATCATACTAGAAAATTATATTTTGGCCAGTCCATTTCATGTCTGTCATGGACGATAACTGCCTTGATCCCCGCTCGCTCTCTGAATGAGTGAAGTGCCGAAGTTGCCAAGCCGGCCGATAAGCGTCGGACATTTTTAGGTTATTAATTGTCAGCGCGCATCAAGAACTCCGGACTCTCGGTTGGGAAAATGAGACCCGGAAACCGCCAATCAAGTGGGAACGCGGGGGCGTTCCTAGCGGTGCTTAGGCCGCCCGAACTGTTCCTGAAAAGCCATAGCGGCATTACCCGTCGCGACAAATTGCCTACACATGGTACTTTTGTCAACCTTGATGGCCTCTGTCTGAAAGCCGACGAAGGGACCTTACGATAGCGCCTGTCTTGCGAACGGCGTCCTATTCGGGGCACCCGAAGTTTGTCTGATACCAAACATCTCGAACAGTCTCTAGATATGCTGGGTTACCCGAAAAGTGCAGTAGCTCAATGCCGCCCATGGATCCGCCCGAGTCCAGAGGTGGCCATGACAGCCATCCCAGGTACCGGGTAATTTCCCCGAAATGTAGAAACATCTTTTTTCTCTTGAAAGATACAAGAGCCCTTATCTTTTCTTTGTATGGAGATTGCCGCCAGAGTCGAGTATCTCTCCTTTCCTGTGGCCAGCTCCACCAGCATTCTTCAACAGACACAGATGCTTGGTGGTATTATCTACTCGCTGTGGTTATCAGTGCAGACCAGCGATGCTACAAAAAACCGGACTGTTGTGAACTCCAGTAATAGCACTAACCAGACTTCCAGTCTCGCATGTCTTGAGAACCAGAAGCTCACTAGTACTCTACATTGTTGTGGATCCGAATACCCACCTTGTTTTCCTCATTAGCTCATGCATCAATTATGTCTCTGGTGATGTTTGAAGCCTGGCTCTTTACTTTTTATCATAAGAACAGAGATCGTCCCATCATTATGTATCCGTACGCATCTATAATCTATCAATATGGAGGATGCTGTGTAAGATAGATACAAAAACAGATAGAGTCAATCAAACCGCCACATCGTCTCCGCCCGCTCGGTCTTTCGGACCAATTCCTCTTCTTCGGACGGCGAAGCATCCAATTATGAGGCCGAGTCCTGCAAGGCCCGTTGAGCACCAGAGTCCGGTTGAGTATTGTTGGTCGAGGTCATGACCTTTTTTTATGTCGACTACCTCTGTGGTGGCAGCCGAAATCGCCAGGGCGACACCTGAGCCAATCTGAAATGCAGTGTTGAGCATACCGCCGCATAGGCTCTTGACTTTGACGGGGACACTAGTCAGGATGGTTGTGCTGGTCGTAACAAAGATGAAGGAGACCGCAGAGATACTAATGAGCGAGGTTGCAGGTTGTTTACCCAGAAGTTGATCGTTTCGGTTACGGTCAGGGCGCTCGGGATCGGTGCCAATACCGTAAGCATCAGGCCGACGAAAAGTGCATATTTTCCGTTCACGTATTCGAGCAGCTTGCCTGTTCCCATGGAAGCGATGAAGCCGATGACTCCCATGGGCAATAATCGAAAGGGCAGTTTCTCCTGCAGAAAGCCCGTCCACTTTCTGCGCGATCAAGACGACGTAGTAAATGACGTCTTGGTAACTTCCATAGCAAGTGAAGCCCGCGATCCAGAGGCCTGCAAAGTTGGGAAGCTTCCACAAGGACAGTGGCATGAGCAAAACAAAGGCGACAAGAAGGGCAATAGATAAAATAAGAATCACGATGACGAAAGATGTATCCCAACCGTAGACACCACCGCTGGAGAGAACAAATTGAAGAAGGATCAGGCCGACAGTTGACAGAACCGCACCGCAATAATCCATTCTAGGCCTCTCACCTTTGGGTGCGCGATCACCGGGTAAAACAATCAGCCCCAAGGTACGTAGGGCACCAGTCATGATGACTATAATGTAGTAGATGTATCTCCAGCCCAAGGAAGTGGTGAGAAAGCCACCTAGGATAAGACCGGCGCAGAAGCCCAGTGTCCCTGAAGCGGCATAGATGGACAGAGCGCGTGTGCGATCGGTGCCAGTGAAATATGAACTGATGATCCCAATTGCTGAAGGAACTGTCATGGCCGCTCCAATGCCCTGGATGCCACGGAAGACCGTGAGCTGAATGAATGATCGGCCGAAGCCAATGGCCAGTGTCCAGATGGAAAGCCATAATAGGCCAAGGCAGAGAATGAACTTTCGTCCGTAGCTAAATATAGCGTTAGTAACTTTCCAGTCTTTCTCACAGCATTCTTCTTACCGATCGGATAGTGCTCCAGCCAAAAGAAGGAAACCTCCAAAGGTCAGAGTATACGCAGAGATCATCCATTGCAGGTTGGTAGTCGACACATCAAACCCCTCTTGTATTGACGCCAATGCCATATTGGAACTGGTCATGAAAACATTATCCAGAGATTGAGAACCTGACGTGACCAGCAAAATCAAGGCACCTCTCCAAGATCCCAGCCGACAGAACTCTTGAGGAAGCTTCTCCAACGTCATGGCCTTTTCGGTGTCAGTCGGCGTACCAATGACGGTTGAGGCAGTCGAGACACTTGAAGTAGGAGAAGCAGAAGGGTCGGTCATGGACAGTGATCACGGTAGCTTCAGGGTATTTACAGGAAGGAGAATCTTGCGCGCTTGCATTGTTCCATGTAGCCTGGCCACGCAGCCGGTGATACCAGCCGATGATTGCCATTGTTTCGTGTCTGATCGAAATGAAGAATCTAGGATATCCTGTCTTACATTGATAGCTTTGGTCAATCTTAATAATATGGATTTCTTTTTTTTGAAAAATCGAAGTATGGACCTTTGGTAAAAAAGCTGGCATAGTGGGTCATTGCCCCTTCGGGAGTCTCCCACCTGTTGATGGGTGGACCATCCAGTGCACGCAATAGTTGAGTCTGTCGCGGCTTTTTCACTAGCGAGTAATGGCAGCCGTTCAGCTCATGGGGACAGATCTGAATTCTGGGGCACTCTTCTCTCGAGTCAGCCTATCTACTGACGCATGTTATCGCCCCTCCGACTTCCCGCTGAAGAATCCAGACGGTCGTAAAATGAAGTTGGATGCAAGATAGGGTATCTCCATGCACCGAGGTTTTTTTTTTTCCTAGCGCTTAATTATTACTGCATCACATTTACATTTCGCATATTACCTGGTCTGATTCTTCCTACCGCGAACATTCAGAGGTTGATGGGAGATCAATGATCCAGACGATCTGCATCGTACACCCACTGAAAGACCCCAACATGCATATCAAAGATGGAGGGCACCTCATCCTCCCTCTCCCCCTTTTCAAGCCATTCTGTACTCTAATTGGACGTGCCCTCTTCCACTCTACAATCTCCTGAAGATGTCATGTCTCCATTGACATCACGAATACGTGGCCCGATCTCTTGGAAGTGGAGGTCGGATACCACATCACATGTACATCACAGTATGCTCCTTTTGTCCCGTCAGAGCCCATCCGTTTTGGAGGCCCAGCATTCCCGCGACTTTCCAGGCTTGGAACAAGCCCGGAAAAGTGAGTTCTGGAAACTGCGCCCGAACCTATGTCACGACAAGGTCTTTGGTGGGATAGATATGATAATGGTTGCAAATGGCCCAATTTTTGAGCTCGATCGGATAGCGCTTTCGCGAGCGAATGAGGCGGAGGGGGAGACGTTCATTGATAGCGGAACTCAGCGGATCTCAAGTCAACGGTGCTCAAAGCTAATAACAAGGTACAGCATCGCGAACCAGAACATGAGCATCCATCACGGTCCTCTGGGTGAAGGGTGGACCAGCAAGGTATCAACACAATCGAGGGAAATCGTTACGCAATCAAATGCCTCAAGCATGTGTAGTAAGGCTTTATCTAGGGCATAGAATGATTCTAAGCAGTGATAATCTTACGATGATCATCGTGAGAATTGCGTCAAGCAAGGAGAAGGGGCGAAAAGCATTTCGCGACACAGACCGTTCTGCGACAGGGAGTTCAGGTGTCGTGAGACGCTTCCCGAGCCTCATGAGATCAGAGTGGCCGGAATACACATTGTGCCGAAGAATGTGGATGCCGAATATGTTCCCCAGTAGTTTCTTTTGGGCGGAAATTGAAGCCTAAGCTAGCTTTCAGCGAGGATATGGAGGATACATCAACAATAAGGGATTTCTTCAGCGGGAAAGGAGTCCGGGCATTCTTATCCCATCATTTTACAACACATGTAGGGTTGTGGACGTCGGTATTTTGATAACAATAATGGTCCATATGCGAACGTCCCTTGTGTTGATTCGCCACTAAGCGTGAAAGTGATGAATCTGTTTAGTAGCTATGGAATGGATTTCGCCTCAGTTTTCAGATTTCGTTCACGTTTATGTGTAATCGCTCTGCATGAACGGATCCCGACAGACCCTGACCAGGCCCCTTCAAGCGCGTTATCAGTCCACAGACATCTGCTGAGCAACCAACTCAGCTCGATAATTCTAGCTACGGCGATCCTCAAAATTAAGGATCTCGAAAACCCTAAAACAGATACTTGTTCCCGAATCAAAAATTCGACAGTTGCGCAATCCTACGCGTTATCCCCCTTTTGACCCTTGGACTGACAATCCCCAACTATGAGGTTGATCGCCCAGCCCTGATGATCGCCGCTAGTTTCTAGTTTCCGGCTGATCAAAATAAAGATGTGCATCTTTAAATGGGGGACGTTGACGCGTTCACGAAGATCCAATACCTTTGGTGGGTCCATTTTTATGCCCTGGCCGACCGACCGGGTTGGGACGGGAACTAACACCCGAACTGGCCACAAACATGACTTTCCAGCGATCAGCCTTGCTTGTGCTTCCCCATCAGATTGTCCCCTGTTCCTTGTGTTGTGGTTTCTTCTCCGCACGTCAATAGCTGGCCTGAGGGCTCAGGTATCTCATCCCTGTCATCCGATCCAGCAGATCATGCCCCTTCTTGCTCTGCCTAATGAACTCCTGTTGATCATAGCGTCTCGGCTGAAAAATCTGGGTGATGTCAATGCTTTGACCCAGGTCTGTCGACGCTTGTACGAAGTTCTCAATTTCTGTGTCTACGTCCGTGATATCAAGGACAATGATGGCTGCGGCTTGATACTGGCTGCCCGGCATGGCCACCTAGGGGCTGTTCGCAAATTTCTCGATCAAGGGCAGGACCCTGTCGACTACCTCGAGCATGACAAAGGCCTTCCTTTGTTGGAGGCGGCGAAGCACGGGCATGCGGAGGTTGTGCTGTTGTTGGTGGACTGCATCCCGGCGACTTGTCGTTTAAAAGTTAAGATTCACAGCCATGCACTTTGCGACGCTTTGCGCGCCGGTCATGACCAAGTGGCGAGGATCTTAATAGACAGGCATCCCGATCCACCGGCTTCGCTTGATGATGAGTCGGAGCTTTTCAACTTGGCCTTGGCTCATTGTTGCAGTTCAATCCTGGCGCTTATGCTAAAACGGGGCTTCATAGCCAGTGATTCTTTGTTGAATACGGCGGTTTCTCAGGGCAAAAACGACTGTGTGAAGGTTTTGCTAGATTTGGGATTCGATGTCAACTCAGTCGAGCCGAATGATTGTAGAAGCCCACTCTACTCAGCTGCAGGGAATGGCCAAGCTGCGACCGTCAGACTCTTGCTTGATCGAGGTGCCGACCCTTACCGGAAAAGTACCTACGACTTCATGCCTTTGTTTATCGCCACGCTTCTTGGCCACAAAGATGTGGTCCGTACTTTGCTGGATTCCGGTGTGAATCCGGAAGGTCTGGATGAAAAGGCCCGATATCCTCCCAAAAAGCCACGAGAGGAGTTCTTCAGAGTTATCTCTGGCGAATACATGAAATTCTCGACGTGCGACTCGCAGAGGGATTTATTTACTAACGCACATCTTCCTGACTTGCAGGCCATTGTCCCTCGCAGCTCCAATTGCCATACGCCATTGTGTATCGCTGCGATGATGGGCCATGAGGATATTGTCAGACTCTTGCTGGATCGCGGCGTGGACCCAAACTTCATCGATCCGAACGGAGATGTGCCGCTTCGACTTGCAGCCATGAATAATCGCTGTGGGATCATCTCGCTACTCCTCGAGAGGGGAGCTTGGATAGATTTCGTGGACTTGGATGGGAAGACCGCTCTGGGTCATGCCTTATCAACCGGGTGTCATGATGCAACGATACTTTTGATACATGCGGGCGCCACAGAGGATCTGGCGCGTATTGGGGGTGAAGATCTTGTTCTTCAAGCCCTGAACCACAGGATATATGGGTCACCGTCCGCAATACCCGATATGTCTCTGGAACAAATCCATCTTTACTGCGCAATTCCACCAATTCATGGCTGTCGTACAAGCTTACCTCCCAGACCGGGCGTATTGCACCGATGCGAAACATTACTTGAATTTTTCCTTGATAGGGGCTCCAGTGTTGACTCTCGAGACTCCCTCGGTCGCACTCTACTGCATCACGCGACATTTCTCTATTGCATCTCTTCAATCGAATTTCTCCTTTCAAGAGGCGCGGATCCCAACGTGTGCGATGTGTTTGGTCGGGTCCCACTGCATATTTGGCTACAGAACCCGAGCTACCATGCGATTTCGAAATTCCAATGGCATCAGCCCTGACATGAAAGTTTGAAAGGGCAAGAAACCTCTAAGTTGGGCAGCTAAACAGGTCTCCGCCTCTCGGTCAGACGTTTCATTGTGAGCGCACAGGAAGAAGTAGATTCTAAGGAGCAAAACGGGGATCCTCCTGGTGTTTCTGGCTATCGATGACAGGTGAAAGTAGAATAATGCATTGTTTGACAGATCGAGGGCGGATTTAGTCTCTGGAAAACATAATCACAAGGATCCCATGAGGTTACCCAAATTGTGACGGTTACCGACCTGTTCGGTTATCAACATCGAATGGGAGGCAGAGTTGGGAACCTGAGAGAGCGGGGTCAGAGCCAGATGAGCTGTCTGGGCGGTATTGGAGGCAAATACGAACCGTGAAAGTATAGTGGCGAGAGCTTTGGCCGCATCACATCCGCGCGGGGCCGTGCCCAGCTCGCGTGGATCGGCTATTTTTGACAATCTAGATTCTCGTAGTCTGGGGTAATCGAGAACTACCTCTGCTTCGTCCCCCCGCCTTCGAACCTCCTGCTTCCATTATCCCACTTTGTCCATGATCGTCCTGGTATTCTCATCTAGTTGATCTATACTGCGCGACCCTTGCCACCTGTTCAAGATGAACAGCAGCAAGCCCATTATGAACCGCGGTAACGGCACCCTGAAAATCAGCCTCGCTGCACCGCAGGATGGAGCTATGTCGCCGGTGATACGGTCATTGGTATGGTGTCTCGTCATTCACCAATTATCGCATCTGAAGCTACCGTCAAGCTAGCTTTGAGGGGACGGGTCAAGGTCCAGTTCACCAAGGGATCGGGCGTGTCCTACGATAGACACCAGGAGGGGCCTATCTATAAGCAACTCTTACTCCCTGAGCGACATACCTTGTTCCAGGGCCCTCTTCACATACCAGATAGTAACGACTCTGTCTACTGGCCTTTTGAGATCAAGATGTCACCCTATTCCCAGGACTTGGGGTTTCTTAACGGCGATCTACTTCCAAGTTGGGAGGACATCGCAAGCTCCCGTTTACCAGGAACATTCTATTCTGTTGAATGCAATAAAGCCAGCTCCCCATCGGCATGTTGGGTGGAGTATTATCTCGAGGCCGAGATGCGATACGTGGAGAGAGGCGACCAAAAGGTTCACACTTCAACATGTCCCATTCAAGTGCGACACAGTCCTGAGACCATTTTCCGGGGATTCGGCAAGGAACGAAGGATTTTGAACCGAAGTATCCGAGGCCAGCAGTTGCTGTCAGCGGTACACCATGGAGAACGCTCGTTCGTGCGAAGAACACGAGAATTTTTCATCCACCCTTCAATCAGCGCACCGGAGCTTCACTATAAAGTCGAAGTCTACGCTCCAGCTACTGTCCAGCTGGGCAACCTCTCAAATATCCCATATAAGTTGAAATTCGAGCTCCTACCGCAGACCAGTAACGCTCTCCATGATATCGAGCTGAAAGTCCTCTTCAACTCGGCGAAGTTTATTATACGATCCGAGACGAGAGTGACCGCAGGAACTTCGGTTCACGCACCATCCAGTGTGCATTGCTCTCTCATCGATCTCGGGCTAGAAGAGGCTATCAGGCGACTCGACGCTTTTCCGTTGACGATTCCCTTGACCAACAAGAGTCAGACACTCAACATCGGCAAAATGCTTCAGCTTACTCTCCACACAAGTGGCCTGAAGGCTGGAGAGAAAGACGTTCCTGCGACGGGCCGGATTACACCTACCTTTTCGACTCAAAATTTGCGGCATTTGAACTCGCTGCAGGCGGAGTTCTCGGTCACGGTCGCTGGCAACACCACCCAGTTGCACGCGAGCACGCCACTTAACATCTTGGCGGAGTTGTGAGAAGTGTTCACGAAATTATGTTCATATATTATGATTCTTTGTTTTACCGTTGAGCGACTTCATGTTGTATTTCCTCTCTGGCTCAATCCTGGCATTTATTGTGGTGGTGTTCGGAAGTAACCCTTGCTCAACTTTCATAACATACTCTAGTCCCAATATATACATCCGCAGCATGCAACTTCAACTTTCTTCAAATTAAGATAGAATACTTTAGAAACCCAGGGAGGCGAACTGGTACATCAATAGCTTGAAAATCGAACCTTTGAACTTCTCTAAACTTATATGCGATCGTGTTAGATTAGATTCAAGATCGGACGAGGACCTGTTGAGTGGTGAAGTTGGTGAGCTCATCTATATGTGATAAAACTAAACGTGAGCAAGATATGCATCAACCACTCAAGTGGTCGAGCAGTAACTCGGCTATCGCATCTTCCTTGGTCTAGTGGTCATGATTTCCGCTTGTCATTAACCCCGATAAGCGCGGGAGACCGGGGTTCGATTCCCCGAGGGAGAGTTTCTTTTTGCTCGCACACCACCAATCAACACTGAGACACTCCCTATTTTTTTTTTTCTTGGCTCGGAATACATTCAATTGTGTAAAATATCACGTATATCAATCAAGGTGCCGTGCTGAGCCGCAGGCCCCTGCAGGTCCGATCGAACCCCGTGGTGTACACTCTCCGGGGTTTCATCAATGTTCCTTGACACTCTCCGTTCGTTTCCTAATGCATTTCCTGCTCCCACATTCCTGCGAGAGCTATCACATATAGAGACTGTATGCCAGCCTGATTATATGAATAACTGGTCTGCGAGACTATGATGTATCAAGGCGACTTGTGATCGATCTTCAGAAGGCCCGCGAGCCTGGATAGCAAATGGGAAAAAGGGCAAGCAGAATAGCTCTGGAGAAAGAGAGAGAGAAAGAGTCTCAGTGACCACCTTCCATTTTGAATGATCAAAGTCAACGCTGCCAGAAGTGGCCAGCACTGCTCTTTCCCTCCCTGCTCAATAACCCTACACGCAGCACTTCGTGCACTTCTTGTTGTCTTCATGAATCCCCAGACCCCATTATCTTAGTCTCCCGTTGAATCAATCAATCACCTACTCTACTTTATTCTGCTTCATATCAGATCAGTCCGCAGTCAGATCAACCAAGAACGGACATCGGTTGGAACGTCCAACATCAAAATCTGAATATGGCAATTTGGGTCGACTGGGCGCTGTGGGTAAAGTTGACCATGGTGCGGATACTCCTTGGCTTTGAAATAAACAACCTTTAGAGCTACTCACTGACAACCTATTCTCACAGGTTTTGGGACTCCTGATCGTGCGAGAAGTTGTGCTATGATTTCAAGCAGGCGCACTGACAAATAACTTAGGTGTTCGTGCTGACTGCGGCAACTTTTGTCTTGATGTTCCAGCGATGGAGGATCCGCAGATACGCCGCACTCGAGACTGGTCAGAAGTTGGTGGATTTCGAGCAGTATCCCCTGCTGGCACAAGATGACGTCCCCTTTGGTGCCAGAGCCCTGGAGAGAGGAATCGAGGTCGAAGGTATCTGGGTCTCCAACAACAATACTCCAATCCAAACACCTTGTCAGCCCGGGACTCCCAGCACCATCCGAAGAGGCACGTCTCTCAGAAGTCTCCCGTCCAACTCAGCCCTCAGGTCACCTTCGATCCAACCGGTTATTCCAGTGACACCACCAGCCCTCGAGAATATCGCGGTATCTCGCGCATCTCTGCCACCATTCGCCCCGGTTCCAATTCTCCCCGACGCAGACATCTTCAAGGAACTCCACTACACCTATGAGCCGCAACGTCCTGGAGGAGTGTACTCCCCTTTGACGACATCCACATTCCCAAGTTCACCAAGTAAATTTAATCGCCGCAGCAACATCGCGACCTCCACCGACAGACGAGCCAGCTTCCACAATCGAGTCTTCCGTGCAAGCCAGCTGTCCGAGACCAACAGTCGCGCCAGTCTCAACGACCTCGACGAGGCGCAGTTGGAATCAGCTGGCAATGACTCTAGTGCTTCCGCACCGGTCGAGCAGCAGGCTTCACGGAAGAACAGTACGTTGATACATTTTCTCGGGCGACAACGAGACATGATTCCCAATTACTGACCTATTCTTCCATTCACACAGGGCTTCTTCGAAGGCGGTCGTCGGAGGAGTTCAGACACAGGTTGAGTGCGATCTTCAACGAGAGAATTCATATGAACATGCCGCACGATCATCTTCAACTTGACTCAGCTTCGCGAGGAAAGAGACAAAGCCTTCGGAAATCCTTACTTGGGCCTTGGCGTTGAAATCAGCGCACGGTTTCTGATTGCCTGCAGTGCTTTGGTTTTCGAGTTAGATGAAGCGGATGGTACCAGCAAGTGACATGGAGGTTTTTCATCTCCCATGATGTTGAGTACATGGTTCGCCATTGTGATCGAGCCTCGGTATATACTTGCCCTTAAGATCGATTGTCCTGTTAGAGCCCAATTACACAATCAGACTGAAAATCATGCATGGCAAATATTGTTTCTTATTGTCTTGGAATAGGTACAAGGATTCTACATTTCACAACCGAGAGAAATGGATATGGATGAAAATCAAAGTGATCGTGTAGATCGGATAGAAACCCTGAACAAGTTATACTGTGTTTGGATGCTGCTGCCTGAGCCCGATTAGGAAGGACGAACACACACACGTGACCGCGCGACGGCCTCGACGCGTCCAAAATGATGGCGACGACAGAACTGCTAAGAGAGTCCGGCATTCGCCACAAACAATCCTTTTAATCAGCAGAGACTGCCTAGTGACTCATTATTTCAATCCAAGTTGATTTTTCCGCAACTGTCGACAAGACAATTTTGCCATTACGCGACCAACCGCACCTCGAGGTCAGACGCGTGTTTTCGTGTTGAACAACCTTCCACGCCCGATTGAGACGTGCATACGGCTTAAACGATTTGAAACGCGCCTTCTAGATCCTCTAATATGACTGCGGATAACATGGAGACTCAGGAGATGGACGAGAGTGGGTTGCCCGGCCCCGGTGCGCCTACCCCTCTCTCCGCACTGGAGGTGAGTGGTCTCGCTGGTGACTTTGTGGTTGGTAATTCGCGTCAAGCTAACCTCTAACGTTACAATAGGGACTTGTGGGCTTAACAGCCAGAGATATCAAATTGTTTGTGGATGCTGGATACCACACTGTCGAGTCGATTGCCTATACGTATGTGTCCTGCCATACATTCTTGTCTGCCACTGCGGCTTGAACCCCGCCGAAACTCTCTTAAATGGATCAGGACTGAATGATGGATTGTTGCAGACCAAAACGTCTGTTGGAGCAGATAAAGGGCATCTCTGAGCAAAAGGCGACTAAGGTCTTGGTCGAGGGTAAGTCTTAATCTGCGACAATATCATGCAATCTGTAGCACAGAGAAGGCTAACACGACAATGTTGAACAGCTGCGAAACTCGTGCCTATGGGGTTCACAACGGCCACTGAAATGCATGCTCGACGAAGTGAGCTTATCTCAATCACCACCGGATCAAAGCGCCTCGACACCCTACTCGGAGGCGGTGTTGAAACGGGTTCAATTACTGAAATATTCGGAGAATTCAGAACGGGAAAGAGTCAAATTTGTCACACGCTCGCTGTGACCTGCCAGCTTCCCTTCGACATGGGCGGAGGTGAAGGGAAGTGTTTGTACATCGACACCGAGGGAACCTTCCGACCCGTCCGTCTCCTAGCAGTCGCTCAGCGGTTCGGCCTCGTTGGAGAAGAAGTCCTCGACAACGTGGCATACGCACGCGCGTACAACTCAGACCATCAGCTGCAACTGCTCAACCAGGCATCACAGATGATGTGCGAGACCCGATTCTCGCTCCTCATCGTCGACTCAGCAACCTCCCTCTACCGTACGGATTTCAACGGTCGTGGTGAGCTCTCGTCACGACAGACGCATCTGGCCAAGTTCATGCGTACGCTACAGCGTCTCGCTGATGAGTTTGGTATCGCGGTTGTCATCACCAATCAGGTCGTTGCTCAGGTGGACGGTGGGCCGAGTGCGATGTTCAATCCTGATCCAAAGAAGCCTATTGGTGGTAATATCATTGCTCACGCGAGTACCACTCGCCTCAGCTTGAAGAAGGGTCGTGGTGAGACTCGTATTTGCAAAATTTATGACAGCCTTGTCTCCCTGAAAGCGATTGTCTCTTTGCTATCAACGAGGACGGTATCGGCGATCCTAACGAGAAGGATGTGGAGAATGAGTAAACACCATTTCATTTACTCTTGACACGATGTTAGTGACTTAACGAGCCCTGAAACTTTTCTTGTTACCCAGCATTGCCCATACCCCTATGTAGTTAGAGGCCCCAAAAACAATCCTGTGTATGACACTATCATATAGAATAAACATTCTGATTTTGAATCAAATTTCATTAATACGAAGGAGCCCGGCCATGGAAAAGATAAAGCTAGATATCATGGCGAATCCCACGCTGATTAGTGAGCTTAAAGATATGTCGGCTTGAAAGTAGTGACGGGCTGGCTTCGTTAAGAAGCCCCAAGCTTGTCTTTTACCTTCACGCCGAGCCGGATCTGTATCGTAGTCTGTTAAATTATGTATACCTGAGCTCGCCCTGCATAAAGTATGTCAATCTTCCAAGAAAGGTATTGTTTGGATGCACTTCCGATCGCCTGAAGCCTACGGCGCGGCGGCGATTGATCGTGTGTAGTCGATGGCCGGCGCGCAAAGAAGTTCCCGCGCCAAGACTCTGTTTTTTGAGAGCTCCAGCTTTCCGCCCTGCAACCTTCTCCATCAGCCATGGAAGTCTGAGACCTGCTGGCTCCCTTTATCATGGCCAAAATTTACAAAGATACGAGGGTCGACCTCCGACCATTCTCAGCGGCCACGGTCGCCAATATCAACCTCACGCCTCAGCAGAGCGCGCCCCGTCGCCCGCGCTTCTCAATCTCCTCTGCTTCTGCCTCTGACTCCGAACCCCCGATCGCTAAAGATGAAGACGAATTCGCCAGACGATACCTGACGACGCAGGGCGCAGTCTATTTCCGCAAGCGCAGAACTTACCCGAGGACGTTCGTGTGGAGAGTCGTCAATGATAACAAGGTGTTGGAGATTCAATGCGCGGACTTGACAAAGGGTGGCTCGGAGCATTTCGAGTACAATGTCACTCTGCGACTCAATTTCAACGAGCAGATCATTCCGTCAGGTGTCGCGTTGGCCGATCGCGAGGACCATGAGATTCTCACCGTTTTTGTGATCACGGCCTCGAAGCAGCTTCACACTCTCTCGCTTCGCCCTGAGTTCTTCCGGAGGCCGGAGTCGATTGACGAGAACGTGTCAGACTGGTGCAAGTCGTGTTTGCCGGCGCCGTTGTCTTTCTCCTATCCTCATCGTCTACACGCGAGCAGCCCACTAGAGCTGTTCATCTCTCTCGACAATGGCGCTCTTCTGCGCTTGACGCGGAGGGCTGGTGATGATGGTAAGCCCCTTGATCAGATATAGCCCGTAGTGGCGGGTATCAAAAATCGGAACTAATTGTGGATTCACTAGGTTCGCACTGGACTCCTCTTACCTTCGACGAACGGACATGGGGCGCTTCGATTCGCGGCCTTGTGAAATGGAACGCACCTTCTTCGCTGAAGCACAATGGACGCAGTCTTGATCCCAATGTCGCCAATGCTATAGCTACCACCTCTGATGAGACCTATGTTTTCGCGGTTGGCTTGAATCACACGCTGAAGATTTGGAATTTGGCTTCGAACAAGCTGGCTGGGACAAAGGATCTTCTGGATCGCCCAATGGACCCCGCTACTGTGCCGTACACTTTAAACCCGGCGGAGACGTCATTCATCAGAGTGTTCAGTGCAGAGAGAGCGTTGGATGGGAGTCATCGGTTCTATGTGGTCACATATTCCCCTTTCGAGGATGGCCGCTTCAAATTCTGGGCCGTCAAGGGAGGCCTGACATCTGATCTTGTAATTGAAGATCTCTTCGCGGAGGCTGTGTTCCGACCGGAGGACCCAGATACCACGGGTAATATGTTCTGGAGCATTGCCGATTTTCATATCAAGGCCGTGGATGAAGGAAAGGGCATGGAGTTGTGGGTTCTCTGGAGAAACCACGGTCTATATCAACTCTATACTCTTCACTTTGATCTACAGACACTGGTCACTGACTGGGAGACAAACTGGGTTTCGACCACATTCGAAACGCACCGACAAGAGCCCCTCCCTGTGCCGACGCTTGACGATGTAGTGGACCCAACTGAGAAGTGGCTTGCATACCTTTTGCATCCCACTAGATATCTACCCGAAGTCCTTGAGACCGCACTTGCAATCTATCAAGAGGCTCTCAAGCCCTTGTCAGCAGCTTCATCGGGAACACTGAAAAGGGATGTGCCCCTCCCAGAGCGGCTTTGCGCGACGATAGCCGCCACTGTCTCTCTGCGCAAGTACGCCGATGATGAGATGGACTACACCAGGTACCGGACGGACACGGATGCGAAGTGGCGTCAGTTCTGGCAAGTCGCGGATGACCTCAACAAGCGCCGATTTGAACCTATCTCTCTCGCCTACGACTCATACAGTGAGATGCCATGGCTGCTCCTGTCAGACTCCTGCGCCCTGATTCGGGAATGCAATACTACTGAATTACTCGTGAATAATGCCCCCGCGGACTTACGTGATGATGTTCCCAAAATCGTCGACCGCTGGAGACACCGTAACCTGAGCTCCGAGCTTGGCAATTTGTTTGAAGAGGCCTCCTCCTTGATGAAGGTTGCCTCCGATTTCAGGAAAAAGTTCTCGGCAGAGCTCGATGCCGCATGCCGTGCTGCACTCGAAGTTGAGATCTTCACTGAGCCATTCTCATCGATCACTGATCGTATGGACGTTTTCCGAGAACGCTGCGAGTTTGATCAGATTTCAAACAAGACTTTTGACAGTCTCGTAGCGTCCTTGAATGATTACTTTGATGCCGAAAACTTGTCCAGCGATGCCTTTTACGCCATTATTAATACCGCCCCTCTTGGCTTCAACGGCAAAGATTCGGAACTCAAATCAACTTGTTTCGGCTCGCGCGTTACTGTCAGTGGTGCGCTAGAGACCATTCTCCTCACACGAAAGATCCTCTATGACTTGTTAATTTTGGTTGTCTTCGTGGATGGCGAGATCGAACAAGGGAATCGTTCTCACTTCGATGCTCCTGACCTGTTCTGTACCCTGGTCGACCTTCTCCGTGAATACGAAATGATGTACTGGCTGAGCTCAAATGTCCGCAAATGTCCTGATCGGTCCGTCAGCAGCGGCACAGATTCTTCAGCAACATTCTCACTCAAGGATGATAAGTTCCAAATTCAGCACCAGAGAAGTGCGACCATCCTTGAGGATCTTTTTGTCTCAGACATCAAGCCCCGTCAAGCCATTGGCTTGCCGCAAAGCTACACATTGACCCTTGGCATCAGGGATGTCCTGGCTTGGGTCACCCGACAGGGCGAAGTCGCGTATCCCAATGCCTTGACCTACATCCAGTGTGATCTTATCGCCAAAAACAACATCGATCTCGCCTGGGATTTCCTCCGATTTCAAGCAAGCACGCCCTGGGCAACTTATGTCAAGGGTCGCCTGTACGTGGCCATGGCAGAATTTGACACTGCAGCCATCTACTTCCGAAAGGCCGCCTACCTCCTTTGTAAGTTGAAACCCGGCCCGATCATGTCGTTCAATTAGCTAATATGTCGTTATAGCCAGCGGAAAGGCCTTGGGCAACCTTCATGAGATGTCTTCAACACTTCTGGACCTTGTCTCTGTGAAGTCATTCCATGATGGAATCCCGAAGTACTACCAGCATATCCTTTCAGTGTTCGAAAAAGTGCGCTCCTTCTCGCATGTCGCGGACTTTGCCAGCCTGGCGCTGCAGGCCCTCGACTCGGAAGTGTGGGCTGAGCAAGCTGCAGAGTACACGAGCATGCGAACCGACTTGCTCTCCCGACTCTTCCATGCCTCTCTCAAGACCTGCCAATTCGATCAAGCCTACTCCGCCCTGGCCCGGTACCAGGATCTTGCGTTGCAGAGGTCCGCACTGAGCTCCCTCGTTTCCAACATCCTGATCGTCTCCGGCCCAGGACCGGCCGGTCTCAAGCAAATCCTCCGCTTCCCCACCTCGCTCGTCCCCAATATCGCCTCTCACATCGACGAAATCCTTGTCTCTCTCGCACGGAAACAGAACACCTTCTCCTCATGGCTGGACATCGACAACAACGAAGCCGACATCTCTCCAGACTACCACCGTATCCTGCAAGCATACCGCATTGCCCGCGGCGACTTCCGCGGTGCCGCCGAAATCGCCTACCGAAACGTCCAGCGACTCCGCCAAGCACGGGACGCCCCATCCACCGCTCTGACCCGCAAATCCAAGAAGGAAATCCAAGAAACCGGTGTGCCTGAAGACGACATCGAGAGCAAGGAAATCCGCCACGAGCTCCTCTCGCTCATGAATCTGCTCGCCTCTGTTGACAAGAGCGAAGCTTACATTCTTGTCGAAACCGGCCCCGTTGCCTCAACCCATTCCCAACAGTTGCGCCGCGGCTCCACAGACGACGACGGAAATGTCTTCATGGAAGACGCAGAGGGCTCCTCAAGCCCCCTTCATGGCCACCACCGGTCCCTCAGCGCTGCATCAATCGCCTCTGGCCGCCGAGGAAGCCGCTCTTCCATCAGCGGGCCCGGTGTCTCGTTCAAGACTCCCGTTGAACCGCCCCAGGAGCGCGTCATCGTTACCCTTGAACATCTGCGCCGAGAGTACCAGTCCGAACTTGACCGTGTTAGTCGCATTGAAAGGGGTGATTGGGAGTTTGGGCTTCTGGATGACGCAGATGAGGATGATAACGATGACACGATGGTTTTGTCGTAGGGACGTTGTTCGAGATTTTCTACCATTTGCCTGTGTGGCTGGAAGTTGTCATCGGAGGAGTTTCTAGCATGTTTTCATAGTGTTCTATCTGTTTTAGGTAGTAAGGTGCTGCAAAATAGGACATGAGATGTTTTCCAGTGAAGCTTTTGAGGTTGAGCTCTGTGTAGCTTTTCACATTATAGTACTATAGTAGAATACATCACGTCGTTGCTCCGACGAAATGTTTCTTTTGAATCCACCAAGGCTGAATCACTCTCAGCATATCCTTAAATAACTCCAAGCTTCGGTCCTACTGAACATCAATATACCTGGCGCCCTGCCGGAGTGGTACCCGTGGACTCGGCCCGAGGCCAGCAATCGACTGCCAGTAGCCACCCATGTACGAATTTCGAGGATCAGAGGGAGTGAATAGGACCTGATCCTTCGGGTCCTCTGTGGCCATACGAAGCCTCGAATATTGATCTGTTCACGAAGATGGTGAAAATGGTATGAGCATCGAAGAATTTGTAGTAAAAGTAAATGTATATCTCCAACTGCTTCCTAGTCTACCACCCACATATACATGCAACTATCATCATCGATACTACGGTCCGTACTCGCCGAACTTCGTGTAGAGAGGCCCCAAAAAGGCTCAAACTAGATCTAATTAATCTTTCAGTTGTTGAAAGCGGAAAAGATTTGAGGTTTGAGGTTGAAATTGACTCCTATGCTATTCAAACACTGAAGGCAGCGGGAGCCGTAGAGCGCCCCCGGGGCGTATAGATCATTACCTTTGAGAGCGGTAGGTAAAGACAATTGGACATAACAGAAGTCGAATTGGTTACTGTATGGTAAGGCCAAGATAAATATAATCAAAGTGTTGTTCAAAAGTCATTGTACCGATATTCAAGTAGTCCTGATTATCATTAAGACGGCTAAGTATCCGTCCCCCCACCATGCCCGACCAAGCCCGAGTTATAAACATACCGCTCAAAGCACAAGCTAGGAGGGTAACTAAAGGCCACAGGGACCATAAACAAATAATGAAATGAAAACAAAACGATGTGATCAACGAGAGTCGAGAAGGGGATCGGAACCAGGGCACCAAGAAAAAAAAATGACAACCAAAATTAACAAACCAACAGACAACTATTCAACTCTGTATGGTGACGACGATATGTACCAATCGCGCAAAGTCGAGCAGGTCACAAGGACACAATCTGTGCAATGCAAATATATGAAACCTCCCAAAGATAACCAAGACCAACAACATGGGCTAGTATTTACTCCTCATCATCAGCGGCCAGCGCATTCGAGTATAATTTACTGAAATGCGACTTCGGCTCGGTTAGGAGCACGTACGGCTCACCGATCTCGACGATCCGTCCGGCATCGAGCACCACTACCCGATCATAATCAAGGATTGTGTCGAGCTTGTGCGCGACCGAGATAATTGTGTGCCTGCAGAATTTCTCGCGAATGACCCGCTGCATAATTTCATCTGTTTTGGTGTCGATGCTGAAAGTCGGTTAGCTTGTGTCTCTTTCACCAGTCCCACAGGTTCCTGCAAGGGGCGGATGGGCTTATAGATCCGATGGCTGCGCTCGGATGAAATCGCATATGCAGGGGGTTGCTGACAGGCGCCAATATGTGAGGTTTGCAAAATGCGAAAAAGCAAAATCGAAATCCACCCCCCCCCAAAAAATTACAAATAATCGAAATCAAAGTGGAGCGCATAGGGGACGCGAGGGTAATGACGGAAGGGGCAGAGTCAATAGGTCGGGATGTACTCACTTGCTGGTTGCCTCATCGAGGATAAGGATGTTGCCCGGGCGAAGGAGTGCCCGAGCGAGACAGAAGAGTTGTTTCTGGCCGTGCGACAGGTGGATCTCATCGATGTCGGTCTCTAGGGACCCCTTTTCTTCGATTGCAGAGAGGAGCTGCACGGCCTTGAGTGCATTTAGAATGTCTCGGTCGGTGCTTAACCCCGTCGGGTCGGCGTTGAGGCGGACGCTGCCTTTGAACAGGAGAGAATCTTGTGAGACCCCGTTGATGCGTGAGCGAATTTTGCGTCGGGGAAGTCGAGTGATGTCAACGCCGTCCACGGTGATAGTGCCGCTCGTCATCTCGATCATGCGGAAGATGCTCATGATCATGGAGGTTTTGCCGCTGCGCGATTTTGTGAGTTGAGGTTGTAGATTTTGGGTTGGATGGTCTTACCTTCCTGTTCGTCCACAGATACCCACCTTCTCTCCCCCTTGGATGGTGAGTGAGACTTCGTTGAGGACCGGCTCCTCGGGTCTGGAGGGAGATTAGCTTTGATTCTTGAGAAAAGTAGGTGGAAAATAGTCATACCTATAGGCGGCTGAGACCGAGTGGAAGGTTACTGCGCCATTTTGAGGCCAGTCGGGAGGCACATCGCCATTCTCTCCGGGCAAGTCCTCAGACTTGACAGTGTGAGTAAAGTCCTTGATGCGTAGAATGGAACCAATGTGGGTCTCAAGGTTGGTCCAGAAAGTGATTAGAAGCTTAATGCTCTGGCTGAACTGGATGACATTGAGGAGCGCGACACCAACGGAGCCTGCACCGAGACTGGTTCCACGGAGAACGACAACAAGCACAATTAGAAGGATGGCAATACCGGCGACAAGGAGATCCAGCGAAAGAGTCAACCACCGTTGGATAGCGAACATGAAGTAGAAGGGCCTCTGAGACTGATCTAGGAGCTCAATATTCTTCTTCTCCATACCATGTTGCCATCCAAAGGCCCGTAGGGTAACAAGTCCCTGAAGACAGTCGGTAAAGTGCGAGTAGAGTGGAGCCTTGGCCTCGAGATCCAGGAACCGGAGCTGACGGGAGGTACGCAAGTAAAGCTTTTGGATCAGGAACAATATACCGAGCACGATAGGGAAAGAGATGGCTGCATATTCGGAGCCAACACCAACCAGGGCCATCTGCGCCAAGCAGAGGAAGAAAGTAGCAACGGTGTTGATGGCGGCAATGGGAAGTTCCATGTCGATAAGTTGCAAATCTTGACTGAATCGGTTGAGGATAGCACCGCTGTCGGTGGTCGAGAAGAACAGCATAGGAGCACTGAGCACGGTGATCAAAAGCTTGCGGTGGAAGCTCTCGCCTGACTTTGGAACCATGGTGATAATCATCTGCCAGCTGCCAAGAATGAGAGAGAGCATAGCCACCGCACCGAGCATCGCGTAGATGCCCATATAGTAACCGACATGTTGCTTGGGCTCCAATGTGTCGGATTGGGCCCACCACTTCAACCAGATACTAGGGAACGAGAGACAGAAAACGAAGACCGCCATGGCACCAACGAAGACCATCGCAGGAACCCAGCCGATGGCGTTGATGTAGTATGTGTAGATCGACAAATCACCGCCAGTCTCGCGGTGCTCGGGCTCAGGAGTCAAGATCTCCTTCTCCTTCTCGATTGAATCGAAGGTACTGCTGCTGGGAGACTCGGAGAATCGCTTTGTCTTGTACTCCCATTCAGGACTACCGAGGCCGAAACTAGCAACATAGCCACCCGTCTTACTGAGAGCGCTGAAGCTGCCTTGCTCAGATATGCGACCAGTAGAATCGAGAACGACAATATGATCTGTGTAGGGAAGACGCTTCACCGAAGAAGAAGCGACGATTATGGATGTTCCATTCTCGCGGAAGAGACCATAGTTACCGAAGAGATAGTGGAAGATGTGGTTCTCAGTCGTGGCATCGAGGCCACTTAGAGCGTCATCCAGTATGACCATCTTTCGGCGGGCGTAGACAGCGCGGGCCAGAGCAATTCGCTGGCTTTGACCACCGCTGAGTGCGACACCCTTGCTGCCAATCACACTGGAGTCACCACGCGGGAACTGACCAAGATCTTCTTCGAGGGCACAGGCTTGAATCACCGTTGAATACCACTTGGGATCGTACTCCGACATGGCAACGATGCTGTCCTTGATGGTGCCATTCATGTGCCACGGTGTTTGATCACAGAAGGCCACACTGGGAGAAGATAAGGAGACCTTTCCCTCGGCACAAGGGATCTCACCAAGGAGAGCTTTGAGAAAAGTCGACTTTCCACATCCAGAGGGTCCAATTAGCATGGTGAAGCTGCCGCGAGGAATAGTGACAGTTATATCTTTAAGAACAGGCCCTTTAGAAGCATCCCACGAGAAGCTTCCATTCTGGATAACCGCAATATTGGGGGAAGTCGAAACAATAGGGCTGCGCTTGAATGATTCCACGGATTCCGAGTGGCTCGAAGAAATATCAAGATCGCCAGACTTCGAGAGAAGCTTAGCCTCACCCACGTCCTCGAGAGAGGGAATACGAGGTACATCACGTCTGTGATCAGAGTGGTCCTCCTTGTCCAAGAATTCCTGAATTCGCACAAACGACCCAACAGAGCCCAAGAATGACATGAGAGCCATCACCAAGGTCATAAGAGGGTCGGAGAGAAGAGAGAATAGCGACAGTGAAGTGAAGACTCTCGAAACGGTCAGTGCGTGTGGGGAAATAGCGGCGTAGACACCGAAAGTGACAATCGGAGCGAAAATACGAGTCGACCAGGCGAATCCCATGTTCCAGACAAGAAGGGTACGGAATTTCTTGGAGATGTTGAGTTCGTCAATACGCAAACCATGCACAAATTTCATGAATGAGTCCTGCAGGCCCAGCATCTTGACACCTTTCATGGATCCCAACATGCCTGAAGTAGACAAGATGCGGCGCTCGATTGCCTCTAGCCACTTGGCTTGCCGGGACACAACAAAGGACATTGCGACCAGAGATCCAAGTAAGGCCACTATCGCCACACAAACGGGAACGACACAGGAGATACCGAGCTGGCGCTCAAGTAGGAAGATTGCCAACCCAATCTCACAGGTGTTGCCCCAGATCTCATGCATGGTCTGCCAACCATTGGTTATTCTCTCGACATCGGCACTCATCAATGTAAGCGAATTGGCGGGGTCAGCTTCGTTGAGGCTGAGGCTGCTAGCTTTCTTGTAGAGCATAGTGACCAAGATACCGCGCACCATAGTAATTCCGCGGTAAGTGTTATGTTGGTACTGGCCCATTGCAACCTGATAAATTGTCAATGGAAGTAAAATTCAAGCATGAGATCAACAACTTACTGCAAGACCTGTGTAGACCAGGACATAAGCACCGATCAAACCATAGCCAACGTTGTTGGTAGCAGCGTTGACTGGTTCATCAAAGAAATTGAGTGACCGCGTCAAAAGAACAGGCTGACAGAAGTTGAATGCTACAACACAGGCTCGAGCAGGAATAGCAGCCAAAATGGGTCCTTTGGTAGCTTTGAAGCACTCGAATTGCAAACTATTCGGAGATTTTTTTTGTACTGGGAAGAGTTAGATGAGCTCAATTGCAAAGGAGCAGGGAAGGTACCTTTGCTCCATCTTTCTTCAAAAAGGGCAAGTAGCCTCTCAGAACTTAGCTCTTTGTCCAAGACGAAGAGGTCCCTAACGGATAGGACATTGCTGTAGCCCACGCGGAAGAGAGGGTTCAACCACCAGAATAAGGATCGGTTGTAGAATCCAGCGGTTGCCTCAGGAGGGTAACCGGCAAACTCGGTCTTTAAGATACTTCGCTTTTCCACCGCTTCCAAAAGGACAAGAAGACATTTGGCCCCAACGGCAACGCTGGTGATGAGTGCAATGATCTCATTGAATGAGTCGGCAGACCGCAGCCACAACGTTCTGGCATGCGCGGCATCGAAAAGCAGGCTGCAGAGAAGGTAGGTATTTAAAATGAATGAAGGTCGGACAGATCGCGTGTGCTCCGCATAAGAGAGCACGGCAAGCAGCAGTGCACCAGCGCTCAGAACTGCACTGGATGCAATGGAGGCCGAAGTTCTATCAGCGCCTGGGAGAGCCCAGAGGACCGTTTGAGCGATTTGAATACCGAAGAAGAACAACCAAGCAGCCTGGCAATTGTCAAGAAATGAGTGTTAGCTCCGCAGAGGAAAGTCACACAACTTCCAACATTATGCATGGTCTGGAAGGGAATTACTCACGACTTTGACAGGAAGCCATAATGAGCCGGTGACCTTTCGTCGTTTTTGTGAAATTTGCCAGACGCGGAAAGGAGTAATGATCAAAATTAAGGCGATCGGTAAGATTTGCAGGATAGTCTCTTCAAACAGAAGAGAAAAGTCGAATCCTCCGCGGCATTTACCCATACCAACGCGGATGGTATTATCTAAATCGTGGCACGAAGGCCCATTGCTCGAGATAGCCATGACTTGCTCTCCAGTAACCATTCGAGTTGCAGAATGGCGAGAGAGTCGTCAGAGTTAGGCACCACGAGTGTCGAGTTTGTTGAATTAGAAATTGTCAGAGGAGATCATATCCTTGGACGGGTGGGGGGGGGGGGGAAATGGGTAGTCTATGGTCTGGATCAGATCGATCCAAAAAGGCTCCAGACTCAGGGAAAGTTCCTTTCCGCTATCCCTCGGTGCAGGAGCTTACTTTTGATGCAGGAGAGGTACACTCCTGAGCTCCTATGGGACCGTCCACGGGGCCCCTGCAACAGAGTGGGCTTTGCCAATGCAACCCTCTTACAATCTCATTACTGACAATGTACTTTGAATATATCAGAACCCGGTCATTTTAGGCGTTCATCGGTACTGCTGCATGGTACTACTGTAAGGTTTTTTTTTTCCTGACCAGATTTTTGCCTGCATGCAACGGGAGGTTTTGACCTAGTCATTTATGTTTCTTCAATTTGTTTTTCGTTCTTTTGCGTATGTCGACCTGATTGATCTGAGCTAGAATTTTGACCATGTTGCCTCGCCAAAGCCGAATTGTTTGCTCTCTATCTTTGACTTTCCCCCTTGGGGATGTTGGGGGAATAGACAGGTGTCAATAGACCGCGTACCCCTGGAGGGACAAAAGCCTGGTGAGGTTCAAAGTGGGAAGATCGCCGAACCAACACGAGGGAGACGCGGTGAAACCTTGCAGGACCAACTGTTCGGGGCGGATGTGGAGACCAAACTGTGCAGGTTCAGACTTGATCTGGTCCACTTAAGCCGACACATACAGTCCCCGAAGCGAAATAACAATGAGTTTCATGCGAGGGCGTCTCGCGTATGATGTCGGAGCCCTAGGATCTTCCTGATGATTACCGCTGACGCAATTTGAGACAAGTAGACTTGCAACAAGAACCTTCCCTGACCGCAGCTTGAAGCTTAGAAAGAGTCCACAGGTCAGACACCGATGCCCAAACTCAAGGGACTTTTGTACAACAAGACGTCGGTGAGGATGGCAATGCGTGTCAGGTGTCCGGGAACGACAGCCTCAGCCGCCACGAAATGTCCGCCATTGGGCGGGTAGTCCAGTCGCAGCATAAACAAGTCGTCATTGCACGATACTTTAGCGTTGGGGCAAAAGTGATATGCTGCTCGGAAAGCCTCCGGGCTAGCTCTTCTTACCTCCAGTTCTCCACCTATCAAGACCAGGATTTGCTATTCTATCACTACTAGCGAAGAGAACCGAAGAAATCTCTGATTTCTTGGAAAATATCACGTCCAATCGTTTTGACTCGCTCATGATCAGCTCCAGAGCTTGTGCCTTGGGTTATTCGGCTAGACTGGGCAAAATTCGGGGTAAAGCCCAATCTGTAGTATTTGACTTCGAATATTGACTGGCATGGAGGCCAAGGCGCCCACGACATGGGACTGGCTGTGGCTTTGAGCTGCATGCTCTGGGCCTGTACCTACAGCTAGAGCATGCCGAGAACCCTGGAATGCGAGGTGCATGCAAAGTGACCAGGATAAGCCGGTTTGTGGCAGCGTAAAGCGTGGAGCGTGTTTGATAGGTGGCGAATGTGGGCTGCATGTACTTGTCCCGCGATTCCACTTTTTCCCGTAAATTTCAAATTTTCCATGGTAGATCCATCGGCTAATGAATTACGGATCAACCAATAAAGTAGGAATATATCAGAGAAAGATGTCAGGGGCCAATTGAGGATCCCAGGACTATAGTATGGAAGTTCCGAAATCGAGATCGGGGATCGGAGGTAATATGTCAGGTCTAGAGCTAGTGGATGATCAAAAATATATTTAATGGACCCCATCAAGGTTTAATAGCCGACGATGGCTTGCTTATTGTCTGAGCATCCTGAGGACTAGCATCGAGTGGCTCCCGTCGCGGGAGCTACCTTCTAGCTCGCCATCGTCGCCATTTTGGGCCTCATCTAGCTTAGTGGTTTGTCATGGCGCTAGCCGAGTAGTTCCAAGGTTCGCACTACTCCACTTTACGATTTACCACTGATCGATTCTCCCGGCGGCTTTGCGGCCCCTCCTCCCTTTTTAGTTTTGGTGGACATACTGACAAGACGCCCAGGCGTTGCCAAAAAAACTTGGAAACTTACTGCACGGACACCATAACAGGAATCTGATGCTAGTCTGACGAGCTCCATCGGGAGCCAAATGAGGTTAAACCCTCGTCCGCTTTTCCATTATCCGTTCCGCGATCAGCATTCCAGAATGCGTGTTTGCCCCGGTTGAGGAATACGATGAATTAAAAAAGAAGCCTTGAAACCTCGGAACGACCGAAAAGTCTCGCCACATGGACGGAGAATATCGAGGAACTCGGCCACGCCCCAACCATGCTTCACCTTCGCCCGCGTTCTAGGAATGCGACGCGAATCGCATCTTGCGATCCGCGCCCAACGATCGCAATTCGTATTTCGCATGTAGTAATTCAAATCGCAGCTCCCAGGATTCGATATCAGATGAGCCAATATGATTAGAAAGTTTCCCCTTTATCCGCTGTGGCTGAGTGGCGTAGAAGTCAATTGTCCTTTTCTGATACGTGTTCTTCCTATATCAGGAAAATGACAGTGTAGTGTCATCCAGCTAACAGGTACGGACAAAAATAAAGCGGCCCAAGCAGAAGAGTCGATAGGTCCGTCATCGGATCCGCCCGCAAACATCCCTTGAAGCCCTTGCAGAGCACGAAGTGGGCACGCCCTACGCGAGGGAACGGGGCTAGGAGCGTATCCCCGGGTTAGCCGGCTCTTGTCTCCAAGCCATGACCTACACACAACCCATGTATTCGGCAAAGTACGTGCTACCTGCCATGGTCTCGTAGTGCCTTTTTATGCCATAACATTTCACCAATCGCATCTAACTATCACTATTCGGTCTGTCTGTCTCATAACTGGTTGCCCTTTCCGTGCTTTCCACTCGCTCCGCTCCTTAGTCATGGGATATTTTGGGCTCATTCACCCGTAACAACACCTAAGGGATGCAACGATCTTCTGGGTCCAGAAAAAATCTCAGCTAAGCAAATACAATAACCCCAACTGATGACTTTGCAGACTGCAGTAAAATTACTCGGACACCAAGGGCATGCAAGACAGACTGGAGTCATTGTATGAAGCCCAGCCGTGCTCCACTGATCTCAGTGACCCTCGCGGTGAAGAGATGCGCGGTAAATCGTCTGATCATCCAGTTCCGACTTCAACCTTGCTGGTATGGAACCCTCAAGCTTCATGTGCACAGACTCTCGCAAGAGACCCGAGCCATTGGGGGTGGACCTCGCCATGTGTTCATCTTGCTCTCCGTCGGTGTAACTCAACGGACTCGCTTCATGAACTCGTGAGGTGCCCGGTGGGCCAATTGATGCATTGCCGGTGGGAACCCTACATGAATGGAACGGGGATGGCCCCGATGTGATCATTCTCTAGGAACTACCCTATGCACCACCTGAACCATCGGCATCAGCAGGCCTAACTTGAGCGCTTAGAAGAAGTGGTTGAGCACTTGCCAGAAAATCCCGCGCCCATTGGTGACTACTGTGGCGAATACCTAAATCGAAGATCTTCATTCTTTTGACAGCCTGGCGTCCGCCTTACTGAACCACGTTCGAGACCGCATATTCCAGGGGTCTGACCGGGACACGGGAAATTGCAGCGGAAATATGGTAGAGAAGAAATGAGACTTATCAAAAGGAAGAGATTGCAAGATTACTAAGGCGAAGGCGCTGGAAATGGAACTAATGGAAAATGAAAATTAGAAAAATAAAAACAAGTTGGGGCAAGCTCAAAGCGGAGCAGAACTACATACCCCAGCATAATTTTGATTTGATTCGAATTTGTTTTCCATGTTTTATTTTCATGTTTTTTTTGTTACTTAATTTTGATTTTCCATTCATTTATTTTTATCTTAGCAAAACATAGACAAAAGCCAAAGTACCGGATACGACACCTCCCCCCTTCCTAAGTCTAGAAAGTGGGCACCACAGAGCCCACCCGAATCTGGGCTGTTTCTGAGCCTGACTCGGTCCCACCGAGGCCAAGCTGATCCACTCAGGGCCGATGCGGCGTGGCGTCTCCAACCCTTCATCATCTAGATCCGAGCCTATGCAAGGAAGTTACTTGGGGCATCCTGAAATTGCCAGTGCTCCAGTCGATGTCATTGGCTGATTGGGTTGTATCACGGTAATCCCGTACTTAGATGTTCGTAAACGCGCTGGAGCATGGCCATGCAGCGTTCAGTCCCAATGACGGCGTAACCGATCTTGACCGGGTAAAATAAAACCTCTTTAAAATAACTAAGATCATCCATCTACGCGAACTCGGTGTGCGTGGCCTTCCCTCGGATTTCTCTTCTAAATTTTATACATCCCTAATACGAAGGCTCGCTCAACACATAGCATACCCCATTCAGCGAATTTCTGGCAGCGTACCAAATACCCACAAACAAAAGAGTCCCGCGTCATGGCTCAATCCTCTCACTGCTATCTTCCTCGCTTTGCTGCGGCGGCCGATGGGCCGAAACGGCCGGTTTCGATGAAGACGAGACCGACTCCTTCTCAACATGCGCAGTTATTAACCGCATGGCACGAAGGGAGACTTGAAACCGTCCTGCGGGCCACTTGGGCATTAGTTCTACACTATTATATTCGCTCCGAGGACATCTGCTTCGGCTACCAACACATCGATAGCGACTCCATCTCGACTCGAAACCCTGTACAGCGCTCGACGAACCTGTCCACCGTGCGACTAGCGGTCAGCGAAAACGACTCCGTCAAGACAATTGTAGATAAACTGCACGAAAATGGAGACTCAAAGCAAGCCGAGGGCCACTGGCCCTTTAATACCATCTTGATGCTTCGCACATATCGCAAGGCGAACGACCCGCCTTCCTCAACATCTCAACCCATTCTTGCCTCCGCACTCCCAGACCAGGTATGCGATTGCAACACCAGCCGTCGGAATATTACAAAGCTAATATCATTGCAGTGCCAAGTTCGTCTTCATGTCAAGGTTTTGCGCCGGGATATCAATATCTTCCTTGAATGGCGCAATGGAGAGATGTCCGGTGAGCAGATTAAGAGCGTTGCCCACATCTTTGAGCAGATACTTGCCAAAGTGCTTGCGCCTTCCGAAAACACCGCTATTAGCCAGCTTAATTCGTTTTCGGAGCATGATTGGCAGCGAGTCTGCAAGTGGAATGCCCACACCCCGCAACTTCATGATCGGTGCATCCACGACGCTATCCGAGACAACGCGCTCAATGGGCCAGACCGGGAGGCCGTATGCGCGTGGGATGGTAGCTTGACGTATCGCGAGCTCGACGAGGCGGCTGCCAAGCTTGCGTGCCACTTGCGTATGCAGGGCGTTGGCCCAGAAGTACGGGTCGGATTGTGCTTCGATAAATCGGTAAGTGGCCGCCTGACTTTGTTGGTGCGGCGGAACTAACGAGCGCAGAAATGGAACATTGTCGCAATGCTTGGTGTCATGAAAGCGGGAGGAGCTTTCGTCCCATTGAGACCCAACACATCCGACTTCGCGATTGCAGCGTTTGATCGAGTCGGTCAAGGCGCAGGTTGTGCTGTGCTCACAGACACGCGCAGAAGCCCTGCAGCCTGTTGTAAAGACTTTAATCCCTCTCTGCGCCGACACTTTGGAACGTCTGTCAGACCCTGCAGTCGACCTTGCATCGGGTGTGACGAGCCAGAATGCGGCCTATGTTCTGTTCACCTCTGGCTCCACGGGAGAGCCCAAGGTATGTATTCGCGCGACCCGACTCGATCTGCGGGGGTTAGGGCTAACATTCGTCCTTTTCAGGGCACTCTTCTTGAGCACCGTGCTTTCCTGTCCAGTGCCAAAGCCCATGGGCCTGGGCTGGCTATTTCCAGAGACTCGCGGTGTCTGCAATTTGCAGCTCACACCTTTGACGCAAGTTTGTCAGAGTCACTGACGCCGTTGATCGCTGGTGCCTGTGTCTGCATTCCAAGCGAGGAAGCTCGCTTAAATGATATTGTAGGCGCCATCAATGAGATGCGGGTAACCCAAGCATGCTTCACCCCGTCTTTCATCGGCTTCATTGAAATTGGAAGCGTGCCTGGTCTGAAAAGTCTGGTTCTGGCCGGAGAGGCAATGTCCCAGTCACAACTGGAGACCTGGTCCAGCATTCAATTGATCAATGGGTATGGGCCTACCGAGGCCAGTGTCGCATCCGTTCTTAACTCCCATGTCACGCCTGACACGGACTGCAAGAACATCGGCCTTCCAATCGGTGTTCGGGCGTGGCTAGTGGATCCTGAGAACCACGATGATCTCGTACCTGTCGGCTGCCCTGGAGAACTTTTGCTTGAAGGCCCGACGCTCGCTCGATGCTACGTCAACAATCCGCAGAAGACGAACGAATCCTTCATTTACGATCCGGCTTGGACCAAGCGTGATCCGACACGAGGCACGAATCGCCGATTCTACAAGACTGGCGACTTGGTGAGATATAACTCCGAGAAGGGATCACTGAATTATCTCGGTCGCAAAGATACCCAGGTGAAGGTACACGGCCAGCGTGTTGAGTTGGGAGAAATTGAGAAGCAACTGAGTACTGATTTGAATGTCACTCACTGCGCCGTCTTGTTTCCCAAGACTGGCTACTCCAAGGGTCGTCTGGCTGCTGTCATCTCTTCCACCGGTCTTCTGGCTGAACAGTCCGAATCGGAATTGGAGTCTCTCCGATTGATTTCCGCCTCAGACAAAGCAAGGATCGTGCCTGGGATTAGAGAGCGTTTGTCGGCCCGCTTGCCGACATACATGGTCCCAGCTGTTTGGCTTTGTGTCGAAGCTCTCCCTCTTCTTCCGTCTGGGAAACTCGATCGAAAAGGTATTGCCGGCTGGGTTGGTGGTATGGAACAAGACCCCGACATCACAACCGCCAAAACCGTATCTGTGTCGGAAGAACAGATGTCTCAGCCGGCAAACGAAAAGGAGGAAGCTCTTGCCGCTGTTTACAGTCGCGTTTTGAACATTCCTCAGAATCTAGTCAGCTACAATGAGGGTTTCCTGGCAATGGGCGGTGATTCCATCGCTGCAATGACTTGCGTTGGACTGTGCAAGAAGCGTGGTCTTGGTCTTTCTGTACAGGAAGTCTTGCGAAGCAAGTCAATTCGGGAACTTGCTACCCGCGCGAAAGCAATTGATCACGGCACGACTTACCAGGAAGCCGTAGACCAGCCGTTCGACCTTTCGCCTATCCAAGTTCTTCACTTTGGTGTGCGCAAGGAGGGTCAGGGCCACTTTAACCAGGGTATTCTCACCAAATTAAACAAGCCTATTGATGAAGGGACACTTCGCAAGGCAATTGAAACCCTTGTTTCGCGGCACTCAATGCTCCGTGCTCGATTTGATCACGCCGGTGACGCGATAGCATCTGCTCAGCGCATTACGCAGGATGTGAAGGCATCGTATCGTTGGAAGACTCATAGCGTTTCGAATATGGACAACATAAAGCCATACATAGCTGACAGTCAGTCTTCTATCAACTGCTTCACCGGGCCTCTTTTGGCTGTCGATTACTTCCGTGTGAAGGGCAAAGAGCAGGCTCATGTCTTGTCTATGACGGCACACCATCTGGTCGTTGATATTGTCTCCTGGAGAATCATTCTCGAGGATTTGGAGGATGTGCTTCTGAATCCCCAGAAATCTGTCAGCGAGGACAGCTCCCTTCCTTTCCAAACCTGGTGCCGTCTACAGGCCGACCATAGCAAGTCTTTGATTGAAGAGGGCAAGGCTTCGACCGAAAATTTGCCTGTCACTGACTATAGCTACTGGGGCCTGAAAAGTACTTCGACGACTTATGGCGATGTCGACTGTGCTTCCTTCGAGATCGACGCTTCTCACAGTAACGCCATTCTGCTTGAGTGCCACAAGGCTTTGAACACTGAGCCAATCGATTTATTCCTCGCAGCCATGCTTCACGCATTCGGTCGCTCCTTCAATGACCGATCTATGCCTGTGATCTATAATGAAGGCCATGGCCGTGAAGTCTGGGACCCGTCGATCGATATTTCACATACCGTAGGTTGGTTCACCATTCTGCACCCCATCTTCGTCTCTGCCTTCAAGGCCGAGAGTCCAATTGCCACCCTTGTGCAAGTCAAGGATCTACGCCGTCGGGTGTCGGACAACGGTCGGGCAGACTTCGCCAGTCGAGTTCTTCCTGGCCACGGTAAGCAGAGCGGAACTCACCCTCGTCCCTTCGAGATCTCCTTCAACTATGTCGGCCAGCATCGTGACCTGCAGAGACAAGATGGCCTTTTTCAACTTGTTGACCAAATGGCCGGAGAGGCTGGCCAGGGTGGTGGTGCCGCGGACTTTGGCAAAGATACTCCTCGATTCGGTTTGTTTGAGATTTCTGCAATGGTCGTGCATGGAAAGATTCGGTTCACGTTCTCTTTCAACAAGTTTATGCAGCACCAAGATCGCATTCATACCTGGGTGTCCAACTGTCAGCAGCAGCTCATTTCAATGTCTGATCAACTGATGCATATGTCGCCTCGGTTGACCCTGAGCTCCTTCCCCATGCTGTCATTGTCATACGATAACCTGGAAAATTTGCTCACGCAGAAGCTACCTGCCATCGGTGTGAAGTCACCAGAGCTTGTTGAGGATATTTATCCTTGCTCTCGTATGCAGCAGGGTATTCTGCTTGGTCGTTCTCGCGATAGCTCTTACTATGCCGTTCATGATACATTTGAGGTTCGCGCGACTGGATCGACAGAGCCGAATTTGGACCGCCTGGTGGAGGCTTGGAAGCAGGTTGTTTCACACCACCCAATGTTCCGAACTATTTTCGCAGAGAACCTCACCCCTCGCGATCCGTTCTGCCAAGTCGTTCTGAAGGAGTATGATCAACCTCCAGTGCTTCTTCACTCGGTTGGGGACGACGATGTGTTGACTACATTTGATGCTCAGGAGCCGAAGGATTACAGCGAGATGCGACCGGCTTACCGCTTCAGCATCTGTCAGACGTCGACTAACAGGCTCTTTTGTCGAATCGAGCTGAGCCACGCCGCGATGGATGGTAACTCGATCTCGATCATTTTGAGGGATCTGCAACTCGCCTATGCCGGAAGACTGGAAGAGAGCCCACGGCCCTTGTTCAAAGACTACATTCGGTATCTGAAAGATGCCCCACAAGAAGCTAGTATCAAGTACTGGCGCTCTTACCTGGGGATGCTAAGCCGTGCATCTTCCCAACTCTCCTCGACGGAGAGAATGTTCATCAAAAGACTCTCCGATCTATTCCAGTCAAATTCGGATCTCTAGCCCAGCTACAGAGTGTAGTAGAGAAGAAAGGCATCACCCTGTCTAACGTCTTTAATGCTGCCTGGGGTCTCACATTGCGTCTTTACTGTGGCTCGGATGATGTGAGCTTCAGTTACATGGCCTCTCTTCGGGATGTTGCCGCGGATGGGGTACAGTGGGTGGTTGGTCCTGTGATCAATTTGATGGTCTGCCGCATGAGAATTTCGGGTAATTCTCAACTGAGCGATGTTCTGAACCAGGTTCAGAACGACTACATGGAGAGCCTTCCCTACCGCCACACTTCGCTCATTGACATCCAACATGCTCTGAAGCTGTCTGACGCCAATCTGTTTAATTCAGGTGTGTCCTACCGTCGTCTACCTAGCGCCAAAGACACGGTGAGCAGTGACATTGAATGTGTGGAGGTGGGGTCCATTCATGATCCGGCTGAGTTCCCGGTTTACATCAATATTGAGGCTCAAGACACGAAAGCCAGCATTGACCTCAACTACTGGACCAGCAACTTGTCCGATGCTCAGGCTACCAACGTTGCCAACACTTATGTTAAATGCCTCGAGAGCATTATGACCCACGCTGACAGTGAGATACGCCAGATTGACAGCCTCAGTGAACAGAACAAAACCGATATTCTGAACTGGAACGATAATATTCCTCAAGGCATTGAAAAATGTGTCTACCAAGTTGTCCAAGAGATGGCTGAGAAGTCTCCAAATGCCATGGCCATCACTGCTTGGGATGGAAACCTAACCTACTCTAAGCTGAATCAGTACTCCACCCGCCTCGCAAGCTACCTCGTTACTTTCGGCGTGGGTCCTGGTTCCTTGATACCGACTTGCTTCGACAAATCTGTCTGGAACACTGTCTCCGTGTTGGCAGTAATGAAGGCAGGTGGAGGCTGCATTCCCGTCGACAGTAGCCATACCATGGGTATGATCGAGCATTGGGTTGCCGACAACGCCGTTCAGGTTGCCCTTGCATCACCTGAAAAGGCTCATGTACTTGAAGAGACTATTCCCTATGTTATCCCGGTGGGCGAGTCTCTTCTGGAGTATCTGGATGATGAGCATCTGGAGATTGCCTCCTCCCCATCTGACCCAGCCTATGTCGCCTTCACTGCAGGAAGCTCCGGATCCGCCCGCGGTGTGGTTTTAGATCACACTGCGGTCATGACTCGTGCCGAGGCTTTTGCGATTTCCCTGAAGCTCTCAGAAAGTTCTCGAACGCTTCAAACCTCGCCTCATACTTCTGACTTGCTCCTGTTGGAAACCTTCGGCACCTTCATGTATGGTGGTTGTGTTTGCATCCCCGCCGATGTTGAGCCTGGCAACTTGGCAGCGTCTATCAGCGTTCTACACGCCAATGTCGCTTGCATCACCCCTACTCTGGCTAGTTTCTTATCTCCGCAGCAGGTTCCTAGCTTGCAAACTGTTGCGTTCCATGGAGAGCCTACCATGGACAGCGACCTGGAGAACTGGCATTGTGATGCTCTCAAGCTTCACGTCATTTACGGTACCGCGGAATGTTCTTCTGCTTCCTTGCACACGATCATTGATCAAGGCACTCGAGAAGCTATTGTTGGATTCGCTTCTTCTTCTGTCTCGTGGCTGGTTGATCCCACCAACACCAACTCTCTCGTTCCCGTTGGTGCTGTTGGTGAGCTTGTACTCGAAGGTCCTGTTCTCGGTCGTGGCTATCTCGATGACGAGGAAGTCCCGAGCCAGAACTTCCTGAAGGACCTTACTTGGGCATCTCAATTGACCGAGAGAAATGAGCCCCGTCGTTTCTTCAAAACAGGGGATCTCGCTCGCTACAATTCTGACGGAGCCTTGGTCTACCTTGGAAAGAAGGGTGGCTCCATCGGATGCGCCGATCGCTCACTGGTGCAGCATGCCATTGACGCTCACTTTGGTTCGAAGCGCAAGGCTACTGTGGATGTGGTGTGTCTTGAAGGCTCGACATCCACTGTCGCTTTCATCGTTACTGCGGATCGAGTATCAACCACCTTCGTCGATCGCGTCATCCAAACTTCCGCAAAGGAGATGACCTCGACAATTTCCTCGCTGCACACTAATCTCAGCACAAGACTCCCCGCTAGCAAGGTTCCGAGTACATATATCCCCATTTCAGCACTCCCTCTAACCCCTCTTGGAAAAATTAATTACCAGGCTCTCAGCTCGGAAATTGCCAGCCTGTCTAGCAGTGTCATCAGGTCCTTTGACATCAAACACTGGACTGGAGTCAAGCCCGGAACCCGTACCTCTCGCGGATCTTCTTTGACAGGTGCCAACCTTGGGTTCTGGAAGGAATATCTCGCCGACATTGAGCCTTGCGGTTTCCCCTCTATCTCCCTTCACTCCAGTGGGGAAGCTCGCTCCACTCGGACCCTTAACAAGCAGACTGACAAGCTTCATGCATTCAGCAAATTGTCTGGCGTCTCTGTCGAGACCCTTTTCCAAATTGCTTGGGGCCTTGTTTTGCGATGCTACACTGGCAATGACGATATCTGCTTCGGGTGCTCCACCGGCGAGCCTGATATCCGCTCGACTGTTTCTATCTTCCGCACCATTCTGAACAATGACCGTCCGCTCGAGGAGGCTCTACAGAAATCAAAAGCCCAATTTGACAAAAGTCGTGAAAACTTCGCTGAGCTCACTGCTGTCAAGACGCATCTCGGAATCCAGGATGCCGAGGTGTTCAACACCCTCCTGACCTACCGTACTGCTTCCCGTCTTCCCCAGGGCGAAGTTCGAGACGTCACCTATGCGAACACGTACAAGGTTGCCGTCGAGGCTGCAGTTTCTTCCTCCGTTGCCGAAATACATTTCAGCTATTCCTCGGACACTCTCTCCTCCGCCCAGATTACTCATGTCATTGACACATTCGATCATATCCTGAATGATATCATGTCTTCCAGCCCTCTACACCGCACAATTGGTGATCTGGATCTATTCCCCCAGCGGTCCTGCCGTCAGATCCGTGACTGGAATGCTGTTCTTCCTCCTAGGGTTGAGAAATGTGCCGATGAGCTTATCCAGCAGCAAGCCCTTTCACATCCTCGCGCTGAGGCCATTTGCTCTTGGGACAAGAACTTTACGTACGGTCAGCTTGAGATCGTGTCCACTCGTCTTGCTAGGTACCTTACCAGTGTGGGCGTAAAGCCGGAAGTTTTTGTGGTTCTTTCTTTCGAAAAGTCTGCTTGGGCCGTTGTCTCTCAACTGGCAATTCTCAAGGCGGGAGGCGCATTCGTCTCTGTTGATCCTTCTCACCCTGAATCACGCCTTCAAATGCTCATCGAAGAAATCGGTGCTGATCTGGTGTTGTGTTCTTCTTCCCTTCAAGCGAAGATGGCCAATCTGTGCAAGAAAGCTTTCGCTGTTTGCCAGAGCTCCATCTCCCAGCTTCCTGACTCCCCTCTGGCCATGTCTGGTACACGCCCCAACGCTGGAAACGCAGCATATGCCATTTTTACATCCGGTACGACCGGAAAGCCTAAGGCCACCGTTGTTGAGCATACGGCTCTCAGCACGACCGCTATGGCAATGGCTGATGCTCTGCACATGAACTCGGGTACCCGTGCCCTGCAGTTCTCGAATTACACTTTCGATGTTAGTGTCCTAGAGATCATGATGACACTCATGACTGGCGGCTGTGTTTGTGTGCCTAGCGAGGAGGAGCGCATGAACAATTTGGGCGGTGCAATTCGTCGACTGGAGGCCAATTACATGGCTTGCCCTCCCGCTATTGTCAACACTCTGGAGCCCAAGGCTGTGCCGACACTGAAGACTATCATTACCGGTGGTGAGAAGATGCCTGCCAACCATATCGATCGTTGGCACGATCGATTCGTCATCAACGCCTACGGCCCCTCCGAAGCTACCGTGGTGGCCACCGTCGGCGTGAAGGTCGACTGGGAAGGCAACCGTGTGAACAACGACCCAACCTGCATTGGAACCGCACCAAACTGCAGGGTGTGGGTCGTGGATCCCAATAACTACAACCGACTTCTCCCAGTCGGGGCCATTGGAGAGATGCTTCTAGAGGGTAGCAACATTGCCCGTGGATACCTCGCAAACCCCGAGAAGACAAAAGCTGCTTTTGTCGATGATCCTGTTTGGAGTCACCACACAGGTCTTCAGGGACTCTTCAAACGAAAAGATCGCATGTACCTTACTGGTGATCTGGTCAGGCATAACAGTGATGGCACTCTTGCTTTCATCTCCCGCAAAGACACCCAGATCAAGTTCAATGGTCAGCGTATCGAGCTTGAGGAGATTGAACACCAGTGTGCACGTGCCCTTCCTGAGGGATCTCAGGTTGCTGTGGATGTTGTTGTTCCTCAGGAGAGAACGGTCGCCAAGGGTCTCGCGGCCTTCTTCACCATTCACGACGAGGATTCATTCCAAGGTGGCAGCACTGATGACTTCGTTGCCAGCGTTCCAGGTGCAGACCCGCTGCTTCTCCCAATTTCAGTGTCAAACATGGATGCGATCCAGAATTTGAAGAGTTCGCTCCCTGATCTTCTTCCTCAGAGCATGATGCCGCGCCTGTTTTTCCCGCTACGCAACCTGCCGTTCACTTCTTCAGGCAAGATCGACCGCCGCCGTCTTCGCGCGATGGTCCAGACTCTGTCTAAAGAGACTCTCAAATCGTTCATAACCTTCAATGGTCCCAGCAAGAAGGAAGAAGCTTCTACGAATGGTGTCGACGCCAAGCTTCGCACCCTGTGGGAGAAGACCCTTGATTTGGAAGAGGGGTCGGTCACCAATGATGACAGCTTCTTTGCGCTTGGTGGAGACTCTTTTTCTGCTATGAACTTGGTCGGCGCCGCTCAGGCCCAGGGCATCGCACTCAACGTTGCTACTATTTTCAAATCCCCCGTCTTGGCCGACATGGCTAAGACTTGCTCGGAGATTACAGAGTCCCCGATCCCAAAGCAGACCTCTCTCAAGCCATTTTCGCTGCTACCTAAGGGTGTGGATATCGAGAGTCTTATGGATGAGGTGACTGATAATTGTGCTGTTGCCAACGACTTGATCTCCGATGTGTATCCATGCAGTGCCGTGCAAGAGGGCCTTCTGACCATGTCCGTCAAGCATCATGGTGCTTATGTCGCTCAGCCTGTCTTCCGTCTTGCGGATGGTACTGATGTTGACCAATTTAAGACCGCTTGGCAGCGAACTGTGGCTGACCTCGACATTCTGCGCACTCGCATTGTGCACACTGAGGCCATGAACTTTGCTCAGGTCGTGCTCAAGGAATCTCCTATTCACTGGGTTCATGCCGAGTCCTTTGAGAAGTTACCCGGTAACTCGATCGAATTGCCCAAACACAATGGTGCCCCTCTGACAGGTTATGCAATTGTCCAACCCCACGGATCTCGTACTGCCTACTTTGTATGGTCTGTCCACCACGCACTCTACGATGGCTGGAGTATTCCCTCGTCTACCGCAAGTTGGAAGAGAATTACAGCAATGCCAGAAACAAACAGGCAGCCACTTCTTATGGCCTCTTCATCGAATACCTCAATAAAACGAACATGGAAGAGTCGGATGCTTTCTGGAAGAACTACTTAGCTGAGTTCTCTAGCCCGCCATTCCCCCAAAACAAGAATGCCGTTGCGGACGCTGTGCGCGCTGGAAACACTCAATACCATAGCATTGGTATTTCGCGACCAGCTGACTGCGTTGATTTCACTCTGCCTGTTCTTTTGCGAGCTGCATGGGCTATCGTCGTGGCAACTCACACTGGCTCTGGTGATGTATGCTTCGGAGAGACTTTGTCAGGTCGTAATATCGATTTGCCTGGCGTTGGCGACATCGCTGGCCCCGTGCTATCGACTGTCCCGACTCGCATCGTTGTCAACCATGACACTTCTATCATTCAGTATCTCAACAAGATTCACCAATCTACTACCGACATGATCCCTCACCTTCATACCGGTCTTCAGCGCATCCGCCAGCTGAATGCGGACACCGCTGCTGGCTGCAACTTCCAGAACCTATTAGTGATCCAGCCCGGAGAGGGCGAGCTTAACAACGAAATATGGTTCGACGAGAAGCAAGCCACCAGCGAAGACTTCTTTACTCACCCCCTTGTCCTTGAGTGCGGCATTTCCAAGACCCACATTCACTTCACCGTGCACCACGATGAGCTTGTCATCAATGGATGGCAGTCAAAGCATCTTGCTGAGCAACTTAGCCATGTTCTTAAACAGCTGATGTCTGTTCCCAAGACTAGCACCGGCAGAGTTGTCGACTTGGAAGTTGTCAGCCCCGAGGACAAGATGGAGATTGCCCGGTGGAACGGCCGCGAACCTCTCGTGGTCGAACGCACTGTTCATGACTTCATCCGAGAGAAGGCTATTGAGACCCCTAATGCCCCCGCCGTCTGCGCATGGGACGGAGAGCTTAACTACAAAGAGTTCTGGGATCTGGCCTCTTCCTTCGCAAATTACTTGGTTTCCCGTGGTGTCGGCCCTGAAGTCTTTGTTCCTGTCTGCCTTGACAAGTCAGTCTGGGCTATGGTAACCCTGATAAGCATTCTGATTGCTGGCGGTGGGTATGTTCCTCTTGATCCTCATCACCCCGTCTCGCGACATGAAGAGATTCTCGCGGATGTTGGCGCTAGCATGATCCTGTGCACTCCCAACTATACCAACCGCTACAATCGCGTTGTCAAAACCGTGATTCCCATCAGTAAGGAGACCCTCAAGGCATACGGATCTCTCAATCTCTCCGTCAAGCGCCGCAGTGAGGTAACTCCAGCTAATATGGCCTATGCTTTGTTTACTTCCGGGAGCACTGGCAGGGCCAAGGGCATCATTGTTGAGCATCGCAACGTCGTCAGCAGCATAATGTCTTTCGCCCCACTGACTGAGATGATATCTTCTTCTCGTGTATTCCAATTCGCATCCTTGACATTCGATGCCGCCATTATGGAGACACTTGCCATCTTAATGGTCGGTGGCTGCATCTGTGTTCCTAGTGAGGATGATCGCCTCAATGATGTTGCGGGTGCTATTCGACGCTTGAACGTGAACTGGACGTTCCTCACGCCATCTATTGCTAGCATCATCGAGCCATTATCGGTGCCTTCGCTGAAGGTCCTCATCTGCGGTGGTGAGAAGATGTCCCGTGAAGTTATCACTAAGTGGGCAAGCACCGTGAAACTCATGAACGGATACGGGCCGACCGAGACCTGTGTCTTCGCTACCATGGAGACTGCTGTTGCTGCCACTCGCGATCCTGGACGCATCGGCTACGGCATTCCCAGTACCCTCACCTGGATCGTGGACCCTGACAACCATGATCGTCTCGTCCCACTCGGTGCTGTTGGTGAGCTTGCCCTAGAAGGAGTTTCATTGGCACGTGAGTATCTCAAGAATCCTGAGAAGAACGCTGAGTGCTTCATCACCAACCCTACCTGGGCCAAGGACTTCAAAAAGGCATCGACTCTGCCTTCTCCTCGCAGAATTTATCTGACTGGTGATCTTTGCTACTATAACACTGATGGCTCAATCGAGTACATCGGTCGCAAGGACCACCAAGTTAAACTACACGGCCAGCGTATGGAGCTTGGTGAGATTGAGCACCGGCTGTATGAGGACCCACTTGTCCGTCATGCAGTTGTCATCCTGCCCAAGACTGGACCTCTGAAGCAGCGCCTCGTGACTGTCATGTCACTAAACAAGATCGCGCAAGATAATAAGTTGATTTCAGACAGGGCCTGTGAGCTTGTTGATGAAGAGGATTTATCTAATCAAGGCTTGCCTGGCCTGGTTGAGGTCCAGAAGAATCTCGAGAGTCAGCTTCCCATCTACATGGTTCCGCAAACATGGGCTCTTATCAAGAAGCTTCCTATGCTTGTTTCTGGCAAGCTTGACCGCAAAAAGATTACAGCTTGGCTTGAGAACATCGACGACGAAAGCTACGAACGCATTATGGCCGACTACGACCGCATGAAGCGCGGCGACATCAAAAAGCCCGAGGAAAAGGAACAGGATGGTCCCTTCAAGGTCATGCGCGAAATAATCTCGCAAGTCCTCAACATCTCCTTGCAGAAGGTCAACGCCGACCGCTCCTTCGTCAGCCTGGGTAAGTTTTCAATTCGCTCCAGTCCCAATCCAAACTCTAGTCACTAACAAAATTGTCTAGGTGGCGACAGTATCACCGGAATGGCTGTTATATCCCGTGCGCGGAAGCAGGGCCTGGTTGTTACTCTCAATGACATTCTGCAGAGTCGATCCGTAAAAGAACTGGCTCAAAGTGCGACTGCCAAGACACCAGCTGCTCCTCAACGTGAGGACAATTCTGAAGAGGCTTTTGCTCTTTCTCCTGTTCAGAAACTCTACATGCAGTCCTCGACTTCCTTCAAAGGAGCCGCTCGTTTCAATCAGAGCATTACTGTGCGGGTCTCCCGCAGGGTGGAGGGAGAAGTACTTCGACGGGCAATCAAGGCCGTTACTAGCCAACACTCCATGTTTAGGGCTCGATTCCGCACCGTCCAGGGCACATGGCAGCAAAAAGCAGCAGCAGTAAGTTTTTCTTTGTTGAAAGATATGACGGTTGTTAACCATTTGTCACAGGAGATTGAAGAATCCTACCGCTTCCGAGTCCACTCGGTGAGCGATATCCGTGCAATGGTCCCCAAGGTTGCCGACAGCCAGTCCTGCCTGGATCCGATGAATGGGCCGATCTTTGCTGCCGATCTCTTCAATCTACGTAGCGGCGGGCAGGTGCTCTTCCTCGTCGCTCACCATTTGTGCGTAGACATGGTCTCATGGCGAATCATTCTCCAAGACCTCGAGGAGCTTGTCGTTTCCGGCTCTCTGTCTGATGACAAGGCCCTCTCGTTCCAGAGCTGGTGTTTAATGCAACAGGAGCGAGCCAAGATCAACGAATCCTCTCTTACCCTCCCCTTTACCCCGGAGCAGGCCAACTTGCAATACTGGGGCATGCATGAATCACTCAATGTGTATGGCGACATCAAGATGGAGTCTTTCTCATTGAGTGAAGATGCTACCAAGTTTGTTCTTGATGGATGTCACGAAGTCTTCAATACCGATACTGTTGATATCTTGCTTGCTTCTGTCATCCAATCTTTCCGCCAAACTTTCACTGACCGAAAGGTTCCTACAGTCTACAATGAAGGACACGGACGTGAGCCTTGGGATGCCAACATTGACCTCTCGAGGACCGTGGGCTGGTTCACCACTATGGCCCCCGTTTTTGTTGAAGGTGACGATGGTGCGTGTCTTTGTTACCCTTTTTTGTCCTCTCAATTTGCTAATGCGTAACAGTGGGAATCATTGACATAATCAAACGCGTCAAAGACACTCGTCGCAAGATCACCGACAATGGTCGTCCATACTTTGCCAAGAGCATGCTGCAAACCGATCACGAAGATTTCCAGCTTCCTTTGGAAATTCTTTTCAACTACCTCGGTCGTCTTCAGCAGCTTGAGCGGGTTGACTCTCTCTTCTGCCACCAGGGCAATGTTTTCGATGGTTCGGACTTCGCTGTCGCTGGCGACATGGGTCCCGAGACTACACGCTTCGCCTTGTTTGAGGTCTCCGCCATTGTAATCAAGGAGAGACTTAATGTCGCATTCACATACAACCGCAAGATGACTCGCGAGGGGCAGATTCGTCGCTGGATACTCCAGTGTAAGGGTGTTTTGGAGCGTGATATGGTGGTTCTCAAAAAGGCTGCCCCGGAACCTACCCTCAGCGACTACCCTCTGCTGCCACTGAACTACCACGGCCTCCAGATCCTCACCAACCACACATTCCGAAAGCTCGGAATTCAGAACAAGCACGATGTCGAGGATATTTATCCCTGCTCTCCCATGCAGGAGGGTCTACTACTCAGCCAGCTGCGTGATCCCAGTGCCTATATGTTCCACACCATCTTTGAGATCAAGGATGCTCGCACCGGAAAGGTCGATCCCGAGAAGCTTTCCCGATCATGGCAGATACTTGTGGAGCGCCACCCAGTTTTGCGAACTGTCTTCATTGACAGTAATTACAGCGGTGGCTCTTTTGACCAGCTCGTCCTCGCCAAGCTTACTGACAATGTATTGCGAGTGGAATGCACCGATTCCCAGGTTGATGAGAAGCTGGCTGCCATCTCACTTCGAGATCTCAACGCCATGCGGCCCGCGAAACTCTCACATCAGTTCACAGTCTGCCGCACGACTAGCGGGCGTGTTCTGGTGAAGCTTGAGATCAACCATGCTATCATTGACGGTGGTGGTGTCGATGTTCTCCTCCGTGACCTGACAATGGTCTACGATCGCCGCCTATTTGAGACGGATGGCCCCAAGTTCAGCGACTACATCAAGTATATCCGAACACAAAGCCAGGTCAAGGCCCTCGAGCACTGGAAAGAGTACCTGGGCGGGGTCAGCCCATGCCACCTACAGCCGTCTTCCAGCTTCCAAGCCAACCGTGAGCTGAAGGGCATCTTGATGAACTTTTCCCGCTACACTGAGCTTCTCGGCTTCTGTGAACAGGCCTCAGTTACTTTGGCCAATCTCACCTTGTCTGCGTGGGCTATTGTTCTCAGGCAGTTCACCGGCTCTGACGATGTCTGCTTCGGTTACCTGTCTGCCGGTCGCGATGCCCCGTCAACGGCATCCAGGACATGGTCGGTATCTTCATTAACATGCTCTGTTGCCGTGTGCAGTTCGGCGGCCAACAAACTCTGACCGATGTCTCGAAACGAGTGAACGAGGACTACATCCGCAGCATTCCCCACCAGAGCTGCTCCCTTGCTAGCATCCAGCATGACCTTGGTATGCAGAGCCAGTCTCTCTTCAACACTACTCTTTCAATCCAGAACCATACCGTTGCGGGTGGCACCAAGGAAAAGGGATTGACATTCGACCTTCAACATGCTCATGACCCAAGCGAGGTAAGTCAACCCTAACAACCGTCTGATAGTTCGATTTACTAAGCAGCCTTCCAGTACGCCGTTACTGTCAATGTTGACATTTCTCGCGGCAACGAGGGAATCATGCTGCGATACTGGAACGATGTGATTTCTGATAGTCAAGCACAGTCGCTAGTGGATACTATAGCCAAGGTATTCACCGGCTTCATTGAATCTCCCGCTGTGACCCTTTCAGCAGCCAACTTTGCTGAAAAGGCTGTCGAAAACGGCTCCGGCTGGGACAGCCCGCAGACTTCATTCAGCGAGAAAGCGAAGCCTACTTTGGAAGGTCTTGATGGCGCTGCCATTCAGAAGATGATTGATGATCGAGTGACTGAGGTCATCGGACAGATGTTGAGGGATGGGAAGTTGATGGTGCCGCAGGGGCCTCGCTTGCAGACAAGCTCATCCGGGTACGGCCATACCGACGATGGAATCGATTCGCCTTACCCATTGGAGGGTATGCAAGGAGCAGATGATTCGGGTATTTGTTCGGCGACGTCCCGTTCTAGCGAAGATGGAATGTCGGCCGATGTGGAGCGGAAGCTCTGGAGCCTTTGGAGTACTGCTCTCGGTCTCTCGCCGAATACCGTGAGGCCCCAGGACAGCTTCTTCAAGTTGGGTGGTGACAGTATCACGGCCATGAAGATGGTGAGCGCGGCCCGTGACGAGGGTCTCGTTCTGACTGTTGCGGATGTTTTCAACAACCCTGTATTTGAGGACATGGTTGCGACGGTGAGCGCTGCTAATGTGACGCAGCAAATGCTGAACGCTGATCTACAGCCCGCGCACAGGGAGGTTGAGGCATTCCCTGGCAGTATGGCTGCTACCCTTGCCCCGACCCCATCCTCTGAAAGCATCTCTGTGCTCAGACCCAGCATGGCTGTTGATGATGCCTCGGTTCAAAACGGCATTTGCCCCAAGATCGGTGTTTTCAAGGGTGGCATTGCCGATGTCCTACCCGTGACTGACTTCCAAGCGATGTCTTTGACCGCGACTCTCTTCAAGTCGCGATGGATGTTGAACTACTTCTTCTTGGAGGGTAACGGGCCTCTTGACCTCAGACGTCTTCGTGAGAGTTGTTTGAAGGTTGTTGATGCCTTTGATATTTTGCGGACAGTCTTTGTCTGTTTCCATGACCAGTTTTTCCAGGTCGTGCTGCGCAAGATTCGTCCCAGCATCTTCGTTTATGAGACCGATCGTGGATTGGATGAGTTCACCATGACTTTACAGCAGCGCGACCGCGAATATGGCCCACGTGAGGGTGAACAGTATGTGCAATTCTATGTTGTCAAGAAGAAGGGAAGCGACCAGCACCGCATCATGATCCGCCTGTCTCACACCCAATACGATGGAGTGTGTTTGTCTAAGATCATGACTGCCCTGAAGCTAGGCTACGAGGGCAGTCCTCTACCTCCCGTGACACCCTATGCCAGTTACCTTCGCCAGCTCCCAGGAACAATTACTCCGGATCACTACAATCACTGGTCGAAGCTTCTTAAGGGTTCGCGCATGACCCAGGTCGTCCGCCGTAAGGGTACTACGATGTTCCAAAACATCGGTGCCTTTACTGAGGTCCGCAAGACAATCGAGATCCCTCCTACTGCCCTAGGCAATGTCACTGTTGCAACAGTCATGCAGGCTGCTTGGGCTCTCACTCTCGCCAAGCTGTCTGCCCAGCCTGATGTGGTCTTCGGTCTCACTATCAGTGGCCGCAATGCCACTGTCCCTGGCATTGAATCAACTGTCGGACCCTGTGTCAATGTGGTGCCTGTCCGTGTCAAGTTTGACGATAAGTGGACCGGCTTGGATCTCTTCCGATTCCTCCAGGACCAGCAGGTTTCCAACATGCCTTTCGAGTCTCTCGGCTTCCGTGAAATTATCAAGAAATGTACCGACTGGCCTGACTGGACCTACTTCACAACTTCGGTCTTCCACCAGAACGTTGACTATGAAGGCTCTCTGGAGCTCGACAACAATAAGTACCGCATGGGCGGTGCTGGTGTCAACGATAACTTTGCAGACCTGACCATGGTCTCACGACCTTCCGACGAGCGCAATCTCAGTGTTACCCTTGGCTATTCTGAGAAGGGGCCCATTCATCCTGCCTTTGCAGACAAGGTCCTAGACATGGTCTGTGAGATTGCACAGTCCCTCGTCGCCAACCCATCCACTGCCTTGCCGTCCCCCAACATGCTCTCCTCTCTACCATCCCAGACAATCGACGATCTTCCCCGTTCTTCAGATGAGCACTTCCTCAGCGCACACCTCAAGTCACGTTCAATTGCTGAACTTCTTGTCCATTCGGACATTCTTTCCCGCTCGTGGCACCAGGCCTTACCTCCGCGCCCTACCGCCCCGTCCGGGGATGTCGAAGCGGGAGACAAGACTGCTAACCAAGCAGTCTTCCAGCTGGACTCTTCATTCTTTGATCTTGGTGGCGATATCTTCAACATGGCCCAGCTCACTTGGTTACTTGAACAGGAGGGTCTCAAAGTCCGTCTCGAAGACCTCCTCGAGCACCCCTCATTCCTGGGCCAGATGGCCGTCCTGGCTTTGCACAATGCCAAGCACCAGGATGACTACCCGGTCGAATACGCCACTGGTGCCGCCTCCCCAGATTCAGAAGGCCGAAACCCGGTCGAGAAGAAGAAGACCTGGGAGAAGGCGATGACACTCGCGAGAAAGTTAACACGTCGTAACAATATGGTGCCTAGCCGAGCTTGAGAGGCCATGGAGCATGCAAACAAAAAGAAAAAAAAAGCGAAAACCGAAGTTTGCAAAAAGCAAACAGACGATCGATGCTTCTCTTGACATTGTTGAGATGTGTATCTGATTTATGATGCTGCTATTGCAGCCCTTTCTTTCTTTTCCTTTGTTATACCCTTATGAGTTTGGACTCAATTGATGGATTATGTGATATTCTTTCGCATCTTTTCCTTTGTCTCGTGTCTTGGCCTTGTCCTGTCCTTCTTTAGACTCACATTTGTCTTCGCATCTCTCTACTTTCATGTTGGATGCCTCTCATGTACCCATTATCTCCTAGAACAATGGAATCTCATCTCTATCACAATAGGCTCCCGGAAAATCTCTGTAGTAAACACTCTCTAGAGTTCCACTTCCGGCCTTTCAAAGCTTTCGTCTCTCATTTCCTGTCATTTTCTCATAGCTTACTCCTACCTCACCTTAGCAGGGAGGCTTCATTCTTCCATGCATAGAAGTTCCCTGCCGTAGCCCTGATCTCGTCGGCTTCTTGTCGCGTGAGGCAATACCCTCTGACTTGTTGAGGGGATGCAGCTAGATGTCTTGTATCGTGCCAAAGCCGAGTCAGCTGCATCGTGACTTTAGTCTCGTGGATCAAAGAATTCAAGAAACATAATTAAGATGACCGAGAGACAGTCTGGAAGAATCTTTTTGTTCCAGTGGAAGCTGATCTAGTTGTATCAACTTAAGGGCACATCTTTTCATTCTGTTTGCAGATGATCAGTTAGCGAATAATCGATCAATACACTTCCGTCAGACGACTACCAGAATTGTTGGGCTTAAGGATATACCGTTTCCAATGGCTCTGTAGTGCATGTTGCAAGCAATGACATGCGGTAGGACGCTCTGCAGGAGTAAGACATCGCTATCGCACGGCCATCAAGCAGTCAAGCCTGGTAAACGAGGACTAGCGAAGTGAGAAGTAATTACAGCAGACGCGAGCCGCATCTAAACTGTATATGAACAAAGCTATAGGCAGTTAATGCACTTAGCGCCCCTAGGCCAACAAATCTAGTCATATAGTATGGAAATCATGTCGTGTTCATTCAATTCATTAATATGTCCGAAAACCCCCCTTCCTAATAAGTGTAATGCAAAGGGTATATGTATGTACCAAGCAAAAGGAAATCAAACCTTTATGCTACCCCAGCTTTCCCATCTAAAGGGACTCAAGGGACCACTTACCCCGCGCGCGAATGCTTCGTCCATACGTATAGAATAAGTACGGGATCGGAATCAAAGCAATCGCAATGAATCCAAGGAGACTCGCCGCCCACGGCACACCGAGATTGTGGAACATTGCAGTCGTGAAAAGGGGGAATGTGCCGGCAAACACGGAGCGCAGGAAGGTATTCGCGGCAACGGCACTAGCCGAGTATCGCTGGAAAGTATCGATGAGGTAATTCAACGCAGCTTGGAAGATAGTGAAGAACCCGAAACCCATCATCACAGCACCAATGACAGGTCCGATCCAATGAATGTGTTTCGGACTCGTCCAGCCGAAGACGAAGAGTCCCGCTGCAAAGAGAATCGAGCCCAGCATCATGGGCGGAAGACGGGCTTCGGGGACAGCGCGGTTGTTATTCGCTTTGAAGCGTTTGATATAGAATTTTTGGTTTCCGAGGTTAATTGAGGCGCCGATGAGAATGCCGACGAGGTAAGCGAGGAAGGGCAAGGCACCGACGACTTGGTTCCAGCCTCGTACTTCTTGAAAGACGATGGGGAAGGCGGCAAGACTAAGGTAGAGGATTCCGTACACGAAAGATGCATAGAGGGCGACAAGGAAGCAGATTGGTGTTGCGAGGAGTTGGAAAGGCCGGATAAGGTATTTGTTGCCTAGTTCTTTGAAAGTGACGTCCCATTCTTCGTGGCGGGCGTGCAGGGCCCAATTGCCTGTTGTGAAGCGGAGGCGGCGGGCTTTATAGACGAGTAGCACTGGGGGGTAGCTTTCGTCGATGAAGAGAAGGTCGAGGGCGAGGAAGAACATCATCATGATTCCGGTAAGCTTTGGAGTATGTTAGCTTGCTCATCGAAGATTGATGGGGGTTAGACATACGTATTCGGTCCATCGCCAGCCTAGATAGCTCTGGCAGATCGCACCACCGACAATAGGGCCCAAGACAGGACCCCCAACAACAGCCATGGCATATCCAACAATTGCAGCACCGCGCTGCTCGGGAGTCCAAATATCAGCCAGCACACCGCCGGTATTAGTCACGGGCGCGGATCCAAAGAACCCACAGAAGAACCGAGTCAACATGATCGTCTGCAGATCCTTCCCCACAGCCGTACCAAAAGACATGATGGCAGCAATGAAATACGGCGCTAGAACAGCCGGCTTGCGGCCAAAGACCTCAGATAGCGGCGCCCAAACAAGAGGCCCAAGCCCCAATCCGAAAAGAAGCAACGAAGTACCAAGGGTCGAGACCTCCGTCGAAACGCCAAACTCATCACTAATCTGCCGTTGGCCCGTTGAATAACTGCTTTGATCAGCACCAGCATGTGAACGGCCCATCAAACTGGAGAAAACTCACATCGAACTCGCCCAAGTAGCACCTATCCTCAAGAAAGCGATCAAATTAGCTTCCCATTCACCGTACAGCATCTCCGCAAATACACTTACCCATAGTTGTCAACCCATATAAAACCGTTGTGATAGCCTTCTTCTTGAAACCCCAGTTCAACGGCCGATACGGATCATCCGGCCCCTCAAAGTCAACAATGACATCCGCACTCGTTTTCGTATGGGATAGCGGATGCGTGAACTTGGCGGTCTGCCCGGGCTCCCGACTGCGTATGCGCGATACTACTGATTGCGCGCGCTGCTCGAAGACGGAGAAGCCCGATGCGGCGGTGCTTTGCTTGTCCAGTCTGTCCGGCATTGTGTTTTCCGTGGTCGTCTCGTGTGATTCGATATCAACGGAGTTGCGGGAGAAGTTGTCGTGGTCGTGGTCGTGGTCGTGGTCGTATTCATTTTTGTAGCCGTGTTCATGGTCTCGTTCGCGATCGAGGTCTTGCTCGTGGGCATGGTCGGTTTGCGCCATAGTCTCTGTATGTGCACTGGATACTTCTGGGGTGCGCACGATGCAACTTGGAATTGAAAAACAATCTCAAGACTTGAGCTAGCGGGAGCGCAATCTCCCAAGATCGAGAGGGTGCAAATGGAAAAAGGTAGTTAACCCGTTGCCGAGATATTCGCAGGAACCGTGGATTGCGACGTCATTCCCTTCAGAGATCGGACTCAGGTGCAATTTTCTTAGGATGGGCCACTGCTTTTTATCCAATGGCTCTGTCGGACGTCCGACGCCGAGCCGTCTTATCCGGGGAGGAGAGAACCTTGTGGGGCGCGATGGGCGGGTCCCGCTTTCGGGCTTGGAGAGTGACTCGCCGAGAGAGAGGCGGAGTTGAACCTTGCTCGGCATATCGGAGAGAGAGAGAGAGAGAGAGAGAGAGGCTTCTGCCTTTGAATTTATCCCATCAGCCCTATTGTGTGAGTCCCTTGGGGCTGGCAAGTGTTCGGCTTGGGTTTTCAGAGCACGATTACCAACTCATTGAAGAGGAGCAGGCGGAGTATTTCCGAACGGAGTCGGGACAGCCAACCAGAAGGGTGAAAGCAGGTAATTCCAGAGAATTGAACAAATTGCCAGGAAACGATGCATCGCGGTGGACGAGCACTCATCTTGACGTAGTGGACACAGTCAGGCGTCACATGATATCGTATTTCAGTGTCCCCAGGTTCCAGGTCTAACATCAACAGTCTATTCTCTAGTTGTGTTGACTGGCTGTCATGATACAATGCGAATGCTATAGACAAAAAGGCCCCACGGAATAGCAACAATCTCCAATCTATCGCCAATTCTATCAGGGCATGCTCTCCCATTTGTTCACTGCCTCGATCGCAGCTGTGACCTTCAATCCAATACGAGCATCCAGTTCGTAGCTTTCCCACCGAGCAGCGTGTTCCAGATACTCTTTACACTCGCGAACCTGCTCGTTCTCATTCAACGGCTTCTTCTCGCCAGAGTCCGTGGACGCTTGATCAGACAACCCATGTAGAGCCTGGTAGGTCGGGCGTTCCATCCAGAGATTGGCAGCCATTTCAAAGTGCGCAGCCGGGAGAACCCAATCATCCTTGAGGTTCCCCTTGAAGACCGCCTTGTCGTGGTTCAACACGCCAGTCTTGAGAATCTGCTTGGCCTTGTCATAATTGTGCAGAGATCGATGAACAGCAGCTCGGATGAGATCAAGAATGGCTTTCTCCTCAGGTCCCTCGCGAGACCACGTCGCGTTAGCATCGCTCTCGCACCATGCTAGTCGAGAAAGGGATTCCTCGAGCTGGGCTTCGGTCATACGGCTATGACCATTCCAGAAGAAGATCATCTCCTCGACGGGATCCACGCCAATCGCGTTCACCAGAGGAACATTCCAGGCCTTGGCACGAGCTTCCCACTTGGCGATTTTGCGAGTCACGAAAACGTCAAAGGGCAGTTGGCGCGCCATAAACTTCTTCTTGCCCGCATGTGAAGGGGCCTTGCGGATATACTCGGCGGCGGTCGCGGCATGCTTTTCGGCTTGCTTTAGGATCTGCGACAATGCATCGGCGGTAAAGTGCGACGTGACAGGCTCCGGCAATATAGTAATATAGGGATCGAGACCAGGAATTGAGGTCCACGCACTACAAAAGTGGTCAGTTGCGGACACGATTGACAGATACGAGAATAGTGAGAGAAGATGAGGCAATGGGAAACACTTACCTCGATGAACGCATCACAGCACACGTCGTATTTGTGCAGGAATAAGGCGTTGAGACTTTTCTCAAACGTGCAGAGAGCCTCAACCTGCTTGAGCGGACTCTTGTTACTGGATGAGAGTATTTCCAAAGCACCCTCCAAATCCTTATTGGCGCCCCTCATCCGGGATTCCTCTGCCAGCCAGAGTCGAGAATTGGGGAATCGGGACCGCATCTCAGCCAACAACGTAGCCAGTCTCTCCTGCGGGTATCCCTCAACGTCATCCTCGCCAGAAGTCGGATCGGGCATGATATCACAATAACGGACAAACCCGTTGTAGTAGCCTAATAGCGCCAATGCAGCCATGGCACCGATCAGGTTGTGAAACTTACTGGCTTGCCAGAGCATGCGTAGACCCCGTTGCTTGTCACCGCGGAAGCCAATGATTGAAAGCAGTTTGCTAAACGCGGGCGGAACCATGGAGATGAGCAGGAGGAGGATGCCGAAACAGAAGTTGGCGCCCGAGTGCACAAAGACGTCGATCTCGTTCTGGAAGATATCTGAATCAGGGTCGTGAGTGATGATGTTAGATCCAGTGGGGGTAGAAGTGCCCCGAGACATCTGAAGCCGATTCGTTGACGTTCATTCTTGCAAGAGACTTGGCGAGGTCTTTCTCTTCTGTCAAAACGGGTTGACGATTGTCCAATGACGGACTGGAGGTGTTCAATCGGCTCGGTCCGATCTTTGAAAGATCACTTGAGCTGGTCAGAAGCTCGCGACTGGGGTCTCTCAACTCCATGAACTTCTCTTCCATCTTCAATATGGCGTCCAATGCGATGTACGCCTTGCGCAGGCGGTAGAAAGCCTTGATACTTTCAGTCAAGCTCTCGTTGAGCACCCCGACCACGGCGCTCATCAGTTGCGCAATAGCCTGGCATAGTGCATATTCCGTTCCCGGCGCATAGATCTCCGATCGGAAAGCATGGGGCGCATGGGAATTATGTTGCGCTCGGTGTTGTTCGCTGGCGGCGGACGTCTCAGCCTCATAAAGCCGCTCGGACGCTTCTGGCTGTCAGCACGATGATCGCCACTAAGACGACAAAAAAAAAAAGGCAGCGTACCTTGTCGCATGATCTCTTGCTCGAATCCCAAAGTCGCGCGCACAAATGCTACCACGCCTTTTCCCAACTACGCCCGTCAGCATACTTCCAAGATTCTTCCCGCTACATCGCGGAGCACACACATTGTGGAAGGTTGATGTGCCCTTTGCGAGGCCATTCTCGGCGCCGTCGACATCGTCATTGAGGATGAAAGTGGCCGCTATTTGCTTGTTAGGCTCATTCACAGAGGAAGGGGAGAGAGAGACACGGTACCTTTCATCGCCTCATCCACTACGCATCCCCGCTCGAGATCGTCAGCATGCAATTCACCGCTCCAGTCCCCAACTCCTGCCAGCGCCCTGACAGTAAAGTCTGGATCAACAAGACTTACAGTCTTTTAATTCGGCCAGCGAGTCCAGCGACTGCGTGGAGGCATTGGCCTTCTTGCCGTACAACCAGGAGCCTACGCGCATCATCGTAACAAGAGATTCGAGATCACCAGGATCACCAAGTCTGATCGAGATAACCTAGGAGGAAAAGTAGTAGGAGGAGTTCGATCGAAGCAATTTTCTCATGGCCCTAAGATAGACGGATCGGGAAGAATGTCAATGGTTCCATAAGATGCGGCATGGACTTCCGTGAACATCGGGGGATTGGAAGAGGAGATAATAAATAAAAGAGCGTCGTGGGGTATTTCGCAAAGGCCCAAATCAGGTGCATCGAATCAGATGTCTGAATTTCCACACTTTCAGAGGCGAATGCCGGCGGCTCCGAGGGGCGATTTATCGGTGCGTAATTCACACCGGATGGCGAGCTATTCCAATGTCTCTAGGAAGCTATACCCATACAGTAAGATCCACATAGAGATCCAGGCATGATAGTGGAACAATCTATGAATATCTAGCTAATTCTCACTGTACTACATCTATGCCATAGCTACCACCTTGCAAAGTGGTATAAACCACGTTAAACGCCTCAAAGACTCTTATCGCCTATCGCATCCTGACTAAGTCACCGACCTCCTCAAGCTCGAATCCTCCAGAACCCCATCTACGTCCCATCAACTTCCCCATCCTCACGACTTTTCTCTCCTCGGTCGGACGTCCCGATCAAGTTCACCTCACCAAGAGCCCAGAATTCCATAAACACATCCCCACAACCGCGACCGCAATGTCTAATTCCACCACCCAAACCAAGGCTGAGCCTACCGACCAGCCCCAGCAGCAACAGAAGCCCCAGGTCTTGGAAGAAGACGACGAATTCGAAGATTTCCCCGTTGAGGGTACGTTCACACCACCTCTACGCAAACACACCCCAACCCTCACCCCGCCTCAAAACCTCGAATACGAATCAAAGCTGACAATGACGACAGACTGGCCCCAGGAGGAAGCGGAGCAAGCCGCCGGCTCAGCAGCCAACGGCGGAAATGAGCACCTGTGGGAAGAGAGCTGGGACGACGATGATGCCGCAGAGGATTTCTCTAAGCAGTTGAAGTACGCCGTTCCCATGTTGCGGTTGCTGGCATCCTCACCACGCCAACAACCCCCACACTTGAAGCAGAGGCTAACGAGATGAACAACAGGGAGGAACTTAAGAAGGTCGAGGCGGCGCACTAGGCTAGACGAATGAAGAAACAAACAAAAGAACGATCGCACCTCGCAATACACACTATACCCCCCTTGTTTAGATTGAGAGAATGAGAACAGGAGCTGGGCAGCATCAGATGGGACTGCGCCAGGACGGCTTGATATCCCGCTGACAGATCTACTACCTGCTAAAGACAGAGCCTGGACCTTCTGGGTTGTGTTTGGGATTTGGTGTCCAGGGTTGCATGGACTGAGCAAGCAAGGATGAATTAATGACAATGGGCCTTACGCCTCCACTATCAAGTGCATACATGTGCCCAATTACATTGTTCGGTTTGGTAGAGTAGACTTGTATGGCCATCCTTGCTATGTACAATTACCTACCCAGGTACTCAAGTATCCATGCCAGGGTACCTGTTTAGGTGTTTCCCTCCAAGGTCCCCGACGGGTCATCACAGCTTCGGTCCCGTATCTACGAACACGCACAGCTTAGCCTCAACCCAACAGAATAGATAAACTTTGAAACGAAATTTTTGATTTGTAAAACGATGTAGGCTGTGTACGTTACAGTGTCGTGAAAATGGCCCAATAGGTCCAAGAACCCAGTAGCAGATCCTGGGAGGACTTGGCCTCAGAATCTCTTAATTCCATTTACTTACTGGACAAAGCAGCAACACCGGGCAGTTCCTTGCCCTCAAGGAGCTCAAGAGAAGCACCGCCACCAGTAGAGACGTGAGAGAGCTTGTCCTCAACACCGTACTTAGCAGCGACAGTAGCGGTGTCACCACCACCAATGATAACAATGGAACCACTCTGGGCAGCCTTGACAGCAGCATCAAGAGTCTTCTCGGTCGCGTTAGCGAAGGGCTTCAGCTCGAAGACACCGGGGGGGGACCGTTCCAGAGAATAGTCTTGGCCTCAGCGATGGTCTTCTCGTAAAGCTTAACGGACTCGGGACCAACATCCAGACCCATCAGGCCGTCGGCGATACCGGAGGCATCGGTGGCAGAGCCAACGGTAGCGTCGGCGGAGAACTTGTCGGCGGTGACGTAGTCGACAGGAAGGACGATCTCGACGTTGTACTTCTTGGCCTTCTCGACGATATCACCAACGATCTTGCTGCCAGCCTCGTCGAAGAGGGAGTTACCAATCTTGACGTTCTCGAGAGTCTTCTTGAAGGTGAAGGCCATGGCGCCAGTGATGATCAGGCTGTTGACCTTGGGGAGGAGGTTGTCAATCAGCTGGATCTTGTCGGAGACCTTAGCGCCACCGAGGATGGCGAGGAAGGGACGAGCAGGGTTCTCGAGGGCTTTGGCGAAGTACTCAAGCTCCTTCTTCACGAGGAAGCCGGCGGCCTTCTGGGGGAGGTCGACGCCGACCATGGAGCTGTGGGCGCGGTGGGCGGTGCCGAAAGCATCGTCTAGATAGAGTGATTGATTAGCCTGGTTTTTGGGTTGTGTAGAATGAATATATTTTGGGAGTGTACGTACTGATGTAGATGTCACCAAGAGCAGTGAGGCCCTTGCGGAACTCAGCAACCTTGGCGGCATCGGCCTTAACCTTCTTGCCCTCGGAGTCCTTGGAGCTGCCCTCCTCCTCGGCGTGGAAGCGCAGGTTCTCAAGCAGGATGACCTGGCCACCGGAGGCGTTGTTAACGGTCTCCTCAACCTTGGGGCCGACGCAATCCTCAGTGAAGGTGACGGGCTTGCCGAGCAGCTTGGACAGGACGGGAACGACGGGCTCAAGGCTGTACTTCTGGTTGACCTTGCCATCGGGACGGCCGAGGTGGGACATCAAGATGACGGCCTTTGCGCCGTTGTCGATGGCATACTTGATGGTGGGCAGAGCACCGACGATACGCTGGGGGTTGGTGACAGCCTTGTTCTCGTCGAGAGGGACATTGAAGTCGACCTATGAGTAGTGTTATGAGCCATTGAATCGGGGGATGAGGTGGGAGGGATTAGGAACATACACGGATCAAGACACGCTTGTCCTTGAGGTCGCAGTCGGTAATGGGGAGCTTGTTGGAGAGAGACATTTTGTATAGAAGTCTGTGATGTCAGAGAAAGCTTCTGGGGGGTGGGGGAAGTGCGTAATGAATACCTAGACAACGGACGGGATATGAGGAGAGAAACTGAAGCCAGAAGAAAGAGAAGACTAGGAATGGGAACTTAATCAGGTCACGGTGAGTCCTAAGTTACGCCAAAGGTTGGAGGGGTAGTTTTGGTGGGGCAGCCGGTGAGGGAGGCTGCCCGCTTTGAGCCTGCAGGTAGCAACGGTACTTACCGATGATGTATTGCATCCGTGGTTGGTACTTAGCTCATCTATACAGCTTCAAGTCCACCTACAAGTAGTCTAAGGACCGACAATACCCACCCCACAAGTGTCCCGACATCCTCCGGAGCTATAGATCGGGCTGATGCGGGACTGATGTCAGAGCTTCCCGTTGATGCGGAGCAGCCCGGACAAATTGATGTGTTGGATAGCCTCGGAGTCGGGATATTCTGGGGAGACCGCTGCAACAGCAACCCTCAATTGGTCCCGCTGGAAGTGCCCAGTCGCTACGGAGTTTGAGTGCGCTTAGCTCGAGAAAAACCCGAGTGCTCGAATGAAAACAAAACAGCAATATCCTAGATACCTAGCGAAGAGAATATCTCAAATGATTGCAGTGAACAAGACCATGTATAAGAATGATCAATGATGAGCCAATTGCGCAGAACAATACCTTTTGGATGCAACCAGTCCTCCCCGTGCGAAGATTGATACACCTGTACACGAGGCCAGAAAGCCTGAAGCAACCGGAACGCCTGGATCAAAGGATCACAAAATGGAAGAAGCAGTGTATAAGGATCGTTATCGTGATAATCGTCGGAAAGACCGTACTTAAGACTCCTCGGAGGAGTTGGTGAGCGAGAGGTATGCGGTCCACGCAATACCGACGGAGGAAACAAATGGCTAGTTCGTTTGTTAGCCTGGGACCATCGATGGCAGAAATGAGACTTACAATCTGGAACTGAATGGGAATCACCCGGAAGTTGAGAATCTGCACTGCCGGCCATAGTACAAAGTTGGCCTTCAAAGTCGGCAGGTACACATCACGGAACTTCGATGTCAATGCTCTCTTGCCTCCGCCCTCGGCAATCGTCATATAGGTGAAGAAACAAGCCAGACCTGTCCTATATGTCAGTCTCAACCCTCGAAGTTGATGACGCCGCCACATACCGAAAGGCGCGAACATGAGCTGGTCAAAGGCCACACGCTTGAAAACTGGGATAGAAGGGTTCTTCTTGGTGAGAGGAAACGTTCTCAACAAGAAGCCAAACCACTGGAACTGCACCGGAGCCATAAAGAAACCGTATGCCATAAACCTGGTCATGCGTTCAAAATCAAACGGCGGGGGCGAGCTCCGAGAATATCCCAATTCGCCAACAACAGGAGGCCTTTGCTTATCCAGATCTTCAATCTCTATCGATATGAAGTCGTTATTTTCTTGCGTTCGTTGATGCGAGCGGAATCGAAATGCGGTGATTAGCTGGGCAACGGTGTCGGCCACGCCACCAAGCACCTGTGATCATCCGTTCGTCAATATATCAATTCAATGTCCGGGGCTTGCACTCGTCGAATTCGAGGGATGCTTACGGCGTTGGTGACCATGGTCGTGAGCACTATCCAGGCAGACACGTTAGTGAGCGGTCGCATCGAAGCCGGGACACGGCGGGGTGGTGAGGGCATGGCATACCTGGCTTCTCAGCATAGTAGGTATTGAATTTGGCCGCGAGGCGAGTGGCTACAGCCATCTCGATGAGGAAGATGATCGTGTGCAGGAGGGGCTAGAGCCATGGGAGGCGACCGGATCAGCTGGGTCCAATGTGCAGATTCGAAGAAGGCAGGTCTCACCACGCGACCGTAAATGTATCTCCTATTCAGTCCGTCAAGTACTTTTCGCTTCGTGGCGGTAATCATAATGGCCAGAGTGGGCGTGATCCGCTTTATGGAGCGATGAGCGAAGACAAGATTTCCGGGCAAAGTTTCTGGGCTGTCGCGCGCCAGTATGACGCAAATCTAGGACGAACCACCCGGAATGATGGGTATGCAGGGCCAGCCAGGTTTTTTGGAATTTTGTCTAGAAATGACGAGGCAGGTGAAAGGGACTTCAGCAACTGTTTTAGAGAGCAAGATGGGCTGTTCTACCCCGGATTCAAATGGGAGGATGCGCCAGTCTGCATTATGACTAAACGTGCCATGAAAGTCACCTGGCCAACTGCAACCATGCGCTTAAGCCATCTATTAAACTTCCAGATATTCATGGTTTTGATATTCTTTTTTTGTTTTTTGGGTGTCTTTATCTCATTATTTCTCAATGTACAATGGTTTGGTAGTTCAAAGCTTTATGTAGATGCTCGAGGCTGGTCGTCGGCGAGAATATCCGGCAAGTCTCGAATATCGGTCGTTTCATTCGTGTTAAGGTCCACAAGGCGCACTGCCTCCAGATGAAGGGGGCGGTGGCCAAAGGAAGGAGCTTGATCTCGGTTGAGTGACAGGTTCCAGGCAGAAGAGGTCTATATTGTATTGAGGTATGTTAGCTTCCCAAGGTTCGCTCGTATCAATTGTGGGGAATGGAGAGTGATCATCTTACCCGACGCGGATATCAGTACTCAAACTGATGAGCTCGACCTCTTGCCCTGTCACATTCTTCTGCATTGCATGCACAATATTGTCGTCTGTCACAGCCTCGGCCACTTCGTTCTCCTTCCGACTGGTGATAGACGAGGATGATGGTCGCGCAACGTGGCCTCGAGGATCGGTACGTTTCCGTCGCGGAATTGCGATCAAGGCAAACTTTCGAGGTATATTTGAACGGTTCACGATGAACACGCCCCAGGCGAATGGTGATCCGACTTGCACGCGACTCGGTCCGGAGAATGAAATTGTAACGCCTACATCTGTGACAGAGTAGGCTCGCTCCCGTAATGAGCTACGGTTGGTTGGAATGACTCCTGGCTGGTTTGTGCTCACGGACAGGCTCGTAGGTCGATTATTTCTCTGCAGCGCTTGGCTAGGGCCGCCGAAGGTAGGATTCAAGGCCATGGAGAAATCAACATTGGTCCTCCATTCCATCGCGATGCGAGGCTTGCAGTCATCGGATAGAAGAATGATTGCTCCGAGAGAGATATCTAGCGTACTGATGATGGCGGTCGTAGACGGATTCGTTTCCGGTCCATACTCGGGGGTGAGTTTGTACACTAATGTTACATCGTCTCGAGGCCGACATTTTAGAGGAAGGGCGAGGCCTGGGATGTTAGAAAGTGATTCAATGGATCCGTCGGATAATCGAATATCTGCTTTTTCGAATGAGACCTCGCAGTTCAAAAACGGAGTCACTTCAAAGTCGAGACAAGCCACAGTTTGGGGCAGACTATTGTATGAGCTGAGTCGCGTGTATCGGATCCTTGCGCTAGCGGCGGGTACTACACGAAATGGATGGCCCTGGCTCTGCTGGATATTGTAGATGGGATCCGCATAGGAGGTCATCGGTACCACGCGCAAGAGTCTTGATGCCGGCAGAAAGGGTTCTTTGTGGGAAAGGGATTTGTCGCCGGATAATGGTTGCAACATATTTGTCGAGGCAGGGACGAGCGGAGGTAGATAGTCGTCTTCTGGGTCCTTTAGTCGACAAGTTTCGGAAGGATTCAGGCTGGCCGAGGCCATGAACAATAGCGACGGGTGCTGGATGCGGCTACGAGGTCGCTCTGTCGTTTCGTCAGAAGACATCGAATTGTGTAAAACTTATGGAATGACTCACTGATAAAGGTCTGGACGTTCCATATGAGGTATACATGATTTCCAGTCCCCTCGTCGCCCTCAAACTCATTGAACACCACAAGCGGCTCCTCTTCAGTATTCACAAGGCCCGAGAAAATAATCTCACGGGTAGACGTTGGATTCTCCGCGACAGAGTCCGCTGGGTCGACCGCGAATATATCGAGCTTGACTTCTAGACGAGGAGGTAATATTTCAGGGTGGATTCTGTGCAATCGGAGAGCCTTAGCACGATGCGAACAGGAAGAAATTCGTCTATGAAGCTCTAGATTAGCAAAAACTCGATCAACAAAAGCTCAATGATTTCAATGAGCTACCTACCGAAAAAAAGCAGGGATCGTTGGGGAATCGCAGAGAGAACTGAGGGGAGATCGTCGGCGCCATCTTCCAATGCCGAAGTTAGGGCACCCTCGATGTCAAGGCCGGGCGCATGGGGCACAACGGTATCCAGTATCGCATGCCGCAGGAATTCGCCGGGGATCTCCAGGCCAGGCATTGCGACAGCTCTCGTCGCGAATGTGAACAAACAAGCATCTTAAGGAGAGCGATACGAATGATAAGGTATTCGTGCAAACAGTGCAAACAACCTCAAGCTCAATCCGCGCGCTGGCTCTTTTTCACTTCTGCCCTCACTCACGATTAAAAGGTCAACCATGAACGCAATGAACGTTGCGTCGGGTGCTCCAGCCTTGTGGCAGGAGGCGCGTAATGCTGATGGCAGGGTTTACTACTATAACACGCAGACCAAGGCGACACAATGGACGAAACCTGAGGAGTTGATGACAGGCGTTGAGGTGAGTTTATACTCGGTAGAACGATTTAACGCGAGGCTGACATTGGCGTACACAGCGTGCTCTGGCAGATCAGCCATGGAAGGAATACACCGCGGAAGGAGGACGCAAGTACTGGTACAACACGGAGAGCAAGCAGAGCACATGGGAGATGCCCGAGGTTTACAAGAAGGCGCTCGCACAGGCTCCCCCAGCTGCGTAAGTCCAATTCCTGAATTTAACTTTCGTGCTGATACTGATACTATTGAAGTGGCCCCTCCTTCGTTGCAGGCGCGGTCGCCTTGTCCTCACAACCTCAGTATCGTGAACGCGAACGCGAACGTGATGACTATGACCGAGACCGCGGTGACCGAGGAGACAGAGGATATGGTGAACGCGAAAGACGTGGATATGGGTCCTATGACAACGGCATGATGCCTGCGCCAGCCGTGGACACCGGGCCCGATCCCGCTTATGGCTCGACTGAGGAGGCAGAGAATGCTTTCATGAAGATGCTGAAGCGCCACAACGTCCAGCCTGACTGGACTTGGGAGCAGACGATGCGAGAGACAATCAAGGACCCGCAATACCGCTCCCTCAAAGATCCGCGAGACCGCAAGTCTGCTTTTGAGAAATATGCGGTCGAGGTTCGCATGCAGGAAAAGGATCGGGCGAAGGAAAGATTCGCTAAGCTCCGCGCAGATTTCAATACCATGCTGAAGCGGCATCCTGAAATCAAACATTACAGTCGCTGGAAGACAATCCGGCCCATCATCGAGGGTGAGACTACCTTCCGAGCCACCGACGATGAGAGTGAGAGACGCCAGCTTTTCGAAGAGTACGTCACTGAACTCAAAAAGACTCACGCGGAGCAGGAATCTGCAACACGCAAAGCGGCTATGGATGAGCTGGTTGGAATTCTTAACTCACTAGAGCTGGAGCCATACACGCGGTGGGCGGAGGCACAAGCGACTATCGAGTCTAGTGACAAGTTCCAGGGTGACGATAAGTTCAAAACCCTGAGCAAATCCGATGTTCTGACCGCGTTCGAAAATCACATCAAGTCCTTGGAGCGTACTTTCAACGATGCTCGCCAGCAGCAAAAGGCCGCTCGGGCCAGAAAGGAGCGTCGCCACCGCGAGCAGTATCTGGAGCTTCTCAAGGAGCTGAAGTCCCAGGGAAAGATCAAGGCTGGCAGTAAGTGGATGCACATACGCCCGGTGATTCAGGATGATCCTAGGTACCATGCAATTCTGGGTCAGGCCGGATCGACCCCTCTGGATCTGTTCTGGGACATGGTGGAGGAAGAGGAGCGCTCGCTCCGCGGTCCTCGTAATGATGTACTTGACGTTCTCGATGTGAGTAACTATCTCGTACAGTGAATGGGTAGCCGCGTACTAACTTTTCTTCTCAGGACAAACGCTTCGAGGTTACCTCTAAAACTACCTACGAAGAGTTCAAGTCTATCATGGTTGCTGACAGACGCACTTCGAAGATTGACCCTGACATTCTCGAGCTCCTTTTCCAGCGCATCCAGGATAAAGCGATCCGCAGAGATGAGGAAGAGAAGCATGCGGCTGACCGCCACCAGCGCCGTGCAGTCGACGCTTTGCGGTCTCGTATCAAGCGTCTGGAGCCCCCTGTGCGCATTACAGATACATGGGAGCAGGTCCAGCCCCGGATTGAGAAGTACGAAGAATACAAGGCTGTTGAATCCGACGAGCTTCGCGAATCAGCATTCGAAAAGGTCATTCGCCGTCTTAAGGAGAAAGAAGAAGACACCGATAAGGACCGTGAGCTCCGCGATCGAGATCGGAGCCGCCGTGACTACGACCGCGGTGACCGCGACTATCGCAGTAGCCGTGGTGAACGACGAGGCGGTAGCCGTGTTAGCCGCTCTCCAGAGCCCGACGCTTATGAAGCCGACAGGCGCAAGGCAATGGCAGACCGTGAGCGATCCTACCGCAAAACAAGCGGCTTTTCGCCAACACGCGACCGTCGCGATGACCGTGATCGAGACCGCGAGCGCTACCGTGAGCGCGACAGCCGGGACTATGACAGACGTCCCCGAGAGGGTGACCGGCGCGAGGATGAGCGCGAGCGTCTGTACCGCGCCCGCGGAGATCCACGCGGTGGTCGCGACGAGCTAGACTACGGTGGCGATGCTCGTAGTACGGCCAGTGACCGCCGACGTCGACGTGAAAGCGACTCGGAGAGTGTCGCGAGTCGGTCTGTGAAGCGGCATCGGAGGGACAGTCGGGAGAGGGAGCGCAGCAAGGGTCCGCGGAAGAGATCGTGCAAAGGAGACTTCTGCGGTCCCCGAGGAAAATACTAAGAAGGATGAGAAAGCCATTCACTCGGGCAGTGAGGAGGGAGAGATCGAGGAGGACTAGTTGCATCCGAATGGACCTTGGTGTCCCTAGCTTAACCTGATTACTTGCTAGTCACGCTAGGGTTAAATATGGAATCTGTATTTTCTTTGGTCTTCATTATCTTCAAGTTCTTTGCATCGTAAACCCTTTCACGATGTTCTGTCGTTCCGATTCTCATGCGTTGGAGTGCCAGGTGGGTCCAGATGTATATATGCTTCCTCCCTAGTACTGCCACCATCTCGACTCTAAACAACGGACTGGGCGGCTTGCAATACTCACGATAGCTGGACAATCTGGCAAGCTCTCTATTCGATGGTCACCTAGGCGAGAAGTAATAAATCTTATCCCATTGAACTATTGACTCTCGCCTGGGCAACACGCGACCCCTTGTCCTTGCAGCGTTACTGCCATCCATGCATCACCCTTGGGAGATTCGTCACCGACAGGGGCAGCCGGCTTATAGACTCTACAGCCAGAATCCCATTGTAGGATCAAGGCTCCAACCTACTTTGCATCACTTGGTGTTCATTATGATGGCCCCATTACTGACGAAGAGCCAAGCTGAAGAGCTGTAGGTACGATTCTGCCGCACCATCGGGAAGACAAGACTGAGACAGAACACAGGCACAAAGCCATGCTTGGGTATCTGTCATCAATTAACGCATCCCAAAGCATAAGTGTTCTCCGAGAAGAACTCGAAGTACACCACTCCTTGACCGAAGCCTCCGTCAAGAAATACGAAGGACTCCTGGAGAGAAAATGGACCAGTAATGCACGACTCCAAAAGAAAGTAAGACACGCCCAATCTATAGCAGCTTAGCTGGAAGTATATTCGTGACTTGAATATTCGAACGATTCAAAGAGCCACAGATCGAAAGCACTTACAAACTTTGGAACCTCAGATAATGGACCTAGAATCCCAACTATCAACTCTCCAAACCCAACACATCCACACAAATTCGACACCCAAAGACCCCAGGACATGGCTTCCGGGGCCAGCAATACATACTCTTCAGTCTCACCGCAGCGCCATCACCGATATAGCCCTCCACCCAATCCATAGCACCCTTGCTTCCTCCTCCGACGATAGCAGCATCAAGATCTGGGACCACGAATCCGGCGACCTCGAAAAAACCCTTCGCGGCCACATCCGCAGCTGCAATGGCGTCGATTTCGGCGGCTTTCCCGAAACATTGCTCGCATCCTGTTCCAGCGACCTGACAATCAAGATCTGGGATCCAGCAAAGGAATACGCGAATGTGCGGACATTATCAGGACATGAGCATTCGGTGACGAGTGTGCGATATCTCCATAAAGGGGGGGAATTTACTAGTATCGGTAAGTCGGGATGGGAGTGTGAGGATCTGGAATGTGGGATCGGGATTCTGTGTTCGAGTGCTGTATGCTAGAGATTGGATCTATGCTGTTTGTCCTTCTGGGGATGGGAGATGGATTGTCTCTGGGGGACGGGACGGAGGGGCGACGATTTGGGATCTGGCGTCTGGTAGTGTGAAGGCTGTGTTGGATGGACATGAGCATTATGTTGAGTGTTGTGTTTTTGCGCCGGTGGCGAGTTATGGGGCTTTGGCTAAAATGGCCGGGGTTAAGAGGCCGGATTCGGGGAGCTTGGGGGAGTTTGTGGCTACGGGGTCGAGGGATAAGAGTGTGAGGCTGTGGAATTCGAGGGGGATTTGTATCAAGCGGTTGGATGGACATGAGAATTGGGTGCGAGGGTTGGTGTTTCACCCGGCGGGGAGATATTTGATCAGTGTTGGTGATGATAGATCTATGCGATGTTGGGATCTGGAGCAAGAGGGGAGATTGGTGAAGACGCTGGAAGGACATGATGCCTTTGTGACTTGTATTCGATGGGCGCCGAGCATGCAGGGTGATAAAGTGGATGAGAGGAAGGGGATTCGATGTGTGGTTGCCACTGGATGTGCAGACTCACGGGTGCGAGTGTTTCGATAGATATACTACGCGGACAAGATCAAAATCATCGTGAAATAAGTGATGCAGAAAGCAGGCCTAGAACCATATACATGATGTGCTGCCCGATGCAAGGAAACTTTTCAACGATTCAGAAGTGACCACAGCCTGGCCACTTCCCCAGCCATAAAGCCATCTCTATCAATCATGAATTCATGGAAGAGCTTTTTGGAAAACCGACAAACTCCAGTAAAAACCATGCCAAGCAAATAAAATCCCAACCCATTAGATCTGAAACGAGACCGGTGACGGATCGGGTGGTTGTCGCCCTGTTTTGCCAAAGACCCGGAGAAATTTACAAAAAGAAAGAACCAGAGTACTGGAATAGGCAAAATTGCAGGGCGAATGGCGAGGGATTATGATGAAATAGACGGTAAGAAGAGGCTGGAGAAGTGGCTTCAGGCTGAAGGATGGTGGTCGAGACCAATCACTACTTAGCCGAAATCCCCAATACCAGCAACATCGTCGTCCTCATCACCCCCGCCATCCTCAGGAAGACCTTCTCCATCATCAGGAAGACCGTCAAGGCGAGAGCAAAGTCCTCGGCCATGAGCCGCAACGGCCCTGCAAACGCCTGCGAACGCCTTTGACCACCCGAACTGTCTGTTGCCGCGCCGCTGTTTGCGTCGCCGCTCAGAATCGCGGCCATCACGGTTGTGACGGCGGCGGTAATTCTCATGAATGATGCCCTCTTCAATTCTCTTCCTCCAAGAAGTAGAAGTTGCCCGCCAACTTCTGCTCTTGATCCATCTGACTCTGGTGCTTGTTGATACGAGGACGGTAGCTGTTAGGGTCACGACGGAAAGTAACGTCCAGGCTCTTCAGGAAGCGGTTGCAGCCAGTAACCAGAGACTCGGGGGTATTGGCACGAGCGTCCACGGACGGCTTTCCGTCGAAGACAATGACACGGTCAGCAAGATAGGTGGCCATGATGAAATCGTGCTCGACGATGAAAGCGGTCTTCTTGGTGTGCATGATGAAACGCTTGATGACACGGGCAGCGATAATACGCTGTTCAGAGTCGAGGTAGGCGGAAGGCTCGTCAATCAGGTAGATATCGGCGGGGACACCCAGAGCGAGGACAATGGCAACACGTTGCAACTCACCACCGGAGAGGTTCTGGACCTCCTGGTCGATGAAGTCGTCAATCTTGAGGGGCTTGTAGACATCGGTCTGGAACTGAGGAGACAGGAAGGCGGCCTTGATACGCTTGAAGAAGAGCTGACGGACAGTGCCCTGGAACTTGGGGGTAATCTTCTGGGGCTTCATGGAGATGTTCATCTTGGGAATAGTGGAGCCGTGGTCAGGCTTCTCAGCACCAGCCAGCATCTTACAAAAGGTGGTCTTTCCGGTTCCGTTCTCACCCATCATGACGAGAATCTCAGAGTCAGTGAAACGTCCAGTTTCAACCTTTAGGTGGAAGTTGCCCAGAGTCTTTTCCATAGTAGGGTAGCTAAAAGCGCGGGCCTTGTCGGCAATGAAATCGTCACCGGCTTCGGACAGACGGAACGTGAGGGACTCATCACGGAAACGCAAGTTCTCAGTAGGAATGTGACCGTCAAGGAAGATGTTGATACCCTCACGGACAGAGGAAGGCAGGGTAACCACACCGTAGACAGCAGGACGGCCGTAGAGGACGCAAATGAAATCGGAAAGGTAGTCAAGAACTGACAGATCGTGCTCGACGACGATAACGTAGTCATCAGGACGAAGAAGGCTGCGGATGGTACGGGCAGCAGCCAGACGCTGCTTGACATCCAGGTAGGAAGAAGGCTCATCGAACATGTACACGTCGGCCTTTTGCACACACACCAGACCGATGGCGAAACGCTGAAGCTCACCACCGGAAAGGTGGCCAATGTCACGGTCTGCAACCTGGCGCAGCTCCAGAACATCCATGATCTCCTCCATGTTGCCAAGAGAGGCACGCCCCTTGATGAGGTCCTGAACACCCTGGACGGGGCCCTTCACAGCACGAGGAATCTGGTCAACATACTGAGGCTTGACGACTGCCTTCAGGTTGTCCTCCAAAACCTTGGTGAAATAGTCTGTTTATTATCAGCTTTCTGTCCTCAACAGAGTTGAAACTCGACTGGAAGTGCCTACTCTGCAACTCGGATCCACGGAAGTACTTCAGAATCTCCTCCCAATCAGGGGGGTTGTCGTAGCGGCCGAGGTTGGGCTTGAGCTTTCCACTCAAAATCTTCAGCGCAGTACTTTTTCCGATACCGTTGGTTCCCACGAGACCGAGAACTTGGCCGGGACGGGGCATGGGCAGACGGTGGAGCTTGAAGCTGTTGGCGGAATAACGGTGGGTGACCTGGGATTCCAAGTTGGTGGGCAAGTTGATGATGTGGATGGCACCGAATGGGCACTTCTTCGGACAGATACCACAACCAATGCACAGCTGCTCGGAGATGAAGGCGATCTTGGACTCGGGGGTCACTTCGATACACATCTTACCCGTGCGGACCACAGGGCAAGACTTTTTGCACTCCTGACGACATTTCTTCGGCTTACACTATAGATCGAGAAGGCGTCGTGTCAGTCGAGTTTGAATGAGTGGTGAGTGGGCCCAGCAGAACGCGATTAGCGGGGTATTAGGAGACGAACCTTGTCAGAGTTGATGATCGCAATACTATGGAAATGTGACTGTCAGCAATGCGCCGTGGAGGAAGGCCTTCATCGCAACATACCGAGTGAGCTTGTCAGACATTGTGGCGGGATGTTCGAGGAACCAGAATCAGGTATCAAAAGCGGGTCACAAGAAAAGATTTTTGAGGATGGAAACCCTGCAAAGTCGGAGCAAAAAGAAGCCGCCGCAACCAGGGAATTTGAGGCGCAGAAGAGCACCAAGTGTCGCAGACTCGGAACAATAGTGGAGGTGAGGGCAATGGCAGCGAGTGATGAGGGGGCAGAATTGAACTTCTTATTGTGGGCTGTCGCGCCTGAGGCCACCAGTGACCGCCCGCGCGCCAATTCTTATTCAATGCGAATCTCGATGCCTGTCATTGGCTTCTCGGTGGGACTGTTGTTCCGCCGCTTCCGTCATACCATGCGTCTCTCACGTGACTGACAGGTGGTCGGCGGCAAGCGAAGACGCTAGTCCCGAAGGAATTGAACATATGTGCCTGACAACTTAGGCATGCAACAGATCGGCCGTGCAAACCAAACCAAACCAAACCGAATCAGATTCCCCAACTCTTGTTCTTCCTCACTCGTCTCGTCTACACCCACACCTCGTCCATCCTCCTCCTCCTCGCCCACCATTCATTTTACAAATTGATAATTTAGTTGCCCCTTTTGTGGGGTCACCACGCTATGGAATGTAAGTCGTTTTGATTTTTTTTACTCGCTGGGGCTCTGTCCAAACTCTTCGTCCGGGTACTTCTCCGCGTTCTTCGACCCACTGCACGAGATCCAGAACCTGCCCTTTGGACTCGAGATCGAGGTTGTCCTTGACCGTTCCCTGTCAATCTGAGGCTGCCGTTCTTGCTGGACGGATGATTGGTGTCAATTTTCCAGTGCCTCCCTCCCATACCGTGCCCGCGTCTATGCCTCCCGCCATCAAAAACCATCTTCCTCCATCAAACTTGAGATTCAACCCCAATCTGCCGCCTAGAAGCTTCGACCTCCCCGTAGTTTGGGTCGCGTACCACTCTTCTACCGTTACATGCATCTCTGATATGCCCGCCTGCTAGAATTGAGCTTCAATGCTGACTGCCCCTCTTGTCATAGCCTCTAGCATGGTGATCCCATCAGGTCAAGAACCTTCTTCTACGTCCACAATGCCTAATGGTTTCCCTTACTCACCAGCTCTCGACGATTCACGAACTGAATCCGACGTGGTCGCCAAGAGTGAGCGTGGTCCATTCCAACCCATCGAGTCCCATCCCATCTCCGAGTCCTCTCCCGAGCCCGATGCCGCGGACGATTCATATGGTGTCGAGTCTCCAGCTTCTGACGGAGAAGACGATGATGGCGCGATAGATAACAGTGACGACGAGTTCGATGCATCCAGCCGTGAAAACTCTTCATCGCCGCAGTCCGACCGCGGTATCAAGCGCAAATCATCGCCGCCGGACGAAACTCAGTACATGAGACAAAATCCAGACTTGTATGGACTTCGCCGTAGTGGTCGCGCGCGCACAACGCGCACCCTCGCCGACTCTTCTGACTCCGACTCCGATGCCGTTGCGCCTCGCGCGAAGCGTCCGCGCAAGGAACTTTCCCACCAGCCCTCGAAGACCTCACGGTCGGCTACGGCCTCATCATTCTCAGAGTCAGACAGTGATGAGTATGGCGGACAAGCAAGCAAGGCGAGACGTCGCCGCGCATTGAAAAAAAGCGCTGGAATGGAACCCTCGCTTTCTGAAGTCCGCTTCTCTACCAGAAATGCTGCCAAGGTGTCGAACTACAATGAAGATGATGATGATGAGGACGACATCTTCGAAGACGGCGCAGATCAAGTCGCAGACAATTACTGGCCCGTCGACTATGTCGATACTCGTCCTGCTGTGGATGTAGTCCTCAACCATCGCTTGAACAAAGACAAGGACCCTAGCCGTGATCTCTCCGTAGATCGCGAAGACTACGATTTCTACATCAAGTGGCAAGATAAGTCACATTATCATGCCACTTGGGTGCCAAATGACGAGCTTGTCAACTATCGGAGCACGCGACGCGTCGATAACTATGTTCGGAAGGTACTCGACGAAGAATTACGGCTTCTGCAGGAAACTTCCACCCCACCTGAAGACCGGGAGAAGTGGAACCTTGATCGCGAGAGAGACGTGGAAGCGATTGAGGACTTCAAGAAAGTTGAGCGAGTCATTGGAAATAGGGTCGGCCCAGACGGTACAGAGTACCTCGTCAAATGGAAGCGCCTCTTGTACGACTCATGTACTTGGGAAGCGGAAGAAATGGTCAGTGAGATCGCCCAGCGCGAGATCGACCGCTTCTTAGATCGGTCTGCTCGAGTTCCTGTCTCTGACAGAAACGAGTCAAATCCCGCCACTCGCAAGCCATTCGAGCCTATTCACGGAACCCCCAGCTTCTTGCAAAATGGGGAACTCAAGGATTTCCAGATCAAGGGTCTAAATTTCCTTGCTTTCAACTGGGTCAAGGATCGCAATGTCGTGCTGGCTGACGAGATGGGTCTTGGAAAAACTGTGCAGACCGTCTCCTTCATCAACTGGCTGCGTCATGTCCGACGACAACAAGGACCTTTTGTCGTCATTGTGCCCCTCTCAACCATGCCCGCATGGGCCGAAACATTCGACAACTGGACACCAGACTTGAACTACGTCGTCTACAACGGCAGTGAGAAAGCACGCAGTGTTCTCCGTGAATATGAACTGATGGTTGATGGCAATCCTAAGCGACCGAGGTTCAACGTACTGTTGACGACATACGAGTATGCGATGAATGATTCTGCCTTCCTTGGACAATTCAAATGGCAATTTATGGCTATCGATGAGGCGCACCGTCTCAAGAACCGTGACTCTCAGCTTTACGTCAAGCTGTCTGAATGGAGATGCCAAGCCAAACTTCTCATCACTGGTACACCCATTCAGAACAACCTTGCAGAATTGGCATCCTTGATGGACTTCCTCAACCCTGGCAAGATCGAGGTAGACGTGGATATGGATCTCAATTCTGAGGCCGCCTCACAGAAACTGGCCGAGTTGACTGATGCTATTCAACCCTTCATGTTACGACGCACAAAATCCAAGGTTGAGTCCGATCTGCCTCCCAAAACCGAGAAGATTATTCGAGTTGAGCTCTCCGATGTTCAGTTGGAGTATTACAAGAACATTTTGACCAAGAACTATGCGGCATTGAATGATGGCGCTAGGGGAGTGAAGCAGTCCCTTCTGAACATCATGATGGAGTTAAAGAAGGCTTCCAACCATCCTTTCATGTTCCCCAACGCGGAAGCCAAAATTCTTGAAGGGAGCCACCGACGAGAGGATATTCTCCGTGCCATGATTACTAGCAGTGGAAAGATGATGTTGCTTGACCAGCTGCTTCGCAAGATGAAAGAAGATGGCCATCGAGTATTGATTTTCTGCCAAATGGTCGGCATGCTCAATATCCTCAGCGAGTACATGGAGTATCGTGGCTACAAGTACCAGCGACTCGATGGTACCATCCCATCAGCTGCTCGTCGCCTGGCGATTGAGCACTACAACGCCCCTGACAGTACAGACTTTACATTCCTTTTATCGACCCGCGCCGGTGGTCTCGGTATCAACTTGATGACTGCTGACACGGTCGTCCTGTTCGACTCGGACTGGAATCCGCAAGCTGATTTGCAAGCCATGGCTCGAGCACACAGAATTGGTCAAACAAGGCCTGTCAGTGTCTATCGCCTGGTGTCGAAAGACACCATTGAGGAGGAGGTCATCGAGCGAGCACGCAACAAGCTTCTGCTCGAATTCATCACCATCCAACGTGGTGTCACCGACAAAGAGGCTTCTGACATGCAGAACAAGATGGCTCGTGTCATTGGCGAACCCAACTCGACTGAAGACATCTCCCGGATTCTCAAGCGCCGTGGTCAGAAGATGTTTGAGCAAACTGACAACCAGAAGAAGCTTGAGCAGCTCGATATTGATTCGGTTCTTGCCAACGCTGAGCTACACCAGACGGAAGAGTCAGAGCAGATCCAAGCCGATGGTGGTGAAGAATTCTTGAAGGCCTTCGACTTCGTGGACATTAAGGTCGATGATCTGAGTTGGGATGACATTATTCCTCAGGAGCAGCTCGACGAGATCAAAGCAGCTGAGAAGCGCAAGGCCGATGAACAATACCTCAACGACGTGATAGAGCAAAACCGACCTCGTAAACGCGGAGCGCCCGCCGAAGAGTCCAAAGACTCACGTGAAGAACGCAAGGCCAAACGGCAGGCTAGAGCGCAAGTCGTCGTCGATGATGTTGAGGATGATAGTTCATTGGACCCCAAGCGCCCTCTTGGTGAGAAGGAGTATCGTGCTCTTTCTCGAGCCTTCTTGCGCTATGGTGACATGGCCGATTGCGAAGAGCTCATTATCGAGGACTCTCGATTGCAAAACCGTGACCGAGAGACCGTGAAAGCCGCTCTCCGTGAAATGACGGACAAGGCAGCTGCCTTGGTAAACGAGAATCTGGCTCAGATCGATGCTCTCAAGCAATCAGGCAAGAACATCACGAAAAAGGAGCAAAAGGCTGTATTGTTCGACCATCATGGCGTGAAACGTCTAAATGCCTGGACCATCGTTGATCGACCGCCGGACATGCGCCTTGTTCGGAAGATCACCGGTTCCTTGGCTGATTTCCGGACTTTCCGTCTTCCAGAAGCTACCAAGCTGGCCGACTATAGCTGCCAATGGGGTGCACGGGAGGATGGGATGCTCCTTGTTGGTATTGGACGCCACGGATTCGGAGCTTGGGCCCAAATTCGCGATGACACTGAATTGGGTCTCAGCGAGAAGTTCTTCTTGGAAGAGCACCGAGTGGAGCGAAAAACGCAGCGTGCACAAGGAGAAGAGAAGTCAACGAAGTCCCCCGGCGCTGTTCATCTTGTCCGTCGCGCTGAATACTTGCTTTCCGTCTTAAGAAACAAGTACAGCAACGGGAACAACGCTACCGCACGGCGTGCAGTGGATAATCACCACCGGAACAACAAGCGCAACTCGCGCGTTGGCAGCGGTAGTGTCTCTGCTTCCCCAGTTCCCTCTTCTCGCAAGCGCGAGCGTGAGGTTGATCGCTCGCGACAGCGTTCTCACACCCATGGCGGCCGGGATGACCGTCACCACACCCCCAATCATGATCGTCCGAAGTCTGGGCATGATCTTGATCGTCCCCGCCATCGTCTCTCCGACGCCGCCAATGAAGAGCTTCGTCGGCGCAAAGGTCATGAAAATGGTGGTTCTAGCAAAGAAGACATGGCTTTCATGTTCTTCAAACCTATTGTGCCAAAGCTTAAAGAGGTTTCGACAATCACGGCCAAAAACATCCCTAACAAGACCGAGCGAGCTTTGAAGCTCCGCAATACCATTGAGAACATTGGTGAATTCATCAACAGAAACCTTGGGGGAGGGGCATCAATGGCGTCCCTTGAGACCCGTCTATGGTAAGTCTACTACTGGTTGCCCGTGTCATCTAATTACTAACTTTTCTCAGGGATTATGTCTCTGTCAATTACTGGCCCAACAAGGAGGCCAGCGGGTCCAAACTCCAGCAAATGTTCAAGAAGGTTCAGGAACTTAGCAAGAAGAAACCTTCCAACGGAGCCTGATGCAGACAGAACCCGCTTGTCGCACCTTGCCGCGGCTGAAAGTACCATTTGGGTTGTTGATGGGCCTACGACTTAAATAGTGAGCATTTTGGCTTTAGTCCTATATGACGGGATACCCTGGTTCACCGAATCCTCCTCCTCGGTGACCTCTCAGAACCTCTCCCCTGCCACGGTAACGACACCTCAAAAGATCTATGGATGATTATTAAAAGTACATACGGATGCAACGAGTTGCATGGCATTTTGAAAGGCGTCGTTATGAATTGCGCAACCCAACAATTCCCAGCACAGAAAGGAGACTCTCCGACTTTGAATATGACTCAAATCAGACGATATTTGCATGGCGTGATTGGGACTTTTTTGTTTCGGAGTTTGTCCATTCCATCTTCATTTCTTCCTCGTTGGCAGATCGTGCTGCACCTGGATCTTGATCTTTTTGGCCGCGAAAAGGTCAGCATGGGGTTAGCTGGATCTGCCCTTTTTCTAATTCTTGTTTCTTTTTCACGCTTGGCATGCTTGCATCACTGTGGGGCAGCTGACGGTGCAGCTGGCAATTTGATTTCTTGTCTCTTTCATTTCTCTTTTCTTTTGAAGCACATGTACCCTATGGAGTGGCTACCACGGCGTCGATTAATGTTTCTGTATCTGACAAGACCTTTCACCTGGGAGCTCGTTCATGATGTCCTTTTGCAATTTAGAACAAATGGAATGAATCCCCCAAGGGGGATTCTTCTTGGGTCTCATATCTAGTTTAATCAACCGTACACGAGAATCAATGATCTAGAGCTTCTACAGCACAGCTACAAGTCTGATACCGGCATTGATAGGATCATCAATATTGACAATGCCAGCGGGCCTGGAGCAGGCAGGAAATACATCCTGGCTACAAGCAGAAAGCACACCCCAGATGGAAAAAGAGCTATTCGTACAAATGATATCCCACTCCCCTCAACCTTAACCTTTTCAAATCATGAAAGAAACAGACCCAAAGCTCCAACTCCGTTCACGCCATATTAAAAGAACAACCGAGATCAAGATTGTAGCAGAATACCAATTCAAAGCAAATCAGGTTGATGCAGTTTCAGCTCAATGCATTCAAGCGGCAGAATTGACATCAGCCGGCTCGGCGGCCCTAGCCTGCATCCGCTCCTGCTCTTGTTGATTCCTGAATTGCTGCTGCTGATGCTGTAATTTCTGCAGACTGGTAGACAAATTCGTCGTCGGCACGGCAGGACCACCGATGTCCCCCACAATCGCGCTGAACAGTCTCAACTCGCCATCGATAAGATCGTCGAATACCGCCTCCTTCTCCAGCCAGGACTGCTCGCGCTTTGGCCGAATTTCATCCCATTCAGCGCGCAGCTGTGCGGACTCCTTCTCAGCCCAGTGAATCTGTCGACGTAGTAGACGGTACAGATCATGCGGGTGCATAGCCAGCTCATGGTCGTCGAAGCCGAGCTCGGGCCCGTAATCGGGCATTGTTGAGTCTTCGTCATCGGCTATCGATGTGGATAAGATGGATTCGTGGGGCTCGGGCTCGGCGCCGGGTTCTTTGGGCGGATGAGAGAGCTTCAGACGAATGCGCTGTAGCTTGGAGGCAGGGGTTCCTGCGACGTGTCCGAGAAGGGCGTTTGACTTGGAGTCGGATGGGCGCAGGGTATCTGTTTCGTGAACGGAGCGCATATGCTTTGTCAATGCGTCAGAGCGAGTAAAGTTGCGGTCACATTCTAGGTGAGAGTTAGCAATTAAGTTGCCATCTAGTCAAGGGTATGTTGGCATGGTACGTACCAGGCAGAGTGCAGTAGAAGGGCTTTTCGCGAGTGTGACTTCGCATGTGAGCACGAAGTGCATATGCAGAGGCGTGCGTTTGGCCTTTACGGGAGCAGTCGATCCATTCGCACGAGTACCGCTTCTGTCGGCTGCCGATGTGCTCGTTGTGGATGTGTTGGACCAGGCCATCCATATTGCCAAGATCGCCTGCACTGCATCCATCCCACCGACATATAGTGACTTGGTCGGTGCTCTGGCCGGTGTAATCGTCGTCTTGGTTGTTACCCAGGGCGCCCAGGAGGCTGGGTTCGTTCGGGACGTCTCCGGAGCTGTCGGAGGAGATGGAGGCTGTGGGGGAAGGCGGGGGGGACTTCGTCTTGAATGGAAGATAGAGGAGTTTGTCGGTCCCAAGAAGCGACGCCTGTGCGCCTGCGCTTGGATGGAGGCATGTTGGGACCCGTTGGTGACTGGGCGCGGCTTTCCTGCTTGATAGATTCGTGGTCTGACTCTTCAGCAAAGCCGACCGAGGAAAGAGGGGAGGCTTCTCGAGAGGCCATGGCGAGATTCTTTGATCTCGATTTCTTTAGACTCAAGGCACCAAGGTATTTCGGTTGTTATCGTTGTGTCGACGTCAAGGGTGAAGCGTTTACTTTCCCCGACGGCATTTCGTCACGTGACAGAGAGTTCCCCCCAAAGTCGCGGTTTTCCTTTTCTCCTCGGTTTGCTTTCGCACACATTGTGGTTTTACTACTTATCCTGACAGCATGCAATTCGTACTAACCTACAGTCAATTGAATCAAGGAATCGCACTATGGTAAGCTTTCTCCTTTGATTTCTCTGTCCTTTGCATATGATGAACAACAAAGAAGAATTCTGCAATTCTGATAATCTCCAAGCATTTGTTTCGGCCTATGTATTGTGAGATTGACTGTTGATTTTTCTACACTTGATCTGACTGCAATAAACATGACATTGTCTTGTCTAGAAATGCTTTGATCTGAAGCTAACTGTCATAAGGATCTGATTATAGTGTCTCCTAGTAACGAGGCCCGGCGACCGTGTGTTCCTTAATGATCGCATCGACCTCGGCCATCTCCTCGTCGGAGAGCACCTGCACACCTCCCATGTTCTGAACGAGCTTATCGACGGTGGTGCCTCCAGGAATGGGAATAATGGTGGGCATCCCGGGCTTTCCACTCAAAGTGCGAACCCAAGCCAGAGCAATCTGAGCTGGGGCGACTCCCTTGCGGGATGCTAGGCTCTGGACTTCCTTGATCAACTTAAGGTTGTGCTGGAAATTGTCCTCTTGGAAGCGGGACATGTGCCGTCGGATATCGCCCTCGGGCAGGTCGGACAGCGAGTTGACGGCACCAGTCAGAACACCTCGGCCCAGAGGCGAGTAGGCAATGACGGGGATGTTGAGCTCGGCGCAGGTCTTGGCGATATCATTCTCAAGGATGTCCGTGGACCATAGTGACATCTCGACCTCGACGGCAGCGATGGGGTGCACCTTGGCTCTAAGAGTAATAGTTAGCATGCATATCGTAATCCAATCCACATATCAAAACATACGCTCGTCGGATCGTCTCCGCATCCACCTCGCTCAATCCAATTCCTCCGATCTTGCCCTCCTTCACTAACTTTGCAAGCACCTCGACCGTGTGCTCGACGGGAAAGTTGGGGTCCTGGCGCGCACACTCGAAGATATCAATCTTCTTCTTGCCGTCCAGTAGACGGACACAGTTGTCTACACTGCGACGAATGTTCTCTTCCGAGCCATCCGGCACAAGCTGGCCGACCTTAAGACCACCCTTGACGCTGAGAACGACCTTATCGGCGTTCTCAGGGTATTTCGTGAAGTATTTGTTCAAGAGGTGCATCGAATGATACTCCGGGGTACCGTACAGCTCACCAGCATTCCAGAAATTGGCGCCCAGCTCAAGAGTCTTGTTTAATGTCTCAAAACACACTTCTTGCGCCGGCGGCTGAGCCTGCCATGTCATTCCTTGAGTTCATGTTAGCACAATTTCTCAGTTGCGGAGGGGATAGTAGTACTCATGGTGCCATAGCCGGTGGTACCGACTTCCTTTCCGACGAGAGTAGGCATTGTGTGAATATGGGGTACTAATTGAGCACCGTGATGGAAATATAATCAGGTGTTGCTAAAGCAGAATGATTGACGGACTTGAAGCTTTGCGCCGGAAGGGCCTCTTATACGGCTGAGTGAACTTAGTCGAGTCCCACATTGTGTCATGGCTCCCGTTAACCCCGATCCTCTTCTACCAACGTCGACCGCCGTCGATCTCGCGCCTTGCCGGCTCCAATCCGCCCACATAGAAGCTTCCAAGCGGATTCCCGGGTAATCTTCAGGGGGGGTGAGGTCGGTCTCCGAACTGTAGGCGGGGATAAGCGCACATGGAGCCACAAATGACTGGAGCGGCACCGGAGTTAACGTGGCGCTTACCGAGAGCCCTTGACACCAATCGACCACTCTCATTTCCGTGGACACAAATTCATGACTGACGAGGAACAAGTTACTACGGATCAAGGGAATAACGTCAATATGCGCAAATACTTAAATTTGATTTTCGATCTTCATCCTTTGTGAAAGATCTAATACCTGTCACTTGAACATTGTGTGAAGGTCTTTTGAAAGATAACTTTGCACACAATGCCTACGGTCAAGGGTGTACGGAAGGGTTCTCGCAAATAGCGAAAAGTAAATGGGTGAGGGAACGCGTCCTTGGAGACTGAATCGAGTCCACGTTCGATGGCCGACAGGATCTAAGCTTTGGAAAATCCAATTTCTTCTTGTAATTGAGCACATCCCCTGTTGAATGTTTGACTGGGTCTCTGGACCAAATTATGTACGCGGAAAGTATGCTTCTAGAAGGTTGTGACAGGTCATTCGGTACAGGTGAACATGAAAAGTGGGAAATCATCATAGCATAGCAACCACAGCAGCAGCAACCATAGGAGCGGCCGTAATCAAAGCGCCCACGGGTCCAGCGGCAGCAGCGCCGGTTTGGGTTGCCGCAGATGCTGTGGTAGTTGCGGCCGAAGTATAGGTCGCCGCGAATTCTGTGATAGAGCTCAATCCTGCAGTGACCGTCAACTGATAGTAAGACTCGGCCATTGGAGCTGTGGTGTAGGTCGCCGACGTGGAAGTCGAATAGGCAGTCTTCCCACCGTTGTCTGAGCCGCTCTGACCGTAACTCATGGTGCAGCTGGCCGACATGGTTGAAGAATGCAAAGAGCACTCATAGGACTCGGTGACGGTGATGTCGTAGCTGCTTGACTTGTCTGAGGTGGATGCGATATAGACGCCGCTGAAGCTTACTGTCTCCGGGCCCTGGACAATGGTCCATGAATGAGGATAATTGCAGTCGGTTTTGGGAGCGCCCTTAACGCAGCCGACGTGGTATGTGGCGGCGTCGGTGTTGATGGCGACAAGGCTGGCGGCAGTGCTTGTCCAGCCGCCATACTTTAGGAGTTCCTGGTCCCAAGAAGGAGAGAAGTAGCCAAAGACGCTGGTGCTGCCATCATCAGCGCGGGCGAGCGTAGCCAGGGCCGCAGCGAGGAAAACGGAGATACGCATATTGATGGTACTCAGAAAGGGAAAAGTTGTGTAAATGAGGGTGCGCGGTGTAGCGGACGAACGCGTCCCTTTAAATGGGAGGCAAGCTAGCGTCTCAGTCTAACCTGTCGAGTCGAGCACTTGAGCCTGAATGCGAGCCAAGCCACTAAACTGAACGCGGCTCGACTGATTGGACATGTCTTGGAGAAGGACTCTAGAGCCTCTGACATTAGAAGCTAATTTCCCTGATAGTAACATTTGCTAGCTTCACGGCAATAATAAATCGCGCTCATTCGACAGATGACTCTGCGCGGGCAGAAGCGCAGCATTGAGTCCCGGTACTAGGCAGTCCTGGGCGCTAGCGTGAACCACCGAATCCCTCCGGCAATTGCGCTAATAAATGGACCCCTGTACCCCTGAGGTCCTTAGCGGGGGCGCTGACTACCCGAGTAGATCTAGCGACTCTGAGATGATTGTGGGGGCTAGAAACATGGACCAAGAGGCTCTAGCGTAGGCGCGAAATATCTCAAATTTGTCCAAATCCTCTTTTGTCTATGTACTTCACGCGCTCAATCAATTTACGGAAAATTTCGAAATTGTTCCAGAAGACATCAGCATTGGCAACAGCTTCAGCTGCTTATGCAGAGTAAACCAGGATGTCGGCGATATTGATATTGTTAAATTGAAAACCGACTAGTGCAGTGTACTAAGCACAAGCGATGTTTTGAACACCAAGGAGGATTTGTATTCTCCATCGACACTGTATCTTTGCTGGCTGACTTCGCATAAGCCTCCTTTCAGTCCCTCAAGCCGTGGTGGCAACGTCGGGGCTTACTCCCGCCTCTGAAGAAGCGAGAAGTAGAGTTTCGATACAGTTCAAGCCGGGCTGAGACAAGAAATGCTCGTGTCCGTTTCAATTGTGTACGTGTTCCGGCTGTCGAATTGCAAGACTGCCCCCAGGCATTCTTCATCATGTAGATAGAAAGAAATCAATCGATGTACTAATGAAGCTATAAGGATCATCACATTATATAAGTCATGAAAATTCGTCCCAGATTCTCTCCAGTTTAAAATGGTAAATTTGAATGCTTCTCATCCCAACAACCCAAGTTTAGCAGCGAAAAAATCAGAGTTCGGGTCGCTTTCCAAAATGCGTTTGTTCGCGTCGGCGTCGTCTCCGAGTCCACGTTCATCGGAGCTATCGATCATGTTGCGGAATCGGTGATCAAGTTCTTTTGCAACCGCACCAAAGATAACAGGCAGGTCGGAGGCTTGCAGTTTACCGTCTTTAGTCCATCCAGATCCGATCTGGATGTTCTCCATGGGCCTAGAATCTCCATTGCGGATGTTCGTGGTATACATGGCAGGCTGGGTAGACATAGTCAAGATTGTGCTGCTAGTTGATGTTCCCGTTGCTGTGGTGTTGATAGGCTTGTCTTGCTCGACTGTAATGTGGATAGAGGAGGCCAGAGTAGGAGTAGGAGTAGGAGTCTCAGAAGAGCTATTCGGGTCTTGTACACCTAGCAGGTCGAAGATCTCGGCAAGATAGTGCTCAGTATCGGGAATAAGTCTCTATGTCTCTATTAGGAGCGCTTCTTCGTCTTTGTGTTTGTAAACGTACAGGATCGCGAGGCTGAATCCTCGTTGCGGGCTGGACATGGATCGCCGCGGCCGACTCTTGGATCGGGCGCGCGAAAACGGAGGCGACTGGAAGCAAAGCCAGCACTGCGACGGCAGACCAGGTTGTCCTAGAAGAAAGTAAAGACATTTTGAATGGGTTGACTTGGTTGTATAAGGTAAAATGTCTCTGGTAGATTTTCCGAGTGCTGTAGGTGACGACGAAAGCAAGCACCGTAAACGCGCCTAGGAATAATTTTCAAAACGGGAAGAAAGACGATGATGCCCCGGTGAATCATAGGTCTTATATGATCTGTCTGAATGGGGAATTTCGCGATGATCTGGAATGAGGGCTGGTATACAAATGCCAGCCTCCGCAAACTTTGTCCTCGGTGCCTGCACAGCCTCTCAATTCACCAGCCGTCACAGAGGAATTGGCCTGGCCCTCTGCTATCACTTTCGATGATTTCTACAAATTTTAATAAAGCGTTGTAGTTCCTAGTGACGGCGGCCGTCGAGGGCGCTCTGGAGCGGATCCAGGGATATTTTGGCTGGAGGTGGATCCCTTGGAATGGCAGGTCAGCATTCCCGCCACTCGACCTTCCACACATTGGAACGGCGATCGCTAATCATGATGACAATGCCGAGAAAGAATAAAAGAACATCTTTTGAGAAGGTGTGGTCCGGGCAGAACGAGGAATGACGGGGTGATACTCTCTTCTCTCACCGTGCATGACTCGGTTCCGGGAAGCCATGGAAGATATTTATTCACCACGCCTATCCTCGCCGTCAAGATCCAATAGTGCCCGCCATGGTTTCTCCGCGAGGTTTCAATTCTAGAGTCTAGCCTGGAAGAGGCTGACCGCTCGATTAATGTAGTTGCCGTTTGTTTGTTTTTCTCTCCGACGTCCAGGGTGTTGTGAGGAGTACACAACCAAGCAGACTTGTGGTTATATTGCTTCTCAATGTATTGGACTTGAGATCAATCTCAGAAATCAATGGTAAGTCCCCAGATGCAGGAGTATGATCAAAGAAGGTCTCATTCCCAACGTACCGATTTCAGAGCTGCGGTTTTCCATTCTCTTCCTTTCTTGGGGAAAACCGAATTGGATCGCCTCGGCCGACTCTTGGATCGGGCGCGCGTTTAAAAAGACCACTATGAAAAAAAAAAAATCTTTGACATTAATGAAAGGAGTGGAAATGGTGGCTGAGCTAATATATGATGCTCTTGGGACAGAATCATAGACTCTAGATAGAGACAATCTCAGATACAATCGTCCAGATAGGGTCACGTTACGATTCAGAAGAGTTAATGGGGTACACTTCCGGCCGACTTTCCTCTCATGCTCGCCTTCTCATACTCGACATCGAATTTTTGAATGACGCTAATCCCATAAGGACCCGCATGAGCGGCCAGGCGCTGCTCGTCCGAGCTGACGGACTCAACATCGGCATTGGCGGTTTTCGAGGAGCCAAAGTCGTGACCAACATTGACCGTGTGCGTCTTTGTGTCCAAGGGATCCATGTTATAAGTTTCGTGGTTCGCCGAATACCCAAGTCGGTCAAAGGTCCTCCCAGAGGAAACACCGGCCCCGTACTTCCGATCGGAGGAGGATCCCATAGCAGGAGCAAAAGCGGCAATGATTGTTTTAAAGAATGGCATGTTGGCACAGATGATGGCAAGTTGAGGCTCCAGTACTGTCCACATGATAGGGTCGAGCATGGTGTATGTAGGATCTTCGAAATTCAGCTTGTAGATGGAGATGAGACGGATGATACTAATGACAGAGATTCTGGACAAGTAACACGATTGTCAGTACTTTTTAGCATTGATTCATGTGTTTCAGGATTTCTGGGACGTACACAATTCCCACGCAAAACACAGAGGTAAGACCGATCTTTTTCTGTACGTTGAGCTTTAACTTCCAGACGTGAGGCAGAGGCAGTGCGATGACCATAAGGTCGGTAACGACATTCATGATACCAGCTACCATGAAAGCTGCCGGGCGGTTGCCGCAAGTTCCCCCATCTGATGCGTCCCAGTTATAGCGGAACGGCCGGCAAAGTAAGAAGGCTTCGAGGATGATACTGATTACCCATGCCCAGACAACGGACAGGGCCACGATGACCCCTGTTTGAAGCCGTCTTTGGTTCCGAAAATGCGGACCATGAAGAGAGCAATGGAAGTTTTGACAAGTCCGAGGGAAGTTCCGTAGATGAATTCGACAGATAAGAGCGACTACAGTATTGATTAGCACAGGATGACAACAGTCTCTCAACTTGTCTCCTAAATTGGAAAACCTACCTTCATCGATATGGCGATCGTTGCGGGCGGCAGATCTTTCGCGTGTAGACCCATACCTCCGTACTTAGTCACTACGTCCTGTTAGAAGGTAAAGTCTTCGGGAGGCAATAGATGGGCAATCTAACTGATGTAGATCAAAGACAGAGCACCGTACATCATCATCTATCAGAGACGTTAGCAGAATGGCTGTGAACCATGTTCAATAGATGGAGATGACTGACCACTCCCAACAGAAGGAAGATCTCGGACATTCCAGGTTTCAGTGTCTTCAAGTGCATTGCATAAAAGCGTACACCGGTGGCAAGAGTTGCCAGAACGCCAAACACCGTGACCGCGATAAGCGGTCCCTGGATGTACGCTGGACTGATACTCTATGTCGCAACCATGACGGAAAAGGCCCTTGCATAGACCGGGCTTGAAGAATATTGTTTATACCCTCACAGGAAACTGGAGACACGGGTTCCTCATACAGACTCGGCTCTTAGCCCAAATGTCCAAACAATTCGCGAGACTCCATGGAGACTAGATGCCCCATAGATCCACTTCTCTCGTGTTATAAGCGCGCCTAGACCAGTGAGATTATTGGTACCGGCGTCTGCATCGAGCCTAAGTCGGACTCAATATTGAGATTTGCCACTAGTTGCCGTCTGACAATTCCCAACAAGCTAATTTCCCGCGAGAGATCTGTTCACGCTCGTATTAACATCTCGTTAGGGTGGTGGCGTCTTGGAAATCCTGGGACTCGGACTTGAGCCGATCTTACAGCGAGCCCTAATTGACTAATAGCGCGGAAAGTGGTTCGAAGAATTAAAGTTTCATCGATCGACCCACGATCTTTTTTTGGGCCTAGAAGTAGAAAAATAAAAATAAAATAAAATAAAGGTGATATGAACTAGACAAGATGCAGAAGGGTCGGGCGATTGTAGCTCTTGACATGAGTAGTGAAACTAAGCCTCCAAGTGGACAGAATGAAACAATGATGACCCGGTGATTTCCTGCGGCCAAGAGGTTTTGCTAAGCATATTCGCAAGAAAAATCAAACCTCAGGGACCCATTGCCAGATCGACCCAGTTTGCGTGAGATCCTGGAAATTTAAAATGCCCGAGTGGGGGGGCCAAGAAAGAAGCTCCCACTCATGGACTGTGAGTTGGAACTTGGCGACCTAGGCGCGATCTGATCGTCTTTCGAGATGCGGTCCAAGAGCCTAGTAGATCAAAACCCCAAACGAAACGAATGTTATGTGGCGTCAAAACACCTTCACCTTTCGGAGGGAGACCAAACTGATAAAAAGCGCACATCTAACAATACCTCGCGTGAGGTACCAAGCCTAATCGGGTTAGTCCGAACCCAGCTCGACATTTAAGGTCCCGATGCTCGAGTCCATGCGTCAGATTCACCCTAAAATTCGGACTAAAACCATTCACCACATTCGGCGAAAGCCACACGAAAGAGACCAGAGACACTAAAGAGACTATTGACGGGCCACCTCGGAGAATTTCTCCAGTACGGGACGTCCATGCGCGATGGAGCTCACTGATCATAAGGGGGGACAGTCATGTGATCACGAGCCACACGTTGAGACGCAACTGAGATAGAGAAGCCCCACTGGGAGGCGCGAGGCGCCTTCGTCCTGTAAACACCTCGGGACGAGGTAGGCATTGCCAAGATGTCTTTCCACTGGAAAGACCTCAAGTCTCACCTACCTCATGTTCGATTCCTCACCGTGCATTATGCCTACTTTATCGGAGTGACTCTCGTCACCTCTGCTATCTTCTGGGGTAGCTCCACCCCGGCCCACAGCGTACGGTATATCGACTCGTTGTTTTTAACAGTCAGCGCCATGACACTCGCTGGCCTGAACACAGTCAACTTATCTACCCTCAACACTTTTCAGCAGATCTTACTCTTCTTTCTGATCATGGCTGGGTCTACGGTAAACCTTACCCCTTTATCCAATCCAGGGTGCAGCCTGATTCATTATTGGAATAAAGAGCTCATAGTGTATAGATCTGGGTCTCAATTGGAGTTATCGCAGTTCGCAAGAGCTTCTTCGAGAAGAAATTCAAAGAGATCGTGCAAAAAGAAACTCTCCGGAGGAAGAGGCTCCGTAAATCGACCGGCTTTGCCCGTCGGCTTACCTGGTCGCGATCTATATCGCGGCAACCAACAATACCAGAAGATCCAAACTTACATATACATAGGCGGCGGCCTTCCATCATCTCTCTCCGGCCGATTGGGTCACGTAACAAAAGCCAGGGCCAGATCTCAACTGATTCAGCTGATGACAGACCATCTGACCAGCAAGCGGAAAATATTCACCCCATAAGCAGACATGACAGTGGATCTGTTGTCTCTGATGAAAGGTTCCCAGATCGACGTTTCTCAGAAGATCCCAACGACACTGAAAATACTGATGTTCATATCGCATTTACTAATGACGTGCGGGATGGGCGGGGAGACAGGCGGAGTCCAATGCGCCGACGCATGCGTCCTCCATATGTGAACGTCCAGAGCATGGCAGCAGCCCAGAATGGACTCGAGGAGGGTCATGACCAAGACTCCGATGGAGAAGACGACAGCCATCGGAACTTTCTACGCAAAATCAGTCGCAACTCCTCATTTCATCATCTGAGTGAGCGAGAACGCCAACGGCTCGGCGGTGCAGAGTACCGAGCTGTATCTCTGCTGTCCGTCATTGTACCTCTATATTTTCTGCTATGGCAACTGTTAGGTGGGCTTGGAGTGGGCGCGTATGTTGCGAGAAATAAGGCCGCACTGGCTAGGGCGAATGGAATGAACCCTTGGTGAGTTTTTCTTCCAGGTTTCCTTTGGCCCTGCCAACTTGTTTCGTATTTAGGTGGGTGGGATTCTTTTTCGCCATCTCGGCTTTCAATAATTCCGGGATGAGTATCCTTGATGCCAATATGGTAAGCACCAGAGCTTCCCCATTAACAATGGCATGCCGCTCATCCGTTGTTCAAGGTCCCCTTCCAAAGATCCACATACATGCTGATCACAATGGGTCTTCTCATCCTGGCAGGCAATACATGGTATGTCCTCTCGTTGTTTCCTGGGGAATTGTACACGTGTGGACTCATGATTTTCTTTGCAGTTACCCCGTATTTCTGCGATGGATATTGTCTACCATACTTAGGATTCTCCCTCCCGGCGAGTATTTTCACTATCTTCGAGAGACCTTGACGTTCCTGTTGGAACATCCCCGACGGTGTTACACTACGCTTTTTCCTTCAGCACATACATGGTGGCTTTTCCTCTCGGTGATTGTATTGAATGGAATCGACTGGGTGGCATATGAGGTCCTCAACGTGAGTTCCATTATTTCCACTTCAACACACTTTCGAGATACTGACCCATGTTCAAGTACGACAATCCGGCGGTCGATGCCATTCCAGTCGGTCCGCGTATCTTGGACGGGCTATTTCAAGCACTTTGCGTTCGCAGTGGAGGCTTCTACATTACCAACATCTCCGCCCTCCAAATCGGAACACAGGTACTCTACGTGATAATGATGTACATATCCGTCTATCCTGTTGTCATCACCATGCGTCACTCCAACGTCTATGAAGAAAGAAGCCTGGGAATCTACGCCGACGACCCCACCGTGACCGAAGACCGCGAAACCTCTTCTTCAAATTCCTCTTTGGCGCCCAGATCCCCCTCGCCGGGGCGAATGTATTTCATCCGCCATCAACTCCGTGCACAGATCGCCTATGATTTGTGGTGGATCGCGTTAGCTGTTCTAGTAATCTGCATTGTGGAAGCTGGCAATTTCACTCGGGACCCAGTCACGTATTCAGCTTTCAACATTATCTTCGAAACTGTCAGTGCATACGGCAGCGTCGGTATTAGCACGGGCCTTCCGACCGAGCTCTACAGCTTCTCTGGTGGCTGGCATACACTGAGCAAGCTCGTGCTCTGTGCTGTCATGATTCGTGGCCGTCATCGTGCTCTGCCCGTGGCGATCGACAAGGCTATCATGCTTCCTAGTGATAAGCTTGCTAAAGCGGAGGAGGAAGATGCTTTGATCAGAATGGAGCGGACGATGAGTCGGACTCGATAGTGACTGATCGTTTTTGCAATCCCATTACGTTGTACATCTTTCTTAGAAAAAGGAAAGGACGGTATAATCCCCTAATTTACCTCGTGCGCAGTGATTCATGCTCGATGACTACCAATCTACGTTGATGGTTTTGAAGGTGATTGCACATGGTAGATGTATTGAAGGCAAAAATCCAAACGAGTGCAGGAACAGGATTCTGATGTGCCTGCCCTGATGATTGATAAGTATAATTTGCGGCAGGGATCGTATTCACTTTGCAAGAGCCCAAGATATCCTCAGAGTTACAACGCCACATGGGTAAAAATGAAGACAACGACGTCGGCGATCAATGTTCAACCGTGCCGCTTCAAACTCCATCGTTGAAGGTATAGTGGTTCATCCATCGCTAAAATGTATCAGTCACCTATTACATTCGTCGCTATAAGGATCAATAACATACCTTGTCATAAGGCTTCGAAGAATCACAGAACCGCAAATCAGTCGCGAGACGAATGACGTTATGAGGATCATTGTTGATAGTCGATGCATGAATCTATTGAGAACATTAGCACTATATGAGCCATCATGTAAGAAGACGTACCATATGAGGCTTGTGCAGTACCACATCACCCGCCTCATAGGCCGACACCAGCCATTTTCGACCGTGATCGAGAGCGAACTGAGCCGGGGTCTCGGAAAGAAGCCCTGTTGCCATCATGTTGGAGTTGAAAGCCGACTTGGCCTCCTCGTCCGAGAGACCAGCTTGTTTGGCCTTGGTGAAGAATGCTTGCTCCATCTCGATGCCGATGCTGTCACCTGCGGAACAAAAATCAACAACTTGCAAATGAACAGCAAATGAAGACAAGCAAAGTGAAAATAACGTACCATCCTCGAGATAAATCAGACCACCGCCGTTGAGCTTGATATCTCCCATTGGGACCCAGGCTGTAATGCTGGTGGGATCACCATACCGCAGGAAGATCTGATCGTAGTGAACCTGACCCCGACAAAGTCAGAAAAGCGTGAGGAATCATAAAAGATAAGAGAAACTTACACCAATAGGCTTTGATCCAGGAATATTGTTTCTAAGCAACGTGCGACGCAAATTAAGCGTGTTCTTCCCCCACCCAGAGAACTGCGCAATGAATTCATACAGTGCCGGATGATGACAGAACCTTTCCGCATACCATTCCTGATAATGAGCGTCTAGCGCGAGATCAACAAATTGAGCCGCCTGATCACCACCAGGCTTTCCATTCCCATCCACATGGCCGGCTCCAATGCCGGGATACTCCAAGTGGTTCTTTGCCGGATCGAAAATACCATCCACGGGGGCCGTGCCGGGCTTGAGGACGCCGGTTGCTTGTAGAGACGAGAAGTATTGATTACGAGCTTCGAGGACATCAGCGCGAGGGAGTACCTGCTTCAGAAAGAGGTAACCGTCTTTTTCGAAGCGCTTGCGGAGTTCCTCGATAGGGAGAGTTGGTTCGGAGGGACGCAAGAAGGCTGCGTTCTCTGAGGTGAGGGGGCCGTCATTGACGGCGAGGTTGTCTGCTGTGACTCCGACCATGTTGGAATTGAGAAGAGGAGTGTTTGAGAATGAGCCAGAGAAGGATGTCAGGGCGTCTTTATATCTTGTCCTCTTTTTATCCGGCCTTCACAACGGCGGGGTAGACAGGAATCAACCCGGACGACTTGTCCAACTATTCCGGAAAGAGAACCGGCTCTGTACCTCATGACCAAGGTGTTTGACTTTATTCGTGGATATTTGTGCAGGGAGTGTTGATGATGCCAGAGTCGATGGGGAAGGGAGTGAATGCGGTATACCTTTCCGCATGTCAAGCGGGGAATATTGCTGAATCGGCGCGAGAGTGGGGAAGTTACTAGGGACCCACGGCGGGGAATAGTTCTCGATTCAGGATCCTATATAGTGATGGCATCAAGCTCTCTTCATATCTGCAGCAAGACATCTGAGCACAGGCTATAAGCTCGACTTAGGAGCCTGTCAGCCTCCAAGTTTCACTCATCGAAACTACGCAAATTGGGTAGAACCTCAGATCCTCCTGCGCCTATGTTCAGGAAAATGTATTATAAAAGCACCAAACCTAAACTTCTGACTTGATGATTGATAATCTAACGACCCCCATGGACATCTCTGGATGCCTCGTCCAAATAAAATAGTCAGAGAATGTCAATGCTTTTGTACATGGCCCCTCTCATGCCAAGGACCAATCTTCCAGTCCTTCACGTTATTCCCGATCTCCAATTTCATCGTCGTGAACACAATACTCTCATACATTTCTCTCGCCGCCGCCCTCGCCTTAGCATGCCACGGCCCCAACCCACCCACCCTCGCATCTTCTCGACTGCGCCAGATACCTAAGGGGGAATCAAATCATCAATAAACACTACCCATGAAACGAAAAAGATGCACTCACAAGTAGCCAAATTCTGCCTTTTCTCATTCTTCGTCCCGAACCAATACTTCAGTAACCCACCACTGGTGGTAGCTTCCTGATGCGAATACGCATCTAATGCATGCAGACGGTCCTGATCAATACCTGGATTCAGGACCGATCGGAATTCAACTAGATAGAAAGACTGTGTGGTCCATTCGTGACATTCTGCGTCTGCGTATGCTTTGACCCGGTCGAAGACTTCTTGCCAGTTGAATGAGTCAAGATAGGCGGCTGTGGCGTAATCGTCGCGAATTGGTCGGAAGGATGCTAGTGCTAGCGAGAGGAGTCTGTTCTGGGTGTCGAGGCGATTAAGATCTAGTAGGTGGGCGGAATCATTGTACGGCGAGGAGATTAGGTGCGCATCTGTGTCTGTGTCTAAGGTTGAGTTGCTGAATTGTTGCAATTGTCTCGCGGCGGCGGCGGCAAATTTGAGTAGGTCGAAGTCTTTTGTGACTTGGGTGTGGTGGAGGATTTGTATAAAGATCTTGGGTTTCTCGACGGTGTCGAGTTGGTCGAGGGTCCTGTTAATGGCCGGAGTGGCCACATTGACAGTCATACTTTCGATGTTGAGATCAGAGGTGTGATGGCACGAATGGATAAAAAAGACTCGAGTTGAAAGATCTATGAAAGGTTGATGTGAGGGGAAAAATTTTTGAAGTCGTAGGCGCAATTCAGGACGAAAAGTAGAAGGAGCCTTTCATTCTATGCCCATCTTCGTAAAGTATAAATATTCGCACAGAGTTGAGCACATCATTGGGCACATCACTGAGCACATCCCGCGTTTTTCTCATTCATAGCTTGTCCCACATTCCACGCAATTGCGACAGAGCTGGTCCCGATATGCGCAAAGCAAAAGAGCTCGAGCACGCAATCAAGTGCCACTGGTTCGAGGTTGGTTCAATTGCAAAACGGCACCTCGCACTGAACACATCTCTTCCGGCCACGCCTCCGAGATCTACTCCGATGTGACATTCCTTATGTGGTGAATTGCTCTGTCCTGAAACATTGATGTGTTGGTTCCCCCGATGGCCAAGCCCTACATGTGAGAGAAGCTACCGGGCGTCTGCGCCCCAAAGATGCGCGTCGATTCCGGAAAGGTCCTCGAATCCGCCAGTGCGTTGTTAGAGGAGATGGGATCCTTTCCTTTGACAGGCAAATAACTAAAGAGGTTTGATTCGTTCCAGGCTTGGGCCCGAAGTGATCTAGATGTACAAAAAAAAATAATGGTATCATGTGCAATGCCCCTCCAAACGCCGTCCTGATGCTCAAGACCCGCAATAAGCAATAAACAGTCGTAAATTGGAAGCTGCGATGCCTAGGGCTTGGGTGGTGGCCCCATTTTACCATCGCCCGTGTCGACCTTTTTCTTGGGTGGAAGAGCAGGCACTTTGAAGCCGTCTTTCTCTTTGCTTTGCCCGCCAACCTGGGTGAATGTGCCTGAGTTGAACCAGCGATCTTCTTCGGCCTTGCGCTTGCGGTTCAGTTCGGCCTGCACCTTGGGATCGACGAGCTCCAGACCCTGGACAGGAGTGAATGCGATGGTACTGGCTGTACCGGCGCCTGCATTCAAAGATGTTCCAACGCCCGACGAACGCAGGCCCTTGGATTGCAGGACGCTGGCAGTGCCACCAACGCCGCCCTGGCCGAAGCCACGTAGCGACGAAGCAGTGCCCCCTGCAGGGTGGATGTGCCCCAGCCCTTGTTGTTCTTGCTGAGTTTGGCACGTGTGCGTTGGTCGATCTGTGTAGCGCGGATGCGGCCGTCATTTTGTTGTCCAAGCATACCCAGACCCACAGTGCCTTCGCCGGTGCCGTACCCAACTTCCGATTCCTCCTTGCCGAAAGCGACTCGGTTCTGTGCCTTACGTAGTTCGGTCATTGCCACGGCCTCTTTAGCCTTTCGGGCACGTCGTCCACCACGCTTCCTAGATGGCTTGTCGTTGGGGGCGGGGAGTGCCTTGACTCCGGAGTTGGGCGGGGGCTCGGTCAACTTCTCCAATCGCTGGAGACATTGTGCCTGCAAGTCGACACCGAGAGAGCCATCCTTGCTGTAGTTGGAAACGTCGGCTCGAACGGCGAGAACCATCTTGGCAGACACAATGCGAATGGCCTGCTTCTTGAGGTCGTTTGGTACTTCCTGGATGAGGGGCGAATCGTAGAGGAAACCTTGCGCACGAACTCCGTGGTTGGTAGCAAAGCCCAGCCCTTCCTGTCTCTTGGAACCTTGAGCGCCCAGGTTACACGCGGGGATCTTGGCCAATTCAAGCAGACCGCCGGTCTGATTAAGGAACTGAGCTGCTGTCTCCGATCCGATCAAGGCTGCCAAGTTAGGCGCAATTGAATTCACGCGGGACTGAATGCTCTGAGTGAGGGCCGTACGCTCGCGATCAAGCTTCAGAATTCTCTCACAAGTATCAAGAACGAGCTTAAGCTCCGATTCGCTCAACTCTCGTCCACGGGTAGTAGTTCCCTCGAGCGCAACTATCATCAGAGACGGCCCATCCAGCACAGACTTGAGCGGCTCGCCAGCCATGTTATCCGCCGAAGATGAGAGGGCCTTGATATCGTCAAAGGGTCCATTTTTCAAGATCGCAACGGTTTTCGCGTATTTGATCGGATTTGTAACCATAGTCTCGAGTTCGGGGAATCGAGTAGAGTAGTGATCGCGTAGGACTTTGTGTAGCCGGGTCAATTCGTCGGTCGTCGTTACTGAGCGGTCGAACTCGTTGGTCGGTTCCGCGCCTTCTTGGAGGCCCTGGTCCTCCTCGAGCTCTTGCTCTACATCTTCCTCGTTCTGAAAGTCCTCATCTTCCTCGAAGTCGCGCAAAAGTTCCTCCGCGGTGGACATCTTGATTGAATACAAGAAATATCGGGCTGTGTCAAGAAGGAGAACGCGCGAGATAGATTTTCCACGACGCCACCGGGGCAGTTGGAAAGTTGACTTTGAAAGTTGTGGTTGAAATTCTTCGAGAAGCAACTCCCCGGAGCTACGATTAGTCAGGTAAGAGCTTTGCGGGTGACGACAGAAACCAGGAACGCAGCATGTGGAATTCATCCGTGATTCGCGACACTTCTTGAGACCATCTTAACATCGTTCGGGTCGTAATAGGACTGTCCTATTGCACTTTCACTCTTATTGCGCCTTGGTGCGCCTGGTTATTTCCCTTGGGTTTCCAAATCCCCCCCTCCACCCATAACCTTTGAAACGCCACGCAAATTTCAGCCATCCGCCGATACCTCGAACTGAACTACACCTCAATCGAGACCTCCAATCTAGCCCACCATGGAGGCTTCTCGTGGCCCTCCTCGGGTCAAGAATAAGGCCCCGGCGCCGATCCAGATTTCCGCAGAGCAATTGCTGCGCGAGGCTGTGGACAGACAGGAGCCCGGCCTGCAAGCACCGACACAGCGCTTTGCAGATTTAGAAGAGCTACATGAATTCCAGGGTCGCAAGCGCAAGGAATTCGAGGACTATGTGCGGCGCAACCGTATTAACATGAACAACTGGATGCGCTATGCAGCATGGGAACTGGAGCAGAAGGAATTCCGCCGAGCCCGGTCGATCTTTGAGCGCGCGCTGGACGTCGACTCGACTTCGGTCGCTTTATGGATTCGGTATATCGAAGCTGAGATGAAGACTCGAAATATCAACCACGCCCGAAACCTCCTCGATCGTGCGGTGACCATTTTGCCTCGCATTGACAAGCTCTGGTACAAGTATGTCTACATGGAAGAGACTCTGGGTAACATCCCGGGTACTCGCCAGGTATTTGAACGTTGGATGTCATGGGAGCCTGAAGAGGGTGCTTGGGGCGCATATATCAAGTTGGAGAAGCGGTACAACGAGTTCGACCGAGCGCGTGCTATCTTCCAGCGATTCACCATCGTCCACCCTGAGCCTCGGAACTGGATTAAATGGGCTCGGTTCGAGGAGGAATACGGAACGAGTGACCTTGTTCGTGAGGTCTATGGCCTGGCCATCGAGACACTGGGAGAGGACTTTATGGACGAGAAGCTCTTCATCGCCTACGCCAAGTTCGAGGCTAAGTTGAAGGAATACGAGCGCGCTCGGGCTATCTACAAGTATGCCTTAGATCGTCTGCCACACTCAAAATCGATGGTCTTGCACAAGGCCTACACCACATTCGAGAAGCAGTTCGGTGACCGGGAAGGCGTCGAGGATGTGATTCTGTCCAAGCGCCGGGTACAATACGAAGAAGAGCTCAAGCAAAACTCGCGTAATTACGACATCTGGTTCGACTTTGCAAGGCTCGAAGAAACGGCTGGCGACCCAGAGAAGGTGCGAGATGTCTACGAGCGAGCCATCGCGCAAATTCCCCCGTCTCAAGAAAAGAGGCATTGGCGCCGGTATATCTACCTTTGGATCTTCTACGCCGTGTGGGAAGAGATGGAGGCCAAGGATGCGGATCGCGCGCGACAGATCTACCAAGAATGCATCAAGTTGATCCCTCATAAGAAGTTCACATTCGCCAAGGTCTGGCTCATGAAGGCCCAGTTTGAAATTCGCCAAATGGAGCTGCAGGCTGCACGAAAGACCCTGGGCATGGCCATTGGCATGTGTCCGAAAGACAAACTCTTCCGCGGCTACATCGAACTTGAGCGCCAATTGTTCGAGTTCGTGCGCTGTCGCACTCTGTACGAGAAGCAGCTTGAGTGGAATTCCTCGAACAGCCAGTCTTGGATTCGATATGCCGAGCTGGAGCGTGGCCTGGATGATCCAGACCGCGCTCGCGCGCTCTACGAGCTGGGTATCGACCAGCCGACCCTCGACATGCCCGAGCTGGTGTGGAAGTCCTATATCGACTTCGAGGAGTACGAGGGCGAGTACGACAGAGTGCGCGCTCTATACGAGCGTCTCCTCCAGAAGACCGATCACGTCAAGGTATGGATCAACTACGCACGTTTCGAGATCAACGTACCGGAGGAGGAAGAGGAGGAAGACGAAGACGAGGAGAAGCCTGTCAGCGAAGACGCGAAGAAACGAGCGCGGGCGGTATTCGAGCGGGCGCACAAGGTCTTCAAGGACAAGGAGCTCAAGGAAGAGGTATGCCCATGCGGATCCCACGGACCCCGGAACCCAGCGCTAACTGCTATGTAGCGAGTGGAATTGCTCAACGCCTGGCGCTCCTTCGAGCACACACACGGTTCTCCCGAAGAGATCGACAATATCGAAAAGCAGATGCCCCGGCGGGTCAAGAAGCGTCGCAAGCTGGAAGACGACCGGTACGAGGAGTACATGGACTACGTCTTCCCGGCCGACGACAAATCCGCCGCGAACCTGTCGAAGCTGCTCCAGCGGGCGCACCAGTGGAAGCAGGGCCAGGCATAATTCCCGTCCAGAGCGGGAGTACGTGTATGTGTATGTGTAATTGCAATTCGTGCAAGGCCGGAGAAAATGATATCCTCACGTGTTCTAATAATTTCTCTAAACGCCGGGTCTTCGCCAATCAGGAAAAACAGGAAGGCAGTTGCACCACACACACAAATCATCCGATCAAATTAGATCTCGTAGAAATCTCCGATTTTTCCCCCAGTGATCCTGGTTTTCTCAGTGGTCGCCTGGATAAAACACCCACGTAACACGACGGACTCGTGCGGGTGAAGAGCGGGGCTTAGTGCGACGAACCAGTCTTGCCCGATGATAAGAAAGTATCTACGATATGCCTGGCGATAGATCGAGAATGACTCGAGAATGACTCTAGAATGACTCTATTCCATTCTCACAATTCCGCTAGATCTGATCCCCCAATCGTATCTATTGGGGGCAAGAACCAGTTCAGAAGATAGAATGGCCGTGATGGCACGTTTGGACGCTCATAGTCTGGCCGCGACACTCTCGGGGTCCAAGGGGCCCGGCCTTCCATGAAGTTTCCAGTGAGCTATTCTTAGCATCTCACATTGACCTAGTGGTGGAGATAGATACTCTAGTCTATAGCTGTGCTGTCGTTGCAGATATTCCTCTCCTGATATTCTCATGCTCGACTAAACCTTGGAAGCCGGCACGATTCACGCCAGGAACCATCCGAGGCCGGGACGATCAGGAACAGTGCACGAGCCAGGTTTATGACTGCCAGATTCCTTGGTTTGTGACTCCACTCAACCATGGTTTCTCCCCCTCAGCTCGTGTCAGGAAAAAGGGGGTTTGTTTGTTTGATTTATTCACCCTTGCTTTGCGATGAGCTTCAAATTTGGGTCTGGGAGTGTAGGGATTTTGGGACTCAGAACTCAGGACTCAGAACTCAGGACTCAGAACTCAGAAGTCAGAACTCAGAAGTCAGAACTCAGAAGTCAGAACTCAGGACTCAGGACTCGGGCCTCTTCAGTGAGACTCAAGTGGAGAAAGCAGCCCAAATGTTGGCAGGTCTCATTATAACCGGGGCTCCACATAGTCATACCATGTACACAGAAGATGAAGACTGTGAACCGAACCACTTGGAAGACAAACCACAGAGAAGAGAAAACAATCGTAGTCCGCGCAGGTCTTCATCCCCACGAAAGGGAGGGCGATCATAGACCCTAAACTAGAAAATGCAAAATGAAGATGACGGCAATGCGGAAAAGGGGATGGCGGCCCTCGCTAACCTCCGTTAGGGGGCTCCTCACCGTGTCTCACCTTCCCTTCCCAAGGTCACGTCTTGCAGGTTTGTTTTTCCAGGTGTTTTTCTGTTTTTCCAGGTGGCTCTGGCTCTGGCTCTTGTTCCTGTCTTGTTGTGCTGTGCACTCGTCCTTCGGTGAGTCGTGAATGTGGCTGTTGTTGTGGGTGGTGAGACTTACTCGTCCAGTTTCCTTTTTCCGCGACGTGTCGCCCCAACCCCCGTTCTTTACTTTTGGTGGCCTTGGCCTTGCCTCGATCATCTTCGCCATTCTGACCTTCGACTTGGTCTCATTCATTCTGGCAAAAAATTGTGATCTCGTTGAATTCCAGCCCGCATTTCCCAAACCCCGAGCTCGACGCCGTGATTCCGATTCCGATATTGAGTCAACTGCATCATATCCACGGCCAATTACTCTCACACTATCACTATACCTGGCCAACAACCCTCAAGTCTGATCTCTACCGTCGTGCTTTGAACTCACCCTGCCGAGATGAGATAGTGCTCTGGCAGTCACCATCCATTCTCTTCGACCTGACTGATTCCCTTTTGACGGCTGGCTATCCGCAATCTTCCTTGGTCTGGTATCACCGGTCGAATCTTCGCATCTCATCATGACGGTTCCAGAGCCCCCGACTAAACTCACGGGGCACTGCTCGGTCATCTACAACAACACGCTCTATGCCTACTCGCCCGACGCATTTCTGTCGATCCCGCTCCAAAGAAATGGTAATTGGACTACATTGGAACCTGCCAAGGTGAATGTCACCGGCGCAGCTTGTGTCACCGGTGCAATTGATGGAAACAAAGATGACGATGGACTTTACATGATCGGCGGGACCGGTGCCTCGTCCGACTATTCCGGCCTTCAGCGATACTCCTTCACCAAGAACGAGTGGAGAACTCTACAGTCCAATACGACTTCCATGAAGAATCTGTTATACCATGGAGCCGCGTACATCAAGTCAAATGCGACGATCTTGGTCTACGGTGGTAGCGTGGATTCCAAGGCGGCATCTTCTTCGACCTTTACCATCTCTACGGTATCTCCCTATGTCATCTCATCTCAGACCGACGGCGGTGCCCCAGCAGCTCTCAGCCCCATGCTTCTCCCCTGGAGCGATTCGGAGGTTGCCCTGGTCGGTGGCTCCAGCGCGACTGCCATCTATGTCTACAGATTGCCGGGGGGGGTGGGCAAACTCAGGAGCAAGCTTGCCCGATGCCGTGCCGTCGGATATTCACTGTGCTCTTGTCAAGTCGGGTAATAGCAAAATCCTGGAGGCCTTCGATATGAGCGCCTCTCCGAATACCGTGACAAGCTACGCTGTAGTCAAAGATGGGACAACCCAGAGCCCAGCTGGTCAAGTGGGAGTTCCGTCTACGAAGGGCAGCTCGAGCGATTACCCGACCTACAACAGCACATTCGCGTCAACCATGACACGTTCAAATTACGCGCTTGCTCAAGGTGACGACCTGATTGTGATATCCAGTGGCAAGGGGGATGACTCCCTCGCCATCTTCAACTCAACAGCCAACGGCTGGGTCAACACAACCGAACTTTTCTCTGGTAGCGGTACACAACATGTATTAAAACCAAACACCACTATTTCGACCACTGCTACGACGCCTACAGCCACCTCCTCTCCAACAGCGACTTCTCACACCGCCACATCCACCCCCGCTACTGCTGCAGGTAGCTCCGGTGAGAACTACAAGGTCATCATTGGTGCTACTCTGGGCAGTGTCTGCGGATTGGCCTTGATCCTGCTCGTCATTCTATACCTGCTCAAGCGCGAAAGGCAAAGGAGAGAGCAGAGCGGCCAAGGAAGGGGAGGTGATTACAAAGACCGACTCAGCTTCCAGGACCGGGGCATAGAACCCCTGGCCAACGGTGGCTACCCCATGGCAAGGAGTCCAGTTCCGATGGCTTCGATGTCGAATGACTCGCTCGCCATCATGTCCGGGCGGGCTACCGGAGAAAAGGGATTGGTGCCACCTTCTGCCAGTGTTGGCTATGGGCTGGCAAAGGGCAAGAGCAGCCCGCTTTCCACAATTCCATCCAGTGGCCTCGCCCCATCCAGTGTGTATTCCGCGGACGTGCGTCAGTCAGTCGCCAGCGCTACCCCTGGCAACCAACCCGGCGATCGAACCACAGACGAAGGGTGGGGCAAGTACTTCGAAGACGGTAACGCGACGAATCTCGCTGGAATGCAGTCCGATCGCTCAACCGTCAGCTCCATCTACACGAAATCCGACTACCGCGGCAGCGGCTGGCCCATGTCAAACCTGGCACCGTTGAATTTTGGCTTCCTTGACCAGCCCCAGCCCCTAGGACATGTGTACAGCGGTAGTCCAACGACCGCCAACCCGGCCTCGAGCCACAGCCTTGTGATTCCGGAAGGGCAATCCGCACGTATCTCCAGCGCCAGCTCACTCAGTATGGACTCCGATGACGACCCCCATGACACGAACTGGACCGGTGCAGGTCAGAACAGCTGGCTCGGCCGCCCAAGCAGCAGCAACTACACAACTAGCTTCTACAATACTAGCACAAATGACATCCCGTCACAAGTTGGCCGCCAGCCAGGCAACAATCGCCGGTCTAGCGTCATCATACCCGAAGATATTGACGAGCTCCCAATGCAGGGTCAAAACACAAATGTCAATGCGGATATGAGCTGGCTTAACCTTCAAGGCGGTCGATGATCGTTTGAAAAACCACTGGGTCATTTACCTTCCCTACCATTCTCTCCCTCTCTCCCCTTTCTCACCTTTCTCGTCACTCTCTTGTCATTCTCACATTCTCACCAATACCTCAAAGATGCCTCACTGGCACCTCACCACAGCCTCATCTCTATCTCTCATTCCTGCATGGCGTCCTAAGGCGTCGGACTCTGCAAAAAGTCACATCATCTTCCTTGTTCGGTGTTGCATATCGCTATATCTCCTTTGCCATTTTTCCCTCGCATTTCCTATTTCTCTGTCGAGCGATCCTTGAGCGTCCTCACAGTCTCTGTTTCCACTGTCGCTGTGTCGATATGTCGATATTTTTACTTTCTTTCCTGTCCCGCGCGCTAGTTGAACCTAGTCCTGTTTGAACTTGCGCCGTCTTGTACATATCTCTTGGAATCAAGGGTACCTGGGTATCCATCCACAATTGTGATCATTGGAGTCATTCCTGTAGTGTGTGTGTGTGTGTGTGTAGGGTAGCCTGGTTGTGAGTGGGTTGGAGATTTATTGGTGTTACGCTTGCTTCGACGAGCGCAGAGTTTGACTGTACAAGTCGACCATCTGATAAACTCCAGGAAGTACTGTAGATGTGGCAAGTGTCTGTAACACCTTGAAAGTAACTCGTGGTTTAGCCCCTTCACCGTTCTGCTAAAACAGACGTGAGATGCGCCGACTGGAGGTGATAGCGGACGGGAAACAGTTTTTCGGGCAGAGTGAACTCCGTGCTGGCAGACTTCCAGTGAAATTGACAATGATTACGTCGTGATAGAATGTATCTCTGAACACTAGCAAGATCTCCATGGTTCCGCGCGTTGTCTTCAAGTATTGAACTCGTTGTACCCCAATATAAAAGGTAGGTAGCCAATAAGCAATGAAACTCGTGTTTATTATCACCATTAGTACTAGATCTCGCTCCGACGGAGCCAACACCATCACACCTGATTTCGAAAGCCCCCAAAGGCACAATCGAACCGCCCTAATAGAACCTCGCTAACCAACTCCTTCTCTTCGAAACACTCCTAAACTCGTCAACAGCCGGACTAACAGCCTTCAAACTCCCATCATCAATATCCATCTGCTCAACACCTCTATAGCTCGTATCTGCCTTCCCACCATACCCCTGGGGCTGCCAGCCGCCTCAGCCTTCGACCGAATATAATAATGCGCATCCATCTCCTCCATCCCAATGACCCACCTTTCCTTCAACTGTCTCCCCACAGGCCCACCGCCACAGGCACCGTGTAGTGTCGAACTCTGAGGAGAGTTGACCGCCAGCGCGAAAAGATTCTGCGGTTCCGTGAAATCGGTAATCTGATGCCCTCGAGCTTCGACGGTCATAAAGACGAGACACACGGCGGATGTGAGGAATGCAAAGACCAGAATGACGTAGAAGATACCTTGCCATTTCTCTGTTCCGCCAGAGGCGTAATTGACGGACTGTAACGTGGCTGGGAAGTGTTGGTATGCTGGTACAGGAAGGATATCGGGGGGAGCGGTATAGTTCCATCCTTGCACAAAGGGCGCACTTTGGGTACTCAGGATTAAAGTGCTACCTGCCATTACGGCGAGGGCTTCTGCCACGGAGGGAAGTCGCGGATTGAGAGTGTATGTCTTTGAGGTGTTGGAGTAGGAGGGCATCATTTGCATGATGAGACGCTCTGTGCTGGCTTGAGAGGCGGTAATGCCTGAGCCGAGACTTAAAGCGCTGGCCCATTCTGCGGCGACGTTTTTCCAATCCGCGGACCAGAGCCCTTCGACGAAGGAGGGGTTGATGTGGTTGTGTTGTAGGGTGTTGGATTTGTCTTCGCAGTTTGAGGAGAGGAGAGCGCCTGACGAGGCGGCTTCGTATTGTGTTGAGCAGACGCCTGTTTCTTTGCTGCGGATTGAACATAATACGTACTCCGGGGTTGAGATGGAGGAATTTCCTAGGAGGTAGATTGCGTCTGTGGGCCAGATGCCTGTCGTGTTTAGGATTGTGTTGTTCGATACGGGAAATGTACCAAAGACTGGAGGCCGTTGGCCGTATTTCTCGCCGAAGCCAAAGATGTCATCCACTACAGTACTGTTCAGCCACGATGGCCATTGTGGGATGTTGGATGGTGGGGACACGCTATATTCCGTCGCGCTGAAGTTGGCGTCCGGCCAGGACGAGTATACTAGTGGGGCTAGTTCGGATTCGTTCATGCCGACACAGAGGACGTTGACAGCAGGTGAAGGGACGGAGGCTTCTAAAATGTACTTTCCCTCGCCTGATGCGTCCTGTGGCTGGTGAATATTGTTCTTCGGATCCATCGCGGCCGCCGGAACTCCAGCGTGCGGCAGAGCCATGGTGACGTTGTTTACCATGCGACCGTGAGTCAATGATAGCTCAGTTGTATTCTGGATTTCGATCCAGCTGCCGGTTACGGTGGTGTTATCCCACATGGATGCAGTTGGCTTGAGTCGTGAGCCTAGTTGGTCGGATGTTTTGTTGTCACCCTCTACCAGACCCGCCCATAATGTCAGCCACTGCTCGAAATTATGATAGGCCTGACCGACGTGCTGCATCTGTAAACATGTTGAGTTGCGATCCAGCGGATCCATGGAGATGGAAATCGGAGTCTGGCATTGCTCTCCGAGGAAGTCAGGATTGCCCCAGCTAGCGTATACTTTGCCCCAAATGATGGTTGACTCTAGTGGTCCCATAGACAGCTTCGGAGATACTGACGATATGTGAGTGTTAGTGCTTGAGTATCGCGTGCAAAGATTCGGGAAGGCAACTCACCCAGCGCCTCGGCCGCGGTCGTGTAGAGCATGGCCACGAATGTGGCAATCAAGGCGATGAGTCCGAGGAAAGTAAGTGCCGAATATCGTAGTGTCTCCCAGTGTACAATCATGGACCCAGGCTGCATTATCCACGCTCTCATACTCATATCTGAAATACTCACTCCTCTTGAATCTTGAGTCAATGCTCGTCGACTCAGTACCTGGCCCAGAAACGCGACGCAAATCGTCACATATGCTAATTCAATCGTCTTTGCGAAAAAGGCACAAAGCAAATTGGCTGTTGATGCCGCCAAAGACTCCCCGTTCCCAATGTTCGACCATCTTGGCTTTCGGATAGCGATAACTAGGTAGATGCCCGAGAACACAGTCGCATACAGGGCAAGAACGAAGATCGTGATTGGCACCCACGAAAGTCGTCGTTGCAGGACAGTCGTACGGCTCGGGCAATTGCTCTGATGCTGATGAGGGCTCGCTGGTGTGCCCTGAGGCGGTTTCAAGAAGCCTGGCGTGGTAGCAGGACTGGTCTCCCCAGAAATAGAGTCTCGTTTGCCCCGCGGCAGCGTCTCACCGGACGTGTTGGTGATGCCCAATCCCACCTCGCGGAGAACCTCCTCCGAGAAGCTCTGTCGCTCTTCACGATATGTCGGCAGGAAGGTGTACTCGAGCTCCGGTGAATTACGACCAAGCGGATTCCACGTGCGCTGAGGCCGCGTGGTTTCGAGGTCAGCCTCGGAGAGGAGCGAATGCCGCGATTCAGCCATGAAGGTGACAAGTTATGAACATCAACACGAGGGAACGTCAGCCTGAGCAGCGACGGAGAACCTCATTTGAAGGCCTCCGCCCCAGCTAGACCTGGACCAAGTGCGAACCAAAAACTAGCGGGACTTTTGTCTTTGGACTGCGGCTGGTTCAACAACTTGTGAAGGGGCCAAGGGCTCAGATCTCCGGTTTGTCTACATCCAGTAAATACTGTCCACTTTTCGGCCCCAAATCGCGGTCAGACAGGGTGCACTGGGTTTCAATTAACCCCCTAATTGGGCTCCGTAAAGAACACTTCAAGGACCCCTACCATGACCCCTGCTGGTGGTGGCCGGAGCTACGCGATCTAGGCGAGATCCCGGGCGAAATGCAGCCTCCATGCATCTAAAATGGCGTAATGGAAATCAGCGCTAAAGGCGATTATGCACGAAATAGGGGACGGAGAAATTAGTGTATGATGGTAGACCGATGGTAAGCACCTTACTGTTCCCGTCAGGTTCAAACCGACTAACGAACACTGGTTCGCGTGGTCAATGAATCCTTAGCCCCGCTAGAGTGAACCTTGCTGCCTTTAATTTCATTTGATTCAAGCTGAAACCAGTGGGTTCGGGCCAACGGAGAACATGCATTTGCCTTGAGATGTTCTTTTTTGAGTTACGAGACTATGCCAATAATGGTATTGCAAGACTTTGAAACTCCTAGAGATTTACGGAATTCTTCGACTTCAATAGAACGATACAAGGACAGCTGAAGAGTCAGGCACATTGACACTCAACACCCCCGACTCAACTCGCAAGATCTCTTCCTTCTGATCAATGACAACAGGCATGCCCTTCCTCAGCGAATAATCATAAGAGACACCTCCAAACGTCACACCTTCCAACGAATCACTGCCAGGGGCAATCAATCTTTCAACCTTAGCATGAGATTTACCCGCAACATTGAACGTGTACTCCCGACTGGGGCGAGTCCCTGTGGTGGTCGCATTGTGGGCCTGCATGTTGATTGCAACGATTTTGCTTAATTTGTTCCCGTTGTAAATCGCGTAGGCCGCTTCTGTGTCCTCTGAAAGAGGGATGTTCACGACGTGAGCATCTTCCGAGTGGCCAATAGCGCTCGCAACCATGATTTGGCCGTAGTAGGGAGGCCGGGTCGTTGGGGGCTCGCTTTCACTCTCAATCGGTTGCCACGAGGCGTAGCGGTAGTTCAGTCCTTGGTGAAAGTGGAGGCGTTTGATGTTCTGTTACAATTCAGCATTGGAAATATACAATGTACGCTGGATAGTAAAGAAAGGAGCCTTACATGCGCTGCAGACCAGAGAGAGAAGTCGACGAGCCATAATGCGTCACCGAAGACGTTAGTGACACCGTCAATGCCCTGGTTAGCTATCGAGTTCAATTCTCCCAGAGTATAGGGAAGGCCGAGAAAAGCGAGCTTATTGGATCGTTCAACTTGTGAGGCTAGATTGCTGACAATATTGGTGTGGTTCATCAGAATTTCTACAATCGTTAGCACCTAGCTTAAATGCCATCCGGAGGAATGTGTGGATGTGGATGCTGGGTACCTTGAAGCTGCAATGCCGCAGGAGGATTGGGCGGCTCGTTAACACCCATATAGCTGCAATTCGTAGTGTCAGTCAAATGGTTGTAATCTCAGTCATAAAAAATGCATGAGAACTCACTTGTGGAACGAAAGCTCTCGTGTCAAGCTATGAGGGTCATATCCAAGGCTGTACAGTTCCTCTGCCGTCCATCCGCTGGAATCAGTCTCACTTAGCAAGACAAAGCTAGGCGCCATGAATCCTGGGAACGGCCCAGGACAAGCTTTATGGACCGCAGCCTTAACAAAGGAAGACTTCTGGTTCCATTCCTCAACATAATCCAGCTCCGAGTAATTCCCAGGTCGATAGTTCTTGGACGCAAAGTTCCACTCGTTGCCGAGCTCAAATAGCGCTAACTGGGGGGCCGATGGATTGGCATGCCTCAACGGCTGCTTCCGCAAGCTGCTCCATAGAGCCATTTTGATTCATGTTCAAGCCATGGACAAAATGCACATTGCCTAGTGTGTGATATGACTCAAAGAATGCTGGGCCGTAGTCAATTTGGACTGGCTGGTCGTCCGTTGGTTTCTCAAAGATGAGCTGGATGCCTTTTTCTTGGTCGGGAAAGTAGTTTGCTTTATCCCTGAGCGGCAATATATCAGCAAAGAAGGTCATATTAGACAATTAAGCAGGTACATACTGAGTAGTCCCACCAACTCTCACTTTCGGAAGCGCCCCGGTGATGCTTTGGAAATTACCGAGCAAGGTTTTGGAGAATTGGTTGGGATGCGAATGATTTCCAGCATAATCGGGGAAAAAGGCAAATTCAATAGAAAACGCCTGAAGGTCCCTCGGCACAGGACTGCTATGATCATTTGGCTTTGGAATGACCAGCGGGTTGATGTGGCAATGCACTTGGCCAAAAGCCAGGGCAAGACTCGCGAAGGTGAAAGAACGCATTTTTGATGATAAATACGCACTTTCTTGACCACTACTCACAAGCCGCAACCTCTTTTATACTGCATCTATTCAGGGCTATTCGTATTCATCGGCTTTTGACATATAGCGAAGTGGGAACCGTCGACTGTTTTGACTTTGCTAGACTCGGCAAAAACCCCTGACGCGAGCCACTCGCAGATCTTTACCATAGCCACACAGCTTTATCGAATGCCTCGGGATGACTTTGTTCCATCTTGTTCGCTGGCGGTTACCGAGCTTCAAATACCGTCTGCCAATAGAATGGCTGGGGTGCGTCATTCTATGCACCCCACCATCCAAGAAGCCCACATCCCGATCACAATCTCGAGCACTCCGCTTTACCCCACGTTCTCACCCCACGATTTCACCCCACAACTTCCGACTCTCGGCTTTTCTCTCAAGATCGGAGCGTGTGGAGTTTGAGTAAGACCCCTGCAATTTAAAAAAACCTGGTCGAGGAAGATACCTGGCCACTGGAATCGAAATTAGTTGTCAGAACAAGAAGATATAGGGGTGATGATCACTTTGCCCCTGTTTCCTCCCATCATATTATCTCGAGCCATGTGGTAGACCAGGCCAACTAGGCATGGTATCATTATATACGGACCCCCTCATCTGCAATATCTTTAAGTAGTACAAATGACCAAGTTCACCGAAATGATGTAATGAGCCGGTATCAAAAGTTATGCAGCCCGATGTTTCTCAATCAATTGACGCAGCATCTCCGCTGCAGCAACAGCAAAGCCAGGGTCGTTGATTTGACGATCATCCCGGATAATTGGAATCCCACTATCACGAAGCTCCTCTTCCAAAGTAGAAAAGAGTACCTCATCCACTTCAGGATCCCAAAAGGGTTGACCCGGGACATCAATCATACTCACTCCACCCGTAGGAAGAATCACCTTGGTCCATTTCTCTCCATCACCCCGAAGATTCCTCGCAATAACCTTGCCAATCTTCACACACTCCTCCTTCGTAGTTCTCATCAACGTCACAGTCGGATTATGATGATGAAATCGCCTCTCTTTGCCCTTCAAGAATTCCCCAGGAACACTGTCCGGCGTCCCAAAATTGACCATATCGCACGCTCCCACACTAACAACCCTCGGCACATCTCTCTGACTCGCAGCACACAATCTATCCGGCCCAGCACTCAACACCCCACCAACCACCTCATCACAAATCTCCGTCGTCGTCAAATCAAGCACAGCATCCAAGACTCCCTCCCTCACCAACCTTTCCAAAGCCCGCCCTCCTGAGCCCGTAGCATGAAACACATAGACTTCACATCCCTCCAGAACCTGCTCAAGGTACTCCCTCGCCCTCGTAACAGCAGGTGTCGTCACCCCAAACATAGAAATACCAATTCTCACCCCTTCCATCCTCCCTTCTTGATCCTTCTGCTCAGAGTCCCTTTGCTGATAAACACCCGCCATCCCCGCCACCGCCCCAGCCGCATTCTCCAAAACAGTCTCCAGCACCCGATTCCTCCCCGCAATATCAACCACACTGTACATCATACATATGTCCGTTTCCCCCATATACGGGCCCACATCCCCAGACGCCATAGTCGAGACCATCACCTTGGGAAACCCGACCGGGAGCGCGTCCCGCATCAGTGTCGTGGCGAGCGCAGTGCCGCAGGATCCCCCGATACCGAGGACGGCATGGATACGGCATTCCTGGAAGAGTGCATGGACCGTTTTCGTGGCGTGGGGCGTGAGGGCTTCTATGTAGGCTGAGCGGTCGAGGGCTGAGACTTTGTCTTTGTCGGAGGCAGAGGAGAGGATGGTGGCGTGCGGGATGTCGATTGCGGGGTTGGTTGATGGGTTGCGGCCTATGTCCATTATTAGGACGTTGGTCTTTGGAGAGAGGCGGGATTTTGTGTAGAGAAGCTCTGGGAGTTTGGTGTCGCATGTTCCTAGGAGAAGAATTGTTGGGGTAGTCATTTTGATGGATAGTAATGGAGTGAGAGGCTGAGATGGGATACTAGTCTTGGGGGAATGAGAAACGTGGTGTAGATGAGGGGTTGTAACGTCATGCGTTCGTGGTGGTGTTAATGCAGCTATACTTCATGGTGGGGCTTGGCGGAGGATTGAAGAGTTGTGTCCATATTATATGAACATCTCGAATGACTAAATGCAAGGCTTCTCTGACCCAAATACTTCTCAAGGTCCTACGTCTAGAAATATACAAATGAAAACAACCGAGGTAGTCACAAGCGAGTAATACTCGACTTTGATTATTTCTACTGTGCACACTAAGCAAGCACAGGACTTAAGGTATCAAGAAAAAGAAAGGATCCCATCCGTACGCAGTGTTGAATGCAAGACCATCCCAGGTCAACCCACGCCAGTAAACAGAAAACAAGCACACCTCTCCCCCACCGCGGAAGGAGCCACACTTTTATGCCGTTGAAGACAACCACTTTTGAGTTCAATGTTGATGAAGAACCCGGTAAATGCCAATCGTAACATCGTCGAATCGTGTTGAAAATCTATATCTCAAGAAAAAATCATAGAAATAGTGGACGCAATTGGAGGAAAAAGAGGGTGGAGGATGTGCTTAGTAGCGGTAGATCTCGCTCTTGAAAGGACCGTTGACGTCAAGGCCGAGGTACTCAGCCTGGACGGGGGTCAGCTTGGTGAGCTTGGCGTTCACGTGCTCCAAGTGGCACAGGGCAACCTGCTCGTCAAGTGCCTTGGGGAGAACGTAGACACCAACGGGCTTCTTGCCACCCTTGCCGAACTCGATGTACTTCTCACCGAAAACGGCATCCTCGGCCTTGAACAGAGCAATCTGGGCAAGGACCTGGTTGGAGAAGGAGCAGGACATGACGAAGGAGGAGTGACCGGTGGCACAGCCAAGGTTGACCAGACGGCCCTCGGCGAGCAGGATGATGTGCTTGCCGTTCAGGAGGTAGCGGTCAACCTGGGGCTTGATGTTCTGGACGGACTGAGCGTTGGCCTTGAGCCAGGCGACGTCAATCTCAATGTCGAAGTGACCAATGTTGCAGACAATGGCATCATTGCGCATAGACTCGAAGTGACGGCCAACAAGGATGTCACGGCAGCCGGTAGTGGTAACGAAGATCTGACCGATCTTGGCGGCCTCGTCCATTGTCTGGACCTCGAAACCCTGAACAGCGGCCTGGAGGGCGTTGATGGGGTCAACTTCAGTGACAATGACACGGGCACCCATGGAGTGAAGAGCCTGGGCACAACCCTTGCCGACATCACCGTAACCGGCGACGACACCGATCTTACCAGCGATCATGACATCGGTGGCACGCTTGATACCGTCGATGAGGGACTCACGGCAACCGTACAGGTTGTCGAACTTGGACTTGGTCACGCAGTCGTTGACATTGATGGCGGGAACCTTGAGCTTGCCCTCCTTCAGCATGCGGTACAGGTGGTGGACACCAGTGGTGGTCTCCTCAGAGACACCGAAGCAGTCATCGAGCATCTCGGGGTGCTTAGCGTGGACAAGGGAGGTGAGGTCACCACCGTCATCGAGGATGAGGTTGAGCTTCTTGTTGTCCTTGAAGGCAAACAGCTGCTGCTCGAGGCACCACTGGTACTCCTCCTCGGTCTCACCCTTCCAGGCGAAAACGGGGACACCGGCGGCAGCGATGGCGGCGGCAGCGTGGTCCTGGGTGGAGAAGATGTTGCAGGAAGTCCAGGTAACCTCAGCACCGAGGGCAGTGAGAGTCTCGATGAGGACGGCAGTCTGGATGGCTGTGAATGAGTTAGCTTGAAGCTATTTTGGCTATGTTTTGTCAGGGCACATACTCATGTGAAGACAACCAGCAATACGGGCACCGGCGAGGGGCTGGTCGGGGCCGTACTTCTCACGGATGGCCATAAGACCGGGCATCTCAATCTCGGAGAGCTCGATCTCCCGGCGACCGAAGGCAGCCAGGGACTGTTGAAAAGGCATTGTTAGGCATTGGAATCAGAGAAGTAAGATTGAGAGACACATACAATGTCAGCGACCTTGAACTTCTGAGCGGGGGCAGCCATGATGTGTGGATGTGATTAGAATACTGAAGAGAGATTGTCAGTATGGAGGGAAGGAAAAGAAGTTGAGGGGGAACGTACGAATAAATAAGAGGATGGAGAGGGGGTTGGGTGAGGGAAAGAGGAAAAAAAGGGAGGTGCAGATCTAGAGGAGGGGAACCATGGAAAACTCTCTGCAGTTACTAAAGGGGACAAGTAGCGGTACCGTAGTTTGTGCGTTACCAACCATACTTAAGGAAGTAGCAGTACCTGCGGATCATTCCACCGCTGATAGCGGGGTCCTCAGTCACGTGCCCGATAGCGGCACGCCTTTCCCTGTCGATGCCGAATGGTCTGAACCCACTTGTACTCCATGGTTGATGCATGTGCTGGCAAAAAAGAGGGTCATCATTTGTAGTACATCGTGTCCTCTAAAAGATAAAAAAAAATCGGCAACTCCATAGCCCCGAGACTCGATAGAAGAAAATCGAGTCGCTCGTATGCTGACCCATATCTCTGTGCAGAATCGGAGAAACGTTGAGTAAAGATGACACGAGAATCAGGGAAAAAAAAAATCTTAATTTCATAAAATAGAATGAGAGCTATTGGGGGCTAAAAACACAGGGGGGGCAATTCATTTCCTCATCAATCCATAATTCATCACACATCCAACGCAAGGAAGTGCACTAGTAGGCAATCTGCGGAGCATCCGAGGTAGCTCCATACGGATTGCCATCGTGATAGGAGAAACCGTTGTGAGCCGAAGAATTAGGGTACTCAATTTCATCTGGCCAGCGATTGCGGCCAGACCCGTGGCCTTGACTGCGAGAGCGACGCATCTCACGTTTGGCGGCCCGCTCGGCGCACTCATGCTTGAAGTGACTGTTTTCCTTGCGTTTCTCATTGACTTCCTTCCACTCTCCATAGGCGCCCTTAATACCGAGTGCTGCGAGGCCAATACTGAAGGCATCCATGGTGTTGGCTTTGATGCGACGTTTGCGAGCCTCTTCGGCTGTAATCTTTCCCTCTTCCAGTTCCTTCCGGCGCATTTTCCTCTTCTGTACACCACCGTACAATCCATGGGCTGCGTGAATGGTCGCGACGGTAGCCAGACCCGAAGTTAGTAGCATGTCACGCTTCAGCTTCTTCGCTTTCTTCTTCTCTTCAGAACTATCACCTAAGTCAGAATCACTCTCGGAGCAGTCGCACCCGTCATCGGCGGATCGAGCGCGTGTGTCGTTCGCGCCGCGTGGTGCGCTGGTGGGTGCTTGGGGGTTTGAATTTCGACCGTTCACAGAACGATAGGAACCTACATCTCTCGAGCCTCTGCCTCGCCTATCCCTGGATGCCCTGCTGCGATAGTCACTGTCTGCGTCCGAGTCGGAATACTCGTCGTACCGCGGGTCACGGCGAGAACGCCGCTCCCTACGACGATCATAATCACGATCGTCACGGTCTCTGCTCCGTTCACGCTCTTTGCTTTCTTCTCCAATGCCCAGGGCGGCCATGCCCTTGTTGATGTAGTCTGAGACACTCTTGCTGCGTCTCTTGGATCCTCGACGGTCATCGTCACTGTCATCCGACCCGCGACCGCGAGGCCGAGATCGCGAACGTGACACCCGATCAAAGATCTCCTTTCCAGCAGCGGCCAAAGCGCCCGTCGCGGCGAGATCTTTCAGAGCACCACCGGACGAACGACTGCGACCATTGCTACCGCGACCACGAGACTGGGAACGTCCCCCATTGATGAAGTGAGAGGTAGCAAGACCTGCAAGGGTAGATTCAATGACATGTCGGGTTCCATGCTTTTTGGGATCTTTGTCGACAAGACCATCAGTGCCGGCAGCAGTAACAGCAGCAGTGAGAATGCGCTTCCCTTTTTCGCCGGTCCATGGGCCGGGATCTTTGCGGGATCGGAAGGCTTCCACAGCACCAGCGGTAAGCGCGGCGCGTGCTGCTTGTTGAATTCGTTGCGCGCTGCGCTGACGGTTCCGACCAGAGCGACCACCACGATCACGACTGCGAGATCGAGATCGCGAAGACGAATAAGATGATCGACCACCGTGGCGGGAGGAAGAACGGCCACGGCCACGGTGGTCTCGGTCACGGTCCGAGTGTCTGGATGATGAAGCAGCGGCACCGAGGCCGAGGGCACCAAGGGCAGTCTCGCCTGAGAGACTTGCGGCGTCTATGACGCGACGGAGAAGGGCTGGAAGAAGAAGCGGAGTCGTATCTGGAGCGACGAGGACCTGCGAGGTTTGTCAACAAAAGGGTGATCTCACACGCCACACGCCACCAAGGGTAAAACTCACGGCGATCGTCATAATTCCTGGACCGTCTCGGACGAGAGTAATAAGGATCGTAACCGCTGACTGACGACGAACGTCGCACGTTTTCATATACGGGGCGTCGCGATCGCCTGGAATCATAGCCGCGCTCGTAGACATAGTCTGAACCCGGGGGATACTCGCGCTGAATTTCCTCGACAGAGTCGTTGCTTGCGCGAGCATAGGACTCTCTTTCGTATCGCGAGTAGCCCCGCGGCGGGTCATCATAATAGTCTGCAGCGTAGCCAGAGGCTGGACGACGGTCGCGCGCGTAGCGACGATCTTCGTAGTACGCCATGAGGAAGGATCGAAAGTGATACAAGAATGAAGTCGTAAGTGAGAACTTTCTACCGTTCACTGGGAATAGTTGTTGAAGGACAAGAAAAAAAACGTAGAGTCAGATCGTAGCGGGGCAGGGCAAAGTGGCGTGACGTCGATTAAGGTGCAGGGATCAACTGGGGCTGGTCACTTGGCTGTGGCTGAGAGAATTCGGTTTCACAGATGGAAGTTCACCCATGTTGTGGTGAGACGAGTTGAGTGACCTCGGGAGAAAATGTCAGGGGCTGCCACTTCATATATCTAGTCTTGCTCTGGTGGTGCCGATGACGTCTGGAGACATGTCATGGAAATGTTCAGCCATCGAATCGCACAGTTTGTGTATCAGAACTAGCGCCCAACGTCATCCTGCAGTTGACAGTGGCTGGGCCATCAAGGAATCTGAACTGACAGCCCTGCCACTAAGCTTTGCCCTGACCGCTCATTACCCCCTTCGAGAGCTGAATGCTCTAGATGTCTATTCACAGGTTCACAGGTTCACTATAGACGAGTTGGAACACGGGAGTATAGGTCCGTCCACGTTCCACGGGTCAACCCTCGGCCGGCCCCGCGATTCCGTAGGATGCCTTCCCTTACGATTCGTTGCACATAGACGTTGCTTGGTGCAGCCAGAACTGGTCACACTTCATGATTTCTTTCAGGGTAATCCTTGCAAAGCACTATACATGAGTACATGGCAACACCTTCCCTTTCCATGCCGGGTTTGCGTCAACCAACGCACAAAACGCAACTCGAAAGTTTCAGATGCAAATGATACATGGAGAGTATACAGCAGAGAAGCAAATCACAATGGCATCAAAGAAAAAGCTTTCATAGAACATAAGTCGGGCTTGGGCCTGGACCTCTCGTCGGATCGGGGGTGGATCCGGAGGGTGGGCCATGCTGGGACGTCTGACGGGGTAAAATGTAGGTCCGGTTTTGTGATATCGCATTAGAACTCCTGATCCAGGAATTGCGCTAGAGATCAGAGATTCGCATCACACTGCACAGCAGTGGTCGAAATGCATGGTCGGTCGAGAAGGACATCGAGTCCGTATGCGGGATTAGAGAAGGAGTTGAATGGTAAGGTGGTCTCTTTATGATCGTTCCGGTGGAGCAGTTGTTCATGAGGGATGATGCGGTCCACTGCCCGAAGCAGGCAGGATACTCACATCTGTAGACTGGCTGACGGTCCGGCTGTGTGTGGTTGACGCATAGTTGGAGTCGGCGCGGCTCAGCGCCCATCTACCGTCTGTCTCAGGTTCTGAAGTTGACCGCATATCGTCCGAATGTGTGCGATGAGTGCGAATGTGTTGCTTCATATTGTCCTTCCGAGTAAATGCCTTGTTGCAGATAAGGCAATGCACGCTCTTCTCGCCAGTGTGCTTCTTGCCATGGCGGGCGGCGTGGCCAGAGGTAGTGAATGTAGCGGAGCATCCGTGGCTCGCAGCATAAGGGCACGGATACTTGTTCTTTCGTCCGGTACCCCGGGTTCCTCCTGGCTGTGATCTCGTTTCTTGGCTGCTGGAAGAAACCTCGGGGGGTGTTCTAGGCGCTGCGGGCCCGCGCGAGGGATACCGTGCGTTATATTGATTGTCCTGTCGGGCGTACGGGTGGTAGCCCGAGCTTGCCTGACTTATCAGGTAGTCATAAACGGAACCTTCTGAAGAGCCCGGCGAGTTGGGCTGAACGGTTTCGGTTACCGGTTCCAACGGATGCCGAGTGCCTCGCGGTGAGGCCACGGGCGACACAGACGATGCATGCGGGCGGACGTACTGGGAGTCGCTGACGGGCGGGGCAAGCTGCTGGTCTGATGGATAGAATGATGCCTGATTTCGACTAAGCCTGGAGTTCGACCGGACAGCAAACGACGGATGATCGTCATTGTTTAGGATCGATACAATGCTCGTCCTGCCACTTGACATTTCCTCTGAACCCCAATGAGTAGTCACCGGAGCGGGAAAGTTATACTGAGCGGAGAGATTGAAGTCAGCACGTTGACCTGGGGTATAATATAGAAATACCTGCCGGCCCGGACGCTCGAGATGACCCGAGGGGATCAAGAAATGCCTAAGGCCGTTTGGTAGGAAAAGCAAAGGCTGAGAGAAAGGAAAGGGAGAGGCTCTCGTGTCTCCGGAGGCAGCAAACGCACCAGTTCTCGAAATATGTTTGTCTTTTGCGTCGTACAACACGTCGACAACATTAGGCCCTAAGACGGCGCTTGCCTGCAGACCTGCCAGAAAAGCCCGATGACTCGAGCTACGTATCCCGTCTTTCAAAGACCGGCGAGCGATACGAGATTCGATACGATGAAAGCGCGATCTTTGGCAAGATATTTGAACAATCCTGTTCCCACGATGATTGATGACGGTCCGGAGAGTGGCGATGCCTCTGTTCACACCGTTGAACTCTCTATTGCCTTCTTCGCCAATTTGACGAGGGGGACACAATCCTAACGGCAGTTGCGAAATGGCCTGTGGGTATTGCAGGGGGGTTCAAAATCCAACACCGGTGGTCAGAGTCTGCCGAACCGAAGCCGTTCACTTAAAGGTGCACTGCACACGAAACCCCAGACGATTTAAAAAGCAAAAAAGGCGCCTGCCAGAGACGAGAGTCCGAGGAGAAAGTAAGGACCAGTGGATGGTTCGAGAGCTGATAGGGAGTTAAGGAAGCTTATCGGTGGGGAAAAACCAAAAGGGCGTGAAAAGACGATCAAGGCTAAGGAGGGGATGCTGGGTATCAAAAGAAGATCAAAAGAATACAAGAGCTAGAAGTATAGCTTGTGGATGGGGAAAGGAAGAGGGAGAGAAAAGAACGAGAACCAAGGAAAAAAAGAGGATATCTCTGGAAGTGCCAATACTAAATATGCGAAGCCAAGCTTCCAGGGTCTGTACGGCGAGGCTCTCTAGAAGCTCCATGTATTTACATCCAATACCGAAGCCTCTATCGCACTCGCTGGTCGTTAACAGTGGAGCATAGCGGATCACGAATCCCCATTCAGAGCGTATACGGAGTTAAGAGGGAGGGGAAAAAAAGCAAAATTAAAGAAATTAGAGAAAAAACATGTTAGGTATGGCCTATTGCCCCTAGAGAAGTGGCACCGATACTTTCGTTGTAATCAATCGGAGCAGGAGAGAGGACCCCTACCCACCCCTGGAAACTACGGCGGTTTCTGTGCAGACGCAGACCCGTTTCTGGGCTCCGTCTCTTCCGGCCCGCCCCATCACGCCCCTGGCGGGGACAGACTCGTCAGCAAGATCTGCTCTGGCGCGTAATTGATTTTCCTTGGCTTATCATATTTATCGCCTTTTCTTTTTTTTTTTGGTGTGGCTGTTCCCTAGTCCATGGTTTGCCCTCTAAACTCCGACTGAGCTCATATTACCAAATGAACTAGGGCTTCGGCTGGCCCAAGCGAAGCCTGCCCTGGTGGCTCCACTCGGACAATGCAAGCACGTCGGTAGAACTACGGGCAAATGAAGAGAAAAACCATGAAAAAAGACTTTGGGTCGACCATTCAAATTGTTCGATTTCCTGGTCCATGGACCCTGGGAATGATAACCAATCGGGACTGGGAAACAGAGCCCGGAATTTCCGGTCGCTTGGGCAAATCCTTTACCCACTTAATCGTTCGATACAAAGAAAGACGATACTGTACTACGTGCCGGGCCATTTACGTACACATCTGTAGATCTGGCTTCATCAATAAGTGCCTGTACTAGGTATCCTAGGGCTGGGCGAGCCGCTGGAGTCTGGGGACATACGTAAGGCGATGATGTTTGCGCCTGGGTGTCCGGTCTCATTTTGGAACTAAGCTCCGGCTCCGAGATTTCGGACGGTGGAGACAAGTGTATCTTTCATGATCCTCCTGCCGTTCTAGTTTCCTTGGTATTGGTATTTTCTGCAGGGCCCTGTAAATCCGATCGTCGTAGGGCGGTAACTGCTTTCGTTTTGTCTGTACAATGAACTCTTCCTAGAACCTTAATTAGATCTTTTCCTTTGGATGCTGGGTCGGACCCCTCTCATAGTGTGCCCTTGCCTCCCGATGTACACGCGTATTCTTGAAATTCACTGAAGTAATGTATGAATGCTCGAGGTTTTGTTGCAGTCCCCGCAGTCAAACAGCATACGTACTCGAGGGTCAGACTAAAGACAAGGCCAGACTAGCCTCATCTACACCACCAAGATTAAAAAGCATTTTGGGCTCAGGAAGGCCTTGGCTTGTACGAGCCTTCGTACTCGTACGCGTCCTGTGCCGCCCCGCCCCGGGAACCATTTGCGCGGGGACGCTCCGCTCAATGTACGTAAGATAGCGACGTATGGATCGTGACCATCTCGAAGTTTGTCCTGAGGTTTCAATAAAAGATCCATCTGCTTGGCACCTGTCAATGGCTATCTCTAGTGTAAAGTCCTGGCATCAATCGTTTTTCTATCGCGCGAATACGCGACTACGCAGTCACCTCATCCTCGCCCACTTTTAATTTTCACCGCCCTAGAGACCCCGGCCTAGCCACTAAAGCCCTCGAGCGTCAGCCATAAGCTTACATGCACTACATGGTGAATGCCGATCAGCCAAGCTTCTGCAACCCGATCTCGACCCTGTAATGGAGTAAAATAACCATTTAGAAAGCGCGGTGGTTCGTACGTTGTCGACGCGGACCGTTTGGGGTGTCTCAAGCCGAGCGATGATTTGCTCGGCGTAAAGCTACGGACGGGGCATACGTACGCAGACTACGTATATCCACAAGCTGGGCTGACTAGCTTGTCCCGATCTAGCACTACTACGTCCGCGTTCAAGATGACTAGCACGCTCAAGTGCTAGCTTCTTCGCACTCCGGCCATGATTCGCACGTCCCAGCCCTGGGAACATTACGCCACATGATTGACTTGGCAGGCCCTAGCGCTGTCCGTGTGCCGCCTTCGTAGACCCTTGTTTTATACTCTTCCAATTCAGACTCGGCCCTTTGCGCACCCTGAATGCAGGGACTCGTGGCCACTCCCCTCTCACTTAACTAGGATCAGACTAGCTCGGCCTCACCAAGCCCCGAGCCACCATCCGCTGTTTTGGGCTAGCGTTATGGAGTCCGCTAAATTACGGCTGCCACGCTTGCCCACGCGGCCTTTCAGGCTATCTACGCCATGCGCAGGATCGGGTGGCTTCAGAGAAATAGTCAACTCGTCCTTGTTTTGCGTCTAATAATTTCCGAGAAATGTTAATTTAGCAACAGGGACTGCCGCAGATGGTTTGGACCCCAAGTGCAGATTCAACCCGCATCTTTACAAGACCAAAATACGATACATCAGATACGATCGGAGAAAACACCATAAATCCCGACCGATGACATTCCCCCCCCACCCTCTCTAGAAGTCCAGGCATCCACGCCAAGCTGGTGTGCTATGCGCGGATTTATGTGCACACAGCCACAGCCCCGTTTTCCCTTCCTAGTTTCTCCAGTGCTGCCTAGCATTCCCGAACCCCTACACACCGGCACTATTGAATCCTATTCGACAACCAGCCAGCTTCGGCACTTCGCCTAACTCCATGGACGATCCGGCTCCCACCCTTCCGGTTATGGTCGCAGCCGATTGTGGACCATGGGGTCGGAACTCCTGCCTTGTTAGCCTGACACACCTACCACATCCACCGATCGCTGTGGCGCATGGTATCCAGAATCGGTTTATTTCTAAATCCAGGTTGTCCGTGCTTTTCGATAGTTTGCGAACAGTGTGCGCTGATAGTACGGAGTGAAGCGGAGACCCGGTCTGAGTTCTGTAAATAGCACCATCCCTGTTCAATGCTTGATTTCCAATGGGGTAAAACCAAATTTAATCAAGAATGGCCCGGAGCTGTGACTGTCTTCGATCCTGGGTCGACACCGTACTAATCGGTGTATGGGGAAAGGGGATGAGGTAATTGCGTAATTACTTACCGCGGGCTTCTAGACCTGGGGACCCTACTTGCACCCTGCGGTGGGAAAGTTTCCCCGTCCGAGATCCGTTCAGTCACTAACGTATCAGTACTTGCGCCCTGACTCTCGCTTGGATTGACGGGTCCAGTGTATGGGGACTATTGGCGAACACGTACGTCGTCCCTACATCTAGGTTCGTGTGGCGGATGTCACGATGCAGATTCTACGTGGCTTATCCCACAACCCAGATATGACACCATGGGTGTAATTTTGCAGGAGTGACAACCACAAGAGTTCCAGGCAGCGGTGACTCCTAATCTCTACTCGCTTCTTCAATTCTCTGGGGACCGGTTTCTAGAAACCTACTGCTTGCCTGGCTGGTGCGGAGTCTGTTTCCTGAACGGTTACAAATCGAACGAGCTCTTTGGCCCTCACTGGCTAAGCTTCAACCTAGCTCCATCTTCTTCCGCCCACTATTGTTATCAGCGCACGCCAAACTCCATCCTCACTGAGTCGGATGCAGGTAGGGTCCGGCTGGGGCTCGGGTAGGGAGGTGGGGGGGCGTCGGGTGTGGCAGGGTAAACGAGTCATCGGTGACGAGTACTCCTCAGCCATTTACAAAGACGTGACATACAGCAAGTGGCTGAGCATTTACTAACGACATCGGAGCCCTGTCAGTCTCTTAATGTATCCATCACGGAACTCGGAAGGGTTTGTGTATTGAAGGCATACGACCCCCATACATCAAGGAAATAGGTTTCCGATGGGTCAGAACAAACATGAATGGAGCTGGGACTCATATAAACGCGGCCTCATCCACGAACGAGACTAGTGTTCTCTTTATGTCCATCTAAGTAAAATGCTCTTGCTCTAAGCTGCGTAAACAGAAACGTCATGTTGGTGGGCGGGCTGTCTGAACGTAGATTGAGCTATTGGTTCAGTGCCAAGACGAGGGAAATTAGGTGATTGCTTGGGTTGCTTGATAGGTTGGCCCCTGCATATTAAGTGGATTGGCGAAGATGGCACTGGCGAAGTTCTTACGTGGTCTTGTTTTCGCTAAGTCTTGAGAATTTAAAAGTGTCACCGGGATAGGGGAGTTGGTTCGCGCAGCTAAGATTGGGTGGAGGAGAAGTGAAGATTTTATTGACTTTTGAGTTTAGTCTTTGAAATTCCCGACGATCCTAATAAGCAGTTCTGTGGCTCTCATATCCTGACTTTGCCATGGACTTGTTTTGCCCTCTTTGTGAAAGCCACACTCATGTCGACAGACTGGAGTTGATTATCTAATTGATGCCATCACTATGATTGATTGAGAGATTAGAATGGTAAGAGGATGGGCAGCCTGACCAGGAGAAGAACAAGCAGGGAGAGCTCAATTCTCTTTCTGTAGATCTCAGCGAGCTTTCAAGGTTTCACTCATGACCATTTCAATGTCAATGCATACAAAGCAATCGTGTCGATGTAATTCACACATCTCAGTTGGCTTTGAAACAGTTGACAATTTCCAGCTTCGACAGCAGCTCTCTTCCAACCTCGAATCGATTCCTTCTCCTTCCTACCAATCATAAGCGCCGTTCCTATCAAACCTTTCCCTCGCGATTCACCAATACCTGAAGGATCAAATATAGCTCAAAAACACGGTATCTCGAGTAACGAGCTTGAGCAAGGTTCAATGTCTCGAAATATGAGCCGTGCCCGCTCCACCGAAAGAACTAGATGTCCATGATAGCTGCCAGAGGGTAAGACCTTTAGACGATCATGACACGTCCGCTTTAATTTGGCAGGGGTCTTCGAAATATACCGTCTTCAATCTTCATACCACTTTTATTGCAGGAGACCACCGATCGATGATCAATCGGGCACTCTGTTTGGTCTTTTTTAAGGAACCAGGGGTCATGCACACACTTTGAGATGCACCCTTGTTTCATGGTAGTTTCATGGTTGAACTATTCTTGGTTCTGTGACTCTTCCAAATCTCTGCCACTGGAACTCTCTCTCATTTATGGAGTGTTCTGGCATGGTAAACAATTGGTCGTCCTCATTTTTGGGGGCTTGGCGGACCAAATCTTTGGGGATAATATTAGAAAAGATCAAAGGGCTCATTCTCGATCATTCAAAAAATTGTAATCAAGATAGAGATGATGATCTCTTCTAAATTGAGACTGCTCACCCCTGGCTTTCAAATTTTTATTGTTCTAACATTCAAGGTGCGATTTTTCCGCGCATCTCTCTGAACATGTACTTCAGTGGTTGGGAAGTGAGGCGACTCCCAGATAGACATTTGTCAACAGGCAACGACCACGTCCGTCCTTCCGATATTTATTTTGAAAGGGAATTGAGAGACGTTTGAATGAGTCAAGCGACTTCTATGAGTAAGATTACGAGAGTCGCTAAGGAGCTTAACCAACTTTAGTTTCCAATCATGGTGCGCAATCTTCATTTATATGTTTGGATCTGACCGTTATGACAATCACCCAAAAAACATATTTGAGACAGGAATGCTATAATCGCCTAGAAACAATAGAGAACGAGCTACTAAAAAAATCTAAATATTTGATCGACCTTGGAAATAAGTACTAGACGGTAACAGTTTGCGTTGCGGTAGCCAGGTACAAGCACAATGAGGTAATTCGTGGGGCAGTGAGGGGTAGCCAGCACGACCTGCAACGGATTCAATTAAGGGAACACCAGCTAAACTCGTATACATTGCTTTTCAACTCCAAGAGACTCAATTCACTTGTAATTGGCTTCTACGCTCTGGCTCATCGAAAGACAAGATGCCGCGCCCGAAAACCAGAGAGGAAGTCCTCGCAAGACTACGCAAGACTGTAGCCGATGGCTCCATCATTGTCGGGGCTGGAGCCGGTAAGACTTCGCATTTCATGTTTGATTCCAAAGTTTTGAATATTTCTGATTTTTACAATAGGTATTGGACTCTCTGCCAAGGCCGTCGAGGCTGGCGGTTGCGACTTGATTCTGGTCTACAATTCTGGTCGATTCCGCATGGCCGGTCGGGGTTCACTTGCCGGACTTATGCCATACTCGGATGCAAATCAGGTCGTCGTGGAAATGGTGTGTCAATATTGACTTTTACGACTACACTCAGCTAACACTATCCAGGCTAGCGAAGTCCTTCCGATTGTCGAGAAGACGCCCGTCCTCGCAGGTGTGTGCGGCACTGACCCATTCCGTTCGATGCCCGCTTTTCTCGAAGAGCTGAAGAAACTCGGCTTCGTGGGCGTGCAGAACTTCCCCACGGTCGGACTGATCGATGGTCAATTCCGGGCGAATCTTGAAGAGACCGGCATGGGGTATGATCGGGAGGTGGAGATGATCGCCGAGGCGCACCAGCAAGGGCTTGTCACGACCCCGTACGTCTTCAATCAAGAAGATGCGGTCAAGATGGCTCGTGCTGGAGCAGACGTCGTTGTCGCTCATGCTGGATTGACGACGTCTGGTTCGATCGGGGCCCTCAGCGGTCGGTCTTTGGAGGACTGCGTCGGCTTTGTACAGGAGATTCGCGATGCCGCGGCCGGTGTGAACCCTGACATTCTAGTCCTATGCCATGGCGGACCGATTGCGCGCCCCTCAGACGCCGAGTTTGTGTTATCGCGGACGGTCGGGGTCCATGGGTTCTTCGGGGCGAGTAGTATGGAGCGGTTACCAGTGGAGATTGCGATCAAAGAGAATGCGGAGGAATTTAAGCGGTTGAAGGTGCGGTTACAGTAGGAAAGTGGGCGCGATGGAGCTAGGAGTCTTTAAGAGTTCAGTCATTCGAGGAAATCATGGAAATTAACCGGTCTTCCCTCATCACGTCCTAAACGGGTAAATTTCCAGCGCATGTGGAGACGTGGGGTTGGAGCTTCCACCGATGTCGCCTGTCGGCTAAATTGAGAATTGAGTGTTGGAGTACAAAGTAGCATAGTCTTCCCAACCTCTTTGCTTTCATTGACAACCCAGAATATCTTTATTTTCAACATGGCGCGCGTCTTGGAAGGCAAATTTGGCATCGTCACAGGTGGATCGCGGGGTAGGGTCTTCTTCCCCGCTTGCGATAAGGCCGTCACTCACAATAGCTTCAGGAATCGGTGAAGCGATTGCCTGCAATCTGGCCGCCAAGGGCTGCTCCCTACTTCTCAACTTCACATCCGAGTCCTCGCGCTCTCACACAGAAGAATTGTGCGCCTCCCTCGCCTCGACCCATGGCATTCGTTGCGAAGCCGTCCAGGCCGATCTGAGCAAGCCCGAGGAGGCCGTGAACGAGATCATCAACGCCGCAAAAGAGAAATTCAGCTCTTCAGGCAAGCTGAAGATTGACATCTTGATCAATAATGCCGGCGTCGCGGGAGACCGCAATTTGAATGACGCCGCCCGTGGGCCCATCGCCCCAGAGCACTTCAATTGGCAGTACACCATCAACGTCCTCGCTCCACTACTCCTCACCCAAGCCGTTGCCCCCTACCTCCCCACCGATCGCAGCGGCCGCATCGTCAACACCTCCAGTGTCTCGTCCTCGCTTGGTTTCGTCGGCCAGTCAATCTATGGTGGAACCAAGGCTGCGCTTGAGTCCATGACTCGCACATGGGCGCGTGAATTGGCAGACCGCGCGACTGTCAATGCTGTCAACCCCGGACCTGTCATTGGCGATATGTACTTCAAGGCAGGTGAGGCTTTCTGGAGTGATATTCAAGGATACCAGGACAATACCCCCATGAGCAAGTTGGTGGAGAGTGATCCGGAAACTATGGGTCGATTGAGCGAGGAGCAAGTTCGTTTGATTAAAGAGAAGATGGGTGGCCGGAGACCTGCATTTACCAGCGAAGTCGCTTGCACTGTCGGCATGCTGTGTACCCCTGATGGTATCTGGACCACCGGCAGTGTGGTTTGTGCAAACGGGGGAATGAAGATGGGACAGTAACTGGCCAGACACATTGTCATTAAGAAATACAATTTAAGAGAAATTCAACTCATCGGAAAGCCTGAATTGACGGAGAAGAAGGTCGTATGTCTTGTGGAAATGCGCACAATGTCACCGATTCGGGATGTGCAGATTGATAGTAATAAAGGACGACAAATGAGAGGAGCGATGTTCGGGGACATAAGCATGCACCAAGCGCGCGGCGAATGACTCAAAGGGTAAGGGACAAGATCTCGGCATGAAGTTTGATGATTTTCCCAGATCAAAAGCCACTGAGTGAAGATGCCCGGACGCATTTGAATGCCCTGTCAAGTGTTTCGGGTATCCAGAGGCTACTTGCAGTTTCAGCAATGACGCCATGGACAATGAGAAGATACAACTTCGAGAGTCAACTTGGGTTTATGTGCTAGCGACAACGCTGGATGTAGTTGGGAATATGACTGACGAGAAGCAATTCCACGTGACACTCAAGGTCCCTAACGCGCTGTGGCCGAGATAAGTTTTAAAAGAGGAATCAGCGGAAAATTAAGGTATTTTTGGTAGAATTGAATACGTGCATTACATGCTTGGAAACGGAACGAGGATGGTGAGGAGGGATCTGACGTGGGAGACTTAGACGGCGGTCACAAAAAAGGCCAAAGAGAAGAAGAAAAAGAGGACGAACAAGGACTATAAAGTCTAGTCATTGACTTCATTCCTAACGCCGACACAACTCAAGATTCCATAGACACGAAGCATACAATAAAAGACCCCAAGACGTCCGAAACATCGTTCATCGTTACGGAGATACTCACACTTATGAAGACACTTGCCGAATAAGGTGGCCCGTCTGCTCGCCCCCTGAACATGAATGATACAACGGTCTCGACACTTTACACGTAAGATCAGAGAGTATCTTCCAGGTCACCTTCAGGATCTTCACAGCGAGGAAGCGAGGTATAAAAGAGATTCGAATCTCTCCAGGCTTCTCTGGGCTTTCCCATACCAAAGCTACATAAGTTAATCACAACTTCAGGTAGGGTTTACGTTCAGCCCAAGTGATTGAAAGCCCGCCCATAATGCATGGGGATGCCAGCACATAGTGGGTAAGATTATCTCATTTTTCAGATTACGGTCGGCAATTTGTGCTCTTGTGCAGTTCCCCTGCGTCTTAAGACGTCAGCCGCACGGGGCAAATGGAAAGTTACTTTTTTCACTACACCTTCTTTTCTCTCAATTTGGGTAAGCGCGCGCCTCTAGCTGAGCTTGGTAGCTCTTGCCCTGGTCCCACCGGCTGTAGAGTTCAAAGGCTTGTTTTTAGCGAGAGACTGATTTGTCATTTCAGCAGTCGAGATGAAAGATGTTTGCGCGTTGGGGGCTCTATTTCTCAGTATTGTCAATTGATTCTGCCTCCCTATGATCTGGGCGTCTGTGCCACGGATTCCGAGTTGGGAGCTTGTGGGTCACACGCGAAAGACAGGCAGTAATGGTGATGACGGCAGATGTGCTTGCAGGGCAGGCTGTAATTGTGGCAGCCCAAGTGAATAGAACGATTGAAGTGGTCAACTGTAAATCCTTTTAGGAATAAAAGTAACAGTGACCGTTCCCCGGATCAGCGGAGACCATCAGTTCGACGCTATGCTAGAGGAGCAACGCGGCGAGGGTCCATTTTTGAACCAGCCAATGGCCCATCTGGACCGGGTTCAACGATCACTTCTGAAATGTGTACCGCATGAAATAACCGAGCAGCCATAGCTAGTGGGTAAACAGGCATTCTAGTTACGATCAAGTGGTATGCGACTACAAAATGAATGACTCGTGGCGAGAAATCGCGATTGACAACAAAGGGTGGAAATGAGCGACTCCGTGAAAGAGCTACACACAGAGTCGCTTCGGGATGCCAGCGAATGCAACTCGGCGAACACCGACTCCAAATTCTAAATACGGGCTTCACAGACTCGGTCCCTGATCCAGAGGACCGCCATCAGGGGTACTATTGACGCCACCAGGGCCTTAGATCGAAATCGACTGCCGTGGTGAAAATAGCCGGCGCCACGCTCCACCCAGCACCACACGGAGTATTTAGAGCGAGCAGGATCCATTACGTTCCTAGACTTCAGATTGTCATTCGGGAAACTCGATCTCAGTTTTTGAATGCTGATCAAAATGTCAATCCACCGATTCGCCCTCGCTGCGAGCTTCTTGCTCGGTCAGGTTTCGGCCAGCACGCCTGCGGCCAGCTCCCCAGTGCGCAGCAGCCAAGCCCATGTGCCCACAGTGAGCTGCCGAACCGAGCTGGGATTGAACTCGGTGAAATCAGTGCCGACCACAACCGTCACACGGGTGGCTCATGATCATACTCCGGTCGTGATCTATTCGACCGTCCAGGACACGGTCACGGTGACTCCCAGCACTTCCACCGCGACAGCAACAGAATATGACACTACCACGATCACTTCCACCGCTGACACCATCACTGACACCTTCTCGACGACTTCGACCGAGTATGACACTGCGACTGTGACCCTGACTGATGACCCTGTCACGGTTACTGTCTACACCACCATCTCGTCCACGAGTACCTCAATTTCCACTATCAGCACCTCTTCAGGCTTCACTCCTATTGTGGACACATTTGCCACCCCTACTGCTGTCAAACGGTCTCTGGATGAGGATGAGAATTGCTCTCCTTGGCTGGACGAGTACAAGTATCCCCAGAAGGTGGAGTGCTATGAGAAGGTTGTCCTCAAGACCACATCTATCTCAACAGTCACGGAATCACCCAGCACTACGACCGCTGCTACCCCTTCTACGACAGTCACGGAGACGAGCACCATTACAAGCAATTCAGTGGTTGTTCCATCGGACGTGTCAACTACGCTGAGCTACAGTACTACCTCCACAATCACGGAGACCACTCTTGTTGCTGGTGAGACCACCACCGTTACTTCCACCACCACCGCCGTTGTGTCTACAGCCACTGCGTCCTTCTACGAAGCTTGTGCTGCCAACAACATTGCGACCAGTCCTCTTACCTCAGACTATGGGTCCTACGCGGGTAAATACATCAACGTTGTTCAATTTACGAGAATCTCTGGAGAAGGTATGAGCGTGGGCAGCACGGATACTGCATACGATTGCTGCGTTAGCTGCATACAGACCTCTGATTGCGCCCTTTCTTACTTTATGGCGGTTTCGGGTGGTTCCAATTACTGCTACGTGATTACCACAACTACTTGCTCGGCAACGTCTAATTACGCCACGGTTTATACCTATGGTAACCCGACCACTATCAATTTGGCAAACGGAAATTGTGGTCATTATGTGGGAACCGAGGCTCCTCTATAGGATTATGCCTATCATATATCGTGAAGTGTTTTCCATGTATCATTACAAATATTAATTTTCTCTGTATTGGATCTTTCTTTGAAAATTTGCACCACAGATCTCTGTGGATAGCGAGAAGCCAAGGTATCACACCGTTTATGACTCTCGAAAACTGCGATTGTCTAGAATCGGCACATGCTACCATAGGCTGACTGTATAGAATTGCATGGAATAGTGCTCGCCGGATCAGCCACTTTGTTGGAAAAGGTCTAAATGGAATCATCTTGAATTCTGACTCAATGACTTAACAAAATTTGGATCGAATGTGGGTGGTCTTCATCGGTTCCTTGTATACGTTTACTTCGATCCAGTCATCTGACCGCCGCAGTTCATCTTACGTCTGGTCCGTGAAATGCTTCTAGGGTCGCGCCGTGGCGACAATATGCAGAAAAAGCTAGCCTTCTCCCAAGATAAGTGTCAAACCTCCCTCAAGACCAACCCTTGGTATTATAAAATCTCCAAACTGCCCTAGCAAACCCTGCTAAGGTCTGGAAGATTACGATGAGCAATCGGTTGGTGCGTAGACAGCGTCAGTGCACCCGTAAACCGCATCACACTGAGCAACCCCCAGCTTGACATCCCATTCTCCACCGGTAGACCAGTTGGTATTCTGACAGCCATCCTGAAAGTTCCGAATGACGATTGTTGCAACGTTGGCAGTATCGACGCAGACATCGTCTTCCTGGGTGTTGATCATGTACAACTCGAAGTTGTCTTGGTACCAATTGATCTTTAAACCAGACCCAAAGTCCGGCACTGCTCCGTTTCCTGAGATAGTGACGTTGCCAGGCGGGTTGTTTATCATGCACGTGGCGAGGGCCGAGACGATGTCAGAGGTAACATCTCCGCCATTGCCTGTGACGCACTGGGGACCACTCGTCCAATCTGACACCACAATGCAGTCCGCACGAGCTAGACCCCAAGATCCGATGGCGACAACCAGAGCAGTTAACGATGCTGAAGGCATGTCGCTGTTTTCGAGATTTGTGCTTGCGGTTTGTGGTTTTTTTTTTTTTTGAGCTGTGAAGTGGTAAATGGCTTGCTGGTTCAACGAGAAGCTCAATGATAAAGACTCAACAAAAGCGAAAGACCCTCAGTCTTTATACTAGAATTGCACATTTACTATGCAACCTACGTCACAGAGAGACGAGAGACGAATGGGTCTAGGTACCTATGAGAGACATTCAAGGCGTCCTCCGTCCTCTCAGGTCATGTTTCATATGTTCGTTGATCTGTGGATATTAGGTATGAATTCATAGACCAATTACTCCATGATGCTCCGCTTGAGACGTATCCTATTTTGATATCACTGGTAGCGAAGGAATCTTCACAAAGAAAGTGATATCATGGGACCGTAAGCTCGCATCTGGGTCTTTTTAGTGCCTTTAGGGCCGACTAAACTGGGATGGTGATGCTACGGTGAGAAGTCTCCGGCTTCAAAGATCTCGTCCGTCTCGCTTCTTTATAAATCAGGAATACCCCAAACCCAGAGAGTGTCTGGAAGAGGAAGGAAACTCCTCATAAGACTTGAGCCAAGCTAATTGCCACAAGCTAGAAAAGTACAGGTGCAAATGTAGGTGGCCAAGCTATAGGATAGGTGTGTTGAACAAGCCCGGTTTTTTTCTCCCGGATTACCCAAACGAGGCTGCAGTGTCGTGAGATTGTGCCCGGTTTATGATTTGCTCGCTCGCATTTGCCCCACCCTTAGCACCCCACCCCACCCCACCCGTTCCAACCGTCGATCAGACGGGATGCCCCCGCAGCCGTATCCGACAGACCTTTGAATGGCGCTGGCGTTGATGTCCACGCTTAAACAGGCCCTCAGTATCACAAGGTACATCATATCGGATCACAGAAAACACGCCCATATTATACCCAATTCGATAAAGAACCTTCACGGGCTATGCCTCGGAAAGGACTCCCCAAGGTCCGCACAGGATGCCTTACTTGCAAGTACGTGTACTCGCGCTATACTATCTATAAAGTATATGTGCGGTCGGGCTCATGCCTTTCTGATCCCCTATGCTGAGTTGCCGTCGATGTCTTGGAGCTCGCAAGATCAAGTGTGACGAGACCCGGCCCCATTGCTGGCGATGCACCAGCACTGGCAGGCGATGCGACGGTTATAGAGAGCCACCTCCGGTTTCTCGGTCGTGGGAAGAGCTGCTGTCGCTGCAGCCGCGGCCCTCTTTAATCCCAGAAGCCGACGCTGGCGAGCTGCGTAGTCTGGAATACTTTCGCGAGATTGTGGGCCCCGTCATCTCCGGCTCGTTGGAGGGCTCGCTTTGAACCCGCGTTGTCGCCCGAGTTCTCTTCCACGAGCCAGCAGTAAGGCACGCCGTTGTGGCTGTCAGTAATATTTACGAGCATTTTGGTGAGATACGTTGGCTTTCTCTGGGGCGTGGCTACGAGACTGATTATTCGCCACTACAACCAAGCCATCAAACATGTTCTTGCGCCGGCTTCTGGACATATCGACACGGTGCTGCTCGTTTGTCTTCTCTTTGTCTGTATAGAGTTCCTGCGTGGCGATGCGGAGGCAGCCATCTCACATGCCCGCCACGGCATCAATCTGCTTAACTTCTCGAATCCTAGCCCAGAACTGACCATCATGTTTCGGCATCTGGGCACTTTTCCCTTCTTCTTTAGTGCCACAATCACTGACTTTCCCATTGTCAATCACGTTGCCCCTGAAGCAGTAGGAAGCCCTTTTAAAAGCCTGAGTCACGCCCGGGGGTCGCTGGAATGGCTTATGTCCCGGACTGTGGCGCTTGTGAGGGCTGCAGATGCGTATCGCCTGAGCGGGGACTCGGCTGTACCAATCCCGGCCGCATTCGTCATGGAGCAGCAATTGCTGAATGCTGAATTGGCTGGCTGGCGGGGAGGTCTCCTTTCGTTCGAGCCTAAGTCTTGCGGCACGAATGAATTGATGCGCGTCATTCTAGAGATGCGCTGGCTCGTCTGCAAGATATGGGTGAATACCTGTCTAGCACGCGAGGAAATCATCTACGACAATCATCGTAGCGAATTTTGCTGTTTGGTGGAGCTCGGTAAACGCGCAATCTCTTCCCGAGGTGCATTTACCACAAAGATTGCCCGGTTCATGTTTGAGATGGCGCACTGTCCTATCTTACACTTCGTCGTCCTCAAGTGTCGTTATCTTCGTCTACGGCTGGAGGCCCTGTCACTTGTAAAAGAGCTCTCTTGCCCGAGACAGATGCTCTGGGACGCCGGTGTCAGTTACGCACTCGGCCGCCGTATCGTTGAAATCGAACATGGCCTTGAGCTTTCGTTGGAAAAGGCTGTGACGCTTAGCGACGTTCATAAGGACTTGAATTTGCCAAGCGAGGGCCAGCGTGTCTTAGGTGCAGCTGTTGAGCGACAAGTAGGCGAGCATTCCTGTGTCAACGGCACCAAGGTGCTACGCAGAAAAACGCGCTTTCTGACACGGGACCTCGAGAGCGGCGGCTTGAAGGCTGTACAGGATTGGATTACCATCCGAAAGATAACACCAATATGAGAAGCTGGCTTCAGAGCAACGTAGTACAATACATATATTTTTGTGTCTGTGATTCATTGAGATGAAGAAACGAAGTGGAGGGAGTTACCACCTCTAAGGCCGTCCAACGCCGACGTTGACGCTGCCCCTGATCTGGGAAATAGCGGATATTGTCAAGGTCTATGTATGATATGCAGTCAAAGCTCGCAAGCTGCACCTTCACCTAGTGCACACATTTCTCAGCTGCACCCCTTTTTGTCGTCCCGCATAGTAAATCTCTACCTTTTGGGATCAACTTTTGAGAATAACTCTTCTAAATGGGACAAGAATCACCCATCAGCGCCATCGATCCTTCTCGTATCTATGGGCATATTTTCGCCCTCAACTCAGGACGGCTTGTGCGCGTACGAGTTACAAGATGGACCTCTTCCGAATCAGTCTAGCGTGGGGCCTGGATTCCTTGATGGTTTCCTCGCGTATATTTTCAACAACAATCTCGCACCTTCATTGGCCTACAAGCTCTTGGCTGCAGAGATCGTTTTATGGAGGAGCTTATTCTAGATGAAGGGACTGTCATGGTGGAGTTGCTTTCTTTGAAAAACACTGTGCGGACCCACATTACAGACTGGAAATTCGAGACTTCCGATGGCAAACCACGTGTTTGCGCATCAAACAAAACACATGCGAAAATCAACACCGGCAATCACAGAGTCTTCAATGCAGGGGAGCCTATAGACTTGAAAGCCGCTCTTGCTATGGTCGGTTTCCTTTAGTGCCATGATTTGTATCCAATTGCCTAGTCATGTTCACATGTTCTTTTCTCTCTAGTTCATCAAATCATACCAAGTCCGTAAACTTCGTAGCTGGGTTAATCAAAAGCCCGTCTAAATTACGCATACCATATGCTCCACGTTCATCATCATCAGAAATCGGTACAGGCTTTGGCTCATTCGGAAGACGACTTCTGAAGCCAAGCCACAACAGTGCTACAGCAATCCTTGCGGTTTTGACGGTATTGATCGTTTCATGCATTGTTCACCCCGGTTCCTTGACTAAATGTAGTCCAGGCTATCTCATCCAAGAGGCGATAGTCATCATACCTGGACCAGCCATGTTTCAAGTGGATCTTACTTTATCAACCGATCATGAGTGTAGAGATTTATACCAAATGGGGCAATCTCAGCTTCGGTCCAATTAATAACGCCGAGCAGATTACAAGAGTTTTCATCTACCAGCATGCTGAAAGAACCAAAATTATTATGTAGTAACACCATAGGAAGAGAGAAGATGGCCGACAATAAGTCTAAAGATTTCTTGATCAATGGATGGAATCGAATGGGAAGAGAATCAAGTAACAAATTCAGCTCTCGTTCGTACTCATGGCTTAGGCTCTCGCGGTACGTTTGATCAACATCCTGAGGACTTTCCCAAGATAGAGCAAAGAATCTACATAGTAAGACATATAGTCAGGTATCTTATTTATATCACACAGAAATAAATCACATACTTCACGTTGTCGGCCACCAGATTTTGGTGCCAGCGAGAGAACTCGAGCAAGTTTTCAGGTACATCACCGGTGCGGGCTAGGATGAAATTCGGATGAGAGATAGCTGGCATTCGGTTCATCACGTATATATAAAGGGGTTCTTTAATCTCGTGATCTTCCCCAATCTGTCCCTTAAAGGAGATCTGGGGTGTCAAGTTTCGTAATAGGCTTTGGCGAGGTTCACAATGTCTATATTCAGCGCTAATGACTTCAGACGATACTGCACGACGAATTCGGCGTTAGGACCAGCATAGTCAATGTAGGTACACACGCCTTATACGTCGACTGGAGTGACATTGCCACCTAAATTCTCACTCGTATAGTCGTCACAAGCTAAGCGAGTCGTTTTAGTCTTCTCGAAAAATGCCACAATTTCTTGTTCAACCTCGTAATTCATATCGCTGGTAGCCATATTTTTACGTTCGAAATGTTTGAAAATATCGCAGATTTAGCAGAAGAGCTGTGAGGGGAAGAAACCGAGTTAACAAAGGGCAAGAGTGACGAGAGGAAGAGCGGTGTGCTAACAAAGAGGAGTTGGGGGGCTGATTTGCCAAATTCAAGTCTTATGCATGAAACAGCTATACAACCACTTTTAGAGGTAAGAATTTCTGCCAGCATAGCGGTCGGTGGCTCTTGGTCCTATACTCTTTCCTCCTCCAATTAAAAAATCCAAAGTGGCTTAAGAGCATCAGGGTGCGACTGATTCTGGGGTACAACAGATGTGGAGGGACTAAAGCCAGAGCTTGTCGCCTAAGGAATATCAAACTTTTCAGCATTGGGAGCGTATTATGGTCTAGGTGAGTCAAGCTGAGAGATCTCTCCATATGATAGAAGTCTTAGAAAGATCCATGTTAGCTTCTACGAGTCTACCGCAACTGACACCCACGGAAGAGTCATGTATGTCTGACACCTGATCTATGCGAGGTCAGCATGTGCAACGAATTGAGCATGGTCACCGGCTATTCTAAAGGAGATTCTATGCAGGCGCTCCCATCATCAGCCCCAAGAATATCACGATCGGATCATACTGAATTTTCGATGATCAGCCGCGATTAGGATTGGACGCGCCGAAGTAAATCTAATGCAAAAGATGGCCGCTAACTATCATAAACTACTTAAATCTAGATCGATAGAAGGCGAAATATTATTATGCAGAGAGAATGGTCGGTAGGTCTCGGACATTTCTTAGAATATCAATATTACTGCGTAATTAAGGGGTTACATAACAGTAGATATCGTCTAAGTTAAATGGAAGATAACGAAGGCCACCTGAATTTACTATAGCAAGATTAGAAGCACTCCCATAACATATATCAGAGCAATCTATGTCCTCGACCTTGCTCTATTTATAATCCCTGGATCTCTCTGAGTCTACCTATATCGTAGACGACTTCCAGGTTCCGGCAACTATCAATTAATAAGTCTCGACTACGCGTTTAAAACGCAAACTGGCTTCCCCGTTTAAAGCGCGAGGCAAATATCCAAAGTTCAGCGGCAACTGCGCTATCACAACGGATTCTCACTTTATTCTCACCTGTATTTTCAGCCTGTCTATTGCGCACTTATCCTTGTGACCCCCAGTCGCGCGGCGCTAAAGTAGCACTTATCCAATTCTCATCCAGGTAATAAAGCTCACAATAGCCGTCTAAAGCTTCTTACTTTGAAAGAAGCATCAATATGGTACATACGACCATAGGGTGTGGAGAACAGGGCTTCCCGTCCGCTCAGCCGTACTTAAGCCACACGCCGGCAGGTTAGTAGTTGGGTGGGTGACCACCAGCGAATCCCTGCTGTTGTATGTTTTTTCCTACGAACTCTTTTAATTTATCCTTTTTGTTGCATCTCAGGACAATTGTTTTGCTAGATTTGATGGTGATCGATTTCTCATCGCCTGTCTCGTGTGTCCTTAACCATGACCCTGTCAGAGAAGGAAATGTTCTAGTCGGAAATTCTTTACTCCTGTCTTTCCTATACAATGGCCTACGAAGATTTTGGATACCCCTCGAATGTTTCAAGCACGTTGCGAGGCACGACCCTTAATATTTTAATGGACCACACATGCACCTCAGTGGCTACTGTAATCTGCAGGGAGACATTCTGAATCCGTATAGAGCGTGAGTTCCCGGACGCTGCACCGTCTCATTACTCTTACTTCTCCTTGAACACCGGCATATCTAGTTGACATACGCTTTATAATTAGTGTGATAAAAGGAGGGATTGTTAGTTGGCAATTGCTATTGAATGTCGTCAATTAGTTGACATGAGGCTCTTCTTGTGCCGAAGTCCGTTCAGTCCATGGCTGCGTCTCCGGGATGATTTGCACCCGACTTGATTGAATACCCAATTCCCAATCTTCTATCAAGTCCTCTTGCCGTGGAGTGACGATAAAACTTTGATGTTTAACGATCTTTCTATCTCTCGAATAGGTGCTTGGGTGTGATTCCGAATTTGTGTCAAGGAGATTGAGACCTTCACCCTGAATTCGCAGGCCGTTGGACTTCATCCACTTGATGAACGGGCGCAATTGGCCCCAGCATGCTGTGATTATGCTCAAGCATTGAATCACTTCTTGTATGATTGTTACATCGCAGAGGTCATACGTAGGATCGCTTGTATCCGTCGTAGCTTTTATAAGAGACATTTCAGCGATGATTGCTTCGGTCACTCTGAACAAACAAGGGTTAGTCATTGAAGTCGTCGTGGTTGCAGTAACGGTTTTTCTTAAAGCTTACAGTGCTCTGGGAAGGAAGATGCCTGCAAAACCTATGCGTTTCGTGAAGCTAGTCTGTACGCTGTATATCAGCAGCGTGGACTGCGTGAGGACTAGAAAATCTGTTGCGATGTTGGATGTGCTGACGAAATAATGCCATGCAGTCTGCAGGAACCCGAAGGGCATCAGCAGTGACTATGTCTTAAGAAAGATTGAAGTACGTACCAAATCAAAGCACTTGCCATTCCAAAAATCCCAGGTTCGAGGAACGGCACATTGAAAGGCAGTGCCTAGGAATGCAACAATTGTCCAAATCCCGATCGAGGTTTCCACGATGCGAGCCAGCATATGGTCCTTTGAGACCGGGGTGAGTCCGCGGACAAAAATTGCTAAAGAAAGCTTTGATGTGCAGAGGGAGAATGTAGAGGAGGTTGGCCGAGTATAAATTCTTCGTTGATGTGGCTTTTGATTAGCCTGATGACTGGTCTCGCCGGACACTCAACTTACTTTCATAGTCGCGTCAAACTCTGATGACGAGACTATGTTGAAATGCTTTCCATAACCAGATGCTACTGCCAAGAGATGGCAATACTTTGGCCAATGCAAAAGATCTAATTCGTAAGTCCATGCGGTGGAACACATGCTGTGTATTGGCAGAAAGAGAATACTCACCAGCGAAAGCGCAATTAGACCATCATCAAGTCTCAGGACCTTGTACAGACGCCATTTTGTCCAGAGCCGTACTAGAACCGCCAGTGAAACGACGACCAAACAGAACCAAGTCGTGCAGTTCACGGCCGGGTCTTTGCTATCACCGATGAATCGGGTTCCCATCGGAACTGAATCGTTACACGACGGAAGAAACTATCAGGGACAGCAACGAAGCAAAGAAACCTTGGAAGATGCATGTCTCGAGAATTGGGTTGTTGTTATCGCGACTATTCTGAATAATAAGTCGTGTGCCCCCGATCGATCATCACAATCCTGAGACGGGGCACACGAGGGCTCCAGAGCGAAAAAAATACAACGTCAGGATCTTGATCCTGGCAGATTCAAGGTTTGTCAGGCGAATTTCGGTGTCATGGCGCGTATCCATGTCGAAGTTAAACCATGGTGCAATTAAGGCCGATAGCGCCATCTCAAAGAGTTTAGGGGGGGTAACATCCAGGCACTTTTCCCGAATGGCTTCCACGTTGGCTTCACCTCCGATGTTTATGGCCGAATTCTGTTCCCCCTCCAACCCACGAGAGCATCTGCATTCTCTTCAATTTCGCCCATGTCAAGATGTGCGCAGTACTAGCCCCCTCTCATGAAGTCTCCAGCGCCCGGGGTGACCGAATCTGAAGCGAAGTATTCGAACCCCCGCCATGATCCCTGTCACGGCCCAGTCGCGGCCCCAGGTACAGATAGCAACCTTACCTAGAACGTACTCTGGTGTCTGCGACCCGCCAAGGCCTTATAAATGCGCCTAATTGCGACTTGATGCAACGGCCCACGAAAGCTACCGTCTCGGATTGAAGGATCGCACCTTGTGGGCCTCCATGTCTCGGTTCTCTTGCGGCCCGCTCCAGCATGCTACAGTACTCAAAAAATTATGCATATTCAGTGGTCGTCGCTCTAGCTGCGTCTAATTTCCCATTACCTGCAATGCGGAAGTCTATGATCCTTCGGTGAAACTTTTCTTTTTCTCTTTCACACTCTTCCGCCCCCGTTCTTCTGCATGCTTGTGTTTCTTTCCCTTGTTTCATTCTGGGGAGTTAGCGACAACAATGGCATCGTACGAGCTGAAGCATAGGCCGGTCTTGAGCAATGAAGCCAATAATGACCATTTTTGCCGGCGACAACGATGCGATACAGCTTCAGAGACTTGGAAAGCGGCCAGTGCTAAAGGTTTGCTCATTCCGAGGATCTTAAGGATTATGGCGCTGATCCTGGATCGTACCAGCGAAATTCTGGCGTTCTCTCGATTCTTGGATTGAGTTGTACTATTCTCGCAACCTGGGAAGGATTACTTGAGTGAGTCTTTTGACGATCTAAGGCGTACTATTCTCTAACTCTGTGTAGTATATTTACCATTTCCCTGACAAAGTTTGTTCTACTTCCATCTTGGCTTTGATAATCGGTGTCACTGATTGACAAAAGTGCTGGATCTGCGGGCGCTGTCTACGCCTATATCTTTGCCTGGACAGGAACAGCATGTTGCTTCTTAGTATTATCGGAAATGGCATCAATGTAACGTCTTTTCCTCGATCCTCCATGAGTGAACCTGACCAGAGCCCAGGGCTCCCACCTCAGGAGGCTAGTACCACTAAACAGCCATGCTTGCACCAGCCCGCTACATGAAGTTCCTTAGCTACATCACAGGTAAGATGATAGTTGATGCAAGAAGTTTAGGGCACTAATGATCAACAGGATGGCTCGCGGTTATTGGCTGGCAGACCGCTTTCGCTTCAAGTGCCTATCTTTCTGGCACTGAGATTCAAGGAGTAGCAATTCTCGCTAACAAAGCGTACAATGCTTTGTCGTATCAAGGGACCTTGATCATGTGGGCCACCCTGGTAGTTGCACTCCTCTCCAATCTGGTTGGCGGCAGATTCTTGCCCAGACTGGAAGGATTCATTCTGATCATTCACATCTTGGGGTTCTTCGCTATCATTATCCCTTTGACTTGCATGTCCGATCATAAGACAGACCGAGAAGTCTTCCTTGAATTCCTGAATGGGGGGCAACTTTGCAACCCAGGGCTTGTCGTGGTTTGTCGGTCTCAGCGGGTGCGTATTCGCATTTGCCGGCGGAGATGCCGCTGTCCATGTGAGTAAACCTGGACCTTGGTTCATCGCTCTTTGACTAATGACTCGAAAGATGGCCGAAGAAGTTGCAAATGCTTCGGTCGCAATCCCTTGTGCAATCATGCTCAGTGTCTTGATCAATGGCAGTCTTGGATTTGGCATGTTGATTGGAATTCTTTACTGCGCAGGAGACATCGACGCTGCCCTGAACTCTCCGACCGGATACCCCTACATCGAGATATTCTACCAGGGGACAGGTTTCATGAGCGGTACATTGACTATGTGCTCAATACTCTTGATCATTGGTATCGCTTCATGTATCGGTATGCTGGCCGCCACCTTTCGTCAGTTCTGGTCCTTTGCGAGAGACCGTGGTGTCCCAGGATGGCGCGTTTGGACCAAGGTAAGATCTCCATCGCGAGGATCATTGTATAGCTTCAGTAAACTCTTTCATTCAGATATCCTTTCGCCACCTACCTGTCTACGGGACTCTGTTAACGACTATCATCTCCACCCTTCTCGGCCTCATCAACATCGGATCCGAGGTAGCGCTGAACGATATTCTCTCCATGGCGGTGTCTGGAATTTACTCTTCCTATCTCATTGCTCGAGGTCTCCTATTGTACCGCCGGTGCAAAGGTGATATCTCGCGATACAACGAAAGCGACGAAACGACCATCAATGTACCTGGCGCAAAATTGGTGTGGGGGCCATTCCATGTGCCCGGAATTTGGGGCATCTTACTTAATGGGTAGGCCGTTGTCTACATGATGATCGTCATTTTCTTCAGTTATTGGCCATCTTCTATGGACCCAAGCGTGCAGGACATGAACTACAGTGTTGTTGGTACGGTTGGGGTGGTTTTCTTAGCTATTGTGTACTATTTTGTGCGAGCTAGGCATGTCTACCAGGGTCCTGTTATGGAGACTTCCTGAGGCGTGGAGTTCCGAAATTTGGATATACTGTTTGCTGACATTCCATACAACAACCAAGAAAATCTCAATTGAAGCCGTTCTTGCAGCTCCCAGTTTTATTAATACACGTACCGGAACTGTCTGTTTTTCAAGTCTGTAATGTCCACCAGTTCACATTGAGTGTTGGTAACAGTCTTCTCTTGTTCGACGACAGGATCATCGTTGCTAGCCTTCTTCTCACGTCTCCTGTTCTCCCAGCGAAGATAGAGCAACAACACAAAGCCGTCAATCACACAGATCACGAGGCAAATTATGATGGCTAGGAAGCCGCTCTGTGAGTTTGTTAGTCTCTATCATCGCGCATAGCATCACAAGGAAGAGTTATACCTGATATTTGGGAGCCTCTCGCTCGAAAAACAATTGGGGTCCAATAATATTACCCGCACAGTACATGATGAAATAGACCGAGCTGACTGTAGCCTTCTTTGTAAATCCACCAACATTCGAACTAATCATCGCCATAGAGACCGGCATGGCTGCAGAGTAAGCTCCCATGATAAGCAGGCCCGCGTAACGAGCCCCGACCGAGTGTGCGGCGTAGACAAGGGCGCTTCCCACTATACTACTTCTTGTTAGCAATGAACTCTTCTAGCACAGCTCTTTCATCGTGTACCTAATAATGTTCAATCCACTCATTGCAAGGCACCGGCTATTGGCGACCTTGGACGAGATCATACCTCTATGTGATGGTCAGAAAGCAAGCTTTGGTGATAACACTTGCGAGCCACTTACCCGCCCAGCACAAAGATGAACACAATAACACCCCCTGGAATGCCGAGAAGAAGGGTGTTGAACGTGCTAAACCCGAAGCCTTGCAGGACTAGACCGTTGAACTAACTCTATATTAGCAGCCTGGCTCGAATGTGTTGAGAGTCAATCTCACTGTAGTGAATCCTCCATTCGGAATATTTGATGCCAAGATTAGCACCGCAAGAATCCAAGTCTTGATATCCGTAAAGGCTTCCACAATTTGACTTCGGTCAATTTGGTTGTTTTTGAATCCGGTCTTGTTTGCCTTTAGTCGTTCGGTCGCAATCATTCTCTCTTCATCAGTCAAGAACTTCGCATCCACCGGAGAGTCTGGAAGACGGAAGAGCATAACGATGCCCCAGAGGAAGGTCACGAGTCCAAAGATGATGAAGAGCCACTTGAGATGACCGTTAATTTAGATACTTTAAGTCAAGAGTATATGGTATCTGACCTGCCATGCATAGAGTCTGCTATGAATTTGCAGGATGCCCACAGCGATTAGGTTGCCAATGATTAGAGAGAGCGAGTTTCCGCAGAACCAGATACCGGCACGAAGTGGTTGTTCTGATGTTCGATACCAGAGAGAGGTGACGAGAGTGAACCCCGGAGAGAGGCTGGCCTCGGTACATCCGAGGAAGAACCTGGTCACCATCATCGTTATGAAGTTGGATGTAGCTGCATGACAGGCTAGAACAACTGCCCAGAGAAGGCTGGCTCTTTTTATTAGGAGAAGCATTAGATATGAGGGACAGCTTTGGTTACTCACAAATTCACTGCAAGGTACTTTCCTAGCGGGAATTTGACCATCAAGAGTGATGCCGGATATCTGTACGCCAATCAGTTCCAGTTTCATTTTGTAAGATGTGCCGATGGTTTCGCACGAGAAAAATAGATAACCGAAGTAGAACATTCCCGAGACCCAACTGTATTGTGAGCCGACGAGATGAAGTTCTTCACGAATCCCCATCAACGAAGTATAGCTCAGCGTTTGTTTGTCCAGGAAAGCCATCATATAGGCAACAAGCATGACTGGGAGAATCCTAGAAACAATTTGTCAACACCGAAACATCCCATCTGGTGGAAGGCGACTGACGTTAAATCAATCTTTCGAACGAGTCTTTTCTCTGCTTCTGGGGAGAACTGGAACGAGGCCAATTGAAGCTGCTCCACGGCGCCGTCGTCAAGACTGGGTCTATCCATCTCGCGCTCTGCACTGGCAATTTCGCCTTTATCATTCTTCTCCGTCATTTTATTTTTCGTAGAATATCAGGTGAAGCGATTAAAATGACCGGGCAATTTCCCAGTCGTATCTCCCTCTCTATTTATATCAACTACCATATCTCCCTAGCCTACAGAACAAAGCTATGATCCTATCGCCTTTGTCCGATATCTTGAGCGCCACGACAAATCCCTCCCCTCATTTTTATTCACCTGATAAGGGTGCACTAAGCGGGTTGGCTTCGGGCGAGTCGCCATTGGCTCCATCGGCAAGGCTAGGCGGGGGCCAAGTACGTTACACTTGTGCCGAGGAATCTGAGTATATTGAAATGGAAGCGGCCTGCCAGCTTGTGGCGCATAAGAAAGTGGAATGAGTTTTCCAGAAATCAAAGTTGGCAGTCTCCAGAGTACGCGAGAACTCTGAGACATCTAAGACCACAAGTCGGCGAAGTACGGGTGTCGGATTGTGATAGGAATACTGTTCCGTTTGACTATTTGCTAGATTCTCTTATCAATCTTTCTGGAAATCCGCCTTCACAGCCTCGGCAAACTCGTCGTCAACCAACATCTGGCAAGCGACTACGGCCATCCCAGCTGCGCACGCGATTGATCGCTTGTGTCCCTCGGGCGATCCAGCTCCACTGGTGAACTCGGGGGTGTGATTGACTCCGTTGACCGGGATGCAGAAGATACCATGGAATCCGGGAACTTCATATGATACATTGCCTGGGCTTGATTAGCTGGTTTTTAGTGGGCTGAGTAGAAGTACTCACCCATGTCAGTGGATGCTCCGGCTAGTGCGCCTTCTTGTTCTGAGTTGTCAAGGAGGGTGTGGTGGCCCATTGCGCGCATGGCTGAGACGTAGCTCTCGCAGATTGGTCTGTTGCTCTTCAGATCGTCGTATGAAGGACCCCTAACAAGTTTCATTAGGCGATGTTATGACTATAATAGTGTTCCGTGGTGAGGGCTTACCACTCAAAGTCAACTTTACACCCTGTCGCAGTCGCAGCTGCTTCGAAGCACTTGATCACTTTCTCAGTCAAGGGCTTCAAGGTCTTCTTAGTTGGCGATCGAATGTAATAGTCGACCGAGGCCGACATTGGAATAATGTTCGGGCGGTCTCCTCCGTTCACAATAACACCATGGATCTTCTGTGTGGGTAAAATCTGTTGACGAAGCATAGAGATGCTGACATACGCCGAGACAACGGCATCCAAGGCATTGATGCCCTCCCAGGGCGCTGCAGCCGCATGAGCAGGCTTGCCTGTGAATGTGACCTTGACCTTATCATTTGCCAGAAAACCTCCCTCAATAACAGTTGCCATGCCATGAAGATCGGGGTTTCCAGGTGCCATCGGGACAGGGTGTACCATGAGACACGCGTCTACACCCTTGTAGGCACCGGCGTCGATTAGCCGCACTTTGCCGCCGCCAGACTCTTCGGCGGGGTACCGAAGAGACGGACTGTGTATCCAACATCTGAAATAGACTTGATCGCTTCGCAGGTCGCGATAAATGCGGCGATAGAGCTTGTTGCAATCAAGTTGTGACCACAGGCGTGACCGATTCCAGGAAGAGCATCGTATTCGGCATTGAACGCTACAACGCGCCCTGGCTTGCCATTAGACCATTCAATTTCAAAAGCGGTGTCCAGGCCCCAGGCTTTGCGATGGACTATATATCCATCCGATGAGACTGCTTCGAAGAAACTGCAAATTGCTTCATGAGCATCATGCTCAGCATATGCAAGTTCTGGATTCGACCAGATCTGGTAGAAGTCAGTCTTGTCACTTCTCCTTCGCAATTGGACCAGATGAATCTTCTACTTTGTGATTGATCTCCTTCAACTTTTCATCCCAACCGCCAAGGGATTTGTGGACCTTATCCAGGAATTGTCTCTGTGCTTTGGGGACGTGCATTATGATTTTCACCAACAGGGATTTTAGATAGGCGCTATGATTGGAATCTGTGGAATTAAATATAAAGAACGGAAACCATCTGAACCCGAAATCCTGATGCAACTCAACATTGGAACTTATCGCATTGCTGAATGTGGTTAGGAGGGTATTTGCCGACGCAGCCACTCGGGTGATTCGAATCGGCAACTCTTATCGATGTGCCTCGCTCGCAACTCCACTCGGCAGCCATCTTCTTCCCCGCCATTTTCTCACATAAATCTCCTGGACCTGTCTACGCGATAGGTTCGGCAAAACACTCAATGGCCCAGTAAACCCCAGATTTATCCACCAGGGACCAGGGCCAAATGGAGCTCGGCAGGGTTCACGATGCAAAAGGCGAAGACTCGTTCCAAGACAGGTTAGGATCCACACACCATGCCTCCTTGTCAGAGACTAAGCAAGGGCAGGATGCCGCACGTGCCGCATTCGTAAGGTCAAATGCGATGAGCAAAAGCACAATGTGAATGGCCAAGATGAACCGCAATGCCAGCGCTGTTCTTCAGCGCGTCTCCGGTGTGAGTGGAAAGGCGGGCCTATTCCGCGCAAATCGGCATCGGCATCAGTGTCATCTTCATCGCTCTCGGATCAATCGCAAAGGAATCATCTGAAAGGTGCTGACCTGAATCTACTTGTGCGAAAGCGGCAGGCCGTTGAGCAGGCCTCCAATGCTGCCAAGCCTCCGTTGCTTCCTTCGCAAAGATTGAGCAGTGCGAATCCCGATCAGAGCATTCAGGCGGCAAATTCCCTGACTCTGTCTGCTTTTGATCGCAGTTGTCTGAGCTATTTGCAGAATTCAACACTAGTGGTGATCCTGGGAAAGCACTGGCCATGGTCCACCATCTCGTATGCGTACCATAAGATCGCCGTTATAGAGCCTATGGTCATGAGCATGATTCTGGCCAGTACCGCACGTGAGATCCATCGCTCGAGACTCTTCGATGAAGACAATGTGTCCAGCAGTCCCTCTCAAAATGAGTCCAATGAACTTGACGGGCGCATGCACTACGGTCACGCATTGTCAAGTCTTCGCCATGCCTTGAAACAGGACGTGAAGACACCACAGAAAATCGAGGCCGTGTTTGTTACTCTATGGCTCATGATTGATTATGAAAATAGATTCGGTAGCGGAATTACGGCTATCAATATTCACATCCGAGGTATTGAGACTCTTCTTCATAACCATATCGTACCTTTGCTTCAAAATGCGACAGCGCCCCAAGGGTCATCTCCAGCCGACTTCGCGGTCGCAATCGCGTCTGAAGGATTGAGTACCGACTCACAAACACAACCGAATGAACATATGTCTATAACTGGTTCTACTCTCGCCGGAGGATCAAAGGAGATTGCCTTGCGAGAACCACTCGATTCACTTCGTTCTACATCGGTGCCTCTGTTTCTTCTATGGACATTGTACTTTTTCACACCGTCGGCCTTGTTTTTTGGACCCAATACGACGCGACTGGACACAGATGTTTACCAGTTTTTCCTCAATGCTGAAAATGGCAACGCGGATCACTTAAGCCTGCCTGAGCTCTACCGAATATGCAGGCAGTCCCCCGCCCGCTTCTGGGGTGAGAACTATCCAATGTCCGCCCAGCTGGATGACATGGAAAATCTGCCCGGTTTGACATTGTACCACCGCAGCCACGTCATTCAGTTCAAGATCACCGAGCTATTCCAGCAGGGCGAATTGGATAACACCTCGAGCGCAACGTCACCCTATCAGCAGTTGATCGACCAACTAAATACGATTTCCATTGTAGGTATTCTCGATCAATCCCTCAACTGTTCGCTAATTCAAATAGGAATACGATACCGTGCTAATGACCGCCAAATCCTCAGCATCATGCGACGTAACCGCCGACCGGCGCGTGCTAGAGACAGTCTACTGGTCCGCCATAACCTTCTACAGTACAATTATTTTTTTCCACCTTTGCTTCCAGGGAATCCTTAACAAACACCCCGGCACTCAGGTCCACAGCAACCTCATGACTCTTCGCGACGCTGTATCCCAGGTACTCGAGCTAAGCTTGAAACTGCATCGCAGCCGACCGCGTCTGATGATACGAATAATCTGGCCTTTGTTCCTCGCTGGTATTGCGACCTTGGATCAAATCTATCAAGACTGGGTGGCTATCCAGTTGAGGGAACTTGGTAGGTTCGGTGAAAATTACACGCGTATCAGTAGGCGCTTCGATGAGATTATTCAGGGGAGCCAGCCTTATTCCCATTGGGACTTCCAATTGAATTTTACCAGCCACTGAGTGGGGTTGAGCTGGTTGTCATACATGGACTTTTACTGATGTATCTTGCATATGAGTAAATTGGGATAAATCTCCAAGATGTCGCACAGATCAGGTCATCCACCAGGGGAACCATGAATTAACAACCGGGTTGCTCTTTGACCCGCACAAAACGCTCGGTCGAAGCTAGGACGACATCACCATAGCTTATAGTCATCTACATGACTAGCTACTAAACAAGGAACCAGCAGTCGCGACGACACAAGATCCACCAACTTATCACACCACGTGGGTCTCGGGAATACAAGAGACTAAGCAATTGCGGGTGCAGATAAGCCCCGCCACCCGAGAGCTTGAATTTTCCTTTTCAACAACGCGCACCATGTCCCCAGACGTAGAGAAGGGCTTACCGATTCAAAATTTCTCAGACACATCACAAGAAGCCAATGGGAGAATTCCCTTCAGCGAAACATGTCCCGTTTCAAAGACTCTTCACAATGTCAAATCTCCCCGCGTGGCTGACGGGCCCATTCCAGGATCCGGGTCCCCAGTGAAAGGGAAGAGCGCATGGGCCCGCCTCCACGATCGACTCGTGTCGATGGAATTCTTCGAGTCGCGTGGTATCGAGCGTGTTCCGATCGAAGAGCGCCATGATATCAAAGCGGCAGATTATCTGCAGATGAGCCTGTTGTGGTTCAGCACTAATATCACGGCGAATAACATGGCGCTGGGGATGCTAGGGCCGTTGGGTTATGATCTGGGATTTGTAGACTCGGCGCTTTGTGCGACTTTCGGTGCGTTGCTTGGTGCTGCCGGGGTTGCGTACATGGGTACCTTTGGTCCTGCAAGCGGGAATCGAACGATGGTATGTTCTATTTTCGCTCAATTGTGACCAGAGTGGGAACTCATGCCTGGATAGGTCATTGCACGATACTTTATGGGCTACTATCCTAGCAAAATCGCATGTCTGTTGAACATCATTATCATGCTGGGATACGGTATGATTGATTGTCTAGTCGGTGGTCAAGTTCTGTCGGCCGTGGCGGGGGGCCGAATGACCGTCATCGTGGGGATTATCATCATCGCCGTCGTGACTTGGGTCATCGTTCTATTCGGAATGAGTGTTTTCCACATCTACGAACGATACGCTTGGGTGCCCCAACTCATCGCTGCGTTTGTTCTGGTCGGCAGCGCCGGTCCTAAATTCGATACTTCAATCGCGTCAACAGGATCATCTGAAACCATCGCTGGCAACCGACTCTCATTCTTCTCGCTGTGTTTATCGGCCTCGGTGGCATGGGCACCTGCCGGCGCTGACTTCTTCGTCTACTTCCCGCCGACCACGTCGAAGTGGAAGACTTTTCTCATGACCTTCCTTGGCGTCGGACTCGCACTGACCTTTGCCAACCTCTTGGGTGTCGGACTCGCCTCTGGTACATATACCCATGCATCTTGGGAAACAGCATATGATGTATCTTCCGGTTCCTTGATTCTCGCAGGCTACGATGGTCTTGGCGGCTTCGGTAAATTCATGGGTGTTCTTGTCGCGCTTGGCTTGATCGCAAATAACATTCCTGGGACATACTCCGCCTCCTTGGGCTTTCAAATTATGGGTCGACAATTAGCCCGCCTTCCACGCTGGTTTTACTCTTGCGTCGGCGTTGTAATTTACACTGCTTGTGCGCTCGGTGGCCGGGACTATCTCTACGATATCTTCGACAATTTCCTGTCCTTGATGGGATACTGGGTGACAATCTATTTAATGATTGCTGTGGAGGAACATTCTATCTTCCGGCGAAAATTGGGCTTCAATTGGGATGACTGGGCCGACCCTTCGAAGTTGCCGGTTGGTATCGCGGCTTTGGTGGCTTTCTTGGTTGGCTGGGCCGGTGCGATTGTTTCGATGGATCAGGTTTGGTATGTTGGACCTATTGCCCAAAGGGTTGGTGCTTATGGCTCGGATCTGGGTATTTGGGTTGGTATTTCATGGGCGGGATTGGTGTATCCGCCGCTACGATGGTTGGAGCTCAGGAGATTTGGCCGGTGATGACCTTGAAAAGGCGGTAAAAAGGTACCAAGGCAGGACTTGTAATGTTTGGGCTTCTGTCCCTATTCGCCGCATCCCTTGCCTGGAGTCTTTGCAACAATCCGGATCCATAGTTTCGATCTCCATCATCTCCCATCCCCTCTCACAAATTCAAATTATCAATTGATTTTGTCATCGCCGTCCACACTGATTATGTTAGACAATCCAACAGTAGTAGAGCACTCCAGAAGACTCTCCACAAAGGTCCTACGCCTGGCGAGCGCTCTACCATCTGGGTGGTGGCTCAGACTTGTTCACTAAGGTTACGCCGGAATCCCAATTTACCCGGAGGCTTATTATTAGGTAGCGACCTTGCCTTTGTAGTGATAGTATGCTCACCAAGACTTAAAAGGAAAAGCCGCATGAAAGAGGTCCGAGTCAGAATGACTCACTGTAGGATCACAGATTCAGACAACAGTCAAAGATAGCACTCAGGATATATCACCGAAAAGAACTGAAGCTCTGTATCCTCATTGCAGAGGAAAATCGCATCCATATATGCGCAAAGATATCAGGTCATCTGAACACATAATCAGCCATGTCTGTGGAGCAATCCCCATTCCCACCGGGATTCCGGATCTCCACCTCACGCCTCCGAATTACTCCATTCGACCCCACAAACCAAATTCACTGCGAATTTCTCGTCCAACTATGGAATACAGACGATTTCATCAATTCAAATGGTCGCACAGGCATTGACACCCCCGAGAAGGCATCATCCTTTATTCAAAATCGCGTGATCCCGTCCTATGCCCGCAATCGACACGGCATGTTCCTCGTATCGCTACACGACGGCCGACATATTGGTATGGTTTCCTTGATGAAAGGCTCGCCGCCTGATGCGTATTACACTGCCCCAGATGTTGGGTATACGATCCTACCCGAGGAGAGTGGGAAGGGATATGCGACCGAGGCGGGAAAAGGTATCCTAGAGTATGCGCAGAAGGATCTTGGCATTGAGAGTGCATTTGGATTTTGTGCTGCTGAGGATATGCGGAGCCGGAGGGTTTTGGAGAAAATTGGATTGGTGTTTAGGGGAGTTGGGGATTTGGTTGTGTTTGCGGGGAAAAGGAGTGCTGTTTATGCTTTGCCTTCTATGGGAGACTTGGAGGTTTATGACCTGACAGAGAAGCTTGAGGTATAGAATTTGATTTTGGTAGGATATGAAACCATTTTGTTGTGACCGTAGCTACGTTACTTGTTCCGGTCGCCTAGGGCATTGCTTTATAGATGTGTTCACCTGGCGCAGGAGGTTGTAGGAAATCGAGAGGTAGATCCTCTGGCAACTGACGTTTTTCTGCCCATTCACGTATTTCGTCGAAGTTTTTGCATCGCTGGCGGGTGTTGAAGTTGACGAATGGTTCAGGGTTCTCGGGATAGATCCAGACTTGGCCTACAACGCCGGTGTCTACCGTACACATAAGTTGCTGGCGGAGAACATCGACACATTGGGCTAGAAATGGACTTAGCATGAAACCTGGAACAGACTGATGGGAATGAATACCAATTTGATGCCGCGCGATGAAATCGTTATTTGCGAAAACGCCTTTGCCCTCGGAATGGTAATAATCGTAATTGAAGTAAAGAGATTGACGAAGGAGATTCTAGACCAGTAGTCAGAATGTCATGTTCCAAGGGCGACGGAAGATACATACCAAGCACTGAAGATGCCGTAGACCCTCTACGTCAGCGGGAAATCCTCCACCGTAGCTCGGATTGATCTTGACTTGATCAGATGAGAAATCTGACTCGGCTGCTTCCTCGGGCGATACCCGGATACTTCGATCTTAGCTATTTGTTAGCCACTTTTACTATTGAATTGTCATACGACTGACGGACAGTTAACTCCAAGAGCATCCCAGGCCGCATCTACCTCTGGATTCGCCTCTTGTCGGTAGACCGAGTCCTTCAGTAGCGGGTTGTTCGACCTTTGAAGGTGGTATGTGATTCCCACCTCGCTCATCACCGGGGCTAGATCAAGCTTCAAGTCAGCGTTGTGAAGAAATCTTGGGTCATATGAACTCACAGTACCGGGCAACATGCTGACTGCACCGGCTGTCCAAGTCGCCATGCCACATTGTCCCGAACAATAAACCGAGAAGGAAAAAGACACCCAGCGCAGTTAATTGAAGAACAGTAGTGACACAGTCGTCGCAGCTATCGAATTCATCATCCTGGCTCCATGCCTCTTGCTCTTCAGGCAGAAGGCTTTCGCGAGACTCAAAGTCTCCGTCTTCCAAGTCAGGGGACTTTTCTCTGAACATATTCGCTCGGTAAATAGAACCTTTAATCTCAGATAGAATTAGAAGGGGAGTAGAAACACCAGAGGTGGGCTGGGAGTTTCGAAGAATCGAGCTTCTAAGGGATCAACAAACACCGCTCACGACCTTGGCCACGACCACGACCACTACTGCTTCCGCTCCAACGTAAAAGCTAGCTTGAGACAAGCACAAGCTCAGAAAAACCTCATAGCTCAAACCCTGTCAGCCTAACCCTGGCCAGACCGCTAGTCTGGGACGCGCATTTCTCAACCAAGTCAACTGCGAAAGCCAGGACGAGCCATCACAGTCACAGTTGCGCATTGACACTGTCTAGAGTCTCCCCCTGCGTGTCTTACACGTTTCTTGTTCCCATGCGTGACCCCAGAGCGTGGTGCAATGGGGTGATCGGACATGTCACCCTTGGGAGGCTGGGCCAGCATTGGCACAGTATTGGCACTGCCACGAGAAGTGATGTCGTAATCGAGGTTTGTCACAGACAGGCGATGTCCAAAGTGCAGATGAAAGGCGACGATCGACTGGAATGTGCTTAAACCCCTTCGGGAGAGATCGACAGCCCGAAAGCCAAGTGGCGCGAGCTTCCACGCAGCTCGATGCGAGGATCATCATACAAAGTTTAAGCACCTGCAGAGTAAGACATTCCACGCGGGGGGGGTTTCTTGAGTTACCTTAGATATATGGCTCATACAACCACGGGGCGGTGTTTCTCTGAAATCACCGCGCAGTTGGTCTTTTGCCGATTCTCCCGTCCCCGCAAGGCGCCATGATGTTCACTACACGTTCGAACAGCTCGTCCCTTGCAGCTTGCTCCGATCCCCAGAACTCAGTGACGTGAGCTGCCATCGAGCTCAGACATCGACATCAACACCTGCGAGAGCTCATAGAGCTACGTAATGACCAGGCTTGAAGTTCGGCGAGCTGTGCTCGACTTGAATAAATAGGAGGTGATGGCACGGTCTTGTATCACTCATCAACTCAAGCAGCTCTCAAGATCCTCACAAGTCCACAGGCTTCTCTCAGATCATTCAAAACGCAATTCCATCTTCTCACCTCAATTCTCCAAAATGCGCTACACTCTCATCAACGGCCTGCTTATGCTGGCTGTCTCCCCTTCACCTCTCTTGCTCTTCCTGTCGACCCCAATGACCAGGCCGGCCAGTGGGATCCTTCCGGCCAGTACCGCAAAGGTCATTATGTGAACGGCGAATTTATCCCGAACAACGGCGGTGAGGTCGGCACCTATGAGAACGGCCAGTACAATAATGGCCAGAACTACAACAATGGCCAGTATAACAATGGTCAATACAACAACGGCCAGTATAACAACGGTCAATGGCACTCCAACAACCAGCAGAACGGCTGGACTGATGCCAACGGCCAGTGGCACACAAACACTAAGCGTGGTCTTCCAGGCGTCGGTGTTCCTGGTGTTGGTGTTCCTGGCGTGGGTATTCCTGGCGTGGGTATTCCTGGCGTGGGTATTCCTGGCGCCGGTGTTCCCGGAGCCAGTGTCCCCAAAACCAGTGTTCCTGGCATTCCCGGTACGGGAGCCCCTAACGCTGGTGTCCCTGGTATGACAGGCGCCAACCGTATGAACCACTTCGGAACTCCTGCTACTGGTGCTACTGGTATCCTCCGTCGCTGGATCCCCGACCATGCCCGTTACAACAACGGGCAGTACAACAACGGCGAATACAACAATGGACAGTATCAAAATGGGCAGTACAACAACGGCGAATACAACAATGGCGAGTACAACAATGGGGCTGGCCGCTCTGGCGTAACTGAGATTGAGGGCCCCTCCGGCTCTATTACCGTCTCCCGCCGCTGGAACCCTGATAACGAGAACGATCGCTACAACAACGGTCAATACAACAACGGTCAGTACAACAACGGCCAGTACAACAACGGCCGGTACAACAACGGTCAGTACAACAACGGCCAGTACAACGGTCAGTACAACAACGGCCGGTACAACAACGGTCAGTACAACAACGGTCAGTACAACAACGGTCAGTACAACAACGGTCAGTACAATAATGGAGCTGGCCGCCAAATTGCCCACATTGTTGGCCCTTCTGGCTCTATCACCGCCCCTGTCCGTCGCTGGATTCCAGAAAATGACCGCTACGACGATGATCGATACAACAACAACGACTGGGACCGTGAAAACCGTGACGCCGCCCACATTGCCGAGGCCTTGACGCCGACTGTCGTTGTCCGACGCTGGACGCCCGCTGAAGAGGACGTGATCGACGAGCAAAACCGCCTGGCTGAGATTAACGCCGAGCGCCCTACTGGTATTTTTGCTCGTTTGTGGCCCTCCACCTGGCCTCGCCCTTGCGGTCGCTATGATGCCAGCTGCAACTACAACGACCGCTACAATGACAACGAAGACTATGACAACTATGACCGCTGCAAGAATGGCGACCGTACCGACCGCAACGGCTGGTCCTGCAGCAGCGACTGGAACCTCAACCGTGCCAATCCCTCCCCTAGTGTAATTATCGCACGCAACCAGCCCAGCTACGACAACACTGATAACAACTACAAGAACGGCCACACTGACAACAATGACTATGACTACAAGAACGGTCACAATGACAACAATGACTACGACCGCAAGACCAGCCACTACGACAACGATTCTGGCTATGTCAGCGACGCTGAGCGCGACCACCAGGCCCACGCTTTCGCTACCCCCACTGCCACTGTCTCTGCCAACTAAGCGCCACGGGCTACTGTTCATGCGCACAGACCATAATGGGAATTCTCGGGGGAAGCATAATCGCATTTTCGGATTGTTTTGATATTTTGACATTTACGTTTTGATGCACTTCATGATTTTGATGAGGACACGAACTGCATACGCTCCTTACATGATGGATCTGGTTTTCTGGTATTAGAAAATGAAGGAAAAGGTAATTCGAACAGTTAAAGTAGAATGACAATATGTTTTGATTACACAAATTCCTGAGACTCATCCAACATAAGTAGATCCGATATCTCCCCATCGAATATTTGAAAAGCTCACTGAAGTTCCAGGATGCTGGGCTTGAATCAGCTTTGGATCTCCTTCAGTGCTGTTACATGGCCCAGCATCGCCACTATCCAGCCAGTTCATGAACGCCCCCCGGATCATTCCAGATACTAAACACCAAGACCATTCCCCTCGAGATTGCCTTCCCGATCTGCTTCAATCCACCCATTTCTGCGAAATAACTCGCCGTGGTAGAACAATACTCATCCGTCAAGGAATCAATCTCCATCCCTGCTGTCTCAACCACGGCATTCTGAATCACCGTCCCATCCTGCACATACAACCGCCGGACTTGCACCAAATTCTCTTCGTCCTCAAGGTCCGTAATGAACTGTGTGACAACAGTAAACCTCCTACTCGTATCAACGAGCTTCTTGTGTCCATAATAATCATGATCCCCAAGCGCATACGGATTGAACCCGCACCCAGATTTATCACAAACACCTTCACTCCCACACTCTTCTCCATTGCACTCATACAAGCTTGAGATATTACACGCGTGAGGCGTATACCCGTCGACAACGAATTGGCTTCCCAAAGATCCATCTCATTACAACAAGCCCCCTTCGCCTCAACATTCGCAACGCCATTGATAAACGGCGTCGCGGGACACTGCGCATCACAGTATCCCGTCCCATACTGCGCGCCTGCGGGATTCAACTCACTGCGTCCTCCCGACTGAAGCATTTCAGAAAGATACAACGCCCCATTCATACCACAGACAAGCGAGGAAACATCAACGTCGAAGCTCAGTTCTTGGTTTAGAAGTCTGAGTATATCGTAATTCTTTCCGCTTTCGTCTAGAAGGTAGACACGCGGTGAAGCAACGGTCGTCTCGTTATTGGATTGCAGATACTGGTGAAGAACCAACTGATCGCCGTTTGTGCTGACACCGCGACTTGCATAGTCAACACCTTCGAGCACGCAGTTCTTGGCGCAGTCTTCGTCGGTGGCACAGAGAGTCTTGTTTAGGCCAGACCAGTCACCGCATGAGATGCTGGTGCTTCCCACTTCGTGGAGTGAATGGGATAGCGCGTCGAGGACGACTGATGTCTCTTGTGGTGTGCAGCCGTTCTTGGTAGTACATTTCCATGTTTGGAGTTTGGGGTGGATTTCGGGGACGTCCCCAATTTGTTGCGCGTGGACTAGGTGGACCGTGGTCAACGTCGCTAGGAAGACGCGTCGGAGCATCTTGGTTGATGTATGGTTTGTTCTCAAAGCTTGGTGACACTGCTATACTGGGGATGTTATGATGTTGCTCTCAATTCAAGGGCATAAGAGCTTGGTTCGCGTTGAATGAGGACATCGCGTTTCCTCAAATTCCTGGGCAAATAACAAGCCCATGATTCTTCCATTCCTTCGCTGAGGACCCACAGGAGCTGTCTCCTTCAGGGGTTATAGCTGGAATGTGAGAGATCAGATCGGTTTTCCACACGTGTCGATCTACCCCTTGGAAAAGTAAACCGCATTCCACGTTGCTGACCACTGAGACACTCACTGCGGTAAAATCGATACCAAACTACAACTCTGAAACGTGTGATCCTGAACATATAGCAGTAGGATGATTCTGATTGAGATGAAAATTGGCTATATGCTGAGCTATATGCTGAGAATGATGTAGTTCCTTAGTCCGTTTCAAAGAGCCTTCTTAAGATCCATCACGCTCATCGACACAGTGTTGCTAGTTCCCCCGAGCACACCTCCACCATTAATGGCCAGATACCGACCATTGCCTTCAGACAGAATCCTTAAAGACCGGGTATAGCTGGCAGATTCAGGAGATGCGATTTCGGTCCATTCTCCCTCGCCCAGAGCCTGATTGATAAAGATATTGCTCTGTGTTCCGGAGCTTGCAATTATTGTGCCATTCTTGCCGCCGTATTCCGTCCACACAACATATGGAGAAGAGGTAGGAACGGTACCACTTGATGCAACTAGAGCGATTCCTTCAGAGGACGCAAAGTCTTCAGGGTCCGATGACAGGCGGTAGTAGAGCGGGAATGAATAAGTTGCAGTGTCGAAAAAGGAACCATATTCGTAGAAATAGATGTACTGGCCATTGGGGAGCTATAGCGGTCAGTATCTTGCGACCTCAAACTTTACGACTTGAGCGACTTGCCTTTACAACAGTTGGCATCCCCGGCCGGTCAGTGTAAGTGGGGTATGCACTAAATTCTTGTCAGCTGGGTCAAACTGTACGGTTGAAGTGAATATCCATACACATCATCCACAACAGGCCCCCACTTCTTTCCATCAGTAGAGACCTGGTGAACCAATTTCTGTCCGTGGGTGGTGTTTGCTCGTTGATCTGAGTAATAACAGATCAATTTGCCATTGCTGAACTTTGTTAGCGCCATTCTCTATTCGAGGTCAACAGAGCCTCACTGAGCAAGCAAGAACGGCTCCCACACCGGAGTCAACCCATTGTCCGGTACCGCCTCCCCTCCTGCCGCGATATGGCTCACAAACTTCCAAGTTACTCCATCATCGTGTGATGCATACAAGTCTAAGTGTGTAGAGGAAAGATCTTCTGGGATACTGTTTCCGGCTAGAAGAAGAGTTCCAGCCTTGAAGGACCCAATAACCTCGGGAAGATAATAGAGGAATGGTTGATATCGCAGTCCGTATCCATTGACGGTGTCGTGGACCTTAGATAGCTCCGACCATGTTTTACCGAAGTCTTTGGAGCGATAGATAGGGAAGTAAACTAAGGGAGGCTCCGGAGAGTAATTTTCCCATGTGGCAAGGAGATCTCCATTAGGGAGTTGCTCGTTGCGAGCGTATAGTGTTCGAGGAATATTGTAATCGGAAGGCGGGGCGAAGATGGTACTATTCGTGAGCGGAGTCGGTGATGAGGAGTGTGAGATGCTTTCCGCTGCTGCTAAAGCAGCGAAAGAGACGAGGTGTGTGAGTTTCATAGCTGCTGGAATACAATTCAAACGATATCCATAAGCCTCGAAATGTGCATCCTTTTCACTAAATTTATAGACTAGAGACACCATCTTCGCAACTTTGTGGGGTACGGTACCAAGTTATCCCACCGGAGTTGTCCTTTTTTTGGGATTTGTTTGAGGCTATTTGCAGTGGGGCCACGAAATTTCCGTCAATCACCTCTCTTGCTTGACGCCGCGCATCGAGATTGCCTAGCATCTGGTATCATCTCATCTCAGGCACTTTTTCTTATTGAACGCTTGTCAAATAATCCTCCGTATTCTCGCGATTGGAGAAACCCAGTGCGCTTGGGTTTCCGCCTGTAGTTTTGCAGGCATTTCACAATTAGAATGGATTGGTTTTCTTCTGTTGATCCAGCCCCCAATTGACAAAATCCAATATTGAGTTGATCGTCAGAGTTTGCTTTGATGAACAATCTGCCGGGGTGCAACATCACGTCATATGTGCCTTCGTTTCTGTCATTGGAGGGACATTTATTCGGTTCTAACATCCAAGGAAGTGGTCGTCATGGTGGGGGAGATATCTGAACAAATTCATTGATCATCGGCTAAGTCATGCCACAGTACATGCTATCCGCCGAGCGCCGGAGAAGCAGACTGATTGTGAGGTGTTTCCCAGTCTCCTACACTTCTTGACTATACTTGAGGGCTATCATCGGCCCTCATGGGGTTGGATACTCAAATTCTGCGATGCGCCAACTCAAACTAGTTTGAAGAATCACGCCCTGTAGGAGATACACCCTGCAGGTTTCAAAGGAGATGAAGGAGTAGTAAGAACAATTCACTTCTTCTGACTTTGCTGCCTTGAGGTTTCCAGCCGATCCAAGTCTACTTGTGTGGCGTTCAATGTCGAGTGACAAGACGCGACCGAGCCCTCGCAATGAATTGAGAATCATATTAAACCTGTTGGGGACCTATCCGAGCATCTACTATGGGAATGGAGATATACTAATGCCTCCAAATTAACCGAAAATATATCTAGGACTAGCTATAATATGAAAGCTAAAATGAAAGCTAGAATGAGACACGAGCCATGAGGTCCCAGGTGAATCATTCTTCTACGCGCTCGGTGCAGCCGATGGATCTAAGAAACAAACCACCGGATCTGTGACTGCTACGAATATGGTTCACCAGTATGTAACTTTAACTAGATTCACTCACCAAGCAAGCTATACTAGTCCCTGGTCAGCTTTCTGACTGTTTTGCCGCGTGTTATTATCTTGCAGTAAGGATTTCCTCTATATGGCTACTCTCCCCGTGGTGTACAGGGAAGAAGTGTCCCGTCTAAGAACATATTCCGAACCCGATGGCGCGTTGGCTATGAAATGATTCCTATAGCTCAGAGAAGATGGTGATTGGACAAGGAGATCTAAAATATGTATCACAGTGAGCATACACTTATAAATTGCCTGAACAAAAATATGTAAAAGCTACAATATCCTTCAGCTGCTTCTGATCGGCGATCCGGACAGGTAAATTGAAGAAGTGTGTTCTACTGTTCAGTAAGTGGGGGCGGTCTACACCAAGTGTGGAACTTCGGAGTGGAACTTTGACCAAATGGAGACGTCCGACGGTCGTCCGCGAGAGGGGCGCAAATGGGATTATAAACAAAACCCCAGTTCCTGCCCAATTCACTTGCCTCCACTTGATGAGAAATCGCTGATCATAGTCTCAGCTTACATAGTGAGCTTCGTCAAATCAGATGCGCTACCTGATCCCCACCATCATAGTGTACAGCCATTTTTGTGTCTAGGCACCATCGCGCTTCCGTTATCACTAGAACCACTAGAACCACTAGAACCACTATCTCTTGCTATTTAATTCCTAAAGATTCCAAAAAAGTCCTTGCATTCATGTTACAGCTGTCCTTCTAGTGAACGGTGCCTCTCCGGGCCTGGACTCACACACCGATGGCCTTCAATTCAACTGCCGCTTGGGCAGAAGAAGCCTCCGAGAACACGTTCGGGCCCGTTAGCCACCTGAGGCCGTTTGACTTTACCATCACCTTCGAACAGGCCATATTGTCGATCATTCCTTCGACCATACTACTACTTGCTGGACCACTCCGATTGCTTCATCTGTCTCATTGTCAAAGAAAGACGCGTCTCAAACATCACTATATTCTGAAGTTGGTCAGATACACTTGTCATCTATGATTTTTCGTAAGCCAGGCTGAAGCTCATGACACCATAGGTCACCACTTCAATAAATTTTGCTCTGCAACTGTCCCTCCTGGTGATATGGAGCGTATCGGTTACTTCACGGACTCCGACTAGCATCCCTTCTGCTGCTTTGGGCCTCGCAAGTTCTGGCCTCGTCATTGGGTTGTCCTATTTCGAAGATATAAAATCAACAAGACCGTCTTTCCTGTTGACTGTTTACCTGCTTTTCTCGATTTTGTCCGACGCGACACAGGTTCGCACACTATGGCTTACACATCAAGTCGCCATTGCAGCTGTCCAGAGCGCGGTTATTGGAATCAAAATTGCCATGCTATTGTTGGAGAATCGAGAGAAAACGTCTTATTTAAATTCTCCCTACAAAGAATATCCGCCCGAGGCAACCTGTGGCATTGTGAATCTAAGCTTTGTCTGGTGGCTGAATCGGCTCTTCCTGGCTGGTTATCGGAAAGTAATTGGGAGTCAGGATCTTTTCGCTCTTGAGCCTGGTCTGAGCTCTTGTAACACAGGCGAAAGGCTAAAAAGAGCGTGGGAGAAGCATGGTGTGATATCTTTTCTGAAGTTGGATATATCATACGCTGACGTGCCCCAGGTAAACCAGAGACCATGCTTTCTTTGCCTTGGGCTTTTATCTGCTGTTTCTGGTGGGAACTGCTCACTGTGTTCTTTCCTCGACTGTTTATGATTGGGTTCAACTTTGCCCAACCGTTCTTGATCACGGCAGTTTTGGTTTACGTAGAGAGCCCTATCACACCGGACAGCCGGTATCGTGGATATAGTCTCATCGGAGCCGCTTTATTGATTTACCTTGGGCTAGCGGTATGATATTTTCCTTCGCTAATGCTTTCGCCGCTCATCAAAACACCAGCTATGCAATGTGCACTACAGACATCGTTTCTCCAGAGTGAGCACGTTGTTCCACGGTACAATGATCTCATTGATCCATGACAGGACTTTGACCCTCCAGGATGACATCTTTGCGGAAAGCGCAGCTCTTACCTTGATGAGTACAGGGAAGTAAAAGGCGCACGTCGCGTTACTTGGGAAATCAAAAGCGAAAGTCTGGTGTGCTAATCCGCTCCCACAAGACATCGACGGCATCATCGAGCATCCTGAAAATTTTAATGACGTCTGGGCACGCACAATTGAAGTGGCAATGTGGCAATTGGTACATGGCTACTTGGAAGACAAGTGGGACCAACCTGTGTGGTTCCCTTAATTCTGACTCTAGGTAAGCAGCAGGCCTCGCATCCAAACATGCGCAGCTTCAAACTTATGTTTTCGACCAGCATTCCTGGGTGGCCAGAAACTCGTGGCGAAGACGATCGGAGAGAACCAGCAAAATTGGAACCTTGAAATACAGAACAGGATTCAGAATACATCCTCCGTATTGGGGTCTATCAAAGCCACTAAGATATCAGGACTTTCTGGCAAATTATCTCAGGTCCTGTAGGGGCATCGGGAACGAGAACTCTTTGTATCTCGGGCTTTCTTCAAAGAGATAATGTGGCTAAATGGTCTAGGTCAGACAACTTGTCTTCGCGTGTTTTACCTCCGCTAAAATCAAGCAGCAAGTGTGCCTCGAATTTGGTCACCTGTCGTTACCTTTATTGTGTATGCTGTGCAAGCACAGATCAGAGCCGACGACTCCCTCACCACGGTCAAAGCCTTCACTGCTCTGAGTATCATCACCCTTGTTACTACGCCCGCGGAAAGACTACTCGCTGTCTTGCCCCAGCTAGCGGCTGCAATGGGATGCTTCCAACGGATCCACGAATACATGGTATCTGAACCAATAAAAGATAGTCGAGTCAGCAAGAAGAAAATTTCACCACTCAGTACAGGCAGCGATGAACCGGAGGTCGCCATCGCCTTGGATCATGTCACTGTCTTGCCATCATAAAAGGCTACAAGTACCGCCCTCAATGATGTGTCTTTCGAAATCATCAGAGGCAACTTGGTCATTGTTATTGGGCCTGTCGGCTCGGGTAAAACGACATTGTTGAAGACTATTCTAGGGGAGCTTGGTTGTCTGTCGGGTTTTGTGTCTATCAGACCGAGCAGAATTTCTTATTGCAGCCAGAATCCATGGCTACCCAATACGACTATTAGGGAAATCATCACTGGTATTTCTGATCACGAGGTTGACGAGAAATGGTATAATACTGTGATCTATGCATGCTGCTTGGAGGAGGATATTCGTCGCTGGCCTGACGGTGATCAAAGTGAGATTGGAAGTAAAGGTCTTACCCTTTCAGGTGGTCAAAAACAGAGAGTGGTATGCAAACTTCCCAGGGAGTATGTTACTTTGATAAGTGCTAATGGCTCTTTAGGCCCTTGCGCGCTCGGTGTATAGTCGCAACAAAGTAGCTTTGCTCGACGATGTCATGAGTGCGTTGGATGCGCAAACGCAAGAATTGATCATTCAACGTCTTTTCTCTCCTGATGGGATATTCCGCCCGCTGGGCACAACTGTGGTGCTGACGACTCATAGTGGTATGTTGTCTTCCGGATCTTCGAGCGAAACCGGTGCTGACTCTCGACTTTCTCGATTTTAGCTCGACTGCTTGGAATTGCGGGTAGTGTGGTCTCACTCACTTCAGAGGGTCGAGTTGATCTTGAAACAACAGGAACAGAGGCCATTCGAAACAAAGGTTTTTGGCTGGCTAGGAAATATTCTAGTCCGCAAACCCAGGACGACCTCAATGACAATCTTGACGAGCATCTACACGGGGCCGCTTCTTCAAACTCTGACCCTATCAGTGACATTGAGAATATGGATCGAACGCGGCAGACTGGATATTTGTCTGTCTATTATTACTACGCACAAACAGTCGGCCCAATACTTTGTGCCGTGTTTCTCGCGGGACATGCCATGTTAGCCTTTGCTGAAAACTTTCCCCAGGTGTGGTTGAGCAAATGGACCGCAGCTGGAGGTGGAAATCTTCCACTTTATGTGTCTATTTACGTTCTCTTGGCTCTGGCAGCATCGCTCCTCACCATTTACTGCATATCGATCGTCTTTCTAGGGCTGATGCCGAAATCGGCCATCCGACTGCACTGGTTGCTTTTGGATACGACTATGTAGGCACCGCTATCCTTCTTCTCCGCCACAGATAATGGTGTGACCCTGAATCGCTTTAGTCAGGATATGACATTAATAGATTTGGCCCTTCCAATTGCGTTGATGTCTTCCGCTGAGGCGTTCTTTGGATGCATTGCCACCATTGGTCTGATCGCCACAGGGTCTGCTTTTATGGTGACAACAATTCCGGCCACACTGGTCGTGCTTTATTTCTTGCAAAAGGTTTATCTCAAGACGAGCCACCAACTACGATATCTCGATCTGGAGTCGAGAAGTCCATTGTACTCTCACTTTGCCGAGGTCCTCGAAGGTCTGGTAACCATCCGAGCTTTTGGCTGGCAAGAAGCCTCATCCAAAATGTTGACTCGGCATCTCGACAAATCTCAAATGCCGTACTACATGCTGCTATGTGCACAGAAGTGGTTGAACCTGGTTTTGGACATCGTGGTGATGGCATTGGCAACCATTGTGGTAACACTTGCCGTGGTGTTGCGTAGCAGCACAAATTTGAGCCACCTCGGCGTCGCGTTGAACAATCTTCTCGGATTCAACCAACTACTGTCATACTTAATCATCTCATGGACTACCCTGGAGACCTCGCTTGGAGCGATAGCCCGTGTCAAGTCATTTGTTGAGACGACGCCTTGTGAAAATCAACTAGATACAGACCAAGAACTGCACGCATTATGGCCCGATAGGGGGAACTTGACATACAGGATCTCTCCCTCCGCTATCCTGACGGAACCTTGGCTCTCGATAACATCACCATGCGCATATACTCGGGCGAAAAAATCGGTATCTGCGGCCGCACTGGCAGGTACGTGTTTCACATTTTCTGGCTTCCAGTTTTATCACCAGGTTTCTAATCAATCCTCGAATTTCCAGCGGAAAAAGCTCTCTCACACTAGCCATGCTACGTCTCGTAGACTTCTCGCACGGCGATATCACTATCGACGAGACCGACATTCTTAAGGTTGCCCCCGGATCAATCCGAGAGAGGCTGATAGCCGTGCCACAGGATCCGTTCACGCTTCTGGGGACCATTCGCTATAATGCCGACATCATGGGACTCTCCACTGACAGCGAAATTACATCTGTAATGAAGCAGATCGGCGTTTGGGCCGCAATTGAAAGCCGTGGGGGTCTGGACGCCCTTCTTGAAGACCATCCACTGTCGCAAGGAGAGCAGCAACTCTTCTGTCTGGCCCGGGCAATTCTCAGAAAGCGAGCCAGTGGCGGTGGGTGCCAGGTGCTCATTCTTGATGAAGCTACAAGCAGCCTTGATGCTCAAACAGACCAACAAGTACAGAAAGTCATGAGAGAGTTTTTCCATGACTGTACTGTTTTCAGTGTCGCTCATAGAGTATGTTCCCCATTTCGGTCTACCATCCTAGCTTGGTGATTATGAATTATTTTATTGGGGTGAAGAGTAAGCTAACTGTTGAACAGCTTGACACAATCATAGATTTTGATCGAATTGCAGTATTGGATGCTGGACGGCTTGTTGAGTTTGACACGCCACAAAATCTCCTTGCTCGAGGAGGTTTATTCCAGCAGATGTACTACGGAACAGATAGACAAGAGTCCTAGTGTCATTTGATTTTTTTTTTTGTCAATAAATCAATAACAGCTCAACTTACCTTAATGATTTTACGTTGCCATACTACTCGCTCCCTCTATCATATTGGTGGCGCCATGGATGAACGGTGACAGATCCGCATGGGAGCTGATATCTATCTGCGTCTTATAGAGTGCACGGCCCAAGTAAAGTCCTGAGGCTATTGAAGGACGTTTATGGATCAGTTCCGTCTACTAAGATGGTCAAACTGTTTTTTTCTCAGTTTCAGCGCCATCTCATTCAAACTGCAAATTGCAGTTCTAGGACGGAAAGAGGCAAGACAGGCCATAATGAGGTAAGAAAGTAACGTAGGAAATATCGCATGAAAGCCACCATACCTCGGTCTTATCGCCACGTGACTGACGTCATGCCATCGACTTGCCGATAACCTCGAGGAAGAGCCACCAAAGGTAGTTCCTTCGCAGCCCATTTTCCTGACAACTATATATCCCTGGACTTCCCCAGTGCAAGCAGTCGGTCAAACCTTACAGAAGGAAAAAGAGAGGATATTTGCTTAAGATGGCCTCTCAAGCACTACGAACCCGGGCATGGCGGCTTTGCCTCCGGAGCTTGCAACCCGTCCGTCTAAGCTCAAGCTCCAGCTCCAGCTTCGCAGTACTCAGCGCTAGACCTCTACATATTGCCTCCCATCTGCCTAAGAGAAATACTCTCGACACATCATCAATCATCAAATCTACGCTCAGCCTACAAAAAAGAAACTATTCGTTCCTCCATCCGTCCGGGAAAGCAACAGGGGACTTGCTAGTCGAAGAACTGCAAGACCTCTACGAGGCTGCAACGGATGAGTTCGAGATCGCTACCGATAGCACGGACAGCGCGACGATCTACGCCGCGTCGGATCGTGAGTCTGCGCGGGATGCGTTGAATCAGTTTATTGCTGTTTACCATCTTTATAGCGCGAAGCCTGGGGAGAAGATGGAGGGTGTTGGTCAAGGGGGAGTATGACGGAGGGAAGTCCGATTGTCGAGACAAATTTCGATCCGACTGCTGTGTCGGATGAGCTTCGAGATGAGGTTAGAAGGAGGGTCGGACAGAGGGTTCGAGAGTTGAGGAGCGCGGTTGTTAATCTGGAGGAGAGGGCTAGGGCCGAATAGGCTCAGTTTCTGTTTTGTACACATGGTGGGTACGAGGGAAGTTGAGTATAGAGATGGGGATGGAATGAATGTATATCTAGCATTCTGTTGAGTATGTGAGGTTAAGAAAGTGTACATCACTCGGGTATTATTTAGTCTACTCCATGAAAGAGAACATCAGATGTATCGAAGTATTGGAAAACTACAAGTCCACAGATATTACACACTTTGAGTGGATTTCAATCCCACTATTCAGTGAATTAAAAGCAAAGCCACGTCCCATAAAGCAGCGCAGCAATGTCAAACATGGATTAGATTCGTAATAGCCGGTCTGGAGAAGATGGAGTCCAGTGCCGCACATAGTTCGGATTTTTAAAAAGTCATCGCAGGTCAATGCCAAGCCCATCCAAGGTTGTTAAAAAGGTGAACGCCAAAAATACGCCTGGTCAGACGCGCCCCATGTTTGGTAGATGGTAGATCGCGTGAGCATTGAACATCATACAACAAATAACTGAGGCTAGAGGCCGTCAGACCACTGCAAAGGGGTGGAGCGTGAAGTGGTCGGGACTGGGAGATAGAAGGGTGGAAGAGGCTTCCTTGTGTGTTGTTCGTTGATGGCGTTTCAATTGATCTAATGATGATGGATTAGTATGCGAACTTTTTCTCCGATAGTCAGGTTCGAAATTACCAGGGCGAGTAAAACTCTTCGTGCAACCAGGGTAAGGGCATTTATGTTTGCGTTCGCCATGGGTCAGCCGGTGGCTTGACATATTGGATGACTGCCATGAAATGAGTGATAGTCGATAGCAAACATGTGCATGAAACTTACATCTCCAGTCTGGAAATTGCATCCAGGATAGGTGCACTTGAAGGGCTTTTCACCAGAATGGGTTCTCGAGTGCGTTTCTAAGTTCATTAGCCGGGCTCCTCAAGAATGAAGTGCCAAAGGACATCACATACTCAGTTCACTACTATCTGTGAATGTCTTCCCGCATATCTTGCACTTATAGGGCTTGTCACCGCGATGACTACGCTCATGGCGATCCAGAGTTGCCTGGCGAGCAAATGACTTGCCACACACGGAGCACCGGAAGTTCTTGTCTACAAAATGGTCAGTTAGGTTGTATGGATAAAGCGCATAATGAGACTCACAGTTACTGTGGGTAAGGAAGTGGCCTTGGAGTTTTGACTTCTGCGAAAATGGCTCATCCGGCCGATGGCACCCTCCCCAGCAGCAGTAGTACCCATTGCCTTTGGCTCCATCAATTGTATTCATATGGCTTGCGACCAAATGATCTTGCAAAGCGCCGGCATCTGCAAAGGTTGCGCCACAGGCAGCTTTCACCCCGTGTATTGAATTTAACCACTTGCAAATGTGCAAGCCACTGTCTTCAGCCGAGAAGTCGGGGTCGTCAAGACCGAGGACACACCTCCGTCCAGCGGGGGTGGAGTCTCTCCAGGACTCGAAAGGAAGTTTGAGCTCACGCTAGATCGTGATTGCCGAGAGTAAAGAGAATAGGGATGTGAATGGATGTGATGATGGCCTCGGCATCGATGATGATTGCGGTGCGGCCCTCGAGGGATATGAAGACTCAAGTCGTTGGGGTTTTTGAAGTTGCCATGGACATGATGATGTTTGGGGTGCACGCAATGTAAGGGGTTCATTGGAAGATCATGTTTGGTCTTCTGGAGATCAGCTGAAGGCTGCTGCTCCAGGGCCTGAGGATTTTCGCAGATAGAGTAGTCCGAACACATCCCCATCATATGGAAGACCTCTGCTGGGTTCACGTCTGTCTGGTTTTGGTACTGCTGGTTTGGAAACAGCCCCTGCAGATCCTTTTGGAAGTCATGGCATTCAAAGTGATTAGAGACATTCTCATCACAGTGGTTGGCATGGGCCTGATAGGAGTGTAGGAAGTCATGGTGGTAGCATGGGTCAAGAGGCCCAGGGATAGCATGCTCTGGGAGTTTGCCCGGTTCGCTAACGTGGTTGCTCATGGTGGTAGAGGGCAACAACGTCGAAGTATCCAGGGGGAAAGGAGGATTGAGACCAAACATGGAGTCGAAGCCGCAATCTGGGTCAGCAGTGGCATCACAGCAGTGATCCTCAAAGCAGAGAGGGTCTGTGCTTTCACAGTTCTGCTCACCACAGTGGGTGTCATCGCAGTGAGGCACGGAACAGACGCTCGAAGCGTCGCACTCCACGAAGCCGTCGCATATTGACCCACAGTCTAGCGCGCAATGATCTACCTGGCAATCGTCCACATCGCAACAGGCCTCGTCGACCTCACACCCTAGCGCATTGTGATGGTCATGGTCCGAGCATGGCCATTGAGGCCGGGGAGGACCCGAGGACTCCGTAGGATTCTTGCCATCGATATGGAAATCCTCCCAATGGCACTCAAGACAGAAAGCATCTGCCTGGTTTTGGGCAGTCATGTTGCGCACGAACCAGGTCGAAGGAGGGCAAAAGAACAGCGAAACGGGATGGAGAACCGAGGTTAATGCAGCGAGTAGATGTCCGTGTAGAAGTCGGGAATGGAACGTTTGAAGGGCCGACAGAAAAGTGTGCGACCGCAGATAAAGTGACAGGTACGGTCAAATTTCTGAAGGCAAATTTCGTGACCGGGGCAGTTCCTGGTCACTAGTCCGTCATAGGGCATGGAAACACAAATCCACTAGAAGCGCCTCCGCAAATAGTCCAACAAATTGTATCATGCGCTTTTAACCCGCGGAATGTGTGCTATCTTGGCTGTGGTTGGAAGAACGGGATCGGAGAACAGACGATCGTCATGCACAAGATTGCAGGAGGGGAACATGGGGACCTTGGGGATGAGAAGGAAAATAACCGATTCCAATCCGCGCACGAGAGGGGATCCGAGGATGCATTGCGTCTGGCCCTCGAGTTGGTGAGGACCTTTGGGACGGAGAGAGAAAGATTGGGGACCTTGGGGGTGAGAGACTGTTACGGCGGGGGAAGGCGGTGAGGATCAGAGGTGAGGGTCGAACTTCTAACACGAAGGGTACCTGGTCAGTATTTCATTCTTGCGACAGTTACTTCTTGCGACGAGCGCGATTCTTCATGTGAAAATCGAGACTCTTCCAGACACTCGTGGCGATTCCACGCATATCATCGTGTGTGAGTTCGAAATTGATATCGCCGGGACTCTTCGGGCAGAGGTACACATCCTCAAACGGGATGGTCAGGGAACCTGAGATCTCGTGCTGTTCTGTGCTTTTCTTTCGAACGATCGTGATTTCTTGAGTAGACTCGACGCGTACTGGGTCATGTCGTAGTGACCATTGCTGAATCGTGATTTGTCCCGACACGTAGACCTTGAAGGAGAGCGCCACCCTGACTTCCTCGCCGGACTCTCGGAGCCAGAAGAGACAATCTTTCATCAAAGCTGGAGTAGCCTCAGTCCATCCAACCTCCACAACGATCGTCGGCCATTCTGGATCTTTTTCCTCTTCTGGATTTCTCCCCAGGAACTGTCTGGAAACTTCTTTTTTTGGTATCCCTGAAACTCTGCGCCTCCCATAGATTCAAGACGGTTGCTCTGACCACGCTGCCAGGTATCAAAAATAGCAGAGAAAGCTCGATGGGCGCGCTCGTGCATGCGGGACGGCATTCTGAGAACCACAAAGTGAGTGGTGAAGTTGTAGGTTTTGCAGGCATGCATGAGGAGCTTTTCTCTGGACTCCTCGAAACACTCGCCGAAGGCACGATCATCCACATGGGTAAACACCACGTAACCACAACCCTGACCTTCCGTTTCAAACCGATCGATTTCAAGCTCAAAGCTGCGTACACAATGCTCCATACCTTGGAACCGGTACAAGGGCGTTGTCTCCGGAAGACCTTCTTCGGCCATGATAGCTTCGGCCATGATAGATTCAGCCAAGGTAGCTTCAGCCAGTTTGATTATCAGTTCTTCCACTGTACTTTAAGAGGATGAAGATATTGAGGGAGTGTGTTTAAGAAGAGCGTTACCGCGCGTCCTGGGAGGAAATAACTATAAGTGTGAAGGGCAGGTGAAGTGAGGGAGTCAACCACTCCGATTCAAGATGAGGTTAGCCCGAACAATTCCAGGCGAATGATATCACGTTCATTGTCCAGCGGTCCTGTACTTGTCACAGATATGATGAGCGCATTTAAACGACTGCGTGTATCTGTGTTAGTCAAAGGAAAATAATTTTCCCTTACAATGAAGAAGGTCAAGAGTGACAAACACCGGTGTTTGTTCCCCGGATCGACATCTTATCGCGCAATCGCAAGGCTAATCTCACTTTATCCGACAACTAGGCAACTTCAACCTTAATTGTTCCTAACATTCCTCACCATCCAAGATCCGTTCCACTCTCTCACCCGGATCTTCAATTGACCTTTCCTCTGAAGTCACCTCACCATCACCGCGCGAGTCAACATTCATCCCTCCTCGTCCGAAGTTCCTTCCAAAAATCATGGGCAACTGCTGCTCCAGCTCCAAAGAACCCGAGGCATTCTCCGGCCCCGGCCGCGTCGTTGGCGCCCGCTCCTCCCCATCCGCACCCCGAGCCCCGCTCCCCACCAAGAACTGGAAGAATACGCCCGGGCGCACACTCGGCGAGGCCAGCGACACGCCAGGGGGTGCCGATGAAGCGCGGTCAAATGCCGCCATAGCAGCGCAGGTACGCTCAATTCCCTCCCCACCTCCACCTTCCTTGAGAGGGATGAGGATTGAAGCTTGGACTAGAAGGCTTGCTAACTCGCCAATTTACAGAAGCGCGCCGAAGAAGCCTCATCGAACAAGGGCAAATTGGGCTCGAAACTAGCTGCGCAAAAGGCGAAAACGCAAACGCAGACTCTCGGGGAGGTTAGTCAGGATGAGAGAGCTGCGCGCGACGCGGATGGTGCGGAGGAGGCGAGGCGGTGGCAATAGGTCGTCTATGTCCAGGATTTTTTGAGCATTGAGCGTTATTTATACTTGCGGGCGTTAAGATTGGGTTTTTTAAATGCGAGCATCCTTTTTTAATTTCCGTTTTCCATTATCTAGCGGTTGGCGGTGAGTTTTGAGATTTGAGCACCGATCTTTATCGGCACATGTAGTGTCATTTGAAATAACCTTAAATGAAGATGGACTGTACAAAGAACAGATTGGTATTATCACGGCTCTTGCATTTCAGGTATGCTTACGCCAGCCTAAGTACCAAGTACATGATCGTGCAACACTTCAAGTCTAAGGCACCCGAGGCTAAACGACGTTATACCGACCACTAGCCGGTGCACGAGCATCACTATCAGCTGCAGCGATAGTTCCCTCTTTGAGCAGGCGCATTAGCTCACGCATGGCTGTAGTGACGGAAATCTCGGTTTCGCCCTCGACCAGAATGTACAGCTTGGGTAGATCGTTGGGACCGGGCTCTTTGCCCGCGGCATAGAAATTGCCCTTGGTTGTGATGGATGTGCCAGTGGCTTCGAGGATCTTGGCAACATTCGTGCGGTTGGTGACAGCCCAACGAGCTTTTTCTATAGATGGAGTATGGTTAGTAGGTGTTTGAAAAGTGGAAGTTAACGGCAGAAAGGGTGGGGAACTTACGGGGGAAGTCGTTGATCTCTAGAGTTGCATGGAATGCGCCAGCGTCGGGCCCACGGTTGTCGATAGGCACACCGGATCTCATTACACCAGCCTTGCTTAGGCGGGCATGAATATCGGCCACAGCCGATCCAACCTTGTCCAATGCATTCTTCGAAGGGGCGTTGGGGTCTTTCTCGGTCTTGTGTACTGTGATCTTGCCGTCGAGATCGATGCCCTTGGGAACGCCGGGAAGGGGACCTGATGGGGCAGAAGGAGCGGCAGCAGATTGTACCTGGGACAAAGCCTTGTTGAAGCGATCCTCGTCGGCCTGCTTAGTCTTTTCATCCTTTTCTTCCTCCTCGTCGTCTCCATCGCCGGTCTTGTAGGTGCGGCGCTCGCGATTACGAGCGGTTTCACGCTCTTGGTCGAGACGCTCCAATCCTTTACCACCGAAGCCAGACGTGCTGGCTTTCTCCTTGCCGGCCCTGACTTTCTCCAAGAAAGAATCAACCAGTTTCTGCACAGGTTCAGGGATTTCTTGTCCGCTCTGTTTCAGGGCTTTGGCGATATCCACTGAATATCGTTCTTGGTCCTCTGTAAGGAACGTGACTGCAGTACCGGTGTTTCCAGCACGACCGGTTCGACCAGCTCGGTGAACATAGTCCTCCAAGTGATTGGGAGCATCGTAGTTCACGACGAGCTTCAATTGCTTCACATCTAGACCACGCGCAGCGACAGAGGTGGCGGTCAAAATAGGGAAGATGCCCGCCTTGAAGTCCTCAATCGTAGAGTCACGATCGACTTGGTCTTTTCCTCCATGGATGGACATGCATGGATAACCCTTCCGCATCAGCTCTCTGAGAAGATTATCTGCGGATTCTTGTTTTTCAACGAAAATCAAGGTCCGACAATCCTCATTAGCGTCATCAGCATAAAGGTTGCCGAGCAATTCCAAAAGTCGGAAGAATTTTTCATCTTCGTTGCGAACCTCCACGATCTGCGTGATCTCAGGAGCCACCACACTTTTACCACCAACCACGATCTCGACAGGTTTCTTTAGTGTCTTTCGCGCCAATGCCTCCATATTACGAGGGAATGTGGCGGAGAAGAGCACCGTTTGCTTATCTGGGCGAATATTGGCCATGATCTTCATGACCTGAGGCTCGAATCCCATGTCAAACATGCGATCTGCCTCATCGAGGACAACATATGTGACACGCCGGAGATTGGTGACCCTGCCTCCATTGGCGGCAAGTAAATCGATCATCCGGCCGGGCGTGCAAACAACAATCTCGGCACCTCGCTTGAGTTCAGCAATTTGATCTTTGATAGGTGCACCACCATAAGCGCACACAGCCCGGAGACCAAGTGCCTTCAAGAACGGCTTGCAGTCTTTGTGGATTTGTGTCGCTAGTTCACGAGTGGGCGTCATGATCAGGGCGATGGGACCCTCCATGTTTTCCAGTGGCCGTTGGTCTTTGATATGACGGAACATAGGTATGAGGAAAGCGATGGTCTTTCCAGAACCAGTCTTTGCAACGCCAATCACATCTCGACCAGACATGATGGCAGGGATTGCTTGTGCTTGAATCGATGTCAGACCCTCATAGCCTAGCTTGTCGACTACCTCGAGTGTCTGCATTCCCAGACCACATTGGGACCATTTTTGGACAGGCTTTGGGATATCCAGACCACGAACCTTGATACCGTCAAGCTCGAGACGCAAGTTGGCTGTCTCTTCCTCGGTCATTTCCGCAAGATGAGACGGCTCGTTATAGAACTTTCGACGGAAAGGCTCATACTCAATCTTCTTGTGATCGATCGTTGGAATTTCCTTCTTTTTCTTTTTGTTCGCCATGGCAAGAACGTCGTCTGCGTCTTCTTCACCGACAGCTGTGATATCAACGTCATCTTCGTCACCGAATATAGCCTGGGGAGGTTTTGAGTCCTTCTTCTTGCCTAACTTGGCACCAAATGTCTTTTTCGGTGGGGCTTTATCAGCGAGGTCTGACATGAACGCATCCAAAGGGTCAATCTCTTCCTCGTCGACCTCCATTTTAGAGGGTTCAGGTTCTTGGTTCGAATCAGCCATATCGACATCCCCATTGGCACCGTTGGTCTCATTCAATCGAAGCTTTCCTTCTGGAACATCACCCTGGGTTTGATAAGCCCGTGATTGGGTTTGAAGCCGTTCCTCACGTCGTTCCGCGGCTAATCGAGCCGCTGCGGCAGCCTCTTCCTCATTGTCGCCATCTTGCATATCGACGTCATCGTCCTCTGCGGCTTCATCGTTCACTCCGGTGTCTTTGCTGTCATCGAGCGGAGGTGTTGGAAGGCGCTCCAGCTTTTTCCGGGTTGACTCTTCCTCGCCAAATCCCAGAGTACGAGAAGCCGAGGGCTTTTCAGCATCTATAGCAGTCTTTGCACCTAGTCCAAAACCACTGACATTGCCTTTAGCTTTCAACGGAGCAGACGTATGGGCAGAGGGGACAGAAGGGGAAGCAGGTGGTTGAACGGTAGCTTTAATTGATTGTGGCACAGCAACATCAGTGCCGAGGACAGCTGGAGCTGGTGCGGTGTTATTGGTAGCGTTCTTTGCAATGGCCTTCGGGTCGAACTTCCCAGCGTACGGCGCTGGTGGTGCAGATTCGGCGGGCGTTACTTGTGTTTGTGGCGAGTCAACCACAGGAGATAAGTTTGATTTTCGGTCGATGGCATCCAAGATGTTTCGGGACCGCTTTCTCCTTCTTCACGTTGCTTTCTTTCTCGCTCGGCTGCTTGCTTCTGTTTCCATGCCTCCAACTTGGCACGTCGCTCGGCCTTCTTATCCTCCTCGGTCTGTGTTGCAGGTGTGGGGGTCGTGGGCTTAGAGGTCTGCAGGGAATAGTTAGCGGAATGCTTTAGTCTTGACCCATAAGCATTATGGAAACTCACCTCCAGAGCCCGAGAACCGGATCGTCGACTCACGCCGCGGTCACGGCTGTCCTCCCGTCTAGATTTGGGCTTCAAGTCAGCAGAATCATCTGTGCGCCTGCGATCGCGGTCGCGTGAATCATCTCGCCTGGCCCGATAATCTCTATCCCGACTCCTGCGACGATAATCACGATCATCGTCTCGGCGGCGGTCTCGTGATCTGTCTCTCCGACCAGGTCGATATGTGTTATCGTCACGTCTATCTGCAGGAACGATCGCGTCGGCGGTAGCCGTCTCTATCGCGACCAGCATCGCGATCGCGGTATCGGCGCTGGATAGAAGTAGATTGGTGAGAATCTGCATTCGTGAGACTGAGGAACTTGCCACTTACCTCGGGGCTGCGAGACCTTCGGTGTCCACGGCCTTCATCTCGCCTTCTCTCAGGACGGGAATCATCTCTGCGGCTGCGTCGAGATGAAGAGTATGTGCTGCCTACAGGAGATGGTGAGCGAGTATCCCCGTGGCGAGCCATTGTTGCAGGCCAACGATAAGTGAGTATTACTCTGCAGAGCACTGAGATGTTAAGCTGAAGACTTGAAGGATCACCACACTTCCATATAAGTTGGGGTTGAGCTTGACTGTAGTTCGGCCGTGCGGGCCACTGTCTTGTCGCGACCATAAAAGCCGATGATGCATTTTGCGCCTGGGGGATCGCTGTCACGTGCATAGCCTGATACCGCACTAATCCCAAAACGGAGAAGACCAAACGAAGCTCGGACGCGACCCTCGACCAGCCTCCTTATCTTGCCGCTTGCGTCAGGGCTTGTTCTACTCCCTGTCAAACCATTCCTTCTTGGTACTACTCTCTACAAGTAAACATACAGAGCTTCAGCATGTCTCTACAGTGGACTCGAGCGGGTCCTTTGCGACACCTGCGCCTCGGCGCCACCTTCTCTCCTACTCGCGTGATCGCCGTGCAGAACCAGCTCCGCAACTTATCTTTGTCGGCAGAGCCTCGATCGAAGAGTTCGCAGATCGGCTCCTTTTCAGCATTTATTTCCCAGACTCGTGCATTGTCGACCAGGACCGCGGCAGAGACTGCGGCAGAGACCGAGAGCGCAAAGCCCAAGCGTGGACGCCCGCCGGGCTCTACGAAGGCAGCCGGCTCGAATGGAAAAGCTCCTAAGAAGGCGGCCGCCAAGGCCAAGAAGCCGAAGAAGCAATTGACCGACAAGCAAAAGGAGGACAAGGCAAAGCGTGCGCGCTCGGCACAAATTAAGGAACTCAAGGTCCTTTCACTGAACCCTCCCGCGAAGCTCACAGCGAGCGCCTGGCCCCTCGGCGTGAAGGAGATGTACGAAAGCGTCAACTCGGGATCTGGCACCAGCCAGGAAAAGCTGACGGAGGCCATCACTAAGCTCAAGGCCCTGAGTCCCGAGGAGTACAAGGTAGGTTGCTTCATCATCTCATTGTGGAACATATACTGACTGGGTTGCGCAGAAACTCGAAGACAAAGCCGCTCAGAACCGAGCCACCAACGCTGCGAACTATGAGGCTTGGATCAAAACACACACCCCCAAGCAGATTAAGGAAGCCAACAGCGCCCGTCGGTCCTTGTCTCGCTTGCAGAAGAAGCGCATTGCGCTGCTCCAGGATGACCGGCTGGTCAAGCGTCCTCGGACTGCTTACTTCTTCTTCATGTTGGAGCGCATTCGTGACGGTGACCTCAAGGGCAAGCGTGGCCCCGATGTTACTCGCATTGTTGGTGAGGAGTGGTCGAAACTGACCGAGTATGAGAAGCAGGTACGTGCCACTTTTCCGCTCGATTTCATGATCAATGTAAAGCTGACAATGTTCATAGCCTTACAAGAACAAGCAGGCGGAGGACCGCACACGATTCGAGCGGGAGTACAAGGAAGTATACGACGAGACTCCGGCTCCAAGCAATTCCAAAGATATGGAATAAGGATAGTCATTCATATTTGGTGTTTTAGATGGGTTGGATCGGAAAAGGGTTGGTTATCGTGTCGCGCCTGTGTTTCAAATGTCCCAAGTCTCTCGATTCCCTATTTCCTCTGTCAATGTATTGTAGTGTCGGTCAATGCCACCTGTATCTTTGTTACTTGTCTCCCCCATTGTGCCTTTTCATTGACATATCCATCGCGAGTGAGTGCCCAAACCATGGAACTCTTCCATCAGATCAAGATCCAACCATGAGTCAACGGCGCCACAATGCATCCACAGCGGAGAAATCCCCCGCACTAGTCGGCTTCCGAAATTCTCAAGTGGCGGTGAGAGTCTGGTGTGTTGCGCGTGCAGCCCTCCCTGCAGAAGGGTCTGGCAAATATGATGTTCACGCCCAACTTAATGATACTCAATGGCATGTAGGCATTGATTTAGATATGAGGATTTGTTGCTGTAGAGCTGTGGTGGCCGTATACTTCATATCGGAACCCGCTTTCGCCGCTCCGGTCCCTGCATCGAGGTCCTACATACATCAGGTACAAGTACAAGTGCCAGTACAGGTGCCACGCGAAAGTACATACCAAGACCCAGGGCCGGAGACCCAAGTAAGACTCTGCAGCTGCAACCCGATTGTATTCCACGCAGACGGGCCTACCCGCTAGTCGGGCATCCACGGTCCACGTACCGGTCAACCCGTGGGTGAGGGGTATACGATCCCAGGTATGGAGGCGGAGATGCGGTGTAAACAAATCTACAAACATGTCTGGCAAGGAGTACTTACGACTGGAATGTAGGAATATGCACGTCTCCTGTCTAGCAAAGCACTTGTCGACCAGCCAGGTTGTGGGATCCCCTGCCTTGGGGTCTCCCTTGGGCCTGATGGAGGGGGGATCTTGTTATCGATAGGACCGCCCGCTGCTGCAACATGCACGTAGTCTGTGCGACGCAGGACTGAAGGACTGGGGCTTGGGATTGCTTCCTAGTGGATTGTAAGAGATCTAGAGTCGTTTAATTTTGCTTTATTTTGGCGATATGGATGGTTATAAAAATATGAAGGTGTTGTGATGATCAGTGCTCGTCCCAGCCTTCGACTTTCCCGGGGCGGTTTATTTTTTCTTTTTCGCGATCTCTTTCTTATCAGGGACCGAGGGATGAGCCGACGAAAATCCGGCGAGAGTTTTTGTATGCGAAGAGTAGTTATTGGATAAGCTATGTGCTCCCCGAAGGAGACCACCAGTTACGTAGGGCGAATCCAAGATAGAAGCAGTCCAGGATAGTCAAAGAAGGAGGAGGCAATCGGGGCGAATGTAGACTCAAGACTCAACCATTCACCACCGGATGATCAACCTCCACCGCCCCATAAACTTTTTATCCCTGCCTCCAGCTGATCCCTTTTCTTACTCCTCTTTTCTCTATATTCTTGACTCGCCTTTTATCGCCCTGTGCACCTCTACATACCGATCGCCTTTGTCAGTACTGCGATCCTCTAACCTCGCTCGAATACCCGATTTCGCGCCGGTCGTGCAGGGTGGCCATTGTGCTTTTCGTGTGCTATTCCCTTACGCTACTTGACGCTTAATTGAATTGACAACTTTCTTCCTACCATCACCACCACCTAATCGACTTCACTCCACGTACGATCCCGCTCTTGACTCGTACCCGATCGACGCCTCCCACGGGAGATTCATTCTAGCCCACCACCCCATGTGTTCTCTCCCCGCAATCCAGCGGACGGGTCACTAGTCGGCCAGTGGCCAGAGAGGCCCGCGATTGCGATATGGAGACAAGCGCGCTAGTTTCCTATGACGTGGGAAGATGCGATAAGGTCCTCGCGGAGAGAAGCCGCTATGTAGTGGCGGTGAATAGGGCCGTCGATGATGTCTGGGCTGCTCTTATGGAAGGGAAAGGGGTTACTGCGTGGTTAGAGCTTCGCACAAGAACGAATTGAGTCTACCTTCTCCCGCGCCGCCTCGTACATTGCGCCTCCGCCGTCTTACGATGATGCCGTTGCCGATCTGCCTCCGGATTACGCTGAACTTCCGCCGCTCGCTATGCGGAAGACTGAGGTCTCTGATGCACCGGTTGCTCACGGGGCTAGGTCTACGGATCGCGCGACTTCGCTGCTAAAAGATCGCACGCTGGACGTCTACATTGATTTTGAGAAACCTGTCGGGGTCCGCGAACATAAGAAGAAAAAAGCTGGCGGTAATAACGCCGCGAAGAAAGTCTCAGCGCCTCCTCCGCCGGCAGATAATGGTGGGAGCTCAGATAACCCGGATCAACCCGCCGGTGACGGAGGCGGGGACGCCGGAGGTGGAGACGGAGCAGGTGATGGTAATGGAGACGGCGGCGGGGATGATAGCTGGGACGGCTGGACCACGAGCGGCTCGAAAAAGAAGAAGACCGAGGAAGAGGAAGAGGAGGAACGGAAAGCTGCAGAGGCCGCAGCGGGTAACAAACTCAACTGGGCTGATGATATGGACGACAAAGGAGGCGCCGATGACTCATGGGCCGAATTCGCGACTGTAGGGAAGAAGAAGAAAGGAAAAGTAAGTTCTGAGAAAATTACTCGCAGTACTTGGGTTCGGTCTGACCATGATTGAAGTCCGATGCTCCACTTGGCGGTTTCCAAGATGTGAGCCTGAATGATGGGGCCCCGCACCTGGATTTGAACTTTGAGTCTGGGCCCAAGACTGGAGGCACCGGCTTCAGTTTTGGTGGCTGGGGTAAAGATTGGAGCACGGGCAGTGGAGGTGCTGTTGCTCCTCCTGATAACAAATGGGGTCTTGGGGCTATTGGCGAATCGGCCCCGAAAGAAGAACCCAAAGATGGCAACCCCTGGACAGTAGGCTCTAAGAAGAAAACGACCAAAACTACTGCAGGGTTTGATTTCGGCGATCTAGGATCACCGCCTGCAGAGGAGCCCAAGGCCGACGACAGCTGGGGTGCATTTACCGCTGTCGGGAAGAAAGGCAAGAAGAACGACGAGCCTGAACCTGCCCCAGAAGCTAACAATGACGACTGGGGCGCCTGGGGAGTCGCGACCAAGGACAAGAAACAGAAAAAGAACCTACTAGATCTCGAGCCTGAGCCTGAGCCCATTGCTGAACCCGTTCATGAACCCGAGCCCGAGCCCGAGCCCGAGGAGCCAGAAGAGCCTTTGGTTGAAATTCCCCCGCCTATTACCGAGGAAGCTTGGTATATAGGGCTTTCCAAAAAGGAGCAGCGAAAAGAGAAGAAGGCTTGGGAGAAGAAGGTCAAGGAGGCCGAAGAACAGCGCCAGGCTCAGCTCGACGCTAGGCAAGCCAAGGCAGACGCGAAGGCAAAGGCAGATGACGAAGCTAGGGCCAGCGAGGTCGTCTCTCCACAGCCGGAAAATGACTGGGACTGGAATGTCTCGTCTAAGTCCAAGGACAAGAAGAAGAAGGTTGAACTTCTAGCAGATCCCGAACCTGCCGCTCCTCCCCCGCCGGCTGAGGATGACTGGGGAGATAGCTGGGGCACAGCAGGAAAGAAAAAGGATAAGAACCCTCAAAAAGAGCCTGAGCCAGTGATCGAGGACCCGGCGCCAAAACCCGCCAAGGAGGACGACTGGGGTGGCTGGGCTGTCACCACTAAGGATAAGAAGAAGAAAAAGGGCAAGGAGCCAGAACCTGAACCAGAACCTGAACCTGAACCTGAACCCGAGCCAGAGCCAGAGCCAGAGCCAGAGCCAGAGCCAGAACCGGAGCCTGCACCTGCAGTTCATGATGATCCTTTGTACGAGGGCTGGGCCACTTTATCTTCCAAGGAGCGGAAGAGACGGGAGAAAAAAACTAATCCAAAAGGGACTTCCCATTCCCGGAAAGGACTTTGAACTTCCCTCCGACAAGCCCGCAGAGCTAGAACCTGAACCCGAGCCGGAGCCTCCTGCTGAGCCTGAGCCTGAGCCTGAACCAGAACCTGAACCTGAACCTGAACCTGAGCCTGAGCCCGAGAAGCCCGCCGAAGACGATGCTTGGGGTGGTGTCTGGGGTACGACCAAGGACAAGAAAAAGAAAAAGAAGGGCTTCGAAGAACCTCCACCCCCAGCTCCGACTCCTCCTGCCCAAGGCCTCACTCCCGAGCCTGAATTCATAGCCGAGGATGGTGACGACATCTGGGCCGAGCTTGCTCCAACATCCAAGTCTTCAAAGAAGAAGACAATCGAGCCTGTTAAGGAAGAGAAACCAGCTGCAAAGGGCTTCTGGGCATCTCTGACCGGTGGTTCTGCCTCTAAATCCAAGACAAAGTCCAAGCCCAAGGAAGAGGAGCCTGAGCCTATCCCGGAGGGTGATCTACTCATCGATGTAGAGGAACCCCCAAAGGAGGCTGAGCCTGAGCCTGAACCAGAACCAGAACCAGAACCGGAGCCGGAGCCTGTCGTCGAGGAGAAGCCAAAAAGCAAGGCCAAGCTTTCTGTGGCTGAACGCATCAAGGCCCTCGAACAGGCTAAGAAGGACAAAGTGAAAGAGGAGAAATCAAGCTCAAAAAGCAAGAAGGAGAAGAAAATTGACCCTGAACCCGAGCCTGAGCCTGAGCCTGAGCCTGAACCAGAACCAGAACCAGAGCCTCCTGCTGAGCCCCAGCCCAAGCCAGACCCGGAACCAGAGCCAGATCTTTCTAAGATGTCCAAGAAAGAACTGAAGAAATACAAGAAGCTTCAGGCCGAGAAAGAAGCAGCAGCGGAGATAGCGGAGGCAGCAAAGGCAGCTGTGCCGGAACCCGACCCTGAACCAGAGCCTGAACCTGAAGAGGAGAAGCATGATTCAGTTCCTGGAAGTTTCCCAGATGAAGATCCTGTCGAGCCCGAGCCTGAGCCAGAACCGGAACCGGAACCTGAGCCAGAACTTGAGCCTGAGCCTGAGCCTGAGCCAGAACCTGAGCCTGAGCCGGATCTTTCGAAAATGTCCAAGAAAGAGTTGAAAAAATACAAGAAAGCTCAGGCTGAGAAAGAAGCTGCCGCTGCCGCTGCTGCGGCAGAAGCACCTTCTCCACCCCCGGCTCCAGAGGAACCGCCCGCACAGGAGCCCGAAGAGCCAGAGGCGGAGGCTGGTGCTCCACCGACACCTCCGCCTGAGCCTGCTGAGCCGGAGCCTACGAAATCATCAAGGAAAGAACGCCCGCGCGTTGAACGGAGTGGAACCAGCTCCGGTTGGGGCTTCTGGGGAGCAGCACCGCCCCCAAAGAAGTCCAGCAAGAAGGAAAGGAAGGCCCCCGACAAAGCTGAGGAACCAAAAGAGGACAATGAGCCAGAAAAGTCTAAAGAGCCTAAGGAACCTACGGTGCCTAAGGAGACCCGGGAAGAAAGGCGCGAGAGGAAGGAGAAGGAAGAGAGGCGAGCGAGACGCAAAGCTAAAGAAGCAGCTCGCGAACTCGATGCCTCAGCTGCTGTTCGATCCCACTCTAGAAAGCCCCGACCCAAAGAATCCGATGCTGATATGGAGAAATCTTCATCAGACAGAGAGAAGCGGCGGGAGCGGGAAGCGCGTTCCTCTAAACAGCAACGCGCTACGACCTTGTCCAACTTCGTATTTGGTGCACCACCGCCGCGGAGCAAATCCACCAAGAAACCATCAGCAGCTTCAAGACCTTCATCAAAGCCTACATCCAGACGTCCATCATTTGATGCAGATGCTGACGTTGCAATGCCTCCACCACCTCTCGATGACAAGCCGGAGGTGGCTGACAAGGCAGCCAAGTTGATGGGTATGAATGGCTCGAAATCGAGGCGGGAAAAGGAGCGTCCTCGTGCCGAAAGGAAAAAGTCAGGTACGGTTTCGGTCATCTCACTAATTTGATCGTCAACACTCATTCATAGTTGCAGGCCCTAGAGATCCATTTCCTATCGATGAAGATGACATGGTTGTGGTCGACCATGAAGACGCCGACGGGTCACCGAAAGAGGGCTCGAAGGGGTCGAAACGCAAGTCGAAACGCGAGGTCAGTCATCACGATATCAGCTTTCAGATATTTGCTAACTTTCTTCACCCTAGTCGCGACCAAGATCAGCCGATGATGATGCTGTCATGGTTGATGCAGAGCAGGCGCGTGGTGCCCCGGATGTGGACTTGGGCGCTATGGATCCACCAAAGGAACGTCGCCTGAAGCGGTCCAGCACAGCTCCCAAAAAGCAAGAGGTCGGTGGTCTCATGGGTCTGTTTGGCTCCCTCCGAAAAAATACACGTCCTGATCCGCCCGAAAGGCGAAAGTCTCGATCAAATCGCGATGGCGCCTTGACCGAGCCAGAACGTGATGAGCGGCGTGTCCGACGCGACGAACGCCGCCGCCCATCAGTGCGGGCTGATACTGATGCTGAAGGATTCACCACAGATATAGCCGGGGCCGCCGCTGGTGAAACGGAAGCCGAAGATCCGGAAGTCCGCAAAGCTGCTCGAAGAGCCAAGCGATCCTCTCGCCAGGCTCCGTCCGACTCTCGCGAAATGGAAGCTCGAGAAGCAGAAGAACGACGTGCGAAGCGGAAAGAAAAAGAGCTAGCACGTCAGGCTCGCGAACAAGCCGCTCGCGAGGAAGAGGAAGCTCGACTCCTTGCTGAGAAACAAGCCCGCCGCGCAGCCCGCGAAGAGCGTCGCGCCAAAGAAGAGCAAGCCGCCCGCGAAGCCGAAGCAGCAGCTGAAGCCAAGGCCGCCGAACGTCGCGAGCGCCGTCGTCTCCATGAAGAAGAAATGGCCGCTAAGGAGATGGCCGCCAAGGCCAAACGCCGCCGCTCGCGCGTTGACGAACCTCCTCCTGAAGTTTACCCCGACGAGGCTGATGATCGCCGCCGTGGCTCTCGCACAGCAGACGACAAAGACCGTCGCCGCCGCTCGAAGGCTACCCCACAGGAACGCACCCGCGCACCCCTCATGACTGGTGGCCTCAACCATGGGAACACAGGCGGGCCGAAGAAAGACAAGATCTCCTCTTGGGTTTATAGCCAATCTGACGACCCGCCGGATCCTCCTCCCTTTGTGGAAACAGTCATTGACATGCCTCCCGCTGCTGCCGCCGCCGCAGACCAAGTCAACGCTCACTCTCTCTCCTCGGACGAGGAAGCCCGTCGCGCCGTCCGCCGTCGAGCCCGCCGTCGCGCCAAGTACGGCGACATACCAGACGAAGAAATCGAAGAACTTCGGTCTCGTCGCCAGAGTCGCGTGAAGAGCAGCTCCGGTAGTGGTGACTATGAGCGTGATCGCGGCATGCGGTCTCAAGGGAGTCGACATGGAGCGCCGCCTAGCTCTGGGGCTAAGAAATCGAGTTGGTTCAAGAAAATTTTTTAAAGCGATTTGACGATATCGATGTTGATAGCCTCGTACATAAGGGGGATATTTATGTTTATTGTTTTGTATTGGGTGAAGCGGGTTCTTTGTATTAGTTCTTCTTCTTTGGTTACGAGGAGGTCAGCTTTATCTGAGCGGATCTTTTTCACGACAGATATGATTCTATGATTATCAAGTGATGCAATGTATGCGAATTATTTTACGGTTTTTAGGGCTCGTTCTTGTTTCATTTCGTAACTCGTAGTATCCTTGATATTTATCACTTCTACCTGAAACTCCTCATAATTTGGGGCAACACTACCAATATCAAGCACTACATAACCGCATCTCCGTCTGCAACTCCGTCAATACCCTCCATCCCCTTCCTTCTCTCCTCCAAGAAGAACCTCCCACTCTCATACATACTCAAATACAGACTGACCGCAACAGCCGTCCACCCAGCCCTGATAGCACCCCCTCTGAACAAACCCCTAACCCCGTCCTTCCTATAAATCTCCCTCCCAACAGTCAAAGCCCCCTTCGCTTTGCCCTTTCCCTTGCCCTTCCCATCTCCATCACCGTCTGCACTAGCAGAAAGCATCACCCTCGTCTTCACAACATCAATAGGCGTCGTCACAAAAGAAGCCACTGTCCCCGCCAGGCCCGCACTAAGCCCCGTCACACCCGCCCTCTCGACCAACTGCTCCCTAACCTTACCCCCCTTCCCAATCCCTCTCTCCCGCCTCCATGCCAAAATCCTCGTCCTCAGATACTCAAAAAGCGGAAACTGCATCCCCGTCATGGGCAGATTCCTCCCGACGAGCGCCGTGTACCCGCTCCAAAGCCGCCAGGGCCGACCTTTGAATTTCCAGAGGACCTGGCGCACCGGAGTCACGGAGCCTTTCTCTGAATCGATCATTTGGGCATTTTGTTTTATGACTTCGGCGGGTGTAAGTAGTAGGCAGGAGACCATTTCTGCGGCCGAGGAAGCAATGCCGTGAATGATTGGGGTTGGGAGGGAGTGAGTGAAAGGGAGGGGTAGAGCTATTCTCGAGCCTTGGGAGTAGTATTCTGGACTAGAGGGATTGGCCCTTGAGTGCGTGGATGAGTCGTGAAGTGTGCATTTCACGGCTTCGTAGGTTGTGAAGAAGGCTCCTGCTTTTCGAGGGGTCAGGGTCTTGCGTGTGATGTGACGATTGGATATATATAGGACTTACATGAGGGGATTGTGGAAAATACCACGCTCCATATGCCTTGGTATAGGCCTTTGAACAGAACATTGCGCCGGATCGCGCCTGTACGCGCGTCCTTGAAGACTGTATCGTAGTTCGGGGATTGAATGCGCGTTTTGAGAGTGTCGAATGGGTAGACGATGAAGTCTACTGTTACTGCGGCAAATGCGCCGGCCTGGTATTGGGCAATGCGTGGTTAGCAAGGGTTTGGTTCAGAAACCAAAGGAGAAGTCCCTCAAGCCTCTCGTTGAAGCTCGGAGTATGTGAATGTATAGGTTAGACTCACAAACCAGATGTCGGTGTGGCTATTGTACATTTTGAGAGCATGAAGAAAAGAAAGGATAAGTATGGATCTATAGCTTTACGAGATGGATTGAGAGCGGTGTGAGCCATGAAGGACGTTTCGTTGACTTTAGAGCTTCCTTGATTAGCATCTTATCGGGCCGATCATCGTTCTAGGATGAGGTCATCTCAAAATCACGTGGCTGATAAGTGCCCTACATGGATTAGGGCTGTTTGCACTCCGGGGTAAAAAAGTCAAAAGGTTCGAGGTTCGAGAGCTGCAGAAAATGGTATGCAAATGACATGGATAAAAGTGATATCTAAAAGGTCATCGTTTTTTTCTATGAGCTATGCGGGTCTGTATATCTCATCAAACATCAGATGGGAAGGCTCGACTTGTCATACAATAATAAAAAAGAGGCAGTCGTATTAACATCCCAAGAGAACATTTTCCCTCCCTACGCCGTAAAAAGGTCATGCAATCCTAAAGTCCCTCATCTCCAACTTATTTCGCGGTCTCACCGGGCAGCATGTTGCCCTTGACAGCGAACATCTCTGCCGGTGGCCGACGAGACGAAGCTGTCGACCTGGCGAGAGAACTGCTCCACCTGGCGGGTGTTGAGCATAGCTTCCAGCCGGCTGGGCTCGGCAGGGAGCTTGAACAGACGCTGCCACTCGTCCTCGGGGAGGAGAGGCTGCTTGAGTGCGGCTCGAGTGGCGTTCTCTTGGCTGCGCTTCTGCTTCCAGTTGTTGATCTTCTGCTGCTCACGGCCGAGCACACGCTGGTAGTACTGGTAGTTGTTGGTCTCGGTGTTGTGGGCCTCGATGCTGTCGAGCAGGAGGTCGCAGTTCTTCTCGAGGAAGGGGTCGACACTGAGCGACAGGTTGTCGAAGTTGGGGGTGAAAATAGAGGACTTGGAGAAGGGGCTAGACTCGAGAGCACTGAGGGAGGGCGGGAGGTTCGGTAGGCCCGGAGGTGCTGGGGCACTGCAGCTGGTGGATGAGGGAGGTAATCAGATGCGAGTTGTGGATCTCAATGGGCAGCTCTTCGAAGATGTCTTGGTAGCGGAGGTTGGATTTTTGGAGCCTGTAAACCGGTCAGAATGGAGCCATAGTATGTAGATTTGGCGCGTCACGTACTCCTCCGAGTTGAACTTGTTCTCCTTGAACGCCTCCATGAACTTGGCGGAGAGGCGGAAAGCGCGCAGGCTGAGGGCACCCTGAGCGCTGCGGCTAACATCGTGGATAAGAGCAACTGTGCGTTCGTTCAGCTCCTTCTGGTAGAAGTATTGGTTCTCGATCACGTTCATGTTGACCCAGTTGCCCATGTTGGCGCTAGTGTACCAGCCGACGTTGTTTGCATCGATATTGACCTCACGCATCATCCGGATCATCTCAGCCTGGTAGACAGCGTTCGCCTTGGTGCGGGGCGCAGAGGCAGCCGGGTTGGGGGCGGCGTTATCGGAGTGCGACTCCACGGGAGTCTCGACCACGGGGAGCGGGAAAGAGTTTGTGATCTCGAGGAGGCCTTCGTTGTCCAGGCCGACAAGGGAACCGGTCGCGGTCGTCGGGAAAGTCTGGGAGCAGTGCTTGATGATTTTCATCACCACCTAAAGTATCCGGCATGAGTATTTCTCGCTGGCGAGGTTCAGGCAGATTTTCAAGATTCGGGGAGTTCGTACCAGGGCCTCGACCTTGACGGCCGCGAGGGGGCTTTGGGATCTGCGCGGTTGTTAGCATATGAATACTTGTTCAGTGGAGTTCAAGACATACTCGGCCATATTGAAGCGTTGTCACCGGGAGTGGAGGGGTTGGGTTGGAGAACAAGTTGAAGCGTTTCGGAAGGTTGTGTGAAAGGATTCATTTCGGGTTTAGCGTGGTATGTAATATATTACAGAGACGTTGGCGGCGACGAGGGGTAAATACGTGCGTATTACAAGCGCTCTCAGCATTGTCCGAGCACACCTCCGCATTTTCTTCGTCGATAATTTCCAAGAGCCAGGTAGATTGTTCGCCAATGCTTTATTTGTACCCCATTCATTATAATCGATGTGTTCTGATCATACATCGGTCTCAATAATGCATCATACTGACTCAATCGCAAGAATAGACTTAGTCATGTTGAGCGGAGTCTCTCTGCAAGTCCCGCTTCTTATCGTGATCGACAGCCAACTTTGTAGACAAGCATTCCGCCATGACTTCCGCTGGTAAGAGGACCGTGACCTACGGCCGGCATAGCGTGTTACAGACTATCTCCATCACTTCACTAGAGTCGCGCAAAGATGCGTACTGGGTGATGTACGCCAGCTCCCTCTGCTGCCTCTCGGCCATGATACTGACCATGAAAAATCAGTTATATTCATGGTGGCGCCTGGCGCGATCCAACCGTCACATCAGAATCCTTCGACAAAGCCGAAGCCATTCTTCGCGCATCAAATCTGCCCATCTCAGGCTTCGCATCTATCTCATACAGATTGAGTCCGCACCCGCGCTTCCCCCAGAACCCACCAACTACTTCACCGTACGAGTCCCGCAATGCGAAGCACCCGGACCACATTCGCGATGTTGAAGCAGCACTGGCGTTCCTGCAGAACACCTATGGGTTCGGGCCGCGGTATATCCTCGTGGACACAGCTGCGGCGCAACGCTAGCGTTCCAGTCTGTCATGGGTTCTGTTGCGGATCATAGGGAAATGGCGCACAATCCAGACGCTGAAGGCGGTACTGGTGTTGAAGCTGTCTCTACCACTCCCGAACCATTGCCCCCACGTCTTCGTGCGAAGCCAACGGCTATCGTAGGTGTAGCTGGCATTTATGATCTCCGGCGGTTGGTAGATACGCATCGCAGTATTCCGGCCTACCGTGAGTTTGTTGAAGGTGCATTTGGGCCGGATGATATGGTCTGGGATGCTGTATCTCCGGCGCAGATGATTGGGTCTCGTGGTGTTGAAGGTGGCTGGAAGACTGGGAGATTGGTAGTCTTGGCTCAATCTCCCGACGATGAGCTTGTGGATATGGGCCAGCGTGAGGCGATGCAGGATGCCCTGAAAGGGTGGGAGCAGACGGAGGCTCAGGTGCCGCCTGAGGAGCTCACTCACAAGGATCGTCGTGTACGGATCTTGGATATCAGCGGCGCTCATGACGATGCCTGGATAAACGGCGATGAAATTGCTTGCTCTGTTCAGTTCGCTTTCAAGGAGCTGCAGGAGATGGGACTTGCCCCAGAGGCTTGATTTAGAGGAAGTGCCGAAAGTGCGTCTGTACAGAGTGCACATAGCAGCATTGGGAGGCATACTGAATTGTACATACAATAGACTTCAAGATGTCTGGTAAGCATTGCTTGAGACCACGGTTGTGAGACGTGTAAATTGAGTAACGATCATGTCATACGGTCCATTTGAAGCGAACTTCTTCATTAATCAAAAAGGCTTGAAGGCATGATGTAGATACAGTGTAGGCCTTGAAACGCCATAATTCGTAAACGCATAATCACGAAAGATCAAATCATAGGAGGTCCCTGGTACGCCGAATTTGCTCATAAGATCCCTTCGTGTAATTATTTGCCCAGATCCATCCGACCCGATGCAGTCTCTGCCACCACCTTGTCGACCTTAGTACCCTCGGGCTCTTCAACGTAGTCGAAGCCATCTTCTTCACTCTCGCTTTCTTCGATAAATTTGTGGGTCATGTTAAACTCAGCTAGGCGCCAGTGCAAATCCTCACGCCAGCCATCTTGCCAGCGGGCGAGCGCGGCCGCGGCATGGACTTTGAAGCCGTAAATTTTTGGCTCGTAGCGGCGCATACTCTTCTCGGGATTAAGAGCGGGATATACCTGGAACAGGATAGAGTGGAAAGAGGTTCCGAAGTAGGCGCCGTCGATGGAAGCGTGTCGAGAGGATTTGGGGTTGTAGATGTCCTCGCACTTGGGACAGTATAGCTTGACAGTGCTCATGTTGGGGAGATCAAATTGGCCCATGGGCAAAAGTGGGTGTCCCTCGCACATAACGCGAGGGCACTTTCCAAAGTCGCACTTCTTGTACTTATCAAGCTGTTTAAGTAATGTGAGCCATGATGCCGGGGAAGGTGTACAATATCAAACAATGATGCGAACATACCATTTTAGCAAGACCACGGGTAGTCACAATGTAGCGAGCATGAACAAGCCCATAGAGGTGACGAGCAGACTTTTCGATCTGCTCACGCAGATCATCATCGGCATCAAGGTCGAAGACATCAGTCACCAGGTCCAGCGCATATTGATAGTACGGAACCTCGGTGTTCAGACCCGTCAAGTTGAACCGATCTGTCAAGTAATCCTCGTCGATCTCGCAGAAGTACTCGTTTCCTCGGGACGAGACAAACTAGAGCGCAGATAAGGCAATTAGCTGAGTTCGAGCAAAAAGACGATAGCGGTAGATCATGAGAGAGATGTTCCAAAGGCCAAGTTGCTCGCAGCGCAAGGTCAACTCTCCACAGGAGACTTTTTCAGAGCACTGAGCTCCAAGAAGCATCTGAAGAAGCCGCGGATGTCGCAATTCGGACATTTCGCGGGGCTCCCGGGCGGGACATCGCAGATCACCGAAACCACAAGGAACATACCCAGTCTCTCCAGTAACTCGTGTAATCACTATCCGTCTCGCTATTAAAGTCCTCCATCATGGTGGATAATATTGCTGAAAGGATCCGTTCAGACCAGGCGCGCACTGGGAGCAGGTACGTGGCAACCACAGAACTTGGGCGGATCAACCCAGGGTGCTGGAAGCCCCAACAAAGATGCTGCAAGGCAATTCTAGCGCAGTATCGATGTCGAGCTGGTGAGCAGGGGCAAGGTTGGCTCGATGGTGGGGGACGAAAGGCTGGAGAATCGAGGGGAGGCTGAGTGCGCCCGCCAATTCGATGAAGTGCGAACGGAATTCTGCCGATCAAGCTACACCGCCTTTAACATAATCTACGAATGCTTTTGGGACTTTTACAGTGTTTCATTTTGCACACACTTATAAAGATGATGGCTCCATTTATGTCAGCTATGGCTATTCACTCCGGCATCTCACTTTGAGAGAATAGTTCAGAACGAGGGGTTGGCGTTGGCCACCAGTTGTGCAAAGTAACTCTATATATCCGATTAGTGATTGCCTGGAGAAATATCTAACTGAGCAGGGGCATTTCGCTTACCTGGAACCAAGTACCAGCCTCAGGAGCTGGCTGCAGAGCATCGCTGTATCCGCAGTGAGCATCGTATCGAGATGAACTCGTGTTCGAGGTACCGTCACTTTCACCACCAGGCTTGACCCAGACAAACGCATCCTCGAGGCTGTCTCCAGTGTCTGTAGTGGGACGAACTCCGAAGCCAGTGCCCTTTACGTTGCACCAATCACCCCAGGCGTTCTGCTGAGTTGGCTGGACACCGTTACGTCCTGGGTGTAGATTGTCAGCTCTCTCTCTCCCCCCCACAAAGGGAAATGCTGGGTATCTAGTGGCTTACCAGTGTCGGTGATGAAATGAGCATTCCAACCTAGGTTTTGAAGTAGGGGAGCCATTGCATTCACGTATCTCTTCTCGTCGCAGTTAGAGTCTCCTGACGTATACGATGGGCAAGTAGTCAGAGACCAGCCGTTGTAGTTAGCAACGTTAGTTGCCAGTCCCCGTAGAGAGGCAGGCATAGATGCGTTTTTGTAGACTTGAGCATATAGCTGAGCCGCTGGGCTCAGATTGGCAGGCCAGCCCAGCCATCCGGCATGTCCTGCAAGAGTGTAAATAATGTAAAACTTACGGTAGAGAGAAAGACCACTCACCGGCATCGAGATACATGGCAACATTAGCCAAATTCAATTGAGTGATGGCATAGTTTGTGCATTCGAGGTATGCATTGTATGCATTGGCACACTTCGAGACGCCCATGTTGGTGACCAAATTCGCCAAACTATCAGGCTCTATAGAAATTTCTCGGTTAACATGGGCAGCAGTATCGGGCCAAAGATTGACTTACCAATAACCAAGATGGTATGGACATCAGCATACTTTACAAGCGTGGCGCGGATATTATCAATATATGCCTTATACTTCGCGACGCCACCATTAGCAATAGAGTACTCGCCATTACTGGCGAGAGCAGCACAATCGCGGTCAGGCAAGTCATATACAACAAAGGTGCCGGCAATAGGAGGGCTAGCGCCAGCAGCATTTTTCGACTCAATGTCGGCCAAAAACTCGCCCATTGTTGGCACCTTGTCGGCCGTGTCACTGCAGAAGTATGAGTCGCTACGAACAAGTCTCGATAATGATGGTGTCAGAGCAGCCAATAACTCACAGCCAGTAAAAAGAAGGCACCTCCGCAACTTTGCTGGCGGCTGCCTTCGCAGCGCCAGTCATAGATGGCAAAGCCGAAGTGCTCACTTCGGATGCGTAGAATGAGTTGGCATAAAGCTGATACCCCGAGAAAGGATTGCCAGTAGAAGCAGCGCGGGCCGTGATAGCAGGCGCATTGGCGTTTGCAATGGCCACTGCTGCAACAGTGGATGCTAGGAATGGGGCGATACAAAGCAAAGACTTCATCTTAAAGTAGAAGGTTTTTGCGCGTGTCTTGTCTGATCCTTTTTTCCTGGCTTGCTAGTTTTCCCAAATGATGTCGCTTTATCTCTCAATTTATAGCTTCTTCCTGACTTACTTTACCCACGCCATGGCATCTTTTGGACCAAATATCCGGGGCCACGAGACAGATCAGGGTCCGGCCTTGGCAGCATGGAGTGACAATTGAAAGGCCATTGGGCTTAAATTTGCCTAAATGAATTTCTTCAAGCCAAGCTGTCTAGGCACAAGAGCCCTCAGACGAGGCCAGTATCACACGAGGCCCCTGCTTGTTTCACGCGGACCTGGCTCCCCGTCCCCAAAGTGGATATTCTCTGTCGATCTTCAAAGAACATGGCTGGCTCTCAAATGAGTGATATTGGAATCCGGATTATGCCCCGGGTGCCTAGATCATTTCTGACACGGAGAATCCTACGGATGTTCTCATCCCAAGCCGTGAAGGGAAGTTCATGGCCCTGCTGGAAAGTGCCATATGCAGGAGCATAGTCGCCCGTGACGAAATGTGGCTGATGTGATGCGGGGAATATGTGGATTAAACTTCTTCAGGAGACTGAAGAACTTTGAAGCACTTAGGATTACACACTCAGAGTTCTCGGGCCCCCGGGTGAATGAAATGTCCCTCTAGGCTCAACATTCCGTTTTTGAATGGGTCCTATACCTCCTCTTGGTGACCTCAATCTTGCTCACTAGGCCTCAGGAGTACTGAACGGAGGCGTGCTAATTGCCTGAATCTCAGGTTTTTCTTACTTGTGCCTAACCATGTATCTTTCCCTGTATGTGGATGAAACCCAAAATAATTCATGGAAAGTTCCGAACTCCAAAATGCGTCAAGCTAAATCAACATCAAGAAATAAACCACCGGTCTACCCTCTTAGCAAACTCCACACATCTATTGTCCACGTAGATTGTGTAGTAATGCGCCGCACAAACAGCAACACCACCTAACGCGATCCCCGTAATCCACCAAGCAAGATGAAACGAAAACGGATCCGCGCCCAATGCCTCCCCACTACTACCATACTGCCTCCCAGCCAGCATCGAATAAATAAGATGTAGCAATGGATCTCTCCATAGCTGATAAATTGTCTCATGGAGCAGATACAACGCGAACGAGATCTTGCCCAGATACTGAACTGGCCGCGTGTTGAGCGGTCGTTGCATACATGGGAACTCTCCAATCGCATAGACCAACATAGCTGACCCGACTGATTTCCAGCAAAAGTGATATATGTTCCAATTATCCTTCCAGCGCGAGGGCTGGAGAATGGATAAAAATTGGTATCCTGGTGGTAAGTGACCGTCATTTCCAAGGCACAGAAGATAATAGCCCGCAACAAAGGTGAGTGCGATTCCTATGCGCGAAAATATGGTGCATTTTCTCGGGTTGAGGCCGACGTATCGGTGTTTACCACCGCACGAGCTTAGAATGCTCCAGGAAGGCAAGGTGAAGAGGCGGCTATCGCTTTCTTCAAACTCTGCCATCTCGAATTCGGTATTGAGGTCCTCGTTCAAGGCCAAAGAGGCAGCGTACGCTTTCTGTGCCAGCCAAAGACCCCATATGAAGCCGAAAATATCCCAATTGCCGTACCAGAGATAGAAACTTGCGATTATGGGCAGAATGTAGAGCCTTGAGCTCATGCGCCATGCCGAAAGACCAACGATGAGTAGGTAGACGACATTGGACCCCCTGAATTCAAGCGGCATAGTCCAAAGCTGCCCGTTCAGGCTACCACGATACTCAAAAGCAATGACATTCATACTATCGGCCATGAAATTGAGCAACCATTTAACATGAGACCACGGGGCCGTCCATGGTTTAGGAAGATCATTCAAAAGGCCCTCGTCAAATTGCCAATGGAACAGATCGAAGAAGAAGAGAACCTGCGCTAGACTCGCCGTTACTAGAACAGGGAGATAAATCCGGAAAACCCTCCTTACGATAGCAGATGACACCCGTGGCAAGAAATGGGTGCTGTTCTGATCTTTCAAAAGGCTGATTGAAATGGCATAGCCTGAAATCACCATGAAAAGGGTCACCATGCCATGAGCTGAGAACAAAATTCGGACAGGAGGTAGTTGGACCAGGTGTCTATTTCCCTCGGGTGGATCGGTCCAAAAGGAGACGAACGGGTGCCAGACTTCGCTCATAAAGAAGTGGTCGAAGGCCACGATGGCAGCTGCTATGCCTCGTAGGCCATCTAGCCATCTGGTGCGCTCCATGGGAGGTGGGTATAGGGATCTCTCTCCCCTAGGGGGGTTTTTTTGTTTTGACGATATTGTATCAGAATTCAGCTTTTTTTAAGACGCAAAATCAGCTCGTATTACTAGACCCTTTCTTATGAGACAGTTGCCCGAGTCTGGTTTAGCGGGGTGGCTTAGCGGGACTTGGCCTTGAACTCGCGATATTCAGGGTCAAGGGTCTTCGGTTTGGTTTAGTGCTCAGTATTTGGTTTTATGATGAAAAGTACAAAATTCTGCTACTATTGAAGAGCTTTTATCGAGGAACAATAAGCGTATGCACAAACTTGCTCACTTGATCGGTATGCAGGGCGACCGACCGTTCCGAGGCTCTCCACTTTCAAAGAATGAGATTGAGTAGCGAGATTAAAAGCCCTGTATAAGCACTTGCAACTTAAACTTGGTGGTCCCATTTGTCTTATAAAGATATGGTGTTTCATTCAACGAAATCTGTTTAAACACTATAGAAAAAAAAGAGATTCCAAGAGAGTGGAGTGGTATCACGCTGTCGTTAAGTGACCCGGCAAGCCAGGATAAGATCAAATTCAATCAATGGGGAAAAGAGAAGAAGAAACAAAAAAAAAGAAACCCTAGCCTGGTCTGTTTTAACGCCGAGCGCGATCACATTCAGCCAAGAATCTGTGAATGCCTTCGGCGCCATCGTACTCGGAGGAACTCTCTGGCAGACCAGTGCTCGAGACTTCCTGGAAACAGGCGCGATCCCCGAGCTCACTGATGTTAATGCTCGAGTACACAGATGGCGAGGCTGTCCACGGGTTACTGCCGAACAGTTCCTTATCATCGAAGCTGATGGCGGGGCTGGTGTCAAGACCGGAGTCCTTTGACAATGGACTTTCCGGTGAGATCATGCCATGCCAGTCGAGCTCATCGGACTGCTGCGACTTATGTAGCGATGCCTTCTCGAACAAGTACTCCGTATCGGATGATGGGGCATAGCTAGGGGCGAAGGGGAACAACAAAGCCAGATCAGCGCCGGTGCGAAGCTCGAAGTCTTCGTCCTGTGTGATTCGGCCTCTCTGAACACCAACCTCGTCACAGAGGCGCTCGACAGTGTCAGCATCGCAGCCAGGGAACCGGACACGAATGGTGGATCGATCATGGAGCATGATTGGCAAATCACCAAGTGTTGAAAGGCGCTTAAGATCGTTCATCACCAAGGCGAATTCCTTCAAAGCACGGGCAAAGTCGGCAGAAAGTAGATCCATCAAGCCATCTGAATTCAGTGTCTCGACGGAAGCGACACCAGTCTTCTTGTCGAGCGCAGCGAGGGCACCGAAAGCGGTGATAGTGGGCGAAAGCTGGAAGTCGAGGAACGATCCAGAGGCGTTGTGGGGATTGGCAGTCATCTTACGCCCAGCCTGGTCCTGGAGAGCGCTGACAGCCTTGTACCGCTTCTCGCCAGTGCGGGGGTCGATGCCGTCGAATCGGACCTTCTGCCCCGAAAGGAAGAAAGCCCGAACGCCCTGGGACACATTCTGAATCACCTGGGCTGGAGCCGCAGGACCATGGGAGAAGTACCGAGCACCGCCGAAACGACCAGCTCCGACAGCGTATCCTCCGGCAGTACGACCCAGAGTTCCACCGGTAAGGTTGGGGCGAAGGGTGGACGCAAATGGAGCACGGCTTGTCAGTCGACTGATGTTTGAGGCGACGCGAGTAGTCTTGTAACCACCAAGATCCGCCTGTACACCACGGACGGCCGAGATGAAGGCATTGGCTGCACGAGTCGAGAAGTAACGGCTTCGGGACTGGCGAATGGCGGCAACGCGATTGATAGGCTGACGGTTGATGCGGGCATAAGCAGGTTGGTATCGTAGTGACGCTTGTTGCGTAGGCTCTGGTAGTTTGGCCCTTATGGCCTTGGAGGCCTTCTCATAGGCGAACCTGGGGTGATGTCAGCGGGTGAGTCAAGGGCGATAAGAAGATGAATCAACTAAACGTACCTCGCTGCTCTCCACATTTTGGGGAGCAGCAGGTGCCCATTCGGAGGCGCCATGCTGATAGTCAATAGATGTATTTATCCTGAGAAGATGGGGTAATTGGGAAGATGAAGGGAGTGCCTGATGACGGGGGCGTTATCAGTCAGCCTTAGGCAGACCCGCTGTGGCGATGCTTTGCCACGCATGTGACCCGGTCAACATTCTACTGCGCGGAAACTGGCACTGCCAACTTTAGATGACATGGATGGAATGTGTTGAACCTTTTTGGCGCTAAATGTACCAGATTCAATTATGATGACTTAATTAAGACGGTGTTGAGAGAATGCAAGGAAAATACATCTCAACCGACGAAAGTAGTATCATGTGTCAGTGTATGAAAGAGTAGCAGTAGGCTTACGGAGGTAGGGTCTCGATCCGTGATACTCTTCCTCGCATCTCTTTCGCGTAGTATCAAAAACTGGACGTGTGTTTTTGGAGGGGCCATCGTATCATCCTCTTGGTCAAGAAAAGGACGTGCATACGTTAGAAATTGTCTCAACGAACACCCTTAACCTGAAACGAACTTCGACGATCCTGTAGGCCCTGGGGAGTTCACCCTTGCAAGGCAAATCATTTATTTTCTTGGTACCAAATTCAATAGACATATGCTTGACTCACTCTTCTCAGCTTTATAACAAGTAAAATCAAGCGTAGGGATCATTGGAGGTTGTTTTATGGACGCTGCTACTGTGAAAAATGGCAATGGGCGAGTAAAAAGTCTCAAACTGATACAGGCGCACGGGCTGGAGATCTTCTAGGGTTATCAACCAGCCTTGGGCGGAATCTTAGTTCTTAGTTTAGTCGCGAGCAGGCTATCCTCGAGGTGGTTCCATTCAGGTTCATCGTCCGGGCTCTTCGCTTCCTCGCCGAGCTTTATTCTGAGGCAGAAGATAGTCCCCCGGGAGAATGTGCTCAGTCTGACACTTAGTCTTGCTATTAGCTATTGAGGTGACGGAACAATACCTAGGAATAGATTCGGTCCTATGTGTTATGCTTGCGTACTTTCTAGTATTGGAGATTTGTAAAGCTTCCATTCTATAACAAAAGTACCAAATTATCCCATTGCGGGACTTCGCTTCTTTTTGTTTGCCTACGTGACTACTGAAAATGAAAGGCTTTGATCAACGAATACTCGTGCCTGGAAGAAAGAAAGGAGAGTAGCCGATAAGTAAAGAGTGAACGATCGGCCTCGTATCAGAAGAATCGACATTCACATCCTATACAAAGCGAAACCTAGCTATGCTCTCCTTAATCATCCTCAGACACTCTTGCCCCTAAAAATAAGCGTTCCCCACAAAAATGCCGTCTTCATGAACGGTTCGTCGTTCGGGATGGTAGGGCGCTAGATAAGCCCCATTTTTGGTCCGTTCGGTCAAGTTTCCGCGCACGGCAAATTATCGCATCTTTTGGCGATCTACACACCCGTCCACCAGGTTTCATCTAAGGATAGCGTTCGCGGCGTGACCTGTGCCGCGATGATTGACACATATTTTTAGGGTCACGGCGCGAAGGGAGGCTTGTCTGTGCTCTGTGCAGATGTAGTCTTCGTGGGCCTGGCTTCGGCTGAGAATTTTGTATACCTCGACTGAGTAGTTGATGACTGCAGAGCACGCTACCTACCACAGTCCGCTTGCACTTCCAGTCATCAGTCCGCTTGAACTTTGTGAGAAATATGTGCTCAATTCCGGGCGCAATGATCTGCACATCCGATGCATTCGCCCTTGTCCTCGACAGGTCTTGAAACAGGATGCGTTAAGACACGGGTAATCGTGAAACTACCCATACCTTGCGCGGAATATCTCGGTGGACCTCAAGTGCAAATTGGAGCTCAGAGTCCGGTGCACCAGGGGAGCTATCTCCTCGGCCCGGTCCTCACGTTCAATGTAGGTACGCTCGAGAGGAGTATAAAGATGAGCATCTTCCCAGTCCATCAATGAATCATCAACCTTTCATCCTTCGCTTCAGTCTTCAGTTGACAGGCTCAACTTGACATTCTCTCGCTTCGACTTTGCTTTTATCTTTTCTCTCACCTTTTCGAGCTGCGCTCTTCATTCACAATTCGATTCTTCTGTTCTATCGTTAATCATGAAGAATACCGCCATTCTTTTCCTCGCGGGTACTGCTCTTGCAGCGCCTGCCTCCAGGTCTCTCGAAGCTCGCAAGCCCTGTCTTTGGCTTGATGGCATGCTCGGTGGCTCTGGTGAAGGCAGTGAAAGTACATCTGCTGGCGGTGGTATTAGTGCTCTTGCCGGTCTCCTTCCTAGCTTCGGTTCTAGCTTGGGTGGCTCGGCTGATGCTTCTGGCGACGCTTCTGCCGATGCCTCTGGATCTGCATCGGGCGACGCTTCCGGGTCTGCTGGCCTAGGTGCTTCTGGCTCAGCCAGTGGAGATGCCTTCGGCACAGGTTCGCTCGGCGCAAGCACTTCTGGCTCTGCCGGTCTTGGTGCTTTAGGCTCCGCTGGCCTTGGTGGTTCCGGTTTCGCTGGTCTCGGTGGCTCTGGCTCTGCTGACCTAGGGGCTTCTGGCTCAGCTAATGGAGGAGCTTCTGGCACTGGCTCTCTTGGTGCTGGCGCTTCTGGATCTGCTGGTCTCGGCACCTCAGGCTCTCTTAGTGGAGGCGCGTCCGGTACTGGCTCTGGTTCGACCGGACTTGGTGCCTCTGGATCGCTCAGCGCTGGTGCTTCGGGCACTGGTGCGGCTGGTGCTTCAGGCTCGGGTGGTATTTCTGGTGGTGCTTCCGGTTCTCTTAGCGGAGGTAATTCTGATACCGGCTCTGCTGGTGTTGGAGCCTCCGGCTCAGGCAGTGCTTCTGGCGGTGCCTCCGGTTCTCTTAGCGGTGGTGCTTCCGGTACTGGTGCTGCTGGTGCTTCCGGCTCTGGCTCTGCTGGTCTCGGTGCTTCCGGCTCTCTCAGCGGAGGTGCTTCGGGTACTGGCACCACTGGTGCATCGGGATCAGGATCCGCTGGCATCGGAGCTTCTGGCTCAGGTGATGTCTCTGGCGGTGCCTCCGGTTCTGGTGAAAGCGGCGTCAGCGCAACCAACACCGGCGGTGCCTCAGGAAAAGGAAGCTTATCAGGATCCAGCTCAGGCTCAACTTCAGGCTCGGGCTCCGCCGGTATTTCCGGCTCGGGCTCTGCTGGCACTGGCATTTCTGGCTCTGGCGCCGGTGATATTAGCGGTTCCGGATCTGGTTCGACTGGCACAAGCGTCTCTGGCAACCCAGGCTCTGGCTCCGCCACTGGTGCTACTCCCAGTGGCTTTACGACCAGCACTAGCGTCAGCTGGTTGATTCCTGGCGCTACTGGAACTGCTGGTGGTGAACTTAGCGGTTCAATCTCTGGATCTGGTACTGCTGCTGCTGAGGCGAGTGCTGCTGCTTCTGCTGCTGCTGCAGCTTCGGCCAATGCTAGCGCTAGCGCTGATGCTAATGCTGATGCTTCGGGCTCTGCTGATGCAGCCGCTAATGCTAGTGCTCAGGCCTCTGGATCTGGCAATGCCTCGGCCAATGCTTCGGCCAATGCCTCTGCTTAGATCTGAGGGCATATCGAGTCTTCTGATTGGTGATTTGTCTGGCCATGGTAAATCATGGAATAATATGTTCCGTTTGTCTTTTCGTCTTTTCTCGGATAATGGAATAAGGTTGGACGTCCCAGTGGAGGTTGTGTACATTGGCACCGGATTTTCTGTCTTTACAAGTGTTTTCTAATCATCTGGTCTATACTTTGAAATGTCTCAATGATAATACCTCAATTGGTTGCTTCAAGAAGTATAAATTGTTTGTCGGTAGAATATGGCGGTATGTAGATAAGCAATAGCACCGCAGTTCCTGTATTATCCAACAGTGATCCCTTCAAGATTGTCCTCGAACGTAGCCCGCATATAAGTGTGATACAATGACTATGAGCCCATTTCCTTCGCACAATGCATTCTCTTGTTTTTTAGCGTATGAAGAAATTTATCGACTTTGTCTGCTGGATTGTTCGGCATACCTTTCTTTGCTGTTTCCTCCATTTCCTTGTAGACCTTTTCCTAATCCTCATCGCTATGCATTCTAAGGGGTTCTTTTGTCAACCTCTTTGTCGACGATTGTTTTTAGATTTCCCAAATCATTTGGTGGAAATTCAAAATTTGGAAGCTAGTTCTCTTGTCCATCTCTTTGAATAGACACGCTTTGGGTTGTCTGCGTTGGGTGGCTGGGTCGGCAGCGACGGTCGCGGTGAGCACGAGACAAAAGAGGAAGAGGGAATGATAGCCCATTTTATAGAGACACAGGCAATTAGAAGAACAAAGATACAGGTTGTCTTCTTTTCTGGCATATAAAATGGATGGGGCAGGCGGGGTGGAGAGGGAGATGGTAGAATACCCTGTGCTATATAAAAGCTCTGCCAAAGAGTATCAGAGTAACCCAAGTAGAATATTTCGAAACATATCGGTCACCGACGGACAAGCGCCCTTGTCATTAACACAGAGGCTCTAGGCTTTTCTGAACCTCATATGAGAGCCGATTCCTCCCTAGTCATCTAGATTATTGCTATAAAAAGTATGAATTCGTCATAGCAGAGACACCGGTGACTTATGGCGGTGGACTATAGCGAGCCCGATCGACAGTTTACTTTTGATATTGACAAAAGTAGACATCGACATACGCCGTTCATCAAATTGGAAAATATACTAACCCACAACGATAGTCACTTTTACTCAGCATTTCGAGGCTCGTTATAATCGGAAGAAATAAATTGTTTTGGTATCTAAATCTTTATGTACTCATAAAACATCACGTCCTTGTTTTTTATTTACTCGTCATCGCCAAAGAAGACCTTGACAGGCAACCAGCTGTCACCACAGACCTTGAAGCGGTCCTTGAGGTTATCAAGCTGGTCAATCTCCTCATCAGTGAGGGTCCAGCCATCGATCTCGAAATTGCCCTCAATGCGGGACTTGTTGACAGACTTGGGAATGACGCTCCAACCCTTCTGGATACCCCAGACGAGCAGAACCTGCTGGGGAGTCTTGCCCTTCTTCTCGGCGAGCTTGAGGAGAGTGGGATCCTTGTAAAGAGGAGAGTCGGTGGAGCCGAGGCACGAGTATCCGGTGGAGTGGATCCCCTTAGAAGTGTTGTAAGCAACCAGCTTGGGCGAGGGGTTGTTGGGGTGCAACTCGATCTGGTTCACCGCAGGGACAATCTTAGTGGAGGGGTCATTCAGGAGCTTCTCGAGATTCTTGATGCCGAAGTTGGAGACACCAATGTTGCGGACCTTGCCGGTGGCAGGCAGCTTCTGCATCTCCTGCCAGGTCTTAATGAAGTCCCAGTCGGGCAGGTGCTTAGACTTGTCGTTGGGGTCAGTAGAGCAGGGCCAGTGGACCAGGTACAGGTCGACGTAGTCGACATCGAGGTCCTTCAGGGAGGAGGCAATGCCATCCTGCACACGATGGTGCCAGGTGTTGTCCAGCTTGGTAGTGATCCAGATCTCCTCACGGGGAACGCCGGAGTCCTTGATACCCTGGCCGACCTCGTGCTCGTTGCCGTAGGCGAGGGCAGTATCAATGTGGCGGTAGCCCTTCAACAAGGCGTTCTTGACGGCCTCCCGGACTTCATTGGGCTTGGACTGCCAAGTACCCAGGCCGATGGCGGGGATCTTGTCGCCGGTGTTGAGAGTGTAGGTCTTTCTGTGCGGGGAAGAAGGTTAGGACAATGTTGAGAGCTCCCTTGAGTGGCTTGGCTTCACTTACTTAGTGTGCTGGTTCGACATTTTGAAAGGAATTGGAGTATTGTATCGGAGAGAATCGACGAGGAAGAGGACAGGGTCTTTATACGTGGCCGGGGATGATTACAACATAAAGTGGGCAGGTCCAAGCAGCAATGATGTCGTGCCCCTCTTTCCCCCCCCAGTGGATCCTGTTTTGTCTGGAGGGCAATGGCACCAAGTAGAGGGGAGTCAGTGTCAACGAACGTTCAGTGGTACGCCCATCCCTACCCGCCCCTCGGTAGATATCGCCTTCATTAATAATTCCGCTGTCTACGGTTGATGTTGGAGACATGCGGTTCCGGCTAAAATGCAGGGCACTCTTTTCCCAGCGTGGTAAGTGGTCCACAATTTCTATTCATCTCCACCTGACATCATCCCAGCCAACAAACACACTTTTGCTCCAATTCCAGAAATTTCGCGGAGTCGCCCCCCCCATCTTTCGGCCTTCCCCACTCGGTGTCTGCGCGCGGATAATTTCGCCCTCCCGATCCCCTTTATACCCGAGTCTTGGGTCCGTCTCGGCAAGACTTCCATTTTCCCGAGTGTCGTCATGTCTTCGGGATTCGTTTCAGCCGGGACCAACGAGCAGCCTGTTGAGCGTGACGATGAGTGGCTACGCGCGCAGAAGGAATTGGACGAGGAGCGGAGGCGCAAGGCGGAGATAGGCAAGCAGACCGACGGGAAGAGTCTGTTCGAGGTGCTGGAGGCGAACAAGAGTGAGCCTCTCTTGTGGATCCGGGGCGCCTACAAGCGCGCAGGGTGCAGGGATCTGTGGCTGACATGTTAGGGTGATTTTCTGGCGTCTAGTGGCCAAACAGGAAGCATTTGAGGAAAAAACGCGTCTCAAGAATCAATTTCGCGCCCTGGACGAAGATGAGGTCGACTTTCTCGACTCCGTCTCGAGTCCACTCGCGCTCAAGAGGCAGCCGTGAAGAAGGAGACGGCGGACCAGCTTGAACTTTTTCGCAAGCAGCGCGAAGAGGCGGAGAAGGCTATGCTTGGTCCGGCCTCCTCGGAGGTGACACGCGCAGAGGAGGAAGAATGGACAATTCTCGCGCGTAAGAGACGGCGTGACAAGGGTAAAGACTTGCTGCTTCCCGGCAAGAAGCGCAAAGCTTCCAGTGCGGAGGGCAGTGTAAAGCCCGATACGTCTAAAGATGAGGAATCGAGTCAAGGGAAAGGACCAGCTCCTGAAAAGACTTCTGCGCAGTCTACAAACACGACTACTTTAGACACAAGTACGACTCCCACGGTGGCTGGAAATGCCACACACAGCTCATCTACAAGCAAGCAACCAGAGGTCAAGGCACCGACTAAACCAGCAGCTGCATCCCTTGGACTGGTCGCGTATGGGTCGGATTCAGACTCAGATTAAATTAATCGAGACCATTAAGTACACCTCTCTGCCTGTTATAGTAAACCACACTCAACCTCCTCTCTCGATTCCCCACCAACTCGGCGCCAAATTCACCCCTTAAGGCTCTCAAATCTGCTCCTCATAATGCACCGTACTCTGCTTAACCTCCTGCTCCTCAACCTTCCTCTCCAAATCATGCGCGATATAATCCTTTGTCTTCGTCCCCGGTACAATCCAAGGAGCATGTGAGAACATGTAATTCATCTCCTCCAACGGCACCTTCTTCGTCTCAGGCAATAGTACCCAAAAAAAGAGTGCATTAGTGAAGTTACAGATGGCAAACAGGTAATAATACCTATATCCGATATTCTTCATCGCAATTGGCGTAACCTGACCGATCATAGTATTGAACGCAAACGAGATCATCGTCGTGATTGAAACACCCTTTGATCGAGTTCGCGTGTCAAAGACTTCAGCAGGGATAATCCAGGATAGCGGGCCGCAGGTTGCTGAGAAGGAGAAATTGTACAGCCAGGTCATTATGATAAAGCCCCAGTGCGCGCCGGTGTTGTTGGTTGTTGGGGGGGAATTTGGCGAGGAGCGCCGTTGCGATGATGAAGGTCACGCAGTTCCCAAGATTACCGGAGATCAGGGTCCAGCGACGGCCGAAGCGGTCGATGAAGAGGATGCAGAGGAATTGGGCGATGAGGGCGATGATGGAATTGATGGCTTGGTAGCGGAGGGTGGCTTCGCCGGAGATGCCGATTTGTTCGTAGATTGTGACAGAGTAGTATCTGCGATGTGTTAGGATGGGCGTCAAGCTTTGTTCAAGGTTGACATTGGGATCGGAACTTACTGAATGGCTGATACACCGGTCATCTGGACGGATGCTTGAAGGGCACAGCAGAGGAACAAGCGACGGAATGACGATCGGCTCTTGAACAGCTCGATATAAGACTTAGCCTCATGTTCGTGCTCGTAGCTGATAGTCTCCTGGATCTGAGCATATTCAGCCTGAACCCAGGGATCATGCTCGTTGCCGTGAGCATGCAACTTCGCCAATGTCCGTAGACCGTCTTCAGAGCGGCCGTGATCGATCAACCAACGTGGAGACTATACAATCAGACTTGGAACACTTCGCCTGCAATTCTGAAAACTCACTTCGGGAAAGACTCCGATCAACAATCCCAGGATCACCGCAGGGATAATCTGAATGCCCAGTGGCAACTGCCATTGAGCGCTGTTGGTCGGGCTGAAGCCAATGTACGTACCGTACCCAATCCAAGAGGCACAGAGCGCGCCCACGCCGAGCATAAATTGCTGGAGAGCAGTGACTCGGCCACGAATTTTGGGGTGGCAGATCTCAGCTTGGTACAGTGGGATAACCATGGTGAGGAAACCAACGCTGCATAGTGTGAGTGATCGAATTGGGTTGAGCGTTTAAAAAGAGCATACCCTAATCCGGCAAAGAAACGTCCACTGTAGAGATAGCCTAGATTTTTGGCACCGGTTTGGAGTCCTCCTCCCAAGCAGAAGAGCAGACAGCCAAGTGAGATGGTCTTTTTTCTGCCGAGATAGTCGCCAGACGGTCCAGCGAATCCTGCGCCGAAGAATGCGCCTGTGGTGAACATGGAGACGACCAGGCCGCTGTTGTTCGGTTAATATGCGTGACTGACGGGCTACTGACTGACTGACCTTTGTGTATCATCTGCCTCGAATTTGTCCTTGAAGGACTGGCATACAATCACCTCCGCAATGACACCCAAATCATCTATTCTCTCGTTAGACTTACATGTCAAGAGAAGCAAGGTGAAGAGAAAAGGTCAAAGCACTACTACATACATCCGTACAGAAATGAACCCACAGAGGCGAAGACGCCGACTAGAAACTATATAAAAAGTCAGTCTCAATGCATCGCAGGGTTCTATGTATACCGAGGTAGCTTACCTGGTACCATGATGGTGAAAGACCCATGGTGGGCAACTTGAGTAGACACTGATTCAGGTATCAGACCCACGATCAACGCGAACCGGGAAAAGAATCTGGGGAATCTCCACAGAAAACACCGCGGGGAGCCATTGTCTTCATATACTCCAGCACGCGTAAGACTTGCGCGAGGAACTTTCACCGCGCCACCGAGATTGTCCCATCGCCTCTGTTCCTCTAAGCTAATCCAAAACTGGCATCGAAGCTAGTATTGGATGACCCTTCCATCCAAATCAATTCTTTGCCAGCATCGCCGGGGAACAAAGTATATCCAAGCGGGGCCGAGGAGTCTCTCCCTGAGGGGCGGCGCGTGCGATGCCGTGATTGACGGAAGATTTCCTCCTTCCTCGGCGTGCCCCAGCTACGACACAACACCAATGACGATTCTCCATAAAGTCAGTCAAATAGGCGTTCCCCCAGTCTATCAATCGCTTAAGCGCTGCCCAAAGGGTGGTAGGCTAGAGTCGGGTTGGCTTGGCGATGCCATGGCATCGGAGTCAGCGTGATCCACCTCGGGGAGACAGGTCCAGACTCGACCCCGCAGGAGATTTTCCGCTTACAGGGTAATGAAAGTGGCATGAGATAAATGGGCTTGAGCTGGATGCCCGTGTCTAGTGGGATTCAGTTGTTTCTGGCTTCTTGAATGTCCAGTGGATTTGATCGTGTCTATAATTCAGCCACGGCATAAAAATCTGGAAAGTTCGAGCTTTGACGTTTTGTTCCTTTCACAATGACTACATTTACCAAGTTGGAGGAGCAGGAGACCCCTGTCATCTCCGTGCACTCAGACCGTCGTATCTCTAAGATCAATCCCAATATCTATGCCGGCTTTACCGAGTGAGTTATCCTCATATTGATCTGGTGACCGTTCCGAACAAGTTGCTGAATAGCTCCTAGGCACATGGGACGATGTATCTATGGAGGTATCTATGATCCTGGGAACCCTCTCTCCGACGAGAATGGGTTCCGTAAGGATGTCCTCGAGGCCTTGAAGGACCTCAACATTCCTGTTGTCCGATATCCCGGCGGGAACTTCTGCGCGACCTACCACTGGCTCGATGGTGTCGGACCTAAGAATCAACGACCTTCGAGGTAAGCTTTTTGTTGTACTTCCATTCACAGACTCTGACAGCAAACTAGGCCTGAATTAGCCTGGCTCGGAACAGAGACCAATCAGTTCGGAACTGATGAGTTCATGCAATGGTGCAAAGTTCTTGGGACTGAGCCATACCTCTGCTTCAACTTTGGTACTGGCACTCTAGACGAAGGTAAGTAATATCCGCTTCAATTCAATTTACTATCACTGACCATCTCCAGCCCTGGCTTGGGTCGAGTACTGCAATGGTACCGGCAACACATACTACGCTAACCTCCGCCGAAACAACGGCCACGAGGAACCCTACAATGTAAGCCACCTAAGCTCACCACCAACAAGCAGCACTGACTTCCGTCAAAGGTCAAATACTGGGCACTTGGTAACGAAACCTGGGGCCCATGGCAAGTCGAACAAATGACCAAAGAAGCCTACGCCCACAAAGCCCTCCAATGGGCCAAAGCCCTTAAACTCCTTGACCCAAGCCTCATCCTCATTCTTTGTGGCCAAGACGGTACCGCATCGTGGGACTATTACACCCTTAAACACTGTCTCCTTCCAGCCCACTCCGCCCTCTCAACCAGCTCTGTCCCCCTCATCGACATGCACAGCATCCATCTCTACACCTGCTCATCCTCTCATCTTCCGAACGCCACAGCTCCATTAGCAGCTGAGCGTGCTATCGAGATCACATCTTCTCTGATTGACCTTGCGCGCATCGAGAACAACGTACCCCCCTCCCAACCCCGTCCGACCATCTGCTTCGACGAGTGGAATGTCTGGGATCCGATTCGCGCCGAAGGATCCAAGGGCGCAGAAGAGAGCTACACCCTCTCTGACGCCCTCGCAGTGGCAGTGTGGTTGAATGTATTCATTCGCAAGAGCCGTGATCTTGGCATGGCGTGTATCGCACAAAGCGTCAATGTAATTTCGCCTCTTATGACGACCAAGGAGGGAATCACCAAGCAGACGACATGGTGGCCATTGTATCTATTCTCGAGGTATATGCGTGGCTGGACGGTTAGTGCGCATGTTTCTTGTGCGACGTATCAGGGGGAGACGGCGCCTGTTTGGTTGAGGGGCGCTATGGAAACGCCGTGGTTGGATGTTAGTGCTAGCGTTGGAGAGGATGGATTTGTGAGTCTGGCGGTTGTGAACATTTCAGATGAGAAGGGGATTGAAGCTGTGGTTGAGGGGGTGAACGGGGTTGTGGAGGTTTTTACTGTTACTGGGGCGGATGTCATGGTTTCGAACATGAAGGGGGCTGAGGAGGTTAGTATTAAGGAGGGGACGTGGGATGGAGCCGGGAAGTATCTCTTCCCGAAGCATTCACTGACATTGTTGAGATGGAAAGAGTAAGTGTTGCCCAGCGCAGATTGAGAATTTAGATAGAGAATGTTAGAGACCCCGAATTTGATGCACGATGTCTTCGGTTGAGAAATTCTGATGATTTAATCATTCAATGTGACCATTCACTTGAGGATATTCCACGACATATTGTATTTATGTTTCTCTCTATCCCACCTTTCCTCGCATAAATCGCATGCTCGAATGTAAAACTGCTGACTCACCGATGGGAGTCAGGGATGGGAAATCTCACTGGTTTAATGGTTTTTCGTCATTTTTCGTCATATTCTAGAGCCCATCTCACAGTCTTCAATGAAAAAGGAAGCTTTATCACCGTGGAAATATTCCAAAACTTTTCCACTGCGTTGAAAGAAAAAGATTAGGCAATATGTGAAATCCCTAGGGCCAAATGCCAAGAAAACAAGAACATTCCATAAGGCAAGTCGGCATCAAGCACTCAAGGACTATTGAGTCGGAAAGCTCGTGTAGTTATCTACTGGGTAGAGGTCAAGGTTTGGTTGACGAGGCTGATAATGGGTTTACGAAACAGTTGAGCATGGCGCCATACTGCCCCCAAAGTATTATGTCAGCCATAGCTAGCAAGAAGAGGAGCAAGTGGCGGCAGTCAACAGCTTTCTGACGTGGGTTCGGTGTGCCATTCCATATACACTTGGGACTGAGTTCATCATAGAGCCATTCAAGCGCTACCCAGAACAAGCTGTCGCTTCTTAGAGAGGGTTCCCCTCGAACAGACATGGGTGGCATTCCCTGGCAGTCAAAGGGATGCAAAACATGCAAAACGCGAAAGATCAAGGTACATGACACCATCTTCCCTGAGCGTCTGGGCCATATAGAAGGTGGCGGTCACTAACCTACACTCTAGTGTGATCTGCAGCAACCAGCGTGTGTACGATGCATCAAGCGTGGTCTTTCATGTCCGGGTACGAGCATGATCGAACATTCATCCACCATGACCATGGAAAAGTGCTGGCGCGATCCAGGGCCAGGAATGCACAGACTCAATCGCATACCGCCAATTCTATCCAATCTGTACTTGTTCCTCAAGCCGTTGATGCACCTCCAACCGATCGCGCGCAACTGTTCTCATCTTTCTTAAGCGCATATTTTCCCCTCTATACTGCAGGCATCGCTGGAGCTGATGTATGGTATCATCTAATTACGGGCTTATCTACCATTCCAAATAAGGGCCCGGTGCTTGATAAGGCACTTTCGTCGCTTACTTGCGTTGGACTGGGACAGATAAACCAAGATCAACGGATGCTCTACCAAGGGACTCGTCTGTACAATGCTACGGTGCGACACATGTCGGACATGATAGAGCGCCGACTACCCAACGAGGAGCTTCTCTTTGCCACGGTCATCTTTCAACGGCTTGAAGTATGTTCTTTTCTATATCCCTTGTGCTGATGTCCACGTGTGCTGATCAGGCAGCCTTTGCTTTCTCCCCATGGCATCGAGCCATGGCTTGCCCATGCTCAGGGGACAAATATGTTCTTACGTGAATGTTATCATAACTCATCGAACAATCCCTTCATAGCATTTGTCCACCAGCATCAGCAGGTATTAGGAGTTGTGAGTCTGGCATATTTTAAGCTAATTTCTTATCATGCACTGATTCTAAGGATCTCTCTATTTGCTAGGCAGATCCCCTATCATCCCCGAATACCTCAGGCGATGGACAACAACCACCCGCACAGTCCAATCGCGATAGACCGATAGGTGGTGTCTTTGAGCTATTCACAGCTTTCAAGCCCATCCTGCGCGGAATAAAGCAATTGGATGCCTCTAACCATGAAGCCTGCCAGACACTTCTCCAAGATTTAGTTTTGCACAAGGACAAAACGATCGCATGGTTCGCGGGGGTAGTGTCATCTCTCGGCGCTGAGCCAACTCGTATCTCAAACTATCTATCGACTTGCGCAAAGCTACCTTTAACCGATGAGGTATTTGGCCCTGCCTATTATTTTCCCTCACTTGGAAGTGCGAGGCTGCATGTCGTGTACTGGACGGCTTTGGCTCTCGTCTATACCATGATGTGTCAAGTCAAGGTGCGTGCTAAGGCACACAGTCAAAGCTCAGGCTCCATGGATTTGACCACCGATGAGGACACTATGCTTTCTTGGGTTTATGCCGACGAGGTATGTCGGGGCATTCCGCATTGTTTGACAGATACGGAAAATATATGGGGTGCACAACATGCCATGTTCCCTTTGGCCCAAGTCGCCAATATTTACAGCATCCTCAGATGGCGAGAGAAATTCATGTGGTGTCAGCAAGCACTCAGTGCAATCGAGTCTCTCGGATTTGGCCTCGCGGTGCCTTTGAGAGAAGCTGCTTTGAAGCATTGGGCTCTCTTGGAAACCGCAAATGCGACGCCTTCTTCCACCTGTCTGTTTGAGCGCTAGATGCATACAACATCGATAACATGAATACATGGATTGGAACTCTGGCGCTTCTATTTTCTTTTTTGCTATGGCAGCCTAAAAGGGTGCCACTGCTAGTACATGCGGTGACAACTTTTGATTCATGGAATTAGACATCAGATCAATCAGATCAATGACCTGTGATTCAGATCCCCGCTTCCTTTACATTACGAATGAGAAATTTCCAGATGATCAAAAGTTAATCAAAGTCGTCAATTAGAATCATTGGTACATTAATCAATCACATAAATCATGAACTGGGTCTCGTCTAGCAACGTTATCTAATCTGAGTGGAAACACTCTCGGCTCTTTATCTAGCCGTGGGTGACATCCTGAACGGTACCATCGTGGCCAACATGGATGTTGAGTCTATTCATAACAGTCAGCACTTTTTTCCTGTCATCAGATCTGTTTCCATTCTGACCTATCGGGGTTGTGGTCCATGGTCTTCATGTCATCGGGCTTCAGCACACGGTGATTTTGCGGAAGATCCTTCTTCGCGAAAGACTATAGTCCAGTATGTAAGCCATACACGCATCACCAGCTTAATAGAATCATGTTAATTTTTGCTCTGCAAGTCACATACCATCTCATCACTCCCCGAGTCACTGATCTTCTTTCCCATCAACTTGTTGACCCATTCGGACTTGTCCCCCATAGAGGAGTTGATACCAGGTACGACCATAGGCATGATGGATATAAGATGGAGGATTCTTGACTTATTAAAGTTTAGGAGCTTGACACAAGGCAAAGTGAATTGAGGGGCAATTCCAGGTGTGTAGACATCTATATATGCGACGTTGACCCGATGACGTAGGTGCGATAAGTCTGCTTAGTCACTTTGCTAGATCGGGGAATGGGCTGTGCTGTTCCTGCTGTGGCCAGTCAAGATCCTCTATTTAGATGGCGTGGATCCGAAGGTGATCATGGAGAAATTACCCTTGGATTCCTGGATGGTGACGTTGGAGTAGTCTGGTCCTTGCTGAGATGACGACTTTGCAGGACATTTTCTAGAATCACCACTGCATAGTTGGAAACTGTAAAATGACTCCTCAAGATATGCTGCATTATGTTTGGGGGTGAGTGACATTTATGTAAACATTATAATCTTGCAAAGGAGTCAGTTGTCTTGATGCGGAAGGAAGTCACGCTGTAACCCAACCCTTGTGAACTCGCCATGGAAACCGATCGGGCGACTGCCATGTCTATAGTAGCATTGGCTTTTTTTTTCTCTGGTGCAAGTTTTTTACTCTTCTGTGCTTTGTGAAAATACGTGACCCAGGGAACTTCGTTGAAAGAGTCCATCTTATCCTCGGAATCTCTATACCAATGACACCTTTCAAGAAGAGCCGCCTGGTCCAGCTATTATGGTCTGAAATGACCAGACGCCGGGTGTGTACACCTAGACAAGTTTTCAGCGATATTGTGTCTCGACAGCAGAGATCTACTATCGAGATTCATCACTCACCTCCGTCTGCTACCCGACCAAATGGCGCAGAACAAATCAGGCCTCAAGTCAAGGACACACGACCAGAGCAGACACCATCAGATGAGTCCTTTGAATCAAGAGACACGAGCCTCCGGGCTGAATTTCGAAGAGGAAACAATGATTTCGAGCACCGTTTCTGGAACGAAACAACCAAAGATGCCGAATCACCAGTGCTCGCGGACCCCAACATCATCGTGAAGCCCAACAAGAGCCTCATCGATGCCACTCACCCATCCATCGCAGCAGCAACAATAATCGGCGTGATCGTCTTCGGAGCGATCTGCTTCCTTCTGTTCTGGTATATCCGGCGAGAGCGTCGCCGACGCCGTCTTTCGGAAATTCAATCCCCAAGCTCAGATCTCTTCAACCCATCCTCTCTCACCCTGGGCCCAGAAACAAGCAAGACTCTAGACGATTTTCTCATGCGCGACGTACCACCAGAGCGAACATCTCTCATGTTCAGTCGCACTCGTTCACCATCCGTGACATATCTCATCGACGAGGCAAACCGCCACAGCAATCGCAACAGCTACGATGAATCGAGCACCTTGACTAAACTGGAAACCCTAGATTCCCTCACTAGAGTCTCAGCAGATGGTGTTCGACCTATTTTCATGCTTCCAGATCTCTCCTCTTCTCTACCGGGTCCGTCACTACAAACTACCTCAGCCCAGCATACATCGATCACCTCTCCGCGCGCATCATTGGCAGGAACACTCCCGCCTTCTCCACGATCCTCCCAACTCTGGACAACCACCACAGCCGCAACAACTGCATCTACAAGTATCAAAAGAAGCTCCCTTTTAGCCCAACAGTCATCTGTCTCTCAAGCTTCACAGCCCATGCACAAGTCGCAAGCCTTGCCAAGCCCAGTCACTTCACTGATGCAGCCTCGCTCCTCGAATTCGAACACTTCGAGGACTTCGAGACGATATTCCGGCGGTGATATAGTTCGAAGCTCCCCTCGTGGAATCTACGATTCTCGAGGCGCGCGACCTGTGAGAACGCGAAGTTCGCAGAGTGTCTCACCCAATGTTTCGCCTCATGCCGAGTCGAATAGTTCGGGGCATTTGCCTTCTATTCCGTCGACTCCGTCGCCGTTGTTTCGATTCTCCGACGCTTGAGATTCCATCGAGCGTGGATGTTTCAGGTGAACCCTGAACCCATTTTGGCATTTTGGCGTTTGGGTAATGGTTACTCTCCTCTATGGTGGTTTGGCAAGATACTCTTTATGGTTGAGATGGAATTCCCCCTTTATACCGGTAACATGAATAAGGACCTCGATACTCAGTAGTCAGGAATTCAAATTCAAGTTCAAAAACAAGTTCAAGTTTCGTTTCTAATCCATAAATCGCTAAGCTAGCTAGACATTTAGAAAATGTGAGAATAAAAAAAAGTAACCTCGAAATGAAAATGCACCCCGCGCCGTTCCAAGCCGGGATACGCAAACCGCAGCAAAATGAAGAAAAACAACAAACAGCGTACCCCCAACGCAGCCCCACGTCCATCATGAGAATGTACAATCAAGTACGAAAGAGGATATCCTGAAACAGATCTATACGAGTCAAATTCAGAAATCAGAATCAGAGTGCCGACTTGGCTTCTTGCACACTTCGTAAACACCGCTCCAGGCGTTTACCGCGCTCTTTCTCCCTAACAAGAGTCTGCTTCACAAAGGCACGGATGGCATCCCGACCAACTTTCTCGCGCCAGGTAGTCCAGCCTGCTAATTCGCCGACGACGACGTCCTTGTTCCAAGTGATCTCGCGTGCGAGGCGGGAGGCTTGGGCTTCGCCGTCTCGGATTTTCTGCTGAAGGTCGCGGACAGATTTCTGGCGTGATTCTTCGAAGCCAGGGAGGTTGAGGTTGAATTTGCGAGGGAGAGAAGAGGAGAGGAGGGATGAGCGGTTGCGGGAGATTGTGCGCGTTGTAGATTGGAGAGATGAGATGAGGGCGCTAGGGCGAGAGAGCGATCTGAGAATTGCGGCAGTGGTGTTGTCGATTGAGGTTAAGGCGGCGATGTATTGGAGGAGGGGAGATGAGTCGGAGCTTGAAGTTGAGAGGTACGTGCCGTAGCGCGTGAAAGCATCTATGTAGACTGACGGGAGAGCGTTGGTTGGTGCTTGGAATGTGGAGAGAATGGATGAGCAAAGAGAGACGGCGTCTGCTAGGTCCGAGGCGCTGTTTTGGAGGGCGTGGCCGCGGCGAATGAGACTTCGAGTGTTGGCGTGAACACCACGAACCATTTCTTGTGCGTGTGAGATGAACTGTTCGGTGTCACGCATGCCCTCTTGACTGACGGGTGAAAATTCGTCGGCGATCGTTTCCGTTAAAGCTGCTGCTTTGTGGCGGGATCGGTCGGCCATCATTTCGGGTTGCAGTTCAGGGACGAGGAAGAACTCCCAAAGCATCTCGTGCGTGGAGAACGTCGGATGGGCAAGCAGTGTCTTGAGGAACCGATCAAGCTTCTCCTGAAGATCATGGAGAACGGACCGCGAGGGCTTGGAGTGAATTTGGAAGGGATTGCGGAAGTCAGAGAGTGATGGAACATACGATGCAGGATGCTCCACTGCAAGCCACTTGGCTAAGTTCTCAAAGTCGGCGAAGCTGCGCCGGCACGTCGTGACAGTATAGGTCGTCGAGCCTGGCCGTGACGTTGCCATTGACTCCGACGGCGGATACGGTGCGCCGGACTTTAGAATGAATCTAACTGTTGCATCCTCGACAAAGAATGATCGAACCACTGTAGTGACACGACCCGAAGGATCGCCACAGGATGATGGCGGGTGCGACAGCAGAATCAAATCGTCAATTCGGTTCCGAACTTCATCATCCTTCGCAAGCTCAACTGCTGTCAGTCCCCGAGCCTCTTTGACATGGACATCTACCCGCGGATCCATGAACAGAATGCGGACTTGGTTGACTCGCCCATATTTGCTAGCCATCATCAAGGGCGTGAATCTCTTATCGTTGGTCGCGTTTGGATCGCAGTCACTCTCCTGCAAGATCCGTGTTGTGATTTCGGGGTCACCAACGATATGCAGCAATGTATTGCCCTTCCCATCGACATGATCATCAAGTTGTAGTGCTTTCCCATTACCCTGGGCTCTCTGAGCTGCTGTCAAGGCGGTTTTTACCATGGCCTTGTACTCGGGGTGATCGTATGAGCGACATAGAGCAAACAATGGGGTCTGACCATGTTTGTCTCGCTGGCGCCATGGTAGAAGGCCACCCAATCGAGCCAATAGGCCAGGTGTGCTGAACAGATAGTGAGCAACAGTTCGACCATGCACATCTGATTTGGTCATATACTTGGCGACCACAGCCTCGTCTGTTTTGCTAAACAGGAAGTCAAGCAGTATGCCGACAACCTCAGTATGTGCGAGCTGCACAGCTGCATTCAGCAACGTTGTGCCATCTGCATTGGTATCTTCCAGGATATCTTCCAGGGGATAGTATTCCTCTAGACTCAGCAGATACTTCAAAGCTTCGGTCTGGCCACTCTCTACTGCCATCATGGGAATAGAGTCTCCTGTCGGATCCTGTGTCTTGGTAAGGGTCTCTATGGAACTGTCACCCTCGATATTGCTGGTCATGGATCCAATTGTATTTGTTCTGGAAAGGAACGAGACAGCCGACGATTCTGACAAGCTGCGAACATCCATCGAGACCTTCTTGACAGGGCGTATTGTGTCTTTGAGAGCAGGATTTCCGTCCCAGGTCTGGAAAGGAAACACATGGGCTAATGGTGGCGGTTGAAAAAGTGCAGCCTCGGTCAATGGATCGCCGTTGGTGAGCACCGAGCTGCTATACATAGAAGATGTCTCGAAGGGAGATTCGTCCGGCTCTTCGTCCTCTTGGAAGAAAACGGACTTGCGCTCGGGCTCAAGAGGAGCAGTCTCATCGATGGATACATGGTTCCCATTTGGTTCCAAGATACTTTTCATGTCAGAGATTCTGCCAGCCTTTGTCGCTTGCCAGAGACGACGGTTTCGAGCGCTCGCGACACGAAGACCCGCCGAGTCGGTCACAAGGTACATCAGAACTGCTTCTAACGTACTCAGGGCATAGCCCATTTCACCGCTTTCTACATCATCTATGTAGATGAAATGTTGCATATACAGCAAGCGGGCTTGGAGATGTCGAATTTGCGATCGTATGACAACCACTAAGAGCAACGACACCAAGACATCGGCATTGATTGTGACAGAGGATCTTCCTTTCTCAGAAGAAAAACCATCCAGAGTGTCATAGCTGCCCGGGAAAGATACCACTTTGACGGTTTCCAAGAGGATATTCAGCATCTCATGAGGGCCTCTTGCATCGCCCATTTTTCGAAACTGATCAACTCCTCGTCCGATGCGACGGGTAAGCTCTCTTTTGCCTTCACGTCCGCCTTCAACTGTGATTCCGACTTGTATCACATCAAGACTTTCCATGTGTCGGATCCTAGAGTCCAGCTCTGAATCTTCTGGCTGGCGGAAAGCACAGAGTCGCGGGAATAGAAGTGGTTCATGGACTTGCTCGGCAACGTAACGTTCGATGAGCCGCTCGACCAAAGGGCCTGTGAGGTCCGTAGTGGCGCCTAGTAAAGACAATTGTTGCTTATCAACTAGCCGGAAAAGATCAATTGCTGCAGTCACTGCTGTCTCCAGACTCCGCCGCATCAAATCTTCATCATCCTCGAAATACTCTTCAGAATTGAATGGCAGTCGACCTCTGTTGCGAGAGGACCAACTGCGTATTGATGAAGTGTCATCTGCAAGCGTCTGCGCGCGAGAAAGTTTCATCTCGCTTTCGCTGCCAGAAGCAGAGGGCGATCGAGAGGGAGGAGGCGGAAGCGGTTTTCCAAGCTCCTTGCCAAATTCACGGAATAGTCGCTCAAGCCCGGGCTGCATCTGCCGTGCAATCATTGGAAAATTGGCGAGCAGTTCTCCAAACAATTTTATCTCTTGCTTCGGTGGAGGCACCGACTCCCCAGTCGCACCCTTCCTATCCGAGATAGATGATTCTGCCCTTTTTTTATTCGACGTGGGCAGCATTGGTATCGAACCCGGAACCGTAGCTGGGATTATTCTGGCGGGGTCGTAAGAGCCGATCAATGGCCGCGAAATGTAGTATATGAGCCATGGCCGAGAATCGCTGGAAGAGGACGATGTGTAGTAAAGCGCGTCAGATAAGAGCTGAGCTTGAGTAAGGGATTTAAAGCCTGAAAAGTTCTGGGTCAATGAATAGTTACTCTGGAGGTTCTTGGGTTTCCCACCTTTGTTACTGTAAATAGAGTTCTCCTTGATTATCACCGTCCTTCCATTGAAAGTCGTCACCTGCTTCGCCTTCCCCCGATTATCGCGCACATTGGAGTCCTCCTTTCCAATCGTCGAACCCGGGTTGATGGGAATCCGCAGTACATGGCTTCCTAGAAACTCCTCCGACGCGATGAGATCCGAATATAACAGGCCAGATTCCCGGTCGCGCGAGCCGACTAGGCATTCCGTCGTGGGAACAAGCAAGACCTGTCATGTTAGCTACTCCGGCCGATCCGAGGGGATACATGAGCTAGACTCACATGGTTCTCCACGGGTATACACTGCCCGGGAACAGTGCTTCGGAAGAAGGCACGAAGGAAAGGGTTTAGAGGGTGCATCCAAACGGTTTTGGACGGCCCAGCAGAGTAATTCCAGCAATCATCAAGCCGTCAAATCTGCAAGAACGCGGGGATTTTGTGCGTTGTCCACTATTTCGCGGGGAAGAGCTCCGGCGCATTCAGCTGCAGGCAGCAGGTTCCAAGGAATGGCCTGAGTTGTCACCGGAGGAACGTTCACAAGACCGAGAAGGAAGACTGGAGGTCAATCGAAGGTAACGAGGTCAAAAGATCTCAGAATTACAGAGTAGATTTACCAACGCGAAAGATGAGCAGGGAGATCGAGAACGTGATCGCTGCGGGAGCTGAGGCGCGCTAGCCGAGTTGGGTAATCAGCGTTTCTCGTCTATCAGAACAGAATAAGTATAGCGAAGTATTGGAGCATAATGAATATTTTAGAACAGACTGTTATTGTACATATGACAAGCGACGATAGGTGTATCTGCCTATTTGAAAACCCCAGGTCTTCAATATCGACCCAGTGATGGCGCTCTACAGAAGGAGAGCCAACAAAATCTCGAATCTGCGTACAGGACAGATATAGAATACAAAATGGACAATCAACCAAGTCTGCGCACCTTCCGGCTACGAGTACCACCAAACTTCACGCGAGTCGAGTCAGTCACTCGATTGACAAGGCCCCGTATGTTACGTCCCTCGTTGCCCAAAAGCACCTTGATGAAGGCATCACGGCCTTTTCCGAAGCCACGGAAGATCACCTCCAACCGCTTGATCTCCATCAGATATCCTCGTTCTTGAATCTGGGACATAACGTGGGAAGACAATTGATACGCAGGGTCAAATCCAGCTCGGCCGCCTTTGCGGAAGCCGATCTGACCAGTGCCCAAGGACATGAGAGGGTTTCCGTTCGGTCTTGTCAAGGTAAGGATTGTGTTATGCTTGTGACAGTAGACGTGGAGGTGGTGGGGAGGAGCGCGGTCGGCATAGGGGTTTCGCATCATGTCGGCTTCCAGGCTCTCGGCCAATCTGCTGTAGTCGGATTTGACACGCGGTGAGGAGGAGGATTGGTCTCCCTGCATCATCTTGGTAATAGCAGAGAGTGGTGATGAGTCTTCTGAGTTCGCCGGCTTCCGGTCCAGGATCCCTTTCTCAATTTTCCGAGCCTCCTCCGTGCTGCTAGAGGTCTTTGGAGACGAAGAGAAGGAACGGGCGGGGCGCATAGAAGCTGATCGAGGTATGAATTGCCGGCATACCGACGGGAGGCTCTTTGCGAGCGCATTCATGGAGAAAGAATTCATCGCGGCAACGGATTGCCTATGTGCTGGCTATGGGGTCCACGCAGGTATCGAAAGAAACAAACCCGGCCGAAGCGAGCCACGGAGTAGCAGTTGAAATCAAAGAGTGCAAGTAAAATAATTGAACAACAGGACAATGCAAGCCGGGCTCTGCGCAACAGCCGTGGTCGGACCGAGAGAGGCGGAAAGGGAAACACTGGAAGTTTTTCGAAGTCTTGGCATCTCTCGAACTTTTCCTTTACTCACCTCCCCGGCTTATTTTCGATTCCTCACCATACCCCAAAACATCCGGGCTGGGCTGGACTTTTAATCTCACATTCTCTTTCCTTTTATACTCCTCCCCTCCCAGAGCATGATTTCGACCAAGATGTCTGGCGCCGCGCGTGCGGCGACCCTCCGGTCCCATGCTCCGATCCTCCGCTCAGCTTCGCAAACATCCCGAGCGATGTCATACTCAGCTCTGCAGGCTCAGACATTGAAGCTCACGGTACAGAACCAGAAGGGCCGTCTTCCTGTCTCCCAGCTTGTTTCCCCGTTCACCGTCCTCCCCTTGACCAGATCTTTCCACGCCGCCACCCCTCTCTTCCAACAACAGCAGACAAAGCAGGAAGGAAAGGAGGAGAAGAAGGGCGAAGAGCACAAGGAAGAGTCCAGGGAAGAGTCCAGGGAAGAGTCCAGGGAAGAGTCCAAAGAGGAAGGTAATGAGGAGAAGAAGAAGGACGAGGCTCCTCCGCCGCCTCACGGCGACAAGTCTCCTTGGCAGGTGTTCCGCGACACTCTCCAATCCGAGTTCAAAGCGTCCAAAGAATGGAATGAGTCTACAAAGGCACTCGCTTCCTCTGCACACCAGTTCACTGAGAACGAGAACATCAAGCGAGCCCGTGCCGCCTATGAGGCTGCTACGAGCGCTACCACCAGCCGCACAGGTGCCGCTCTCAAGTCCACTGGTCAGGTCATTGGAAAGAGTGCCGCCTGGACTTGGAACACTTCTGTTGTGAAGGGCGTTCGCAAGGGTGTTAGCGCCACCGGTGAAGGACTCGAGAAGGCCACGCGGCCTGTCCGTCAGACAGAGGCTTACAAGAGCGTGAAGGAAGCCATTGACGATGGTAGCAGCTCTCGCTACGGTGGTTGGATTGAGAAGGAGGAGCGTCGCCGCCAGCGTCAGCTCCGCGAGGCGGCAGAGCTCAAGTCTGGAAAGCGCAAGGCTGAGCAGATGGTGGAGGACCCCAAGTAGGTTTCAATCTCGAGGGTCATTTAGTGACAAGATTCGCTAACCTGTCAATAGTGCCGGCACCCACGTTACCCTCCATAAGGACGCCGCTTGGAAGGAGTCATGGCGCAACTTCAAGGACTCCAACCCGATGATGCAGAAACTCTTTGGCTTCCGCGAAGTTTACGAGGAGTCCGAGAACCCTTTCATTAGCACCGCTCGCAGCATTTCCGACCGTATCACTGGCTTCTTCGCGGAGACCGAGACCGCGACTGTCATCAAGAAGTTCCGTGAGGTTGATCCCAACTTCCAAATGGAGGAGTTCCTCCGTGAGCTCCGTGAATATATGCTTCCCGAGGTCCTGGACGCCTACGTCAAGGGTGACATCGAGACTCTCAAGCTCTGGCTCTCCGATGCTCAGTTCTCCGTCTATGCTGCTCTCGCCAAGCAATACACCACCGCCGGTCTGGTCTCGGATGGCCGCATCCTGGACATCCGTGGCGTTGACGTTATGAGTGCCCGCCTTTTGGACCCTGGTGAAATTCCCGTCTTCGTCGTTACTTGTCGCGCTCAGGAAGTGCATGTTTACAAGAACGCCAAGACTGGCAAGCTCGCCGCTGGTATGGAGGACAAGGTCCAGCTTGTCACCTACGCTATCGGTATGACCCGTATCCCCGAGGAGGTCAACAATCCCGAGACCCGGGGCTGGAGATTGATCGAGCTGCAGAAGGCTGCTCGTGACTACATTTAAGTGGACAAGTGTGCACTTGCTCCTCTCAACTCATATCTTTGCTTCCTCTCATCCCTCCCCCTCTCCCCCTCGACTGTACCATATGACTGTTTTATATCAAGCCAGGCGGAACTGGCGCCTGTTCACGGTTGTGTCTGTCCTCGTGACCCTTTCGACCTTGGTCAGTATGGGTGACTTTTTTCATGTATTAATGTTCACTTCCTCCTTTCTACCTTGTCTTTTTGCCTTTATTTTTGCGGGTTGGCTCAACAAAAACGCCCCATTATCTCTATAGACTCAGACTGGCTGCGCGTTGGATTTGAACTGGTCTGATGGCATCTGATCTTGAGGTGTTTTGCGGCGTCCTGTGCTTTGCATTTTCACTCTCCCCTCGACACTTTCTGATCTGCATGTGGGCCTTGGGCCATTCGGTTTCGGTAGTATCCTTGCTCAATAGATATGCCGATGAGTTGAGGTATCGACCTTGGAGTTGCATGAGGTCGTGTATATATAGCAATGGAGAATGTATCCGGTGATTGGCATATCTGGACTCGTTACGATCCGCTTCATGTGGTAAAATGAAAGATTAACATAGGACAAGTAATGTCTAGAGAACGCTATTGAAAGTAGAGTAGCATCGATCGTTTCTTCTTTTTCCAATGTCATCCATCAGTCATTTGAATCATTTACTGGCTGCCACGTCCGGCACCGCCACCACCCATCATGTTGCGAGCCCTGCAATTCAATTAGTATCTAATTCTAACAGTGTACTTGTCGAATCAAAACTTACATCTCCGCAATGCTAGGATCACTCATGAGGCTGGACATATCGGGCATGCCGCCACCACCTTGGCCAAAGCTCTCGGCCATCTGGCGCATGCGAGGGTTACTCATGATGTTGTTGAGCATATCGGGGTTGCTCATGAGGTTCTGAGCCATGCTAGCGAACATGGGGTTGCTCATCATGGAGCTCAGGTCGGGCATGCCACCGCCACCACCACCCATACCGCCCATCAAACCAGCAAGCGAGGAGAGATCCGGCATGCCGCCGGCGCCACGGGATGCGCCAGGAGCAGAGTCCAACTCTTCAGAAGGAGGCTCGGTAGCACGGCCAGCCTCCTCGATCTTTCGTGTAGCAGTCTCCAGACCACGGCGCAAAGCGTCGCTGCCACCGTTGCCTTCAGCTTCAATACCCTTCTCGTAAGCTTCCTTGGCGGCGCGGTAGTCACCCAGCTCAAAGCGGGCGAGACCCAGACGACTCCAGGCTTTGGAGTACTTAGGGTCAGCAGAGACGGCCATCTCGGCATCCTCAGCGGCCTTGTCAGCCTTTCCGGAGGCAGAGTAAGCGGCGGCGCGGTTGGAAAGGTAGATAGGGTTTGCGGGGGCGATCTCCAAAGCTTGGGTGTACTTCTCAATGGCGGCGGGGTAATCCTTCTTGGCCATGAGAGCATTGCCCTCAGACTTCAACTTATCGGACTCGGGGGTAGGCGCGCCAACCTTGGGCTGTTGGGGCTGCGAAGCTCCAGCATCGGCTTGGGGCGAAGACTTGCTGCGCAACTTCTCGTAAACGCTGTAGATACCGGCGAGGGACTGTCCTCCAAGAGCATCCTTCACAGCGCCCTCATCGGTAGGGTCAACCTTGAAGGTATCGGCGATACATGACTGGGCGATTTCAATCGACTCGGCATCATCGGCGGTGAGAGTACCGTCCTTCAGGCTGCCGCCGAGGAAGTCGATGATGGCCAAAGCCAGACGCTTGTTGCTTTCGTTCGGGGCCTAGACATCGCGCGATTAGCACCGTGAATCTGTCATTTCCACCGGAAGAGGAATTACCATGATCTCAAATCAAAAAAATAACGAATGATTGATGAACAAGAATCACTTTCAGGGGAGAAAAAAGAAGAGAATGCGGGGGGAGGAAAGCTTGCCGCACGTGATACCGCTTATCGCGTTCGTTGGCTGTGTTTAGCTCATGTCCTCCTTGCACTGAACAATTTGCGGGTGGAAGCTTCCGTTTTTGTCATTTCCTTGGAGCGAGATGGGCTTGAATGAGCTCCACTGTTAATACAAATTCCCCGTTTCGCCAGCCGAGCCATGTACTGGCCTAATGGGGTCCCCCGGGTCTACGCGGTCAATGGCCCAGACATCGCCCATGTCTCCTCAGATGGACGTCTCAAGGATACCAGCCTGAACGCGGAATGCAGAAGCTCGATAGATAACAGAGACGATACTGAGGACACGCAATCTTCAAATTTTGAGCGCAATGAACTCAAGCCGTCGGTCAACTCGGAGACCCCCAGATGGGAGCAAGAACCGGTCAATGGAATCTGCGTCTCTCGCTCAGGACATATGTTTGCGACAATAACGGAGTCTTCTATATCACTATGGCAAACAAGGGTATGTTCAGGGATTTGATCTTGACCTTGGGAACGTAATTGATGAGCTTCGATATTAATGGTTGTCACAGCCAACTGCCGTCGTGGCCGCGATAGTTCGGTCCTTGTACTCGCTGAAGACATACGGCTCAAATTCAGCACTTCTAATGCACCCAGACTCGACAATATTGGTTGTACAAACATCCGGGGGGCTATCTCCTGACTTACTCGGTAGCGTCCGACCCAGCAACACATGTCTACCAGCAACGTTTCGATCACTCTACACATCCGCGCCGCCAACAATTAGCACATTTTGCCGCCGTCGAAGAGTCAAATGTTGTCGGCGATATAAGTATCAGGTTCCGAATGGCAATCAAGATCGAGTCAGGGATTGTCAAGGCGCTGGCCTTGGATCGGGAGCTTGTCGTTGCTACTATGAAGCCGCCTGCTATCCAGTGTATTCGTTGGGCCCCGGATTCCAGTGGAACGCAAACTACTTCGGAACTACTGAGTCGCATTCTGGATATACCAAGAAAGGTTGCGGTGGCGGATATGGTCTATGACCGTGCTATGAACCTTCTCATTTGGCTCACGAGTCATGGTCAGGCTTATGCTGTGCAACGAGCTCACGATGTTCAAGAGGATCTGGATGCACCTAAGAAACTGTTCCACGGGCATTGCTTTCACAACCCCAAGGAGGATGGCGAAAGGGCCGTGAAGGTGGCCGTCAATGCTCGATTCTCCTTGTTAACTGTGTTCTGTGCAAATGGCGAGATCTGGGTGTACACTGCCAAAGACTATATGGGAAATGTGCCGCTATCCCAGAAGCTGCAGCTCCCAGCTTCCCCCACTACTACCGGGGCCTTGACTTTCATGAGCTATTCACCAGACGGATATTGTCTTTTCGCAGGCTATGAGAATGGCTGGACAACATGGAGTGTCTTTGGAAAACCCGGTGGTAACAGCTTCACAGTTGATCCTACTTTGGCAGAGTCAAATGGTGAAGATTGGCTGACAGGCGTTTCGAGCGGCTGCTGGATCGGCGGTGGATCCGACATTATTCTGTCACGACAGAACGACCGACGACTCTGGATTTTGGAAACTGCTCGCAGTGCACTGACCGGCTGCTTCTCTGCGGCTAATCTCGCCCAAGGATTGCTTCAGACCGGTACCGAGTTTATCCTCTACCGCGGGCATGATCTTCCAGAGCTCATGACCATCTCTGGCAAGGACTCGCTGTGGCATCATGCGCAATACCCCCCGGCATACCTTCATTCCCAATGGCCGATCAGATCGTGCGTTGTGTCCCAGGATGGAAGGTATGTGGCAATCGCTGGCAGGCGTGGACTGGCACACTATAGTGTGAACAGTGGTCGATGGAAGGTGTTCGAAGACTCCAAAGTCGAGAACTCTTTTGCGGTTCGAGGTGGAATGTGCTGGTACGGACATATTTTAATTGCTGCCGTCGAAAGTGATGGATCTTATGAGGTATATTATTATCTGGGCCATCTTTCTTCACCTAACTGACCTTTCACTAGGTGCGTCTCTACTCGCGCGAGGCAGCCTTGAACAACAACTCGATCATGTTCATCGAGTATCTTCCAGCACCTGTGGTGTTCATTGGGCCCTCTGGGGAGGATTCTCTCCTGGTTTATACATACGACAACATCCTATATCACTACGTGATCAATTCTACACAGCCTCAAATCACTCTCGTGCCTGTTGGTCAAATTGCCTTCAATGGCATTGTCCGGGCACCGACTCGAGTAAGGGCGATCAGTTGGGTTCTGCCCGAGGAACAAATGCGTATGTTGTTTCTCCCTCGCACAGTGATTAAGCAGACGATTCTAATAATAATCAATCAGGCAACGGTGACCCGTCTCAAGATGTCAAGGTCGCATCTGTGCTTCTCCTTGTTGATGGAAACCTCGTTCTGCTACAGCCAACAGTGTCGGACGCGGGCGATCTCAAATATGATATGCGTGTTATTTCACAAGACGTGGAATACTATATCTTGATGCGTGATCAAGGTTCCTTCAACTTTTCTCCGTCAGTCGACGAATCTCTTCCAGCAAGCCCATCTGCAGAGATGACGCTTGGTCCGTCTCATAGCAGTCTTTCCCTTCGAGACTCTTTGTGGACGTTTCGGGGCAAGGACTTACTGGCATGGAACGACGTCCAAGATGTTTTGCAACAAGAAACGGTGCCGGCACCGCTCAACATCCCCTGAGACTTCTACCCCCTTTCCGTGCTTCTAAACAAGGGCATCGTTCTGGGCGTGGAATCCGAAATGACACAACGACGAGATGTAACATTTACCAGTCTCAAGTTTGCTATCAGAGTACGTCGCCCATCTTTTCTCCTGCTATTCCTCTACTGACATTCTCCAGACACATCTCTTCCTCCCGTACTTCCTCCAATACAGCCTCACAAACCTCGGCACTCCGGCTGCCTTATCTCTCTGCCGTCATTTCTCCCACCTCTCTTACTTCGCCCATGGCCTTGAAATCCTCCTACATCACGTCCTCGATGAAGAAGTCGACAACCCAACCCGCGCCAATACATCCACCGACCCAAACGTCCATGAAGGTCCTCTTCTTCCAACAGTCATCTCTTTCCTTCAAGCAACCCTCCCAACCCGCGAATATCTCGACATCGTCGTTCAATGCACTCGCAAAACCGAGCTCCGCTTCTGGCGCACCCTGTTCACCTACCTCCCGCCGCCAAAAGACCTCTTCGAACAAGCCCTCCGCCTCGACGCCCTCAAAACAGCAGTTGGATACCTCCTCGTCCTCCAGGCTTTCGAAGACGAGGAACAGGGCCACGACGGCCGAATTGAGGAATACGTCGTTAGACTGATAGGTCTTGCGTCGCAAAAGAGTGATTGGGAACTCTGTGCCGAGCTGGCTAGGTTCTTAATTGCCCTTGATGCATCGGGTGAGATGCTTCAGAGAGCCATTGGGCGTGTGGGGTTGCGCCATCGTCCAAGTATGAATAGTGCTGGCTCAGGGTTGCCGTCTAGGACTGGCTCGGCAGCTAGTGTCAAGGGACTTGGCCTAAGTTTGCCTGTAAGGACGCCTTCTTGGTCATCTTTGTCGCCTACAGGGTCTGTTTCGAGACAAAGTCTGCGTGATGGGGAAGTTTCGGATGATTATCCCCGTTCTGTGGACAGTCGAGATGGGTAATATGGTGTTTCGAAGCTGTGCATATCTAAGCTTCATGTATATAAATCGAATTTAGTGAATTAATTTTCGAATATGGAGAGTTTCGAGGAAGTGAACTTCCCATTTCAGATCACTATCTCAAACTGAATCATTACAAGCACGGATCTCACGTATTCCACTCCCCTCAGTTCATACCTCGGAAGTACGGATTACTCCAACAAGCCTGATTAGAGACAAAAAATACCCCATGAAGAGCCCAATCCAGGTCATTTTGTCATTTCATTTTCTCATCGTAAGTCCCATAACACATCCTAGATGGTGGGGAGGTAAATATCATGTCCCGGGAACCCAACTTGGTATCTTAATATTTGCACCATATCAAATCTAATCCAACTGCATCCTCCAAAGACCATCACCCAAGAAATGTCCCTCATCCATAACGACGCCCTTGCCCTTGCTCTTCATCTCCTCGGTACCCTGCTTAAGCATACCAACAAGACAGACCTCCTCCTTGCCCTCCGCCTTGACAGCAACGATACTCCCCGCCTCAAGCGCATGCTCTGCGTCCGGTAGGCGACCTCCCGGGGACGTCAGGCCAGGAGCCATGAGGGCAGCGCCGGAGAGGACGAAGCGGATGGCGCCGCGGTCGATCTGGATGGTTGGGAGGGCGGAGGGAAAGGCGTGCACAAGTTTGAGATGCGGGATGGGCGGGCCGTCGAAGGGTTGGAAGAAGAGTGGTGTTGAGTCTATTGTGTACAGAGTTGTACGCTCGGGGCTGGGGATGTGTTAGTTTCTGGTTTCTTTGCATATGCTGATGGTGGGGTGTGACGGAGAAATCAAGAGATGTAGATTGGGGTCATACAGCTTCACGGCTTCTAGAGATGCCTTCTTAGGCATGATCTCTTCGATGTAGGGCTCGAAGCCCGGGTAGGTCTCCAGCAGCTTTTGGCGCAGGCCGCGCTGCACGGAGGACTTGACCTTGGAGCGATTGCTCGACGGGATTCTGGCGTTGGGGGTTTTGTTAGCATGGTGGGCATTTCGTGAGGTTTTTATGGCTTCTCGGAGAGTCTTCTCACTCTTTCTTGAACATGATGTTGGTTGTTGCAGGTCACTGAATGCTCCGAGTGCGTGAAGTGGGATGCGCGGGGAGTATCACGTGACATTGTCTACATTTTGCAGCGCTCGGTCTTTTGAGCTTGGAGCTTGTTTGCTAGAACTGTCTTGTTCGAATAGAGCTGGACTTACGAGCTATGTACTCTTTACAGGGTTAAAAGCATTCACGTCTTCGTGGGGAATAGATATTTTTAATTTGAAACAACTATCTACCGGGGCGACGCTCAGATGTTGATGACATAGTATCAACAAAATATTTAGCCCTTGGCAGCACCAGCCTTGATGAGGAGAATATCACCGTCCTCAACAACATAGTCCTTGCCCTTGGTCATAACCTTACCGGCAGCCTTGACAGCACCTTCATCACCAAGCTCCTTAAGGAGAGCAAAGTTGTACACGATAGCCTGGATGAAGGTCTTCTCAAAGTCAGTGTGAATGACACCGGCGGCGGCAGGGGCCTTGGTGCCCTTGCGGATAGTCCACTGGCGGACCTCATCGGTACCAGTGGTGAAGAAGCTGGCCAAGTTCAGAGCCTGACGCATGGTAGTAACAACCTTGGGCAGGCCAGACTTAGTGCCGAGCCTCTTGCACTCCTCCTCGGCGGCGGCATCATCCTTCATCAGGGTAAGACGCTCCTCGAAGCAGGCAGAGATGGGCAGAATGGGGCAGTTGGGAGAGTTGGTCTTGATCCACTCGAACAAAGAGGGAAGGTACTTGTTCTTCTGACGGATGTAGTCCTTCTCGCTCAAGTTGACAAGGTACACAACGGGCTTGGCAGTGAGAAGGAACAAGGGGTTAATGACCTCGACCTAAAACCATTGTTGTCAGCAAGATGATCATAACAGGTTTGAGTGTTTCAAAAAGAAAGAAACTCCAAAGATCAGTATAAACTTTCTTCTCATAGTGCCCTCTACAGAATATAAATGAGGTCACATCGACGAGCTGGGTTTATTTCGCGCTCATGGCGCTTATTCATCATGGTAATGGAGTGTGCAAGGGGAAAGAATAAGGAAGAGAATTTTTCACATACCTCCTTGGGAGACCAGTCACCATCACGAATGTTCTTGCCCTCCTTCAGCCACTCAAGGACTCTGCCAGTAGTAGCCTCCTCCTCCTTCAGCTTCTTCATCTCAAGAGACTGGCCACCACGGCGTGTCTGCTTGGAAAGAGCCTCAAGAGCCTTCTCGACGAACTCGATATCTTTGATGCGGAGCTCCTCGCTGATGATGGTCAAATCACGAACGGGGTCAACGTCACCCTCAACGTGGATAATCTCAGCATCGTCGAAGCAGCGAACGACCTGGAAGATGGCATCGACAGCACGGATGTGGGACAAGAAAGAGTTACCCAGACCAGCACCAGTCGAGGCACCACGGGTCAGACCGGCGATATCATACACCGTCAAGTTGGCGGGGACCTGCGACTTGGGCTTGTAGTGGTCGACGAGCCAGTCGTACCGCTCATCGGGAACGATGACACGGGCCTCTTCGGGGTCAATGGTGGCATAGGGGAAGTTGGCCGGGTTACCCAGAGAGGACTTGGTGATGGACTGGAAGAGAGTAGATTTGCCGACGTTGGCAAGACCAACCTGGAATCATCGTAAGTCCATGTCGAAAGAGCAAATTTAACCAATTTTTGTGGTTGAAGGGGTGGTTGAAGGGGAAAAAAAAGGAAGAAAGGGAACAGGGGGGGGAAAGCTCGGCTTAAATAGTTTGTGTGGAATTAAAAAGTGGACTGTGCTGTGCGAAAAAAAGAACACAAAAAGGGGTGGGGACACTGCTCACATACGATACCGCTCTTCAAGTTGTTGCCGGGACGGCCCAGAAGGACCTTTTCTTGAACTTGAGCCTTCTTGGGAGGCATTTTATTGGACTTCTTTTTCTTGCTCGAGTAGAAGCGACAGGAAAGAGGTGGGAGGTGGGGGAGGTGGGAAGGCGGAAGCGGGCGCAGGATGGCGCGCGGTGAAAGCAGGACCAGCTGCGGATCGATCGACGATACGAAGGAAGAAAAGGGAGGTGGTCGGGAAAGACGTGATGTCGAGTGCCCACAAATGTAGTGGACAGGGTCAATTGGGTTAAATATGAGGAGAAAAGTAAGAGAGTGGCTTGATACAATCGCAAAGACGACGAGGTGCAACATGTCATCGAAGTTTTCTGCCTGACTTGAGCTACCGCCCACGTGAAGTGCTAGCCCTGCCCTTTACGTCAGTGCTTCTATACGCTGATTTGTGTTTTCCAGGATCTTTCTTTATGGATTCAAACCTTATAGCACGAAATTTTAAGGGCTAAGACGAAGGTCCAAGACGATGGAGTGATTTTCCAGTTACTTGGGGCTTCAAAAGGTATGCCAGATATAGTAACCTTTAGTTGTGACTTTACCATCCTTGGCCCAGGATAAATATGTCATTGTATGCTTTTGCATAATCAGGCATTGCCTAGCTTTTGTTACAAATACAGACATGGATAGAATAAAAGCTAGCTTCCTCTGCGGGTTACCAGTGGAGTGGAAAATCAAATGCAACCTCCCCGACCCAAGCCCATGTAGCAAATGTCAACGCCAAATCGAAGAAAACCAGCGAGAGCAAACGTCATCATAGATCCATCGCATCGCCATCCACGCGGTCCACCATATCCAGAAGCTTAGCATATGGAACAGTGACGCGCTGGAGCTCGCGGTATTTACCTAAAAAGTCGTGAGCAGACTGGATGAATAGCAGTGAAAACAAGAACATACCAAGAGCCAGGATCACCTCCTTCAATAACGTTTCCCGTGGCCAGCCACAAAGATCTTCTGAGCCCTCGCGCCAGTTCCGGCCTTTGCGCTCGTTGTCCTGAAGCTTTGTGATAGCCTCAGTGCCTTCGTCGTCTTCAAAGAGACCGCCGATCAAGCTCTTGAGTAGCTCTTCGACCTTCAATTTCAATCCCTCTGCGCCGATGCGCTTGGCGTACATGTTCAGGTATAGGCGGAACTCTTCCTTTAGAGCCTAAAGACAATGCCGCAGCGAGTCTGTTTTCGAGATGGGCGATAGAAACACTTGATTCAAAGGTTTCGTAGCCTTCACGGGATAACAAAACCTTGACGAGTCGTTGCAAGAAGTACGCACGACCACGTAGAAGCGTTTCATTCGTGGTGTTGCGCTCAAGGAAGGGGATGATACCAGCGGAAACGGCTGCTTTGGCATCCTTGGTGTCTTGCTGGGCATCTCTTGCTTGAAGGTTACTGACAGGGGCATCTGTTGAGTTCCAGTACTGGCTGCCGACGGCCCACCAAGCTTCTGAGATGCGTTGCCATGTGTACATGGATGGGGAGTAGGAGTAGCCTTCGCCATTGGTTAAAGATACGACCACGCGACCTTCGGAGTTGATGCGTGCATCTGTGATTGCCGGTGCAGCGGTAGGATTCGCGCCCAATGTGTGGATGGCGGCGTCGAGGACGGGCTGGAGGGAGACGGGAGGGTGGGGAGAAGAGAGATGCTTCACGTTCCAGACGTAGCACATGCCCACAGAAGAGATGCAGAGAATCCAGGGCCGTTGCATTCCAGAATGACTGGTTGTGCTTCCAAAACTAATGCGCTGACAAGCCGGCGACCTGCTGGGGTCCAGAGATAGACCGATCCATCTTCACAGGCAGCGGCCCACATACTTTGGTTTCCTGTCACGAGGAGAACAGACCGGGGAAGGAAGTCTTGCCATAATGGCTGCTCTCCACGGAAGAGTGTGAGACGGACTGGTTCGCGGTCCACAGCCCGGCCGGTCAAGCTGGCTAGTGAAGGGTTGCGAGCCTCGAACACTACATCTACTCGTGACTTGGTACTTGAGTCTCCTCCTCCAGGAGCTGGCGGCTCGGTAGGCTTCCCACTTGCATCAAGCGCGCGTAGTATGTGGGTACGGATTTTGGGAACGGCCAAACGGAGCTGGCTGACCGACATGCAAGGGTTGATGACTGCAGGACGGATGAACTCTGGGGTTCGTTGCTGGCCGTTGGCTCCAGGCTGCACTTGAGCGGGCAGAAGACCATCGGGAGTGTTGGCCATGATCGGCGTTGCACCGTTTTGACTTGCTGCAGCCACGCGTTTCTCAGCCTGGCCGTCTTCATCGCCCTCCAGCTGGGCAAGCTTGCGCTTGTTGCCAAGCAAAAGAGCCGTTAACCCACCCTTAGGCAAGCCGTCAAATGGTTTCGAGAGGTCAACGAGAGATGTTGGAGCATCGGCTTTTACCTGGCTGCTTACTGAAGCCATGAGGCGAGCTTGAGGAAGTGAAGACTCGCCAGCTCCGGCCCCAGAGACAAGGAGAGGGGCAATACGCTTCTTGCCCTCTTTTGTGTACGTCGGACGCTGCTTGAGTTTCTCTAGCTTAGCTTGGTAGGGATCAGGTTTGTCCTTCTCAGGCGCGGAAGCATTCGGTGTTGACGCAGTCCCGTTTGCCTGGGCTTTGTTTGTGTCGGCCGCAGGAGAAGGTGCTTGAGCGGGAGTTGTTCCATTCGATGGCTGCGGTGCTGTTCCTCCGTTCACAGCAGGTTCAGCGGCAGCATGGCCATCTCCCATCAGCGCGCCCATGCGGCCCTCGACTCCCTTTATTTCACCAGCTTTACTCTTCTCTTCCAGCAGTAAACCATCGGTGGTCTCTGTAATACCGGCGCCCTTGCGATTGGTTCCAAATTTGGTCAGAGACTTTTCGTTCTCCTCCATCTCCACGGCATAGCCTAACTCGCCATCCTCGAACCGAGCCGCGACAATGGTGCCATCCAGAGCTGTAGCAAAGAGACACTTGCCATCAGGACTCCAAGCCAAATCTGACATCGACTTAGCAGCCATTTCCTGAGCGACCACGATCGGGCGAGCATTGCTCGTAATCCAAACACTTAGCGACTTGTCCGCTCCCGCGCATGCAATTACAGTGATATAATGCGCCGCATGGCCATCAGGCGGATTCTTGTTGATGGGCTCCCTTGAATATAATCTGGGAGAAAACGAGCAGACTTCCACGGGAGCTTCGTGGCCAATGAGATTGATATCACCGTCCCAAGATCCACGATTTATAATTGCAACTGAGCTGACAGGGCCATTGACCGCGTTTGCAGCCGCAATGTGCATTCCGTCGGGTGACCATGAACAGCGTCGGAAGTATGCTGTCAGTGGAGAGTTCGCGAATGGGGCGGAGATGGTTTGCTCGAGGACGAAGTTGTTCATTTGGTCGTGAGAGGAAGAGTTGGGGGCTGGAGAGGTGAATCGGAAGATGCGAACAGTGCGATCATCACTGGCGGTAGCAAAGTACTTGTTTGCTGGGTCAAAAGTGATACCCTTGACATGACTCTGGTGAACCGATATCGTTTTCAGCTTTTCAAAAGTATGCCCTGACCACACAACCACTTTCGAGTCGAGACCGACGGAAACCAGAATCGATGAGTCGTGCGACCACCCCAAATCCTGGACATCGTTGTCGTGCCCGATCAATCGCCGGATAGTACGCCAATTCTCGACTGGAGGTGCTTCATCGGAACCTACAACCCGTTTCCAGAGTAGTTAGTGCCTGATTTCTTCGTTTTTCCAACTTTTGCAGGGCTTACCGAATGTCGAGTGCGTTGGCGGGTTAGCATCAAGAGTGTAAACGCAAACAATCTTATCGTCCGCTCCCGATGCAAGATATTTCCCATTCGGTGAGAAGCGAACCGTATGAATTGTGCCGGAGTGGTTGCTCATAGACGCAAGCTGCTTGGGCTTATCGGCGAACTCAGGATTGCCTGTGTTGTAGATGGCCTCTGTAGACCAGATCCGAACGTATCCATCTAGCGCACCGAAATAGCGAGTACATTAGTGATAGTTCCCCAGAAGCAAGCTTGCTGCAGCCTAGCTTCTCTTCTAGCCTGTGGTGCCCATTCAAAGATCCAGGAAGCTCACCTCCAGCAGCAGTCACCAGTCTCTTTCCATCGGGCGATACATCGCAACTATAGACTTCAAAGTCTTTCCGTTCGCCTGTTTGGATCGAAGATGTCAGTCTAGCTCTCCGAGAAAAATGTTTGCCCAAATTCTGTCAGACGGGGCACGATCCCACACCCCGTGGCCATCAAGACAGGGCTGTCGCAAAGAGCGTACCTCCATGAGTGAGCCAGACTGGCTTGATGATATGCATTGCGCAGAGCGCGCGGAGTGCGCTACCTTTCTAGAGCAGGCGAGGATAGCACCGATTTCGTTGAATGGGAGAGGGGACAATAGGGAATGCTTGAGCGTTGCGGCTTAGCACCGGGGGAAATTTAAGGCGGGCGGAGGTGGTGGTAAGGTCAGGTGTTCATGTGGACATCGCACTCGCAGGGTAGAGGTAGATCCCAGCCAGGAAATCCCGTATAAGCACACAGATTCACTGTATGAACAGCCGACAGACCGGGAGGGGTGGATGAAAGGGTGCAGGGTGGAGGGTGGACAGGGCGCGATCAAAAAGTCGCGATCTCCGTTTGGCGCGTGGCCCGAGCTCCCTTTCGCGTTCGACTTCTACACTAAAGCACTTAGCTGCTCGATACAAATTGAACATCTCAAATATTTTCAAAATTACTATCATACACGCTTTTCCTTTCTTCGTCTTGGATCAATACCCACGATGTCCCTATGTACACAATACAGATCTCGGGTCACCGATTCCACTGGGCAAGTAATGCCTGACTCCCGAAACAATGCTGCCAAGGAAACGAAAAAGTTGAGCGGGGAAAGTGGTACAGATATAGCCATGGCAATGCTTGACGGAGAGAAGATGCAAAACGTAGGGAAATGAAAAGGTCCAGGATCATACTTGTCGTCTTACTTGAAGAGTTCACCTCTTCTGCTGGCTGGCTTCATCGAAGCTGTCCAGAACACTCTGTGCAACGCCACTTGAGTGCTCCTCGATAGGCGCGACCTCACTATCCAGGTGCTCCTCGGCGTGACTTCGGGGGGTAGGCTCGGCAGACCGAGGTGCCTCTTGGGCACCAATAGCCTTGGCAGCAAGAGCCTTAGCCTGGGTCTCGCTGACCTTGCCGTAGACAGACATGGCGCTAGCAATCATGCCACCCATATCTCCGACGTTGCCGGGAACGACAACTGCAGTACCCTCGCGAGCCAGGTTCGCGAAAGCCTCGACGTACTTTTCAGCGACGCTCAGGCTAATAGCGCTCTGGGCGTTTTCCTCTCCCTGCTGGATCGCACGGGCAACGGCCTCGATTCCACGGGCGGTAGCCTGTGCCTTAAGCTGGATAGCCTGGGCCTCACCAGTGGCCCGGTTGATCTGCTCCTCGCGCAACGCCTCAGATGCCAAGATGACGGACTGTTTACGACCCTCGGCGATGTTAATCGCACTCTGGCGTTGACCTTCAGAGTCGAGAATCTCGGCACGCTTCGATCGCTCAGCGGTGACTTGGCGGTGCATGGCGGCGACGACACCGTCTGGTGCATGGATATCTCGAATCTCGTATCGAAGGCAGACAACACCCCAGTCCTGCGCAGCCTCATTGATGGCTTGTGTGATATTCGTGTTGAGAGTGGCACGCTCCTTCAAGACGTGGTCCAGAGTCAACTGTCCGATCTCGGATCGCATGGTCGTCTGCGCCAGCTGCGAAATGGCGTACTCCGCATCCTCAACACCGTAGCTACATCCCATCCAAAATTAGTCACTTCCCTATCATTCAGCCTGCAGAGTCTCCAATGACGCACCTTGCTTTGTACGCGTCGAATACCCGCGTGTACAAGACGCCGTCGAGCTCCAGGGTGACGTTATCCGCGGTAATGGCATTCTGGCTCGGAATCTCAATAGCCGACTCCTTCAAGCTTTTAACGTAGGCAATGCGGTCCAAGAAAGGAACCAGAATCGCGAGACCAGGTTCCAGGATCCGGTGGAACTTTCCCATACGCTCAACGATCCATGCTGTTTGCTGGGGCACGAAACGCACAACGGTGTTGGCCGGGAGAGTCTTTTGATTGTTAAAGTAAGTAACGTGGCCACCGCCCTGTTGCGGCTGACCAGATGCGAAGTTGCTGAAAATGGATTCGGGGGCGAGACTGCGGGGCGAATTCGTGAGAGCTCGTTGCTGTACTGCAGTCACCGCAGTGGTTCGGGGAAGGCGGCGGCCCTGTTGAAGAAGAGTGGAGCTGCGAGACCTTAATAGTCTCGAGCTTTGACGGTATGCGCCCTCCATTTGTGGGTATCTTGTGAGGGAGGATTGGGAACTGGTGAGGAGATGGAAGGTCAGCTGGATCGGACGAGCTGGTGGAACGAGGTTCGGCTTCAGGTGTTGGCGCCTGAGGCGACGATTATCTCCGCACTCGATGCAACGCGTTTGTTTGCGCGATTCTAGGTGGAAGATAAGGCGTCCCGTTGAGACTTTGTAGCAAGCAAAGCTTTCATAATTCTTAAGTACAATAGTCTTGTTCTAGCTGTGTAGGTTCCGAGCTTGTCATCTAGGGACAAAATCAATAGGCTCAAACGCCCGTCTTGAACAATGTCTACAGAATCCGAAAACATCTTCGAAAGCTTTGAAACTATCAAGGAACCTCAACCGCATCTACGAATTGCATTTATTTTACCATATATTAGCGAGAAATATTGATGGACGATGGTATGCATATCATTTACCCAGCCAAAAAAAAAAAGGAAAAAAGAAAAAGAAAGAAAAAGAAAAAGAAACTCTGAACAACCTGACTTATGCACAAAAAAAGGTACACCCAAACAAAATTCCTTTGGGGATAAAACGGAGGAGAGAAAGACGTTTTCGGGAAGAGCGGAAAGAGCGGAAAATGAGCAAAGAAAAAAGGATGAAGAAAAAAAACCCCGAAGATCATCTCGAACGACGATAGTCCTTCCAACGCCTTTTTGTCAGGTCCATACTCAAGATCAAAGTAATAGCCAGCCTTGAGGCGATTGTCAATCTCTATTACCCCTGTCGACATGGTCAACTTGAGGAGGTTCTTGATGACAGAATGGCAATCCTTGAATGGGGCATGAGATAAGCGCACCATGTCGCGAATTACCTCGTCAGGAAGAGAATAACGGCTGGTTAGACAATTGTGGTAAAACCTAGTCAACGCGTTGATTCCATAGTTGTTGTGTCGTGTGAAAAGATCATCAATGGCTAGACGCCGAAATTCATTGTACAGTTGCAAATTGAAATTGCGCGTAAGGTGCTGAGACCAGGAACGATAAGGAGGGCCTGTGGAAAGGCCATGCGATGAAGGGGTGACCCGTGGGTCTTGAGCCCCGAAAGCGGTATTGTGAAAGATATCGAATGAGTTACGGGCATGAACGGACTTTTTGTGGTGACGTGAATCGGATTTTCTGGGCGTCAAAGGCGGAGCATTAGGGGAGAGAGGGGAGTTGTCGGAGGTCACATCGCTTGCTGCTCGACGGTGGGTGGGATCGGCATTGAAGCTGGCATACGAGAAAGAATCAATCAGTGGCGGTTTGGGACATCCAAGCTGGACGCTAGGATATTTTAGCATACCCAGCAGGTTGCTCCGTCGTCCAAGAACAGAAGTCATATGTCTTCGGCAGATGCGATTCTAGTCGGCGCGCTGAAGAATCATCGTTAATAACCGTTTTGCCAAAGGGATCGCAAGAGAAAGGGGCCTTGTTGAGGCTGGCTTCAACAGGGTGATGGTATTAAAAATCCACGGGGGTCTCCTACATTGGCAATTTGATTCTGCGTCGGCAGCATTGATGGCATGAACTCAGGAGCGGCGGAAGACAGCGGCGTTTGAGAGCCACGAGATCCGTTACCGTTAGGGATGAATTCCCGCGTCGCATTGAAGCCATTGGAAACACCTTCGGCGTGGTGGTTGAAAGGAACATTGTCGTAGTTTCTGGGAGCAACACCGTCGTGCTGGGCAGAGGGATCCCGCTGGTCTACAGGGAAGACCCACTGAGCCCACTTCTCGCGGGAGCGGAGGCGGTCCAGGCCGTCCTCGCCAACCTGATATTCAACGTTTCGGAGACCACGAGAGACGTGGCGGAGAAGCTCGAAATCCTCAGTCAATGACTTGACACGCTTGAAATTAGCGATAACTCCCAAGGAACGAAACCCTGGCCGTCCATGTGACGGCGAAGGAACATGTCCTTGCACAGGTTATCAACTGAGAAATAATACTCCAGCTGCATAGTGAGCATAGGCATGAGTGAGAAGGGCTCCATGTACTGCTGGTAAGGAACTGCACTCATCGGGCCAGGAGCCACAGCCTGATAACCGTAGACATTCATGTCATTGGGGTAATAACCATAGGGACTAGCAGAAGCTGGCAATGAAGGTGACCTCAAGGGCATGCGGTTGCCCTGCTGAGAGCCGTTTGGCACCCCGTTCTGAGAGCGCTGGCGGTCGTTGAAGCCTCCGAATTTGGGGTTGCCGAAGTTGTTCGACATGTTGCCGAACTGGCCATTCTGTCCACCAAAGGAGCCATAGGGACCACGGCCGCGGTTTGAGCGCCCTCCACGCTCACGGTTGAACTCGTGGAAACCAGCCGGGTCAGCAGACTTGGAGCCAGGCTCTGTGCGACGCTCATTGACACGAGCGGCCGCATGGGGGTCGACAGCCAGATTCGCAGCGCGAGAGTTGCGAGCCTCCTGGTTCTTTGCAAACTGCTTGCCATCACGTTGGGGACGGCTATTCTCGCCATTTGTCTGCTTTCCGTTGGAGACAGCGGCGTCCTCAGCACCGCGGGTAGCTCGGCCGCGCTCGGCAGCTTGGGCCTTGCGACCCTCAGCGGGAGCCTCGGCGCTATCGGAGCGTCTGGCCTGAGCGGGCAACGAGGCGGCACGTCCAGTGTCAGCCTCAGTACGTCCTCGCTCACCAGCGGCCTGCTTGGCTGTTCCTTGAGTGGCCTGCCCGGAAGCAGCCTTCTCGCCAGCAGCACCGGCACCGTGAGCAGCTCCACGGCCGCCATCGCGTCCACCGCGAGTGGCTCTGCGGCCACCACGGCTACCGCTGCCAGGCGTAGGAAGGGGAGTGTTGAAAACAGCAGTGGGAACGTAGTTGACGGGCATCCACTTCTCCTTGCCGTGGGGGCGAATGACGGGGCTCTTGTCTGTCTTCTCCTGAGCCTTCTTCTTCTCCTCACCCAGGGCAACTTCAGGAGTAGGCCATGCGGTAGCATCTCCAACAGCGGGAAGAGCCTTTCCACCCTCGGTCTTCTTGCCACCCTTAGCACCTTCGGTCACACCATCGGCACCCTTCTTCTTGGGGTTGGCCTTGGACGAATCCTGCTGGGTCTCGGTGGTCTTGCCGGTGGAGGCTGGTGTAGCGGGAGCGGTCTTGGATCTGGCATCCTGTGCCTCTTTGCGCTGGTGCCAGATGTTCACGGAGGGTAGAGGAGCGGCCTTCAGCTCCTTAGGAGGAGTGTTCTTCTCGGATTTCTCGCCCTTTTCGGATTTATCAGACTTCTCGGATTTATCCGACTTGTCCTTGGAACCTTCAGCGCCATCCTCAGACTTATCAGTCTTTCCATCAGCCTGAGCCTTCTTCTCTGAAGAGGCCTCTGAGTTGCCGTTGGGTGTACTCGAAGAATCACCCTCCTCGACTGAACATTCGACCGGTTGTTCACGGTTGGTGAAGCGGTCCTGGAGTTGACAGCCTTCGATCTCGCCTTGCTAGTGACGGTCGTAAATTCAGCCTCCTTTGGCTCAACTGCAGACTTCTCGACATCTTGCGGTGTCTCGGATTTGGGGGCAACGGGCGCAGGTTCCGCAATAGCACCATTGCTTTGCTCCTCCATCTTAGGCTCAGCCTTCTCAGGCTCCGACGCCGTCTTGCTGGGAACAGAGGATCCTTGCAAACCCTTTGCGGCTTGCGCGTATGAAAATGCAGAGTTAGAGCTCATTGTGGGCTCGTTGGAACTAAAATCACGATGTGAATTTCAAGGTGAAAATCCGGTTCGAAGTGCGATGAAGCGGAGATATTTCCGTTCAAGGAGCCTAGAAATCTCCAAGGATGTCCACGCACGAAACTCCGGCACTGGTGTATTCAGAAGAAAGCTTCCACCTTCTTGCAACCCCACCAACACGCAGGTTCTGTGTCAAATCACTCCCACTCGGCACGGTGCGGAGAAATCGGAGGAAATAGTGCGGGGGAGTCGGAAACACGTAGTTATGATCTGGGACGGGCGTGTCTGTTGTGTTGACAGTTTAGACCACGGATAGCATTGATGGAACCGTCGGTCTCGGTATGAAGAAGGAAGGGTCCGAATCTCTGCAAGTTGCGGAACACACAGATCGACTCGGGAGCGCAGGAAAAAAAAATTCCTCAATAACAGAGAGAAGGCGCAGCCTAGTCAATGTCGAAGCCGGTGTCAAGAAAGGTCGAGCCTTGGGCGCGCACGATTCAATTCACAAAATCACTTCGGAATGCCACGAAAATTCCTTGTCTCGGTCCAACCACGTTCGAATCTCGTATAGGATGACGACGGCCGGGAGATGTCCAGTCGACGAATAGCACGCGAAACGGGGATGCGAGCACAAGTGTCCGTATCGGGTTCCTGATGAGAGGGATCGGCCCCTTGTAAGCGATGTGAGAAAGAAAAAGATGACCACACACACGAGCAGCGCGCGAATCGGAGATCGGATGAGAGAGATGAGGAGAATCTCGGTTCTCTGGATCCGCAGGGAAGGAGAGGTACCAAAGCAAGAAACAGGCCTCGCGTGAAGACGAGGAATGAAGCAAGGAAATGCGGCGCGAAGGGAGGAAGAAACAAACGCCCGGAGGGGTTGGAGGGGAGGGGAGTGGTGAAGGGTAAAAGAGGGAGGAACGCAAAATTATTATTTGGGTACAGGGTTGTGTTGGTACTTACAGGTAATCAATTTGCAAAGAACATCCGCAGTTTGCGCCTGTCGAACGTTTCAAACTTGATATCTTTCGATGTTAGAACCGGCGGAATTTGGTTGTGGAATTTCGCATAAGAAAAATTCTCCTAGTTAATATGGAGACCGTGTGGAAATCCGAGTCCCTCCCGTACGCCCGGAACGATTACACAGTTTCTACACCTGTACTTGTAGCTCATTGAAAATTATCTTTTAGATGTTCTCGTTACAACCGGTTACTCAAAGTTACTGTCGTCTCATTTTAATGTTTCCTTGAGAACAAAACTAAGTAAGCTTTTTATCCGTCATCCCGGCCTCGGCTAACCCTATACACTACATTGTCACAGGTCATTCACCGATGACGATTTTCAACGAGCCTCATCTATAATCCAATGATAGTGTATAATTGAGCAGTTCTTCGGGATCTCTACTAGAAGTGAGGGGGACGCGAAAGTATCGCTTTCTCTAACCAATAGGTAAAAAGTAAAGGCACCAAATTCGACAGTGGACAGCTACCCCAATAGTGCCCTATATCTCAATTAGTTACTCGGAAGTGCCCCAGGAGTGTGCGATGTGTGTGTCACACTTTTCCGAACTCTCGTAGAAGATTCAACGGCACTTCTTTTTTTTTAACGTTAGCACCCTTCGCGGGGTCCACCGGAGCCCCTCCGCCGATTGAGCCCCGGGGGGTCACTGGGCACAATTCCGTTGACTTGTCGTGTAACGAAGAACGCTCATTGAGTTCGTGAAGTTGTAGTAATATTACACTCTACATAGGTGCCCACCTTGGTAGTGTCGGATAATAGTCTTTGGAACTTCATTTTTGTGTATCGTGTATCCTTTTCGTGGAGAATCTCGGATGTGTGAATCGGCCAACGCTCGGGTACCTGACGGGTACACGGGGGTATACGTAATACAATTCTGATTCAGATGATTGTACCGTGAGACTAAAGCAGAATATCTCCTACTTGGGTAATAACTAGAGCCGTAGTCAGCACTAGCTACAGCCCAAGCCGCCTATGCTCAGCCGTGGTTCTTTGTGCGACCGAACGTGAACCTGCTCATAATTAGGTTCGCACTCATACACCATCTTGCTCGGGGTTGCAAGATCTCTCGCATTGTGGTACAAAGCTGTAATTCTTCTTTCCTAATTACTAGGCGGGCTAATCTTGAAAAAAAAAAAATTTACTGAATGTCGCGGATTTTCATCGGTAGAGGCAGGTTTAGGGCAGAGGGCAGCGGAATCCCTCGGAATGGTGTGGGTATGTGTAATCCAAATACAGCAGGGGGACCTTGGAACGTGGGATGGGGTATCTGTATTACGCGATCTTCCTAGTGATGATCAAGATCTCAAAGGCAAGGTATGGGATCGAACTTGAAATTGGTATGGTATGTGAAGGTGAAATTGACATCCCGGAACGCCAGGCTTTTTAATCAAAAATGCACGGGTGAAATATCTACCAATGCCGGACACTGACCAGCACCTGCTCCCTTGCATCTAACTCGACCGCTCCCATCGGCCCAGTCACGAATCCAAGGCGCGTTAGCACCTGCCAAACTAGTTTCCGCTTCAGGGTCTCCCGGACGGGGATCTTTTCCAGGGCGTCGATGCCGTTGAAGTATTTCAAGAATATAGGCCAATACTTTTGCAGGAGGGTGTGCATATCCTTCGGCGCGATGTCCGGGCTCGTCGCTTCAAGAGATCGTCTAGGGCCCGACTTATCTGGAAACCGGGCGACAATTTCGTCGAGCCAGCGGGACTCGAGTGGGGAGGCACGATGAGGTGAGAGGATAAGAGATGAGAGTCGCAGGGCTGTGGATCGGTCGAGGAGCTTATGGGACGTCCGGAGCTGCAACTGCGGATCGTTTCGGCCCGGCATGGGTGTCTCTTCGCCGCTGCCATGGCTGGCCAGTGAAGACGAAGACGATGAGCTTGCGTCGTCTTCATCATCGGTCGATTCCTCATCAACCCCGGCGTTGGAGCTGGCTTTAGCGAGATATCGATCCACTTCTTCTTTTCGGAGAGCCGTCTCAACAGCCAATTTGATTTCAGGCGTTACCTTGATACGAGCGAATGTTCGCAATTGCGTGACCCAGCCACCACGGAGGAGCCATGCCAGGATATTGAAGTACGCCTCCTTGTGATCCTTACTTGGGATGAAGTTGCTGTAGGGACGTGGCGTGCCACTCAGGGCAGAGAGCATCTTCGGCAAGCTAGGCAAGGTAGGGAAGGCCGTCTGATAGGCGATGGTTGCGACTTCTAGTTTGCTCAAGTCACAATTAGGAGACACAATGTACGTGTCTCGCTGATGAATAGGGGGGATGGCTCGGGCACGGCGCCAGTGAGACCAAATGACTTGCCAGCATTTGGATCGTAGAAAGCGGAATTCCCGAAGACATTGATATCTGCGCAAAAGACTTGGTGGGCTTTGAGCATCGAATGTAATGGGCTAGCGCAGGAGCAAGAGCACCGCCTGAAAGCTCAACGTCCTTGATGATAGATGCCTCACTATCCAATAGGAGCAGGGCGAAGTGCTTTGCAAGAACTTGATGAGGTGTATTGTTCTCGTCAGCACCCGGGTCATCCACTGGTGTTGCGCTGTCGGCGGTAGTCAACCAAAGACCCGGATACGCCTTGTCTGTTGGTCCCGCGAGGTATGGTGTAGAAGTAAGTGGAGGGATTTGCAAGGAAATGGAAACGTCGTGGCTGAGTGACACGGATGCAATTTTCGATGCTGAGATACTCGAGTAGACGGTATACATTGCTCGTGCCAAAGAGGACTGCTGTATCAACTCCGAATAGAGATTGTGCACAGATGTTTCTGGTACGGTGATTAGTAGAGTGTTCAAAGAACAAGGAGATGAAACATACTCGTTTCCCGCGCCTTTCGTCTCAGCTGCAGAATATGTTGCGATTCCCTCCAAACATAGTCTGTGCGAGCCTGCTCCCACTTGAGAGCTTTCGCAAATTTCTTGATAATGTTCTCATAGATCTCCTTGACCCGCATCGAATACTCCAACAGAGGAGGATCCATAACAAAAACCACATTAAACATCGTCATATGGTCCTTATCATCCGAGTTCGCCGATCCATCAGCATGCTTCCCATGCTTCATACTAGCATAGGAAGCCCTCTTCGTAGTATCCGTCGGTGAAACCGCCGAATCAGCCAAAGAAGCAACACTAGCCACCATTTCAGGCGAAAGAACCATATCCTCATCCCTTTGACCATCCTCAGTCTCATTATGTCCCAATTCCCCACCTTCCCACTCGGCACGAGGCTTCTTCGTCTTCTTTCGCCGCTGCTTGCGCCAGCTCCCATCTTCACGTACGAAAACAGGCCAACCAATCAGCGCCAAATCATTGATCCCGACCTCAAATCGTCTCTTATGCCATGACCTCGATGGACTGAGTAATTTCTCCCACACGCTCCCAGGAACACCAAGAAGTGACTCCCAAGGCGCCCGGAACGAGCCCTCATGCTCATCATCTTCCATATCCGACCCCGCGCCCCTTTGCCTCCGCAATGAGGAGACTCGCCCAGAACCTAAAGATCCAGGCCGGTGCGATTCCGTGTTCAGCGACGCGACAGAGGCATGGTCATCGACACCGAAGTTGCTCGCGCGGCGACCTATTGCAGGCGCAGACCCCAACGCAGCAGCGTGGATCTCCCGCTCCTCCTCATCTTCATCGGAACTGAGTCCACTCTCGGAGCTAGAGCTTGAGTCGGTATTTCTGCCGCCTTGTCTGGTGCGCGTGCGGGAGATGCGTCGCCCGCCCTTGGTGGTTGTCTTTACGCGGTTTTCACTCAAAGGGTTCGGTGGGTAATGGAAGACGAGACGGGGACCGGTACGCGAGCGGACAATTAGGATTATTGCGACTAGACATGGGTCTGGTGGTCGGGCGATTGACGACATTGGGGTCTTGGATCGTCTAGGTTGGAGACGAGAAGCTGTGGCTGGGCGGAGCGGGTTCCCCGCATGGGAAGCTTGAGCCGATTTGGGTAGACTTTGGGGGGATCACAGTGCTCGTGATGATCTGATGAATGGAGTTTTGAGATGCTCTCGTTTTAGGAGTATATTACATTTTGTATGTACAATGCTTTCAATCAACGCCCGTATGCCAGGTCTTATCCTGGTTGAGAGTGGCCGGTTTGGATATCGTACAATTCATCCACCATGTCTAACATTCAATGGCTTAATTATTTGTCTTGTCCCGTCCCTTGTGTCGGCCCTTGCGCTGGTGTTTTTTTCTTGTCTTGGTCCTCCTTGAAAATGAGGCCCAGGTTCTCGAAGTTATCCGGTGCCATCAGGTTCCTGTGCGGAGAACGAATCGATCAGCAAAATATCTTTCATCATGGATCTGGCACCTCAATCATGCCTCTCAGAAAAGAAAGCGATATGATATGTTCTCGGCCCATGCGACATTCAACGTACTTGTCCATCCGGCAGGCGAGGTAATCCTTGGCGAGTCTACGGCACGCCTCATCGTTGGTGCCCCTGTTGGACTTGATACATTTCAAGTATCCAGAGATAATGTGCTTGCACTCTCCTAGAAGCCAGCCAGCCCATTAGCTTTGCTCTCTTTTGTTGGGACTTGCATCAACACAGGAACCAGATGATCCGTCCGAGTCGATTTGCGCACCTTCATGATCGAGGGGAAAACTACCGCGTTCAGGCCTTCAAAATAAATCACCAAATTAGCAAGAGCGTCCGTAGACGAAGACGCCAGAGGATAGCATGTTCTCTGTGAAACAGCGACATTCGCAAAGAGAACGGCATGCGGCAAGGACTCACGGTGAGGGCTTGTAGTTGATCGAGCCACCTCCGGGGGCTCCGAAACTCATCTTGGGCAATTTCGGCAAGTGAGAATCTCAGTGGATTAAGCAGATCAATAGTGAACCCGATCGTAAGATGCAGTGCAGCGAAGTGAAGGCAGCGCAGGATCTCGGCCTTGGAGACAAACAGAGCAAACTAGTCAAACACCAAGTCGGCCAACCAGCGTTGCAGGATGTGGTCGATGATGTATTCTGCGATAGAATACAGCAGGACTCGGACCTGCTTTTGCGAAGGAGGTGGAAGGTAAAGCGGGGTTTGATATGATTCCGTCAATCAGGGTTGCAAAGCGTTTTGTTTGAGGGCATTGCTCGGTTTGATCGGAACGCAGCCATAATTGGCAGAAGTATATATATCAGTCGGATCACCTGGATCTGGTTACTTTAAAGTACTCGAGTCCCAGTCACCTAGACATCTGATCATTCCAACCTCAAGAAGACTTTCCCATTTCATTTATCGAGAAACCAATTGAATCTCAAAATGCCTATGTATGAACTGTTCCCTATAACTCAGTTTTTCAAGCAATCCGCTATCCCTCGTTTCCACGGCACTAACAGAAAACCCAGGAAACTCGAGGGAAGCTGCCAATGCGGCGGCATCGAATTCACCCTCCAGTCCCAGACGCCCGTGCCATACCAGCTCTGCGCCTGCAGCATCTGCCGCAAGGTCGGCGGATACAGCGGCAGCGTAAACCTCGGCGGCATCGCCGACAGCCTCGAGATTCTCAAAGGCAAGGACCTGATCAAGTACGCTCTATACTCCCAAGCCGTACCTATTATGTGTCCAACGGTAATCCAAACAGCTCAGGAAACCCCAATGACTAATTTCTTGTAGAAAATACTCCGGAATTAAAGATCGTGGCACACCTAACGAAGAGCGCTGCTCCTCCGAGCGCAACTTCTGTTCGATCTGCAGCACCATGCTGTGGCTGTGGGATCACCACTGGCCCGAACTTATTCATCCGTTTGCTTCTGCTATCGATACCGAGCTGCCCGTACCGGATGAAATGGTCTGTGTTATGGGTGGATCGAAGCCGGAGTGGGTACGGTGGCCCGAGGGGAAGAAGAGTGTGCATGAGCTTTACAACGAGGATAGTATCGAGGGGTGGCATAAAAAACATGGGGTTTTCGTCGAGTGAATCAAACTCACGGTAGTATCTGATATAAGTTGTGATTCGAGCGAGGTATTTGGGACGGAGCAGAGAAGTCAAGATGGAAGGGTAAGGAGTTGTGAGGGACGAGTTACTGGAAGAACTACGGGATTACTTGAGAAAAAGAGAGATGATAATCAAAAAGATTTCATTAGAAACTATGATAGGGTATCGAACGAATCTGAAATGCGTATTAGCATGAGATCACAACAAGACAAGAGTGAAATATTGTGAGAATTTGAAAGGTTCAGTTCTCCAAGGTGAAATAAAATTTGTTTCGTCAATGTGATTCGGAAAGAACACAGCGAATTTTAGGGTTCATCAGACAGTAGGGTAGAAATCAGAAGACGGCGACACTCACAAATGGTAGCAAGGGTATTACAAGGCATTTCAAGGTCCTAAATGATTTGATCGCATCGAGTCAGCAACGGCTTTCAAGCACAATGCAAGCTAGTGAAGCGAATCAAAACATGGCAACTATTTCAGGCTTTAGGAAGTCAGCATAGGAAAGGGTCGGCTTGGAATGATGGCAACTCACCTCATTAAATCAGAATTTTGTATGTTAATGTTCATCCCCAAAATACCGAAGTACCCAGGTCCAACAGTGTGAATAACATGTTCATCATGATAGAAAGGCCATGTCGAGTGTGTGCAAGAGAGAAACAAGTGTAAAATACCTAGAATCAAAGCGAGTTAGATCAATGTTCAATGATTCATCTTGCTCGGCATCAATGCGTTGTGACAATGGGCAAAGGATCAGGTGACGAGTTCTCAACAAGTAATCCATTCCCATACACCCACAGAGTTTGTACGCTCTGGTTTTATTGAGCGCAGGGAGATGGAGACGTTATGTCCGCCCGTTCGTTCAAAATTTCTTCATGCTAGGCTCATGCCGCAACGGGGAAGAGGAAGTGAAGAGTTCTTATGTACCTGAACCATACTTTGTTAGCGCTGGTTCGGCAATGTGCTTGGTGCAATTTGTAAAGTAAAGTGTAGTCAGACAAGGCTGAAACTTAAAAGTAGACGATTTCCACACGTATATCTTAGGATCGAGGAATGCCATATGCATGTCTTGTTTTCATCATTCAAAGGGGAGAAGGAGGGAGGTGGGCGAGCCCAAAGTTTGTTCTTACCTTTTGAAAAAAAGAGAAAAAAAATTTGGTCAACGGACGAACACCATCATCAAAGTGTTTGAGTGTCCTATGAAGACCAATTCAAAGATCATGAGAAGGAGCAGATCTACTCATAATCCCAAGGAAAAATTGAGAAAGAAAAATGGGAGCTCCCAGCTCCTGGACGGGAGCTCACATGTACGGGAGAAGGAAAAAAATTTGTGGGTGGAGCGCAGAATATAAACGGAGCTACGGTGACCGCGTTCGTCCCGTCACGCAGTTTGTCTGCGCGTCAAACACTAGCTCTTACTCCACTTTGGAAACATGAAGAACCGAGGCCATCCTCTTGAGATAGACAGTACTTCTTAATGGCTGCAAACAATCATTGTTGAGATCTTCAAATGGCTCAAATCTGACTGTAATACCTGCACAGCTTCTCTTGGCTGTTCCATACCTGGGTACCCCGCAGTGACCCCTCCAGTCACCCGTTCTTTCTCCAACGCAACCTCACTTCGCTAGCTTTACACAAAGGCTCATGAAAGCCGTCGTATTGTAACTCTGAGATTCAATCGAATCGATCTCGTTTTGATCATATTGTTTCAATTTGTGCGACACACTGATCTATGCGTCGCCGAGAAACAAGGGTCCCGCCTTGGAACACGATATGACTATCAAGAAAGTATATGATGTCGTGGTGGTCGGGGCAGGCCTCAGTGGCCTCCAAGCAGCCCTTTGTGTTAAAGCTGCGGGCCTCAGTGTCTGCGTCCTGGAGGCGACCAACCGAGTTGGAGGAAAGACGTTCACCGTCCAATCCTGCGAGAAGGGATTCAATGACTTAGGTGCCGCCTGGATCAACGACACAAATCAAAGCGAGATGTACAGACTATTCCAGAAATACGGTATTGAAGGCGAGGTCCAGCGAGATCATGGGGATACCGTCCTCGAATCCGCCGATGGCTCTGTTGTCAAAGTACCCTATGGCCAAGAACCGGTAAGCGCGCCAACTTGAGGACACCATCTTGTACTGGATTTGAAGGCCTAATTGAACCATCTAGATCGCATCTCCAATATTCGAAAACTTGCTTGAGGTATTTCGAACAGAGTCATCGCTTGTTGACTTAAGCGATCCTTCTAACTCTCCAGGTGCCGAAGAGATTGATCAACTTACATTCAGAGAATTTTGTGTGACTCGAGCTGAGACTGAGGATGTCGCTGGCTTTGCCGACTTGATCTGCTCTGCTCTTCTTGGTGTGGAGAGTAGTGAAGTGAGCGCTTTGTACATGCTGCACTATTTCAAATGTGGTACTGGCATCGACAATTTACTTTCAGATAAGAAGAATGGAGGCCAATACTTGCGCAACAGAGACGGTGAATGCAAATTGTGGAACCTCTGAATCGGTTCATAGACTAACCTCTACAAGGCAACCAAACCATTTCACAAAACATGGCCAAGGAGCTCGACCATAACACTGTGTTCTTCCGGAACCCGGTCATCTCGATTGACCAGTCCCAAGGCGATCTCTGTACAGTCTCAACAGAAGCTGGATTGGATTTCCACTGTCGGAAAGTGATCGTGTCTATTCCAACCACGTTATACCCTTCCATCAAGTTCAACCCACCCCTACCCGAGAAGAAGACGGCACTCGGAAACAATACAGCCATGGGATATTACAGCAAGATGGTGTTCGTATTTGATGAGCCTTGGTGGCGTGACGCTGGATTCTCCGGCGTAATTGATTCTGAAATGGGGCCCGCTAGCTTCACACGAGATACCAGCATTCCGGCTGACGACCAATGGTCGATAACCTGCTTCATAGTCGGAGACCTAGGAAGGCAATGGTCGAAGCTATCTCGGGCCGCTCGTCATCATGAGGCTTGGGCGCAATTTAGACACAGCTTTGAAATGTTTGTTGACCATGTGCCTGAGCCGACCAATACATTGGAGATGGAATGGGCCAAACAAGCTTTCTTCCTCGGAGCCCCATGTCCGGTCATGGCCCCTGGAGTGCTGACATCTGTGGGAACTGAGCTGGCAACCTCATTTGAGAATATTCATTTTGTTGGCACTGAGACTGCCAATGTGTGGCGAGGCTACATGGAAGGTGCTGTGCGATCGGGACAACGAGGAGGTGCCGAAGTCGTGCAAGCCTTATCCAGAAGCTCCTCTGGTCAGACCTAGTAGCCATGACGTTTGTATACCGTTTCGGATTCATCTAAATGAAAGCATTGGGGGCTTCTCATGTTTGCGGCCTGCGACCTCATCTCGACGTCACTGGCACCAAATACTGTAGTGACCCATGGAAGCTAGCAGTAAAAGACCGAGAGCACATATATCAATCTGACGTATTTAGCTCGCCCTACTTTTAAAAGTGTGAGGTTTCCCCCCAAGAATGCCTCCAGCGAAGTGTACCTGCCAGCAAAAGCCGACCCAACAAAGCTAGCTCGTCAGACCCAGAATGCATACCAAATTCAAGCTCAATACTGGTGCCGAGATCCCAGCCATTGGTTTTGGTACCTGGCAAGATGCGGAATCACAGGAGGCTGCTGTAGGAGAAGCAATCAAAGCTGGCTACCGTCACATCGACACGGCCAGAGTGTGAGTGATCAGCCTCAACATCAAGCCAGCCATACAATGCCGGAGTTCTGATATGTTACCTGTACTGTTTTAGCTATCTCACCGAAGAAGCAGTTGGAAAAGCAATTGCCAAATGCGGCGTCCCCCGCAAGGAACTTTTTGTGACCACAAAACTATGGAATAACAAGCACCACCCCGACGACGTGGCCGGCGCTCTCCAACAATCCCTCACCGACCTAGGCCTTGAATATGTCGACCTATTTCTAATCCACTGGCCAGTTGCCTGGAAACGCGGCGAAGAGCTGTTCCCCAAAAAGGGCGAGAACTATATTCTCGAAAATATCGACATCGTTGACGTACGCTCCACCCCTCCCATTCCCCCAATCTACAGTCACTGATTTCTCATGCACAGACCTACAAAGCAATGGAGAAGCTTCTCAAAACAGGCAAAACCAAAGCCATCGGCGTATCCAACTGCTCCAAGTCCGAAATGGAGCGGCTAGTCAAAGAAGTATCCGTCATGCCAGCAGTGCACCAAATGGAATGTCACCCCTGGCTCCAACAAGAGGCCTTCACTGCATGGCACAGAGAGAAAGGAATCCACGTCACGCACTACTCGCCCTTTGGAAACCAGAACTCGTTCTACGGAGACAAAGGGGTGGCGGGCAAATTAATTGACGAGCCGCTTTTAGCGGAAATTGGAAAGCAGTATGGGAAAAACGCTGCCCAAACTGCTCTTGGTAAGTATGATGCTATTCAAAGTCTTCGCTGGATTTGTGCTGATCATTGTTTAGCGTGGGGGGGATTACCCAGGGTCATTCAGTGCTTCCGAAGTCCAAGACGCCGTCGCGGATCAAGGCGAATCTAGAGAGTGACTTCAAGTTGAGTGAAAAGGATATGGAGAGTATTCGGAAGCTTAACAAGAAGATTCGGTTCAATGATAGTAGTGGGGAATTTGGGAGGGACTTTTTCGATGGTTGTGAAGATAAGTAGGATGGGTGATTTCAGGAGTTGTTGCCCAGCATTATTTGAAAAGTATTCTTCTTTCAATTTTGATTATTTACTTTTGATTACTTGCTTTTGAGAAACAGACGCATCGATTAGATTTGAGGATAGGCCTAGGTTTTGGGTACCGTGGTTACTCTGATTCCTGGCACAAGGTCGATTAGACCAAGTCATCTGGCCTTTCCTGTTTTTTTTTTTTTGATTGCATTTAGAGACAATTACAGAGATTTATAGAGAGATTTGCAGAATGAGATTCAAGAAGCAAGCAAGGCACAGATTATCGGCATTCCGATACTGAGCGTATGACGTCACGATCGAGCTTGACAAGGGAGCTTGGGGAACCTCAAATTATTGACGATCCCCCAACCGCACACCGCGGCCGAAACGACAATGGGTGCAGCCTCGCAAGGATTTGCTCTAGTCACCCCCGCCTCACGAGGCATAGGCTTCGCGTTCGCACAGCAGCTCTTGGCACGAACGACCCTCCCCGTCGTGGCCACAGCGCGCAAGAATTGTGACCAAGTTCGAGACCAGCTCCTCTCAACCAAGGGATTACACTCGAGCGCAGAAAAAAGGCTACACATACTGAAGGTAGATGTGAAAGGTAGATCATTCTCCTAACTGAATTTGTCGCAGCTAACAAAAGACTCCTAGATGAATCCACCATTTCGTCCATGGCAGAGACGATACGACGGGAGTTACCAGATACACCACTCCGTCTCGCCCTGACAGTACCTGGTGTATTGCACGTTGAGAAATCACCATCTCAAATTGACGCAGCGAATGCGCTGGACAGTTTCCAAGTTAACGCTCTTGGTCCACTATTACTCATGAAACATCTTGCGCCATTCCTTCCCACTAAATCATCGGCTGCATTTCCAGTCTCGGGGGCCAATTCAGACGGGTTGCTAAAACTCCCATCACACGCAATTTATGCCATGATGGCGGCGCGCGTCGGCTCAATATCTGATAATAACTCCGGCGGATGGTATTCCTACCGCGCGAGTAAAGCGGGTGTGTATCAGATTGTGAAGACTTTTGATTTGTATTTGAGGAGTAGATGTGCGGAGAGGGCCCTTACTGTGGCCTTGCATCCTGGGACTGTGAAGACTGATTTTACGAAGGAGTTTTGGAAGGGGAGGGAAATGCTTGAGCCAGCTGATTCAGCGGAGAGGTTGTTGAAGTTTCTGGTGGAGATGGAACCAGGAGTCAAAGGTGGGAGGGGACGATGCTGGGATTGGAAGGGAGAGGAAGTTATTCCTTGATCAAGATCTCTGGAGATACTTGTCCCGATAATACAATTTCAAAACGATATGACGTTGAAAGAGGCAAATCTTACGAGACTCCATTTGCTGTAAAACATAAATTCATGATCGTGACTATGCGAGCTCTGGTATGCCAAATACAGTAATAACAAAAAAAGACTCGTGCTTCTCATCTCACCCATGAAGTTCGAAAATGACCAAAAAGATCACAGCTTGATCCATCTTCCCATCCAAGTCTCAACGATAGACTTCGCCTCATCCACTAGCCCAAGATCAAGCAGCAACTGCGTCGAACCGCGAACTGCTGAATCCAGAGCCGAGAAAATCCATGCATGGGTATAGCTAGTATGCTCGCCAATGAAGATAGTCTTGAACTCAGTCTGGTAATAAGCAGGCAGATAAAGCTCCTGCTGTCCAACCAGTGGATCGCACCAAGCACCATTCTGGTGACGATCAGTTTCCCAGCATTGGCGGTCGTAGATGCCCGTGAACTGTTCAGCGGCGATCTCGCCGTGTACCTCAACCATCGCGCGTTGGACGAGGGCTACGTGCTCCTCGGCGTTCAAAGCAACGGCGGAGCGAGCTTCTGTGCCGGAAATATAAGAGGCGAGAATGACACCTGGACCAGTGCCATTCATGTTGTACGATGGGTAGCAGACGCTGCCGATGCCGGGAATGTCCACGGAGCCACAGCCACCGAAGATGGGCTCTTCCATGTGTTCCCAGAAGCGAGTTTCATAGAGGAGGGCCATCTTGCAGGCGGGGTCGTAATTTAGGGATGAGATTGCTCGGCTGAGAAGGGATGAGTACCGAGGCATTTCCCAGAGACGAACTTTGCTAAAGGGGGCTGCGACGACAGCATAATCGTATTCTCTGGACTTTTCGGGCACCATTTGCAGAGGGTCGTCGCGCCAGGTTACGGCGACTTTGCCGGTTGATTCGTTGTAGGCTAGTCCTGCCACGGTGCGGTTGAGGGTAAGCTTATCTTCGACGTGAGGGTAGAAAGCTTGAGGGAGAGACTCGAGGCCCTTGTCGATGGTACGCCATTTAGTTGCAGCGAAATAAACATCATCGTAGAAATCTCCCCAGATTGGGAAGTCTGTTGTCCCGGCGGCGTAGTCGGTGATGTTGGCGTTATAGCCTAGGGCATAGCGCATATATCCGGCCTCTGACCAATGAAACATGCCGTCTTCAACAGCTTTCTTGTGTGCCTGGTACATGTTGGTTGCGATCTCGCGAATCGTAGCCTTGTCATCCAGCTTAGTGTAATTGGCATAAGCAGCTTCCGCAGCAGTGACAGCCGATGCGTTTGATGATGGTGCTGCGTAGTCAAGGAGGCATTGGCTGCTACTTGGGCAGCTGAGGGGATACGACCGTCGGGCAGACGAACGCCTCCCGAATCGGCAGGGAGATTGGGGCCGTTCTGGATCCAGGGAATGAAGTTGACTTGGAGATCCGGCTTGTCAGCGTTCATTTCGTTCAAGACGCCGGCAAGCTGGAAAACCATTCGGTGATCCATGATCTCAAGAGTCTCGTTGGTGTCAGCATAGGTGATGCTGACGGGGGAATCGCATGGGGCCCATTTCCTGGTACTGATACTGGTCTGGACGAGTGTTATTCAGGTATTTTGTGCGAATGCGGCCGCCAACGCGCTCGGATGACTCGTAGATGTGCCAATCGTGAATGCCGACGGATGACAGCAGGTGGCTCGTCATGAGTCCGGACATGCCACCTCCAACAATGGCGACAGAGGTATTCTTGGCTTTGGAGACGAATGCCTCGCTCTCTTTCTTGGACTTCATGTAGGCAATCCCGTCGAACCACGGTCCCATTGTGTCTGCCACATCTGCAATACTTTGACGCTTGAGCATAGGCGATGATACACTGATGGGCGAAGACCGGCCCAGGAGACTGGAACCAGAAAATGCATGGAGACAGAGTGCGTGAGGAGCATCCAGGAGGGGTCACCCAGACAATTCGTTCTGGGTGAGCTTGACGCTTGACAAACGTGGTTCCAATCTCATGGTGCATCTGCCATGAGTTCTGCATTTCGCATTCACCGTAAACGAGTTGTAAAGGACCTTCAAAGGAGCTGTCGAGGAACTCCACATGGATGTTGTGCAGCGAGTCAGCCGTCACATCTCCAGGCGAGTGAATCCGTATCACTTCATCACCTCGTTGCACAGCACTAGCCAAACCGAGCCCTGACATTCCCAATCCAAGGAGGATATGCCGAAAGGCCTTCATCGCTGTTCTGGCAAGGAAAGCCTGGAGAAGTTGCTAGAGGGTTGTTTGGTGAATCAGGAAACATGTTGACACCGATCATTTTATATATTTTAATTGAGCCATGCATGCTGACTCAATTGCAACGTCAATGTCTGATAACGTACTTGGTTTAACCTCCGCGTTGAGACCTGGGTGCATTGTCGCATCTATCCTTATCAAGATAGACGAGAATCATATTGACCGTCGAGATGTGCTCGGAAATGCCGTTCAATCCGAGAAGATAAATGAAAGACTCAGACTTAATCTTTACGTAAAGCTGCAATGACACTCGAAGGGCGCACTTCTCCAAATATTGACTCCGCCGGCCGAGATGCAGACGATTCATGCGTAGGATTCGCTTAAGCAGCCGAAAAAGTCGTTATCGCAGCTACTGAGGTAGGTACCTATCTTATCAACAACTAGTGAGGGGCTGAGGCTATGCTTATAGCGATTATCGAGCATGGCATCGTGCTTCCGATCTAGTATTAGGCGGCGATCGGAGGCTGGCTTGGCAAACACGTAGATGCCCCAAGGGGAATATGTGCAGAGATCTAAAGAATCCAAGAATGCGTCAAGAATGTAAGGTAAGTATTTGCTTGGAGTGTGTAAAGAATCGTCATCATATCTGTCAACAATTGAAGCGGTGTGAGATGTCTGGGGTAAGGAGGTCTTCAGGTGGGAGATTCACCCAATGTTCTTGTTTAGTCAAATCGGGATTACGGTAGGCAAGAGTACCTTATCAACAACTGCAGCACTTGTTGAAGCGAATGCAACACGGCTCGGCAACAGGTCTTGGCACGCTTATCAGGGTCTCAATTCGCGAGTTCTGAAGGGCCCGGGTACGGGGATACTTCCGCGCCTCTTTCCATCAACAAACTGTTTTGAAACACCAAAGCTTATGTCAGAGGCATTGTAATGCAGTAGTGCAATGAACAATGCATTTCTGTATTTCCTTGAACACGTGGTGAATACTCTTTGTCACATTGGCTTTCTTTCTCGTTTGAGATATTTCCTATGCTAACGCTTCATTCTACAGGTTTCACGCATAATAATAATCGGCCCCGTCCCGAAAGAATGGTTCTGAGAACGGCCGAATTGTCACTGGATTATTCTGAATTTGAGTAACGAGCTGAACGGCCCAAATCGGGCCACGGCTTCTCCCTTTGCCTCTGCTTGGATCAACCTTGCTGATGTTGAATTGCCATGGGAAAGTGGCGAAGACCTATGTAAAATAAGGCAACAAAGGTGCCAGCAAGACGCAGAATTGAAGGGTAGGATGAGCCTATACATCAGTACGCGTGATTCAAGAGGGTGCTTGACCTAGGGGAAGATGAAATGTAGACACATCCCCCATCGCATTGAGGAACTTCTGACGAAACAAGTCATATTTCAGGGATCGCAAGCGACGAACAGCTAACTACTGGACCTCACGATTGGAGATTTTGACAGAGAAGTTATGATGCACAGAAGGTAACAGGAAACGCTGCGATCCATGCTCCATTCGAAAAAGACCTCAAAAGATGCAATCCGTACTGAAAATACGTCATTTCTAGGAGCAGCCGTAGATTGCGATACAGTGACCGTCCGATCTAATCAAACAGCACAAAGCCAACTGGAGTAGAATAGGACAATCAGCCCAGGAAAGCATGGAGTAAGCGATCAGATTGCCCCATGCACGGTCCAGAAGGGGGTGTTTTGATGAAGACCCTCTGTGCGCGAAGCGCTAGATCCACCATAATCTAGATTCCTCAGTGACGACCTGCTATAGTAAGGTCGCTCATGTGATTGACCCTAGTGGTCGCTATTCACAGCCTTACACAAGAATGTACCCTCCAAATCACTGGCAAGAAGAGACGAGCCGCAGTACGAAAAGGGAAGGTGACTGATCGAGCGCGGGGTACCGCGTCATCTATATGCACATCGTGTATGGGTCGACCGGAGTTACCCCGGTACCTCCATGTCTCCGGACCCCTGCATTCTGTTAATAGCGAGAGAAAGAAAACGAATCGCCCATAGTTAGGCTGTCGGGCCCGGAGTGATCACCATTCCAACGTCATGACATTTTCACAGCTTCCCAGATCTGCAAGAGCTACGCAAAATACCTCCCGTCTCAAGAATAGGGGCAATAGTGGACCCCTTTTGCCACGAGGATACTCAAAGCTGCCCAAGACGGAGACTTCCCCAGACGCAAACCAGGCAAAAAAGTAGAGCAAGCTTTCAACAAAACCTACACCCACGCCACCAACTAACCAAATTCCGGGAAGTGCAATCCATCTTATATCTTACTCCCCGGATTTGCATAAAGGCGAAAAAAAACAAGTATGTAGCCGAGTCTAAAGTCCCGACAATGCCTCGGTTTTCCCCCGGATTTCGCGGGAACGAACCCATTTAGGGGCTATGACTGTCTATCCCCCGCACTCTCTCCGCATAACGCTTGCCTGAACCGCTTGTCTGCCGAGGCAGGTATGTTCAACCCACGAATCAAGGCGGCCGAATGCACTCGATGCAAATGATCCCTGGCTTGGATCCGGATCGATGGGACTTTCGGAGCTTGAGAGTGGGATGTTTTGTTGGGCCTGGAGTTTCTCCGATGGCTTAAATGGGTTTAGCTTGCGACATTGGGCTTGAAGAGTTCTGGCTCTCGAGTTTAGGTGAGTTGGGGTGGAGTGTAAAATCAGAGGAGCGCGAAGAATATAAGATCCCCGAGTGGAATTGATCGTCCCTTGAAATTTGGAAATTTCTCTAGGCCATTTGCGGCTACCTGTTGATAATTGTTTCTCAATTTTACTTTCAATCTCATATAAACCTTTCCCATCATGTCTGACGATAACATTGGCGAAAAGCAGAATGCTTCTACGTCCGACATGCTACGGCGCATCCAGACGGGGAGAGTGTTCTGCTCCCTATGTCACGCGATGAATTCGAGAAGCTCTATTTGAGTCCTAGGATCCCGACTGCGGGTAATTTGCGACGTACCTTCGGTAACCCGACGCCAATTTCGTTAATGGGGTTCTTGCTTGCTGCGACACCTGCGGCGATGTTGACGATGGGGTGGCGGGGGCTGGTGGCCAGGGTGGTGCGATCTTGTGAGTTCCATACGGTGACTAGAGTGAGGACAGTGCTAAGTCATAGAATCTTAGACCGGTATATATTTTCTTTGGAGGAATTGTCCAGATCTTTGGAGCAGTGGGCGAATGGATCATTGGGAATACCTTTACCTGTGCTCTTTTCTTCACCTATGGGACTTTCTGGATCGTTCAGGGTACAAGCATGATGCCCTTCTTCGCTGTTGGAACCAACTACTCGCCAACGGGAAACTCATTGGAAGGGATGACCACGGCTGAGTATAGTGCCACTGTTGGTACGTATTCAATTTTACTTGAAACAACCTGTAACTGACAATGGGGTTAATAGGATTGTATTTCGTGATCCTTGCCGTCATAACCTCCGTCTATCTCGTTTGCTCCATTCGAACTAACGTTTGCCTTTTCCTGGCCTTGTTCCTCCTTGTCATCACGTTCTCTCTGACGGCTGCTACTTTCTTCCAAGCTGCGCTGGGCAATGCTATTCAAGCTGCTAGGCTTCAGACGGCGGCTGGCGCATTCAATTTTGCTTTGTGTTTGCCGATCTGGCATATCTTCATCGCTCAGATTCTTGATGCTGTTGATTTCCCCATATCGCTCCCTGTGGGTGATTTGAGTACTGTTGTCCTTGGGAAGTCTCAAAAGGCGAGGAGACGGGAGGTGGAGACACAGTGAACTAGAGACAAGTATTACTAGGGGCAATTGGTTCAGGAATACGAGAAAGCAGAAGGTGATCCAGTATTCGTGATCAACCTGATAAAGGTCAATAGTGAACAATAAAAGTCACCAGAATGCGAGAATCATATGGCATCCCAAGCCCAACGCCCGTTTTAATTCGTAAAGAAGCTACTATAACGATACATACACTCCCCCGTGATATCATTAGACCTAAACGTGACTAAGCGACACTTGCACTGTCATACTCCGGATGCTATTGAACCATTCGTCGAGCTCAAATGACTGACAATTCACAGATTGGTCTTCTCAACCTAGACCTGAATGCGCAGTGCACTCTCAACCGTGTTCTCTAAGAAGGCTTCGAAACAAGTGCGTTTCTTTAGTAATGGTTTCATAGTTCTGCCTGCTGTGTTGAAAAGACCTGCCTTCTGTCATTAATATTTCGTTACCAAAATATAATCTCGATGTCATCATTTTTGCATGTAAATCCCCGCAATCGAGGCGCTTAATTAAATTAGCGCCTTAGCCAAATCTCTCCTCCCAAACAGTTACGTTTTGACAGACTCTCCATTCTTGGACTACGAGAAATAGCTGTCAGTTGTTACAGTACTTGAATGACAGTCTCCGACGGTCTAAGTGAGCAAGGATCAAGCTATAACGAGATGTGTTTTCCTGCTCCCAGTTCAAAACTCAGCCATCGAAAAGTGAAAGCTTGAGCAAGAGGTGGTGGAATGCCACTAAGGGAGACAAGGAGCGAATGTGTTTTTTGTTATTCCCTCTTGTTCGCCTCGTTGGAGAGCGAGGGAGTAAAGTCACTTTAAGCGAGATGTCTAGGGGATTCCAGGTAATAGGAAGCGTATCAGGTTAGACATCCTCGCTGTTCCTAGGCGCTTGAAGGCCGCCTTCAAAGCCCATCACCTTCAAGAGGAAGGTCCGCATAGGCATGAATACACTAAGTTGGTTGAATCATCGCGATGAGCACATCGTGACCTTATGCCAAAAATCATTAATTGTCAATGGTCGGGATGGTCGGAAATATGCTCTTAGAGTGTGGTAGTCGCGTCAAAGCTCGCTCTTATCTGATGAGGAGCAGGGTACTCGATGGAGAGGAATGGGTAAGCTCTAGAGCTGGGGCGCCGTCTTTCGGACAATTTCCAAATTCGCGCATTGAGGATCCTTTCTGGTCACTGTGGATCGTTTTATCTCGAAGGGCCCCTGCTAAGAGGGAAGAGAAGAAGGAGACAACAGGTAAAGTAAGTTTTTATAAATTCGCTCGCGCTCGTTCTCGTTATCGCTCGTACTTTGCCGTATATAAATTGCTCCGATTGGTGAAGGTGGGGGCCCAAAATCGACTCCACACGAGCTTGGACTTTGTTGTTGTCGGTGTCTTTTAAACCGGATGAACCTCATTCATCGCACCAGTCACAAACTTGCGATCTTCCCAGTATTGACTCCATTCTGGAGCACGGGTGGGGTATATTGCCTGTTGAACCCTGATATTAGACTTATTCGGACAGTTTCGGAGATTATCATCGTGTAGCCACTGATCCTGTCGCATTATTTGCAAGGAAGATCGACGGTAGGTTTGGGTCGAGCACATGCTGCAATTGCAGATCATATACTTCATGTGGAGTATGGAGGAGGGGAGTCTTAGAGTTCCTTGGGTAAATCCAGGTACCCTTCCGAGATCAGGGACCGTAGAGGACTGTAGGTTTGCTCCTTTTGCTGGGCGTGGCCAGGAGTATAAAGTACCTGGTGTATTGCTCCCTTCCCAATGTCACTGTACGTTGATTCTCTCACTCAAGTCATTCTCTAAAATGAAGTTCTCATCTGTAGCTATTGCCGGCGCGGCTATGGGCCTTGCTCATGCTACTCCTCTCGCTGAGCGCGCCCAAATTACCGATGCCGATGTCCTCAACTATGCTTTGACCCTGGAGCACCTCGAAGCTGCTTTCTATCAGGAGGGTCTCAAGAACTATACTCAAAGCGACTTCCAGAAGGCCGGCATGCAGGACCCTTTCTACGCCAACCTCAAGGAGACGGCCAGTGACGAGCAGCAGCACGTCCAGTTCTTGACCAAGGCTCTGAAGGCCGCCGGTGCAAAGCCCGTCGATGCTTGCACCTACACTTTCCCTTCCACAGATGTCAAGTCTTTCCTTGCCCTTGGAAGTATCCTGGAAGGAGTGGGTGTCAGTGCTTACCTTGGTGCGGCCGCCAGCATCATGGACAAGACTTACCTCACTGCCGCTGGCAGCATCTTGACCACTGAGGCCCGTCACAGCGCCTACTTGCGTGCGGCCCTGGGCGAGGCCCCCGCCGCCCAGGCCTTCGACGACCCGCTCGACTTCGACGAGGTCTATACCCTCGCCTCGCAGTTCATTGCCTCTTGCCCCGAGAGCAATGGCAAGCTGCCAGTCAAGGCCTTCCCCGCCTTGACTATGCCCTCCATGGCTCCCGTCATGACCGGCTCCAAGGTCGACCTGATGGTTGCCGGTGGCATGTCCAAGGATACTTCGGATATCTATGCCGCTTTCATCACCGTCACCGGACCAATCTGGGCTCCCCTTGAGTCCACTGGTGCTGGCAAGTTCAGCGTCACTGTTCCCGAAGGTATCGCTGGCCAAAGCTACGTCGTCTTGACCAAGGGACACCAGCAGGCTACGGATGACAACATCGTCGCCGGCCCCGCTATCGTTGAGGTAAGTCTCAAGACATTCAAGACTTTTCGAAATACCAAATACTAAACTTCAACTAGGTTGGTGAGCCCAATGGACCCATGGGAATGGGCTCGAAGTGCACTGGTAGCGGACCCGGCCCCAAGGCCTCCATGTCCAGCTGGTCGTCGATGTCCATGCCTATGCCTACTGCCTCCAAGACTGGCATGCCCTCGATGTCTTCGGGTAGCATGGCCTCTTCGTCCGCTTCTGCCTCGTCCACTCCCGTCTTCAACGGTGCAAGTGGAAAGAGTGTGAGTGGTCTCGCCGGTGTCTTCGGAGCTATGGTTGCCTTTGCTGCTTTCTTGCAGTAATCCAAGAGTGTCTTCTGGCCGAAGCCCCGACATGACAGGGTCCGTCACACATCAACTGTTATTATAATGTAATTCTCTTCTAGTACAATATTTTGTCGAATTCGAGCATAGTCAAATGAGTTTTTCTTTCTTCATCTCTTGCTGGGTAAAAATCCTCAAGCTAAATCGGCTTCATTACTGCAAATTCACGCATTGTTGATACCGACTGAAGCCGTTCAAAATGGCCTCGAAGGTGAAGGGTTTTATGGAAGGGGGCATAGCAGCGAGGCCCGGAATCATGTACAATGTGCGAGTTGGGTGAAGCTAGTCTTGTACTTTTCTTTATCTTTCAGTGGCTTCCCCTGGGTCTAGGAATAACGTGCACCGGGCATACCCCTGTAATGCAGCCTCAGGTAGTAGCAAGAAAAGACAAAGGTAGTTGGCCCCGGCTTCTCTTTTCCCCAAAGCGACAACTCATTCACTTCCAAAGGCCAAGTATATACAGGCAATGACCAAGTCATAAAGTCGGAGACGGCGTATTATCATTACAAGTCAGTGGCACGCTACGTCCGACTCAACGCCATCCCCCAACCCTCCCCTCATCCCACCTCGCCTTCGCCTCTTTCCTAGACGCAAGCTTCGAAGCCTCATTCCGCACCCTTCTGACCCAGTCTGTAATTTCCTTCTCCGTCGCCCGACCATGATGATCCTCATCAAGGAAACTCTCCTCCACCGCATGACATACAGCCTCCTGCTCCGCGATCGCGGCGCTCAGGCGCTGGTATAAAGCTTTAGGCGACCACGGGGCCAGCGCCGTGTCCATCTCGGTTTGTTTTTTGCGCCATGAGACCTCTAAGGACTGATGTGTGAGAAGCATTTTCTCGGTTGAGGCGCGTAGCTCCGCGACGTGGGACTGCGTTTCTAGGAGGCGGATTACGAGGTCTTTGTTCGTTTGTATTAGGGTGTCGAGGTATTCTTGACGAGATGTGAGGGAGGGATGTTGATTTGCGAGGGCGACTATGAGGCTTGGGTCTTTGAGAATTGATTGAAGATCGATTGTTCTGGGGTTGTTAGCTGGTTGGGGCCTGCGTTGGGTTTGGGGTTGGAATGCGCACGACTTGTCCTTGACAATTTCTGGAACCCAACCTTCTTCGATTGATGGGGGTGCCGGTAGAGGTATTGGTTGGCTCTGGTAACAGGCCTGGGCATCTGGCTGATAGCTGGCTGGTTGCGGTGGCATCGAGGTATTCTGGGGGGTGCCTCCGCGGCTCGCATCATGGCTGTTCGGTTTCGGAGGTGGTGGGGGTGGCGTATCAGCATTAAGGGCCGAGTGGGACATCGGAGGCGTCGAGTAGAATGATGGCTGTGTAGGAAAGGGCGAGGCGGATTGAGACATGGTGTGGTGGTGTGGGGTTTGTACGTTAGGAAAGTTGGAGATGCGGGAAAGCAGCGGGAGCTTGGCGGCCCGATATCAGGAAGTTCCGATAAGAGCAATAGTTTCTACGGTCTGACATGGGAATAGGAAATAGTACTAGTCATATGAACTTTTGAATTGCCCATTCGTTTCGTTATTTGATTATAGAGCAGCAGCACGGTTGCTGAGGGCAGGTCGTCCAAGTTGACGCACTATCAGACTGGAATACGAGGCCGTAACTGGCGACGCGAGGATATCTGGTAGACATGGCTTGGGATCAAAAGCCTCGCAAGCTAAGTGCCGATGGGCTGTTACGCCGAAGGACCGCGAGGTATGTGGCTGATAGGCCCACGAAATCGCGTAAATGGTCTCAGACGATTGAGCCAGCGTGTTGAGAGACTCGAGGATCCCAGTGAAGAAGTGAAAATTTACACCGTCTCCTATTAATCAATTCGCCTGCGCGACTCACGGTCCGCCGTCTCGATCTGGGACCCTGAGATGGCTTCCATCACTAGCTCCCGTAACTGAGCCTGCGTAGCCTCACTGTGGAAGTCATCACGAGCCGCCAGCTCGTCGATGCGACGCTTGAACTCGGGATTGACTGTTGACTCGCCAGCGCTCGCCTCCTGCTCTGACATTGTGCCAATATTGACCTTAAGGTTGGCGGGGATCGGCCCCGGGGGGTTCAACGGGCCAACGGGCGAATCTGTTGAGGCTGGAGCAGGCTCTCCGAGCACCTCTCGCAGATATGCGCTGACCTGAGGGAATTCATCCTCGGCCTCTAGCTTCTCGTGGGCCTTGAGCCCTTCAAAGTTCATTCTCTTATAGTCCACTCCAAGCTCCTCCACCAGACACCGGGCAACCTTGGCGTCCTCGGTCACGAAGAGGCAGGTCTCACCGTCTTCATCGAGAAGATTGATATCGACGTTGTAGTCTTTGACTAGGGCACGGAGGAGGTCGGTATGGCCGTAGGATGCGGCGGCGTGAAGAAGAGAATAGCCGGACTCGTCCTGGCAGGAAGCGATGGAGGGGTTCGCGCTCAGAAGCTCCAGGAGTGCCGACGGATTGTCGCAAGCTAAGAGGTAAGGGTTTGGTTGGGTCATGATAGTGTCTGAGTCACAGTTGATACAAAATAAAAATGAGTTGGAATGTTGACTCTTTGAATTGAGTTGGAGATGGAGATTTGCGGCGGGGAAAAAATGGCGATACGATAAGGCTGTGTCCGCCTAACCTTTTTGGCTCCCCGCAGCCTGTGACACACTTTCGATGACTCTTTTGTAATTTTCAACCTTGCGCCAAGTGACACACTGGAGTTTTCTTGCAGCTTCTTAAGGGACAAGGTAGCTGCGCGATTGGATACGCTGTGATCTCAGTATTCCCTTCCTTTCACCTCCACCCCACCTTCCCCCTCCATCCCACTATCGATTTCCGCTCCCACCGATCGTCCCTTCAAAAACGAGAATTATGCCTGTGCAGGATCCCGGCGAGGTCGGGCAGCTCCTTGCCACATTGGAGGCAGCTCGGAAGCAGGACAAAGGCGCAAAGAAGCGAACCTACACCTGCAAGAAGACCACTTTCAATATTGCAGGCACCAATAATGTGACCGTGGACTCATGGAAGTTCAACGACTGGGACTACAAGAGCAAGGATCTCCCCACATACGCCCGTGGACTTTTCACTACCAGGCGCAAGGATGGTCAGCCCGAGATCGCAGTGCGCGGCTACGACAAATTCTTCAACATCGACGAGACCAACAATACAAAATGGAGGAACATTGAGCAGAACACCAAGGGGCCCTATGAGATGAGCGTGAAGGAGAATGGATGCATTATTTTCATCGCTGGTATGGAAGACGACAAATTGCTTGTTTGCAGCAAACACTCCACGGGTGTTCGTCCTGATACCAATCTCAGCCACGCCCAGGCTGGTGAGAAGTGGGTTGAACGCCATGTTGCTTCTGTTGGCAAGTCCTCGAAAGACCTTGCCCGTAGATTGCGTGAAATGAACGTAACTGCTGTCGGAGAGCTCTGTGACGACACATTTGAGGAGCACGTTCTTGCCTACGATGAGGCTGCTTCTGGTATCTATATTCATGGTCTCAACTACAACCTCCCCACGTTTGCCACAATGTCCGGTGAGCGAGTGCATGAGTTCGCAGATGAATGGGGCTTCAAGAAAGCCAAGTACGAGATGCGAGATGACATTGAATCCGTCAAGAGTTTCCTCGAAGCTTGTGCTGAAACAGGAACTTGGGACGGCCGAGAGACTGAAGGTTTCGTGATTCGATGCCAGCTGAGTGAAAATGGTGGGCCCTATCAGGACTGGTTTTTCAAGTACAAGTTTGAGGAGCCCTACTTGATGTACCGCCAATGGCGTGAATGCACCAAGGCCGTTATCTCAGGACGGCTTCCCAGAATCAAGAAGCATGAGAAGATCACCGAAGAATATCTCCAGTTTGCGCGCAGGCAGTTCATCAGGGATCCCAACCTTGCTAACCAGTACACCCATAATCATGGTATCATCGCTCTGCGTGAAGCTTTTTTGCAGGAGCGGGGACTCAAGGGATCCGAAATTATTGCCATGGAAGCTGAAGGTAAGAAGGGTGGCAAGGATACAACCAAGAACGTTGTTCTTGCTCCCATCGCCTCGCTGGGTTGTGGTAAGACCACAGTAGCCCTAGCCTTGGTACATCTCTTTGGATGGGGACACATTCAGAATGACAACATCCCCAAGCAGAAGAACAAGCCAAAGAAGTTCGCCTTCGAGATCACCAACGCGATGTCAGAGTACCCCGTTGTCATCGCAGACCGAAACAATCATCAGCGTCGCGAGCGCAAACAGCTTATGGAAGACATCTTCCCGGTGATCAAAGACGCCCAATTCGTGGCTCTTCATTATGTCCACGAGCCCAAGGCCGAACTCCTCCCTGCCATCAAAGAAGTGACCCGAAAGCGAGTGCTCGACCGAGGAAACAACCACCAGACCATCCGAGCCGGCACCAACAACCCCGAAGAAACCATCGGAATCATGAATGGCTTCCTCTCCCGCTTTGAAGGCATCGACATTCACCGTGACCCAGACGAAAACTTCGACCTCGTAATCGACCTGGACGTCTGCGCCTCCTCGCGCGAAAATCTCGAAGCAATCGTGCACGCCCTCCACGACGCCTACCCTCTCCTCGTTCCCGAAATTCCTAGCCATGACGCCCTCGACGCCTCCATCTCCGCCGCATTGAACGACTACGAGGTTCAAAAGGATTTATCCGCAGGCTACTCCAAGCCCAAGAAGACAGGTTCAACAAATCTGGCCCCAGCCGTTCTCGCCCGCAAACTCGAATACATCTCTATCTCTGTCCCAGCACACCCCATCACCTCAACCCTCAACAGCCTGTTCTCCAATACTTCACCGGAGACCTCAAAATTATACACCCACCTCCTCAAATCTCGCCGCATCCAGCCATCCTTCCACGTAACACTCATCCATCGCGCATCAGCCCAGTCCCATCCCACCATTTGGTCCCGCTATACAAACGCTTACATCGACTCTCTGACGAATAACCCCGTCGAAGACCCCGTTGCTAATCCACCCAGTCTCGGCTCTGCGCGTGTTCGTCTGGAACGATTACTCTGGGACGATAGGATCATGACTTTCGTGGTACGGATCTTGTCGAGTGAGGGGGAAGAGGAGTTATCTTATGCGAACGATATTCCGCATATTACTGTTGGTACGGCGAGCGCAGATGTTAAGCCGAAGGAGAGTAATGATTTGTTGGCGAGGTGGGTTGAGGGGGGAGTGGTGAGAGTACTGGGATCCATGAGATGGAGGTTAGTGGGGTTTTGGTTGTTGATGGGGTGGTCGGGATGACTATGAGTCGTGGAAAGTATTGATTTTTTAGTGAGAGTTGATGTGGTCGATTATTGACGCGAGGTCATGCTTTTTGATACCTATTTGTTACGAGGTAGATATCTTTAGAGAAATATCCGTACACGCATGGGTGCATCTTTAGGTGGAAGTCTAAAAGTTGGATATAGAGATGGCGTTTTTTGCACTGCAAGATACTTGTGGGTTGAAGTATGGGATTATCTACTCATTATCCGAGTCTCAATCTATAGACATGACATGTACAAGGATAACAAATCCAGACGTAATATTGCTGATGCCAGAATACGAGACATTGTCTAGCTCATATCACCCCCCAACGCTTGATATCAGATGCCTTCCACCTGCGTCAGTTGGGGGTACAAAATCAACCGGAAACCCAAGCAGAAACACGGTTCACTCCAAAGCGGCCCACGTATTGCAAGCCGGTGCTGCCCATTGGGAAGTAGCTAACGAGGTACCACACCAGAGCGACGAGTTGGCAGATGGAGGAGATGAGGGTGAGGAAGAGGTTTTGGCGCTGTGTCAGTTAGCATAAGAATCCAGGTGCACCGAAACGAGGCTCAAGAATATGGAAAGGAAAATCAAGGCAGGGACATGGCAATGCATCGCTCAGGACTTGTTGTGTTGGACCCGGGGAGGGTCAACGTTGAACGTTGACGTATTGCAGGGTTTCGCTCGTGCCCGGTTACACAAGGCCGATGAGTACAGGGTGATATCAAGATAGCAGTGCCTTCCATCCTGGGGAATCTTTGGATTTGTAGGGCGTGACGAGCGTGTCACGCCGTACTGCGAGATAGAGTAGGAGATGCAAGATTCCCTCTTTCCCCGAGGTTGCGCCGTGCGACACGTCTTGAGATGTGCGACGGTACAAAAGGGGTTAGGGGGCGTGGGTATTGGGGTCGGGATGGGGAACTAGAAGATGATCGACAAAGAAATGAAATACGTACCCCGATGGCGAAGTAGAGTGTCAGCCCGATCGAGCCGAAATAGGCGGCCGTGAAGGGGAGCCGTGATCCCGAGATCAGATGCTTAGCGTACGACCACGGTCCCATGAGAACCGCCCATGATATTAGGAACAGAACGGATCCGACGGACCAGCTAGGTAGAAGTATTAGCATGGAAATATCCTGGAGATCTTGTTTTGCGAAGTTCTTGGCATGAGGCGCAGGACATAGTTGCGGTGCTGGCGAATGAGATGCAAGTGAGTCGATTGCGAACTCGCACATGCCTGAGCAAAACGCCCGCTCATGACCAGGATCATGCCAGTGTGAGATATGACTGGCCGATCCAGCCCGGGTCGAGCTTAGAGCTCAGAAGAATGGTTGAATGGGTGGGGGACGAGGCCGCTGGATGCAGGCAAAGGTAGGTGGAGGGGAGGCAACTTACAGAACCGCGAATTTTCGAGGCTTGAGCGTTAAAACGGGAAATAGGAAGAAGCAGATCAGGAAGCAGACGGCGGCGCCCAGATTACAGGCAGCGAAAATGAGCATCCGATCCCATCGACTTACTACAATAACTTGGCGTTAGCGTCGGCTGAAATCTACACCTGTCGGATTGGAAACCCCGTAGACAAGCGTGGTCGTTGAGAAATCCTTCCCGGCGCAGGAACTCGCACACTCGTCACCTGGATCAGGCGTCGATCTGGACGAGACGATCATGGGATTGGGGGTCACGAGTGATCGTGAGGATAAACTTACAGGCAAAGAAACCCTCTTCTTCTTGTTGTCTATTTGGTGCCGGTAGTGGAGCACCGGGCCCTTCGTTATGGGTAGGGAGCTGGACATAACCACCTTGACCGAATGGATTCAACGACTGCAGTCGCGAAAAGACCGAAGTGTCCTGGGAGGCATTGGTGCGCACGGGAAGATCCGGGTCTCTGCGCGACCAGCCCAACGAGTTGACCGAATCCCGGAAGGAGTTATTGGCCATGACTTCAGCCCTATTGTCCTAATCTCCGAGTTCTCGGTCTGTAAGATCTGGATATTTCCCGATTGAGAGGTGTAAGAAAGAGGAAGACGGTGCACGGCCGCGTCTGCAGGTAAGGCCCGTGGGCTGGGAAGACGAAACCGAGAAACGTCTGCAGGGACTATGCACGATGGAGTGCAGATGATCTGCGCCGGATGATGTACTGATTTCCAGAGGATTGGCTGGAAGTGGATACCAGATCGAGCTAACGGATGAGCAGATGACGCCCAGGCCGTACGCGAATTTGGCTTTTGCTCACGAATTTGGGGCTATGTTCTCGAGCGCACAGGCTACGATGATGGTTGAGCCCTACGACCTTCGGCTGGTTTCCAATACGAACCCGGATTGGAGGGTCTGAGGAGGCTGTTGATAATGGCGCGAGTCGATCGAAACCTTGTAAAATGATTCACCCGATCAAAACTGAATTGCAAGGTTGCTGCCTGTCTCTGGTCGGAGGACGCGCCAGTCCACGGGATCTGCAGGACTATTCCGGCAACAATATTGGAGCGGGGACCGAAAGAAGGATGTCTCCGACGCGGCAGCAGCGGATCGAAGCGTACGTCAACGGACGCGCCGGATCGCCAAGCAGAGGAGGGAACGTTGAACCTTCGAAACACGATCCAACAATGAGGAGGGGTCGGAGGACGATCGCGGTCAGCAGGGCGATGATTGGACCGGCAAGCGCTGCGCTATCTGTCGAGGGTAGAAAGTCCAAAGAGGGGGGGGGGGAAGGATGACGAGATGGCGTGAAGCTACCGATGCGAGCAACCCGGATCGGCGAGACTGAGGAGAATGAGAGGTGTCAGATGATGGAACTCGGACCGAGCTCAGGTCTCAGGGTAAGAGTGTCCTCACATACCTGTGTCGTTGGAGGTGGTGGTGGTGATGTTGGAGAGGAGGAAGCTAAACCCGGAGCGGGTCAAACACACGGACCATCTTACTATACATCTCTCTCTCTGTTTAGGATGTGGTTTTTGGTCTTAGCTATCTATATCACTATCCCATTTGTAAACCACTAGTTTCACTAGCTATTGAAAAGCATACACACTAGAGCTGCTAACGGAGCAGCTACATATGGCATTTCCCAACACGGACTTTCCGCGAATATTGTTATAGTTGATGGAGGTACACTTCGCGCCACAATCTCTCCCCCCCCTCCCCACACACCTTCACGAGTCATAGTGGTCGATCTCCCTCAAACTTTCCAGCCTGGCCGGTGCGCACCCTGTGGCGATCGAAATCACTATACTGTGCAGAAATGCATCTGGACTATCTGATCGGTTCAGTCGACTGCCACCACCCGTACAACGATGTCTAATTATCCGACAGTCGGGCGAGTGCCGTGCCGGCTTGGGTAACATTGCCTCCTCACCTAGTATGTCCGAACCGCATGAAAACTGGGGGAAACGCAATTCTCGACGTCATGTCAGGGCCCTGTGCACCCGAGACACAGTAACATAGCATTTGAATGCGTTTCAGTGTCTCTAGCGGGCCCTCCTTGCATCAACCGTGGGTACTTCGGCGATACCCTCCGAACCTTGACGGGACGGGACGTGGAAAGATCCACGGTGCTATCCTGGTCCCCCTCCTCTCCGACCTTGTTATCGACACATTCTTGTGCCCAGGTGGCTTAGATGCATTCCTGGGAGACACTTTGGCGTGGCTCAGTTTGGTTGAAACCGGTTCTGCCCTTCCGTCGCGTTGCGAAAGGTGAGCAGTGTGCTGCATCGCTAGTTCTGATTCGTTGCCAGACCAAGACACATTCCCAATCCAAATCATGAGGCCGCCACATTCCTCAGATCAGCGAGGGAAAGAAAAAGAGGCCCAGCATTGGAGCGTTGCGGTCACGGACCCCACTACGTAGTGTGGGAGGCACGGCCCAAGCTCCTGTGGTCGATCCGTGATGGGATCCTTTCTGCACGACATGCGAGATGCTGACCTGACTGGGCCTCTACTGCAGACTATAGACGGCAAATCCCGCTGTAATGAGTTTTCACGCCACGTACGTGCACGTATGTTCCCCAGGCTTCACCACTAGATATGGGTCGCTTATCGCGTTATATTCCCCGGATGAGACTTGCGGTCGATCTTTACTAACTCCGGCGCAAGTGCTCCTAGAGCTCTGCATGCCGGGAGATCAGACACTCTCCCACATGGGACAGGGTTTCATTGGCGGATCTACACGGCTTAGCCCTCCTGTGCTATCTTCGGGCTAATGCACTAGGTGCCCTATAGTACCAGGTAGATTAGGGGTTTCCATTGCTCAGAGCGTGTCTGTAACCGTAGAGGGACCATCTGATACATTCCGCCAGTGCAAGATCTCTTTAATTTTTTAATTTTTAATTTTTTGATTTTTTATTAAGGTTTTTATTAAGTTTTGTCTTTTCTCCATTATTTTTCCTCCCATCTCTCTTTTTAGGGATTTTCTATTTTATCTCTTCTGCTCTGAGTCATGACCATAGTCCTAGATGACCCGGTGAGGGTGACAAACATCAGGGCATCATGGGGCGCCATTTACTCAATCCGGCTGTATCACCCTTCCCCCCTTTCTCTCTTCTGTATTTTACCCTATTTCACCCTATTTCACCCTACGTGAAATGTGACTTATATCTAAAAAGAGAGAGGAGCAGAGGCTCGGGGGGTTTACCGGTTGCCACCCCTCACCTTTCTCCCCCCCCCCCTTCCCCCCCCATGAAACCCACCCACACCACTTCACCTAAAAATAATAAATATTTAAACGGGTAAAACAAGAAATCGTCTCCGATGCCGAAGCCCGGTAAGCCTCGATTTCCACCGATCGCCGGGCTGCATGACCGATGTTGTAATATATCAAATGAGAGGTGCAGGAGGGGCTCGAGTTCTTAAAGTCTGCGCCGTCCCTTTCAAATCCTGCAAGTGCTTTTCATCCTGCACTGCTGTGTTGTCACTGCTTCTTTGACTCTTCGAGAACTTCTTCCCTTCCCCCGCGCCCCATGATTCGCAAGACTGTCCCGGTGGATCGACTAGACTTCTGTGGCATCAACAAGCTCTCTTCTACGCAGGTACGTGGTCTCCTTTTGTTTCTGTTCCTGCGTTTGGATCCACGTATGGGGGCTGGGAGTCTGCGATATCCATGATGGGTTGGATGAGTTGGACTATGTGTGATGTTTTGTTGTGTTGTTCGGATGCCTATAGGTTCTTGTTTGTCTATGTGGTAGACCATCACTAACATCCTCAGCAGCATCGTGGTCCGATACACTACCTGGCTACAACCTAGCTACACCCTAACCTTATACCTGGTAAGACATCACACTTCTCATCATCTCATCTCATCCGATCTCAAGCGTGGAGAGAAGAGTCTCAGCCTCAAACAGGTCAAGGCGTCAACTTCATACTCCATTGCCACCCTTCACCGCTCTCCACCGCTTCTTTCCACTCCCCCGCCTTCTCTCCACTTCTTTTTTTTCCTATACCTTCGCGATTGACAGAGACTTGACGGGATCTCTGAGCCTCTAGGCCTTGTTCCTCAGTCTGAACTCTGCTCGATTGTCGATTCCTCATTTATCATACCCTCTGCTTATCTACTCCCCTCCGTCCCCCCTCCCCCCTTCTGACAAGACACGTTTCCTCTACCGCTGCCTGTTTCACCGACTCTTTCGGATCTTTGCTCATTGAGTCTCTGGTTTAGAACGCGGTCGCGCTTTCTCTTTATCTTTGTATTGCCGATCTCGGTCCGTGGGAACGATCTGCACCCCGGACATTCGTCCCCCGAGCCCGTCAACTCATCCCTCCTCCAATTCTCCTTGTCCTCGACCCGCATCTCGCGACCATAGACATCTCATAGCCGCCTGTCAATCTTCTTCAGGAAGGTAATTATTCCCTCGACATTCTGGCCGCGAATTCCGCGGGGCTTCAGTTGCCTCCTGTCGCCTTGCGGATGTCGGCGCATCTCATTTGCCGACACTTCCCTGCGTCCCGTTTAGAGCCACTCGCAGCTAACATCATCCTCGCCGCTAGATTCCACAGTCTCCATTTGTCACGTACCCATTTACGGCAAATTACATTGACGGCTGCCTGACACTGCCGATCACTATCTAGAGAGGGTCAGTAAACGGACGGAACGACTGCTCTCCACACTTGCGCCCGACCCCCACGTTACCCTCACAACCTCCTCTACACCTCCGTTAGTCCGTGGAAATGGCGGAAGCAAGTCTTTTCATCAAGCACGAATCTGACGATCGCAGCAATCCTTTCATGATGTCTCACTCCGGTTACATGGGTAACCAATTTGGGAACCCGAACGATGGGTAGATCCTTCGGACTTGACGATGCAACAAGGCGGCTTCATGCCGTACTCGTACGGCTCGCAACAGAACATGTCTTCCAGTTTCAACTTTGGAAATTCTGGAATCGATACCGATGAACTGCTCGACCTGGAAATCAACGGACAGAACGGCGTTGCCCGTGGCGATAACATGAACTACATGCAGGACCAGTCCGGTGGCATCGCCATGAGTCACCAGAGTCAGATGTCCCACCTCTATTCCAATACCCCAGATAACGCCCCGATGGCCAGTCCATTTGTCCACAACAGTTTCAACTATGAACAGTTCCGAATGAACCAACAGAACAACCACCTTCAGAATGCCAGCTCCTTTGACCAGAACTACATGAACAACAAGTCGCGACCGAGTTTGCAGGCCATGGATCGGACCTCATCGGATGCCCGCAGCCCCAGGACCCCAAAAACTCCCGCTTTGGGATCATTAACCTTAGGTACCCCGGATTCCGGCAGCTTCCCCGGCCAGCCTATTCGAACCGGTGGACTCCAGGCTCGCCATCAGAAGACTCTGTCTAACCAATGGGATGGAACATCAGGCAGCGCACACTCATACGCCGAGTCCCCCATCTCTTCCCCCGGCCATCACTCACACCATGCTGGCATCTCCGAGATCATCAAATCCGGCAAGCACGCCTCCTTGCCGGCCAAGGTTGACCATTTGCCAGGTAGTGGCCAGGACCTGGAATCACAAGAGGCCAAGCGCCGACGACGCCGTGCATCACACAATCTGGTTGAGCGCCGTCGCCGCGACAACATCAATGAGCGCATCCAGGATCTTTCTCATTTGGTACCACAACACCGACTTGAGGATGACAAGGTGCGCAAGCAGTTGGTGAATAACAGCACCCTTTCCATGGCCGGTGCTGGTGGAAACGCTGCGACCTCTCTTCTCGCTGGCGGCAACGGACGTCGTGCTACACCAGGCAACATCACCATGGGCCTCCCCATCGAAGAGAAAGAGAAAGGACCCAACAAGGGTGATATTCTCAACGGCGCCGTCAGCTGGACTCGCGACCTGATGTGGGCCCTTCATATCAAGTACCAGCAGGAAGCCGAGCTGGCCGAGATGATCAGTAGCCTCGGCGGCACCTGGCCCTTCGAGCCCACAGAAGAGGAGAAACGCATGCGCAGTGAAATTCTCGAAGCTCTTGAGAGAAACGACCCCAGCTCTTTTGCCTACACTCGTGGTCCTGGTAGCGGCCTTCGTGTCCCCAAGCACACCAACTTGGCCGGTGATCCTGTTGGACCTGGCGGTGAAGGTCTCACCCCACCCAATCTGAGCCCTCAATTCCACAGTGGATCCAGTAGCGCCAACGGCCAGCCCCAGTACTGGAGCAGTGCCGGCCACGCCGCCATGAGTTTCAAGGAGGAGGATGAATACGGCATGGACATGTGAGACGCATGCCTGCAGTGAGATCTTTGTTGCATACACGGCGTCTAGGAGGGAAGTTTTTTCGGTGTACGGGAACACGAGAATGCTCTTGGAATTTTATATCTGTGATTTTTTTTTTCCACGATGCCGCATTTTGATTTCGCCATTGTTGCGATTTGATCCTGATCCTGATTCTGATCTTCAATGGTCGTTTCGGCTCTGCCAGACTTCCATTCCTTACGGATTATGCGTCTGTGTCAATGTTTCTCGGATTGTATTTTTTTTTTTTTCCCTCCATTTTCTTTTTCCTTATTCCATCGATACCCTGTTTCTTTTTCCTTTTTTTTCTTTTTTTTCCAGATGTTTCCTACAATGGTGCCTTCTATGATCCTGTTTTTGCATGCTTTCCAGGTGCGCCCATTCTGCTTGAACTTGACCTTGTCTCCCCTGCCTTGCCGCCTTAATACCCCTTCCTACTTCTCCATCCGTATTCGCTTCTACGCAGTTCCTAGGTTATTCCTTTTTGGCAAATCAATTTATTTCATTGGCCACGCCAGTTGTACGCAATCTGCCATCTACGTGCCTCTTCCGTCCCTCGCAGATTGATCTCTCAAGTAGTCGTCTATTGGGTATCAAGATGAAACATCTCTAGCTCTAAACATGCAGCTCACGACAACCTCATCCCAAGTCCAATCCCATATTGAGCCGTCGCAAACAACCCAATCACATTAATAAAAATCGACGTCCCATGAATAACCATAAACCTTTGTATGCACTCCAATGCTTCCTTCGAAGGTGCCTCTCTTCCATTCTTCTTATCCCTCAACTCTGCATGATTCATGAGCAATCTCTTCACCATCTCTTCCATTTTCCCCCTCCAAACGCCCGATGCAAAAGATTTTAAAAAAAAAAACATACCTTGAGCATTCCTAGCCTTGACAGCCCCCTGCGTCAAAGGCCGAAAAATCACCAAATTAATCAACCCCGTCACCGTAACCACCCCAAGAGTCCTCCAGGACCCTGAATTCAATACATCCCGTAACCGTGCCGTGGACGTGACCCCAACTAACACCGGCAAGAAACTCTGCAAGGAGAAATAAACGGGGAATATCGCCGCTTGATGAACGCCGAAATAGGGCCTTCCGAGCGCTTTGAATGCCACTATGCCGTTTATGAATGTCTAATTTCATGATATTAACACCCTCTTCACCTATCACCTATTCTTGGAATGGGAATAGGGATATATAAATAGATTCTCCGTAGTGGGAATAAAAGGAGAAGGGGAAAGGCGTACCTGAAAAACCTGCGCCCCGAGAAGAATCCCATAGCTGCGATCCGTTAGGGTTGCCCGCTGCCAAGGGGTGCGGGGGCGGGGCTGTCCGCGGGCTAGGGATGGGTTTTGCCGGTACTTACCTGGAGAGGTGGACGAATTGTATAATCATGGGGTTCAGGGCGGTGATCTTCACCTGGTAGATTGTAGATCCCGGATAGTCGAGGATAGGTGCCTTGGGGGGGAGTTTGAGGGCTGGGGTGGAAATTTTCGGTCGAGGTTGCTTTTTCCCGCCAAGATTTGGAGGGTCGGCGCGGGTATGATTTCGATGGCTTTTTTTTTTCCTTCAGGGGGGGATATCTTTTTCTTGGTTATTCTGGTTTGGACTCTATCAGCATTGATATTGGATTTTTCTTTTTTTTGGTACTTTTGTAGACTTGGCTCTTTTTTACGTTGTGCGCTTTGCATGGGATCGGTATTTGGGGTTTCGGAGATACTTCTCGGGGCGAATTCTACCCCGAAGCGTAACAGATAAATGTTCTAGATTCGAAGGATAGAGATCTTGATCTTGATAACACATGCTGCAGACAAGCATTGGGGGTCACGTGTAACAGTGATCAGCCTCAAACGTCTGTTTGATCGTTCTGCAGCACCTTTCTGCCACGATTACCCTTTACATCGACGGCAAAAGTTTCTCAATGATTTCGCAAACTTTTTACTACAGCTTTGGACGGCCAATGTTCCACGGACCTTGAGTTCTAAGACAAAGGGTTCGTACACTTGCTGGCTGACGGAGAGGCTAGATCGAGGTCTAAAGCGGACTCTCAATGGGACGGCGCGTTGGGGAAATGCGAGTGATTATCTAATTATGCGGTCTATGATTCCTGAGTACGCTGATCTCAATCTATACGCCGAGAATGCATTTGACCATGGAGATGTAAATGCGTATAATGTTCTCATTGGCGAGGATTCGAACTTGACTGGGTATGTCGACAATTTCCTTCTCTTTATCATTTCTTGTCATCCCAGCTGGCATGTATGATTGACTTGATTTGAGTTTGAAAGTGTGATCGACTGGGACTGGTTATCCGTCGCACCCCTCCCAGCCTTGATCCATCATCCGTGGTTTATAGCCGAAATCCCGGGGTGGCATAACGAGGGTGCGGAATTCGGTGTTGAGTTTGCAGATGACCGACAGTACCTTGAAGATGCTATATGAAGGAGGGAAATTGAGAAGAATATGGGAACTAGTCTATCGTCGTTGTTAAAGGGATCGGGGAAAAGGTTCTTTTTTCAATCGGCTTGTCATGTTAAGGATGTTCATACGCAATTTTGTTCAGACTTATTGTCAATTCACAGAGGCCAATAAGGCTGTTATTAGGGAGCAGTTGGATATTGTGCTTGGGTTGTATCCTGAGCTTGCCGGTAAGGTGGGAGTCACGGCTGTTAGGGAATTATTGAGAACGAGCAGTGAATAGAGGAAACTAGGGCAAAACGATACCATGCTTTTCATTGGATCAATAAATGTCTGGGTGATGGATTTGGACATTAGAAGAACACTACAATCGCATTATTTGTCAAAAGTTGATGTGTGCAATCCGAAGGTGTCAGGAAGACAAGAACACATCTCTTGTCTAATCGAGATCGAGTATTCTTCGGGGTGATAGCACTCGTCCTTATCTAACTTTCCAGGCTGGTGTCGGTCAGGGTTTAGAGGTTCCAGCTCTCATTGAATCACGATCACAATCGAAAGGACAAGAAGAGAGATAGAGAGAAACACGCTAAGCCCCAAATAGTCCTAGCACGAAGCGCCACGCCTCGGCATTGCGCCCCACATTCAACCCGTATAGAATATCACCGCCTAGCTGATCTGACGCACTGCCACTGTACTTGTAATTCAGCTGCCTGCTGCATCCCCGAACTTCTCTATTTACTACAGCCCAGACATCCTAGCTACCGGTGCAAGGTTCCTGTGAAAAGAAAAGACTCTGCCGACGATGGAGAACCAGACCAAAGACAACGAGCCAGCGCCCTCATACGCGGATATCTTCCAGAACCCTACGAATATCTTCTCGGGTGTACGTGTCCCAACTCTCCAAGTTCCTTCGTTCCATGTTGGTGTATGTCATCCATTTCATATACCTCTGTTTCAGCCGTTCCGATTCCACCTGCCTGTGTTCCGGTATCCAAACTGACATGATAAATCTCAGTATACCCGCGTAAACCAAGAGTCTGACGCCGAAGCAGGCGACATTCACAATCACGGTGATGGCGCCATTCCTCTAAACCCCAGACCGGTGGATGGTCAAGCGCACGTCCATTGCGAAGTCTGTGATAGACAGATGGATAGGCGGGAGAAGGCGAAGCATCAGCAATATACGTGTCATGTTGTGTCGAGGACATTTATCCTGATCACTTTGTTCATGATGATTTTCGGGATCGTCGCGGTTACGACGGCTCATAAGAGAAGGAAGGGTGATGGTGGTGCTTGAGACGGGGATGATTTTGAGGAGAATCTATATGTTAGTTTCAGTTGATGCAGAATCTAGGCGTGTGGGGGGTTATTTTGGGGTTGAGTGTTGTTATACATATAAAAACAAGCACAAGCACAGTAAATCGCTTTCTATCCATCTAGTCTGTTCTAGTCTGATGCATGGGAACAAATGCCAGCTTTAAACAACATTGAACGCATGAACTCAGGGTAAGGTACAGCTGGGTATATCGGGGCCATGAGATACAGTGCCCAGCTCAAGCACTCGATAACGACAAAACGGGGATATTTTTAATGTCCGAACCAGCTGATAGCTTATTTCTCGTCGCGCATCTTGCGGAAGAAGTCCATCACTCCGGTGAACACGACGAGCAGGATACCACCACCGGGGCCGAGACGCAGAACCTTGGGAATGAAGCCCTTGTACAGCGCGCCGAAGCCCTCCTCCTTCATGACGGTACCAACAGCAGGCCAGGCCCAGTTGTACTTGGGTGTCTGGCCGGGCACCTTGGTAGTGTTCTGGATACGCGACTTGACCACATCCATGGGAGTGTTGAGGATAGTACCAGCGATACCACCAATAGAACCAGCGAGCAGATCGTTACGGGTCTGCTGGCTCTTGTTACCAGGTTCAGGAGCAGGCAGCTGCGCGCGGACCTGGAAGATACATCCAAAGTAACCAGCGTTCCACAGGATATGACGCCACAAAGTGGATTCCAGACCGTTGTACATGGCCAGGGGACCTTCCGTCTTGACGATCTTCTTCACGACATCCAACATGCCGTTGTACTTGCCAGCCGACGCCTTATCCTGCAGACGGATCTTGACCAACTCGAAGGGAACAACCACAAACGCCTCTGTCGCTCCGGCGGTGGCACCGGTCAGAATAGCCAAGGACTGCGTCTGCTTGTCGACGCCGAACGCGTTGCGATAAAAGCTGCCCCAGCTGTCATTGGCGGCGAACTTGGTAGCACGCTTAGGCGCCTCCATCAGGATGGGCGCGGAGATACCGCGGTACAGGCGCGAGAAACTGTGGAGATCTTCGGTAAGTTTCGGAGGAAAAAGCAGTCGTGTCCAAGGCAGTTTTCACGTACCCCTCGGTCTTGACAATCTTGCTAAAGCAATCGAACATGCCATTGTAGTGTTCGGCGCCCGGGACGGGGACTCCAGACTGAAGTTGACTGCGGAGAGGCGTGTTAGTTGTGGTCGGGTGATCCATCCAATCGTATGCTTACACTCGGGTCTTGACAACGTCCAATGGGTACCTGGGTGTCGCATATGGTTAGTATGATTCATTTTGAAGGCGATGAACGGGATACAGTCTCCGAGTACTGTCTGGGCGAAGGGATAGGTACGCACATCATCAGAATCTGTCGTGCGGATATGGTCGCGTTAGTCACTGGATCACCTCTGGGATGACTTTCGACGTCGGGATGGCCTCCAAGAGCGTCTAGAGACAACTAGTTGGAATGACTTACCTCGGACACACCAGCCACCGCACCTGCGGCGAACTGGTAAATGAAGGGGAGAGGCTGCTGCGGCTTGTCGGACATGATGGCGACCGTTTGACCTGAAACAAGTTCAACGAATGCAGAGTAAGAATACAGAGCAACGAATTGATATGCACGCGATGTATGTGCGCAAAAAGACCTACCAGAAAAACTAGAAAATAGAAAGCTGGAGAAAGAAAGAGAGGAGATGGAGATGATGGGGTCGCCGCTGTCGGCAATACTCGGTGACGGGATCCGATTTAGTTTCACCGCAGGAACAAACTGCCGGGTATTACTAACCGCCCCATGGGGTTCGGGCATTTGCTTTTCCCGTGGGTTGTCTATTGTATACCATTGTTCATGTGTCATTGCCCTATCTTCGTGATTTTCATATCCATACAGTACACAATATAATTGCAAACACCCAAATTGACAAATGCACCTCTACTCGACTCCCACTACTCGTCGCAGTCGCCTGTTCCTTGGCAACGGTGGAGTGCGCTGCGGTCGCCGTACAGCTTTGTCCGCATGCATACCCGGACGGACAACACCCGCCGCCTACAGTATCCGCACAGCTGAACCAGCCATTAGCGCATTTCCCTGTCGGGTCAGAGGATCCCGTCACAACAGGCTCTACGATCGTGACCCCATCCGAGGTGAAAGTCGTCGAAGAGGTCGTTGGGCAAGACGTGGTATCGCAATCTCTCCCGGTCTGGCAACAACCACCATGGTAAACCGCCGAACAAGCATAGAATCCAGTGGGACAAATATCCACACGACTAGTCGTAGAATGAGTCGTAGTCGACAGACTCGTAGGTCTCGCCGGCGGACTCAAGCTATCAGTAGTTTCCGTCTTGCTAGACTCAGTCGATGTCGACGTCGAAGTCGTCGAATGAGTAGAATGCGTACTCTGGGGAATAGTGGAGAATGTCTCTGTAGAAACCACAACACTCGAATCAACCGTAATCGTCACAACAGAGATATAAGCACCTATAACTCTCCGTTAGCTCTTCGCCTCGGATAATTCTTTTTTTTTTCAAGGCAAGGCACTCACATCCTCCAGAAACACACTCATACCCTGGAATACAACACCCTCCCCCCAAGCGTCTCCGAACAAGTGGCGTACCCACTCGCGCAAGATCCAACAGTCCCAGAACAAAGCTCACCAGCCGGACAACATCCCACATCGCCAGACCCTATATCCGTCACGATCTCACACGTACTGCCAGTGCTACAGCACCGGTTCGAGCGGCCGATGGACGTGCACGCGTTTGTCCCAGTCGGACACTTGAAATCTCTCGTTTCCAGACCGAAAGCAGTTCCTTCTTTTTCTAAAGCGGATTGGAAGGGGAAAGAACGGGCCAGGAGAGGATATTCGTACTTAGGATCCAGGTCTCTCTCGGAGAGAGTGGAATTTCCATCAGTTGACCCAGCGAAATTGTAATATGAGAGGAAGAATTTCTCGCCCTCGTCAGATGACATCTTTCGAATGCCTTGGATGGTATCTCGTGATAGGCGACGAGTGATTTCATCATCGTGAAGGGAAGTCTTCAGGTAAGAGTGTGATGTATTTGACGAGTTGTTTACATCGGCATAGACACACGAGATGAGTAGGGACAGGAAGGGGAGGAGTAGCATCGCTGCCACCACCCGAGGTCGTTTGTAAATTTGATCGGCGCTGGAATTGGAGTTATAATCAGATTGTGGCTGTGGGCGTGGTGTGGGTTGCGTCGTGACACAGAGTAGCTGGGTTGGAGATAGGGCCCGAAGCTGTTGATTGATTTGATTTCGAGATTGGTGTCCAACCCCTCAGGTTTCAAGATTCAAAGTCCGAAGTGCAGATGAAAGTGGTGATCACATATGAATGTAGAAAGAATACGTACGGAGTCTGTAGTCTAAATAATGGAGGAAAATCAGATGGCTGGGACCGGCCACCACCCACACCGACACTTTTTTGTTATCCACTTGTCTCGCATGGGTGCCCTGACTGAGCTCCATGTGGGTATCTACATCTACGGCAACTCAGCTCTATACATACAATTACAGGTATAGGTAATGTGGGTTGGAAACAGGTTGAATTAACTACCCGTGGGCCAACTAGTAACTCCGCGCGAATGAACAAGACATGTAGGTATAGGCCACCATTCGTGGCTGGGTATCGTCAATCAGTGCCATGGATGCAAAGTGCAAATGTGAAAAAAGGCGCTATAGAAAACACGTCACAGGTGTAGACGAAAATGGGAATGGGAATGGTCTTTGAGGAAATGCAAGCAAATAAAGGCCGGGGGCATAGGACGCGGGAGTTGAGATGCAGAGGATTCATGATGGATTGGATCAGGACTCGGGGGCGGCTTCATCAGGGCTCGAGCCCTTATTCTCATCCTCCGGTTCTTCTTTAGGGGGAACCTCGGGCTTTTGCTCGTCAGCTTCGTCGGAGTCGGGAGCGGGCGATGGGTCTCTCGGTTCTTCCTCGCCTTCAAGCTTCGGCTCTGCTGCTGCGGCCGCGGCAGCTTCGGCTTCGGCTTTCTCCATTTCTGCATTGCGAGCCTGCTGCCTATCCCAGACTTCCTTGCGAATGCGATCGTCTTTGGCATTGCGCAATCGCTCGGCCTCTTCGACACCACCGCTCTTTTTCAATTTTCCTTCTTGGACAAAATTACCAAGTTCCTTCTGGAACAGACCAATCCGGCGGGTCTCGAGTTCCTTCTTACGAGCCTTCTCCGCTCGCTCGATCGCCTCAACTCGACTTTCGTGATTCGGTTGCAGTGCGCGCACCTCGCCCAAGACGCCATCCTTGGCTTTCTTGGGGTCCATGGTTGGATCAATGCCAAGGGTACGCGAGGTAGCCCGCAAAGTGACACCAGCAGGATCCTTAGCCTTCTCCATGGCTTGCTCCTTGGTGGCTTGCTCGACCAAAGCAAAGGTCTGAGCAGCCTTCTCCAGGTCGTCCTGCAAATCGGCCGCAAGATCCTCCTGCATGGTCAGTTGGTCTCGCTCTTCGCAGACCAACTGCAATTCCTTCTCCCAAATCTTTGTCCAGATGGGCTTCTCCCGTGCGAGGAAGTCTTGCATCTTCTTGATCTCCTTCATGGCAGTACTGATGTCGCGGTTGACCCCTTCTAATTGGCGGGGCAGAGGTCGCACGCCACGTTGGACGACGTCCTTTCTAAGATCCTCGACCAGATCCTGGAGATCATCAACACGAGACACAAGTCGCTCAGACTCATCGCCGAGTTCCTTCTTGCCAGTGTTGACACGTGCACGGCCGGCATCGCCTTCGTATGTGGGAACAGCCACATTTTCTGCGGCAGTCTTGACCTGGCTGGCCTTGGCGCGCACTGCAGTCATTGAGCCAGTGATCTCAGAGGTGAAGTTGGAGTAGGTTTGTCGCAGCACGGCAAGATCGCGACGCAGGCTCTGAAGCTCCGCAATCTGGCTGTTGCTTCCTGAAATTGGTGCCATCTGGCCGGAAAGCGAATTGGGCACGGCTGTGACAGCCCTTGGGGGAGCCGCAGCCAAACGGGCCATTTCCTTTGCCGCCTCCAGCTGACGGTCCGAAACGCGTTGAATAATCTTTCCTTGGCCAGCAAGAGCATCCTTGACGCCCTCGACCATGGAACGCACTCCAGACAGGCTATCATCAAAGTGTTTCTTGACCTCATCCAAGTTGTCGACATTCAAAACGAGGACTGATCGATCTTTGACGTCGGCCAGGTCTTCGAGCTCATGTCGAATGCCAGAGACAGGGTCTTGGATGTAGATCTCGGGTAGGTCAGCTCCATTGCTATGGGTATTCCAAGCAAACTTCTCAATGAAAGCCAATTGGAGTCGTCCAATAGTCAGGTCTGTAATACCTTCAGGCAATACGTATTTCTTGATTTTAGTTTTATATTGCAAGAAGAGCGTCAACTCCTTCCCCGGAGATGGCTGTTCACCCACAAATGCAGGTACGGGTGGGGGTGTTGCAATGCCAGTGGGAGAAAAGCGGCCTGCTTTTGGTGTTGTCGGACCTACGGGAATAGGAGCATCGATTTTCTCTGGATCAAAAGCATCGTCGAGGGATGGCCCCTTTGGTGGCTGTGGGAAGCTCGGTGATGCTACCTCGACCAGTTCCTCGGGCTGCTTTGAATGCACAGGAGGCTGACTCTCGGAGACCTTGGAAATTTCCTCGTTCGCAGGTTCCAGGGCGACTTTCACGGGTGGTTTGGTCTGCTCTTCTTGGACTGCAGCTGGAACATTCGCAGCCGCCTGAGCCTGAGCACTCTTCGAAATATCCTGAGAGCCCTTGGTAGATCGCTGTCTCGAGTGAACTACCGAGCCTCGCAAGCGAACAGCATTGAGAGATTCGCGCACATCACGTCCCCGATTAGGGATAGGAGAGTTCTGGGTAGGAAGGACTGGAACCCCGTTGGTTGATGTCCCCAGGTGCTTCTGGATTTGATAGGCAGAGAAACGACGAGAGGCTCGTCGCTCAAGCTCGCCGCTTCTCTGGAGAGCACCTAGCGCATCATCTTGATTGGGAGGTGGGGGCGGAGCAGGAAAATCGGGAGGTGCTCCCGAGGAAGACTGAGCAGCTCGCGGGGTCGCATTATTGTCTACATTTGTTTGAGTCAGGAGCTGCTGTGTCTCACGTCTCGATGCCTCGCGATCTGGGTGGTTGGTGCCTCGGGTTGGAGATGGTTGCTGGCCGGGTGGGGCATCATCTAGAGACCCATTGCTACCATAGCGACGAGCTGGCCGTCTGGGCGACTGTGCACCGGGCTGAATATTCGGCATAGTTGAGGCGGCCGCTTCGTCGTATAATTGTCCGATGGTCGACTTTTCGCTAGACAAACTTCCAGCACTGGCTTGCCGTCCGGGCATACCAGCTCTTCCATCCTCGCGCTGCTGCCGAGAGCGTAAACGAGCCTGCTTCTTCTTCAGTCCATGTAGCAAATTTATAATTATATCGCGGATCTGAGGGAGGTATCGGTCCAAACTTTGCGCGGATGCGTCCTGACTGAGGGTATCCTCCAAGATTGTGCGGAGGACGTCGGGAACTGGTCCCAGGTCGGAAGTTTCGACTCCGATGGCGTTGAAGGCCCGGCATGCCAAGTTGAATTCATATCCCAGGCGCACATATACATCCGACACATCATTCTCGGATGCTTGTTTTCGAGACCATTGTGTGAGGGTTTCCAGCAGTTGCTTGGTCGCGACGAGAAGGTGCGTAACACTCTTTTCGATTGTGGAGATTTGTTTATCGGGCTATCGACAATGTAGGTTCAGCAATCATTCAGTCTCACATGAAGGAGTTCAGTCATACCACGGTCTTGGTTGACTGGGAGCGCCCCGAGGCGGACGAGCTCCGACCAGAGTTAGAGGCCATAGGTTCACTGGGATAATGGGAGGAATCAGGTTGACCAAGATCCGAGGGAGTAGACATGAGAGGGAAGGGTGAGATGATAAGCGAGGGAAATAGGTGACGCCCAGCCTCCTCTTACCGCGTAGGAACCGTCACTGGATCCAAGGGTTGTGATCGGCGCGCTTAGACGGACCTAAAATTACATAAATGACATCTGTTACCGTTTCGCACGGTAATCTACACCAGCACATTGAAATTGCACTATTTGCATCAACTCTGCAGGTCTTTTGAATCCACTCGCCGAGCTTTCGGAACCACCCGCGCTTATCCACTATGCTTGATCGACGCCATGGGGAGGTCTGGAAGTACGATCTTTTCGTAATCTACTCTATCTACATAGGTATCTATGCTGCCAAGCCTCTTGGGACATGTACATACTTGTAGATTCATCTATCAAACCCTAGCTGACAGAAGCCCTAATGCACATGTACCTTAAGGGTACCCTAGGGTAGCCGCGTCTAGAACAAAGCAAGTCAATAGTCCGTCCACAATATTGATATTGGAAAAAATGACTGAATAGTCTCGGGTGGAGACTTGCTTGGGCCGGCCCTTCTATACGTGCTTTTGGAGCTGCGCTTGAATGAAATCGACAGCTCAAACATTACAAGGAACAGATCATAGTCTATGCATCGTGGATTCCGATGATAATTCCCCGCAGGTTATCTTCACCGTGCTGGTCTTCAGAGGTGTATGGGTTCTGGGGCATTGCATGTGTATTGCCAATACGACATTGTGAACCGGTCCGTCGCATGGTTTGGAGGCCCAAGGGCTACTGGATCAGAGATCAAATTACATTGGATCAAAGCTATGGGATAAAAAAAAAAGACCCAATTTGCACACGATACAGCATTACCAACCCTCTTTTGAATAGATGTCTATCTAGGAATAGGAAGTGGAAGTTCCCAGATTGAACTGTCAGGGTTGCACCGAACCGTACAATACACGACCTTCCCCGTGACTTGCCCTTTCCCCAAACAATTCCCAAACCTCACTTACCTTGGCTCCCTCTCATCGACCCTCCCCCTCTCTCCCTCTCCCTCATTGTCGACTTTGTTCGGCGCTTGTGGTTTCTTCCCTCTCACATCACTTTTTTGTCCTGCTTGTGCAGGCGGTGTGTTGTGGTAGCGTCTCATCCTCGCGGCTTTCCGCCGTGCGAAGTTCCACAACGCCCACCCTGACTCCCGAGTCAATCAATGGCTTCCACCTTGAACTCTGCTCCGGCTGCAAACAGCTCATCCGGCAATGCCCACTCGACACAGAACTCCGGGCGCCCCTCTCTGAGACCTAGCGCCAGCACCAAGGGGGACGGTCGCCGACAGTCTGGCAGCCCTGTTGATGGTGCTCAGCGGTATGTTCTTGTACCCTGTCCCCCACTGCCCTTGAGTTGGATAGCTTTGCCCTCCTTCCCAATTCTTTACCCATCGGATCCCCACGATGTCTTTGGATTTCTCCCTGCCCGCATCAACTCGTCCTCGGCCAATGTGTCTCTGTGCACGTGCCCTCGAGCTCGCGAGCTTGGCCCACGGGCTGGCAAATTATTATGTCTACGATGTAGCCAATGCGTTTCTCGGATTTCATTGCAGACCCTTTCATCCCGTCGTTATCCTGTGATTCTTGGTTGCATCTACTGATCCGGGCATGTTCTAACCCACAGGCGCGCGAACTCCCAGAAAGCCTGGACCCAAGGGACCAACCCCATCACCCAACGCTCCTCATTTTCAAACGGAAACATGGCTCGCCAGTCAGGCTCTCCCCAGCCCGGCCTGAAGGAGTCCAACACCCCCGATAATCACGCCCATGACCGTTTACTGTTCTTATTTGCCAGTTTCATTGTAAGCTGACTTGTTCCTCGCGAGAGAGGACTGGCGCTCATTCGTCTTCACTATAGGGCCTGCATACAACAATTACTACCAAAGGCGGAGACAGATTTACCGGCATTTTCTCATCTTCGACACTGGAAGCGAGCGAGTCATCAATTCTACTGAAGATGGTGCAGCGAGCATCTCAGGAGAACCAACCTAAAACTAATGGCGTGAGTGATGCGTCCAGCCCTTACCTAGGATCTGGACAGGAGCACAGCATGATCTTTGATATCAAAGATGTGTCGGACATCGCTGTACCGGACGTCTCACCGGCTGAGGTCTCGGCCAAGGAATCCAATGGTAAGAAAGACTGCACCGTCAACTGGTGGAAGTGCGCAAATTGACATACCCTACCAGGCGCGAGTGGTTTCAGAACTGACGCTGACATTTCCGGGAATTTGGCAATGCGCGAGCGCACCCTCAAGCGTTGGGAGCCTGCTGCTGACGAGATTAACATGTCCTTGGAGAGCACTGCGGGTGATTCCGCGGGCTGGGATCAATTTGAGGCCAACGAACGTCTCTTCGGTGCAAAGACCAATTACGATGAGAACCTTTACACTACTCGCATTGACCGCTCAGACCCTACATACCGCCAGAAGCAGGCCGAGGCGGCTCGCATTGCGCGTGAGATCGAAGGCCAGGATCATGAAAATGCCCACATGCGTGAAGAGAGAGGTCTGGTGGCCCCTGACTCTGGTGACCAGGACGAAGAATCTAAGTACAGCGGTGTCCAGCGGGAGGCCAAACCCTTCCAGCCTCTCGTTTCTGGCCAACCCAATAAATATACTCCTCCTGGACGCCGTCAACCGATACCTCCCATTGCCTCCACGAAGCAAACATCGGCTCCTGTTCCTCAGGCTCCAGCCAAGGAAACTGCCCATGTTGAGAAGCAACAGCCAACTCCCGCAGTCCAGCCAAGTGCTGAGACAGAGCAGAACACTGACAACGTCAAGGCGGCGCCTGCTGCTTTGACCGCAAAGCAGCAGCGCCCTGCTCCCGATAATGCCACTGCCAACGTTGAGACTGAGGTTCTCGATCACTTCCGCCAATTTGCCAGCAGCGAGAAGCTGAAGGTTCAAGAACGTCGTCGCAACCAAGCGTCGTACGATCGTACGGTCAAGTTGAACGAATTAATGAAGTTTTCTAAAAATTTCAAACTCTCTACTCCTGTTCCCAAGGATCTAGTGCCCATTCTCGCCAAGGATCCCCACAAGCAAGAGGCTATCATCGGCCGGCTTCAATCGCCAGATGAGAAGGCCAGCCCGAAGCCTGCCTCGCCGGTGGCTGAGCAGAAGCCCACTGCTCGTGCTACCGGCCCTACTGGTACAGCACCACCTGTTGCGCCTTCTGATCGCCAGAATTTTGTTCGGGGTCGTCAAGGCTATCCTCCTACGGGCCCTCTTGCTGGCCCTGGTGGTCGCTTTCCACAGCAGCCCATGCAGCAGGGTCGTCCAGGTGCTGGTATGCTTAGCCACCGCCTCCAGGACAATCTACAGCAGCGTAAGGGTACCAACATGGCCCCTGTTCCAGCTCCGTTACCCGTTCAGGATGCTCGGGGACCTCCAACTGGCCCTGCAAGCGATCAACTCCGGATCACTAGCCCCGTGAAGTCTCAGACATCGGCCTCAGCTGCGTCAAAATTCAATGTACGCGCGATGGAATTCAAGCCCAACCCTGCGGCAAGCACTTTCACCCCTGGCGGCGGTTCCGGATCCTCTGCTGGTTCTGGCGCTACTGGTGCTACTGGTACTGCCGCCGCGATTGCTACTGCCACCGCCGCCGCTAGTGCCAGCCCGCGATCTTTCTCGCGAAATACTTCTGTTTCTCGTGCGACTACACCCTCTGCATTTTTTGGCACGAAGAAGCCTCAGTCCATCTCCGAGAGACCATCCATTGATGATCAATTTAATCCCATAAAGCGCATGAAGAAAGAGAGCGCGGAGGCAGCTGAAAAGGCCGGCAAGCCTTACACTCCATTCAATGGCGGCGTTCCCCCTCCTTACAAGACCTTGCCCACTTGGGATGTGTCAGAGGCCAATCAGGAGAAGACTTTTGACCAGATGTTCAAACAGCCGAGCAGTATTCCTTCGGCTTCCCCTCAGGGCCGTTCTGCCTCAAACAACCCCCATCTTCCCCAGTCGCAGATGCCTTTCTACCCGGGGGCCAACCAGGGTATGCCAACTTCCTCCGGTCTTTCCAGTGGACCTCACATGCACCAAGGCTCCCATGGCCCTAATCCGGGCCACATGGATGATCATCATCGCATGCAGTTGTCCGCCTCGTCTTCGCAGGTTTTCCCCTCGCCTCGTATGGGACAAAGTCACTTGGGATATCCGTCCCCTATGGTCCCACATGCGCAGCTGGCATTCGGTCAGCCAGTGCCGCAATTCTACGGGAGGACCTCAGCCTGGCCACATGAGACAGTATCAGGGTGGCCCCCAGTTCATGAGCCCGCAAGCTGCCATGGGAGCTCCCATGATGATGCCGCAGGCTTCCAACGGATCTTATATGGGTGTGCCCCAGGGCATGTCTCCCTACAACCCGCAGGTTCAGATGTACTCCCCTTCTCCCGCCCACGCCTATCCCCAGCATGCGCCCCCTCATCAGCCGCACAGCGGCTACCCTAGCCCCAGTCGCGGTGCGCCCATGATGATGCACCAAAACTCGCAGTCGGGCCAGCCTCCCCAGCAGATGATGTTCATGTCTGGACAGCCTGGATATGGGGCTCAACAGCCCGGACACAGTTAGTCCCAAAGTGTACAACTATTCTTATTCACTGCTGACTGTTCGGACTCAGTGCCTCCCGGTCGTGGTGGCTATCCCCAGCAGCAACCTCATTTCTCCTCGAGCCCGCACCAGGGTCACCATTTCCCTCCTAATCAGCACCGAACACCAAGCAACAGCTATAACCAGGTCCCTCAGATGCCTTCCCAGGGTCCATCTGGCGCCCTGGCAAACGCAGGCTCTGGTTCGCACTCTGCTGAGCCCACCGATGAGGGCAAATGAAATGCATGACTTAAGATCGATTGTGTGACTGTCGTGGTTCAGCAACTGGAACTCAACTTGTGCACCGTTGACGATAGCTATTTATCAAACCCCCTCGGGTTCGAATGTGTCTCCTCAGCCATCCGCCCTTCGACCTTTGGTACCATCGTGTACCACAGACGAAGAACTTTTTGATGGAAGACTTGAAAGGTAAGATTCAGACCCGATACGTTGATTTGCCTATACTGATTGTTATAGATTCGATGACTGGACATGATCACTTTGTCTATTTATCATGAGCATGGTTGAAGACATGACCTGCCGAGAATTCTCAGAGTTATAGACAACTCAGCCACTGGCCGTCATCAAGTCCTCTTTACTTTTCACCGAGCTTTCTCGGAGACTTATCCTCACGGTTGATATTGATGCTGGGGTTTCCCGGTCTTGAAGGAGTGTCTATCAGGATGTGTTTCCTTCCGGGGGGTTTTTTTTTTGCCTTTTCTACTCTCTTTCTTTCCAATGTGGATATTACGTGTCTCACTGAGCTTACCGAAATCCCGAGTGTTCTAACCGACGAGGTAGAGCTTCGCATGTGATGGGTTAGTGTCCGTGACCATGAAGTGAAGATGATCGAATACCAGTGACAGGCGGGAAGAGGTCAATACAGCTTTCAGCGTAGTGTGAGCAGTTGCGGGATAGTAGCTTCCACGATAGTTGCTGGCACTCCTTGGGGTGCAATGTGAGATGACTATATCTAAAAAAGTTGATTTCCATTCGTAGACTGTATAGTGGAGGTCCAATTTGATCCCATTCAAAATATCCCGCGTGCGTCCTTTACCCCATCGAATCAACTTCCTGTGACAACTATGACAGACGTTAGCTTTCTTCCGCAAATAAGTGCAGTTCAAACAAGAACATCAGATCTCCTCAGGTCTTTTCAGTTTCAATTTGGTCTTCATACAAGTCAAGGCAAGAGACCACCATATTACCCGCGGTGCTTAACCAACCACGCCCATCCACATCAATCACGACACAACTCCGACCTCCCTCTCACTCGCCACACCCTATCCACTCCAGTCCCATTCCGCCTCTCACATACCGTTCGCGCAGTTCAAAACATAACCCACTATCGACCGCAGCCATTAGTTCCTAAGTGGTCCTCATAGAGAAAAGCGGACCCAGGAACTCCATTAAACGGCCGGACATATCTATGACCTTCTGAGGAAGGTACAGAAATTTCACGATGTACACATGGTTTCTCCCAAGGTTCCATGTCCGCGGAAAGCCATAGGTCTCGGCTTGAACCCTTTTGCCTAGCCATGTGTTCTGCGCGAAGGGAAGAGAGGGTTGATAGAGGTGGAGGCTAGACCAGTGCTTTGTTGACGTGGGTGTGGAAGTGATCGGTCGAAATGTGTGCTGCGAGTGATATTGGAAGTGTGGTGGCGAGCTCCTTCGGTCTGGGGTTCCTTGCTGGCTTTGCGCGGTCTGACCTTTTACCAGGATCGCATCTTTGGAGAGCAGGGTCGCGGTTTGCAGTGGGAGTGCAGGGGTGTATATGGAGCTCACCTGTTAGAAATAGTGTATCGAGAGCGTAGAGTTGCTGCAATTAGCAGTATGCGCAAGGCGTGGTGTGTGGCGTGTTGACGAAAGGAAGCTCCGAAGCTCAAATAATCGCGGAGTTCTGCCTCAGGCTCCCGCGGGGCTCACCACCGCAAGGTGGCCACGGAGATCCAGCATTCAAGATCCTACTTTCAATCTCCTCTGCACATATTTTTATTCTTCTCTTGTTTCATCTCCGAACACGTCGGTCTGCTCTTAACAACCCCTTTTAATACCCCTGCTCCCCTTCCTAAGGCCCATTGGCCAGCCCATTCCCGGGCCCGACAACACCACCCCCCATGGATTTCCTCAAATCGGCCGTCGCGTCGGCCATCGCGAAGGGCAGCTCGTTACCCTTCTCACTAGGCGACCGAGTCGATATCGGCGACTCCATTTGGACGCTGCACAATGGGATAAAACGCGTAGGGCAGTCTCCGCCGCGGTGGTTGTCTGGTGTCTAATACGTGTATAGGATGATGGCTCGGCATGCAGTGTCTTTACATTTGATATTGCGGCGAACAAGTCACGCCTCCCGCTTGCTAAGAATGCCGTGCGCAAGTCGCGCACGCTCCGCCACCCGGGCGTGATCAAAGTTCTGGATACGATTGAAGTATGTATGCACCTATGCATCTACATGATAAAGGGGCCTGGGTTGAGGTCTGCGGCTGAGGACGAGGAGTATGTGGCTGACGACGAGACAGAATGAATCATTTCTGTATATCGTCACTGAGCGCGTTGCTCCGCTTGATTGGCAGGTCAGGAGGAGGAGCATCAGTGAGGAGACGGCGAAATGGGGTTTACATACTGTGTCGGTATGGTATCTATTCTTCCTCAGGTCATTACCTAGCTATTGATTCTGTGCTGACGTGGGTAGTCAACCCTGAAATTCATCAATGAGGATGCGTCCTCTGTGCATGGCGCTGTGCGCGCATCATCTGTTTATACAAGTGAGAGTGGCGAGTGGAAGCTAGGCGGCTTCGATATCTTGAGTTCGATGAAGGAGGACGATGCCATTATTTATGTCAGTCAATCCTTATGATCACAGGTGGTTTGCATGCTAAGAATCAACAGACATACGGCAGCCTTGTCCCCGATGCAGCTCGCTTTACACCGCCGGAAGTTGTCAAGAGCGGCTGGGAGTCTATTAAGCGGCACCCTTTGGCGGCTGTCGATGCTTACGGTCTGGGTATTTTGATTTTTGAAGTATTCAATGGTCAATTCTCTGGCGCTGATCAGATCGGCAAGACGACCAACATTCCTCCTGCAATGCAACAGAGTTACAAGCGTCTTTGCACGGCTAATCCAAAGTTGAGACTTAGCCCTGCGCATTTCGTTGAGCAGGGGAAGAAACATGGTGGATTTTTTCAGACCCCCTTAATTCGTCTAACGGATGACATGGACAGTCTGGGTCTCAAGAGTGATGCTGAGCGAGAGGAATTTATCAAGTTTGTTTCGTCTCAATTTCGATAATGATTGGCATTTGCTTACATGGAAAATAGTGAACTCGATAATCTCTCTGAGGATTTTCCCGAGGATTTCTTCAAGATGAAGGTCTTGCCTGAATTGCTCAAATCTGTCGAGTTTGGTGGCGGTGGTCCGAAGGTGCTTAGCGCTACTCTGAAAATTGGTTCTAAACTATCAGCGGACGAGTTTAATGCCAAGTTGACACCGGTAATTGTTCGATTATTTGGCAATCCGGACCGAGCGTTACGCGTGTGCCTTTTGGATAACCTACCTTTAATGATTGATAGTCTCCCTCAAAAGGTCGTCACCGACAAGATCTTCCCTCCGATGGTCAGTCTAAGCCTTACCTCCAATGTGTCTGATTAATTGGGATCTCACAAATTCTAGACTTCTGGCTTCACCGACGCTGCCCCGGTTGTTCGAGAACAGACCGTCAAGGCTGTTTTGACGATCATCAACAAGCTCAGTGACCGAGTGATTAACGGTGAGCTTCTCAGGTTCCTGGCGCGCACTGCGAACGATGAGCAACCGGGTATTCGTACCAACACAACCATCTGTCTTGGTCGCATTGCTAAGAACTTGGGGCAGAGTGTAAGTTTATCACTATGACAGTCCATCAGGTGCTGATACTCCTCAGACTCGCTCAAAGGTGCTCATTGCTGCATTTACAAGAGCCATCAGAGATCCCTTTGTGCATGCTCGATGTGCTGGACTTCTTGCCTTGTCTGCAACTATCGATGTCTTCAGTGAAGAGGATTGTGCTTCAAAAATCCTGCCAGCCATTTGTCCTTCACTTCTAGACAAGGAAAAGTAAGTTCAAGGAGACTCAAATTCCTTCAAACCTCACTCATACATTCCAGGCTACTCCGCGATCAAGCAAACAAAACACTTGATGTATATCTCCAAAGGGTACGGAAGTTCGGCAACACAATGGCCGATTCAGTGATACCATCAACCTCTACACCCGAACCAAACAAATCCGATGCTCGCATCGGCACGTCGAAGGACAAATCCTGGGCTGGATGGGCCATCTCCTCATTCACAAACAAGATGTCCGCGGCCGATGGCGAAATTGAGCCTACAGCTGCCAAACCTGCCGAAGCAGCCATCCCAAGACCCGCCTCCGTTCCTCGCCCGGCTAAATCATCTCCCTCTACCCAATTGGACTTACCCAAACAACCATCACGTCCCGCTGCACACCCACTCAGTCGCTCACAATCCGATCGACCCGTCCCTATCGTCCAAGAAGAACCCCCAGAGGAGGAAGGAGACGACGTCTTCGATGCCTGGGGCGCAATGGACGATGACGACCAGGAAGAAGACACCTTCTCCGCGGCCGTAGCATCACCCGATCCTTTATCTCCTTACCCTTCTTCGAAGGCTCCCGCCGTGCCATATGATGATGGTGGTGAACCGGATTTCGCCGGGTGGCTGGCGGCCAAGAGCTCCACTAAGGCGAAAAACCCCCTGCCTAAAGGGTTGGGCAAGTCTGCGTCTACCACCTCTGTGCCTACGAGGAATACTGTGCCAAAGCCCAAGCCAGTGGCGCCGAAGACATTTGACACGAAGCCGAAGGATGAGGACGAAGATGATGGCTGGGGTGATGCTTGGGATTAGCGTGTTCGTTTCCACGGCATTGCATATACTGCAAGTAATGTTTGATTAGACTGCGTCTAGATTTCTAGGAATACCCGTGGCCCTAGGTACCTAGATCCCTTTTCCAATGAAGCAGGGAACTTTTGTTAGGCGGTATTTACCATATTTTTTTTTTATAGAAGTCTGCGCTAGACGCTGCCAAGTCCCGGCGTTGGATGTGCTTGTATGCAGTCTCCACACATGTAGGGCTGGACGCTGCATTGGCCCTTTATGGTCTAGTACAAACAGTGCCCTTAGCTGAGCGTTCCAATTTGCCTCGGCTACCTGAATTGGCTTGCAATAAGATTGGGTATCAAGGGGTTCCAAAAAACACCAACTGCCCTGGTGAAGCATCCTCTGCTCACCGCATTCCGCGGACCCGGATATAAAACCTTCCCCCACTTATCTCTTATCAGTCTGGACTTTACATCCCCTTTGCTTTCATCTTTCAACCGTTCTATCGGACCTAGTCAATGAGCTGCTCACGCCAAGTTCGCGACGCATCTTCAAAGACCGCACGGACGCCAAGCTCTAAGTGCTGACCTTCCTTCGACGGAATCTTGCTGCCTTGCCTTCGTCCGGCTATCTTTATCACACCATGCTAGGTCGGCCAGCATCCACAGGCCGGTAATTCGCGATCCTCTAGGCCACTGTAAATTCTGTTCTCTCATTTGAGTTGAACAGCGCAAAATGAACGACGAGGAGGCTCCGCCGCCTTACTCGGCCGCCGACCCTTTGAATGCAGCGAATCCCCGCAACGGCAGTTCGGCGCAGCCTATACCTCTACGCAGTAATGCGCAATCACAAGAAGCTGGCAATTCAAGGCTACTGGAGCCCGGTCCTTCAACTCCATCTGTTGTGCCAACGCATTTTACCTCCGCCGTCACATACTTCGAGCAACGCCCGCCAGCGGTCATCGACGACAGCCGAGTCCTTTTGGATCACCACATGACCATATACCCCCGCAGCCAAGCAAAAGACTTTCCCAAGCGGCCTCGCTGCTGGAATGCACAATTCGGCGAAGTACTGCAACAGGACTGGGACGCTTTCCTCCGCTATCTTTTCCCCGTCCAATTGGGCTTGGCTGCTGCCTCGCAGCACTTGCCCCGGCAGCTCCGAGCCGAGATCCAGCGAGATCGCAAGGATCGCCCACAGGAGACAGATGAGCAGCGTCATGCGCGAATTTCAGCTGTCGTGGACGAATGGAATCAATGTTTCTTTGAGCCGCGCGCTACTCGCATTGTCTTTGTCTATGTCGGCGAGCCCGATGCCGCGCCCACCTCTGCGCTATGTCCTCGGTGTTATCCAGCAGCCACAAAGGCAACCCAGAACACCGGTACTCCGACCTCTATTGAAGGCCAAGCACCTGTCACAGCCAATGCGCCGTCGCCAGTTGGGCAGCCTTCACCCTCGCCAACTTCGTGGCCTATGCCTCAATACTCGCCTTTTGGGTCACCACAACCGCATATGCCCTACGGCACTCCGTACGGTGTTCCGCCATTTACTGCACATGCAACACCCAACGGCCAACCTCCCCCACAATACTATACACAGCCACCTCCTGGGGTTGCTCCATGGCAATGGCAGCCATGGGGCTATACACCGCCACAATTTGGTGCGTCAGGGACATCCAAGAGTGGAGCCCTTGGCTGGATTTCAAATCTTACCTCCCAGGCGCAAAAGTACGGCGAACGTTTTGCTGAACAGGCGCAACTTTATGGCGACCAGATCAGCGCACAGGCCATGCAGTATGGAAGGCAGGTTGAAGAGCAGGCGATGGCGCATGGACGGTGGATCGAAGATCAGGCAAGGTTTCATGGCCGTAAGCCAAACGTATACCCTCCTGGATATCCGCCAGGTGCATGCAATGGAAGACCGCCATGGAGTCCCGCTCCAACTGAACAGACTGGCCCGATCGCGGGAGTTGCATACAACCCGCCGATATCGACATTGACATCGACATCGTCATCGACACCGACTTCACCTACCACCAACGCCACCTCTGTCAGCACCGCAGAAATTCGACCTTCACCTCAACCTCACCCAGAGTCCCAACCTAAGCCTCACATTCAAAGTGACGATAAGTCTCTCGAGCGTTCTCTCCAGCGCCCTCGCCGCGCTTCTACCAGCTCCATCTCTTCCCTCTCATCGCTCAGCTCAATCGACTCCCTATCCACAACTTCCGACCTCGACGCCTCAGACCTAGCCAACGTCCGCACGCAACTCCAGTCTCTTCATGACCGTCATGACCGCACTCTCTACGAAGCTGCAGTTGACCTCCGTCGACAACTATCTCTTCTGGAAGAATCTCGCCGCGAGGCCCGAACATCTGGCCGTCGAAATTGGCGCCACGGCCGCCAAGCCGCACAAACCGATAGCACAGACTGGGGAAGATGGGAATCTCCCGAACAACAACAACGCGATGCCACTGAGCGCCGAGCAATGAAAGAGGAAATGCGCGCCACCAAGAAAGCATTCCGAGATGTAGTCCGTCGTGCACGCGACGAACAGCGCGATAAGCGACGAGCCCGGAAGAATCGTCTCCGTCATGCACGACCACAACCTGAAAGCAAGCCTGGAGATGAGGTCTTGCTCGATGGACGAATGGCATCTCTCGCTGTTGAAGAACCTACATTCTGTCCACCGGCACGGAGCCACACCGAACCTATTTCTCAAGCTCATCGGCCTCAGCCTGCTCCTCTTCGCTCCGATGCAAGCTCTGAAGTCAGTGTGCCTGGCGCTATCAAGACGCCGTCGACTGTATCTTTGAACAGTGCGCATGGTTCCCAAGCTGGGGTTCCGGATAAGAAGTCGAAGTTGAAGCAGATACTGAAGTCGAGGACTACGAAGAAGCAGCAAAAGGCTGAGACGGAAGCAGAGAAGGACAGGTCTAAGAAGGGTAGTAAATAATTGGCAAAGATGAAGAAACATCAGAGAGCCAATGTATCATCACTCTGGGCACGATTTACGATTTAGTATGGTTTAGCATTCATGTATCATGTACATATCATCGCACATAGATCCATCCGTTCATGGATAATTCACATCCCCATCCAGACTCATCCAAATTCCTACACACATCCATCAACCCTGATCTCGGTCTTTATCGACGTAACAAAAAAAAAAAGAAGAAGCAGATTAAACCTGACTCTCATTCCTCTCCACCAAATCCCCAACTCCGAGTCCTCTCCCAACCTTCACCTTAACCATCTTCTCGCCCTCTTTTCCGTCCTCTTTCTTCCCCATCTCACCAACAGGCTCTCCCTCATCACCGTCTGCATCCTCCTTCCCAGCCTTGGCCTTGTCCTCCGCCGCAATACGCTTCTCAATCGACTTCCAATCCAGCCACTGGTCATCGAGCTTCAATCGCATCGCATAAGCATCTTCGCCATCGGCATAGTACTTGCTCTCCACTTTCTCGACCTCAAAGCCCAATGTATCCCGATAGAGACGAAGAGCCGCCGTATTAGACACGCGGACGTGTAGGGAAACGTAGTTTGCACGGTGCGATTCAGACATTGCGCGTTCTATCCAATTCAATTAGCATTTCCATTGTCCGAGAGTATTTTCGAGTCCAGCGCACTACAGACTCAAATCACAAGCCCCGGTGAAACGTCTTCTCGCCAAATGACAAAGACCAAGAAAAAAGCAGAGGAAAAAAAGGAAAATACGTACGACTCATTCGCATCAACCGCTCCGCAATTCCCAACCTCCTGTGCGTCCGCATAACACTCAAACTGGTAATATGTCCATGCTGCATCCCATCCGTTGGCTCCTCTTCCATCTTCGCGAGCACGTATCCCACGACCTTGGGATACTCGCCGGCGACATTGCCCGCTGCGCCGGCACCGGCGATGCCATTGCTTTTAGCGTAGCCGTTCTTGGGTCGCACGACAGCGACGAAGGAGAGTTGTGGCCATGTGAGAGCGTGGTAGAGGTAGTATTTTAGGAAGTAGTTCTCGGGAAGGTTGGTGATGTTGCAGGTTTGGATTGAGGGGAGGAGGTCGATGTAGCTTGGGTAGCTTGATAGGGGGACAATGTCGACCATTGTGTTGTTTTTGGGGGGGGTCCGTGGACCGCGGGGAAGGGTGCTGAAGAGGGTTTGGGTTGGTTTGGGGTGAGGAGGGATTGGATTGAGGTGGTGGGATGGGAGGTGGGGTCATGTGATTGTGGGGGCTTCTCTTTGAAGAGGGATTAGAGAGGAGGGGAGATAATACGCAATTGTTATTACAATTTGAGGAAGTAAATTTGTAGAGAAGAGGAATTAAATTCAACTTTGAATTGGAAATTATATTGGGAATAATATTGGATATTGGATATTGGATGGATCGGAAAGTAATGGGATATTTCCCTTCCAGATTATTCATGTATCTACATGCAAATCCGTGTCTGCATACAGGCAAGGAATCAAAACAATGATGAGTCGTGGCCTTTCGTCATTAGATTGCTGTCAGGAGGAACTGAATGCCTGCTACTAGGGCAAGCAGAGTTGAGAGGCTGGAAATGGACACTCCGTGGACGGCGGCGGATTTGGACCCGCAGCACTTCCAATTGTAGGTGACGTTATTCATTTCGGCGGCGACTTCAAAGACTGATCCGTTTTTAGGATCGCCGTAGTTGTAGTAGTCGACTAGGAGGAAGTTGGGCGGGCGGTTCCATGTCGCTGGCATTTGTTAGTGGTGCTATGAGTGAGGGATTGGGGAAATCTTACCTGTGCAATTGCGCGCCATGCTACCTGAGACTGCCGGTGCCATTGACTCCGTTGGTCTGATTCAGCTGAGCGGTGTTGGGAATCAGGAGGTTGATGGGGCCGAAACTGAGATCCAGGTTCAGGTTGTGGTTGGCCAGGTACATGCGAGTCTCGGCACCTTGGCGCGCCAGACCCGGTGGCCGCTGCACAGTGCACGGGAAGTTGTCGTCGGTCGGAGAGAACGGGGTCTCCCAGATTTGGGAGAACTCGTCCATCAGCCATGGGATGGCGGTCTGGTTGGCTTGGTAATCCATGAAGAAGACAACACGCTTCTGAGTCAGAATCATCTCTGACAAGGTGGGCCAGTCATGCAGGGCCATGGGAATCTTGGACGGAGTATACACGTAGTCCATGAGACCTGAATTCTGGATGGGCTCGGTGAAATTCTGGGGGCTGACGTAGTCGTAATTGCCCATTAAAATGGTGACCACGTCGTAGGGGTTCTTGCGCATCCAGATGGCGACTGACTCGAGGTAGGCTTGAAGGGTTCCCATGTTAAGAATATCACAAGAGGTATGGCAGAGCCACATGGAACCATTCTGGTAGTGAACTTGGAATTGCACTTGGCATTGTTAGTTTGCGATGCGTCGAAAGGATTGGATCGAGATGACTTACGCATGCGAATCCCGTCATTCAGCTGGGCAGTCACGTCGAACATCTGGTTGGAGGCGGCATTGCCTGAGCGGTCAAAGGGACTGTTATGTGCCGCGACATTGGTGATGTTGGAATAGTTCCGCCCGCAGAGCTCGACGTAGCCATTGCAAGGCCGGCTGTTGATGACGGGGGTCTGGGTGGTGGTCGTGGCAGTGGTCGTGGCTGTGGCATTCATGCTATTGTTGCCTAGCGTTGTCGTACCTGCCCCGCCAACAAGGACCGTCACGGAGTGGGAGGTAGTGGTAACCACCGTCTGGTTCCCGGTGGTGGTCGCGTTCGCGGCGATGGATGAAATAATAGCCTCTAAGGAAGTATCGCCATTGCTGAGGGTGACGGTGCTGCTGTAGGTCACGTAGGTTCCGGAGGGCAACGCTACGGTTCCTGTGACGGTGGAAGCATCGGATAAATTATACGAGGTGGAGGACAGGGTCGTAGAGGTGTCCGAGGTGGTGGTAGTATGGGCTGTATCCTGAGCTAGTGCCAGCCCGATCAGGGTGACTAGGGAAAGCCACCTCATAGTCAAGGTGAATGTCGACTGTCATGTACAGGGGGAAAGGAAACAGAAGAGGAGATATTATTTCGGGGATTAAAGGTGTGCCAAGCATAGGGTCCTTATTTTTCAGGAGCAGGTGGAGTTCCTCCCCAAAGACGCCGGTGACGCAGGCTACCACCGTTGCCCAGTCGATGCTCCAATTATAGGGTGTGGCTGTGGACTCCACCCAAGGATGGTCTCGGCCGTGGTGTCTGAGACCTGATTGTGTCCATGGTCAAAAAACGCCCCTATTTTTTCTTTAGAGTTACTAAGTGCTTGTCTCTCCAGGTCTGACGTGGCTCAGTTCGCAGCAGGTTTTGATCCTTCCCTAATTTTCATTTTTCCCAAGGTGGACACTCTCTCATCGATCAATGAGCCATGAGTGTAGAGCGATGATGAAATAGTGGAATAAAATCATTATTCAATCATCTTCTGGACGATCGCCCAGCGCTAAATACGAGCTAGCGGCAGCCACCGACGATCCCACGGCAGCTTTGGAGCACCAGGGATTTCACCAGATCTGATTATCCGTTTGTTATAACATACATGGATGCCTAGACGTCATCCAGTCTTCCCCTCCTCCTTCCAACCTTCTACAGTATGGTCGGGGACCCTCAACAGAATGGCAATCGCCGAAAACTGCCCTTCTTCAGTCGCTCGAGACCTAATCAGCCGTTCACTGCCCGTCGCGCCAACACCGTCCACACACACCGAATTATTCGTGCCCTCCTCTATCTTATCGCCTGGGTCTTCATCCTGCTGGTCGTGATCGGAAACGTCGCCGATAAGCCCGTCTTGCGAAACACCTACTTCCTCTATCTCGACCTGTCCAACATCATCCCCTTATCCGTGCCCAATGCCGTCCTGATCAACTCTATCGCCCGGTCGATCGGTCTGCACGATTTCTACCAGGTTGGGCTGTGGAATTTTTGCGAGGGCTACGATAATGAGGGCATCACCCGCTGCTCCAAACCGGAAACCCTGTACGCCTTCAATCCGGTCAAGATCATTGTGAGCGAGTTGCTAGCCGGTGCTAGTAGTACGTACCCCCAGATCCCATCTCCCAACCGCAAGAGTCATTTCTGACCGCAGTTCAGTCGCTCTACCCTCCGACATCACCAAGCCCCTCCACCTGGCCAAGGTCGCTTCACAATGGATGTTCGGCTTGTTCCTGACAGCTGCTGTTCTCAATTTCGTTATGATCTTCATTAGCCCCTTGGCCGTGTCTTCGCGACCTCCCCAGACCATCAAGGCCGTCGTTGCCAATGGAGGCCACCTCACCGGAAAGCCTCCTCACCGCCGCTGCAAATTTTTGCTGTTCCGTTCGCTGCCCATGCTGTTCCTCAGCTTCTTCACGGCCCTGATTACCATCGTGGCCTCCGCCGTAGCGACCGTTATGTGGTATATCTTCGCCAACGTCTTCGCTTCCGCCGCGCTGGATTTCAACATTGAGGCCCATGTCGGCACTCAAATGATGGTCTTTATGTGGATCGGCTCTGGATCCAGTTTGATCGCATTCATCGTTCAATTCGGTTCCTGTTGTGCCTCCTGCTGCGGTGGACACAAGGCTCGCAAGCAACTCAAGGCGCAGGGCATCAACTACAAGGAAAAGGGTTTCTACAACACTAGCCAATCTGATACTCCTGTGGAGCCTGGCTACCTGCCCGAGGACCGTGAGATGGCCGTGCCTCACGCCGTGACCCGCGATTAAACGGTCTACGTTCGTTTCTCTTTCATTTTTCTTTCTTTATTTGGTTCTCGGTTTCGATATTCTGACTCGAATGGTTGAGTCGTACATGTTTGATTATTTTGAACATCTACTACGATTGGACGATTTAGCCAGCGCTTGTCCAGGATTTCTGGTGCAATATCCCCTTGCCCTAGTCTAGTATTTAGATCTGCCGCACATAGAAAAATCGCCGATATGTCGGTTTAATTCGCAATTCGTCTAACTAGTCGTATGCTGACGCGATTTGTGGGATGTGTGGGCCAATGGCTAGCACTGGAAGACCCTGAGATCAAATTACAGCGGGGCATCTAGTTAATGAGTCTGAACCAAGCGCCGCGGATAATTCTGCCGCTAGTCCAGCGAGATATCTACCGAGCTATGTAAGCGAGGTTGTAACAGCTGGTCATACTTGAAGTCGCCTGAAAGGATGATTTGGGACACGAATATTGGAAACATTTAGGGACATGCAGAGAAACTCCCAAGGACGGATGCGTAATCAAGACGAGAATATTATTCCGGCCCTTTTGCAATGTCTCCTGAGTCCAAACCGATTAAGTCTACCCATTCGGAAACAAGCGGATACCTAGTATGCCCCATCTCAGGCTACACACTACGCATCTTCTTGCATATGATGCTCGACCGATCCAATCAGCGCATCGTGACCACGCTTTACTACTAGGCAATGACTACAGTACACTATCTCATCATAGCACCGGATGACGCTAGTCTCACCCTCTCCTCAGACGGAACTACATCTTGAAACCTACCCTGATCCCTTCCGATCGTCGCAAAGTAACCGAAGACGCGTAACCTCCCCACAAACATCTACAAACCCATGAAAGCGAACCGCTTCCCCTATCAGGGTTGGAAAACATGGAAAGAGACCAACTCCACAATAGCCGACGGGAGGCGTGCAAAGTGGGTAGACATGTGGACCCTTGGGGCTATGGACTGATGATTAAACCGTGGACACGGGTCATAGTGCGGAGTGCCAAGTTATCTTCCTTGCACGGTAAATGAAGATCGGAAGATCATGTCTAGATTGAGGTTGATATTTCATTTGAAAGGAAGATCTACATACAGTCCATGCATTTGACAGGGGGGCTAATGTGGATCGACATATATGTGAACTCGTAAAGAGGACCTCGCGAGGGGATGACATACTCCTCGCTATTGTGGTCTCAACTTTGCGCATATTTGCTTCATGGTCTTCTTAGAATATATATGGTGATTATTGAAAGGAAGAGCAGGAATGAGAGAGTTGAGTGAGATGAGAATTGTCGGATTCAGCTGTCATTCAGCTGTCGAGGATCAATCAATGGGACAAGATGCCGACTTTGTTGTTCAATTTTAGGCTCAGTTGCTTTAGTCGATGATGGAGACCATCAGTCTCACTCAATTTGTTTACGGCGCTTTGTGCCCGGATTCCTATGGGATTTCTATGGGATTTCTATAACTCATTGGGGTACGAGGTTCCTCGATAGGTAGAAGTAGAACTTGGGGTTGAGAATGATCCAGCTGCTATTGATATCACTAGGTTCATTCATGATAGTTAAACCAGTGGAAAAAATCGGGAGCATAGGAAACAATAACGAAGAAGTATGTTCTAGTGGTGTTAGTAGAAGTTCACCCGGATAGACAATCATACGCATCCACAAGGGATTTCCACGAATCATGAGGAAACACTCTAAAGAATGAGATAAAGGTGTGCTTCGAACTGATATGCTAAGCCCTGAGCAGGAGTGTCCATACGACTAGCTATCACTCTCGCAGATCACCCGTTCTATGCGGGCGGATTAGTATCGATCTGCAGAGTATTCGATATGCGTGCCGACGATTGTGGATGCCACCGTCTGGATATAAAGGTAGTTTTAGTAGCGAGATTTAATATATCTCGAAAAATGCCGTTGTAATAGGCATAATCTGGTCATTTCCCTAGGACTGCGCAAAAGCGGAAACATCGCAAAGCAAGAGAGCGACTGATATGGGCTCGGGCTTCTGTACTCCAGCACTTCACACGGCTTCTTGTAGGGCTGATCTAGTTACTCTTCATATTTCTCTATCTAATCAATTACAAATTACCTTGAGGGTATGTGTACAGAGAAGCGTTATTATACGTTTGCTGATCCCAGCTGGAGCACCAATGTGGCTCAGTCAGCCCATGTGGGCGGCTGATACGTTTTAGTTCATTGTAGAATGCTGATACTGACTTTAATCAGTCAATTCCGAGCCATTGCATATAAAATGACTGAAGCCGCTCGAATTACTGACCATGAGAAATTCTCGGCAGTGCCCGAAAAGCCACCTGATATTTACATGAATACCTCCCAAACACCGTTCGAACAAGAAACTATATGCCTTCCTAAGTGCACTTCGCAGGAACTGCCAGGGGCTCGCACTCAGTTATTTCGTAGAGTTGATCATCAGAGAGCCACCACAATACTGCACATCCGTCATGATCGCAAAGGTTACGGTGGCACCATGAACGTCTTCGAACGTAGAAGCAGGAGAAGGCCCCAAGACCGTCCGAACAGCTGTCCCACAGAGGAGATGATGATGATGAAGACGATCTTCGGGTCTAAGAAATTCGTGACCAAAGTGGCGAGCTTACTGAAATCGCATTCACCTGATCCCTGGCGTGACATCGACTGTTTCTTTCGGAATCTGCAGTGTAACTTGATTAGCACGTTTCTTTGAGGACGTGTTAGAGATCGTGGCCGTGGAAAAACCCCTGGTTACTTACATTTTATGTACCTGGTTCATCACTAGTCAAATCTATCACCGTGACTTCTTTCAGAGACACAGATCTTGAGCGCATTGGGAATTTTGGGGCGTTGTTCTTCTCGGCTGGCGGTCGGAAATGCGAACTTGCAGTAGCAACGTCACTTTCGAGGGGGCTCGGAGGATATCGTGAATGAGTCAAAGGTAAAGAAGTGTTGGAAGAGATGTGAATGGGCGAAGAGGAGGAATTCGGAGGGGAAGGGTAGGAGATATTTGAAGTCGACGGGGCAAGGCCATGCGCTAGATACCCCGGATTTTGCTCTTCAGGCCTCACGATCCCAGACTGGGAGTTTTGGAGGCTTGATCGATTGCAGGTGCTCAATAAATCATTGTACGCCTGGCTCAATTGGGCGTATCTGTTCTCCCACTCATTCGGGGCGTTTTGATGCTCTGGTGCGCCGGAAAGGCATTGTTGATAGTCCCGAATCAGTGAGTTGTGCGTTTGAGCCAGACTCCAGTATTTGCCCCTCCAGTCCTCGATCTCCGCCTTGAATTTTGCAGCTCTCTGTTGCTGAGTGGTACAGACTCGACGTAATGTTGCCATCTCGGTCTCTTGAACATGTATTCCCAGCCTACCAGTCTTCGGATCGATGATGGTGTACTTGAGCAAGGCATCACGGTACCTGTTTCGCTCAGCTGTGAGACAGTCAATCCTGCGCCTAGAATTCTGCAGTCGATACTGAAGAGTCTCGCTCGAGGGTTCAGCAGGAATTCGCATCGAGTGGAGGCTTGGAGCCGACGGACGATATCCAACACAGCCGTATGGTGAGATGTACTTTGGTTCTGGCCTGAAAGCCCTTGTCTCAATTTCCGCAAGATACGCGATGTTCTGTTGATCAAGGCCGAAATTTTGCAGGATATCAGAGCTCGCAGAGACAGTGGCACATGCATTCGGGGCAACATGCGATAAAATTGACGGTTTGGCTGTCGATGCAATATTCAACACTTTCTCCACAGTTTTTAAAGCATCACGCTCTCCGCACTTTTGCTTTTTCGATTCTTGGAAGTTGCTTTCTTCTGTGTTGTGGTTGTCGTCGTTATTATCCTCAAAAAGCTCATCAAGCCCACGCTTGTTCGAATCGTTCGTTTGAAGATGTCCCGAGCTACATTGTTCGTTGTTGTCTCCAAAAAGCTCGTCAAGTGCACGCTTGTTCGGATCGCCCAGTTGAGACACCAGCTGACCAAAGTCCGTGAAGGGGTCAAAGTCCAGGCCGATGTCGATACCGATGTCAAGGGGGGGTTTCATCCTGCAGCCATGGATCTGGCATTTGAGACTGAGATCCAGGGGATAGTGTAAGCCCCAGATCTTCACCTGCAATGCTGTTGGGCTGGAATGAAGGCAACTCACATTGCTCCACGGCTTCGTCCATGTTCATCTCGAAGGGATTCAGTAGTGACCCCAAGAAGACCCAAGACTTGAAACTCGACTGTTTCTCAGAGAGGCATGGCTTTGGAGTGATCTGCTTTAGCGACTGCAAGGTTGGGACACGAAAAAATAAACGTGGGAGGGTGAGGCAAATAGATGTCAGGTGAAAGGCTGCTACTTGGACTTTTTGTTTATCTTTGATTTTCTGCCAGACAAATACAGCCCTCACCGCCCTTCTGGGCTTTCCAGCCACCGCCTTCTATACGCGCTCTCCGCTTTTCCTGCCATGGCAGAACTCCCGCCCTAACGCGATGGCTGGACTCCAGGTAGCATTGCTCTGTCCTCTGAGAACAAAACAACCTCGGATGAGAGCGGCAGCCTCTCCACCAGCTCCAATACACCCCTCAGCTCCCTGTGATTGTTCTCACTACGGCCCACTGCCGCAATAATCTTCAATCAAGATGAGCGTCATCCTCTGCACTGGTAAGTGGGCCTATTACGGTCTCCCCGCATTCTTTCCCGACATGAGCTAATGATTGCTGGCGCACTTTACAGCGGGGTATGACCATACGATCCGGTACGTCTGTAGCAGCCCGAAGCTCACAAGTCAAGCTCTCGAAAATGAGAGTTGAATGTAGTCGGGATCAGAATCTGGTGCTAACCTTGCTCTTTGATCAGCTTCTGGGAGGCGCTGTCCGGAATTTGCTCGCGCACTATCCAGCACCCGGACTCTCAAGTCAATCGTCTTTGTATTACTCCCGATAAGCGTTTCCTTGCTGCCGGTGGTCACAACAATGTCAAGCTTTATGACATCAAGTCCACCAACCCCAACCCCGTGATGACCTTTGAAGGTCACACAAGCAACATCACTGGCGTCGCATTCCACTGCGAGGGCAAGTGGATGGTAACAAGCTCTGAGGACGGTACTGTGAAGGTTTGGGATACCCGCACTGGAGCTCTGCAGCGCAACTATGTTCACCGCGCCGCCGTCAACGATGTTGTGATACACCCAAACCAGGGAGAGTTGATCAGCGGTGATCGCGCTGGCATGGTCCGCGTCTGGGACCTTGGCGAGAGTGTCTGCACTCATCAATTGATTCCTGAGGATGATACCGCTGTGCTCAGTGTGAGCGTTGCTAGTGATGGATCTCTATTATGTGCTGGGAACAAGAAGGTATGATCGCTGGCACCTTGTCTATGTTCATGACTAAGAATCACCTCGCTGCAGGGCAACGTCTACATCTGGCGCATGGTCCAGAATGAAGAAACCACTCGCATCATCCCTATATGCACTTTCCAAGCTCACAAAGACTACCTCACTCGTGTTCTGCTGTCTCCCGATGTGAAGCACCTTGCTACCTGCTCCGCAGACCATACCGCTAAGGTGTGGAATCTTGATGCAGACTATGCCCCCGCCAAGGTTGCCATTCGTGAGTTCAACGACCGACAGGCTGCACAAGGAACAGAGGAGGCCCAGGCTGAGGCCGCACCCACCCCCGCTGAGACCACCCGTAATCAGAATCGTGACCTGCTGCGCATCTTCGATACGCCTGTTCAAGACAGAGACCTTTTGCGCATCAGTGAAGCACCCCGCGATGACGCGCCTTCTCCTCAGCAAACTTTCACCCCCTCCCCGGATGGCCCCCCCTATGGACCCCAACAATGGCACCCTCTTCCTGGAGACTACTCTTGCAAACCACCAGCGCTGGGTTTGGGACTGTGCATTCTCTGCCGATTCTGCCTATCTTGTCACCGTCTCTAGTGATCACTATGCTCGCCTCTGGGAACTCAGCTCTGGCAACATCATCCGACAGTACTCCGGCCACCATCGTGGCGCGGTCTGTGTTGCGCTAAACGATTACTCGGAGCCTCGATAAACATCTTTTGCATTTGTCAAAGTCTTTTTCATTCCAACTTTGCTTTGGAACTTCTTCATGGTTTTGGCGTTTTCAGGGATGGCACATAGCATGGCGCAAACCGGTTCGATTTGATCTGCACGGCGAATATCATTTCTGATGTCGATGCCATGTATGGAGTCCAGCTGGGTTTATGGTAATATCTCTTCTTGCTTTTGGCCCATTCTGACATGATTTGCACGCCGACCATCGTATCCGATGATGGATGCTGCGAACGCAGTCTAGCTGGGGGTATTATACTTGTTTCTGTCTTTGACTTCATTTGGCCCCTTTTGTTCGGGCTTTGATTCCTTGTGATTATGCCTCTTTCAGATACCAATTGCATCCAATAAGCATGACAATCAGTAAATCAAAAATACCGTATATCGATGATATACGTAACTCGCCGTAGAGCTCTTCCCTCAAAGCAATTCTAGCGAAGCAAGCATCCCTTCCATGAGGTATGTCTCCACGTACTTCTCTGTTAGGCCACCTGTGACACTTTTGACAGGAATGATGTGGACCTCAAATATATACCGCTTTCTTGGTCGCTTGGAACTTGAATGCACTGTCTTGCCGCAAGTCAGCTATTTCTTTACAAGAAAGGGGCATTTCGACTACCTGATATTCAGAAAAATACACAAAGACACAGCCACGCTCAACTCAAGCAGAAACAAAATAAGGTCCAGTTCTTGAAGTCTCCAGATGTCAACTCTCGGATTACACCTGAGGCCACATGTAAAAAAAAATCGATGACTCGTTGCAAAGAGTAAACGTTCGAGTCCGTATGAGAAACAAGCTCATCCCCGACCTTCAATCGCCAGGTCAATTTCAATCACAGATAGAAAGGCTCCCCAGCATTTTTATCAACAGTATTAACAGTTCCCAAGACTGCCTAAGTCATAGCAAACCACGTCACACTAACAACAACATCCAAACCCCGCTCCTCAGCACCGGGGTACTTGAACGTCCACATGCCATCGCGGTTGACGTCCCAGAATGCGCCGGACGCGGAGTGCATCCCGCGCTTTCCAGCGTTACTCTGTGCACCTTGCGCAGCGGCGCTCTTGTCGATCATGCCTTGTTGCACGATTGTGCTGTTCACAGTAAAGCGGTAGGGGGCCGGCTTGGTGGAGTCCGAGGGGGTGGTTGCGGCGATGAGGGCTTTCAGGACGGTGTTCTGGGGGTTTTTGTCAATTGAATCTTGGTTGGAGGGGAAGAGGCCTTACGATGATTGCGGAGTTCCAGGAGCTCACGGCGGTGTGTTCATATTCTGTGACAGTCTTGAGAGCGTCATCGCAGGCCTGGGAACGTTAGTTTTGTTTGGCTGATACGGAGCGCGGGTAGAACATACATCATTGGTGATCTTGGTCAGCTCCGGGATAGGAATGGGCTGTTGATGCGTTAATGAGAGTGTCTTGAGAAGCGCGAGCTCGTTCTTGCATGATGTCGGTGTATCGGGGACGTACCGACACGGGAGTGGTGCCCTCGACAGCCATTGTGTATGATTTGAAGGTGGTGATTGAGTGATAGTCTGTTCGGAAGGAATGAGTAAGTTTATGGTCATAGAAAGCGCAGATCAAAAGCTCGAGAGCACTCAGCGCAGCCGATCACATCGTTAAACCCCCGAGTCGCGATTCCCCGCGGGGAGATCAGAGTGCGATTGTCGGATGCATGCGCCCATGGATTCGACTTTGGTCTAGGAGCTGAGGAGTGTCGAAAGTATGCTTACCGAGATTAATTCTAGGGGTTTGCAGAGTTTCGATGTCGTGGAATTGGGGGATCACGGCAGAAGGAGGTGCGATTGATTGTTTTGGCGGAGTGGCATCATCGCGTGGGCGCTGCCGCCGGTGGTTGGTTGCGTCTTGCGTCCTAGCGCTGCGCTGACTAATGTCATGTCCTCGATCGATCGCACTTGTGCTTTGCCATGTCGAGTCCTGAATTTGTTAATTTTCCAAATTCTGAAGCTTGTATTGACAATTTTCTATTATTTACGGTCACGCATTTTCTGAGATATAAATCCATCGTGGTTGAGTTGAAGATTCGGCGTGCAATGTGGAGCGAAGCATACATTTAGGTCATTGTTTCCACCACGCATGAAGTATACTTTGTGAGTCGAGGCTCTTTCAGCTATGTATACACCGTAAGAATATACAAGAAAGCTCCGAGTATCAACATCCCCTAGACAACTTCCCGCTTCTTGGCATCATCTCATCTTCCTACGCCAATCTTGACTGTGCTCTCCAGACACTCACTCCGCAACCTCAACAACCAACTTCGTACAGCTTACCCCCAGGAGCAATTTGTCCAAACCAGCATTGATAGCCTCCAGACCTTTCCCAATGACGATCGGTTCCGGACTCGGCCTGATGGTCCCCTTGTCTAGGTTCTCCCTCAGCCACGTTCCAATCCAGTATCGGAACTGCTCCAGTCTTTCCTCTTCCACTGCTGACGGCATCACGAATATCGTCTCAACCCCATCTACGACCTCTGCATCCGCAGGAATGACGGGTGCCGAACCGATCTTCGCCGTCTTCACCTTCCCTTTATGATCTTTTTCGAGGAAGGCTTTCAGCACAGCCTGACCTTGCTCCAGCTGCCCGGTAGCAAGGAAACAATGACGGATCACTAATCCGTCTTCGTTGGCCGCCGAAACGATCTCATTCACAACTTGTGGGTCCTTGTAGTCGAATACGCGGTCCGCGCCCAGTGAACAAATATAACTTTGGTTCGCCGATCCGGCCGTGGCGTACACGGCTGCGAAAGGTGAGTTGGAATCTTCTCGCAGCAGTCGGGCTGTTTGGACGCCCATAGTGCCGACGCTTGAGGAGGCCCCCCCAGATTAAGAGAGCTTCCCTTTTCCTTACATTACTCTTTTGTTCCGTGTTGTTGACATCCTCGCTGGTACGACCAGCAGAGACCGGATCAAAAGCAGTTGTTTGTCCCATCCGGGAAATCCCCATAATTTCCCACGCATTATGGGCCACCTCAACGGCGACGGGCAAGGTTGCCGCATGGTTCCAAGATATGCTCTCGTCTGGAAGTGGTATAGCATGCTGCCAGGGAACAAGGCATCGCTCCTGAAATGGGCCATAGTCTGGATCGCAGGACCTCCAGAACAAGGCGGCGAAGGCGGCGACGCGGGTGATACCTGGTTGGAAAGAAAGAGCCAAATTGGTGTCGGTGGGCACATTGTCGCCAACCTCGAGAACTAAACCCGACATATCGAACCCAAGAACCGTGGGGTACGTGGGTATGAAGAGACCTTGGTCACGCATGATCGCGTCTGCCGGGTTGAGGGCTACCGATTTGACAGCGATGAGAAGTTCATTTGGCCCTGGCTTAGGGGTGGGGCGGGTTTCGAGCTGAAAGGGTTGACCTTTGGCCGAAGAGATGACGGCCAGATGGGAAGCCATTTGGAATGTTCGTGCAAGTATAGAGGGTTTCGAGTGGGAATTGAAAATTGGAGAGGCGATCTTATGAAGTCACGGATCAATGGAAAGATGAGGAAGCTTCTTCTTATATAACGATGCTATAATTTGAAAGTACTTGCTCTTCTACGTAGTGATGGCCCATCCGATGCGACACTCTGTTGACTATAGTACTCACAGCCAATCAAAGCCTGCTGCTTCCGAAGACTAGCTAGCGTGGAAGAAAAGATGTTGCCGTAAAAAGGCTAGCGTGTCTGTGTCAGTGACGATGTGAGACTAGTGTCTTGGAGGCCATGACCGCCCCCACCGGCTTACGGACCTCATCGGTATCAAGTCCATTACGAGCTTGGGAAAATCCCTCGTACGCAATCTAAATCAACTCTTTGATCAATTAATCAAGTATGGCCTCGAATTCTCCAAGAGAGGTCCCGAAGCGCAGGACTACACGGAGGTCGAGATTTGGCTGCCGAAATTGCAAGCTCAGAAAACTCAAGGTCGGTGACTCCCACCTATTCTAGACTGGCGCCTGGCTGAAAGAATTTCGTGAATCATCGTAGTGCGACGAAAGCAAGCCACATTGCAAGAGGTGTACTTCATTTGGGGTACTATGTAATTGGATGTCTAATGTTCCCGACCTACAATCTATAGCCGCTGATCCAAGGAGGGCGTTGGTAGTTCGAGGAAAAGTCGAGCTTCGGCCCCCTATCTCCAGTGCTGTATGGACGTCTGACGAATCTATATCCTATCAATTGAACGCAAAGTGTCAAGATTTCATCACCCGGTATCTTGGACGAAGTCTCCTCACCCCCGATGACCCCAATATGAGACATGTCAATCGCAGACTTTTAAGGCTAGCCTTCGCCGTAAGTATTAATGAATTCATTCTGTGACCATCAGACATAATGCAAGCGGGAATATTCGTTGAAGGCCTGGCCTTGGCTGACATGTGGCTTACAGAACCCATATTTGATGCACGCCTCTCTAGCTGTGGCACTTACATACGACCGCTATCTAAATAGATCATTAGGCAGCCCTCGCAGTCTAGAAGAATGCTACCACTGGTCTCAAAGTACAGCTCTCCTTAACAAGCGACTAAGCGAGCCAATTGAAACGAAAGACAAAGATCCAATCTGGGGCACTGCAGCTGCTCTGGCTATGTTGACTTTCTCATCCCCTGACGCATACACCCCAGAACAATCGTGGCCTTTGAAGTCTTCTGACCACTTAGATTTGGACTGGTTGCGCATGCTCAATGGGAAAATGTCACTGTGGCACATTATGAACCCACTACGATCGGACAGTCTGTTCCGTGTCATGGCGGCGACTTATGCTGATATCAACTCACCCTTGCCAGAGAGCGGTGTAGATGGTATACCAAGGGCCTTGGTTGCCGTCTGTCGCCTCACAGACTCATCCACGTCCAATAACAACGCGTATTTCAATGCTGCCCACGCAGTATCCCAGATCCTGGATCACCCGGATAGCGAAGTCACGACAGGTCAAACCCAGGTTTTCACGCGCATCATTAGTGGTCCTTTCGAAGACTTGCTCCGGGAAAGGGACCCTGTAGCGCTGTTGTTGCTGTACCTGTGGTACTGCAAAACAGGTCGCAGTATATGGTGGATTGAACTCAGGGCTAAAGTGGAATGTCCTTCTATTTGCTCGTATTTACGGCTATATCACAAAGAGAATATCGCGCTACAGGCGTTTCTTCCAGGAGGGGCTCTGGCTGACAGATGGAGTTAGTGATGCATCCAAAGCCTCGAAAACATCTTTCCTTTCGGAGATACCTCTATAGAGACATGTAGCAAGATTTAATAGTCTCCTCAATTTTTTTTTGGATCGTTTGCATACTCCTAAATTTAGCAATAGTAATGCTAATTCAACGACATTCTTATCCCTCCATTGACTCGTCCACATCAATCATGGTTATAGGCCCTTTTAAACCCGGGAAGGAATATCTCCATTTTACTTCTACAGAAGTAATTCATGGTTCTTTGTACCTCAAAGCCCTATACCACATCGGGAGACGTACCTTTATTTGAGTGTTTTGCTGCCGCTTTGAAAAGATATCTTGACCACTAAGATTCTCATACGATAGTTCGAAGGATTAATATTGTCTATATTTATTGTCAACGAGCCGTGAACTACCTTGTACAATTATTCTACCTTTTTACATAGGTTTAGCATCCCAATACGCCGTCACATAGCCTTTGCCCAGGAGTATCGAAAAATTGCATCATCTATAAAACAAACCCGAGGCTCTCTCGATCATCATCTTGTACACGAGCGTACCTGCAAGTATGATTTAGCGTGTTGAGCAATGGGAAGGCGGACAAGGGAAACTTACTCCAAGAGAAGTCGAAACATGTAGACCTCTATGTCATCATTTCTGAGGGTCCGAGCAGCCCAAGACTGGCCATCTTCGCCAATGGATCGTGCAATGTCCCGACCTGCGGCATCCTGCTCGAAGAAACGGACCAATTCAGCAAGTTCATTGCCATCCTTGTTAATCGGCACATAGTGAACCCATGGAATCAAGATGTTCTCGTGCCATTCACGGAAGAAAGTCATTTTGAACGGAACGCCCTTGCTGCGCAACAAGGCGTAAAACCTACCACTGTACGCATGGCCATCTATGTCCAGCAGATACCGGAATTTCCAGGCATTACTCTGAGGTTCTGGTTCCACAATATCATCGAAGAATTTTCTTTCTTCGGCGCAGTCATCATCGCAATCGATGATACCCGTGAAGTGGGCATTGAAGTAATCCTCTACCTGGGACTGGTCCGCTTCCTGGATCTCCCAAGTGGTGTCGAGTTCCGAGGTACATGCCGCATCAGTCTTTTGATGCATGATATATTGGGGCGATTGGGGGTGAGTCATATTTCCAATGATACGCTGACGTTGCAGGTTGCGCCAGCTGCCATTTTGACTGTGGCCCCCGGTGGTTCTACCCCGCCAACAGATCTGGGGCTGCTTTTCTTCCCACGGCACCGAGCGTTCCGGGTCAAAGCTCGACATATCTTCATAATAAAATGGCGAAGGAACACCAATGTCTTGGAACGAGGACGGATGAGACATGGAAAACATTGGGGTAAGTTCGTTTGTCAATTTGAAAGAATTAGGCCGTTGAAAGACCCCAAGTCGATGTCGTAGTGATGGGCTATTGCAGATGTCACTAGCCGCAGATTGATTGAAGACGAAACCCAAAGGTTCCATGGCATAGGCAGTTGTGTTGTCCGGCGCGTTCCCATCTAGCGCCATAGCAGGTGTATTTGGTGGGCATGAGAGTCGCGAATAAAGCCATGTCTCTTGGAATTCAATGTTGTTCCACCTGCTTGTAGAAGCCGGCACTGGCGGAACTGGGTCATCCATATCTCCCGCTGAGAAGGACTTTAAAATATTCGACTGGGATTTAAGCCGAGATTGTGCCATTTGGCCTTCGAGGACAAATCTATGCAACTGCTCGTGTGGGACTACGACTCGCGGCTCGTCATGAGCATTGAATTGCAAGTTCATGTCTGGTAGCCATTGAGAGAACTTTTCGAGAATCTTTATTGTCGCTTCTCTCTGGAACTCTCCCTGGCCCTTGCCAAAATCAAGGATCCTGCCGTTACGAATGGCGATTCCCATGACATAAGTGCTGTTTATCCGACCAAGATCTTCTCGGACACGAGAGCGCATCACACTAGGCGTGAGTCCCCAAAATGGCAGAAGGTTATGGTATATTGTATCAAACTCGTCAATCAAAACTGTGTTGCGTGACGTTGCAAAATTATACCATTCATCAAAATACGGAGGCGGAGGCATCTGATATCGTCGCTGGTATTCTGCCACTGCTTCGGCCAAGGACTTAGATTGGTGTTGTAGGGTCTCGCTGAAGGCTTCCCTAGCAGTTGAGACAAGTCGAGCTACAGGGTGGTGACAAGCGCGTTCTTCGAGCGTATCGGTGGGTCGATTTGAAGTCTCGGAGAGATTACCCGCAACGAGGTACCAAAGGACCAGAATCACCGTCGTTGTCAGCCCGACAATGGTCCAGGTCCTCTTTTTAGAGTGCGCATAATAGGATTGGGACCTCCGCGGAGCCCCTTCTAGCAATTCGTATTGATCTTCCCTCCATGTTCCTGCGCCAATAGCTCCAAGTATTGTCGTTGCGCCGGCGTGCAAAGTCCGGAGCGAAGATTGAAAAAAATATGAAGTTGACTCCATCTCAACCGGCGCCAACCTCAAAGTCAGAGATGTTCTTGGAGGTGTGCGACGCGTCAAGGTTGAATGCGATGGGAAATTGAACAGAGAATCAGAGAGGAGAAATCACAATTGCGCATGCGACCGGGGCCTTTCGATGGGTGGAACCTAGCAACAAGATCGACTCAGGCGGACCTTTAGGGCTGTACTGGGTTATTAGTGCGGATTGGGGGCCAAGCCTCTTCTTGGCCCCCGAAACAGAGCCTGAAGCGGCGCATCTACGCGGGACTGGCGCTACGTGGCAGAGGGGTGGAACCAGAGAGCAAGCCCCTGAAGGCAGGAGAGGTCGCATGTCATCAAGCTCAGTCAGGCCGACTAAATCCAATTTCGAGCGATGGTGCGTATGATTTGGCCTATGTCTTTTGCCTCAAAGAACAGCTTGCGCGTATACGTGGGAAATCTGAAATAATTGGCTTCAGTGGGTTCGGGACACCCAACATTTCACCAGCCCAGCTGGCCCGTTTAGCCTCGGTGGGCCTTGATGATCGTCGCTCCTCGCTTCGTATTGACCCCCACTTATCGCGAGCGACCTTCCCAGGGTTTTTCTCTTGTCTAGCTTTGTTTATGGTAGGAAATAAGCAGTAATACAAAGGGGAAGTATCCTTTCTTAGAGCATTGCAAGAAGCCATAAACTCCGGGGTATACCTTCCTCAACTTGCTTCTTTTCATCACTACTCTAAATATCATCCACGCTGTTTTCGTAGATATGTCACCATGTTCAAGAATATAGCCTTTGCAGCTTTCACAGAAGCTCTTGTGGTCTCTTCCGCACTACAACCAGACGCATCAAATTACCAAGTATTCTCAATGCTGTTTGTTTTGGCTGAAGTCCTTCAACTATATGCAGTTCTATGAGTCAAATTAATGGATGATACATTTTCATCTGATCGGGACAAGAATGTCACTTGTAACATAGTGTCGCATCATGATTTCCTGCAGGCTCCATTTCTGGATAGAGAGAAGATGATGCTCCGAGTTTCCTCTTTGACCCAGTTTCTCCACGCTCGTCCCACAGCTCTCTGAAGAAGTGAAGCGGCGAGCGCGGCACGTGTAATTGTTACTATCATTGTGATTTGCCCGTGGCTATTGTGGACCATATTCAATGATATATGGCATTCTATGCCTCACCGCTCTTCAGATGACGAACCGTATCCGCCCAGATTATGAGCGTCAGATGTGGGCCGTATATCTCGGATCAATGAGATGCCAGAAACCAGCTTTGAAGACGTCAGCTGAGTTCAAGAAACATCTGCTCGAAAATTCCTTATGGTGGCCGGAGAAACTGGACAAATTCATAGAGAGCATCTGGGAAAGTACCGTTGATGCATGGGGCCGTCCTGATCAAGGCGTTTGGGGTAGTTCAGGTGTAACAATGCTGTTTTATGAGGACTCTCAGAGCAGCCCCACGCGACTGTCCAGAACCCCTATGAGTGCGGGGCTCCCTTTGACAAGTACTTAGGCAGAGAAGATATAGGCTTATTCCGTGCTCGAGAGATTGATATCTCACTTCCACGAAGGGACTATGATAAGTCCTGCTTTCTTATAGTAGAATCAAGGGGCTTTCTATTGGTCTTTTGATGTCATTGATGGATTTCACTTCCGATACTTCAATGTGTGCTCATTTCTGAATGCTAATATAGCTTCGCATTACTCAAACTCTTACTTATCGTAACTCAAGTACTGAAACCATCGTATTAAGCTAACGAGGACTCACGCAACCAGCAATATGTTGAATAGCGCAGAATTTGCACATAAAAGATTTTGGAATCGATGATACGTCAACATGGAAGCACAAATTGTATCCTATCAAGAGACTCTATTAACTGTTTGAAACACCCAGAAACTGTCAGATCCGCACCCAGAACTAATTGTAAACGATCTCCAGGCTAGATGACCTCCAGCGCTGAAAGCCCCCATTTAGTCAACATAAGGCTCTTTCAGCGTAAGTACTCCGGGCTGCTCCAAAATAATCAAAGGCCCAGCCACAACACTTTCCTCTGTGGGCGCATCCCTCTCATCCGCGATAGAAACCAGAATAATCCCGACCTCGGAATCAAACTGCTTCGGAATCTTGACACTATTTTGCTTGGGATTATATGGCACACTCACAGTGTCCAAACCGTGATAAAGAATAGCATAATAATCTTTCCCAATCTCGAACTTAGGCTGATTATCCAAAGGCTCGAAAACGAGCTTGATATCTGAGCCAGGGCGCGCGGTTGTTCCATTTCCGACGATATTGATTCGGGGAAGACCTTGGCGGGGTGTTGGGTATATGGGATTTTCGGCAGGACAGCTACCCGGAACAATGAATGCGTTTGTCATGTCTAGGATTTGGTTGGCGTAGGGGTAAATTGTATCCGAGGGTCCAGAGAATGGATCGGTATTGTAGATATCGAGGAGTGCCCAGGTATTGTGACGTGTTTCAACTTGACCGATCGCCATCAGTGCGGACTTGGAGATGTTTGCTTCGGCTTGGAGGGAAAGGCCTGTGAGGAAGACCATGCTTGAGACTTCGATGTAGACCTGTAATGCGAGGAAGGCGCTGGCGCTGGTATTAAAGCCGAATTCATATTGACAAGGGCCAGGTTTGATAGAGTTTGTGGAAATCCGGTCCTGAAAAATACGGATATGGCCGGCTTCGTTGTCACGGATCTCGACGATGCGTTGGTAGGTGTTGTTTGGGAGACCCAGTTTGGTGAAGTCCGAGGGTGAGAAGGTGTCTACTGCTTCTTGATAGAGAGAGTAGATGATCCATTCTGCGCTGAGTAGATTTTGAAAGAGAAGATCATCTGGTCCAGCTGGGCCGGAGCTACTTGCAGAGATAGTCTTCATCCTTTCGGAGGCGATCGGTGACTTCTTGCCGGCATAGTTGACAAAGAGAGAGGATTCTCCAGGTACTGCATCAGCTGCTGGTTGAAGTTTATTCTGACCGGAAGTTGCAGGTAGGGCAATTGCTGGCAAAATGAGTGCCATAGAGGCAAGCAAGCTCCTTGAGAAATGCATTTTGAACGTGCGAAAAATGTACCTACTATGCTGCAGATAGTAGATTGTAAAAGCGTTGTAAAAGCGGTTGCTTGTTAAAACACACTCAAGATCGATATTGAATTGATAATTGTTCGCGGACTTAATTTATAGGTAAATGATCTATAAGATGAGGCTGCCTTGAATGCATAGTAGCACATCAGTAGCCCTATCGGGAAAGTGTTAGGTAGCGTCGAGTTTACTCGATCGGACTCAATCAGCGAGCTATAAACTCAGCCACCTCCAGGGGTCACCAATAACAGGGGTCTATTAAATCCCAAATACCGCCTCCCGCCTTATTTCCAAAGATCCAAGATTTGACTCAAGCTTTACATCCCTCGTTCCCTGGGGCAGTTGACTCTTTTGGGCGCATTGCGCGAGTGGTGGGACTGGTTTCTGGGCAAATCAGCACTTACATGTGGGGCCAGTTCTGCCACAGCTCGCCGGATGCGCCCAAAAGGGTAATTCTTCAGTGTTTTTGCATGAGAAGGGAGTGTTGCGTACTTTGAGTATTTAGATTCGCCGGGTTTCTTGGTGAAAATAAATCTGTATATAAGGTTCCCTTTCAATTGCATCTTCATTTGAGACTACACCCTGTACATCGACATGGCAATCCACTACGAGGGCAACGAGAAGCATCTTTCTGCTATGGAGAGTGCCAAGGCACCTGCACTCCCTCCACCCCCGCCCTGTACTCTCGAGCCTCAATGTCCGATCCTAGGATCTAGAGAGGCAGTGTCTCGCAAAGGCTAGATGGTGGAGTCTCGAAGAGAATATGTCTCATCCCAGAATCAACTGCAATACCAGCCGTTGCCACCGCGGCATCTAACTGGCCAATATCACAACGAACAAGAATACGATGCTCCAGCACATTGGAACGGCCAATCTCACTATAGCGCGGCAGATTGCAACATCCCTTACCAGCCCCAGTCATCCCCGCCTCAAGTTCCTCTCACGACGAACGCATCCTACCGCCTCGACCCTCAATTACATCTCCAATTACAGCAATCATCTAGACAGTCTCAAAGACCATGCATCATTCCTCGTAAGAATCATCTCTCCTGTAAATCTATGTCCATGTCTAACATATACCAGAAATAACCAAAGCTTTCGGCGGAGCACACATGAGCCCCTTTGCCCGCGCCCGCGCCCATGAACTCGAACAACCATACGGCATCACTGCAAGAGATATGCTTACTTTCATCGACGGCCTCAATGAAGCATTCTTTGCAAATCCAGTCCTACAAGCAACAAATACAACTGGAAATATTGTCGGCTTTGTGCCTATCCCCTCGGCTCAGATCGTCAGTTCCACCATTAGTCTTGCATCTGGACTGGGTATGGCAGCCACTTCAATTCTGCGTACGAAGCAGTATATGAAAGAAGCAAACGAAATTATTTTTCACCCAAGAAGACTTCATGCTCAGGTCTGCAAGACGGACAAAATGCTCATGCAGACTGGAATCAATTGTGATGCTTTGGTATTTGCACAGGGGCAGTATCGGATCGGCGAGGCGTCTGGTGACGGGAATCATTCAGTGCGGAGAATGGATGCGCTGGGTGATCGGGTGATGGCGCTTTCGTTTGATGTTGAGGCACCTGTTGCTCCGGACAATTGGATGAAAAAGATTGGGGCGTACTCGGCGCAGAGGGCGGAACAGAAGCAGTTGAAGAAGTTGGACAAGAAGCAGGCAAAAGCGGATAGGAGGAATGCTAAGGCTGAGAAAAAGGAGCGAGGAGGGAATGGGAGAGCTGAAAAGTTGCAGAGTAAGGAAACGAAGAAGGTGAAGGAGTTGTGGATTGTGATTACAGCCGAAAGGGTTACCCTAGCTGGTGATGATGATTGGGATACAGATGATAATATTCAGAGACAGTGAAGATTTTGGTCGTGAGAAGGGCCATGGCAAGGCGTTAGGCGGGCGTGGGTGCTTTTGTGCCTGTCCCGGTCTGGATTTTGTGATTCATTAGCGATTAGACAATTAGGGAATACCCCGGATGACCTAGGTTTTCAGAAAACCTTACCAGTTGAGCCTGCCGCGGTAGATTTTCCTTCCGTCCTATTTCAAACCCATGCATGTCCGCAACAACGGCCATAACGCCTTCAAGCCAAGTCTTGGCTCCTTCGTTATCACCTTCAAGATGAATGTATGACACGTTCAGCGGGAAAAGAAGCATGAAAGCCCCTGAACTCCGTCTCAGAACATGAAGATGGTAGTTCATCATCCGGCACGTCTCCACGGCCACGTCGTGTCTAGTACCTTGCATCGGCATTAGAGGATCGGTTGAGTTCACCTCAGACAATGGGATATCAATACTGATTCCCGATATCTCAAGCGCCCTTGTCGCAATCAGCCGGATGCAGTTGTAGGTAATTAACTCGGTAGCGCGATACGCGTTGGAAAACCAGATGATCGACTGGAATGGGCTGTGTGGTAATCCCAAGGTTACTTCTGCATCAAGGTCTTTGGGCGAAATCAAGTATGTCGCGTTAGGAAATTTTTGCTCCCAGTCCCAGCGCCAAGTATAAACAGCCTCGAGGGTCGCATAAACTCGTCCACCGTAGGCAGCTTTGAAGTCGTCGAGTCCTGGTTCATAAGCAGGCCAATTCACAACTCGATCCATGTCTTCGAGAAAGCCAGGCAGGTCACTGAGATAGTCGTGCAGGTGGCTAATGGGCTCTTTTGAGTCGATGCCCTTGATCGCCCATGGTATTGTCTTCCATTCCAGATCATCGAGAAAGCAGCGCTTGCGTTCAACGATGTATCCAATGGACTTGACCAATCAGTAAAGCTTAAGTCTCAATGCTGTTATGGTGGCTTACAATGCAAGATCGAAGCGTAGGTAGTAACGCGTGCGCGATGCCTGCTTGGAAGCAGTGTGGCCCTCTCAAAGCAGTCTAGATCCCAAGTTAGCAATTGCTATACATTCACATGCTATATGTTCAATTACTATATATTGGAGAAAGAAGACTTACTAATCGAGCCAAGCCCTTGTAATGATGAAGCCATCCATTTGGTTGGTCAAAGGTGACGAGCTCGTAAATTCCCATGCAGATGATGGCGACCAGCACCTCATCACCTAAGACGTGTGAAGAATCTTGCAGCTTTTCACGTAGAGAAGTAAGTGCTCGAGAATAGAATCCCGCGCCTTTTCTTACGAGTTCATAGTGTCCGTGGGTTTTTCCGAAATAAGCAGTTGCCAAAGCACGAAGTGAAGACGTCGAGACACCTTGTTCGTCCTCGGTTGGACAGGTAAGTGAAAGGATCCAAGAAGCGGAGGCGGGTGAATTTGGGTCCGTGGCCCATGAAAACAGCCTATTAATGAGATGAGAAGTGAAGACAATCTGTTCGTCGAAAGCTGGGTTGACAGTCAATGGCATGAACGGCAGCTCCACGACAGAATCATTGGACCCTGTACTCCCAGCTGAGCTGAGCACTGTGGATTTGGCCTTCTTGGAAGAGCGCTTGCTAGTGAGCTGGGAAGTCACATCCACGAACTCGGCATACTGTATGTAGCCATCGCATTGTATATTAGCCTTGCAGCATCGCTGGCAGTGAGGCTTGCCTTCATCTGGAGCACATTAGTTGTATCCACGGTGAACGACTGACAGACGTACCGCATTTCACTCTTCGCCGGCGACAGGTCTTGCACCCTTTGCTCCGGCCTCCGATACCGACCATGATTCCATGACCATCAGGGAGAATCGCATGTGGTGAGATGGAAATTGGGAATCCGGTGGGCTAGTGGGGTCCGGTGTTGGTATTTGGCCAATGGAATGTGTCAATCATCTGGGCTGAGCTGAGGCTCATTTCCAGCCCGATCAAGAAGATGACTCCCTGGAAATCTCGAAAATGTGGTGTTCGGGACTTATTTGCTTCATTGTGCTCAACGCCGGTATGTAGAAAAGAGGAAAAATTTGTTGAGAAGGACCAGAAAGGACGAGACGTCAATCTGTGCCCAAGGAATGACCTCGGGTTGCACCCGAAGGTAAAGGCACTGTCAAGATCGAAAGGCTCGAGGGTTGCCTGGTACGGATCTTGCATTATTCTATGAGTTATATGAGCATAAAGAGGAATGCTGGATGAATGGGCAAATCATTCCTTCTTGATTAGTGATTGTCGGAGCATCGGCGTTTAGCAGGGAGAGCCTTTCGTCAAACATTCTCCTACGTTTGCTTCCACATACGCCAAGATGACATTATAGTGGGGTATTCAGTTCACTAATGGTGGAAAGACCTCCGATTCTTTTTTCCACTTTACCAAAGATCAATAGACACAGTCATGGGCTGAAAAGGCTCAACGGCGAAAGCCGATAGCACAGCTGCACTGCGAGTGTTTCCAATCAAAATATAGGAAAGTACTATATAAGATCTCTCGGATCCGCAATGAGTCTTCATTCAAATTCAAATTACCCAAAGAAAGCTTTCCAGACTTCCCATCAGTATGTCAACAGGCAGATTTCTCCTCTCTGCGACTAACACAGCTGCCCCAAACGGGCGGTGATACATTGTGGGCGTCGGGATACGAGATCTGCGATCGGATCAGCAAGCCGTACCGAAATATTTTGGAAGGTCTTACTGCTATTCACGACGGCGAGACTTTCAGACAAATGGCGCGGTCGGGCAAGTTTCAAATCTACGAGAAGCAGAGAGGATCACCTGCTAATGTGGGCGATGACTTGTTCGCTGTGCATCCTGTGAGTATGAACAAGTTCATTGCAGTATAGAAGCTGACTATGCTCTAGGTCGTGCGGACAAATCCGATTACAGGCTGGAAATCGATATTTGCTGCAGGTAGGATTCATTGCATTCCTTCTTATTGTCCGTTAATTCTGATCAGATGAACAAGCCGCCTTCCAGTCTCAAATCAATGGCTTGACTCGCAAAGAAAGTGCAAACTTACTGCAGTTTCTGCATGATATGATTACGCATGGTCACGATCTTCAGGTCCGTTTTAAGTGGAACCAGCCAAATGATATTGGTAGGCTCCACGCTGTGTGTAAGTTCTCGAGGAAGCTGCTAAGTTTTTTCAGCTATCTGGGACAATAGATGTGTCTACCGGTAGCTTTCGTGTTACTATGTTACTATCCGAGGCAACCAAGTGGCTTCCCCGCAATTCTGGCAGTCGCGCACAATTGATGCGTGGCAATACGGTGGAGTCATTGCCGCGTCTTAGCACGCCATCATCGAGTGATCGTTGGCGGTGCCTTGTTCCTTATTTGACGACCTTTTCGATTGCCCCTCTAAATTGTCAAGTTGGATTGCTTCGATTTTCACGGAGAAATTATCCGATAATTCATCGACCCACTGCTGTCAAAGTTCTAACGGCGCTAAAGGAAGATCGCGATGATGGCATCGGAAAGTAAGGAAACGTTGAAACGAGGGGACGATCATCAAACCTTGTGAATAGACTAGACAGCGCTCAATCCTCACGCCACTAGACCTCCAAATCAGCAACTGGGGGGTTTTCGCATAGCGATTAAATCTTTCCTGCCCAACCTGAGCCGAGGCTTTGGGAGTCTCAGTCTCGGGTTGCATGGATCAGGTGACAAGACAGTTGTTGTTCCCTTCAAGTTTTGTTTACTTGACGGCCTTGCCCGGCGTCTAGAAGCGCCTGGATCGCCATGGATCACACGGGCGGAAGCTGCTGGCGAAGCTAGCCCAGTTTGGGGCATTGCTATGTCAATCCCCTCCAATGGACGCGGTACAGTGGGGGGATCTGTCGGTGACTCTCCAAAACAGTGAAAGCAGGTTTTCGTCGAGTCTAGACTAATTCGGTCGCTAGTTCTCTAACTCAATCATTTACCCTTTTTCCATTCTCTTGATTCCGTTGCTCACGGGCTTGTTGGTCCAAGGCATGCCTCGTCGTGAAAGCCATGGATTTCTCGGGTTCACTGGGCTTTCACCAGCCTCCATGTGATGCCGAGCGAGAGAGAATCCGAGAGCTGTCAAGGTGAGACCTGAGACGATTTTTACCCGCCGATCAGCGCGCTGACCACTGCCAACCGCAGATATTATTGCGCTTTGGATCGACCGTTGCCACTGGACCCTGTCGCCGAGAGTGAGCGATCGCAAGATGGCGCCCCTCAACAAGACGAACAGCCACGAGCCTGCGATATCTCGGCCGACATTACGCTGAATGCGCTGGCACAACTCGGAACGCACCGTCTTCAGTGTAACCGATCCTTCATCTCCCTCGTCGACGGGTCGAACCAGCACATCATCGCCGAGGCGACGAAATCGGTCTCGCTGCGAAATAAAGACTCTCACCTGCCTGACGATGATATTTATCTGGGAGTGCGGTCGCTCGATTTGGAATGGGGATTATGTCCTCACACGATCCGTCTGTTTACCGGTCAAGACCTGTCCTACACCATTGATTCCGACAACATCACCGCCAGCCGAACCAGATATATTATCCGCGATCTGACCAAGGAAGACTGCTTCAAGGATCGACCATATGTTCAAGAATGGCCCCATTTTCGATTCTACGCCGAAGTGCCCCTCAAGAGTCCGTCCGGGGTGGTCCTCGGTACATATTGTGTTATCGATGATAAGCCAAGAGAACGAGCTGATTTCAGCGACCACGAAGTTGACACCCTGCAAGAGCTCGCCGATGCTATTGTGCATCATTTGGAAAATGTGCGAGTGGTCAATTGCCATCGTCGGTCAGAACGCTTGGTTGAAGGCTTGACCAATTTTGTCAAGGACTACTCAGACTTCGATCCCCGCGAGGCTTCCAGTGGGCGTCGACTGGAATCGACCTCGTTAGCCTCCAATGCAGACATGCCTATGTCGCTTGACGGGGTCAAAGTCACCGACGCCGGTGTCGTCTCAGCATCTTCAGCATCCAGCCGCACAGAACACACATCTGTTGCTTTCTTCAATAGTCCACTCCCCGAGTCTACTGAGCCCTCTTCACTCGACTCAGACCAGTCCGTTTCGATATCGAGCCCAGGAGAAGAAAGGCCGATGGATGATGTACAAAATCCAGGTGGCCCCGGTGATCTCAAATCTATGAACAACAACGCTTCGTTGGTTTCTCTTGTAGACAGCATTCCCATTTCCGATCGCATCACGTCAATTTTTTCCCGCGCCAGTGTCTTGCTTCGGGATTCGATGGACCTTGATGGCGTTGCTTTCCTTGATGCTGCCCGAAGCAACCCGTCTTTGTGAGCTACCCTTCCATTATTGCCCTCTGCAGAAATACTAATAAAGTCCTAGCCAAGTTTCCGTGGAGCATGCCAGCTGGGAGCCGCTACCGAAATCCGTGTCGCCAGTGTCAACCGGAACTGCGCCATTTCCAGTTACCCCATCTCTTAGCCCGCTGGGGCTATCGGGCTCAACCTCGGAAGATCTCCACGCATCGTGCGATATTCTTAGCTCTGCTTTGAAAAAAAAATCACCGGGCGATGCCGCTCCCACCATTGATATTGACGTTACAGAAGAGTTGTTAAGCCAATTGATCGCCTTCTTTCCTCAAGGCCAGATCTTTACCTCGTCCGACTCTGCCGAAACTGATGATTACCTGGCTTTCGGAAGCGCCATCAGCTCTGGAGCTCGATCAAAGAAGATCCAAACAATCTCTCTACGGGTCATGAAGCTTGTTCCTGGGGCCGATTCGGTTTTATTCCTTCCTCTATGGGACTATCACAAGTCTCGCTGGATGGCAGGGACATTGGTCTGGGCTCGCGACTCTCACCGGGTTCTAGGTATGGAGGAACTCCATTACTTCAAAGTCTTTGGTGATTCTATTGTGTCTGAGGTCTCCCGGGTGCATTGGATGACTACTGAAAAGTCCAAGTTCGACTTCATCTCATCTGTCAGCCACGAGCTGCGCTCGCCGTTGCACGGAATTCTGGCCAGTGCGGAGCTGCTGCATGCCACACCTCTCCAACCGGCACAGGAAGAAATGATTAAAATGATTGAGACATCCGGTTTGACCTTGTTAGATACCACTGATCATTTGTGAGTGTCCTTTTTACTTCATCTACGATGCTTTCCTCGACTGACCATTAGCTAGGCTTGAATTCTGCAAGATCAACAACCTCACCCAGGCTAAAAAGTCTAGGGGGAAAGCGCAACCGGGAGACTTCAAGTCTTGTGTCCGATTTTGACCTGGGCCATCTAGTCGAGGAAGTAACAAATATTTTGTATACTGGTCAGAGAGCACCCAGAATGTCTGGTCGTGATATCGTCAGGTTTTCGCCTAGAATAGATGAGGCCAAATCAGGTGGAACTTGTGCCCAGGACATGTCGCTGGTCGTCCGCATCGAGCAGTCCCAATCTTGGATGGTTCGCTCTCTACCTGGAGCATGGCGACGCATCGTCATGAATCTGCTAGGAAACGCTCTCAAGTGGACGAAATCCGGGTTCGTTGAGGTCTCACTTTCGGTAGCGAGTCCAGACAAATCGCAAAGCTTTATCGCCCATCTGTCAATCACCGATACCGGCAGTGGAATTGCGCCGGATTTCCTTCGACACAAGCTTTTCTCCCCGTTTGCTCAAGAAGATTCGTTGGTAGAAGGCGTTGGGTTGGGTTTGAGCATTGTTCGCCAGCTTGTTACCTCCCTCAATGGCACTGTCAATGTGAGAAGTGAGTTAGGTATTGGCACTCAAGTTGATGTCTTTATTCCTGTTCAGGATCCTGATGGTTCGATTCCGCCTCAACTGCTCTTGGAAAAACATGCCGTTGGCACCGATGGAATCAATGTGCCATTCCAGGCATGTCTGGTTGCATTCAACGGATATCCGGATCTGAATGAGGTTCCCACGGGAGTCTTGTCCGTCGATGCTAAGCGGAAAATTTCGATACAGAGTACTCTTGCCGATGTCTTCATGTCCCAGTTCGGATGGAGTGTATCTTTGGCGGAGTCCCTCGAGGAGGCGCAAGGTGATGTTGTGGTTCTCGAGGAGGCAGTCCTCAATGCAGCTGCCGAAGGCTCCTCGTGCCTTGAAATAATCAAGGCCATGGAAGCTAAGTTCAAGTATTTTGTCATTCTTGGCAGCAAGAGCATGCAAACGACGTATGCGCCAACTGTCATCTGGGTGACTCAACCGTAAGTCTACAGCATTCCCAATGCCAGGAAATATGCTGACGTTCAAAAAGATTCGGTCCACAGAAAATTCAGACTGCTGTACGGAGAGCTTTGGAGCTTCATCAAACACCAGCAGAGTCTGAATCTGCTCCTACTTTGACTCCGATGACTACCTCAGACGACGCATTATCAACTCCTCCTCCGAGCTCCCCTCCTGAAGAAGAAGAAGGAGAAATCACACCAAAGGCATTGACTGAAGCAAAATCACAAGGTGCGGCGGTTGTCGAGTCACCAACTGTACCTACCCCACAGCCTAAAGCCAATCATGTGCTCATTGTTGATGACAACGACATCAACCTCAAGGTCCGTTATCACAACTCTCAGTTCAGATACCCATCCTCCGCAGTCATTTATGTTTAATACTTAGATCATGGCGACATTCATCCGCAAAATCGGCTGCAGCTACGAAACAGCATCCAACGGTTTAATCGCCCTGGAGAAATACATGGCATCCAGCCAACAATTCAACTTCGTCCTAATGGGTGAGCCTATTCTCCCAAACCATTGTGAAGCAAACTGCTAATTAACTTCAGACATATCGATGCCCGTGATGGACGGCCTAGTCTCAACCAGCAAAATCCGCCAATATGAAAAAGAAAAACGTCTCAGGCCATCCTGCATCATGGCCGTGACTGGCGTTGCTTCAGAATCAATGCAGCAACAGGCCCAAAAAGCAGGAACAAACCAATACCTAATCAAACCCCTCTCTCCTCCATGAGCTCAAAAGGCTTATGGCTATCGATTGATATCAATGATATCACCTCGAATGTGTACGGTTCAGCGAAGTTATGAAGCGCGGTGTTTGGAGTTTGCTTCTTTTAATTCGCAATCTATACATTTACGTGATGCATTGGGCATTCTTTTCATCTTGGGAAAGTTTTTAAGGTTGTCGTGTGGCACACGTTGAAGACCTTACAGTCATACATGAGGGCTCCAAGGTTCGTGCGGATGGCGACTCATCACCAGAGAATAAGCCAACGCAGTACAAGCCAGGAGTAAGACAGTGTGGACTGGATCTGAGTCAGCTGCCCAAGTCGTGGCTTCAATTTTGAAACACTGAGAGGCGCCCGATTGACAGACCTGAAAGACAGCGCACACCCAGGTTAAGCTGTCTACATAAATGTCGATGGTCTCATGTCGACGGTATCAAGTCGCGCGAGGCACTCAAATCAGTGCTTGCGCCCCGAGGTGTGGACATATATGCACTCCCCCTGCACAGATGGTCTTTTCGCCACGTTTCGCCAGAGAAAGATCTCGAACACAGCAGACAACGCATCGATGGGCCGAGTACCCCACCTGCTGCAAAGATACGTTTGACGCCCTCGAAATGGCGAGGGTCACAGGTAGATGAAAAGTACACGATTTCAGCATTACCTTGAAGTGCTGCTTTGAATTCCTTTCAATGAGGTGTACAATGAGTGCATGTGGAGTCGCAGAATTAGCATATAAATTTCTTCTACAAACTTATGTCTCAGTGAATTCCGGGTATTTATACCATAGTCCAAAGGTTCGCTGATCATTTGCCTTGGCATATTTTGTCTCCGAGTTCCCATATTGGTTGATTTCTCTCCACTCAATTGAATAAGATTACATGTGCAGCTTCAACATTAGATATAACAATATCGATGGGCCTGAACGCCTCATTCTGCAACTCCTTTCCGAAATTATCTGAAACACCTCTCAAAAATTTCAATAGAAGCTATTTTCTTTCAATCCAAATTAGCCTCCGTGCTGGCTTTGAAAACCTCTGTTGGGATCAGGAGCAAACGTTTATCTAGAAATTTTGTTGCATGTGAATGACGGGGCCGCAGGTGAAATCAGTGGCTCAATAATTCCGCATTTCTTACAAATTATGAAGACTCCACGGGCAAGACAGATCTATTTTTACGCAGGAAGTGACCTTTGTCTGAGTTTGACGATTGGCGAGTCCTTGGCAATCACGAAGTAGAACTACGATATTGACCATCAAAGGAATAGGTAGCTTACCGTTTCGACGTGGCGTCTAGCAGCTTCGTCGAGCCATACCTCATATAGTCCAATACAAAATATCTCGGGAAAGCACAAATCCGCTAAATGACGGACATACATTCGACTGATTGCTCACACAATGATACAGAGACACAAGACCTATATACAAGACACAGCGCCGACAAGTTTGAAAAACGCAAAAGCAAGCAACGACTGGAAAGAACGGCGACTCGTTCATGCGGGAAACCGCTGCCGTCACGAAGGGGAATCGTAGGAAGAAATCAAAGAGTTGGTGGTTTTGCGCTGCCTAGAGGGAATAGTACAGAAGTACTTCATGGGATGGACAGGTGGTAGGAAGATTCTGCAAATGCATTTGCAGATATGAAATTTGGTTGGGGTAATGGGTAAATATTTTCTACTCCTGCCCGAATCCAAGCGTTTCCTCCACCGCAATGGACATCTTGTGCTCCAGGGCGTCGTGAGTCTTGTAAGGGGGCAAGTCAAGGCGATTGAAGCAAGTGTGGGACTTGGGAAGGGCGTTGGGGTCGCCGGATTTTTCGATCGTGAAGCGTTGGGGTCCGTCAGATCCTTGAAGGTCTTTGAATCCGTTGACTGGGATACGGGAGGTACCGGTGGTGAACTGGAGGAGACGGGACTTCTGTTCGGCATCCCAGGTGCGGACGATCTTCCAGAAGTTCTGAATGACTTCGTCTTGCTCCTGGTAGCCACGGTAGTCGGTGTGCTTCTTCCAGTCGTCAACGTCGATATCGGCGATACCGCCAATGAGAAGCTCAAGTTCGCGCTCGTCGAAAACGTTCACCAGATCCGCAGGAATCAGCTCATTGAAACCGGACATGAATGCGTTGAACTGCTCCTCGACACGCTTGACAATCTTCCACTCCGTAACCAATCTGATGTGGTGTCAGCAGTAGATCCTACCTCATTTGAGCACGTGCCCAACTTACTCAATGTACTGTGCCTTATTCTCGTTGGTGACGGGAATATCCCGGCCACCGGGTATCAAATCAACTGTGCTACGCTCACCAAACTTCTCATCATCCACGGAGAAAGTAAGCTCCACAATTCCTTCAATGTCATTATCCCTGTAATATTATTAGTTCAGACCAGGCGCTCGATTGGAGATCAATCTTACAAGGTCCACGCCAGGTTTCGATGCAAGTCTTCATCGACACCTTCCATGTCTTGGAGAGAGACCTTCTTTCTCAACATCATCTTGTAAAATGCGCCAATGAAGAACGAATCCAGGAAGCGGCGGTGGAAAATGGCGAGGCCGACCACGCGGCCAATAAACTTGAAATAGTTGAGATGCTCAGGGTTGACCCCAGAGTGGGGGTTAATCTGCAGGGTATAATTATCATGGGCGGAGTATTCGAAGAGACAGTAGAAGGGATTGAACATTTCGTGGGAGAGGAGGAAGAAAAATTCACTGCAAATTCGTCAATATGATTAATGTTACCATCAGGTGTAAGTAGAGCATACCGAGAAAGACCACCGTAGTCCAGGCCGTCTTCACCGTCGAACTTGATCATCAAGCGCTTCTTCAGATCAGAGGCACTCTGTCGCATGATCTCGGCATACGAATCCTCAAAGATATTATTGCGGCGGACCTTGACATGGCATTGGCCAGACATAATTCGCAGAGCAGGTTGGGATCGGAAGTAAATCAACTTGCGACGGAAGTCACGCTTGTATTGCGGTACACCCTGATCCAACGATGAAGGCAAGCGGGGATCATCCCAAGTAGTTGTCTTGGTGTTGTGGTCGACGAAGTACACACGAGCAGTATTGGTAAGACGCATTTCCCATCCACTTGGCAACGGTCCAAGTTGCGACACGGGCTGTTGTTGAATAGTGGTGTTGTTTCCACCCTGTTGTTGATTCTGGCCGTACATGCGAATATACTGCTGTCTCCGGGGATCGACCCAGGTCGTTGTCCGGGTGTTGTGGTCGACAAAGTAGGCGCGTCCCTCGGGAGTATGACGCTGCTCCCATCCAGCTGGAAGCTCACCAGTGCCTGCAGTGGTGGCTCCCGTTGCCATCATGGAGACGGCATTGGCATTGGATCCGGGCGCAGTGCCACTGGCCGTACCTCCCGCAGCAGGGGCTGTGATACCCGGAGGTGGTGTAGCCGCCTGCTGGCCATCCTGCAAGTTCGGTGAGCTAGCACCTGTGCGATCTTCGGGTAACATTCGGCTTTGATGGGCCCGGCGTTCGAGTTGCATGTTGGCTTCACGCTGGCTGCGCTGAGCGGATTCGTTGTAATTGGCTGAAGGTCGAGACCAGGTTGTGGTGCGCGTATTGTGGTCGACGTAGTAAGTTCGTCCCAAATTATCCTCCCGACGTTCCCATCCCGCAGGTAATCGGCCCTGGCTGTCTTCGAACGAGCTCATGTTAGCGCGAGACGGAACTCCAGCTCCCGGGGGAGCACCGTTGGGAGGCGGTAGAGCGGCCGAACTGCGGGGATTCAATGATGAGCTTGACGCGGCGGCGGGCGACAAATCGGCATGGCTACCTCCGCCAGACAAAGGTGTGGATCCGGCGGCGACCTGGGGCACAAGACCGCTGGATGTTGAAGATTGAGTCTGCTGAGGACGAAGGTTCCCATTTTGCTGGTTCGGGTGCGGTGCGGCTAGGTTCGTGGACAAGTTAATAATTAATTTACCATGAACGACCAGATTATCATTCGATTTCTTGAGGTCACGAGTGAGCATTTCTGTCAAGGCGTGAGAGGTCAGTGGCGGGCAATGTCTCAAATCATATCTATCGCAAACGTACCATCGCCTCCCATTTGAAGATCGATGACATCGCCAATGCGCACATTGATGACGCCAAGGAAACCCTGGTCCTTCTTCTTGAACTTCTTCTGATCGAAAATCTGAATCGCGAGAATGCTGTCCTCGTTCACTCGCCTACAACAAATACTCACGTTAACACTCAAGATGCTCCCCATTAATATCCAGCGAGAGGGGAGCCATCACGTACAAATCGAAGGGTTCATTCCAATAGGGGTTGAGGGTCTTTTTGATGACAGAGGTCGTGTGAGTCTGCTCGCCTCCGACAGTGGCCACGGCGAAAGGATCGGGGAAACCTAGAATATGAGTCAGTTCAACCTCCATCTTTATCGAATAAAGGAGGATCACGTACGGAATACATCGCGTTTGTAAAGGCCATCTGCCGCGATAACTGTGAAGAAGGTGTCAGTTTCAGGTCGTGACGAACCCCGCAGAGTCCCGCCTCGCAGGGCAAGGTGACAAGACGATCATACTCGTTACCCGGAGATTTGGCTGGCTATAATTCGACTTGTCAGCGAGAAAATCTAGGAGAGTCACCGATCGAAGAAAAGACTTCGATGTGGAGGGGTGAGGCACTTACGCTGGCAGATTGGATGCCATGTTGCCCTGGTTGCTTCACAAGCACACCGATGCAGGTGCGGAACGGCCGATCGATCAAGCCCAAGCCTAAACGATAGCGCACATCCACAGGAGAAGGCAGGTAAAGAGAGTCCACCGAGTGAAGGTGGAATGGGGTGGGGGAGAGTGGGTGGTGAGGATGATGGGGAGGAAGAAGAGGGAGGGAACTAGGCAGGGTTGGCTCTCAGGTAATCCGTGTATGGCGCAGGTACTCGCGCTACGTATTGGCTGGATACAAGGTACTTAGCGGGTACTTTAATCGCTATTATGGGGCTGAGCACTCCCCTACAGTCATTCTGGTCGAATCTCCTTCAGTGCTTAGCCACAATCGTGCTGGCCTTGCGGAAATCCTCCTGGCGTACGTAATACTGGGTGGGTGCTGGCGGGTGCGGGCGGAGAGGTGGCGACGACAATTATAGTAAAGTATTGCCCTGAATATACCTTGCTAGGCCTGCTGGGTAAGGCTAGACAAGGCTAGACAACGTAATTGTGCTCTCATCCTGGCGTTTTAGGCAGATTGACAATTGTTTCTACATGGCTACTATTCTCAGGTGTTATGGGTTCAAATCCTTGAAAAATGGATGCTGGTGATAGCATTGATGAGGAATGACTTCATGAATTACACAATTTTTCGAAAGCCAGCAACCAAGCTCTCGCAATTGTTCGCTTATTGTACATCCTGATAAACCTTTACACCAAAGGCCACATCCTGAGGACCCGATCAGAGAGCCCATCCGTTCTTTTGCGGATTCTGCAGCCATGTCATGGCGGGACCGGCGGAGTGGGGATCTCTCGGCATGAATCTGCCGGTTGAGGGCGGGAGATAGAGAGTGGGCTCGAAAGGATCGAGTCACACATTTAGTATGGCGCATAGCCACGACCCCGGCCGCGATAGCCACCACCACGATAGCTGCCACGGAAGCCACGGCCGCCACGGCCACGGCCCCGTCCACGACCACGGGCGTTCATACCAGGCAGGTTAGTGCGCTTGGGAGTGACCTGTTTGTAGTGGGATTAGGTTCATATTCCAAGATTGAGACAGAGATGATGCCGCTAACTCGTCCGAACTTACCTTCAGGTTGCGACCGCGGAAGACGCTCTCGTTTAGGATCAAAGCCTGGGCCACAAGACTAGGCTCAGAGAATTCAACGTAGGCATAACTGTGAAGCATACTAGTCAGTTTCTGCAATACTCGTATCTCATCTGATGGAGAACCCACCCCTTCGGCTGACCGGAGAATTTGTCCAGCAGAATGGTAACCCGGTTGATAGAACCGCAACTCTGGAAGTGTGCCTGGATCTCTTCGGGCGAGGCACCGTAATCCACATTGCCAACGAATATACTCCGTGCATCGATATCTTCTTTGTTCTCCTGGAGGCTCTCGGACTGCTGGTCAAGGGTGGACTGCATCTCGCGCAATTTGGCCGCTTCGGACTCCATCTCTGCAACTCGTCGTTTCATGGCCGCAATTTCTTCCTGGTGCATCACATTGTCAGTGAGTAGTTCTGAACGATTTCGGGGCAGGTGTCAGGGATCGTTGCGATAGATCCTGTGCGCATCGCAGCTTCCACGTACATCTTCCTCACCACCCTCCTCCTGGGGAGGGAGCTGCTCTTCCTTGAGCTCGGTACCCTCGGCGGACATGATGATCACAATGGTATATTAGGGAGTATTGTATCGGTGTAGTCGGTGCAGCAGCTATGAAAATAGATGCGAGGAGCAGTTAAAGCTCTATGATAGGATCGGGTGAATCCGCAGGGGCCTGAGACGATATAACAGGGCCTAGTGGTTCTCAAAGAGTAAGCGGAGAGACGCTTTGAAGTGAATGAAGAGAGTCGGGTCAACAAAGATCCATTCAATCTTGCGGGGCTAGAGAGCGACGAGGCGCGATGAGATTGGGAACTGGAGGCTTGCCGTTCTAGGACTAGCGGGGATTTCCCATGAACACCGGCCTGATTCTTGGCGTCTACAGCATACTTCTGCAATTTAAGCCCAGCCAAGATGCGGCGGAAAAAAAAGGTGCCCATTGAATCAGTGCAATGTCTCTGTTTCTTTTACAGATTGCATATCGCATTTGGTCCGATTTATAGATTGCCGTTACGATTCAAGAAATGTCCGCAAATTCACCTGAGTATCAAGGACGATTATTAGGCAGCATTGAACAGCATGAGAATTGGTCAGCCTGAACTTGGTCAATCTAAGAATTGGTTGAATTGCATGTGAGCTCAAGGTATCAGGGAATCGATTGACAGGCGTGGAATCCGAGCGCAATGAAGAGATCAAGGCACACGTGATGAGCGGATTGGAAGGAGTCTATGTACACGGAGGGAAGAGGAGTAGGTGAAGGATGACCAAAAGCAGAATGAAGGATCAAGATGCAGGTGCAGGCACACCGGCAGCAGCAGGGGTAGGAGCAGGAGCGTGGTTCTTGCGGTAGGAAACCTTCTCGACTGACACGTTCTCAACTCCATTGGCGTCCGTCTTCAGCTGGTAAACATACAGCACGAGCACGTCTCCTTGAATCTGGGCCGATCGTTAGCGTAACACCATATAAAGTGGCATTATTGCGACACGTACATCCATCAAGCAGAAGCTCGGCGTAGGCTCATCTCCTTCAGGGGTGAACCCAGAGCTCATGGCGCCAGTTGCACTGCCAGGATTGATGAAGAAGCGACCTTCCATTTCAAACGCCTCGAAGCGATGGGTGCCACCCCAAAGCAAGATATCAACATCCATTTGCCGGGCTGCGATCAGTAGCGCATCTGCGTCCCCCGGCGGGATGATGGTGTGACCGTGTGTGAAGCCAATGCGCAAGCTGCCATGGTTGACAATCTTGGAGAGGGGGAGATTCGGGGAGTCGACATCGAAGTCACCTTTGACCATCTGCAGGTCGGGGGCTACCTGGCGGAGGAAGTCATAGGTCTCGCGGTCGGTGAGATTACCCAAACAGAGGATCTGACCAATCTTTCCAGGTGTGAGGAGCTTCCGGAACTAGCATCGGGGGGTTAGCTGGACGTGGATCGGATCTGGGCGCAAGGAGAAGGGTACCTTGGCCGGAAGGTCCTAGCAATGACGGGTTAGCTGTTGTCTCATCAGCTCGCGCCTGTCGGGGCTAAGGCGGGACTCACAGGGGCTCGGTCGGGGATGAACAGGTCACCGATGACCAAGACCAAGCGGGCGGTCATAATGGAATGGTGGGGCGAGTTCACGATAGGGGAGATCAATGGGCCCAATGTCCTAGTCCTACAGCTGCAAGCCGATGATGCTCGCGGGGAAGCCACGTCAGGCCCTATGCCCTGACTTAAAGCCAGATGTAGTCTAGCGCTATCAGGCTGGGAGTCCCGAGCTTCGTGAGGCCTCCCGATGGGCATTGGCTCGCAAGACCGAATCTCTCGTCCGATTAAAAATTCGGTTGGGTTAGTCCAGTCCATGAGCAGCATGACGAGGTCGTCGCGAGGATGCTCTCCGGAGCGGAGCTCGCCGCCGAAAGTGGTTGAGATGGCCAGGATCATGCATACTGCGCAAACACCAGACTGCTGGGGCTCCAATGTAATGCTCCAGTGAGGTGGTGACATTGACCTCAGAAAGATAAGTATAATGACAATTGCGGGGTAAATGAATTCTATGGAAAAACTCCTTAGCAATATCTAGGGGAAAAATATGTAAATAGAATTGGCGCAAAAGGTCTATAGCCAATTGTCATCCTGTATACAAACTCACGAGCGTGGGCTATGAAGACGACTTAATTTTTCGTTTTCAATTGAGTAGATTGTCAGAGGCCAGCAATTGGTACAGAACACAGACTACATCTCTACGATTAGGACATTTGGTGGTGCCAATTTCCCCCAGGTTTTCCATAGAACTAAGTGTACAGCGTAGGGCAAGGCACTACAGAGTCGGGAGGTTCCGCCCGCTCGTTTGACTCCGGATCTCTGAGATCCTTCAAATTTGTGATAAATAAGACTACCCTAGAGCCAGCTGCTGGTGAATTCTTCAGAGATCATAGCTATTCCAACACTCGGACTGTATACTTCCTTCTCCTCAGCCAATTGCATCCCACCTTCACCTCCGAACCGCCGGCGATCCCCAAAACCGCGTTTCCCTCGGGAATTCACCCTCCAATCCCTTCCACCAAAGTCTACCCGCGGCCCGCCGCGAATCAGAAAGCTGGCTCCCACGTCGTCGACGCAACGGTTAAGCCTGATTTCCAGACACCTGGATCAGCGCCTGCCGTTGCCTGAGCTTAACACTCCGTTCTCGACCGAGAGAAACTCCTTCGCTCCTGACGACATCGAATATAAACCCATCGACCGCTCGATTCCTCCTTCCCCCTCCAAAGAGCCCGAGTCCACCATGTCTACTCAACCCCCTCACAACACCCTGCTCATTCCGGGCCCCATCGAATTCGACGATGCCGTCCTCCAGTCCATGTCCCACTATGCGTGAGTTGTCCACCCTTCTATAGCTTGAATTGATCTAACCCCTCTATCTTAGTGAGAGCCACGTCGCTCCTGGCTTCGTCAAAGTCTTCGGCGAGACCTTGACTCTTACTCGCAAGCTCTTCCAGTCGACCAACCCCTCCGCGCAGCCCTTTATTATCTCCGGCAGTGGTACCCTCGGTTGGGATCTAGTTTCTGCCAACCTGATCGAGAAGGGTGAGAACGCCCTGGTCCTGAACACTGGTTACTTCGGTGATTCGTTCGGCAAGTGTCTGGAGACCTATGGCGCCCAGGTCACACACCTCCGTGCCCCGATTGGTGACCGTCCCGCCTTCGAGGAGATTGAGCAGGCCCTCAAGGAGAAGTCCTACAAACTCATCACTGCCACTCATGTCGACACCTCCACCGGTGTCCTCAACGATATTAAGACCATTGCTCAGATCGTCCGTCGCGTCAGCCCCGACACCCTGGTTATTGTCGACGGTGTATGCAGCGTCGGCTCCGAGGAGATTGCCTTCGACGAGTGGGACCTTGACGCCGTGGTCACTGCCTCCCAGAAGGCCATTGGCTGCCCTCCTGGTCTAAGCATCGTGATGACCTCCGGCCGCGCCATCCAGGCCGCAACGGCCCGCAAGACGCCCGCCGGTGCTTTCTACGCTTCCATTGCCAACTGGCTCCCCATTATGCAAAACTATGAGAACAACAAGCCCTCGTACTTCGCGACTCCTCCCACTCAACTCATTCACGCCCTGCACACTACCCTGAGCCAAATCACCGCTCGGCCCATGTCTGAGCGTTTCGCCATGCACACGGCTGCCTCAGACCGCGTCAAGGCTGCTGTCGCCGAGCTCGGCCTGACCCAGCTGGCGCCCAAGCCCGAGTGCCAGGCTCACGGCATGACTGCCATGTACCTGCCCGAGGGTCTGCTTGCGCCGGACGTTCTGCCTGGTCTGCTGAAGCGTGGTGTGATCTTCGCAGCTGGCCTGCACAAGGAGATTGCTCCTAAGTATATCCGCTTCGGTCACATGGGTGTCAGTATCTCTGACCCCAACCGTAAGGATATTGACAAAGCCCTGGCGGCACTCAAGGAATCTCTCAATGAGGCCAAGCAAGCCAAGGGCTTGTAAACGCGGACGTTTGGTCCAAAAATACAATGTTCTGGTGTAATCTGCAAGATGCATCGAGATAGACTTTACTGCCATGATAAACTGTCCATAGAACCCATTGATCTATATGATATCACTTCCGAGATGAATCCCCGGAAACTATTTCCAGCTTCGCTTTACTAGGCTTTGTCGTAGATGAAACAACCCAGTAGGTCCCTGCAGGTACCCGTCGGTGTCGCAGGCAAACCAAGATACAGGCCTCACGTGCCCGAACTGTCCCCGAGATATTATCATTCTCGACACGGAATGTGACCCCTTGATTCCCAACAATGCCAACACCACATGACTTGCTCGCCTGGTTTTCTAGGTTTACTTCACCAGCCACCGACGAAGATGTCGCGGATAGAGCATAATCCCATTTGCCCAGCATCTAGAACCTCGGAATAAGTACCACATACCAACCAGCCACCCCGGATAATTTATCTCCCCAAGATCGACAGCTTGTGCACCAACCTTATTCCACAGCTAGACTAGCCCTCGAACCACAGAAGCCCAGAGTAGTCATCTATGAGTGGATCCCCCCCCCCCCGTGAGAGCCAATTCCTAGATACGATCCCCGGGCTCTAGAACCCCATCCAGACTAGAAGCGAACCCTTCCATTCTTTTGCAATGCAATGGAATGTTCGAGGGATCACCCCATGAATGGACAAGTACCGTCCCTTCATTCAGCGAACTCCTTCATCCGCATTCTCATTCTCCTTTCAAGTGAACATCCCATCTTCACACATCCATTCCATTTCAGCTTCTCCAAACATCATTGAGATCAAAGACCCTCTTACACAAATTCAAGATGCGTTTCCTCACTACCAAACTCCCCCTCATCATCGCCGCCTCAGCTTCCCTCGTCGCTGCCCAAGATGCCACCACCACCGCAACCGCCACCAGTACGAAGTGTGCTGCCCAGAAGTACGTACTGAACCTCCCAATCTACCTCTCCAATCATCAACAAAAACCTAACAGATAGTAAAAAAAAATACAGAGTCGTCGACCAATGCATACTGACTATGAAATTCACCCTGGAAAACTGCGACCCTAGCGACTGGGATTGTAAATGCCAAGGAAGTACAAATGTTGTCAAGTAGGTCCACCTCCCTGTCCCTGGTAATCGCAGATCCCAGAAATCTAATCATCTCAGCTGCTACGACAACTGTCCCGATGACCAAGAGCGTCTTGGCGCTCAACAAATCCGCGAGCAAAATTGCATCGCTGCAAAAGCCTACGGCACGTTGACTACAACCGCTGGCATGGCTACACCGTCTGCATCTGCATCTGCATCTAGTTTTGCGGCGTCTATGTCGGCGTCTTCGAGTGCGATGGCTGAACCTACAGGGTCTAGAAGTGGTCTTGAGAGTAATAATGGGGGCAACAAGGCCACGCAGTCGTTGACAGGGTTGGAGGCTTCGGCTACACCTAATGAGGGTGCGGCGACGGCGAGAGTAAAGGTTGTTGGGAGTTGGTTGGCGTTTTTGGGATTGGCTTTGGGAGTCTTTGTATAGTGGACTTGACATAGTGGCGTTGGTAAATTGATTGAAGCGTTTGCGTCTGGATGCCTAGTGTTTATCGTGTTTAATACAAGTTGTTTTGTGAGTACTTTTAATTCCATTTGCTTCATTTACATAGCTCGATCGGGAAGATATCTTGAATCACCGAACGTAACTGATGAGGGCCCCGTCTTGAATGAAAGGCTCTCTGTTCAGGAAAGTATTTTCAGACACCCTTTCTGTTACTTCTGCAGGGTAGTGAATTTTTTTGGAATGTCAGCCACTAGGTCTGAGGGAAGAGATTACGGTTGCTTGATCTAAAACAATTCGTATTATATTCATAGTCAGGTCATACAATACCCCTACACACCCTAACGCCATACCACGAATGTGCCCGCTTTGCTAGATTCGTACAGCAGATACTTAACCCAGAATATCATTGAGCACCTTTGTTTCTCGCAGGACGACACATAACAGTCGCAGCAATCGGTAATATCGATTCTGCCGTAGAATTCCATTCAGCAGTAGCCTCCGCTGACAATGCAACTGGGCATTCGGGGTTCAAATGAGTAGTTTCCATTTGCACAAACCCAAACGTCTCATAATATGGGACTGCCGGCGGCACAGCTTCAATCCAAGCCTCCAGGTCCATCTCATCAGCTCGTTTCAGTCCCCATTCCATGAGCATACGGCCTATACCGCGCTTGCGGTACGCTGGTATTGTGAAGAAAGTGCCTAGTGTAGCATACGCATGCTCTCCGCTTCTTCCTTTTTTCTGTCTGGCTTCTGATTCACGCAGAATATGGAATGCCTGGCTGGCGAACACTGTAGCGCCGCCTGCTGGATAGCGACTCGTCAGGGACTGAACGTGTTCACCGATGGATGTAGTTTCTTTGGAGACGAAGAGCCATTGCGCTCCACCGACGAGGATCTCGTTTCCTGAGAGGTCGGAATCGGTAACCTTGAGCCAGACATTCTCGACGTTTGGGTCTTGCTGCCTGATGCTGTCTTGGTACTCTGCGGCGTTGTGAGCTATTGTTTCCTCTCGACTGTGATATAGGGGGCAATATAAGCGGAAGATGGGTTGGAGTGGGTTCTCGAAGGAATCCCGCTCCGCTGCGACGATGTTGGGGATATCGTCGATATGTGCCAAACTTAGCGTGACAGTCATGGTCTGGATTGTTTTATATGAGTATTTCTTGGATTTATGACAGTTTTATGCCGGTTCATGCAATGGTTGATTGGGAGTGAGATTCACGCATTGCGCTGGTGCGGGGAATACATCTTGTCTTAGCGCTAGGACTAGTGGCTGGCTTGCCATTAGCTGATTTTTGTTTTTTCACTCGATATAGATGAAGAAGCTCAAGCTTCGTTGTTTGGTGAATCATTATATTTCAACTTTCAAGTGATAAGTCCTCGCTTGTGCTAACTCATCGTTGCCGTGTCATATAGTGCATTGCGTTGGCTCGATGGCCTCGTCATGGAACCTCATGACGAACATGAGAAGAATTCAAAAAGTGGATTTATCGAGGCTTCATGAGCACCCATACTTTCTGTCGTTGCCTTGATCATCGAATGACATATATTCATACTTCAATTGAAATCAGATTGACATTGCCCTAGTCCGATTGGGAAGATCCGTGTCCTATGCACGTTTAACATTAAGATCTACTGCAATGAAACGAAGCCTCGGCCCTTCAAAAAGCTCGGTAGATCGCTGGTGAAAATCTAAATTCGAGTTATCGTATCTATTTCCTGACCTCGTAATGCATCCACGATATAACCATACCTATCTTGAATACACACCCACTTCTTCGACCCAATTCAAGCTCCGATGATAGGCGCATAGAAAATAAACCTACCCTGAGGATCATACTTCTTCTTCAGCGCACTAAGTCTCTGCTGCCTCCACTTCTCAGAACCATACAACTGCTTCGTAGTCTCATCCCCATGTGCATAGTTAACATAGGCCCGAATTTCATCTCTACCACTGGCCTCAAACAAGACATTCCTCAGCTTGTTTCCCAAATCAGCAGCCTTCTCATCGAGTCCCTCGGCGGGGAAGTAATTGATCAGAGGCGCAGCAAGAAGATTTTCACTACGGAATGCAAAAGCAGTAGAGTCATGAGGTACCGCGTGTACGCCTTCAGCGGAGTATCCCTCGAACATGAAGATCGAGTTGTTGAAGGGTGACGATCCGCGGACAGCGGGGGCGTAGATGTCCCATGCTTTCTTCTGTGCGGCGATGTTGTAGGACTCAAGGTAGATGGGGAAGCGAGGATTAGCCATTCCGATTTTTTGGCAGGGAGGGGATGAGTTGGCGATGCCAGTCCAGGTTGCGAGGTCTTGATAAGTTCCCGAGTCTGGGGATACGGAGATTGGGCCGAGGTCATGGAAAGGCTTTGTGTAGATTGAGTCGACAGCTTTGACACCTTCTTGGATGATATACATCACGATAATGGGCTAAGTGGGTTTAGAGTCGTCCATGGATAGACTGTTGTGGAAGGGACTCACGTTATTGGGATCCGCATCGGGGTTGTTCATCCAGTAGGACCAATTGACGACGCCCTCGGGCTGAGTGCCATTCTTGATGAGGTAGTCATTGGCGGCTTGATAAACAGCTTCCACTTTATCGCCGCTGAAGATAATGGTTTCGATTGCCCAGTCGGTATGCTCAATGTCGTACACCGTGGTGGTAAGAGAAGTGACGATGCCGAAGTTATGGCCAGCACCTTTCATTGCCCACCAGAGATCAGAGCTTGCATCGATTTTCGTCAAAGTGCCATCTGCAAGAACGACGTTCATTGAAACGAATTGATCTGCGACAAGGCCATGATGGCCTTGAAGCCAGCCGTGTCCACCGCCGAGGGCAGGCCCGAGGAGACTGACGCATTCACAGGTTCCCGTCACGGTTTGTTTTCCTGCAGCCCAAAGCTCGTCTGTGACAAGCTTGGACATTGTTCCGCCGGCGATGGTGGCGGTTTTTCCATCAGGGTTGACCTTTACGCCGCTCAGCTGGCTCAGGGAGATGCCTACGCCGTGATCCATCTTTCCTAGGGAGGTGAGAGCTCCGTGAACGCCATTGTATGCGAGGAAGGGAAGGTGTTTCTTGTTTGCAAATTTCACCTGAATCTACAATGAGCCATCTGCAATTTTTGCAAGCGTAAGAGATTAAAGGAAGGTCCGGAATTAGGGCTCACCGTCTCCGCGACATCATTCTCCGTACCAGGAACAACAACAATGTTGACCTTGGGCTCTTCCAAAACAGACCAGCGAGTGGTAATATTCTCAAAGCCACTCGACCCAGGGTAGTAGACCTTGGCTGTACTTGAAAGCTTGGCTCCGAGTGCCCTCAAGTCATCGTCCCGAGGACAGAGGCCATCAAGGTAGTCACAGCCCAGGGAAGGGCTTGATACTGCAGTAAAAGCCCATGTAGCGATCGCCGTCAGAACTTCCAGCTTGAGCCGATACATAGCTCAGAATATGACCCTGGTACTCGATAGGGTTGGCAAAAGAAGACAAAAATCAAACGATCAACGGGAGACAACGAGAGAGCATGGGGGGGGATCCTTGCTGTTTCAGAACCGTGCCGAGGACTTGATCTATGCAGAATCCTTGTCGCGTGGGGTGCCGTGTATCACGGCTATTATTTATTTAATCTAACAAACGCGATCTTGGAAAGTGCACTAGATTTGCTTAGGCTAGATCCTCTTTAATGGATATTAATTCAGGGATGATCTTCCAAGTATTTTCTTTACTTGCAGTACTGCATTACCACGGAGGAAACGGAAGTTGAGGAAACCCCGTCTCTTCCGGCGCCTTGGGAGCGCGCCGCTTTTTGATGAATCAGATTCTCTCATTTGCAAGTCCGATCGAATGCCCTTATGCAGAACTTTGAAAGAATTTGAAAATAACCGACGTTATGCACTAATGCAGGGCCGATGCTTGACGTTACATTCAGACGGCCGAAGCCCGGTTGTCGCGGGAGAGGCGCTGCTATTTGATTTGGAGCATCATCTATCATGCTCCACTTAGAGCTGTCTACCTCCGGAACGTGCTTAGTTTTAGGCCCAATTGTAACGAGCCAAGACAACCCGCCCAGAGTGGCCCCCAAACATGTGAAGATGCTATCGAGACAATGCCAGATTAAAAGAACAATTTGGAAAAGGAAGATGGAAAGCGCAATTTGCATCTGCAGAGCTTGGTTGTCTTGCTTCAATACGTACCATGTATCTCCCGGACCACTTTATGACAATTAGAACGAAATAGGCGTGATATTCTTCTATTACGGCCCATTAGGTTGTCAACAACAAAATGGAAAATAAGCAACTCGACGAGTGTAAACCCTGCTTTTGTCCCTGGCTCCGCGCCTTCCTATCTGAGCGACATACGCTATACAAAACGTGGTTCATGGCGGACTATTCTCCTTCGAGGCCTCGTTGTTTACTAGGTTAGACCTAGACTCAGACCCTTGTAATCAGCCAAGCAATGTGGAAATTTAGGAATCCTTCAGCCTGCGGGTGGAGCATCCCCCATGCGATTACACTGCACCTACTGCATTGGGCAAAAGTATTCTCATGGGTCAGGATTATTGGCTGAAATTCTAAAACCGAAGAGATCCTTCTCTGTTCACTGGAAAAGAGGCTTTGAAAGCTTGATCTGCAATAGAATGCTTCTCAAGGCCGGATCTGTATTGGCCCAATTAACGAAGGAGCCCGTTGGCTCAAGAAGAAATCGCAACCCCTGCAAATTTATCACCTGCTGGCTTATTTCGCTAAGGACATGTTTTCTCCTTCTCTGTTCTTGATTCGCTGTACAAAGTCACAGCCACGAAGGGACAGCTAAGTGACTGCCCGGGGGATCTATTCAGGAGATGGCCAAACTTGACTAGTTTCACTGCAATTTTTTCATCGACAGACTTGCCTGTCATGGCAGCAAGAATTGAGATTAGAGACGCAGCTTCGGATGCGGCGTACAAAACCGCAGTCGAGCTATGGACGCTTTACTCAATTGGTGTTTCAATCACATTACTCAGGACATATGCGAGATGCAGAGCTGTCGGCTGGAGAAACCTACGACTTGACGACCTCTTCATCTGGATTGGAATTGTCAGTGATCTCTTGACCTATCCTCAGCTCCATCGTGTGCTAATTCTGATCTTTGCAGATATTCTATACCGCACAGACAGCGCTCGCCTACAGCGTCGGACATCTGGCCCATGGTCTGGCAAATAATAGCATGACCAGTGCTCAGCGTGCTTCACTTTTTCCAAGCGATCCAGAATATGTCCAAAGAGTGATTGGGTCCAAAATTCAGATCGCAGGTTGGACTACTTATGTCGCTATGATCAATTCTCTCAAACTATCGATGCTGGCATTCTACATTCGACTGATGGTACGCTCGAAGCATTTCCGCCATAAAAAAGATACCAATTGACATAAACCAGGAGGGTCTAAGTCGCCGATACCAAATGCCAATCTGGATCGGATTCGCCATCGTCATCGCAAGCTTCCTCGCTAGTATAGTCGCAATCTTCGCCTCGTGCCAACCATTCCACAAGAACTGGCAAATAAACCCAGACCCGGGCAGTAAGCCTTCCTCACACCCCTCATATTGAACCTCTTTAACGCGAATAGACCTCTGTCAACCCGCGATATCCAAACCCGTCATCTCAGTAACATTCGCCGCAAACCTTCTCACGGACCCATACCTAATCTTTATTCCAATCCCGATGCTCTGGAAATCAAGTCTTAAACTCATCAAGAAAATCGCGACAACCATCGTTCTGGGAGCTGGTGTCTTCATTCTCGTCTGTGCTACCCTCAAGAGCGTCTTTCTCATAATCGTGAGTCTCTCTCTCTTTCTCTCTCTCTCTCTCTCACTCTCTCTTTTACTCAGGCTCCAGTCCCCTGTTCAGAATCTCGCTAACCGTACCCTACAGGAGCCAGACAATGGCGCCCAACTTGCCGACGAATGGGGAACCCGCGAAACCTTCGTCGCAGTAATAACAACAAACCTACCCATGATCTTCCACTTACTTCGCACCTGGCTAGCCGCGATGTTCGGCGACGCGTTCCAATCTTCTCAAAAAACATCCCAATCACCCTTCCAGACCATTGGTGGATCTAACAGACGCGGGCTGAGTTCGAATCGTACTGATCGGACCATTGGCTTGACTTTTACCGAGAGTGAAGAGCGTATTATGGCGGATGTCAAAATGGGGAATTTGAAGCCGGTTGGGGGTATTGTGGTTGAGAAACAGGTTGAGATCAGGAGTGAGACAAGAGGGCGTGGAGGGAATAGTGAAAGAGGGAGTTGGTAATGTATTATTAGTCTTCTTGGGTGGCATTTCATGATGTATTTACGCGATTGATTGCTAGAGAGCTGCATATGTCATTCTCCTGTACGCTTTTAGCAGCGATTGTAAAATCGGAAGCCTGTGTCTTATTCTCTACTCAACGCCCAAAGGTAAGCAAAGCGTCATGTTTCCATGTTTTTTCGTGAAATGTTCGTGATCATGCGTGTTTAACTATATGAACGTTGTGCGAGTATTTAATTTCAGTGATTATACTTGAGCTTTCGGTATATTTAGAGACCCGGCCCCAGGTATCATCTAGCAAAGGACCAAGTCCCAACCTAAACCCATGTGACGGTATTACACCTTGACTACACGCAATGCTCACGTTTTCACCTTCTTTACCCCCTTTTCATCCACCTCATCACCGCCACCGTCATCACCACCTACATCAAACCCTGAATCATCAAAATTCCTCACCACAAAAGCCACCCGCTCAATATCAACAAACCGTATCTTGTCCTCCCCTTCTCCAGGCCTATTCAATCTCCCTCTCAACTCTTCCATCTTTTCCCACAATAATCGATACTCATTAACATTATACTTCACCCCTAAATCTCCATTGGGCTTCAAATACTTCCTCACCTCCTCCTCCTCACTCCCGGGATAACATCCTGCGCAAAGCCAAAGGAAGGTATCATCACTGTAGAATGGCACCTCATCGACTTCTACAGAAGAAGCTGTAGCGATAGATAGAATCAATGAAGCAGTTGCCACTCCAACACCTCTCAATCGAGTAAGCGCATCGAAACTCTCTTTCGGATATAAGTCTCCCTCAGAGTCCACATTGGGAGTCGTACTGGGTTCAGGGAGAAGAGATATCGCAGAAGAAGTACACTCGAGTACTACTTTCTCTGCATTCGATTTGATCATCCCCATTAGCGTAGGTCGGAAATGGCCGTGTTTTCTATCAGGTTTAGTATGTAATAATTTATCCAGTTCCAGTCTGGATGAAGGGAATAGAATAAACGAGATTGACAAAAAAAGGAAGGGGGAGGGGACGCACAGTTTCCACTCCATGATTCGAATAAGCTCCGCTTTATCTAGATATCCCTTCTCTCCATTCGTCTCGGATTTGCGTTTGGATAGGGTCTGAGGCATTTCTTCATAGCGCCAGGTATCCAGTTCTATGAATTTCGCTGTTTCAGAGCGAACTGTTTCTTCGAGGGAAGAGTTTGGTTCAGTCGGTGCGATGTCGAGAGCTTCGGCTTTGCGCTTGGCAGTCTTAGGTTTCGGTTGGAGCTTAAGGGTATTTTTGCGGTTGTGAACTGCGGTCACAGTTTGGGGGTAGAGAGCGAGAAGGTCATGGAATATTTTGGGGGTGATGTTGGCTGGGCTGAGCGATGGGTGCTTGGTGTTGGGCGCGGTGGTTGTGTTGGTTTGAGGCGTTGAGGTCTTCCCCTGTGAGACGGTCCTTTTGCTGGATTTTGTGGGCATTTTGGGTAGTTGGAAGGATAATGAGATGGGAGACGATGCTGCTGCGCAAGGCGACCAGTGAGTGTCTTGGACTGGTGAGCAATTGAGGTAGAACAATAGCGACAAGTCGTGTTAGAAGTGAGAGAAGTGAGTTCGGACGCGTTACACGGTTCATGGTTATCGATAAGCGCCGTGGTGTCACCGCGCTCGAGATCATGTTGTTCATCGTTACTTGGCAGTATATCTTGTCGTTTTTTTTTTGGATATTCATCTAATCTTAACCGGCACCTGTATGTTCGACGGAATAGTAGATGTGGCAGCCACTGCAATCGCATAGGAACTTCCATACTTTGCCTCCAAACCAGAAGACCCAGATAGCATCAGCCTTTCAGCTACATGGCCCAGTTGAGGCTTTAGATGACGCGAGTCCTGGATCGACCAAGTCTGAAAGGCAGTCAGAGATTTCTCGTTAAATTCGAACCGAAAATACTGGAGTCGGAAAATACCAACATGATTCTCCGAGCACGACACTTTGGGCGCGAGTGTTTCTGAAGTGATTGCGTTACCTGAGAAGCATGCTTAAGACGACTGTTGGAGCAAGTCGAGTAGAATGAGCCAACGCGAATCCATCCAAGGGTTTACATCTCTACGGAAGATTGTCCAATAGCATTCTATGCCTCAAGCCAGATCACATTTTAAGTCTCACGGCTATGTACACACCGGCCGTGAATAGGTCTTCATTAAACAAATAAAAAATACACATCATCAAAGAATCAGAGTCATCATCCGTGTCACCATGAGCCCATCGTCAAGATGGCCCAGACCAAAACGATCATCCCGCATGGCGTGGATGATCAACATTAAACGCAGTGTAAAGTCATGGAGCACCTATGAATTGCATTTGCCTTTCGGCACACACAAATACCGGTGTAGAGGGGAGAATAGTGTATCGAATACAAGATAGAAGGTAAAACCCCTTGGGAAGGGGAGATCACTGAGTCGGAGAAGTATTTCGACTGTGATTGCGGGATGGTGCGTCAGCGGGACGGACATACATGCGCTCGTCTTGGTTGCGTTCGTCGAATGGCATCATGGAGATGTTCTTCGATCGACTCTTCTTCATGGGGTTGGAAAGGGTGGGTGCGGGTTGCGGCGCAGGGCTTGCCAGTGAAGGGCCGGGCTTAGCCTCGGCGGCGGGAGGTGCGGCAGCACGTTCGTCATCTTGCACTTCGATGTGTCGGAAGTCCTGATCCTGGTCACCAGCCTCGGAGGAGCTAGGGCTATCCGAGTCGGACGCGGCCTCGTAGTCGTCTTCGTCATCGCTCACCAAGCTAGGAGCTTGATTGAGACTCTATCGTGTTCGGGCTGAGGTTTGCAGCGTGGTCGAGACCATCCCCATCACGGAGGGAGGGATGGAATGGACCGTGAAGCGATAAATTCACGATAGTGGACTGATGGTGAGGCGGGGGCCGGGAGGGAGTCATTTCGTACGGCAGCTGAGGACCATGGGTTGCTCTTTCGAGACCCTTGCGGCTGTCAGTTCGCTCCGATGCGGCCTGCGCGGTGGGCATACGCATTGGTTGGCGAGCTGCGGGAGTTGGCTGCTGAGAAGGTTCCTGGCTGGCCCTGCGGGTCGGCTGTCTTGACTCTTCCATATCAGACTCGTCATCGGACAGACCACTAAGGTCCACGGGCGTCTTCGACTCCTCCACCAGCTTGCTCAAGTTCAAACCAAGACCTCGGTCTCGCATGAGAGCAGATAGGTGGGGGTGTGGCAGGAGATGCCATGAAGGAGGGGTTCATAGGCTTGACAGGCACTGATTGACGACGGAACGACTGGTTGTGCAAGACCGTAGCAGGAGGGGTGGCAACGGCGGATTTAGTATCAAATTGTTTCCGTGGAGTGAGGGCGTCCTTTGCTGGAGTCGGAAGTGCGTTTGAGGATGTTGGGAGTTGAGCAGACGAGCGGACCAATGGATGAACGTAACCCGGGGTTGCGACACTGCTGGTCGACTCGCTGCGGCCACCCACGACAGTACCGGCTTCGTCGACCTCGACAGGCTCACCGGATGCCATCGCAGCAGCGTCGTGACTCGCAAAGTTCCGGCCGTGCGCAATACGGCAATGGTTGATGAAGCCCTGGGTGCTGGAGAAATTATCCCTCCGGCAATCCAGACAGACGAGCTTGACCATGACTTGATCCGACTTGCGTCGCACGATCATAGGCCCAGCCTTCTCCTTGACGATAGGATACCCGCTTGGCAGACCCGCGTTCAGCTTTTCACCAGTAGAGTTTCGCGAAGGACGCGACTTGCCCGCGAGCATCGGATAATCGACAGGGTTCCCACGAGTTGAACGGCCCTCGACCAGCGGAAGACCGGCACCAGCAGTTGCAGACAGTCCAGACCTGCCTTCACCGCCATCGAAACGAGGATCTGGGAGCAGCCACCTCGCGTAATGACGCGAGTACGGGCCCTCCGTGACACCCCACGGTGCAGGCGATAGCGCTGCTGGGCCATTTCCAGGCTTCAACAGCGCTGCGCCCGAGCCCGAGCTGACGTCGGCGGATGCACCGGCGACGGCAGAGCCAGGGTAGGGGATCTCCGCGCAACGGCGCAGTTGCTCCAACGCGACCTGACATTTGGCGATCTCCTGATCGATCAGGCGCAACTCGTTGTGCTTCAACAGTACCTCCAAGCTGATCTGAGCGCTGATGGTATCGCGAAGGCGATTCACATCCGGAGCACCCGAGGCGGCCTGCGCCGGTGGACGCGTAGTCGCGACTGACGGGGCAGATGCGACGGGCGATGCAACGTGGTCGGATGTGAATGCGACGGTCGGCGATGGAGTCGGCTGTGAGGAGACCGCGACCGGATCTTCAGTACGAAATTTGGTCGCAATGGGGCCGTCAGTCACGGTTGAATCCGAACGTTTGCGCTTGAGCATCGGGGGCAGCGCGATGTTGGCCCCGGGCGCGCAGGACGAGCTTAACATCTTCACGTCTTCTGCCATGACCTTGTTCCCTCCGATCGCAGAGGGCCAGGAAGGCAGAAGGCTAAACATGCCATGCGCCATGCGAGGATTTGGAAAGCACCGGGGAAAGGTTGAGGGATGACGAATTCAATTCGATCGGCTCTCCATGCGATAGAATATTAAGGGTGGTGGTTGTAGCGGTGTGGAGCGGTGTAGGGCGTTCAAGGGGGCGAAGGAATGGACGTCGACGACAGAGAAGGTGTCGCGCGACCGTGTCAAGTCGGGCGGAACTTTAGTTGGAAGTTGGGGCGAAGGGAGTGGAGCGATTTACGGAGAAAGGTGGCGAAATTCTATTAATAATGGTAAAAGAAAAAGGAAGAAAGAGAAAGGTGGAAAAGGTGAAATGTCGAACGATGAGATGGGCAAGATGGATAGATGGAAGGGGAGAGGGAGTAGAAAGTGGAAAGTGGAAAGGTGAAAGGTGGAAAGTGGTAGAGTCGAAGGAAGGGGGAATCGGGAATCAGGAATCAGGGGGGGATGGGCAATGCCAAACACAGAGGAACAGGCAGCGGTGGGGAAATATGATGTGATACTCCTTCTTTTGAGACAAAAATACCTCCTTCTGACGTGGTAGATCCGCGACACGTCATCTCGATCTGGTAATTAGGGGACTATTGTTCTATGGACTATCAATCAACTGTCGACGATAAATTCGACATATCGATTCACTCTTACTTATTATGTTGACACAATCCCATTCTCCCAGTCCGGAAGCGGGCGGCTCCCCATTGCCACGACATCATACACTTCCATGCCAAGGCCCAGGATCAGAGTGTGGTCTGGACCTCACAACTGATCCAGATTACCGATTTGGGTTTGCTCGGCCCAATGAATAATAGGGTCTATGGTCTGTGATCTGTGGTGAGCCGGGGATGAACAGTCAAATCACAGCTCATAAGAGTATCGGCCAGAGCGCCCTGGAGCCCTTGTGATGCATCAATCCCGCCAAACGCTCTAGCTTAGGGCGATCTGGTCGTTCGAATCCCATAGAATCGGGTCGAATCGCCAGACTTGCGAGATTTGGACCCCGTTCTATGGTACTCATCCCGACTTGTCCCTTGTTCCGGGCCCTTGCGGACTAAGCCTGTCTGGGTCTCGGAACTATCGATATCCGGGGATGTGAACCCTTCTTCCGATCTATCGTGCACGTGTGTGGGTGCCTGGGGACCCAATCGGGATGTGTACATATACTTCTATTTGAGTAGTGGTCAATATCAGGTCAATAGGTTCTAAAAGCTCACTTGCTCGGACCGCACTCTAAAATATAATCAGGTCTCTCGTCGGACATCCCGACTTTCTACGGCACTACCAGCAGCCCGGAATGACGAGAGTCGGATCTACCCTGACGACCTGGAAAGTCCGAGCAAATCACCCACCACTGAGCCGTTGATCATGTCTACTTTCACCCACATTTGCTCACAACGGCTCACCACCCACCGGACATTGTCCCTTTTGGCTTTGGAGACCTCGGCTCGTATACCCTTCCAGGCACAGGGGTCATTTAGGCTTATCCGAGTGCCTCCACAATCGCGGAGAACATGGGGAAGGATAGTCTTCGACCAAAGGGGGTTTGAACCGATATTCAGCCGGCTGCTCTACCGGCTTCGCTGTTACACATTCCTTGGGCTTGCTTTTTGAAAATGTATAAATCCCCAGGCCGCCAAAGGCCATCCCTACAATATCTCAAAACATATCACGCCGCACAGGCACCACTGCAACCATGCGCTCCCTCACCCTCACCCTCATCACCCTCCTAGCAACCCTAGCAACTGTCACCAGTTCTCCGCTCAAGACTCAGTCTAAGCCCAAGTCCAAATCCCACTATGTTGACTGGCACACCTTTCATGCCCGCGGCGTCAATCTAGGCGGCTGGCTCGAACAAGAGTCAACAATCGACGTCCCCTGGTGGAACAAATACTCCCACGGTGCCGCCGACGAATGGCACATGTGCGAGAACCTAGGCTCAAAATGCGCCTCGGTCTTTGAAACCCGCTACTCAACATTCATCACCACATCAGACATCGACACCCTCGCCGCTGCAGGGATAACCATGCTCCGAATCCCAACCACCTACGCTGCGTGGATCCATGTCCCCGGCTCAGGTCTTTACCGCGGTAAGCAGCAAGACCACCTGCACCGTATCGCAACCTACGCCATCGAGAAACACGAGATGCACATCGTCATCGATATCCATTCCCTTCCAGGCGGGACGAACGGTCTCGATATCGGCGAAGCCGTCGGCCATTGGGGATGGTGGTGGAATGAGACAAACCTCGAATACTCCCTGCAAGCCGTTGACGCGCTAATTGACTTTGTGCAAACCTCTGGCCATCCAGAGAGTTATTCTATTGAACCGATCAATGAGCCAGCCGATAACCACGACTTTGCTGATTTCGGTACCCCCGATGCATTGAGCGAGCACGGGCAAAGTGGCTGTTGAAGTATATCCATGCCGTTCTCGACCATGTCGAACGCGTGAATCCCAATATCCCCGTCATGTTCCAGGGCAGTTTCAAGCCTGAGACGTACTGGTCTCCGCATTTCGAAAAGACTAGCAATCTCGTCTTTGATTTGCATCATTATTATTTTCAATATGATAATTCGACTTCGGAGAACTTGCCGACTTTTATCTGCGCTGATGCAAAGGCGAGTAAAGGCGATGGCAAGTTTCCCACCTTTGTGGGCGAGTGGGCTATTGAGGCTGGACTGGAGAATGACTTGGCGTTGCGGGGGAAGAATCTTAAGGCGGGTACGTCTGCGTTTGCTCAGTTTACGCATGGGAGCTCGTATTGGAATGCCAAGTTCATCAGTAATGCGACTGTTGCGGGAGTGGTGACAAGGGAGACAAGGCAGACTATTGGAGTTATGAGAAGTTTATTGATGCAGGGTATACGGATGGGATGGTCGATGTGATGGATTACTGTAGGTAAAACTTCAGGACGTTTGATAAGGATGACTTGGTATAGACTTTGTTTTTTTTGTTCATTCAGTGCATGATATCTGCAGATATCCGAAATGTAAGAAGCGATAAGGTCATTAGGAGCGAGCGCTAGTTCCCGGAGCGAAGGCTCGAACGGGTCAGCAACTTCAGTACAGCTCGACAATCGACCACATCACAGTTGCAAAACATAAACGCTTCACTTGACGTATGGACACATGGTAGAATTGTGGAAATGGACATAGAACATTCAGAGAACGCGAAAAGAGAAAAAAAAATTCCAACCGACGCCGAGGCCCAGAAAAATGGAGCCATGTACACACAACCAAATTGGTCAAAGATGTGGAAAATAAATGATCTTGGGAATTTGGCAAATTGACGAAAAACTCTGAAGAAAAAAATGAAGAACCAAACCCAAAACGCCAACTTGAGAGCCATCCGAGGGAAATGGGGGGAGGATGGTGAACATTGGAATTCACATGGCGGGATTTTAGTTCAGCTCAGAGTCCTGCATGCGCAGAACGAAGTTGACCACCACGGCAGAAAGAAGCGCAATGGCCAGAATAGTAGGACCGAAGCGGTCGTCGAAGCCGCTTTGCCCGCGGCGACGGATGCTTTGTGCGCGCCAGTGGAACGTGACCACGGCGTAAATCATGGCTGCCATCGCGATGATGGTGAAGAGTGCGGCGGAGATACGACCAATACGATCACCGAAGTTGAGCAGGCCAACGGCGAGACCACCGAGGATGACGGTGAAGTTCAGCCATGAGAGGAAGGTTCGCTCATTCGCGAAGAAGACCTTGGGCTCCACGCGGGTGGGAAGGGCAATGCGCTTGCCTGGCTGGCTGTTAGCTGTCTTCATCGACTTGGAAGGGAATGAATAGGTCGCGTCGGACTTGAGGGAGGGAGGGAAGGGGGGGGAGAGGGGGGGGGAGGATTTCCCGATAACATACCAGGAGCGGTTTGGAGGAGAGGTTGGCTGGACATGACGGCGGTGAATTGAGGTTGAGGAGGTTAGGGAGAGAGTGGCGCGAGCTGGGCTGGGTGCAGCTTTTATGAGTGCAAAGAGAGTAAATGACCTCAGATTTTTTTTTTCCCGTCGGTAATTCAAGAAGGTCTGGACGGCGAGAAACGGCGAGAGCTACAAAGGGCCAATCCCCGCCCGATGACGGGCGAGGTCGAGACGAGCAGCGCTAAAGGTGTGGCGCTAGTCCTGATTGGGAAACGGCGGTACAGCTCGACCGCAGTCGATACACGTGCGCCATTAATTTGCTACCGTGATAGCGGTCATGTGACCCAGCTCCGATTGCCATGAGTCTGTTTTCGAGCGGATTACGTGATGGCTTTCCCACGCCCACTCGGATTTGTAGATATACATTAAGACACTCGAGATTTTACCTGGATAATTGTCGGAGGGACTCAATACATGTCGACTCATCGTACAGAGTAGATAGGACCGCAGCACTTCCGTCTCTACATGCCGCCACACCATATTCCGACGGGTCCTCAAAATCGGCTAGCAATTAGACTTGACACTAGTTAGCACCAATGAGACCACCCACGGTTAGAAACGTGTTAAGCCCAACACCGCGGGTAAATACGACCGAAGACAGACTTTTTTTTTTCTACGAGGCGCACCAGATCTGAAGATCTCTGGTAACTTGGACCTGTCATATCGCTCCTAGCCGGTCCAATGCATTTTAAGCTTCTTCAAGCCTGCATCTCAGCCCTGTCGGTCGAACATTAGAAAATCAGTGACGGATCAACACTGCCTCTTGGAGGGTACGGCCACTCTGACCCAGGCGCAGAAATCCATACACGGTCATTGGGCCTGAAACAAACCCCCGGGTAACAACCCCCATGAGACCCGCAGAACCTGACGGAATCTGTCCGCCCCCCATCCGTCTGTGGAGTTTGGGTCTGGGTGCTTCCGTACTAATTATGGCCCGGCCCCGATGTGCGCACAAGCATTTTTTTTTTCCCTAAGCTTCGAAAGTTTTTTTTTTTTTTACGGATCCCGGCCCCCTGAACTCAACTTAATCGGCATGCCGATTGTTTATAAATCCTGAGACTCCATAGTTCGTCCTAATCCTAAATTTAACAGGGTTTTTCTTTTTAGTGCTCACGCTACCTCCTGCCGTATCGGGCAGCCTAAATCGACTACTGTACATTCTCCCTCTATTGTATTGTGGGGCCGCCGCCAAATGACTCAATTGCCATGCTCCACACGGCAATTCCGAGTCGTGCTCCCCGGGACAACTTTCTAACTGATAGGAATATATCCACTCACTATTTACCCAATGAGATGGAGTGTCTGACATGCATTTCCAAGGGTTGGAAGTGACATATCCGAATGGAAGTGACATATCCAAAAAAATTGAAAAAAAAAGTGGGAAATACCTGCTCAACAACAAAAAGCACCACCCATGTAGTTTTGGACTTTCAAAGATTCTAATAAGGATCATGTAGCCTTGAGATTGCGTAGATCAAAGAAAGATGAGAAAAAAAAAGAACACTACAGGACCCAAATGTACCCAGGACCCTAAGCCATGGCCTCCTTCAGTGGCGCGAAATCCCAATCCTCCTTGATCATATCCGCCGCCTTCTCCGCTACCGCATAGACACTACTTACAATATTGCCACTCACATTATTCGGGAACACCGATGCATCAGCGACTCGGAGTCTCTCCACGCCTTTGACCCGTAACCGAGAGTCGAGGGCATCACCCATCGCCACAGAGCCGCAAATATGGTACTCGCCCAAAATTACGTCGTGAACGGCTTGCTTTCCATTCTCAAGATCCTGGAGATCCAACGATGGCTCGGGGTATGATCGCCGGATAATTGAGGACTTGACGTGTGAGGATTGGGAGACCTTGTCTGTCCAGCGGAAGGCGGCACTGAGAACTGTCACGTCTGCATCGTGGCCGCCGTAATTTGGTTGAATTGCGGGTGGTTTGGTGGGGTCTAAATACATTAGAGTGTTAATGTTTCTCTGAGGTTATCTTGGTGGGTTCGGTGGGGGGTTCCTTACCGGAGCTTGTAATGTGTACCCAGCCTCGAGCGACCGGGTACTGGAGACATAGGGCGAATGTCAGGCCGGCGGGTTGGTCGGCCGGCCGGGGCGGGAAGACATGGCTTTGGTGTTCGATTCCGGTGACATCCGCTGTTGCTGGGACGAGCACCATTTGAATGTTGGCTGAAATATCGCTCTGAAGGTGGGCGATGATTTGGGCGAGTTGTTTCTCGTGGAATGCACTAGTCGGCTTGACCTCGCGGATGCTTTGGATGACTTTGTCGAGCTCTTCAGGGGACATGACTTTCTTCGCAGGAAGAAGCCTTGCATTGTTGACGTACAGGAGAGTGGGCCGCTGCCAGACTCGGTGTATTGCTTCAATGCATTTTGCATTGCCTCGGGCACTTGGTGGAGTGTGTCCAGGGTAATAGTACCGGGCGTCATTTCGTAGACGGCGAATGTCATCTGGTGGTCTTGCAGGTTGGCACCGACGGCTGGGTTTGCGATCTTGCATTCAACACCAGCAGCTTCAAGAACGGCTGGGTCTCCGATGCCAGACAATTCGAGGATCTGCGGTGACTTGAGAGTGCCTCCGCAGACAATGACCTCGCGCTTGGCGGCAACATTGTACTCCTGGCCTTCATGAGAGATGTTGACACCAGTGGCCTTGTTGCCCGTGAGGTTGACCTTGTTTACCAGCGTGCTGCAAAGGACGTTGAGATTCGGTCGGTTGGCCCGATTAGCCTCGTAGTATCCTCGGGCCGCATAACTGCGCTTGCCCTTGTTGGGCCCAGTGCGGCAGATCGAGCCCAGGGTGTTGTAGAAGCCAATGTGATCTCCGCTCCACGGGTCAAGTGGTTTCTGTGGGGTGTCTGTGACTTCGTCGCAGGCTTTGATAATATCATTCTCGATTGGCATAATAGTGTCGTTGAAGCTTGTGCGAACCGGACCACTGGTGCCGTGGAACTCCCCGACGAAAGGCATCGTGGAGGTATCTTTGATCGAGGGGTCAATCGGCTCGAGCGTCTTGAAGCTTCGCGATTAGCGAGAGCTTGTGCAAAAGCGATTTTTCTTTTGGCATACCTGGTGTTTACGCATATAATGCTGCATGATTTCTGCTGACCAGCCTTCGTCTCCGGCCAGTTCGGCCCAATCATTGTAATCCTGCGTGCTGCCACGTACGTACATCATGTAGTTGATGCCACTGGACCCGCCGAGCAACTTGCCGCGAGGAATATGATGGACAAGCCCATTATTCCCTTCCTACAATACTCTTGTCAGGCATTTCAAGTGATAGCCTTAAGAGTGTGCTTACCTGTGGTTCCGAGTACATGCACCAGTCATACTCGGGATTTTCCAACAAGTGGAATAGTCCCCCAGGCATGTCCACCAAGGGGTCTCCAATACGGTATTTTCCCGCCTCGACAACACCTACCGTCACCTCGGGGTTCTCAGTCAGACGAGCTGCAATAGCCAACCCAGCAGTCCCGCCTCCGCAGATAATGTAGTCGAACGTTGTGCTCGAAAACTCTGCGATAGAACATGTGGGCGACTGGCCCGTGGCACCATTCTGCTCGGCCATGATTGTTGAGAAAAAAAGGGTGTGTATGTAGCTCTTACGCGAACAGAGAATGAACGAGTGGGAACTTGGAGCTATTTGTACATTTGTTTCATCCGTGCAACGCAGCCGTAAACCGTGGCGACGTCCCTTCCACCGTGCGGGGGAACAAGGCTGGCACACAGTACTCGAAGCGCACAAACCTAAAGGGCTGGCCTGAAACTAGCTACTGACGCGTCAGTATCTTGGATGAAATTCATTGGTCTCTTGCGCTGCCCCAGTCGCGGAAGGTTTTCCCCGCATTTGGTAGACCGAGGTGACACCGCGGGGCGACGATGTCATGATCTTGAAATACCGAGATGAGAATTCGATCTCTCCTAGAGATCTAGAATTGATCCAAAAATCTTTAGTACCCAGAGGCCGGCGCCAATCTGTGACATGTGAAGTATCCCTGGATGGTGCCAGTGCTCTGCATCCTAGTCGAAGTGCTGACATGCGTCTAGCGACTTGTGCTAAGCACTTGCACCATCAGTGCACCGGTCTACCCAACATCACTGCCGGACTTACCCCGCATGTTTATCAGAGCCCATGTGCGAGCGGAAGGTCTTTCCGCAAGCATCCCTGGACGCAGATCTTGTGCATTTCAATTTTCAGGACAAACCTCTATTTAGTAAAGATTCTGGTAGATCTGAGAGGGCTAGTACATAAGGTATCCTAAATTGAAGAATTTCTACAGTCTAAAGCTACTTGGCAAACATTCGAGGTCTTTGGTGCCGAGGATCAGTCTCGCATGTGTTTCGCATGATCGCGTCTCACGTTGAACCCACCAGGGACCGTTGCGGCTGAGGCTTGGTACTGGTTTCTTTGGGCTTTTAATTCGCGAATCATTTCTCCCCTTTCTCTTCAAGTTCAGGAGAGAACATAGTCTCGGCATTAAAATGGGCTGCGATGGTCGAGGCTGGTTGAACTGTTCATACGTTGCCGACTATCATCTATCATGTCCATTTCCCGGGCGTCATGGTGGGGCGAAAAGCGGGTCCCGCCTCGCCTTTTTTGGACGCCTAGATATCTGCAGCTAGGAGTTTGATCTAGCCTAGAATGACTTTGATTCCGTGTTCTGACTAAGACAAGGTGGATAAAAGGGAAAAAAAGAAAAGAAAAGAAGAGTGAGGCTGTGTGAGGGCCGCGCCCTACACTCCATGAAGCTAGCTGACCACGGTAACTTCAAATTTCCAAAAGTTCACCTGGGAAAAGCATCTGTGCTTTGCCTAGAAGTGTTATACCTTCTGAGAGAAGACACGCTGAATGACTCGATCGGGTCCGTTCAATGAAAATACAATGACAGCTCACTCCATCTTAAGCGATCTGCCCGGTATATCAAGTGTTCCCCACAAGCCGGCATCTAGACCATTGAATCCGGCTTTAAAGCCCGCTGAGCCTCTCGGCCCGGGTATGAATTCCACGTGAACGAGAACATGTCTTGCGGAAGCTCAGCTGCGGGGACATATGAGCGTAGTTCATCCAACATCTCTGCCCGGCGATTATCCGGAAGCTTCGACATCATCATGACAGTCACGGAGTGATCATAACGGACTTGGTTATATAACTTTAAGCGTTCAGGAACCTGCTCAGGCGTAATGTCCGATGTGAATAATGCACCTAGTGCGGCTGCATCTTCCAATGATTGTGCGCCGCCCTGGCCTTGGTCTGTGTTGAGGGTCAGAAACCGTTCAAATTAATACGAGAGAAGAGAGGGATAAATGGTGTCTTACGTGGTAGGGTGGGATGCGCCGCGTCGCCAGCAAGGGCAAGTTTACCCTTCACAAATGTCCTTGGCGGCTTTCGAGATCCCAAACTCCACACTTTCACGTCTTCTGCAATGCGACACATTTCTCTAAGTTCGGGACTGAACGACTCGAACGTTTCGAGAAGCGCATCCTGACCAGCCGAGTTTAACCAGGATGAGTCTTTTGCCGCCGTCCCTGAGCCTGAGGGATAAATTCCCGCGGCATTGAGCAGTTCTCCGCGACGACACGGGTAAAATACCAGTCGCCGGTCGTCAGATATAAACCCATGCATGCCGTCTAGACCGGTCCTCTGCAACAGAGATGCAGTCAGAGGATTAGCCTGCATCTTGGAGACGGGCACCAAAAACCGATAACAGTTTTGACCGGTGTTGTCCTTCCGCTCTTCGTCGCCGGTGATGCATCGTACAGATCGAGACTGGAAGAAATGTGAGAAGATATCCAGAGTGAATGCGCAACTTGTCTTACGTGTATTCCATCGGCACCTATAATCAGATCGCCTGTATAAACACTTCCGTCCTCCACAGTGACTTGCCCCGCTTCTGCATCCTGGTACAAGTCAGTAAGGGATCATTTCAACTCATTCCGCAAAACGAACCACTGAAACAACACGAGACGACAGTCGGATATCGACGCGCCTGCCGTCGACCTCCTTCGCCGCTGTATCTCGTAAAGTATTATGTAGGTCCACCCGGTGGGTGAGAAGGAATTCATCGGTTATACCGAGACGCTCTTGTACATTCTTGGTTACCTGGAACACGTCAGTCTGGTATTCACCACCCCTTCCCAAATTTACTCACTACAGGAGTCGAAATGTAGTCACCAGCAGAAGTCCAGAGCTGGACCTTCGTACAGAAGACTGGCTGAAGCTTCTCAAAGTCGCAGCCCCACTCACGCAAGATGCGAGTAGCATTAGGTGCGACGTGGATGGCGGCGCCGACTTCATTCAGGAAGCCCGATTGTTCAATCACCTGCAATAGATTAGAAGGAGGTCAGGTCGTTGTTTAGGCTTGATAGACCCACTTGGACTTCATGTCCCGAGCGGTTCAGTGCAATGGCTGCACCCAGACCTGCTAGGCCAGCGCCGACGACAACAACTTTGAGGGGCATCGGGGATTCAGCTCGAAGGGAATGTTTTCAATTCCAAGTCGATTTGCGGGCCAAATGGGTGCTTTCTATGTAGATCTGCAGTGTTATTAAGCGGGATCCTTCGATCCTCCTTGCCTAACCAACCCCACCACCCAGCCGAGTACTGTAGTTGATTCCGCTCCGCTTAGGCATACTGAGACAAGCTGCCATTCACAAATAGCTCGGCCGAAGTCTCAAGACACCTCCGAAAGGTTTCTTTGACTCTTCTTTGACATCTTTCTACATCGTCTTATCTCTGTGTCTTGAGACTCCTTCGTTTCCACAGAGACCTTTCCAAGTGGCTTCGAACACGCCAACGGGATGGGTCATGGCTGCTTGTTGAGAATCGTGAGAATGACACTCATGTTCTAGCTATACTTGACGATGGTCTCATTTTATACTTAGTATCTTGCGATTTATTGTATCACCAATGAGAAGCGACCGTTGGTTCAGAAAGAAAGTTCTTCAAATGTTCAACTTACGCCAAAATCAATATGATCCTATATATGCACAATGAAGAAAAATGCAGAACCCATTGGGTATCTCAAGCCCCAAGAAACATGAAAACTATAATCCCAATCCAACCTCCAACAAACCCAATCGTCAGAATTGAAGCCCCAGCCTTATCACCTCCGGTAATAGGCTTATAAGTCGGCTTATTATCAGTGGTACCCTCGCCCGCATTCGGATCACTCTTGCTATTACCACCCGTTTTCGAGGTCACAGGTCCAACACCATTCCCATACTTCAACAAGTTCGCACTAAACACCTGACTAGCACTGATCTGCTCTTCCATGCCTGTCCACCCGTCATAATTTGACTGGTACCAGCGCACACCACAAGTGTTGTTGTTTTGTCCTGTGCAGGAGGCGCCGGCGGCTGTGCCGGAGGATTGAAGCTTGGGCCAGATAGTATCAGCGGTTGAGGGGACCAGGAGTGCCACGTAACCGAGCCATTGGGACGTTATGCCTTTGAATAGGATTTCGTTGTTGTTGCAAATTTCGCGCGGTTCGCAGGTGATATCTTCGATGATGTTTCCGTGGGGAAAAAATGTTGTCGACATCTTTTGTAAGAGGCCATTTGTGGCGTCGAGCCATTTTTGATCGCTCGTCTATGCTTGTGAGTTGATTTTTCGTGTGTTTGGGAGATGCAATTCATGAAACTCACGTAGTTGTACATGTAAGCGGCGCCCATCAGGTACGTGCCGTAGTTGTACGTCCATTGTACGTTGCCGGAGTCGCCGCAGTTGTTGGCACATTGTGTAGAATCTGCCACATTCCACGTCTGATTGTTCACCAATGGCGAGGAAACGGACCAATCCCAGATTTTTTCCGCCCAGGTCAGGTATTCATCGTTGTCGGTGTATCGGGCCAGTCGCGCAGCGAGCTGGAAAAATCCGCCGTTCGAGACCGCGTTCTTCATCAGGTATCCAGCCTGATAGACGAAGATTTGCCAGCGCAGTCCGCCACCACACGAAGTCATATCCCATCTTGCCTTCTGAGTATTGAAGACACCCTGCGCGAGGGATAGCCACGAATATCCGGAACTGCGATCGGGGAATTTCATCTCGGCGGCGCTCATGGCGGCCAAGCCCCAGAACATTTGATCGTCATTTCCCTATCATGATTAGTTGAGGCATTCTATTGTCCGTTCGTGACCTTTACCAGATAACTGCTATAGTTGCTGGGCATGTAGTCTCCTTTGTCGCCGCCTTGCCATTGTAATCCCAGGCTCACTTCCTCGTTATAGGTGGTGTCTCCGGTCAGATGCCAGTAGTTGAGAGCGGCAGCGAATAGCTGTGATCCTTCCCACCACTTGTCGGGGAACGCCCCGGGAATTTGGCCGGTCTCATTTCCGTAATACCATTTGAACGCGCCATAGGTCGCTTCGCTAGCAGCGCTTTTCAATGATGCTGGTGACGATATCATTAGCATATGGGCTTGCGGAACAAAAGTCCGAGATATTGCATCACATACCCTCCGAACTGATGTCCACATCAATAGCATTCGCCTGTAGGACAAACGCCAGCAGGTGCACGAGGACAGTCCATATTGACTGTGTGCTAAACCGCATTGCTAGGTGGAGTTAAGCCAAGTCTGCGGCGTATCAAAGGATTCGAAGATGTCACGTAGAAGAGAGGCGCTGCAGAGCGACCGTCGCAATCATTGAACTGTCAAGAGGAGGGAGTTGGAGAAAAGAATCTCAACATTATGTCACTCTACGACTGGAAATTAAGATGCGCACACCCTGATTCTCCCTGAGAAAAGTGGAGCAGAAGGGCAACGACCTGTCCCAGTTACAAGAAGGTTCTGTATTGCCCCACGTAGGCGGCTCGTGTTGCTTGGTGCAGTGGAGCCTTGCTGTGACCCGTATAGATGATTTTCGGGGGCGGTGCGATCACGTCAAGTCCAAATCGCGAAGATCGTCAGGAGAGCTCCGACTTAATTGTTCTGCCTCGTCAACTCGTTCTCAAGTCTTGTAAAAGTACGTTGGATTATAATTTGTCTTGCATTGGACTTCGAGACCATAGTCGGGGGCCGAGTGGATGTGTCCACTCAACCCAGCGACTACATTTGCGCATAATCTCGGACATAAATTTCGGAAATATGGGTCGGTGTCAACCGTATGCTGGAGCTAATCCTTGGGTCTTCGAAGATGGACGACTTGAGCATCATAATATTTTGAGGATAGATGATAGGTGCTTCAGACCCACTCATAGTTTGATGCTCTTACAGTAAACCGTGTAGTTCGAACAATGAAAGCTTGTATGAAAAGATCCCAAAGCCGTGACTATTTCGGGACTGTCAATCACTTACCCGATGCGGTAAGGGGCCCTGACATCATCGCAGCAAGCTTTTGAGCCGTCATTGGCGTTGCCGCCGGGCCAGAGCTTGGCACTTGCCTGGGGCTTGCGTGTACACCTGCATTTAATCGGGGGGGTCAATGGTGTGGTGGAGTTCTGGGGTTGGACCCCTGGAGACCCCTAAGGGATCTGACAGACTTCGGGGAAACCAAAAACAAGAAAAAAACAAAACAAGAGAATAAATTCAAGAAACGGTGACACACAATTGGTGATAAAGTGGGATAACACGGGCTCAACAGTCCAGCGATCTGTCTTCTAGCGCCTTGACGGAGAAGTCTTTGTCAATCGGGTGAATCATATTCTTTTTCATATATCTCCAGCAAGTTCCACTGTGTAGCAAAACAGTTGGGTATCATCAAGCGGTTGTCATAATTGGATGTATATCAGAGCACGTCCCACCTCTACATGGGTCACCATATTGGTCGAAAGCACATCAAGGGCATTGGCACTCTTGTAAAGTCCAAAATGGAATACATATGGACTCTGCGTTACTGCGACTCGATAATGATACGTGAAGGCTATTGTCCCCATATAACTTCGCAGAAGTTTTCATTGTGTACCCAATACACAAGACACCAGATCCGCATAAGGGCAAATCCTTGTCGAGTGTATCCCCAATTCTTGTTTCTGAGTGCTTCAGTGTTCTCTTTTGAGCTTGACTTGCGTTCGAAGGGACCAGGAACAATTGAGCGGTAACGGCTGACACAGTACTGGAGGAATGTCCTGGCCAGTTCGGGGTTGCCGTTCTTCACAAGATGACGATCAATACTCATGTTGGCCACTTGACCTTCCCGAGAATAGTTTGATGACTTTAAAAGGTTCTCTGTGCAGCTCATCATGCAATATAATTCTTCCTGGAGAAAATATATGTGTATATTTTTTTTTCGCAAAAGAAGGCCCCGGGAATGGCCTCAGATCTCTAAAGAACAAGGAATTGTTGATCAGCCAGATAGGAGGCCCATTTCAGGCAGTATCGATTTGCAAAATACACGATGAATTAACCACGAGGTCTGAATACAATTACTAACTTACAGTCAAAATAAATGAAAAGATATCGGAAAACCAGAAATGGAGGAACAAGACCAACCCGAAAAAATCGAGGGGACGGCAAGTATGAAAGGCTGTAAGCTTGACCACTGTTTCACCCAAAGCTTGCTCATATCCAAAAACTCGCAGCTCACAGTGGTGGCAGCGGGATGCTGAGGGATTCAAATCCTTTTTTTCATGTTACCTTACTGCTTCGCCTTCGTGGGCCTTTCCAAGCGGATTTATATTTCAGATCCAGGATCCTCAGGCCACCAGTCCATGTCTAAGCATTTCATGACCTGACATATCTAACCAGCCACAAACATTCCAGAACAATCCATCCGTAACCGAGATATGTGTGACATTTCTGTCATGCAAGGAGGTGGACTTTTGGTGAAATGATCTTCAGGGGCGCCGGGTACAGCCGATGCGATGGGCCTTAAAACTGTCGGTTCGGTCTAGATCATGATCGGGCCGGTGTCGTTCAAATGCCCGAGATCCGATAATATCGGAGCGAGGACCTTGACACTTTTCCGTACATAGGCCCGATTAGGCGTGGTCTTCTCTTCCCACATTTTTTGTCTAGACTTTGTTTAAAAACTCTGGTTTCGATTTTGGAAGACATTTTTCCGAGAGATAATAATTCATATTGATACAAACGAGTGGCTCATAAGAGCGGGTATAACCTGCTGATAACGTTGGGTAATGGAACAATGCAAAAATCTCAAACAGAACCTTGTGCCATTATGGCTGTTCTTTCAATCCTTTTTCCCTTGTAGAGTGGATAATCTCGTCGATACTTTCTTTGATCTTGATGTAGCTCTCGTTGAGACTTGATTCGAACTTGATCATGTTGTCATGCGTGGCATTGATCGTTATGGACGGAGTGAGCCGTTCTGATGTGGACTGCGTTGCCTGTTCCCAACCGGATAAGTGGCTCGAAGCTTCGTGATTGAGTGGGGGTCGACTCACCTGAGACGGATTGTTGAGGCTTTCGTAGGCGTAGAGAGTCTTGTATGTGGTGCTGATGGTAGAGTATTCTTGCAATGTTTTCAGCATCCAGCGGGCTTCTTTGATCGTGTTGCTTGACTCGCTCTCGGGTGTAGGGTCAGTTTCCAAGAAGGTCTGGAGCCCCTTTAACCTCGAGTCCAGCTCGGGGGTTCCCATGAAAATGACACCCTGGGTTGAAAGGCTGATGTTGCGGAGACAAAGTGTCCGATCCTCATTTGAGTTGTAAGAATACAAGAGAGCCTAGGTACTTGGTTAGTGCGGATCGGCACCTTGTTGCAGGGATTGGTTCATACACTTTTGACAATATTTCCCCCAAAACTATGGGCGATGAAAATGAGTGGACGCGATAGTGTCTGCATCTCTTTAGTTTCACGTCAATAGCTCGTGAATCAGTGGTCTTACCCCGGTCATTTTCCTCATCGCGAACAACTCCGAGACTAGTCTCTCGGAAGTGTCTTGCGGGGACTCGGGCTCGTCTGTGTACATTGAGGCATAACCCCAAGTATGAATTCTCGTGTCAGGTAAATCAACTGGAAGTAGATCTTTCAACCAGTTGACACCACTTTCAGTAGTCCATGACTTCTCGCGGTGACCTCCCAGCCCATGAACCGCAATAATACTAGCAACTATTAGCATGGTCTGCCCCTCCAATCAGGGGCCAACGGTTGGTACATACTCGACCAGTGGATTTTCACCTTCGTACAACAGGCTAAAGCCATCTTCTGCAGATTTTGAGATTTGCTTGATCTGTGATGTCTTAGCACGGGAACTGAAAGCAGATATCATCCCTGACGCGACTCTCTTACTGGTTTTGTTGACAGGAATCGGTTGAACGGCCAGCATGATAGGATAGACGACATTGAAATCATCCTGTCACCACGACTCGAAGAAAGAACAAAAGGGAGAAAGAAAAAAAAATTCAAAGAGAGTCCCATGCAAATTCCAGAAAGGCAAGGGAATTTATAAACAAACACGATTCGGGCCGGGTCCTGCATGTCAGACGCCAAGACATTCTCTGCGGGGGCGCCACCAACTGATGTCACATGATGTTACGATGGGGAAAAATTGGCGAGCATCTCTCACTACAATTCGACCTCGGCCCCCCGAGTCAAAAAAAAAAACTGGGTTTCTTTTTCCAATGGCTCCAGACCAAGAGGCCGCGTGTGCCCCCGATTCCAAGATCGACCATGCCGCGTCCATCAATTACTGGAGCAGCCTGCCGAGTACCGAGAGTAACATGCTAGGCATGCTCGGTACCTACCCTTGGTATACTCGAATTGAGCTGCAAGGGTCGAAGAACTTCCTGTCAAAGGTACGTCGCTTAGTCCCGGCCATCTCCGGCAAGTTCAGTCTCGGCGTGGACTGTGGCGCAGGAGTTGGCCGCGTGACAGAGGGGTTCCTGCGCCATGTGTGTGATATGGTCGATGCAGTGGAACCCGTGGAGAAGTTCACCAAGGTTTTGCAAGAGGGAAAATTGAAAGAAGAAGGGGTCATTGGCGACATCTACACTGTTGGTCTGGAAAATTGGTTCCCGGTGAAGAAGTACGATCTCATCTGGACCCAGTGGTGTGTGGGCCATTGTACGGATTCTCAATTGATTGACTACATCGCACGATGTCGTGATGCCTTGACTGAGCATGGTGTCATGGTGGTCAAGGAGAATCTCTCCACTGATCCTTTGGGCCAAGATATGTTTGACGACGAGGACAGCAGCGTCACACGGACAGATGCGAAATTCAAGCAGATCTTTGAAGCCGCGGGGATGGATGTGATCAAAGCGGAGATCCAGACGGGTTTCCCAAAGAACTTCAAACTTCTCCCCGTCAAATCATATGCCTTACGACCAAGAGCTTGAGCCGCCTCTCTAAGCGCTCACCAATGCACTCGCGTCGGCAAATCGCTACATGTGGAAAGCGGCCCCCGCTCAGCTCAGCCCGAGTCGCTAGTCCGGTACCGGGTTCTAGAATCATGGGCCCGCCCCCATACATCTGGTCTCCCGGTACTCATTCGAGCAAAGAGCAAAAGAGCATCCGGCTCCACTCTACTTTGATCTCAATCGAATTCATCGCATCGATTGATCATGAATAAGAATCCAATCTTGAACAGTCAGTGATTTATGGGCACGAGTCACAACTAGCAATGCAAACGATATGAGCTGTTCACAACGGGAAGGCTTGGTATCTTGCCACGACCTAGATATACATCTTGCCAAATTTATTCTTGCTCCACCTTCATCTGTCTACTTGCTTCGAAGCCTCGATGGTCCCTTTGGTCGTATTTGATACTGTGAACTCCCGCAAGAAGGCAGAGGCATATTGTACAATAGCAATCGATTTAGAAACATTTCGTATCATTCCTTACTTTACAGCCAACCGCTCGAACGGCTCTGTAGAGCTTTTCTTGCGGAAGGTACCAAGGTACGTAAGTTGACGCCAGTCAGTGGGGTCTCTGGTCAATTTTAAGAGTCGCCAGGAAGGTCGGAAGTGCTGTGTGTTTTCTCCCAGAATGATTAAATCTCGTTCGATATTGAAGGACATAACGCTCCACGCCGGGGCGCGCAAAGTGGACAGCGTATCGTAGGTACCATCACGGCATTTAATATGGTGCTTCAATGGCACAGAGGCCAGATAAGTATTTTAATCGGCTTTAGACTAATCTCTTACCGCAAATTCCAGATAGAGTGGGAAGTGGAAAGGCAATATTCGCATCCGTGGCAGGGCCTTTGTTTGCACTTGCATTCTAGATTGAGAATGTATCCTGATCTGAAAAGTGGGAACAAGAAGCTTTCAATGTGAGGTAACTTATACTGACTGTAGGCCAAGCATCTGCATGAATACGGCCCCTGTCCCTTTGGTACACGAGGAGGGTTTTGGGGAGTGCCTGGGTTGGTAATCCCGGCCGGAATGAGGAGGATTTTCAGTTGTAGCTTGAGGCAGTTCAAAAGAGCTTTAGATCTCGAGGAACTTAACGTATGATCCTTTGACGACATGAGATGATGCTCAAGGATGTCAATCATATCTGTGCGGGTGTGGTTATGCCAGACTTCGAGTTGTGTATTGATGGCTATGAAATTAGGCAAATCTATGTGGTGAGGCCACTCATGATGAGTGGCGGGCGAAGGTTAGAGGAGAATGGATCGGGAATCAAGGCCCTGATGATCGAGTTGATTCATTCCGTCACTGACCTCAAGTAAATGAAAGCAATACCCTGACTCTAAAGATCTGAGCTTGTTCGTACCCATGATAGCTCGTGGTACGTAGCAGATGCACCAGAGTCGATTGCGATATGTACGAACATCCACCCATTAATTAGAATGAAACACTTGTTATTATGAATAGAACCTGCATTGGGCAGGTACATCCCCATGTCTTCTGTGGAAGATAGTCTTCTTTTTTTGTGATTTTCTTCGGAATGGATATCGTTTCTAGAAACACAAAACTCCCTTTACACCTACATGCCGCACTCCATAGGTACAAATGCAAAGAGCGACTACGTCTCAATCTCGCCACGGCGCAGCGCCAGCAGTGCCCGGACGTCTGTGACATATTGCAACGCTTCGAGCATCGGGATCAAATGTAGAAGACCATTGTCCGTGGGATCGTTGATCCAGCCCTCAATCGGGATGGCGTTGTCTGATGAAGTTAGTGAAACGATCATTCTGGTCGGTGAAGATCAGATTGACATACCCTCGTGGAAAATATAACTCATCGGACTGTTGTCCAAAATCATCACCTTGCTCAGATCGGGCTCCACGGAGCTCAGGTCTTTGATGTAAGCGCCATTTCGGAGCGTGCAATGCTGTCGGTAGTAGCGGGCCTGGAAGTACTTCCGCTCCTGTTCGAGCCAGTCGATAACGGGGTCGGCATACTCCTGAACACTTGCCGTGAAAACCACGAGTTTATACCACTTGCAGATCTTGCGCAGGAACTCGTCACAGTGCGGTCGCTTGTGTACATAGTATAGGATCGGGTGTTGCGGTCCAATGGTAGTCTGCGGGCCGCCAGGTGTTAGAGCAGTAGTCATAGGCATTGAGAGTTTGACCTCCACCATATGCCCGCTGGACATACGGCCGCCTTTGGCGAGCGAATGGATGAGAGTTTCGTCGAGATCCAGCACTAAGGTTTTCTGTGGAAGCTTTGCATTGCGTGGGGCAGCTGTATATGAAGGCAATCGCGGTGGGAGAAGAGGCCGCGGAGGTGTAGGAGAGTGCGGATATTTGGTGATACGATGAACAGATGGAGATGTGGGAGACTTGAGGCTATCCAGGTTCATACCAGCCTGGACTCGAGCCACACCTTCGGGCATCGGGTGACCCATGTCTGCGCTTGCCGTACGCCGCTGCCGTTGTCGCTTGAGAGATTCCTCGTTATGCAATTTGATCCGTATAGACCGTCGCGGTGTGCTTTCTCCTTCCGGTATGGCGTCGTGGTCCTGGGTTTTATTCGGCCGTGCCTTCCCGCTGCTTGAGAGGCTTCGGGAGTGCCGATGGGCTCCGTCGGACTCAGAAGTAGTTGATATTATAGAGTCATGCGAGGATCGGGGTTTCAATTTGCGGGTGGAGCTACTTCGTTGCCGGCCTTCTATTCGTGACGCCCCTTTATCCGGCCGGACCCTTTTATCGGCAGATGGTCTCCAGATTTTTCGCACCGGGGTCAAAAGCGAATAGCGTCCATCATCGTCTCTGAAGAATTCAGCAACATATATACCCGGCGCAGCAAGCGTTGACAAAATGAAATGGATTGTTTCCGTGATCGCGTCGAATATGCGCTTGGTAATAAGTCGCCAAGGGCTTTTGGATACAAGCGCGGCATCGTGTTGAGCTTCATGTATTAAAGGCGATTTCTCATCATATTCGTGCGTCGTGTCTTCGTCTCTGTCATCTTCCGCGGGTGATGCGGTTCCGTCGTAGCTCTTCTCGGAGACGATGCTCGACCGGAAGTTGTCGGTGCTGTATGAGCGTAGCTTTCCATAGTCACCCGGCCGCGAGTCATGTCGCTTCTCGCCAGTTGAATGTGATCGTGGACGCGGCGAGCTAGAGGTCTGGCCAATGACTCGCGAGGACAGGATGTTCAGCGAGTTCATCTTCCAACAAGGCCCACGGGAGACAGGGGCGCGGGGGATCTAAAGATTGATAAAATGAGCTAAGTCGTCAAGTACACTCGGATCGGGCCATCGAGGTTGCGCAGGTTCAAGCTCTTCAAGGGAAGGGGAGGGGCATCGCAAGGAGGCGTAAGCTGGGTAACTTGTGATTTTACCGACCTCAATGCGCCAGTCCACCCGTGCCTCGGAACTAAATGCGCGAGTCCAGTCCGATTTCTACCGCGGATATGCAGGGGCCGACCGCAAGGAATCGGGGCCGTGAAATGAAAACAAGATCAAAGAACAAATGAAGAGCAAATCCGAATTTGGAGGGAAAGGTGAAGGGGTGCCAAAGTGTGGGGAAGCGGACAAAAGGTTGAGACGGCAGAAAATCGGTTTCTTTTGAGTCACCCACTTTGACCTCCACTTCTTGGCTGGTCGCTTGTTGCAGGAGCAAGAACCGGATAGGACTCAAAAGGTAAGCATAATCTTGTTGGGCTGCTCATTTTCATGCTCGTGGGAAATTCTCCGGCCCTAACACTGCCATACAGCACAGCGCTATTCCGTCCATCCCACTTCGTCATGCCGTCTTCGTCTGTAGCCCTGACGCCGGGCCTTGCGTCTTTCCTCAAATCGCTCAATACAAACCCGATTGATACATCTATTGAGAATCTGATCTCGTGCGTCTCAATGTGTCTTCGAGCAGTTGTGCGCTGGCAATGAAATTAGAGCTAACCAAGCTTATTTCTTTCAGATTGCTAAAACGCCGTCAAATCCGGCATTCTCGCTCATGCGCTACTGCAACCGCCTACTTACTTCTACGAGTGATCTCAGCATGTCGCACGTCCGAGCCCGTCAGGCTCATTGAGCGAGTGCAGAGCGTGGGCAGACGCCTGATTGCTGCGCAGCCGCGGGAGATGGTGGTGGGGAACGTTGTGCGACGAGTGCTCGGTCTCATTCGCGACGAGGCAGAAGATGATCGCGATGCTGAGTTCGCTCTTAGTGAAGCTGGATCGGAGAGTCAACCCCAGACCCCTCGTGGTTTTGACGGTCAGTCGACACATGCTATATGCTTCACGGTATTCACTCACACTTCATGCAGACTCATCACTACCTTTGGACCGAGATATGCTGCGACCAGAGGCGGAAAGAGCTGGCTCTCGGCCTCCTCTGACGTCCATGTTTAGCCTACTTTCCCACCCAGTGGAAGATAACTCGCCAGCGAGCACACCGGGCACACAATCGCCGAGGGGCGGCCCTGGACACGGCCCAGGCAAGGATGTGCGCGCAGAGGTATTGGAGGGCATTAACGAAATCATTGACGAGTTGGACCAAGTAGACGACCAGATCTCGTCTTATGCATTGGAGCATATTCATTCCAACGAAATCATCCTCACGCATACCTCCTCCACCACCGTGCAGAAGTTCCTGCTCAAGGCCGCGTCCAAGCGCAAGTTCACAGTCATCCATGCCGAATCTTATCCCAACAATCACGACGCTACTCACGCCACCGTTAGTGGCGCTTTCCTGTCGACGAGGAGAATTTGAGCTTCGAAGCTTTCCAGAAACCGCTGATCGCCCTTGGCATCACCGTCATCCTCATCCCGGACTCTGCAGTCTTTGCTCTTATGTCTCGTGTCAACAAGGTCATCCTAGGTACTCACTCTGTCCTTGCCAATGGCGGTCTCGTCGCCGCGGCTGGCACCCGAGTGATCGCCCGCGCCGCCAAGGTCCATCAGACCCCTGTCGTGGTTGTCAGCGGTGTCTACAAACTCAGCCCCGTCTATCCTTTCGACTTCGATTCGCTCATTGAGTACGGCGATCCCAGCAAGGTTCTTCCCTTCGAAGATGGAGACCTCGTCGACCAAATCGACGTTCAAAATCCTCTCTACGACTACGTCCCTGCGGAACTGGTCGATCTCTACATCACCAACCTGTACGTCTTACTTGAAACGCTACTCTTCTATTTCCTCGCTAATTACTTCTTCACAGTGGTGGCCATGCCCCGTCTTATCTTTACCGCATTGTGTCTGATCACTACCGTAAGGAGGATATTAGCTTTTAAGTGATCGAAAAACATGGAGTAACGATACCCGCGGAATGAGTGCGACGATTGCTATGAGGGAGTCTTCTAGTGTCTCTAGGAAGGAAAATTACATAGACATAAAAATTTTTCAACGCTCAAATCTCGTACCTAGGCTCACTTTTGCTGAAGACTGGCTGACAATCGCAGATAATTCAAGAACTAAAACGCTTGATTTGTGGGTAGCTGGTTGATCCCTTTCTACCAACACTTGTAGTTTGTGGCAGGTTGACCTACAACCCTGCTTTTCCACACCAGATTGGAGAGACCCATTTTTGAAGTGATATCTACATCTATATAAATTCTACCAACTTGAGTAATAATCGGAGAGTGTTTCTATGTCCACACACTCGGCTGGACACAAGCGCAACTCGTCTACTACTGAAACGACTTCGGGCATAATCATCTTGGTATATCTATGAACACGAGGTTTGGATATCAAGGAAACATCAGATGGATTCTGCAATTTCTATATAATGAACATAGCAGCTGGACAAATGTTTTATAGACTTGATGTAAGAGACTCGTTCGAGTACGCGTTCACATGTTACCAGTACTCTCCAATGGAGCCAATTGAGGATGCGTGGACGGTTCCCCAGCTCGTACAAAATAGCGGGTGATTATATATTTTGGATCGTCTACGTGGGCTCCGACGAGACCCTGTGGCGTCGACCCTTATGGCTGGAAATGACTTGAACAACAGGAACATCCATTGCAATAAATCATTGGATACTAGAGGATTCTAGTCTACCAGATGCAGAAAAAAAGCTCTCAGCAATTGTCTGGCTCGCCAATTTTGTCTAGGTAGAACAGGGGAACGTGCGTGACCTCAGGAAATAGCTTCAAATGTGGATACAAAGCATGTAGACTGGGTGGATCTAGTGTCGCTGCATAATGTATGCTCAAATCCAGCCTTGGAGCTTTCATGGGCATCATGTCATCTGGGCAAATGGCACTGTCGATTGCATGGTGGACTCTACAGGTTGTAAGACTGACAGATGATACTACGAGAACAGGACGAACCCAAGTAGAGATCATAGCGCCATCTTTTTTGGAATTGTATCAAATCGTGGTAATTCACAACGTCATTCCAGACGAAAGCCCGCCCGGGTGGTATTCCCAAAAAAAAACTTTCATGAAATTCAGGCGCTGATGAGGCGGGCTTCCTGTCCGACACGGCTCCTTCCCCCAAACCCCGTCTTCATTTTGCTTTTGGCGTATTTAAGAGCGGGGCTTCTCCTTCTTCTCCTTCCACAGAGCGGCGAGACCGACACCGGAGACCTTGACGACCTTGAAACGGACACCGGGAATATCACCCTTGGCCTTGCCCTTGCGACCGAAACCGGCCAGGAGAACCTCGTCGTTCTCATCGATGAAGTTCAAGCAACCGTCATTGGGGACTATACAGATTGAGAGTTAGCACAAGGCGCCTAGAAGGGGGGATGTAGTTCAGATGATTGCGGCTTGAAGGCGCACAAATCATTGACTACCATCCAGTATTCTGAATAGGATACGCACCGAAAGCAGCGACCTTCTTGCCGTTCTTGATGAGCTGAACCTTGACACACTTGCGAATAGCGGAGTTGGGCTGCTTGGCCTCAACACCGACCTTCTCAAGGACGATACCCTTGGCGTGGGAAGCACCACCGAAGGGAGAGGACTTGTAGGCGGTACCGAGAAGGCGCTTCTTGAAGTGCAGGTCGGCCCAGCGCTGCTCCTTGCGGTGAGCCTGGAGCTTGCGGGCGGCGTTCAATCCACGGGGCTTTCCTTTACCCATATTGACGGTTTAATGAGGTCTGAGTCGAAAGAAATAACACGTTAGTTTTCGATTCTGTATTCCCAACAGGCGGCCGGTCTCGTGGTGTGTTTCGATGGATGTAGAAGAAAGGCTGGAGAGAGGAAGAATTTTTGTGCGTGCAGTGACGACTTGGGGGGATCGAGTCTCGCACACACACAAGGGAATTCCAGGTATCTCTCTTCGGTGCAAGGCACTGTAATGATCAGGAATCGAGTACGTACCGACGGAAAATGGGTGATGTCGCCAAAGGCTGAGGGTCGTGGGGAGGTCGAAAAGTCGAAGGTTTCGAGTTCCTTGAATCGGCCGGCGCACTCGCTTGCTTGGGACCGCTGGCCACCTGACTTTGTGCGCTTAGCCCTAAGCGAGTCACGGGATCGGACAAACCCCACCCGCATTACATCAGCTCTTATCTTATCGATACCGTGGTATCAACATGAGCTCCTCGGACTCTCATACTGGGGAATCTGATCTCTGACTTCTGGCCTCATGGAACCTTTAAAGAAGCAAACCTCTCAGCGACTTCCACCGCCGGCTCTCTTTCAAGGTCCGCCTTCACATAATGCATCCAATATCTCCCTCTCAGTACCACCACCCGCCTCTACACTTGCGACTCCGGTCGGCAGTCGACCTCCAGCCCTCTCGCGAGATCGTTCCCGTGACGCCGATAGCATAGAGAAACGGGAATTTCTCTCGCCGTTCATGTCGAGGCGCTCGTCCAAGCATGAAGTGGATGGTTCAGATGCCATATGGCAAGAGATGCAGAGCGCCCTGTCCGAGGTGGAATTGAGTGCAGTGACAAGCGATCACGTCTTCGGCGAAAAACACGCCGAAGCTTTGGAGGATCTTCGCATGAAACAATTAAGACTCGCGCAGGCGTGGGCACGCAGCGAGGCAGATGACGAAGTCGTTGACTCCAGCCATAATACCACTGAGGGAGATCGACGAGCCTCCTCGGAAGCCAAAACTGTTGACGCCGCGACCGAGCAGATCCCTATTAAAGACCGTGTCTCTCACCATGCCCTGAGACGAGGAGACCGAAAAGGATATTAATCTTGCGCGAAAGCGCCGCGACGCAAACGATCGCTATTTTGATCGGGTCAACCAGGGCGTGCTGGACGTCGTCGCCAAGTTGGAAGAGGTCTCGAACGCCATGCGTACTGTCGAAAGGGAGAGCAAGGATATTTGGAGCGACTCTGATAGCGTGACAACAGAAGATGCCGTCTCTGCTAATGCGGACTGATGAGTGGCCTCGTCCGTGCTGCCTCTCTCCCTCACGGAGGATTTGAAAAATCCCCAGTCCAGATCCTGATATTCATGATGTTACGAATTTGCGCTGGACGCACTCACCCCACACCTGCCAATGAATGTTACCCCATCATTGGAATACAACCCACTAATATGTAGAGACAAGGACAGATCGAACGGGATGAAGTGAGATTAATTCAAAGGGTATCCAAACTCCGCTGCTTTTCATGCAAGCCCAGAACGTAAATATGCATCATGAGAATAGCCCGCTAAGCGCAGACCAAACGGGAAAGCGTAAGCTCTACTCGCGCTTAACAAACTTGACCGCAGCCTTCCAGCCCTCAACCGCTGTGTCCGTCACATCCTCCCATCGAGTTTCTTGCGCCTTTCGGGCCAGCTTCTCCACTTCCTTGTTCCATCTATGCTTCAGGATCTCTTTCATGTCGGTTTCTTCACCTCGTCGAGCTGCGCGGTCTTCGAGGCGGCGGGGTATGTACAAAGGCTCGAAGCGACGGTCGTATGCGCCGGAGGAAGCGGCGAGATAGTTTATTTGGTCTACTTGTTCACGGATGAGCTTGCGCTGCTCCAGACGTGTTTCCTTGTGGACTTGGATCGTTATGTATAGAAGGGAGGTAGTCAGGGCAAAGCCGCTGAACTGTTTGTGCAGATTTTGATCAGTTGGTTGTTCTTTGGAGTGTGCTGGGAGTTTGGACGTACGAATCCCGTGATAAAGCCCATGTCTGGCAGGTCTCCCGGCTTGTGAGCAGGTTTGTATGCGTAGACCCAACCGGATAAAACGGAGCCAGCCGGAAAGGATTGACCCACGAAGGAGAGTGTCAAAATTGAGTACAGTCGTAGAGGTCGAGCAATTGAAGTTGAAGACGCGCAAAGTCGGCAAGGCGGTGGAAGCGCGCCGATTGGTTACGGGCAGAACTCGAATCTTTTGAGCCGAACTTCTCCCCGTCTCGTGCTTTGTGTTGCCGGGTGTTTGCTTCGCAGTTGCGCTCATTCTTTGACTCCGACTAATTCTCTCACATTGCTCACATCTCGGTCACCAACTTCCCCTACAATCATCTTCCACCATGGCCGGCGGCGGAGGAAAATACCGGCACTTGGGTCGCAAGTCCTCCCATCGACAGGCCCTGCTCCGCAACCTGGTCACCTCGCTTTTCGAGAATGAATCGATCACAACGACATGGCATAAGGCAAAGGAGGCCCAACGACTGGCCGACCAATTGATTACTCTGGGCAAGAAGAACACCGAGGCCAGTCGGAGACGCGCTCTGGAGATTTTCTATGTACGTAACTCCCCGGTTTGGACACCGATGCTCTAGGGGCAATTTCTCCTGTTCCGGATCATCTTGCATAAAGATTTTACTGGAAAACAAACCGGAATTATTGCTAATATACGGACAGAAACCACACGAAATCCTTCCCAAACTCTTCGGCCCCCTCCGCGAACGCTACGCCGACAGACCAGGTGGCTACACCCGTGTGCTCCGCATTGAGCCCGAGGAGAAATTCGAGTACTTCAACGTCCGCCGCGGCGATCGTCACGCCGTACCGGAGCGCAAACCTGCCGATCAAGCCCCGAGTGCTATCTTGGAGCTCGTTGACGGCCCCAAGGATATGCGCTTCGCCATGACTGCGCGCGCCCTCTCCCGTCAGCGTGAAATGGACTGGGATATGAATGAAATTACTGAGCGTAATATTCGCAAGGTGACTCGGTTCCGCAAGGGTGGCATGGATGCGCTTGAGGCGGCGGTGAGCCAGCTGAGCATCAGCAAGAGCAAGGTTCTCGAGGACGGTGAGGTTCAGAGTGGGTTGGAGGAACTTTCGAATCCCGAGGAGGAGAAGGCTGCTAAGCTCGCTGGGAAGGTTGATTCTTTAAGAAAGAAGGCCTAAATATGTGTTGAGGGTAGATCGAGGTCTAGTCTCTTTGATGAATCTGCCTCCAGGCGACGATTCTCATCTTCTTGTTGTTCTTTACAGGAGTTCTGTTGTTTTCTTCTGGCATATGTCTTCTATTGCAATTGCCCCCATGTGACATAGCCTGTGTATAGTATAAAATATTTCGATACCTATGATCTGTTGTTGACAATATTGCCGATGTGATCCAACCCCAAAGCTGAAACGCCGGATATGGTACAAGTAAAGATTCCTGGGTAAGGAAAACAGTGGAACATACACTATTTATGTATTCAACTGCCCTTTTCTTTCATCGTGTCACTTAACTCCTCTGTCTCAAATGCCTCAGCATCCACATTGGTCACAGCCTTTTTCACATTGAGCCAAAGATGAACAGCCCCTACGACGCCCCACTGTTAAATGAGCCGCGAAGGAAGAGTTGCAGTCCTTGACAGACATACGTAGACTGCCACAAATTTAACGAGCGTCAGATCAGATTGATATAAAAGCACCTAATGCCGCACCACATTAGAAGTTCAGGAATGCGCGCTCTCATGCGTATCATGCTGGCGGAAGACCAAATGCAAACACAACCTCTCTTGTGCCAACCATGTAACATGTAGGATTCAGAAATGGCCGAGATGAGGGCTTCTAGAATTAGTCTGTTATGAGTTTCTGCGATATAATGATGAGGTTGTGAGACCGAACGACAATGCATTTAAGCCACAGCACCGCGTGGCACCAGAATATGTTTCCGGATAATGTAAAGACTCAGCCGATCGAACTGGAGCAGAGTCTGTTGAAAGACCGACCTCATACACACTTTCAGGGCATGAAGGATACAATATACATCTGCAGTTGATACTTCTCGGGCAGAAAATCCATGGTACGCTATCGCTAAAGTTGTATGTCCGCTTTGCTTCAATGTGCTTGAGTAAGTTGCTGATAGAGAGAGACATTAGACACCGCGTATGATGGAGATAATCGCAACAATTTTTCTAATGCGTGTCATCATACTGGGCAGAAACAAGCCAGGGTAATGACCACTTGCTTTTTGACAAGAGGCCGAATATCGCGATCTCGAGCTGGCACCCAGATCAAGCATAAATCTTTCGTCTTTAGTAGTGTCGTCTACTACACTGGACCTTCGACTACGATAACGAGCTTCGTCTTTACAGCTTACGTTCTGTTCGAGGATCCAGGGAGTGATCAAATTTCCCGAAAGGTAATCCATACCGATTCTGATTCTTGATAGACTGGTAACATGTGCACTATCAGGGATGGTAAATACATTCGTTGATATGACTATCTCGCTAGAGCGCCTAAATCTCCAATACAGCGAGCCAAAGAATAGACAATAATCTCTCCCCTGGGTTTTACAGTGGAGAATCTGCAAATCGTTCAGCCTTCAGGGCACACTCACCCCTTTTATTTGCCGATTGGCGATCCATCCCAGCTGGAGACTTGGTCAAAATTCATCACTTTGTCTTCGCACCTATACATCACTCTCCTCTAGCTAATCCAATAGTCTTCATATTGTAGATGCTAGGAAGACACGACTTGGGAAACCCCGCAGCCCATGCTGATCTCTGACCCCAATCGAGCCCCCCCCACTTCCTCCGTAGTTCATTTCGATTAGCCGTGGTGCAGTCAGTGCACATTGCTTAGCCTAGGGGTCAATGCTATGTCGCCCACGATGCCGGAATGTGCGCCCATCTCCCCCACTTGAGGTGACTCATGGTATTCATTGGACCTGTACATAACAGTCATTCTCGAAACCGCCTGGGCCGATACGCACTAAGAATCTCTATCCCCAGCCCCACCGCCCAGGCCTTCGCGTAGATCAATTATTGAGCGGCCCTCGTTAAACTGAGGGGCTCAGTGCGCCGTGTATCTCATAGTAATATGCGACATGAGATTATATTACGCGTATGGAAAGAAAGCCCATTGACTTCCATGGAATCCTATGGTGAGTCTCTGCAAATCATATGGGGAAGGCCACCTTGTGCTAAGTAACTTAGTGATCTGCTAGGAGACCTTTTCTTCCCCCTCATTTTCTGCGGTGTGGTTCATCCATTTCATCAACAATTGGTCGGACACTTGACATACACAGAAGCTTGTTCCCATCTCATGGCTTAATATTAGTTTACTGATTGGGCCTCGGTTTTCCTTCCCTGATGGCAGACCAATACTGCCCGTTCTATGAGTAGCAGTTACCTCACCTCCATCGCCATATTCAGATATCTTGCTGTTGTTCCGCCGTCTTCGAGCTGGATGAGAGCCACCACGATGCATTCTGCGTTGCTGGTCAAACGTGTCGCTGGATAAATCGTGACGATCAGGAGAGTGTCGTCTTATAGCCGTGCGCGAAACCAATTTTGGTGGTCCAAAAGGTGGCATCTGCATGTATGCGCCTTCGCGATCATGAACTTCGTTTTGATTGTGAATTTCTGGCTCAGCGTTTCGATTGTCATGCTTGTCGGATTCCCCGTCACATGAAAACAGAGAAGGGGGCGACGATCTCAAAGGTATTCGCTACTCATACCATTAGTATGCTCCTGGGAAGATTTTCGGGTCTGTTGTACCCACTGAAGGGGCTGACTGGGTTCTTCTTTTCCGCGAAATCTGCCTCCTAGGTGATGAGACATTCTCTTCCTGCTGCAGCTTAATGACAGACGTCTGGCTATCAAAGCTGCTTGGGGAGAGGGTGAGGGGGTTGCAATGGGCGAAGGCTCGTTTGATGTTGGTGAGGTTGGTGACGACCGCGAATCAGACATAGACTGGCTCTCAGCGGGATGTTGACGTTTCAGTCGAGGAATCTCCTTTTTCAAAATCTGCATTATGCTTTGGGCAAACTCGTTGGCCTTAAGATGTTGACTCGGTGAGATTTGTTGCTGCATCATGAGCTTCTTTTGGATCCGTTGAGCTTGCTGAAGCTTTTCGAACTCGATACCCAGCATCTTCTTGAAAGATTCACTGCCAAAGAAAATAGTCAGTATAGGACTCCATGTCATCTGTTAATCTGAAGAATATTTGCGGTTTACAATTGTGCCACGACTACACCCGATCCATCCCTTTGCCGGTTTCGGGAAAGCAATTGGATGTGCATCAGGGTTCCGATCGTTCTCATAGACCTCTCTAGTACCTCCATATCCTGGAAGAGTGAGGGGACGGTTTTCTTGCTCTCTCTAGACCACTCGAACTGTGCGATCCATCTTTCGACCGTACTGACAGGTTCACCATCTATGAGAGAGCGAAAATTGCCGGTGATATGCTTCAGCCTTCCAATGGTTCGTATTGATTCCTCATCAATACTTTCCATGAGGTGTTGATGTCGGTTGAACACGGGCGCTAGCTCTTGAATTTCCTTAGCAACTTTCATGGTGTCCCTGAAGAAGTCGTACGTTCGGGCCACTGATATCGTTCTTTTGATCACACTGGATAAATCGGTTTTCGCATTGCGGATTTGCTTATGCAGCCTTCTTAACCTCTTCGCAAGCTTGAAGAGGTCTTTAGCAACAGGGTACGCAAGGCCGACCACTGAGAGGACGTCCACCATTTCAGCCAGCTCGTACTTGCGCGGTCTTAAAAACGATCAGAGAGGCATAGAAGTCGTTGGGAATCATATCAAAAAGATTAAAAAAAAAAAGTTCAAATTCGCCCACGCGTGTCAGCTCACCGAAATATAAGGTAGACAAATGGTAGAGTCAAAGAAAAGCTACAAGTTTCGATCCTTATACTCCAACATTTGGGGTGAACCGCCGCTGCTAAGCCCCAACCCTCCTGTAGGGCATTGCCTCATGCCACATTGTTCGTCTATCCCAATTTCTCCCCACTGTCTAGTGAGGCTGATTGACAGCAAACTCCAGGGGTCAGTCTGTGAACCAAAGCAAAATTCTACCAATGTTAAGAATAGACGACTGTCTTCCTATACAGGTGGAATGAGCAAAGATTACCCCGCTTTCTCTCTATTGCGGCATCTGACCAAAAAGGCTCAGTACTTACTATCAACAGCCAATCTCTGCACGACACGATAGACATCTTGGAGGGGTGAGCAGGAGCACGCCGGAGGCTAGTGTGCTGGAGGTGAAGTTGTGGTTTCTCGGCAACTGGTTTGGTCCACAAAATACGGCTCAACACAGCATAGGAGACACATTTAGGCAATCTTGCACCAATCCCTAGTAAAGACGGTGACCTTCGCGAGGTGTGAACATGGGAAATCATGCTAAGCCTGGACAAAACTTGGCCACGTGATAGGCTACTACGAGGCAGTACGAGGCAGTACGAGGCAGACATGCGTGAGTCTAAGACGCCCTGCATCGACGACTTATTTCATTCGGTGGGTTCGCCTATGGAGGAGATGCAATCGCCACTGCGGTCAACCCCACTGAACAGACTTGGAAGCGAAGGTTCATGTCCTTGCCCTCCCTTACCATACTCTGTTAATAAAGCGACAAGCATGATATCAAAGATCTTGTCCGTATCTATTTGGCTTCTCTATGCAATTTTCCCAAGGTGAGTGGCTGGCGCTACCTTGGAGATAAGGAGAGCTCATAGCAAGTCAGTCATATAATTAGCGTCCTCTTTACGATGCGCCCATGACTCGCGTACTGAGCCATATGCTCGCGAGCAGCGTATGTCTTCTCCGCACTTGCGTACACTAAGTAGCATCACTTTCAGAGCGTTGTATCATTGGGCAAGCTCAACCAAAACAAGCGGAAGCAGACGGCAAGTATGGTACTTTATGTTACTATTTAAGTTTATTAAACGTTAAGGACGATGAATATGGAAGACCTGCGCTAAATTTCTTTGGCACCAAATTTATTAGCCGAAAAAGGGCTCATTGTATAGCTTAAACTTTCCCGAATTTAAATGAAAATGCAGTCAAGACGCCGATAGAAGAGCCACAATGAGGGCTCCTATCCCCGTGCCCGCTTGAACACCTCTCCGAAGAGTCGACCAAAGAACACCAGTCACCACGCTAGCCAATATTGTAATCGTGCGGATCCAAAAGATAAGCTCGCGGCTCGGTCCTTCGATGAAGTTTCCATGAATTCCTCCATCTCTTTGTTGCCTATTGGTGGCGTTTCAACAAATTCATTTGTTCGCTCAGCCACAGGTAATACTTGGAGCCCCAACGACGCTCGCTTGTGCGAGGTTCTGTAGCGAGAATGCCAATTTATCGAGATGGTCTCTGTCGCTGTCGTGGAAATCAGCGTATAGATCACCTCCACAGTCCTGTTCCCTCTCAGCACTGATTTCAAATGATGATCCGAATCTTATGAACCCTAGCCTACTCATTTGGATGAATAGCATGGAGCTGCAAGCTTAATTTAACGGTGCCGCAGTGGCAGGATTGACCTCGGATAAAGACAAATACAGATACCGGTAAAGTAGCTGTGTTCTTCTACTTCTTCGCCGATTACACTCTCCCCATCGGCATGTTCATGAGCACGTTCATGTACGGGGCTGAGGTTGCCCCTCTCGGCATCCGGCACATTGTTACTGCCTTTGGCGCGGCCTCTAGCTGGCTGTTCAAATTTCATGGTGGCTGAAGTGACGCCTGTGGCCTTTGACAATATCGCTGGAGATACAATGTTGTTTACGCTGCTACGAGTGCGGAAGGATGTGTTATTATTTTCTTGTTTTACCCCAAGACTAGGGGCCGATCTCTTGAGGAGATTGATGCGATCTTCCACCGATCAAAGACGATCTTCGATCCTGTTCGGGTTGCACAGAAGCTTCCTGTTGGACTCGACGTGATGGAGATTATCGAAGCGTCAGCTAAGCAGGTCCCCCAAGATGACATGGCATGAGAAGTATCTGGTTTGCTTTTTGGCAGGGTTATATGATCCTCGATTTTCAAACGATGTACGATTTGATTGAGGTTTGAACGAATAGGTAATTGCCCGGTGATATATGGGCTCGATCGGGGGAATGAGATGTGCTGCTCTGACACATGCTTTATAACCACATTCATACTAAAGTCATCGCTCCCCGTCTAGACAGACTCGGGTAATTCGTGAAGTAGTTGATAAAATGCCATGAATCTCATCGATCTTACTGCATGGATTCCACGCAATGTATACGTGTGGCGCCAGCCCTGTGCCGGGCCGAAACCTAGAGAGCTCGGGGTATCTGTGCCTTCACCGCAGATACATGCCGAATGAATTACTTATCTTCTTACCCAACCCCCCAAATGCCTCTTCATTTACTCATACCTTCTCAGATCACGGCTCTTCCGATCTGTAAACCACACCATGGCAAATAATCCTACCCTCTATTCCGGCGAAATCATCGACACAATCGCGGAGTACCCCACAATCTACAACTACCAACCCAGCACCCAACCATCCGCCAAACCACTGATAGTCTGCATTCCCGGCGGTGTTCACCTAGCTCGGATTTACTATGGCGGCCACACCAACTCTTCTCCCCAAAACTTCCTCTCCCATCACCTAAACAATCATGGCTTCAATGTGCTATCACTCTCCTACCCTCTCGAATCAACCCCCTCACTCATGGACCCCACAGCGCCAAACTTCAGCATAAGCGACTGGGGCCGTCAAGCCGCGATGACGGCTAAAAAGGTCATCTCGGAGCACGCTCTGCCCCCGTCGGTCGTCTTGATCGGATGGAGCATGGGCGGTCGGATCATTGTTCCGTTCACGATTTGCGCGAAGGAACTCGGTTTGGCTGTGGAGCAGTTTATCAGCTTCGCTGGCACACCGGGGATTTTCGGGTATTCGACCCAATCTGTACGCGCAGCCTTCGCTTGGTGAAATGGGATGTACAAAGAAGGGTTACATGTTTCTTCCGAACCGATTGGGGAATTTAGTGCAGCAGATTGCGGAGATGGAGGTGGTGAATGGTGGGGAAATTATTCCTCGAGATGTTTATCTCAGGGAGTATGTGGGTGGGACTCCGATTAGGTTGATGGGGTTGAGGTTGAGGTTAGACGATGATGGAGGGTCTTTTGTGCTGGATGAGGTCACGCATGAGGAGGATTCGAGAGTCTGGGATTTCGCGAATTGTCCGCTTGTATCGGCGCTGTGTCCTAACGGGGCTATGGATGCTAGTCATGCGATGGCCGATATGGCGACTTGGGGGTTCATTCTTACTTATCAATTGGAAGGGCTTATTGGAAAGCAGGGGTTGGCGAAAGTGCAGGGCATAGGGAGATGGGAGGAGTTGTTGGGCTTTGTTCGCGATGCGCCAAGGAGGCTGTGTTGGTCTGTGGAGGGAAATCATGTCTTTTTCATTGGAGAAAAGGCAGCTGGGAAAGTTGCCGATAAAGTGTGTCAGCTTATCGATGAGGCAGCCCTATTTCGGAGGGAGCTCAATGAGATATTGTCATAGATGCTAAGCTTTAGGTCTACGACGGAAGGATAGACATGAGTATGTGATTCATAGCTAATGGATGAGTTGGATCAGCGCCCAGATCAGCATTGCCATGCACTTTGTTTTATCTGTACAAGCCTGTTGGATGACAACTTGTAATCATTAATCTCTCCCCGTTCCCGGAGCCTTCTGAGGCCAGACTTTCCACAGAATATACTTGGACAGTGAGAAAATCATCGGTCAGTTCTTAGTTCGTTTTTGAGACGTTGGCCCCGCCAGTAATCACGAGCGGGCCGTTTTGAGCCACCGGGATTCCATTACCAGGGTAGGATGGGGCGGGAACCGGGAGAGAACCTATTCGGTGCTTCATATCGAAGCCAGACTTCACCTCGGACGGCGGTGGCTTGGGAGGAAGGTGGGACGGGGTACCCCATTTCGCGATAGAGTCCCGGCCTGGATTGGGCAAATTAGGGAGGTTTGGCACGCGGGCTGTGCTTGCCGTGGAGGAATGCTCCATGCCCCGGTTCTGAGGAGTAGACTCCGGGTATGCCATCCATTGAGACTGAGGCATGCCGTTGAACGGCTGCATCGGATGTTGGGCACCTCGGCTCGGGTTGCGCGTCACGGGTGCACCGCCGGGAATGAAAGAGCGGGTTTGAGGGTTGAAGTGAGACCTAGCATTGTAGTTGCCTGGCATCATGGAGGACCCGGTGTTCTGAAGTGTGGGGTTGAGATGCTGTCCAGGGTATTGCGTATATGGATAGGCCGCCAGGTTAGAGCTCATCGACTGGGAGGGGTAGTTAGGCCAATGGACCGGAGCTTGATTTCTTTGAGGCGACTGCTGGTAATTCCCAGAGTAGGGCGGGGAACCCCACTGAGGATTCGGCTGGTACTGGGCAGACTGTGGCATAGGAAAGGTGTTCATGGCCGGCGATGGATTGCTTGGAGATGATTGGTTCATCATGTTTTGATTCATCATGCCCGGCTGGCTCATCGATGCGTATCCAGAGAATGGCGACTGCTGCGGCATGCTTCCTCCTTGCCACGAGCCATTAGAGGCCATCTGCGGCGACATAGCCATTGGATATTGAGGTGGATTGTTCACGCCACCCATTTGTCCGGGGTGCACAGTGCTGTTCTGACCGGCAGGCAGGTAGCCTGTGGTTGGTGGCGGTACACCGGGTCCAACTAGGTAAGGAACCTGTTGCGTAGCATAAGAACCATCGTTGCCGCCGACATTGTAGGGAGCCTGACTCAGACCATTGTTGTACTGCATGCCTGGATAGTAGGCGTTGAACTGGGATCGGGCTTCAAAGCTATCATCATGGGGAGTTCGCTGCCTGTTATTTTTTTCTACGGCCACTCGTGGAGCTGGATCGTGACATATCAGGATTGGACTCGCCACTGGTCGTGTCTGACTTGACGCTGTCGGCGAAGTCACGAAAGATCCTCTCTCGAACCTCCTGATATTTGGCCTCGCGTTCTTCGCGGGTCAATGTCAGTCGATCCTTGGCGGGTGTGGCATCGGCCGAGGATCCTGCGCGATCACCCTCCGCGCCGCTATCGCCGGCCTCGGAAGTAGCCTTGGATTGAACAGACGAGCTCGGTGCCATACTTCCTTCGGCTGATAGTCGTTCGTCATTTCGACGCATGATTTTCATGGCCGGGACACTTGGGGGCGGGGTAGTGCTAGTGGCAGCGTGCACCGCGGAGACAGGTTCAGGGCTTAATCAGGTTAGCCAATTGTCCTGTAGGGGAATAGGAAATCGACTTACAGTCTGCAGAAAGGAGTTCGATGCAGCCTCACAGAGGTCACGTTGTTATCAACAAAATGAGTCAGATGGTAATAATCTCCAAGTTTATGAGCGAGAAGTCGTTGGAATCCATTAGAAGGGGGCAGCTCCAAGGATTGTTCACTGGTCATAGTTAACACCCAATTGGCGTGGTTGAAAATATGGGCAGAACACTTACGCGGACTCTTTGATGAAGTAACGAATCCTTTCCTCTAGCTGGAGAACCGTCAGACGGTCTTTTGGAGATTTCATCGCCTCCAAAAGTTTCTCGTCTGGTTCCATAGGAAATCCATGCATACTGGAGCCATCCGACAGGCCGTCAGGATTGGCTGGGACAACAAAATTGTTTGCAACAGAGTCTGGGGGGATGTTGACCGTGCCACGCAGGTCACCATCGTTGTAAAGAGAACCAGGTACAGGAAGACTTCCACGAGATCGCAGAGCATTTCCATCGCGAAATTGGTCGCGGAAGAGACGTCCTCCGGCTTCGGAGCCAGTTACTGAGTTCGGTGCGCCAGATGTGGCGCCCGAAAGTGACTCTTCTTCATCAATGGCTTGCACGCTCGCACTGTCATCGGGTCGTACAGAGTCTTTTTCGTCCATGGCGAAAGTGGTCACAGAGGCCAAACTCTTCGAGTCAAAGTTGGTCATTTTAGTAGAAGAATTAGAAAGATGAGTGCGATCATCTTCAAATGAGTTATTTCTCTTGAATGTGCCATTCTCTTGGTCGCCAATTGAAGATCTAGACCCTTCCCGGTCTGTCTGCAGGGCGATGTCAATGTCCTGCACTGCTCTGCCTAGGTGATCAACTGCAGGATCGCTCGAGGCAATCTTCTGCTTGATTGTGTTCAAGGAATGTGGAGGTAATGGGGCGCCCGTGTTGAAAGGTTCGGAGACATTTGAGGTCGTCGCAAGCTGAGAGCTGCTGCTTTCAACTGATACTGAGGACGAATGGGGTTGAGGGATTGCGGACATGGCAGCGATCTGGAAGGGAATTTAGCAATTGGACCGAAGTTGACGCTCAAGACATGCATACCTTTGCAAAGGAGAATTGGGGGTCTCCTGATGAGGGACTTTGAGATGCCATTTTGAACTAGCCCGTAGGATGTAGAGGTCGTTTTCAAGATTCCACAAAGGTAACAGAATTTCACGTCAAGACACAGCTGATATCAGCAGTTCTCCGGTGTAAGACAAGCGTTGATCGAGGTTTGAATGGAAAAAAAGTAGTTGAAGAATCCCGCTTCACACAAGCCAAAAAAGAAAGACATATCTCTGAGTAAGGGTCTCCGCCATGAGGAAAGCTGTGGTGGAATCAAGGTTAGCACTGGGTCAAACAAGTCTGGACGTCAAAATTGAGAAGCATATGTGCGCTATCTCATCTAGCACGACGCCCAATGTTTGGAAGCGGGCCTTACACGATGTCAACGCTGGTTCATGGTCTGGTGATAAAGGCCCCCAATCGATATTGCCAGTAGGTCCAGCCGGGGCGTAGGAAACAAGTGGATGAAGTCACGCAAAGATCCACGGCGCTCTAACACTCCGGTGAATTCTCAGTCCGTACTCGTTCCGTGTGGTAGAGAAGGAGCGGCGGAGAGGTCGAGCTGTGATTATTCTTCAAAGCCCGAAGGTTCGTGGGTGAAATTTTGCCGCTCCCGACCGCTTCTGCCGCGCGCCTACTACTTCCCGTTTTAATTAAACAGCCGCGGAGAGCTGGGTTTGATATCTTGCTATATACAACAGGGTTTTTACTTTTGTCATCTTCTTCGTTCCGCGACAACTATCTCTGTCTTTCGACTTGCAAGTGAATAGTCCCATGAACCGCTACCGCAATGCCCTAGGGCTACGAGGCCCGTCAAAAGCTTCGGCGAACACTCTATGCCAGAAGTGTTTGAAACGAGATATGTGGCCTTGAAGCGTCTTCCCATTGATCGCCATGCTGACCTGAATCTACGGCACTACAGCTATGAATGCAAGGCGACTGCGCAAGAGCGTCCTTATACCTCGCGCCCGTCGCGAACACAGCAGTTGCAAAATCCAAGGTTGATGCCTAAGCTCTCAACAGAAGTTCCCAGTGACCTGACTCAGTCGTAAGTCATTTCCCGCTGTCTTCAATGGTAACCATCTCGATAACTTGATATTAATTGAAAATCGCAGAAACGGCGTGGCGGATGACATACTTGCAAAAAGGGACGAAGAGCGAGGTCGGAAGAGAGACATTGATGGAGAGCACACGACAGACCGCCAAGGACGCTCGCCAAAACGGACGAGATCATGGTCATCTCATTCGACCAATTCTGTTTCCACGATTTCCACCAACCGATCCGCCTCAGCATCGCCCGACCGCCGTAGCAAGCACGGCTCTCAGAGCAATGGGCGCCAGGCCGCCTCTGTGTCACCGCCCCCTAAGTCCCGCAAGAGAAGATACAGTGATGCATCTCAATCTGCCTCGTCCTATTCCTCTGGCGCCCGACAACGCTCGAGGTCAAGGGAGTGGACCGAGGAAAGGAACATCCGCCGACGTCGTAGGGAGAGCAGCCCCGAAGAACGAGGAAGACACCGTGAACCCGGAACTCGTCGCCGAAGCGATCGACGCAGCCGCAGTGTCGATAAGAGCCGAATCGCGAAGGAGCGACGATCCATAACTCCCCCAGAGACTACGATTGACCGCGTTGGAAGACGGTCATACCGAGACCGAGAAAGTCCTCCGACTCACCAACATTCCTCGGGACGCTCCAGGCAGGACCAAAGAGCACGACCAGAACCGCCGCGGGAGCGAAGCTTGAGTCCATTTAGCAAGCGACTTGCCCTGACCCAGGCGATGAATCATGCGCGGTAGAGGATGGAATGGAAAATGAGCTTTAATTTGATGTATTCTGGAGAGGAAACATCGGCGCGGCTTTTGGATCTGGAAAAAAGACTACACATTGGTCAACTTCACGTTCCATTGAGAACAATTGTATTAATAGCATTCCATACATCCCAATGGCCAAGACCTTTCAAACGCCTTTTTATGATTGCAAAAGTGCAGACGGACATGAGATAAAAAAGTACAATAGCAGAAGAGGTGGAATTATTTCCACCATCCTCGTAAAAAGGGTATCATGTCAAACCGTATCCTCGTCCTGAGCTTCCTGTTGTTCGCGCAAATGGATTCCCTCCACCAATGCGTCTCCTTCAATGCCCACCTCTTCACCTTCGCCATTAGAAGCTCCCTTCTCCTTGGCTGCACGCCGCGCGTTCTCTATCCGTTGTCGCACCAGTCGGGCAATCGCATTCTCAGTTCGCACGTTGAGCGTCTTGAGCTTCTCGTCCAGATCACGGCGCAAGTCCCAGTTAGGTTTCTTCGGTTGAAGTTTAAACAGATCAATGGGCGCATCTTCTTCGTCTTTCCGTGCTTGTTCCTTCACTGCCTCTGCGATCTCCGCAGCCTGGGCTTCCACCGTGACTTTGCCTTCCTGCGGGCCTTGTTCAAATCCCAATTTCGGACCGCGAGTCTCGGCGTCGTAGTTGCGGCCGGAGATGTATTTTGTAGTAACATCATCGGCATCTGGTAATTCCTCATCGCCACCGACTTCTGTCTCAGGTTCGGGCTGCTTGCGCTTAAGTGCTGCGAGTTTGGCGAGGCGGGCTTTACGGTCGGTGGAGGCCGCATCCAGAGAGGCGTGATTGGACGACATGGTTTCAAATTTATAGTGGATGAAGGTGTAGATGGTGAAGAAAGAGAGTGAACACCTTTGGAAGTAAGACGAGCGCGACCTCGAATATAAAGCCCGCTGGAGAAAAGTTGCAGGTTAAGGTGTTGGGGTGCGCCACACACCAGCCACGGCAAAATCGGGCGGCTTTCCATCTTTCGGATCAACGATCAACTTCCACTTCATTTCTTGCCAGAGTCAGACAGATCACACCTTTCTTCTCTCCTCATGCGTATGATCGCGGGACTCTGAATGTTATCTTGTCCACATCAGCTTGTCCACCTCCGCCTTCAGGGGCTCCAGTCGCAATGTAGGAACTCCGGCCTTTGGCCTCGGAAGTTGGGGATCTCGATCGCTGCACACCGTGTCCAACATATCTCCAATCATGCGACGTCATTCAGAGAGCCCGGAACCGAACCGCACGATTTCACAAAGCCTGCGCCGTTACAAACGGTCATCATCGACGACTTGGAAAATCCAGAACGAGGCAACCATGCAAAACTGGCTGAGCAATCTGGGGAGAAACTTGATGGACAGCCAGGAAATAAGACCACTACACAGAAGCCTAAAAAGGGCTCTCGAGAGTTCATTACCGAGCCGTTGACACTGAAGAGGGTTCGCGGAATCATGCGGGCGCAAGGCCGCAATATTCGGAACGCACCCGACGTGCTTCGTCGACTCAATGCCGAGATCAAAGCGAAGGACCGGTTCTTAAACTCGAAATCAACTTATCTGGCGACAGTTGTCAAGAGCAACTCGCTCTACTCGCGGGAGCTGGGCCTCGATCAATGGCAGGCGGCGTATGCTGAGATCTACAAAGCAAAGCACTACCAGCGTGAGGTATCAAACCGAGCTGTGATACCAGCATTGAAAGAGGATGGTCAAGCGCTGCTCGAGAAGATTCAGACAGACTGTCTTAGAAGCTTTCGGGATGCCTGGCGGGCCATGTCAAGACGCGACAAGGCCGCTTGCTGGCAGCGCCTAGCCTTCTGGCTAATGCAGAACGACCCCAAACTCTTGATGGAATATTTACTTGTTACAACGGAGAGCGAAGAGAAGCCGGATTTCACCATGGTGGCTGACTGCTTCCTTTATTTGGACAGATTCTACTATGCGGACTGGCTGAAAGATTGGAAGGGCGGCACTCACACTTACGAGTCGCTAATTGAGGCTTGTTTGAACCCGAGGGATTGGCCTATTCTTTCTTTGCCACAAAAGGGTGCTCGGCTTTTCATTCAGCGAGCTAGCCATGATGGGGTAAGCTTTGCCCTCGAGACAGTAAGAGGGAGATCCATTGAGATGACCCCAGAGACTGCTTTGTGCTTCATGTGGCGATTCACGGAATTCGAAGATGTGGATCAAGCACTCAAATCTCTCGGGTTTATTCCCATTCTCAAACACCCAGAATTTACATTAAATTCCAAGGGAGTCCTTCGGCATTGCTGCAAGCTTTTAACGCTGGACCGTGTTCAAGATGGCGAAAATGGACGCAACTTTGAGATACTTCCACAGCTCTTAAAGATGGGTGTTCGGCCTGACCGAGACATGATGAATTTGGTGCTGGCAAATGCTTACAAGACCGGCGACTCACAACTCGGTACCGACATGCTACAATTCATGACAAATCACGACTACAATTTTGACTCTTACACCTACTTGACTCTCTTGACCGAAGCAGTCAAGCGTGGAGACCGGGGCCGTGTCGATAACTTGATCCGTGAGCTCGAAGAGAAAGATCTTCGCAATAACCCATACATCACCAACAAGATATTTCATTCCCACTACGTTTTCACCGCCAAGAACATGGATGCAGACTCTGATCCTTCAGGAATCTTTTATTCCATGCTTGATATGTACAACACCTTACACGACATTACCCCTTTGAAAGATCTCCTCATCATCCCGCAACAATATACGCCTCGGGCCGGAGGCTCCAATACGCCTCCCACACCTATCGCCCTGTACATTATGATTGCGACCTTCTTCCGCTGCCAGAACCGCCTCACAACTGTGGAACTCATCTATAAACGGTTTCAAGAGTTGGTACAGCAAGGCCACCCATCTATCGCTCCTCTCGCGGAGACCGACCACACCTACAATGAGTTCCTCATTGCCATGCGTGCCAACCCCCATGCACTGCGGTCGTGTGTGCGCTTGGTCGAAGACATGCTTCGTTCTTCTAAATCAGTTAAGCCCTCTGTGCGCACTTGGACCATCTTGCTGAGCGCTTTCATCTTCAATCGGCAACCTGCAGCTGCAGAGACAATAATGCAGATGATGGTCAAGCACCAAGTCGAGTATGACCAAGCCACTTGGAATACCATCATCAGTGGTCATGTCAACACGCAGAACGTGGAAGACACTGCTGCTACCATCAAAGCAATGGAAGAACAGGGATTCGCCATTGATCCCTACACCATGAAGAGTTTGCGCTATCTTCGCGATCCAGAGCGTCTCTGGGTTGCCATTGACGAGCTGGACAAGCAATTCCCCGAAAGTAGCTCTCAGCAGGTAATTTCCAAGCCGGAGCTTGAGTCCAGCGGTCCTGCTGTGGATGAATCGGAAGACCAGCTACTTGATAAAGGATTACGGAAGCTGGTCCTGAAGTGAGCAAGGTTTGATGGATACCCTTTTTATTGTTTTGTCATAGAATATTGCATGGCATAGGCATGGGCCTGTTGCTGGAGCGTTGCGTTGCCACTTGTGTAAATTTGGCTCTCATGTACTATACATTGAATCATTATGAAACTTCTCATGCTCTTGAAAGCATGTCATTTAATTGAGGAGTCCATGCCGTGACACCGGTTCTGTTTCTTGCTGACCAGCGAGCGACTTTCACTCTCATTTCATCTGCATCCATATCGCCATTGAGAAGAATAGTAATCACGAGAGGCTTTTAGCCACCGAGGAAGATAGAGACCTGTCAAGCAATGGGCTGTCAGTAATGTTCTGCCTGAACGCGGGGCTGGTTTTAGCAACTCACAGCCATCAGGAAACAGCATATGCTGACATAGGGACTGAGACGTTCTCCTACTCGCGCGCATTTCCAGAATATACCGAACAACCTATGCTCCGTTAGTTCGGCAGCTCCACGAGTTGAGCGTCAGGACCTACCCGTTCTGGTTGCGGTCCATGATTCCGGGCATGATCGAGTGTGCATATGTGCTCGTGCAAATAAGCAACAGGATCACCATCAGTAGGGACTGGAAGTTGAAAAGGGCCGACTAGGTAAGTCCTCGTGTTAGTGATGTCGTGGTCGCGGAAAGTACACAGTGTGCTGAGGTGCGTCGTCTCTGCCTGAACAGCTTCGACATCACTATCCCAGCACCTGGGTGTTCACCTGCAAAGAACTCTCAACTCACCATCTTGGATCACAATTTCCCCACGTCCCAGAAAGAGACGATAACAAGATCAGCGAGTGTGTGCAAGAGCAACGAGACAACTCGTGTTTCTGCCCGCCATGTCCGCCAGATGCACAGACCGCCCGGGGTCCCGGCGTCAATCGTCTCCGCCTGCTACTGTTGCTCCAAATCCTCATCACCTTCCCTCTTCGCCAGGCTTCAGACCGTCCATCAATCGGCGCTCGCTTCAAACTCACAATTCGCAGCGTCTCGCGCCCTGGTCTTGTTCGAGTCCGAGTCCGACCCCAACTTTCCGCAATACATTTGTGTCACCACAGGCCGGACCTCTTTCGAATTCTAGTCCTCAGGAAAGCGCTCTCGCCAAGGCAGGCCCATACGCGCACGATCATACAAGTACATCGCAAAACTCTCGGTCCAAGCTTAATAGTCTTCCCGAACCTCCGTCCGTGTTTGCACCTCCTGGAGGTTTCAACCCTCACGATCTAGATCTTCTCCGCGCGGGCTACAAATACGCATACGTCCTTGCCCCGCCTCCTTTCACATCAACAGGAGCGTCCACAGCAGAGCCAGCAGCAGGGTCAGCAGCGGCAGTTCTAAAAGCTCCTAAAAGAAAGTCTGTCCGATTCGACATGGCCGAGCCACGAGCCCGTGCCGCCCGGCACAAGGGCCAAATGAATTTTGGTCCCGAGAGTTAGTCACGAGCTATCATCACAATTCAACCTTTTACCAAAGACTGACACAAAGAAGTGCGCCACCTCCTTCTAGCCTACGGTGACCCAGCCCCGCATCACTCATTCTCCAGCGAACCCCTCCCTGAAACAATTCGCGTGCTCGACGAAATCGTCACAGACTTCATCCTAGAGCTATGCCATGGTGCCGCGCAGGTCGCGCACCACGCCCGCCGCCAGAAGATCAAAGTCGACGATTTCCGCTTCTCACTACGTCGAGATCCGAACAAGCTTGGCCGTGTGCAGGAATTGTTGCGCATGGAGCGTGAGTTGAAAGAGGCGCGGAAGGCTTTCGATCAGAATGATGATCAGGTTGCCAAGGATGCTGGGAAGAAAGGAGCTCCTGTTCCTGAGGATGACGACAACGCTTCAGTTGCCGGTACGGTGACTGGAAAGAAGGGCAAAGGCAAGGGAAAGCGAGGTGCTGCTAACCGAAGAGGCTCGGATGCTACCGAGGAGTCGGTTCCTAAGAAGAGGAAGACTCTCGGATGATTCTTACCGTGATTTCGTGGTTCTCTCTTTTCTCCTGTCTCTTTTCCTTATCTCTCATTCATGTGCATGGGTATGGTCAACCTCCATCGGCGTTTCTTGCTTTCCTTTACACCGGAGTTTGGACGGACTGTGTCCCATTGATTTGAAATACCCGTGAATAATACCGCCACAATTCCTGCATGTACAAATTTATTCAGTCTATCAAATACCGAAATTGCCTTGGACGAAGCAATCTTCAGAGTCTACACAATTGAAATTTGTGGGGCCAAAAAGTGGCTATCTCGGCATGCTCTAGGTACTCTATTGTCCCAAACTCATGACCACAGCACTAGTTCCCTCCAATCTTTGGTCCATTCCAAGAACACCCTTGTACATTTATACCTTACATTCCCAAATTCCATAAGATTGTACACCGTAACGCCTGCATCCCAATCTGATAACAATACCAATAACCCGATGCACCATTCTATCCTCAAAATCGAAGCAAAGCATCCAGTTCGCCCAAGGAGAACCCCGATCCCAACGGTTCATTACATGTTTTCACAGCGTCACTCGTCGAATTCGTTATTGAAAGGGCTTCCGCAGAGCCATCATGTTGTTTGGGCACATTGTTCAAACTCCGTTGCGCTTCTTCCATCTCATGGTCCTTGTCATTCGTTTCAGGTGGAATCAACCTTAACACCTCGGAGAACATTGAATATACAGCCGCCCATCTCGGAACTTCATGATCGATACCATGAGGTAACTGTAAATTCAACCCGTGAGACGAAGCCGGTGATGATGCCGAAGAAGAAGATGATGATTCTTGTTTTTGGGACCTAGTGATGTCGCTTGTGTTAGCTCTTATTCTCTTTTGTACGTGAGTGATTAAGGGCCGAAATGAGAACTAGGGAATGCGTATGGTAAAAACATGAATAGAAACATGAACATGAACATGAATATGAACATGGAACGTACTTAGCCTGTCGCTCCCTTGGTACACAATCCTGTCCTTCCCTGCAACAATACGTGCAGCGAGATTGGGAAGACGCGACGACACAGCGCTTTTTTCGCGCATAGCAGGCTTGACAGGCCATACTTTTCGAGTTGTGGTGACTGGCGGCCTTGGGAACCTTTTGGATCCTTTGTGGGGCTTGTGGGCCTAAAGACCGTTGGTTTTCCGCTGGGGTCCCCATACTGGGATGATTCTGCAGGCGGATTTGGGAAATAGTCGAAACAAAAGGAAATTGTGTGAAGAGGATTCTCGGAAGTCTAGACGCCGGTGGAATGGATTTCTGAATAACTCCAGCGAAGGTAACCGAGGATTTCGGGGTGGATGAACTTTAAAATTGGGGAGTTTGGAGATCCGGGGCCGAGGCTCAAGAAGGAGAGGTGAATGGAGGGATTGAATCGAGGAGTTGAGTGTAGTTGAAAAGGAAGTAGAAGTAGAAGTAGAAATAGAAATAGAAATAGAAAATGGGCATCGAAATGGATTACTGATTAATGCATGATCAGAGTGTGGGGTGTGCTTTGAGCTATGTCCGGACAAGTCGCCGAAATGAGCACTTTGGTCCCACCACTCCAAGGCCCGCTGAGTCGGGATTGTCGGTGAACTGAATGGAACTGGATAGTCGATCGGACGAGGTTCTAGTCGCCGCATATCCAGGTTTCCGAGTTGCCTTGCAGTCAATGGTGAATTGTGAATTGATAAAGTGATAAAAGTGATAAGATATTAATTGAGAGCTTAGCATGTGATAGAAACGAGGATTTTAGCACGTGAAGGGTCTATACAACATTTTCATGTGGAAGAACCTTCGATTGAACGGAAGCTATCAAGAAAAGAGGGAAATAGCAAATCTTTCACAAGTGCCGCTTGATCTCTTGCTCATCTCTGCGAATCTGATCTCCAATAATCCGAATAACCTGCCTCTTAGCATACATGGCGATGCGTTCCGAAGCAGGCATATTTGAGAAGTCTTCGCCTGGATTGATACCGCCCTGGTCCTCCATAACATCTATGATGTATCGGAGATCATCTGCAATCCTATAGGCCCCAGAAGACAAACACTGAAGCACAAGCTTCTCCAATAGCACCCATTTTCCATAAATAGCCGCTGTTCGGAGCGCAGAGCCATGCTCTCCTCGTCCCAGGGTCACGTATGCGTCCCGGTCCAAAAGTAGTCCGAGAATCTTGTGCATTCTGCTATTGTAGGTGTGCATTGATACGGCGGCTTGGAGGAGTGTCCAGCGGGGTCCACCGGCATTGACATCGCCACCCTGAAGAAGATATTCATTGACGAGTTCGATGCTGTTATTTTCTACTAGAGCGTGGGCGAAACTGACTGTAGGATTAAACTCGCCGTCCTTGCTGGCCAGGCGTCTGTGAAGGTCAGTGAGGTACTTCCAAACTGGGTAAATAGATTGTAGTCTTTTCAACACATTCGTCACTAAGCCTTCTCTTAGGAAAGGTTTCTTGACTTTCTTGACCTTGTCCCCGATTGAAGCTGGCTCGAACGTGTCGAATAGAGCCGCAGCAAGTGGAAACACAGAGCGAATCGCATATTCGAAGAATGGATGGTAGATGTTCAAATCACTATACAGCTGTGCTGCCTGGCGAGAAGACAATTCTTGAATCGTAGCATGTCGATCGGAGTATCTCTTGACCTTTCCTTGAATCTCTTCGGTACTCAGGAATCGTATACAAGCATTCAATAGGTCCTGTCTACCCAGATGCATAGCCTGTGGCACTTCTATCTGCTGAATCGTAGCAAAGGACTCTGGACCTGGAAATCGCGGCTCAGTAATTATCAAAACATTAGCCCGCAGAGACTTGATACCTGCCGACGCGAGAGCTTTGACGATATTTGAATCATAGTATGGACTTTGCGATACGGTCACACTGAGGATTCCGTTCAATTTACGTCTGATTGCTCGCGCAAGCTCTTCATCGTTCCGAATGAAGGTAGCGCAGTTCTCGGCTGCGCATTGGCTTCGATACGCTTTGTCGGCGAAAACTCTCGCATATCGGATGTCTGTCAAGGTTAGGCTTGCACCTTCTGTGCAGTATACCCAGCGTGTGAGCCATTCGACCCATCTTTCACCTTCTTGTTTTTCCTCATGATCTGCTAGGACTGGTGTGACCATTTCGTGGTTTTTCTCTTGGTGTTGTGCTTCCATATTCTGAAGGTGGCTTTCTTCGTCTGTTCTCAATAGTAGCTCCTCTTCGATGGCAAATTCGAACCACTCGTCTCCAGTCATTGGAGGGCAGTCCTGAAGTGGTTTTAGCGGCCGAAGCATTTGAGTCGAGTTTAAAGTATATTCAGTTGGACGTGCGTATTGACATAAGTTTAGTTGATGTGTCTGAGGTAGAGCGGGCGGCGTTGATGGTGGTCTTGAACAGACATGAGCCGGTGGCATTTTGATAAATATACAGAAAAGAAACATGGAAGACTCCTCAAGTTCTTGGAAGATTTAAAAGGGTTCGCTCTCTGTATTTCAGATAAGACATTCGAATCTTTGATCTCACAGATTTCTTTTATCCTGGTAAACTTCTTGAGAGACTTTGTGAAAGAAGGGTTATGTTTCTATCCAATCAATTCATATACAGTTCTTTTTGTGCAAACCATGACCTGTCTCAATGTTCGATCCTGGCAAACCAAGTAGCAAGCCTGCCAAAGACTATCTGAGACATACCATAGTACACAACAAAGTCATGCTTCTATCCCAGTCAAGGAAATGGAGTCTTTGTGGCGCCCATCTCTGTTCTTGCTTGCCCGTTCCATGAAACAGAGAAGACTACGTAGCCATCGCTTCCATGGTGATGCCTAGAAATATGTCCCAACAGGTCTAACAAATTTATGTCCATTTCATCATAACTAACGCCGCGCCCAGATAAGATGCGACTTCGTGAAACCGGGTCCAAGCCCAGTTTTGACTCTCTGCAGTCACCTCTGCAGTGCTCCATCACCTCCCCCCCCACGACTCTATCTGAACAAAGCCAGATACTCCGATGCGCCACATTGCTTTTTTTTCCGACCAGGCCTGGGCGGCCACAAGGAGACAGAGATAGGTGTGTTCGTGTTCGAGACAAAAAGGGAGAGGGTGGGCAGGGGATAAAGGGGAAAAGGTTAAGGAGAAATAAAGTAGATAGAAACAAACAAGTACGAACCCAATAGTTGTCGGAACATGGAAAACGAGACATAAGAAACATCAACGGGTACGTTGGTAGCTCCAGAAAATTGGTCACATGCATCATTTCTGAACACTCTATGCGCGTGCCTCCTCAGTGGCAGCCCGGTCCTGGGGGCGGTTGTTCTGACGGCCTCCCTTGTTGCCGCGCTGGTTGCGCTGGTTGCCTTCGCCGGCATTCTCGCCGCCACCCAGAGTGAGCTGAGCAGTTGCTAGTCGGTTGGACAGCTCCATCTGTGTGCGGATGGTGTTGGCCAGGTAGGAAACGACCAGGACGTCCTGGATGTGGTTGTTGCTGCAAAGGTATTAGTAGCGTATCTACATGTGAGATGAAAGGGAACACGTACAAGTCGCGCTCAATGTCAGCGGGCTCGACCTTGGGAGCCAGAGCAAGGGCGTTCAGCAGGAACTGGCCCATGGCAGTGGAAGCGGGGGTTTCCTCATCGATAACCGACTCAACATAACGCGACACACGATCGATCATAGAGATGACCTCCTCGATCGCACGCTCCAGAGACTCAACATCGGAGGTAATGGTGGTGGAGCGCTCCTCGCTATCCTTGGCGTTGGCAATGGCCTCGAGACCGCTCTTGTCGGCCTCGCCGTATCGGAGCTCGTAGGGGACGGGGATGAAGGCGGCGCTGTCGGCAGCACGCTCAGCAGTGACACCAACGGGTGCGGAGATGTAGGCGCGAGTCTCAAGGTCCTTTCCGGGCTGAGTGGAAACAGTCAGGTGGACGGCGGGGTGCGGCCATGTGCCGTCGCCCTGGCCGCTGTAGAAGTTCTGGATCAAGGCGGAGAAGGTGTTCAGCTCCGAGGCGGTAGCGTACCAGCCGACAAGGACCTCGCGCGGGTTGGCCTTCAGGTGCAGGGCGAGCATCTGCTTGTGGTACTCCATGTCGACTTCGACCTGGTCCTCGGCTTCGGAGTGGCCCACGGCGAATGCGGACCGCACCTCAACCTCACCTCCATCTTCCGATCGTGTTCCAAGCAGGGTTCCAATGACACGTTCCTGATCGGCGTTACGGCGAAGCGAGTGGTCGAGGATGGAGAAGACGGCCTAAGAGGTTAGTTGCTTGCCCCTCAATACCCCCATACTGCATACGTACCTGCGGCTGGATGACCACGTTAAGAGGGGCCGTAGTGGGAGCGGTGCCCACGGAGACGGGGCCCAAGGGACGGGCGAGGTGAAGGAAGGAGTCGGCCATGGTGAATGTGGTGTTAAGGATAATCTGGAGGAACGCCAAATTCAGTCAACGCAAAGCTCGGAGAGACAATTTTTCCTTGAAAGTGGAGTTGGCCGTCTGATTGTTCCGTTTCTTCTTTGTGTGTGGGAATTTTCGCGCTAAGATAAGATAAGCAACTTGGACCTTCAATTCCACCTCCGGAAAAAAAAAGTCAGTATCTTCACCAATGGCTCCCCCACGAGGAAGAGGCGGTTTTCGGGCTAGAGGTAGAGGCCGTGGTGGAAGAGGCGGTACTACAAGGAGAAACAATTTTGCTTCTTCACGATTGCGCGATGCTGAGTTAGTGCGCCTACAACTTTTCATGATGTATAGCTGACCCGATCCAGATCGGACGAATCCTCCGGTGATGATGCGCCCAGCAGCCCAGTTGAGGGGGATATGGGGGATGACTCTCTAATGGATGAGGGCTCGTCTAGTAGTGACGACGAGGAGGAGGAGGAGAGCAACGGTCGCCCGTACAACGAATTGCTTGAGCTGCTCCATGCCAACTCCGACTCGACAGGTCCCGCTCGCAAGCGGAGAAAGGTCGCCAATGGTGACAAGGAGGAAGTCCAGACTGCTTCGGTTGAGGAAGAGTCTGATCAAGGCGAAGATGCGCTACAGGAACAGGCTCCGTCGGATGATGAAGAAGTTCAGGAAGAGGATGATGACGATGTCCTCGGACCTTTTGAGAAACACTTCAACCTTCCAGACAGCGCCGAAATCACCAAGAAGATTGAGTCGATCACTGCCAACAAATGGATGTCGGCGAAGAAGGAAGTGGACGGTCTCCGGATGGTGCATAGCATTCCCGACGTGGGAGCAGAAAAGGCATCGTTGCTGCCGGCCTTGAAGAGCACGGCCAATCTTAAAGTACGCCAACTTGATTCTCACACTAGATCTGAACTGACTGTTTGATTTTTAGCTCAAGAATAAGTTGAAGCCCCGTGCCGCAGAGCTCCTCCCAGCATTACCGGCCCAGCCCAGCAGATCGCGCCGTACGTATTCGATTACCAAGATGTTCTGTTCGGCAATCGGACACCCTCTTCTGCAGATGATATGCGGGAGATCATGGCTTTACACACTGTGAATCATCTGATCAAGACTCGAGACCAGGTGCTGAAGAACAATGCGCGCCTCGCGAAAGACCCCGACACCGATATTGAGTGCCGTGACCAGGGTTTTACTCGACCCAAGGTCCTTTATATTCTGCCAACTCGACAGGCATGTGTTCGAGTGGTCGAAGCGATTTCACGATTCTACCAAGCTGAGCAGCAAGAGAACAAGAAGCGCTTCACAGACTCTTTCTCGGCTCCGGAAGACTCAACTTGGGAGAACAAGACTGACGATTTCCGTGAGCTGTTCGGCGGCAACGACGATGACATGTTCCGACTGGGATTGAAATTTACTCGCAAGACCGTCAAGTACTTTGCCCAGTTCTACAACTCGGACGTAATCTTTGCCAGTCCTCTTGGTCTGCGAACAATCATGGATCAGGCCGAGTTAGTATCCTGACAATCACATTGATGGTACCCTGCTAATTCATCTCAGTGCCAAAAAGCGCGATCACGACTTCTTGTCATCCATCGAAGTTGTAATCGTCGACCACGCCGACGCCCTTCTCATGCAAAACTGGGACCACATGACATATATCTTCCAGCACTTCAACTTGCAACCCAAGGAAGCCCACGGCTGTGACTTCAGCCGCGTTCGCAACTGGTATCTAGACAATCAAGCCCGGCACGTTCGGCAAACTGTCGTCCTAGCATCCTACCTCACTCCTGAGATCAACTCTCTCTTCTCACAACACATGCAAAACATCGCTGGTCGCATCAAAATCACTCCCACCTACGCTGGCGCCATCACCGCGCTCCCTCTCCCCGTCTCGGTCAAACAAACCTTCTCCCGAATCGACAGCCTCTCCCCGGCCAAGGACCCAGACGCTAGATTCAAGCATTTCACCACCACCATCTTATCTAACCTCGTGAAGAGCATCACGGGACGAAACAAGAATAGCGCGGGCACTTTGATCTTCGTCCCCTCGTACCTTGATTTTGTCCGCGTACGCAACCACTTTGCCACCTCCGCTCAAACCACTAATGTCTCCTTCGGTGCTATTTCCGAGTACACCGAGCCGCGCGAAATCGCCCGCGCCCGCAGTCATTTCATGTCCGGTCGTCACTCTGTGCTTTTGTATACGGAACGTTCTCACCATTTCCGCCGGTACCAGCTGCGCGGCGTGAAGCGCATCATCATGTACGGATTGCCAGAGAACCCGACCTTTTACCAGGAGATCGTCGGGTTCCTGGGTCTGGACCCGGCAGCGGTAGTCGAGGCGGCTGAGGGTGGTGTCCGCGTGTTATTCTCCAAGTGGGATGCGCTGAAGCTTGAGCGTGTAGTGGGAACTTCGCGTGTGGGCAATATGCTGCGTGAGAAGGGTGGAGATACTTTTACTTTTTGTATAGAAAAATGTAGCATATATCTTCTTCCTCATGACATACTTCGTATAATAATTCGCTTATACGAGATTTTGCATTTACACTGCATGAGACACTAGACTGCATAGATCCCCGAATAGATGCAAAATCGAAAAAAGCAAAAGTGAATAAGAAAACATAACGTTAAGAAAGAGAGAAACAGAAATTCAGAAGAAGCAAAAAAAGCCAGGTCAGTTGGAACCAGCTAGCGGTCAACATTCAATAGGCCCCGTCTCCACAACCGTCACCGGACTTGAGCATCAATTTTTCACTTTCGTCAAAACAGCCCCAAATCATTACCTCCTCTTCCCTAACCCACTCTCATGTTTATAAAAACCCTCATCTAAAACATCCACGCACGAATTACGACCGTCACGAACCGTCACGACAGAGAATACCCTCTTAAATGTCCCCGCAACCAGACTCCCACTCCGAGGAGTCCCCGCACTTCTCCAATACCGACTCCGATGGCATCCCATCCGACCACCCAGACGCCCCCTTGTCGAACGGGCCCTATCATGATGACTCGTTGGCCGTGTACGAGCCTCGTCCGATTCCAGATGTATATGACGACTACGAGACTGTCCGGCCGCGCAGCAAATGGGCCTTTTTCTGGTTACGCAATAAGGGCATGTTCCTCGTCTTGATGGCGCAGATGTTCGGTGCAAGTATGAATGTGATGACCAAGGTTCTGGAGATGTATAGTTCTATGCATCCATTCCAGGTGAGTTTTCATTTTCCTATCTTTTTCAACTTCATATGACCTAGATGCAAAAAAGAAAAGAAAAAACAATCACACAAGATGTACATGAACAATTAACAAGCAACATCAGGTCCTCTTCGCCCGCATGTCCATCACTGCCATCGCAAGCTACCTGTACATGTGGTACGCCTCTGTCCCCTCACCACTTGGCACTCGACCCGTCCTCGGCCTCCTCATCACCCGCGCCGTCTCCGGTTTCATGGGCGTCTACGGCCTCTACTACTCCGTTCAGTATCTGCCTCTTTCTGAAGCTACGGTGATCACCTTCCTAGCGCCTATCATAACCTGTTACGCCTGTTCCCTGCTCATCCCTGGTGAGACATTCTCCCGTCGCCAACAAGCGGCGGGAATTGTCTCGCTAATTGGTGTGGTGCTGATTGCGCGCCCGTTCCGGAACCGAAAGGACGACGAAGGAACAGATTCTTATCATCATATTCTTGCGACTGTGGTGGCGTTCTTTGGTGTGCTGGGCGCTGCTGGCGCGTATACTTCGATTCGGATGATTGGAAGACGGGCGCATCCGCTTGTTAGTGTGACTTATTTCTCCAGTGTTACGACTGTGATCAGTGCGGTTGCCATGTTGGCTGTTCCTGGCGTGCCCTTTCGGTTTCCGGGCAATCCTACTGAGTGGATCTTGTTGACCGGGTTGGGGGTTTGTGGGTTCCTGTTACAGTTTTTGCTCACAGCGGGCTTGTCGTATGTGCCGCCGGTTGATGTTGGGGGCAAGCAGGGACAGGGTTCTCGGGCGACGAGCATGGTTTATACACAGGTGCTCTTTGCATTGTTCTATGATAAGGTTGTGTGGGGGGGTTACGATGAGTTTGGTTAGTTGGGCAGGGTCCGCGTTGATCTTGGTCTGTGCCATTGCGGTGGCTGTGATGCAAGAAGGGAAGTCGGAGAAAGCTGAACCTGGGTCTGAGCCAGAGCCAGAGACTGAGCCTGAGAATAATGAAGAGGAAAGGTACAAGGATGCCGATGAGGAGGCGTGATGTGCACAGGGCAAGTAGAAAAGGTCTGGGAAGTAAATGACTGTGAAGGGGAATATAACCCGCGATTAGATAAACACCACGATCATAGGATTATGTATAGGATACAGTATATAGGATATAGATGAGAGCCAGGGACTAATCAATCATTGCGCATCGTGCTCTCTTCACGAACTTCGCTATCTGTCTCTCTCTCTCCACGCAGAATCCGGAGCACACTGCTCCACGTCCGCATCGCCGCATCAGTCAACTGCAGGCGCCTCGACGTCATAAGGTTGTAGCAATCCGACGCCATCCCGAGATCGCCCGACTCTGATTATTGGTTCTATCAATCTTTTCAGCGTCGAGGAGCCGCTGAGCGATGAGATGGGATGAGCAGTGGAGCCTTCAGCCCCGGTTTTAAAGTGGGTTTCTTCCCCCAGATTTTTACAAATTTTTAGATCAATGAAGAGGCATTGGTGAGATATCGGTGTATATCAATCCTAATACTCTACAATTTTACAATCTTACAATCTTACAATCTACAATCTACAACCTAACAGTCTCTACTACTATACTCTATACTCTATACACTCTTCTATACAGTCTACAATATGCGCCACTTCGACGCCTGGGTCATCCGCGACCCCTACAGCATCTGGCACTACTATCCCACCCAAACCTCCTCCAACTGGACCAACACGGTCCGCGATCTCGTTATCTCGCGACAGATCTGTTCTCCAACACCCTCACCTTCCCCCGCAATCAACCCCTACACACCACCACCAAACCCGCAATCCCAATCTCCGCTCTCCCGCCTCCCTCCAGAAATTCGCTCTATGATCTGGTCCTACGTCTTCCCTCCGGCAACCCTGCACCTGGTAACAATCAAAAACAAACTCCGCCACATCCGCTGCCAAGCCCCCAATCTGCCATCCGAACTAACCCACCACCGCCACTGTTGCCCCACGACCCCGGCCCGCTGGCGCGTCTATGATGGTCGAGTCCCCGGCCACTCGGATCGACTGCTCTACCCACACACCCACGAGCAACTGCCCGACCTAGTGAGTGATGGGAACGTCGCGCTCTTGCGAACGTGTCGGGCCATCTACGCCGAGACGGCAGATGTGCTGTATCGGAATTCGACAATCGACGTGGATGATCTCTATACGTTCATCGCGTTCTGCGAGTCAATCCCGTTGCGTGCGCGGAATGCGATTCGTAGGTTGACGGTGCAGTGGATGCCTGTTTGGGAACCACTGGCGGGATTGGATCATAAGGGTTCCATCTATGCGCATACACATAGTGATGCGCTCTGGACGGCTTTCTGGGCCCGGGTCGCGGGCTTGGATGGGTTGAAGGAGTTGGGGTTGAGTGTTGATCTGGGACGGTTTACGGGGACGGTCACTGGGGGGGAGCGGTCGTGGTGGCGGGACAGAAGTTGCCGCTGGTGTTGAAGGAGAGATGGTTGTTGCCCTTGTTGAATGTGCGGGGATTGACTGTCTTTGAGTTGGCGGTGACGGCGAGGTGTGATGAGGCGGCGAAAGGGGTGATTGAAAGTGGCTTGGTGAGGGATGCCGCCGTATTGAGGGATCAATTGAGGGCGGTGATGTGTTCGGACGTTGGAGTGAATTTGGCCGATGTCGAGGGTTTGGAGATCGATTTCGAGATGGAATTGGGCATCAAGGAGCCGTTGAAGGGGAGGCAGGGACCATTGATGATTGAGGCGTGATTTTGACATTCTGCCATCGTTGAGATACCCTATTTGTTTTGTTTTATATCTGCATGTTTCTAAGTGCATTGCATGGCATCTCTAGAGGTGAAAGCGATAAAACTCAAAGAGAGTCCTTTAGCATGGGAGCATCGCGTACTTTGTTAGTTTAGAGATTCCGTCTAGGCTCGTGTGTATCTATCTACACACTTCAAGCCTGCGCCAGCGATCTATTCTATTTATCAATCCATTCACTTCCCCGCCATATGAACAGCAATATGTCAATGCAAAAACCCTCATCCTTGCTAAATTTCAAACCTGGAAAGAGGGGGGGGGGAGATACAATTGCGGAGTATTAAGGCAAGTGAACCATCAAGAAAACGCCAGGCACCGAAATATTATCGCCTGCAATTTGGGAACTCAAAGCCCGAAACGGAAAAGTATAACACATGAACCGAATGCAAGTGAAAGTGCAAGGTGGAAAGGAGATGTGGGAGAGAGAAATGCAAGACTATCTACTGGGTCGTGCCCTTGACGCGCCCGCGGAGGTCCTCGTCGAAGCCGTTGGTGGGCTCGGACTCGTCCTCGTCGGTGGGTGATTGGGGATGGCTGACTGGTTCTTGGAGGGACTGGCGGCTTCGCATCATCTGGTTAAAATGTTAGGATTTTTGAGAATTCATCAGGCATCAAGGGGAGAAGTGGAAGGGATCATACCCATGCGCGAACACCCCCAATCAATCCCAGACTGTATCCAGTGGCAAAGTCCTCGTTGCGCGCTCCGCCAATTGGGCTCTCGGGGCGCGGTGAGTTGAGGGCCTCCACGCGGGACAGATGCGACTTGCTGCCGCCGGTCGGGCTGGCCAGAGGTCCGCGGCCGCTGCCCCAGTCCATGCTGTTGCGGGCGCTAGGCGCGGGGCTGTTGGGCCGACTATTTTGCCAGATCTGTCGCAGTTCACGGCCCAACTCTTGTCCCGTCATCGTCCAGTTGTTTTTAATATTATCGCGAAGTTCCACCACATGCCTCTTAATCTCGAGCTCGTTCTTCTTCAACCATGACACGTTCAATTCTTGGCGCGACGCGCCGCGCTTGAACTGTCTGGAAATGTACTGGTCATAGTCACGAACGATCCTGTTGAGGGCGGAGTATCAGCTTGTGCGCCGTTTGTAGCTTGCGAGGTTCACATACCGTGTAATGATTCCAGTAGTGCTGACACCCTCCGTCCGTTGAGTGACCAGGAACTTGCCCTGAGCCTTGATGGGCTCGTAGATATCATCACCCTCAGCAGCCTGGTAGGGGAGGTCGTCGTGGGCGACATAGTCGATCTGGTGCTCGGACAGAAACTCTGGAGTCACGACCCAAGGACAGTTGGGAATGACCTCGTCCACCCACTTGCAGTGACGGATGGTCTCCGCACGCTCTGCGCCACTGAGCACAGTCAATCCCTTTCGCATATGAGTCTCCTCGTCGCCAGTCACACCAACAATGAGGTACACGTCATCAAAAGCCTTCTTAGCCTGTTCGAGCTGTCTCATATGGCTGGGAATGATATTAGAATCACAACGTTGATGTCATCGATGTTCACTCGATACTCACCCGAGGTGGAACAGATCAAACACGCCGTCGGCGTACACCGCACCGCCCGCCCCGTCGGCGGCGGATTGGTGTGGTATCCAACTGGATCCTGCAATTTGCCTATTTGCGGTGGCGCCATGGTGTTCTGTTCGCCTTCGTCCACCGGGAGCTTAATGTGCAGACCCGGGCGACTCCGGAGTCGACCTTCAATATCGCTGCTGGCCACGGTGGTCTCTGAGGGCTCGCCGGGATCCTCTTTGGGGATGGAGCCATCACCGTTGGTCGAAGCCTCACCGGTCTTACGAGCTCGCTTGGATGCTGGAGTGTCGTTCTTCTTTGTTTTGTTTGGGGTGGCATTGGCCGGGCCGGAGTCCTCACCTTCTTCGCCGGACGCGTCGCGTGAAGATGGTTGAAGCTCAGCTGTGGGGACGGGGAGGTGAGAGGCGCTGCGCTTGCGCTTGCCGGGAGGAGATGAGGGCGACATGGTTGATGGAGGTGGCGGAGATAAGGATGGGAAGGAGGTGAGTTGTGTAGAGACCATTCCCCGTCATCCGGTTTAGGGGCCCGGCGTAATTTTCTTTTGGCGCCGAGTGGGGGCCCTTGGCATGACATACTCTCTGCCTTGGAACGGGGTATCTGGTATCTAAGCTACCATATTTACAGGATTATGCGTACCACGTTTTCTCAACCGAGGGTTTCCTATTCTAGACCCGGAGTAGGTGGGAGCCTTTATCCAGCTAACAGTGAGTACTTGATGAATCGACTTGCTTTTTCCATATAGAATCGAACCTCAAAGCCTTGAAACCCCTTCGGACGCTCCCTTGCCTGCCTTACTTCACGTGTCTGGCTCGATGCAATAGGTAACCGTTTATCATTACATTATCATTATTATGATTATGATTATTATCGAATAAGATAATAAGGAGAGGCGCAGGCTTAATAGCTATGGTAGTGGATTCCGCGCTAGTGCCGACCGTAACTAGTTAAACGTTCCGCGTCTCCGTCTCATGTCAATCCCTGACCTACGCTCCATTGAGATAGGACGAATACTTATTAAGGCCTAAGATACTTTGAATTCTATATAGTCAGAGAAACTCACTTCTATAATAGTAACGAAGTGCGAAATGAAAAAAGTAAGGGAACGCTCGGATTAAAAGCGCCATTAATCGAGGAACAACAACCGTCCTAACGCGGACACTCCTGGGATAGATGTAATTGGTTGGAGTGGCAGGAATTCATAATCAATCGTTGTCTATTGATCGATCTATGGAATACAATTAGCAATTCGAAGCTATCAAGGACGAGCAGTAACGCGTACCATATTTTCGTGGTCGATACCGGTCTGTCGAAAAATCGGAATGATAATAATTTAAGGACATTTCGCTGGTTGAAGACGGCGAGTCGAAATAAAATACCTACAACACAAAAGTAGCACGTAGTGTTGCACTGGCTGGTGATAATTGAGCGGTGCAGTACCGTAATTTACGGCGATCTTGAAAGGTAATGGTACATAAGGAGCCTCATGCCGTCTCTAGCGGCATTGAAGATTCTCAACCTGGCACACGAGCGACTATCTGGCCGCTTCCGATTCTGTAGCTGGAGATGGGATGAAAACATTAGCTAGAGGCACGAATCGTGATATTCTTTCGGTATATGGTGGGCCCTTGGATGACTGCATGGATGTGAGACTGGAAATGAGCGCGGATAGATCACTTCGCGAGAAATAAGACCTAGATAGCTCGAGTCAAGTCGTGCTACTGAATAGGAGGGAACTAGTACTCTATAAATTTCATAAGTCATTGGTAGGAAGACTCCCCAGGCTGTCTCCCAAGCCCAGTATCGCTTCGTCGCAATCAGATTTAAGGTGTTTATATCCGTTGTGGAGACTATGCATGTTGTGTAGGTGCCGGTTTAATCATTCTTAAGTCCGAAACATATAAGACTAGAGACCTACATGTGTGCAGTTACCAGGTGATTCTGATAATTAAGCCTTGGTTTCGAACCCCGATTGAAAACTTTGGACGGCATTTTGTGGAATTGCTAAATCTGAGGCTATATCGATGGTTCTCGTTTCCATTTTTATGTGGAGCGCAACTTCTCTCTTGTGTATGTGGCCGCAGCCCAGAGAAAGTAAGCACTGGCTGACTTATACCTTTTTAGCCTGTGTCCCTGGTACATGTGAGGAGTCTACTAGGAGTAAGGAAGGCACTGCGGGGACCCCTTAAAGATGAAAGAGAGCGTATGTTCGATTTAAGAAAACGAAAAGAAGTACAATATGGACTCAGAAAGCACCCGAGGGTGAGCGTCGTGATTGTGATTCTTCGACTCGTGCCTCTCGGCACGGTGGTAATCACTGCCATGAAAGCATTTTCATCACGGTCCAAAGACATCTGTACACTCGGAGCAAAAAGAACAGGATTGTGATGAGAGGAAGAGCAAGAAATCACTCAGTCAGAGTGGAATAAACTCAAGTCATATGTGCCTCCTGTTTAGGTCTAGATCCTGCACAAATGACCAGTCCGGTGGTCACTTAGAACCTATAGTCCAGGTTCGTCATCTCGTAGCTATTTACTACTATGAACCATAGAAGCTGCATTGTCGGGGCTTGGAAAGTAGGCTTGGTGAATTATCTCGATGCGTTTACTGAACTCTGAATTACCCACTATAGTGATAAACAGTTGACTGGGAATAGGGCTAACCTTTCTCTATAGAGGGAATAGTTATAGTACTTTAAGTTTCGCGAATACTTATCGAAATCTTAATTTAGTTTTGTATCTTTCTTAGGCCTCCTCCTCAAAGAGGATATTTTATAGACTATATTCTAGGTACCTCTTTATGACGAGTATGAGCAGAGATGCCCAACGGACGCGTCAATTCCGAGACCCCTGGACAGCTCCGGTCGACACCTTACAGGGGATAGCTATAGCCACCGTGCCTATCAGCGGGTTATGGCCTTTATCTACTCAACTTTACTCCGGGATCATTCCTGAAATTCGTTGATTACCGCAGTATAGAGACGAGACCTGACGGCCTCGCCCTGAATTGCTCTGGAACAAAAAAGTCTAGAAAATTCTCATACGTCGTTCTTGCTCCGACTCAAGCCGTCTCTACCATCTACCGATGAAGCTTGGTTGTTTCCGGCAGGCATCCGGCCATGAGGACGGGGGAATAGTTGGAAATGGTTCGTCAAGGGCATTTTCTGCGGTATCTCGTGTGGGTGGGCATAGACAGATAAACGGTGCTCATATGAAGGCCTGGAGCTCTCAGCGAGGACCTGCTCAGACTCCTCCTCTTCTCTCCTCGTGTTCCGAGTGACATGAATTCCATCAAGCGAAGAGCATAGAACGGTCTTAAAACAGGTGAAGCCCGATGATAAACGTGTTGAAAAGCGAAAAAAGGAGAAAAATGAAAGAGAACATCGATCGTAGACTCGGGGTGGAATGGGACAAAGAAGAGTCGTTCTCAAGGCAAAAAATTGGGGGGGGGACATTGATGAAAGGGGAAAAGCAGTTAAACAGACGAGAAAGAATGCAAAATCAGACTACGAGGATGTCGCCTTGTCTTTGTCGTCGGTCGAGGCTGGGGACTCGGATATTTGAGCGGAAGTGCCCTCTTGCTTGCTCTGGGGGCCAGGTGTATCCTCGCGAGAGATGCGGGCAGAATCGGTCGGTTGCACCTGGTGGTCTTCGGTCTGATCGAAAAGCTCCTCCTCATTCTGGTCGGGGATGACCTCGGTGCCATCGCCAAGCAGGATAATTCGGCCTGAGCGCGTGCTGAAAGCTCGCGAGCGCTCCATCTCCAAATCGTAGTCATCGGGGTTGTCCTCAAACTGGTTCCGGATCCCGGGGCCGCGGAACTCGGCTGCACAGATCTTCCGTCAGCACGACGAGGGAGTTTCTTCGGGTTCCTCGTGAGACTTGCCGTACTCAGGCGGAGCACAGGGTCCGTCTCCGTTCGCAACCCGTTCCGCAATCAGGTTGTACCATTCTTCTTTGGTCTTGCCGTTGAGAAGGCCGACGATGGTCATGGTCATGTTGTCACAGCCCACACCACCAGTCTCACTGTTGGAAGCCAGGCAGTTGTCCATCATGTTCTCACAAATCTGATAAAGGTCCTGCTTGGCGGCGATACCCCTTCGGACGAACTCCACCACGGCTTGGGAGGATTGACAGTCCCAGATACCTGATAGCCATTAGCATAAGCGATCAAAACCACAAATATGACATTCGTACCGTCACAAGCAATAACGAGGAACTCGTCGTCATCGGTAAGTTCGTGCACCGTCACATCGGGGTAGGCGGTGACAATCTGTTGCTCGGGCGACAGCTCAGGGCTCTTCTTGAATTCAAAGTCACCGATGGCGCGGGACAGAGCGAGGTTACCGTTGACACGGCCGAAGTCAACGAAACCGCCCGCAGCGCTAATACGAGCCTTCTCGCCTGCAGGGAGTTAGCAATAGCCACAATGCGTAGGAAACGGAACTGACCCTCGTTCTGGGGCTTGTGATCAAAAGACAGCGGCTTCGCACGGCCCTTAACACCAAGGACTGATCGGGAATCACCGGCGTTCGCCTGTGATCAGTTTAGCCAACCGCAATTCCTTCTCGTAGTATTGCCTGAGGTCCACTTACCACCCAGATCTTGCGCTTGGAGATAATTGCTGTTGAGGCAGTGCATCCAGACACTTCCTCTTCGTATCTTGGGTCTGTGCGAAATTGGTCAAAAGGGAATATCCTCTGATCTCAATTCAAACGAACCTTCCAAAATAGCCCGGTCGGTAGCTAGGAAGCCGTCCTTGAGAGCCTGTTCAATGTCTCCTCGGGCGAAAGATTCCTGCCTGGAGACGATCTTGTGCAGGTTCTCGCCTGTGAACAGAGCAACCTTGTCGCCACCGTGGCCGTCGTATACACCAAAGAAGGCTAGACGCTGATCCGGATCTGTCGGTTTACCGTTGTCGCTACCGGTGTACTTTGCTTGAAGGTCCAGTACGGCTGCGTGAGCGTCTTCCATGCTGATACGCCAGCCCTGCATGGCCGACACGCCGTACAAACAGCAGTCATCTCCACCTTCGGCCGACACCTAAAACGGAGCAAAGAACGCACGTCAGTCACTGAAGAATGTTTTGGTGGTGCTGGAATCAAGAGCGGTCGTGTGAATGCTCGGAATAGCCTCCTCTCCAGGCCAAGTCACTCAGCCCCTCCACGAGTCAGCAGGGACCCCGCATAGGCGATCGACCGCGCGACACCATTCATAAAACATTCAGAAGTGTCGGTAGAGATGGGATAGCGGCTCTTCAAGTCCAACAAAGAACTACCGTGGGCAGATGGGGTTGACCGAGGGTAATGAAAATGGGCGTCTGGCGTCACCCAGTGTGGGGAGGGGCAAAAGGAAACAGGCAAATTGGAATTTTTCGGCGACTCACCTTCTCAACCACGGGCTCCGACAAGGTCTGACCCATTATGGCACGAATTGAAGTATTTCTGGAGGGGGGAGGGGGATTGAAGCAAAGTACCAGATGAATGAAGAGGAAGAGGTTGAAGTCAGGTGAGGGCGCAGGCCTTTCAGCGCGTCTCTGGGTCCCGCGATAAGTCGCCAGCCGAGTGGGGAACGATGACGATCTAGGGCTCGCCCGTCAGATCTTGGGGGAGAGGTGTCGGGAATGGAAAGCGAGTATACGCTCGACTTCAGTGTAGCTAAGATATGTGAGAAGCAGAGTTTTTCTCTGTAATTTACCTACCGGTCGTGTGCTCTATAGAGTCACCTGACTCACCAGGTCCAGCGGTTAAAGTTGAGTGATTATCAAGGTCCTATTACTAGGACGTTGTGTCCTGATAGTTCACATCTTAAGATATAGCTTCCTATGCCAGAGCAGTCTAGCTGCTCTTTGACTCCCACCTTCAGGTCGAGGTGTGAAGTCTCTGCCTGTGCAGCCTCGGGTCACGCAATAGGGAAACCCCCCCCCCCCTTTCCCCCCCACGGGCTCATCATTCTCTCTGTAAGGCCCGTAGGGCCCATACACGTGGGGAGACAATCTCCTTGGTAGCGGTCGGTGAAGACCACATGCATCGGACTATGTATGCCGGTACTCCTTACACACGTACAGGTTCCTACAATCGTGACCTGTCAACCGAAATGCAGCAGTTGCAGCACCGCACGTGCCACTCGCTGCCCTGGGAGGGGAACCACTAATGCTTAAAAATGCTACTGTTTCTGACATTTAAAACTAATTAATGTAATCTGAGAAAATGATTCTAAAACAAGTGGATATCAAGTTCGCCATGCACAAAATCCCACAGACCCCGACCGAGAAACCATTCTCAATCAAACAAACGCTAACTCGCCGCTGCTGGCTACAGGGAGTCCTCGGGAACTAGCGCTCTTTAGGGGAGGTGGCGGTTCGAGGGGCTCGTTTATTGTTTGCCACTCTTGGGCGGAGTAGTCGGTGGCTTTTTGAGGGGAAGCCTTTCGGGATAGGTGTACGTCAAGATCTGACACCATGGACGAACTTTGCGGTACAGTCGAGCTTTCTTTGACTCGGGTTGGAGGCATGGGGTAGGAACCGGATTCCCGGCGCTGGGTACTGCTTAAGCTGGTTTCACTCCAGAATCGTGGAAGTGGGGAGATCACTCCGCGGTAGTCTTGGGCCAGACTCAGCTGGCTTTGGCTCTGGCCATGGCCTTCAGCAAGAGGGAAAAGATGAGACGGTGCTTGGAGAGTCTGATATTGGGAGAATCGGGCGTTTTCATCGCCATACTCAGAAACAGATAGTGCCGTGGAGTAGGGGCGTCCTTGGATCGACTGTCTGAATTCGTCACTGAAGGTTGAAACCGACACTGTGTCGGCGCGACTGCGAATACTGCGAGCTCGCTCGAGCGCGCGCATACCAGAAGATGTACGACGACTGATCTGGGCAGAGAAGAGAGGGTTGGAGGAGTTGCGGTGCTTGGCTCGGCTGTGGACAAAGGCCTCGAGTGAGTCTGCTTCGGAGATGGTAGACTCATCAGGCTCGACGGCCCTCATAGTCATTCGCTTATAGTGTTCTGGGATGCTAGGTGTCATGCTGTGTCTCATAGGAGCAAGGGTGGTCGAGGAAAAAATGGAGTCATGTTGGTAAGGCTGCTTTCGTCACTCATTAGAGAGCCCTTGGTGGTCTGCCATGACATGTGAACCATTCCGTGTCCCAGAGGTCCAAACCCACCGGCACCATGTCCGGCACCGCTGAGTCGAACCGGCAGTCCAGAAGCAACGGAGGAGATTCCACTTGACCGCTTGGAATATCTCTTGGACCTCGATGATTGCATGGATTCACGTTTTGCAACTCGAGGCTGAATAGACTTCAAAGGCTCCCGACGAGAGCCTTTACCAGAGCGACGGCGAACGGGAGAGCTGCGAGCATACGATAACCTATTGCTTTGTCTCTTGTCGGGAGAGAAATCAATTGGCTTATCCTCTTCGATAATGGAGTCTCGCAGAGGAACAAAGGTACTGCGCTTGGGAGAACGAAGTGGGGGGTTAGGCTGGGGAATGATGCTCACGTCCATGGTATCATCTGGCTTGTCAAACGATGAAACGTTCCAAGATGGACCAAGTTCAAGTTTGGGGGGGGTCGGATGAGGGAGAGATAGGATTCATCAAGTCATCCGAAGGATCGTCTTGAGAGGGTCTTTCAGTGACACCAGGTGGACAATTCTTTGGCATGTCGGGTCTGGCTGGTCGGGGAGGTGGCGATGGTTTCGCCTTGAATTCTCCTTCCTCCACCGTAGCAGTCTTTTTCCTCTGGCGCCAGCAACAGAAGAGAATGATAGCGCTCAAAATGACTACGACTGGGAGAACAACAGAGATCGCGATGATACCAGCTTTCTTGTGCGAAGGGTTGGACGGATCAGAGAATGGGTCATGATTCCCATTGTGGGTTTCGGCTGGCTCGAGAACATCAAATTCAAAATCCTGCGAGTCGGTAGTAGATCCTTGAGATGCTTTCAACGGAATAGTGAACTTCTGGGGTTTCATATCCGCAGGAACATGTCCGTAGAGCGTTTTGTTCTCGGAGTAGTAGACAAGCCATGACGATAAGTCGCTGCCCAACTCCACATCCAGTTGAATGGAGTTGTCGGTGAGGATGGACTGGTTGAACACAAACATGAAGTCTTCTCCAATGGTCGCTTCACAACCCTCCACGGTCTCGAGGAAGAACTCCATGAACTCTAAGCGTACCATCATTCTCGCTTGATCCTCGAAGGTATCGGTAACAACAATAGTGATGTTTTGATTGACTGCATTTTTTGGCGGCGTGCCACTTAGGGAGATGTTATCCTTGTCCATTGTCAACCAATCTGGCAAATTGGCATCGATGCTCTTCACATCCACTCCCGAGACTGGGGAGTTGTCCATTGATAACAGGTTCCGGAAATTGGGACTGCTGAAATTTTCACCTCTCGTGAGATTGAACGTCTGGACAGTCTCGTTGAATGCCAGGGTGTGCGGGCCGATAGAAAGCTGGAAAGTCTCGTTGACAGCGCTATACCCGGCCACGTCCGAGGCAATGAGCTGGAAAGTGAATGTTTGAGGGCCAGCCCCGGGGAAAGATGGACTGTTGCCGGCAAACGTCAAGGTAGATGGATCAAAGCCGATCCATGATGGCAAGGGCGTATTGTTAGGCGAGGTTCCGTAGTAGATCGTGGCTGGGTGGGTGTTCTGGAAGGTCTCTGGGTCAAATGTAATCGAAAATGAGCGACCGGGATGTATGAAAAGCGTTGCTGGGTATGACACTGGCCCTAATTTTTCCAGTTGTGCTATGAGAGATTTTCCTTTGGTTGGTCCGCTGTCCGAGGTCACGATGAGGGTGACATCCATGCTGTCCGCATCGGATCCATTTGACGCCACTAGCTTGAAAGCTTTGGAGCCATCGTCATCCGAGTGCGGTGTACCAGAAAGTGTGCGAGTGCTACTTTCAACTTCCAGCCATTCTGGTGCATTAGATAGTGAATACTTCGTTTTCGCATCGGCGTTGGCGAATGTGTCATCGGCGAAGGTGAAACTAAAGGGCTGCGACACTCGCGCGACTGGGGGCAACTGCGCGTTGATAGGGTAATTGGCGGACAAACCTGCTGCGCTCACGGCAGACAGGAAAGCCAGAAGGATGAAGAGGCAAGAGGCCATGCCCGGTGGATTGATCCGGAGCACCTCCGGAGGTGTGCGTATAATTCGAGACACACGACTATCACACGATGGACGAAGCATACAAATCCCCCGACTGCACACCTATCGGAGCCTGGATCAATGGATTAGGAATACGACAGAGAATAGAAGGAGAAAGAAAGTGCGAGGCGAGGAGATGACTTCCTGGTCTCCAGAAAGTACGCCTCTCCCTGGCACTCGCCAAAGGGACAAGGAGTCATTCAACGCGAACCCTTTGATCAAAGCCATGCCTGGATATGCTCAACGTCACCGAAGTATGTAGCAAAGTGACAGCCGGGAATGAGCGGCGCGTCGGAGTAGGGCTCACGTTTCGCGGCAGGCGTCCTGCAAGGGATGCTCCTTTTCGGGAGCCAAGGAGTGCGGACATGCCCAACCACGGCGATGATTTCTCGCCCCTCCTAGTATTTCTACCAGGAGGCTCCGAGCAGGCAAGGAACGTTATCCAAAATATGATCAAGAAAGGGCCCGGTAGGGTCGAACAACCACCGGTGGCTTCACTCATCACGTTCCAAGTCGAGTATCATTCTGATGCCCGTCCGCCCAGGGGCATAGTAATCAGGGATCATCTCACACTCCTCGAATCCACTCCCGGACATATAATGCTCGAGCGGGTTCCCTGGCTTCATCTACCCATAGCTGAATGTACTGACAACCCTCCTTTCGAAGGCGTTCTTGAATGTAGGACATGAGTTGTTGACCAACGCCCTTTCGACGATAAGCTTCGATCACGCAGACCTTGTGCAAGAGAGCCGCTCCCTTCTGACGCACGTAAACCGCGTAGGCGATCAGGTCCGGCTGTCTCCCTTCAACTGCACGAGTCGCGTATAGAACCCGCGTGTTGGGCTTCTTTCTCCATAATTCTTCGCCGAAACCGAAGGCCTCATTGGTGGGAAATGTCTTTTTCTCGACGCGTGAAATCCGGCCAAGAATCTCGAGTGCCTCGTTCCTCTTCAAGGAATGAATGTCCGAGATGGTCACGGTGGAGGGCATTCTTTTCGGCAGACGACCTAAGTGGTCATTCCAGAGTATTACAGGTCTGGTGATGGGGGGGGCTTTCTGCGCCTTTACTGAATATTCGACCGCAAATGTAAGAAAATTGATCGGGTGGAGATCGCGAGGTTCGTTGGACAATTTCTGCCTTAGGCACAAAATCACCGCTCTAGCATTTTGTGGCCAGTGACCAAGTCTGTTCATGTATGCACCAGTCATTTGATGATATTGCGCGTACTGTTATCGGCTCTTCCTGTTTATGAGGAGGACGAAGTCATTCAAGCGCATGGGTATTCTCGCTTCTAGTTTCTTTCGGCCCGGGGCCTATGTCATTCAGTCCAGCGTTATCTCATTCAGTGCTGTCTCGTCTTTTATCTCACTACTCGGTAATTGCTCTAAGTCCCCAAGCTGTTCCCAATTTTTGTGTCTCCCGTTCTAATGTGACTCAGCAAAATGTTGCGACCAGTGCTGAGAGATTTGGAAGGGTTCAGTCCAGGCCTAGATCAAGATGTTCGTTGGGAGGGCCATGTTGAACCAGTGATATCAGTGTCAAGGAGGGCAGTGCATTTCCATGTGTCTTTGTCTCGAGGATATTGGGATGCCTAGTTGCCGTGGCATGGAGAGGATTGGCTTCCATATACCTGCAGCCTTCTACGTGGCGTGAAATACTATTGTTGATGTATTTTTCAATTGAAGACTCGCAATCTGCATCTGGGGGAGCTTGCGTTTTCCACCGATGCCGAGTCTAGCTAGATGTGGCTGGACTTTAACTTATGGTAGTGTAGTCTGCAGTTCTTTCTAAGGTCTGGACTGTGTTCAGTCTCTACCGTCAATGAGGATGTCGCCCTTCGGAAGCGCTATTTGACTGCTGTGGTTTTCGAAGATTGCAAACGAAGCAGGCTGGGCTCATGAGCTGTTCGCCAGGTACTTTTCGCTACTAATGTGTTGAGTGTCCATGGAAGACATATGGGCGATTCAGGGACTGCTGTGGCAAGAGCCCTGGACGTGATCAACTAGTTGATCAGAGCATCGCGATCGGTGCTACGATTGCTAGAGGTGACCCCGAAATGAGTATATTGCAATTTTCAGCGTATCCAAATTTCGTGTCAAAATCACGAAAGTAAAAGTAAATGCAAAGACCATGACGACGCTATTCCTGGAATGATGAACTTGTCCAAATACCTGAAATGGCCCAAGGCGGGATGAGGCTGACTTCCAGCGACCCACAACAAACACGACCTCACTTCTGCCACCCATCAACCTCCCCGCCAGTTGACCAGACACAATGCCTCCCCAGACAGACGACAAGCGCCAGGCTGCACGTGAAATCATCGATATTCTTCATGAGATCTCTATCCTGCTCGTAAGTACCCCTGCCTCCCTCCAGGTCTAGCACCTGGAATGGGTCGGCGCAAGGTGAACTCACAGAATCTAGAATACCCACCTGGACCGGACAGAGCTATCTCTGTGTGTCTCTATGATTGAGAACGGAGTTAATCCTGATGCTCTTGCGGTATGTGTGTGATTCTTGAGAATGAATTTGGGTACTGACTGTCTTCGCAGACAGTGATTAAAGATTTGCGGAAAGATGGCGCTACGCAAAAGCGGATTTCACATGCTCCGACTGCGGAGTAAGATCTATCAAATTCATGCCTGATGGTTTCCATCCGGTGCTGTTCTGGTTTGTGGCGTTCAAGGCCAATGTGGCCGGTTGGAATGATACCCTTGGCTCGTGTGTGGCCTATGTCTACTAGATAGGAATTCAGGAGTCTTCTATTCTGACATTTGTTTGTTTGTTTGATTAGGAAGTCACGGTGGCTACCTCTACTCGTGATCATAGCTATAAGAGAAATTGGGGTACTCGGGTAGAACAGGTGGGATGTTCTGGTGTTGGTGAGTCGAAATCGCCGGGGTGGAAAGGGGCTTGTAAGTTTGATGTGAAAATTATTCAGTCCATGTGTGAAACTGATCTCCGGCATATTATTTCGAAGACTCCTCAGTCTTGCCATTCTTGTCCTTGGAAGAGCCAATCTCGCCGGACATGGCTTCCTCGGTGGCCTTCTTCAGCTGTTCGCTCTCAGGCAGGTTGGTCAGCTCCTGAGCTTTGGTCTCCTTCTCATCATCGCTGTCTCCGAGGCTGAAGGGGTCGTTTTCAGCGACGGGGGACGGCTCAACAGTGGCCAAGGGCTGCCACTTGCTAGACTTTCCTGCTGAGGAGGTGCGGTTGCCGGTGTCAATTTCAGTGGGCGGGCCATCCTGGAAGGACACCTTTCGCCTATCAGGCGAGGGCGAGGATTTCATCTGCAGGTTCTGGGTCCCCGGACGAGGAGGACGGGGCGGGGGAGCTAGCGTCACGTTAATATTGCCCGTGAACATCAGACCAAAAAGCTTACCTTCAGAGTCCCTCAGCTCAAGAGCAGAGAAATCATCGCTCAGCACATGCGGATCGGCATCATAGCGCTCACGATCTCCACTGCGACGGCCCATATCACCACTGCGTCGTGGGCGTCCATAAGGCGAAGGCTGCTCATAGTTTTGACGAGGCTCCTCTTCCAAATCTTCGCCGTCAATTCTCTTCTTCAGATTGGTGACCCACGAATTGACCTTGGACTGTGTCTCCAGGAATCCCTTTCGAAGGTTCTCACGAATAGCGGGCAGATCATCTGCAATTTACCCCACAATTAGAATCCGGCATACTGGGCAAGATTTTAGAGACATTACCGTCAAAGAAATTGTAGTCTTTTTCTTCGGAATCCTCGCTTCCTCTGGGCTGAAGATACCGCGGATCGTTCTCCCACCCAGGGGCAGGTGCTCGGCGGCCTGAGGAATTGTAATGCTCTGCGAGTTGACGCGCATACATTTCGTCGGACTCTAATTGTCTTTGAGTGGTAGATGTAGGCTGTTGGGACGGGCGGGGAGGTTTCGGGGGAGGAACCATATCTTCTTGCGCCGTCGGGTCGGTCATGCCTGTGACAAAGGTTTAGTAGTTGTTGCGTGCCCTTTCAGGAATCGTTACGCACCAAGGAGTGCATTAAATGCCCGCTCGACGTTCCAATTGCTCGCCGTAAGAATAGCCTTGATCACACCGGGCTCAACACTTGGGAAAGCTTCCCTGAGTGTAATTTCCGACTGCTCTCTCGGGCCCAGAGGCCGGGGTGGCTTCGGCGGGGCAGCTTGGGCAGCCGGGGGAGCCTCGGTGGCAGTTTGTTGAGCACTTTGTTGGGCAGTCGCGGCAGCGCTGGACTGAGCATTATGATCCTGAGGGTCATCGTCAAAGTCCAAGGGTCGCGCAGTAGTCGGCGACTCGGCGCGGGGGCTGTTAGACGCTACAGCGGAGGGTTTGGTGGGAGTGGGCTGCATTCAGGGTAAGACTCCGCTTCAAGGGTGCATAAGGGGTCTGCACGTACAGTCTTTTCCTCCTCCGACATCTCGAGTGATTTTCACGGTGATAGCGCAGGTAAGGCGACGGAAGATAGTGTCAACACAGAAGAGAGAAAGATTGAAGTAGGCAGAAACACATCGGGGAAGCTCCAAACAAGTGACGTGGGGTGCACGTGATTGCGGGTAGCTTTTATAGAGACCGCTGTTCGCCGCATTCTCCAAAACCACGACGAAATGAAGCAGTTCTTATCGGGAAATTTTTGGAGTGTCTGGGCCTAAGCATGCTGCTCACTTTCCAGTGCAGAGTCCCATTTTTATAAGCTGAGAGCTTGAAATTTGCAAAGAACTAGGTTTTATCAATCTTCGACAGAATGGCTTCAGAGCTTGATGTCTCCATGACCTTTATTCCGGCATTATACAAGCCTGCAGCTTTGCTGCCCATTGCGCGACATAAGAATAGTCTATTATATCTGGTCGAGACCTACCCGGTCACCATAGTGGTGGGACAGACAGGGAGCGGAAAAACGACTCAACTTCCTCAATATCTTGACCAGGCCGGCTGGTGTGAAGATGGAAAGCTCATTGCAGTGACACAGGTATGGCTTACATTCTAAATGGAATAGTGGATACATCTGACTGTCGAAATAGCCTCGGCGGGTAGCAGCAACAACAGTGGCGACCAGAGTCGCAGAGGAAATGCGCTGCAAAGTCGGTGAACAAGTGGGCTATTCTATCCGCTTTGAAGATTTGACATCAGCTGTCACTAGAATAAAGTTCTTGACAGATGGTATGCTACTGCGAGAAGCACTTGTTGATCCACTTCTGTCGCGGTATTCTGTGATTATGGTTGACGAAGCACACGAAAGATCTCTAAGCACCGACGTTTTACTTGGTATCCTCAAGAAAATCAGAAAGAAGCGACCAGAACTACGAATTATCATCAGCAGTGCGACATTACAAGCAGAGGAATTCCTGCGATTTTTCGCTGGAGATGAGTACCAGCCTGAAGCCGAGTCAGGAAATCGCGGAGGGAGCGTTGGGAGAATTATTAGTCTAGAGGGCAGGATGTATCCAGTTGACATGCTCTTTCTCGAATCTCCCGCAGACGACTACGTGGAACGGGCCGTTAAAACAGCCTTTGAGATTCACACGCAAGAAGAAGAGGGAGACATTCTTTTATTCCTCACTGGAAGGGAGGAGATCGATCGAGCAATCCAGATGCTCTCTGAAAGAGCTGCGACTCTTCATCCTAAGTCTCCTGGACTACTTACACTGCCTCTCTATGCCGGTCTTACCACGGACCAGCAGATGTACGTCTTTGAACCAGCACCAGAGAATACGCGCAAGGTTATCGTGTCAACCAACATCGCGGAAGCATCAGTCACAATTGACGGAATTGTTTATGTGATCGATTGTGGGTTCGCCAAACTCAGAGCTTATAACCCTAGCACGGGCATCGAAACTTTGACGGCTGTGCCAATATCGAAAGCATCGGCTACTCAACGTGCTGGACGAGCAGGTCGAACGAAGCCTGGAAAATGCTTCCGGCTGTACACTCAGCAGACTTACGATCAACTTCCCGAGGCAACTATTCCAGAAATCCAACGATCGAATCTCGCTCCCATCATTATGCAGCTCAAGGCACTAGGCATTGACAACATTGTCCGCTTTGACTTCTTAACATCTCCCCCGGCTGAGCTCGTCATTCGTGCCTTTGAACTGCTTTATTCACTCGGTGCCGTTGATGACTATGCAAAGCTCACAAGGCCATTGGGGACCCGAATGGCAGAGCTTGCAGTTGACCCCATGATGGCCAAAGTGCTCTTGGCTGCACCCGCTTTCAGTTGCTTAAGTGAGATTTTGTCCATCGCAGCCATGGTCAGTCTCCAAGGGACCGTATGGGTGCAACATGATGGCAATAAAAAGGATGCAGAGAGTCATAGACGAAAATTTGCGGTGGAAGAAGGAGACCACCTCACCTACCTGAACGTATACCAAGCGTTTGTGACCAAAGGCAAGAAAGACTCCAAGTGGTGTCGCGACAACCTCTTGAACTACCGTGCTCTACTACGAGCAGTGAGCATCCGTGGTCAACTCAAGCGGTACCTCGAACGATTTGGAATTCAAACCGATGAAACACTTTCGTCACGTCATGGTGCAGTGGATCTCAGCCGACGGCCGGAACAGATCCAACGATGTCTCACGACGGGCTATTTCGCCCATGCAGCCAAGATGCAACCTGATGGTACTTTCAAGACTGTCAGTGGTGGTCTGACGCTTCACGCCCATCCCAGTTCCTTGATGTTTGTAAGTATCCCTGTTCCTTGAAACGGGATTGTGCATGACTGACTGTTTGCTCCAGAATCGAAAAGCCGACTGGGTGATTTTCCATGAAATTATGCAGACAGGCACCAAGACATACATACGTGACGTAACTAAGATTGAGAAGAGCTATCTGTTGGAGTATGCTCCCGAATATTACAGAGTCACCTAGTTTGTACTACGGTCAAGATTTCTTTCCAAGATACCCTGGCGTTAGACTCCATAGATGATAAAAACATGGGCGTCATCTATTGGAGCTTGCATAGGATTATGGAGATTACCGTAGCGCAGAGTGTGATCAGAATCTATTGAAGCTCGACGGAGAAGGTAGTCAAAGTAGGCCGAAACACTGATTCTTCAGTTCTTTCTCAACATCCTTCTGGACTTGTCTGTAGACCCCATGTTAGACCATTTCTTTGTTATGGTCTGCTCACTGAACCCTTGACTACCCCTGGAGAGATCATTCGCGGCTGCTTCTTTGAACATCTGTATTATGATTTTGATCGCGCTGTACTTCACTCAACCGTTAAAGGATCTCCACCCCTGTTTGATCGACGTCACGGGATGCGGAGAAGATCCGCTCTCGAAGATTTATTTTGATTCCGCAAGTCTCCTTTCAGAGTCTTTTGCTAGCCTCCCCTACGTGTAGCATTTTCATTCACCATGTCGGACCACCATCACCATCACGGTGACGGCGGCCACTGCCACGGCGAGCACGACCACTCAAACGACATCACCCCGGCGCTCCAGTCCCTACTCTATTCGCAGATCGACTTTGACTCGATCATTACTCTCAATGGTATGCACCATCTTGAGACAAATTGTCCAGTCCCGGCTTTAATACTAATTATTCAAATAGAAGCGACCGAAAAGGGCGGCGCTGCTATTGTCCGGAAAACCTGGGCCGAGAGACTGAATGACGAGCCCGAGCTGGAGAGTGATGCCGATGAGCAGCTGTTGATGTACATTCCGTGAGTTACCCTAAGCCATGACTACGTCCGGTTGTGACGGGTCGTTTCACTTGTTGACGTGCGTGTTTAAATTTAAATCCGAACCCCGCCATGTACCCCTCGCTTCAAAAAGCAAAAAGCTAATCCAGAACACCAGCTTCACAGGCCAAGTCAAACTTCATTCCCTTCTCCTATACACTGCACCTACCGCTGCAGCTCCCAAGACCGTGAAACTGTTCAAGAATCGCGATGACCTCGACTTCTCAACCGCCTCAGAGCTCTCCCCTACTCAGACCATCGAGGTCCCCCAGCCCGTAGCCGGAGCCGACGTTTTCGAGCTTCCACTGAACCGCGCCCATTGGAACACCACCACATCCATCACGCTTTTCTTTGAGGACAATTGGACAGACGGCGAGGATGATGTCACCAAGGTTGGCTATATTGGTTTCAAGGGCCAGTTCATGGCCTTGAACCGTGAACCGGTCAGCTTCTTGTACGAAGCTGCTGCGAACCCCAATGACCACGTCTCCATCCCGGGACTCAATGACATTGGAAGCCATGTTATGCCCGGTCAGTAATCGCAGTGGGGAGGAATGACCTTTGAGAATGTGATTGGAAGGATGGGATACAATGTATTATGAGTTTACACGCCAACAATAACGAATGATGAACAATTCAAACCAAAAGCGTCCAACGCCGTCCAAATGCTGATCAAGGTAATCAAAAGACATGACTTCTATCATGCAGGCAGGGCTGTTCGCGTTTCTTCAACAACCTCCTCACGCTCAGGTTCGGATGCAACAGGCTGCTGTACAGGAGCGTCGGGTAGGACTGGCTGCTCAGGAACCTTGGGAGCAACCTCAAGCCGTAGCGCCTCGAGCTCGTCCTCGACTTCCTCCTCATCCTGGTTCGACAGATTACCCTCTAGCATGCGGCTGACCTCCTATAAGACCATTAGTATTCGGGCCTTGCTACAGACATGTTCCAGACTAACCTCTTGATAAGCGCGCGCCTCCTCATTCTCCCCCATCAGTCTTTCCACGCCCTCGATACCGCCCATCTCCCTGTTGATCGTCTGCAACACCTGAGTTCCCTGCTGCAAGCCATACATCACATCCTTTTGCACCAGTGCAAACTCCACTTGGCTAGTAAGCTGCTCCAGCTGCAGGAGTTGACTGTTGGTCTTATCCAGCAGCGTTTCCTGGTATTTTTTACGCCGTAGTGCGAGCAGCGCACGCCGTCGATCATTGCGGGCGAGACATTGCCGCGCGATCTCGGTTTCCCGATCGGTGAGGACGGTAATGCGGACTTGGTATTGCTTGATCTTATCGCGTTGGTTCTTAAGGTCTAGAATCGCCCTATAGTCAAAATGTAGATATTAGCTGGCAATGGATCTAAGGTACGTAGTAGACGGGGTCTCGTGAGGGGAAAACACTTCGCAACTGTGTCCTGTGGGAGGCTTCTGTGGATGTGGTTCCCAGGAAATTAATGTCTGGCAAGGAGTGAACTCACCGATCCTGGGATGAGATCTTCTGTGAACTGCCGGTGTTTCCCATCTCGCATGTTGCAAGTCAACAAGATCAAGTCGGGGGAGAATGACGTGGGGCGGTATAGAAGGTCTCCGAAATACACGTATTTTTCAAAGCGGTGCTTCTTCCGCTTCCCCAATTTTTTTTCCTGATTGTGTTATCGCTGGAAAAAAAAAGTCCATCATGGCGCCCAGGAATCGCGGGGGCAGACCGACCCTCAGTCAGAGCTTGGACCGTGATGTATGTGCCATGAATGAGATCTAAAAGTTTTATATTGACTCCTGGGGCAGGTCTACCAGGTTGTGCGCAAGATTATCGACGACAACCCCGATACCCGTTTGTCGGTTCAGATGCTGTATGACCAGATCAAGAAGTCGAATTCGAGCTTGAAGCGCCAGCAGAAGAGGTCTTTGGAGGATAGCCTGGAGAGGGTTTTGGCTGTCTTGCAGGCTGATGAGGCTGATGAGGAGGACGACACAGTTGAAGGGGACTTTGAAGGCCTGGACGACCCGGCGGCTACGGTATTCATGACCCATAAAACATCGCTGGATTTGCTAGTAATACTAATTGTGATCAATTATTTAGGAGCCCAATGGCCTGAATCAAAGCATTGTCGGTCAGTGGGCGACTACAAAAGCAACCCCGTCCAAGAAGACCGAAGACGGAACCTCCAGCAAACCCTCGAAGAGAAGGAGAGAAGGGGGAGAGTCTGTATCCAAGCGACGCAAGGGCGAGGCGATTGATCGATCACCACCCACACATGTCAGTCTCGCAGACTTGGGTGGTTTGGATGAGGTGGTCCAGGAATTGGGCGATCTGCTCATCTTGCCCATGACTCGGCCGCAGGTCTACTTGTCGTCTAATGTGCAGCCGCCGCGAGGTGTCTTGTTGCACGGCCCTCCGGGCTGTGGTAAGACCATGATCGCCAATGCATTCGCAGCAGAGTTGGGTGTACCTTTCATTTCCATCTCGGCGCCCTCTGTCGTCTCCGGTATGTCCGGTGAATCTGAGAAGGCCCTGCGTGAGTATTTCGATGAAGCCAAGAAGATCGCTCCCTGCTTGATCTTCATTGATGAGATTGACGCCATTACACCTAAGCGTGAGAGCGCCCAGAGAGAGAAATGGAAAAGCGAATTGTCGCCCAGCTTTTGACATGCATGGATGAAATTGCTCTCGAGAAGACTGATGGCAAACCCGTGATCGTCCTTGCGGCTACAAATCGCCCGGATAGCTTGGACGCAGCTTTGCGTCGTGGTGGTCGCTTCGACAAGGAGATCAACATGACTGTGCCCTCGGAGCCTGCCAGGGAGAGAATCCTGCGCACACTTACGCGCAAGCTACGCCTGGCAGATGATCTTGACTTCAAGACCCTGGCCAATCGAACTGCTGGTTTTGTTGGAGCTGATCTTAACGACCTCGTTTCAACAGCCGGTGCGGCTGCCATTAAGCGGTATCTGGCCATCTTAAAAGCGAATAGCGGCGAGGAGATGGAGATCGAAGAGCTGGATGACCTCAACCCTAAGGTGCGAGAGCTCCGTCGTCTGATCGAGCATGCTAAGGATACTCCCATCGGCGAGGAGACCGAGACCGTTCTCGTTTCCAATGCAGACTTCTTCACTGCACTTCCCAAGATCCAGCCCTCTTCTAAGCGCGAAGGCTTTGCCACAGTCCCTGATACCACCTGGGCGGATATCGGTGCTCTCAGCACTATCCGTGATGAATTGGCCACTGCCATCACCGAGCCTATCAGGAACCCTGAAATCTACGCTCAAGTCGGTATCACCGCACCCACGGGTGTCCTTCTATGGGGTCCGCCAGGTTGCGGTAAGACACTCTTGGCCAAGGCTGTGGCCAACGAGTCCCGCGCCAACTTCATTAGCGTCAAGGGTCCAGAACTGTTGAACAAGTTCGTCGGTGAATCTGAGCGCGCTGTGCGCCAGGTCTTCGTCCGTGCCCGATCCTCCGTTCCCTGCGTTATCTTTTTTGATGAGCTCGATGCCCTCGTGCCCCGTCGAGACGATAGTCTTTCTGAGGCTTCTGCCCGTGTCGTCAACACCCTTCTCACTGAGCTGGATGGTTTGGGCAGCAGTCGCCAGGGTATCTACGTCATCGCTGCCACTAATCGACCTGATATCATCGACCCTGCCATGCTTCGTCCTGGCCGTCTCGAAACTCTGCTCTTCGTGAACCTTCCCTCCCCGCTTGAGCGTGTGGATATCCTGAAGACTTTGGTTCGCAAGCTGCGCATTGACTTCAATGATGAACTCATGAGACTCGCTGAGGAGTGTGAGGGATACAGTGGTGCTGATCTGGGCAGTCTCCTGCGCCGTGCTGGTTACATGGCTATCAAGCGTCGCGACGTTATCAAGTACGAGGACTTTGTTGCTGCCAAAGCCTTCATTCGTCCCAGTGTCACTGATATGAAGAAGTATGAAAAGTTGCGGCGCGACTGGGGCACTGGTGTTTGATAAATTGTTTGAGATCACATATAATCATGTCTAGACATTGATTTTCATCGTTTAGGATACCTCTTCTATGCACATATTTACCATGGATTCCTCCGTTAATAATAAATTGACCCATACAGCCAGATCAGAGATGGAAAGGTAAACGGCTTTCAAATAGGCAACTGTGGCTTACACCCTCAGACAGTAATACACGAGGAAACCTTGAGGAAGGCAGGGAAAGAAGTCTTGAGAGGAGCTTTGAAGACATGTTAGGAGAGACGTCGATAAAGAACTGCGTGTGCATCTAGACTTATCTTATCTTCTCGGCCGGGCTGTAATTACTAGCCAGGATTAAATACGCTTCAAAGGTCATTGATCTATGAACCTTATATTGGAACAACTTTTAGATGGCTATACAAAGTGAGAACTATGCACACACATACAACGAGAAACAAAACGCCAGAATAAGAGTATCATGCACAGAATCCAAGCACCATAATTACATCCACAAGCGACAAGTTCCGTCCGCGCCAGCACTGACACACCACGCTTCACGAGGATGCCAGTCGATATCCAGCACTCCGAGCTCGGCTGTGACCTTGTGGCCCTTGAGAACCTTAAGAGGAACAATGCTAGCATTGCTGAGCATGTCGCCTGTAACACTGCCGTGGAAGATCTGCAGGGATCCATCGTCACTAGCGTCCGCGAACAGCGGGTACCGACCACCGGGGTGGAATTTGACGGCACGAATAGCCTTGCGGTGGTAGCGGAGGGTCTTGTAAGGGCGAGCTGACAGGTCGAGATCGTGCCAGAGAAGGCGACGATCGTAAGATCCCACGATGATGTTGTCACCACCGGATGCACTGGACGAGGTGGGGTGAATATCGAAAGAGGAGATCCAGCGGGCACCAGGTTGCAGGATCTTGACCAAAAGCTGGCGGGAGAGATCGTATCCACGGATGGAGCGCTGGTTGGCGACAAAAAGGATCGGTTTCGAGGGGTGGAAGTGGGCTGTCTGAGGAGGGCCACCACCCTTGAGACGGCGTCGGAAGGGGAATTGCGTGAGGTGCTTGGAGACGGTGTGGATGGCAATCGCAACGGAGGCAGGTGTGGAGGCACCTGAGCAGACGGTGACGAAGTAGTCACCACGGCGGTGCCAGGAGATCGATTTGGCGATATACCGAAGAGGGATGAGTGCGCACACGCCAGCGTCGGCCAGCTCGGATGATGGACGGGTCCAAGAAGGAGGTGTGCTCTTCTTGTTGGCCTCGGCGGCACTGGGAGGGGGCTGCGATGCGGCGTAACCCCAGCCCGCGTCGATGATGTCCAGACTCGTCTTCTCAATTTCGGGATCGGCAATCGGGGGCACGCAAAGGAAGATGTCGTCACCCGCGGCGGCAGCAAGAATAACGGAGTCCTTGCCCGGTCGCCAGCGGACAACGTTGACGGCGTCCTCGTCGCTAAGTTTGGCACTCCACAATTGACGGCCGGTGAGAAGTTCCCAGACCCGAATAGTACCATCGTCACCACCTGTGGCAAGCCAAATACCAGTAGGGTCCACATTGAGCGAACGAACACGGCCCTTGTGTCCGCGGAACACGGTTGCACAGGCAGAAGGGAAAGGCTTAAGCTCCTCTGGGCTGGGCAGCTTGGGCAAAAGGCTCTCGGGATCGATGTTGAGCTTGCTTCTCCGGACACGGGGAGCAAGGTACAGATCCAGACAACGCTCGAACTTCTCCTGGACAAAGTTCTCGTATCCGGGAACCCGGCGGAGGGAGCCGAAGTCGTTGGGCAAGAAGTCCTGCTCGCGGTCCTCGGGGTCCATAGCCTCCCACTCCTTGCGCTCCTTGTGGTCGGGGAGATATTCCGGAGGAGGGTGGTAACTCTCCTCGTAACCAGGAGGCGGAAGCTTAGGTGCGGGAATGTGCATGATGTGATCAGGGCGCGCAACCTCGTCCGCCCACAGGTCGTAGTTGACAAGATCGTCTTCCTTCTCCTCGCGCTCCTCCGGAGGCCGGTAAGGCTGGATACGGCCGTCGCGAATGGCCTTGACGAGCTTCATCACACGCTTCTGCTCATGCTTGGACGGCACGAAGCGTCGCTTGGGCTCAGGACGGGCGCTGAGGGGCATGATTTCCTTCTGGCTGGAGAACCATTCGATGGTGGGCTCATAAGGATCGTACCCATCAACAGGGGTCTCGTTCATCTGCACCTTCTTCAGCAGCTCCAACTCTTCTTGACTAAGTTCCAGAGGCTTTCCAGTGGAAGGATCCGTAAGACCAGTCCAGCCCTTGGGAATCTCGATGCTGTCAAGCAATGCGTCCAGAGCCTCGCCTCTGGCAGGGCGCATAATCTTCTTGCCATTGATGTCGTATCCGATGTGAGGGTACTGATCGTAGAAGGTCAGGGGATGTCGCCAATGGTGTTTGCATTCTCCTCGACATCCGAGTAGTCTGAGTTGTCATCCGGGTTAATTTCATCGTAAAGGTACCGTTCATTTCCATTGGCGTCCTTGACAACTCGAACATTGGAATCGTGGTCGACACTGGTGGCCTTGGTGGACATGGTCTCAGTATCAGAGGGAATCTCATCACTGTCGAGCTCGGGCTCTTCATCTTCCTCTTCTTCGGAGCTGTAGTCGTCGATCAACTCAATTTCCGACTCGCTGTCGTCGTCTTCGCTCTCCGACAGGTCGTTGGCGGAGTCGGAGAGAGCTCCATCGAGATTTTCTGCGCTAAGTTCATCGCCAGAGAAGACACCTGCTTCCTCCTCCACATCTCGGGTGACAGCCTTGCGCTTTTTCGAGGCCTTGGTGTCCAATTTCGCCATGGCGTAGGTATCGAATCTGCTGCGACTCTGTTGATCCCGAGATTTTTTTTTCTTCGTCCAATTGGGTTCACAACTCACCGCCCACATGACTGACCGCCCCTCTTATCGCCTATCGATGACTTAAGCGCTGACTGACTGTCACCGTTTTTCTGTACTTTTCGATGTTGGATATTTTTAAATAACTATGGCTGATTCTTTGGGGCCACCATTACTGAATGATAATTTGCTGGCCTCAATAAATGGACCTAAGCGACATGCGGCCTGTGATGAATGCAGTAAGTCCCAAGTTGGTGCCATCTCGGGTCTGCGCTAATCCTATACTCTACAGGAAAGCGAAAGCTCAAGTGCTCGGGTGAATTGGCAGGGTGCACTCGCTGTTTGAAACAGTCTATCATATGTCACTACTCAGTGCAGAAGCAAATGGGCCGTCCACCCAAGAAAAGATCCCGCGAAGACGACGATGCGCCCGACTTCTCTAGGCATCCCAACGTCTGGCCTAGCCCAGAGGTGACCCCGCCGAACTATTCCCAAGACGAAAAGCCCACGGTACCAGATATGGCGGCGCAGCTATGTCCACAAGTCTACTGGCAAGGGCTACACGCTACGCAGCCATCGAATGATATACCTAAAGACGAAAACCATCAAAATTGGCGAGCAGAAAGGCCCAAAAATCCAAATCTCCCTATTCCACCGTCCGAAAGTCCCTGGCCAGATTATTCGACAGTCACAGAAGCCACATCTAGCCTATACCCAGCCCATATAACTCTTCAAGACAACATAGATGCCCTTCCTCTCACGCCACCCGTCTCCAATGCCTCCGAATCCCCGCCCCAATGCACCTGCTTGTCATATCTTTACCTCTGCCTCAGTCATATCTCCTCCCTTGCCTCTTTCCCCGTCAACTCTCACACTCTCTGCTCTCTCTATATCGCCGCGCGAACAGCGCAGAGCGTTATCCGTTGCGAAGCTTGTCCGAAGGTCTTCGCCACTGGCGTCCAAAATGTCATGTTCACCGGTACCCTTCTGACTGTCGTCGCGGATGCCTGGTTACGTGTATATCACAGCGATGCGTCCCAACTAGGACCTCAATCAGCATCACCCGAGTATGTGTCGCGCGTGCTACAAAGTGAAGATCCAGCGCAATCTTGGAACATCTGGCTCCGTCAGATCGTCTGCCGCGCTGTTATCGGCGGAAGCCTTGAAGCCGACGCCGTCGCGAGGTGCTCTGATCAACCGAGTTTGTTATCGCTCATTACAGAGGTCGAAGCTCGTCAACGCCGATGGCATGAACCGGGTCAACATCCGTTCAATGGGTTCGATCCCATGGATCCTGAATCATCTTGTGATCCACTTGTGTCCCAAGAGAATGGGAATCACGATCAGCATGAAGAAAAAGAACTTCTATGTCTGAGGGTTGTTGGGAGTGCGCGAGCTGTCATTGCCAAGTTCAACTTTGATCCATCTGAGTTTCCCGATGGTTTTGCCCCTGAGAATTTGACGCCTGAATCGATTTGATGGGTAATATGGATTAAAGGTTTACTTGTTGGAGTTGAGGTTCATTGGTTTGCGTGTTTTTAATTGCATCGAGGTCGGATGTCTGAGCAATCCTTCGCCTCTTATTTACGATGAATGATTACATATGCACGAGCTATTCGTGTCGTGGAAACGAGAGGATCATTGATCATTGATCATTTCATTAAATTTTTAGTGTACAGGATGCACCTTGTGGTCACAAGTAGCAAGTATAACTCAATTATCAATGCCAGCCTTTGTAGTTGTGACGCCCCGGCCATGGAAGACCTAATGGAGAATAGAAAGGAAAGGAAACCAACGGTTCTGGGAGATCACTCGTCCTCGTCATCGTCGTCCACCACATAGCGGTTCTTCTTCCTGGCTGGAGGTGTGCCCTCCCGAGGCGCTGGCTTGCTTCGTGGCTTCGCCGGTGCAGCTTCTTCATCGGCCTCGCCCTCGGCATCCATGTCATCATCCATAAGCTCTTCCTCGTCATCATCTTCCACCACCTCTTCCTCTTCATCACTACCGACCAAGAACCCATCGTCCTCGTCGTACTCGTCTTCACGAGAGCGAGCACCACGACCGTAGTCTTCCTCATCGTCAGAGTAGATCTCGCCACGGCGGTTGGGCCGACGCTTCTGGGGTCGAGTCGTGCGCATACCGCCACTCTCGAGGTCACCGACACTGAGGCCCGATGCCATAGGCCGGGAAGCAGCTGCGCGGCGACCAGTACGGTCTGCCTCGCGGTCCTCGAGCTGTTGACGGCGGCGCTCGGCCTTCATAGCATCTCTCTCCATGAGCTCAGCCTTACGCGCGGCCATCTCGGGATCTACCTTCGTATCGATCAAAGGCGCAGTTCCATCGGCAGTCTGCTTGCTGCCGCGGGCCGCGAGAGCCAAGGATTCTTGGAGTCGCTGGACAGCGTCGTCCGACTCCAGGGTGGTCGGTTGGATGGTCATACCATGTGTGACATGAGACGTCAAACGGAACACCGAGGCAGTCTCAACTGCAGCACCGAGATAGACGTGAGAATCGAGTTTCGTGTTGTATTCGCCGGACTTGGAGAGAGGTGCGAGCGGCTTCAATGAGGTGGTGTATTGTTCTTGCGGTGCAGAGGCAAGCTGAAGTGTAATAGACCCATCCTCCCATTGGATGAATCGAGCATTTGACTGCAAGGAAGTCTCGTCATTTGGATCTTTCCGCCAGCATAACGACGTTGCAGCTGTGGAATACGGAGGCGCAACATATGTCTCGGGGTTGAACTCTTCCGACTCGACAGACAGGAAATCAGGTACACGCACAGTATACACCTGTCAAACGGAATTAGTACAAGCTCTATTCTGCGATTCGTTTTCTGTGTCTGCATACCTGGCCATCATTGGTCGCTGGTACCGGCGCCCGCGCAAGGCTCACGTCCATGATGTTGACTGTCTCGCCGAAACCGTCGTCGTCAGCCGCCTCATCCATCTGGTCGCGTCGGTCATAACGGTTTTCATCGTCTCCTGAGTCCAATTGTTCGTCGTCCAGGGTCCGGTGAGCTCGGCTGGCAGTTTGTTAGTACTTTGCGCCATTACACAGCCTTCGAAGGTATGCCATACTCGTTATCTGCACCTCCATCTTCGCCGTCAGATCCAAAGAGGTCCGCATCATTGTCCTCGTCCATTTGATCATCGCCGAACAGGTCTTTATCATCGCCATCGGAGCCGTTGTCGCTGGGCGCAGGACTTTGGTGACTGGCGCCGGCACGGCCGGGGCGTCGGACAGCGTCTTCCTCGGAGTCGGACATGACCGACAGACTGTACACTGTGTATAGAACGAAAAGAACTCAATGGAGAGATAAGGGAGTCGAGCAGCGCGAAAGAAGTTGAAGGTCGGCTTCCACGATGAACGGAAGAACACTATGATCCGAGACCGAGCAGCCCAAAGGAGTTTAAGCAGCAGAAAGGAGACCAGCTCCTCCTTCACCGTCTCGCGTTCCACGTTGCTTCAATCTTGTTGTTTCAGGGAATTTGAACTCGTCTGGGCCCATTATGTCTAATTTTTTCCAAAGCGTGTAAGTTCCACCCTGTGTTGCGATTTGATCGCTGAGATTTGTTGCCCCCTTCACCCCTCCATACTGCATTGCTGCATTGAAGTACTCGCGGAGACAAACACCTGCAGTCCCCTCCAAAAGTCTAATAGCCCTGTCACTCGATTTTCTGTCACATCCTCATTGTCTTCCCTATCCTCATCTTATTTCTTCCATCCATTTCACTTCAAATTTCCTTATCTACCTCTACTAACTCGCCCCTCAGTCGCCAAGGGTTTGGCAGGGGAGGAAATAACAAGAATCCGCCCAAGAGCCCGGCGCAAGCTCAAGCTCCGCAGGGCACAATGTCGAACTCGCCCTCGCTGACCAACAGCCTGTCCGTGGAAGGCCTCACCGCAAATGACCCCGATGCCCCTAAATACTTCTTCCAAGAGAAGTACGCTCCGCTGAACGTTAGGGGTAACTTCTTGACCTTGTGTGCCTGTCCGAAGAATGTGGAGTTAGGAGAATGGCTGGCTCACCAGAGTAAGTCCGCTCGCCATGATGAGAATACTGCGTATGCAATGCTAATGCGGGGCAGTTGTTGAACAATATCGTCTACTCCACGGCATGCTTCAGGTCATCCAGGAGGTGAACGGTGTCACGGGCTTCCCCATTTGCAATGAGAGCACATGTCCCACAATGTCCGCAGGAAGGTATGTGGCAGAGGGTGGGGTAGATACTGAAATCCGGGGTAGAGGCTGATCGCCATCATCTAGGTTGACCTACACTTGGCTCGTGGACGGCCGCGCAGCTAAGATTTCCGCCCCTAAATTCATCAATCGCGTCGAGAAATGGATCGTCAGCAAAATCCATGATCCCGTCATGTTCCCTACTGAGAACGTCAACGGCATCCCCGAAACCGCCTCAATCAAGGACGCCGCTGCCAACGGAGCTCCCCCCGCTACCCCTACAGACCCCTCAACCCCAGCTGGAGCAAACAGCAACCCAGACGAATGGATTGGAAAGTCTAGTGGTTTCCCTCAGACATTCTACAAGGACTGCCAGGGTATCATGAAGCAGATGTTCCGCTGCTACGCGCATCTGTACCATGCCCACTGGCTGAACCCTTTCTGGCATATCAACAAACATGATATTCTGAACATGTGCTTTGTGCACTTCGTCACCGTTGCCAAGTACTACCAGCTGGTCTCCGACAAGGAGATGGAGCCCATGCAGCCTTTGATTGACCTGTTCATCAAGCAGCAGCGGGTCCCTCCGGAGGCGCTAAACGGTGGCCACTGGGCCCAACAGCCTGCCATTTAGAGCTCCGCCGGTCGGGAGCGCAATTCCATATTTTCCATCAGTGACGACTACGACATGTTATTCGGGCGTTAGACCGCTGGCTTGTGTTTCTGCTTTCTTTTTCTGCCATTCGGAAAATGGGAAACCCCTGCCGATAGGCTCAGATTCGGGGATGAGCATTTAGCATGCGATGTGAATTATTTTATGACGATCTTTGCATTTGAGGCTAGCATTAGCCGGACCTAAACCATCTGAGCTATTCTTCTGGTCATTCAAGCGTGGTATGGTGATTTCAATAGGTTTGGTAAAACACAGGTGTTTCCATCTATGAGCCCATCTGCAAGCGTAGCATTCTCGTCGCGAGAGATTTTTCCGGGCATTTCCAGTGCAAGAAGAGGGTTGGTAGCTTCCTGGACGATGGAGTGTCAGGTAGGAAAGGTGTCGGACCTAGGATAGCAGTCTCGCTGATCCTATCACATAGAGGCTTTCCCATGCAGCGTATCCTGTAATCTCGTTGATCATAATCATCTGATCCATCACCAGCTCCATCACAGATATACACCAACCTCCTGCTCCGCATTCGCGTCCGCATTCCCGTTTGCGTTGGAGATGTGACTCTCACCAGTCCCGTTTATCGCCGGTACCTCGGCTATCTCTCCATTCCCATCGAGCTTCTCCTCATTTTCAATCCATGGCTTCCCCCGATTCTCGAGCTCGGTCTTAATCAACTCAACCCTCTCACTCATAGAAACGACCACACCCTCATTCTCCTCAACATAACTCTGTAGCTCCTTCTTCTCTTCTTCCGTCTCCTCCGATTCGGCTAGGAAGAGGCGCATCTCAGCGTTCGATCGGTGGAGGTGTGCGATCGAGTTACGCAGCTCGAGGAGTTTGCTGTGGACTGCCGAGAGTGGAAGCTCTTTGATTGCTTCGGCAAAGGCGGCGGGATTAATAGGCAAGCTTTCGGAGGACATCTCGATTTTTTGTTTGATTTTCAGAGCTCAGAGAAGGGGGTAAGATGGATTAAAGAGGGTATGGTGAAGTTGAGGGGGGTCTATGTTAGATCTTTGGCTCTCCACGTATCTGGGTCATCACGTGTGGGGTAGTATCCAACAATTTAGGTTGGTGTTCGACTTTCCATGTTAAAGTGCTGAAGAATATCATAGTATTTCATTTGTTTCTCAATAAATTTGCTGAGTGAGATGAGCTTGAGTGACATTCTCTCTCGGTGATTTATTTGTCTGGTTTGAAGGAGCCTAACCCCCGCATGTAAATACATTGCAGTCTTCAAGTTCCTCACTATTGGAGGCTTGTTCATAAAATTTCACCACCAGGATTGAGAGCCAACAAGTGAAAATTATCTTCGAGGATAACCGTCCAAGCTGGGTTGAAACATATCTCTTCAAAGGGAACAAATTTTGGAAAAAATTTTTGTCGACATGCACAGCACTCAAAGGGTATAAGAGATCATCCCACATGAATCGCGGAGAGCCCGGAGTCGGAACAACCCACCGCCGGCCATCAACGCGGTTCAAAAAGTTGAGCTCAGTCTTTTCGTCCCTCGTGCACCCTTTTGAGGCCCTCCAGTGGATATGAGCAATGCGATCTGGGTCGCATGGCGGATTCCATGCTCAGGGCTCCGGCTCTCGAGTGTGCTGCCCCCAGTGACATTCCGCCCTGTCTGTCGCGATCTCCGCATCGCACCGTCTCTATACAACAGCACATCCCGACGCCAATTTAGCTCGCTGAACACTTTATGCCAGACGAACTCCCGGCCGAATACTCTCTACTCCTATCCCCGGTACCCCGCGACTACTCATCATCAGAGAAGATCCAAGAAGACTGCTGCTCCCGCCCATTCCGAACCATCCTCCGACTCTCTCCTCGATAAGCCCCTCTCTGATCTCGAGATCAGAGCCATCTTTGGCCACCGCACGAGGGTATCACCAAAGTTGGCTAATAGAACACTGGAAGTTCTGCAAGCTCGCCGGCTAGAGGGAACGCTCGATTTGGACCTTCCGCTCGATATCGCTCGCGCCGTACCCCAGTCTCAGCTCGATATTTGCCTGGAATGGCTGCGTGTGAATTACCCAGTCGACGAAGATGCCGCTATCATGGCTCGTATTAAGCGGGAGGAACGTGAGGCTGAGGAGAAGCTCGTGCGTCGTGCAGAAGAGCTTGGTCTGTATAAGCCGCAGAGCGGATCCTATGAAGCTGAGCTTGGCGAGGAAGATTCGCCGTACGGGAAGAGTGTTCTCAAAGAAGCTCGTGAGCAGAACGAAAGGTACTTGCTTGCTGAGAAGGAGCGAAAGCGTCAGAAGTGGCTCGAGGGTGAGAAAGAGGAGCAGGAGAAGCTGCAGCGCCTGATGGAAGAAAATACCTCGTTGCAACAGTACCAGGAGTCGGCGCTCACCGAGGGTGTGTATTTCTTTTGCGGAATCCGTGAAAGTCTGTACTGATTGATGCTCCTAGCTCGCCCCCGCGCGGATCCTAACGAGCGTCCGTACCTTGCTTGGGTCCAGAAGCATCATATTGCTGGGACTCTGAACCAGCCTGAAGCCATGGAAGTTACAACCGTATGACTTCTTTGATATCTGTTCAAAATGCATTTACTGACTCGTGTAGACCCAACGGCTTGTGGCGCCTGCGCTATTTGTCCTCCTCACCCTCGGCCTATGCTATTACCTCGCCACGACCTACGAGCCTCCCTCAAGAAAGGACCGTCTTTGGCCCGATATCCCCCCGGCCGCTGCGACAGTCGGAGCCATCATCGGTGCCAACGTGGCAGTGACCCTGATGTGGAAATACATCCCGCCCTCGTGGAGATTGCTCAATCGCTTCTTCGTTATCGTTCCGTTCTACCCCAGTGCGCCGAGTATGATTGGCAGCACTTTCAGTCACCAGACTTGGAGACATTTGGCGACTAACATGATGGTTCTGGGTCTTATGGGAACTAGAGTCCATGATGAACTCGGTCGTGGTAACTTCTTGGCCATCTATTTCGCTTCGGGAGCTCTCGGCTCTTTAGCCTCATTGTCAAGAAGTGTGCTACTGGGCTACCTCGGTATGACCTCGCTTGGTGCTAGTGCTGCAACGAGTGGTATCGTTGCAGCTTGGTGCATGTACCACGCCAAGTAAGTTTTCCCCCTATCTAGACTTTCTGTCCATAATTAACGGTTAACTTTAGTGACAAAATTACCCTGTGGATCCTGCCCCACGACTTAAGAGAAACTCTCTGGACGCAGGGCTGGATCTTCCTCTCTTGCCTAGTCGCAACCGAAGTGTTCAGCATGGTAACACCGGCCCGCTTCCTCAGCGTCTTCCCCTTGTCCCGACTCACCAAGATGGATCACGCTGCCCATCTGGGTGGTTACTTTGCTGGTGCTGGATGTGGCTATGCCTTGGCTCACAGGAGAAAGGCCGAGCGGATTCAGAGAGCCCGTGACGCGAAGTGGTTCGAGAACCTGGTTCGGTAATAGACTTTGATACATTGTATTATATTAGGTGTTCATATTAGGCATTTGATTCGCTTCTCCTTACATTCAAAGTCCTGTTTTCGCGTAGTGACGGTTTCCCCATGTAATGATCTGGGAATGCTCGAATGTCACGAACCTAAGGCACACTTCTGCAGCTACCAGGTGGGCTACCGAGGGCTGACCACTTGCCAGAAACTAAGCCACAGACCCTGTGCGAATACGGGTCTTGACTAAAACATGCTAGAAAGCATTGGGAGTCGTCCACTTAAGGGTTTTCGAAATGAAGGTTCTTCACCTCAATGACGATGGAGACCTGTTTTCAGCCACGACAGGTCTATTTCTTGGCCAACGTCACCCCAGTGTACATGCACAACTTCAATTGTATGCCGGTTGCATACCAGATGGTGCATTTCACAACATGAGTAAATGCATATAACTAGATGGAACGCCAATGAACAGGAATTAAATCCCACATTGCACGGGGGAGCCACGTGGCACGGGGGAACTATCTCAAAGTATATTCACAAGGGATTGGGGGTATAGGTCTCTCACGGGAGATTGAGACCTTGACAATCCACTTCCTCGGATCTGGAATCACAGCCAGGATGTCTGGGCTCGCGAACGATCCACTCTTGGCTAGGACATTTGATCGACAAGTCAACCCCGCGTTACGGAAATGGTTTCCAATAAAGTGTATATGAACATGAATTCGGGCGGCTCTTATATTGAGTTTGGCATCCTTGAGCCGCACTGTTTGTGGGCCACTAGATGGGGATCCTAATTTGGGCCCGATGCAGATCCACGTTGAGATCCGAGTCGATCAGAGGCACCCCCCCCCCCCTGGTGATAACTTTGACCTCAGACAACAGAATACAGAATGATGTGACCCAAAGTTACGGCACGTCCCGCAATGGTGGAAGACCACCGGACCCAAAAAGAAATTTGCACGATGGCTGGATTGATGACGTCATCTCTCAACCGTCTACTGCCATTCACGGCAGTGCTGACGTGACTTGCGTGAAGAACCGGCAAAACTATTTAAGATTATACGCTAGCCGTCTCTAGCCTGTTCATCAGCCACGGATCATCAGTCTCTCGGGCGGAAGGTTTCAACGCGTGAATACAGTATCGTATGATATTGATGTAAGTGGCACTTCAAAAAAGCAATGGGGCTGCTGGAGCCACTTACATCAACAGCCTCATGGGAATGTGGGACCCGCGATGCAAGGTCACAAGCCTCATCCTGTAGTCCCTCGAATATTCGATCCACTTCTTTAAGTTGGCGCCGTTCAAGATATATCAGTCTCGATGCACCCGTTGGTCTCGCCAGGCAGCGTTACGGCTGCCTTACGTCCAAACCTGCCCTCGAGCATATCAACCCATCAAAGTCTACCATATGACATCGGGATACTGACGCTACATGGTATCGCGACCAACCCATACGCTTGACTAAGATGTCATCCCAAAAGACTCTGGCGACGATGGAAGATACGCCTCAAAGTTCGACGGAGAGACTTGCATCGCAAAGAGAACTGCCGACCATGCAACCTGACCACGCACCATTGCATACATCATTCGGAGACCCAACGGCACTAACGGCAAAAGTCTCCGATTCGGTCCGGCCCGACAGCAATAAAAAACTTGCCAAGATTGCCATCTCCCGACAATCGGGGATTGCCCCACGTTACAATCGGCGAGTGCCTCGGGCCTGCGAGTCGTGCAGGCAGCGAAAAACTAAATGCAGTGGTGAAGGCCCAATTTGTCGGCAGTGCCGAGAATTGAGCGCGACCTGTGTCTATCCTGTTGGATGGAGAGAGAAAGTTAATAGGTAGGTTGAGAACCTAACCCCCTTACCATGATACCTCTGATCATGTTGGCTAACCTGGTTCATCATTCAAGGCAAGTTGGGCAGCTTTTTGAGAAGGTGCAAGATTACGAGAGAATGTTAAGATATTTAAGCGGTGTGGTCGATATACGCACTGCAGAACAGATTAAAAACTTACTGGATAAGGTAAGTGTCTGCTCCTTCTTCTATTACAGCTGACCTGAGACTAACATGCTTTTCAACAGTATAGTGTAGATGTGGATAGCGCATCAACGAATTCCCATTCCACCCCGCAAATTGAAACACCACAAGCCGCCGATGAGCCAGCCTCCCTCGCCTCCATTGACTCCTCCGAAGCGATCGATGTTGACGAAGAAGGCCAGAGCCATGGCCTTACCTGGGAACCTCGCCATCTCGAAGACTTAGTATTCGCCCAGTCTGCGCCCTTCGCCGACCACGATTATCCGAACTTCGGAGAAGGCTCTTTTGATCAACTGGCCTCGGCGGCAAATGGTTCGGTGGATGACATGTGCTACCCAAATGATCCCACAATCTACAGCTTCTACCCTTACACCAATCACAGTCCGTGGGGATGATATCAAAAGTTTGCAGAATGAACATGACTTAAGTGAATATTTGCTGAGATGTTTGATTGTGCAGCTTCCGTCTTCCGCAACCGACCAACCAAGACTAAAGCCGCCTGGCTCGTACCCGGTCTTTTGTCTCATGCTTGTCTTCCGGCGCCTGCATATACCTTATCGACCGTTCCTCGCTTTTTGGACCCCTCATGCCACGGATTCATCGCTCTTGCATTCTAATCCATATGATAGCTATGATTTCAACATACATAAACGTGCACAGTACTAAAAATGGAGAATATTTAGGGACTATTGGTGAAGATCTAGAATAGTCAGACACTTGTTTAGTGAGCACTAATGAATAAACAATCATTTGGAAAAGAGATCTTAGAGCTGTATTGACTAGAACCCCAAGAATTAAATTCATACACTGCAAGAAACAGTTCATGTGAGACCAAACGTTTGTCATTTAGCTCACCTAATTTTCCCAACTAGCCTGTTTCTCAGCTCTGAAAGTACGCTACTTAAAATGTGGACGAACCGTGAGTGATCATCTTAGAACAAATGATGGGGAGCATCTAGATCAGGTCATGAAATTACCCAACGAATCTAGAGGAAATCTTGATTCGTAAATCTCTCGTGAATAATTATATAATAGTAATAGAGCAGAAGTGGTTCGTAGAGTAGCCCGATGTGGATCAGCGTGGTTGCGGGTACGGGCCGAGAGCCGAGCTTGAGTATCTAGGGAAAGAAATCATATATCACGTTTAAGCCGAAGGGGAAGAGAAATTTGTTCGACTTTGTAACTTTTGAATTCAATCCCTTCAGAATGCTTCTCTCCTTGCAATTGACCCACGTAAACCGGCTCGAGGACTTTACCTAATAGATCTGAAACTCACTTTGTCGGTATCTGTTTTGTATGTCTCGTATGCTGCTTTTGTTATTAATTGTACTTGTCTTAATATGATCATATCTTCTCGACACAGACAAACAATGAAAAGACACGCCCGACCCATACAAGACCACTGTCTCACATGAGAACAAAGCTTTCGACGGCGAAACAAAGAAAGAGCAGGCAATGTCTTTGTGAATCTTACAAGAAAATCGATCCTCGGGCTTTGTGATCACACATCTTATTTTCTCAAGTCTATTGTTCCGTTCAACATGCGACAATGCTCATAGACCTCGATCGTAGGAAGGAGATCCCACAAAGTTCGAGTCATGGCATGAGAGAGGGATCAAGAGGGATCAAGAGGGATTAAAAAGGCATGAGCATCCTCTATTCATCACGTTCGTCACTCTCAGCTTCACTTCACGGATAAAAATTAGCTTCGCTGTCGCTCCGCTATCATTTACTGCTGCGAGTTTTCACTTACATTCCAACAAGATGCTTGGACTCTCTTCTTTGGGATATAAAGCCAAAGTCAACACCATAGAGTCTCTCGGTACCGTTTCGCCGTTAATTTCTCGTTGGAGCATGATTGACTACTGGTTGTACCTCCTTGTCGTTGAAAAGGAGCCTACAAACAAGATGTATCCCGATGAAGTCCACTTGCTTACAGCTAACGGATTTAAGCCGACTCAGATTGATCTCGAACTCCTTCATGTTAGTAGAAGGGAGCCTAGTGCTGAGTTGATCATTTTCCGTGCCCTACCGATCCCATCCATTCGCTTCGGGCTGCCCAACAGGAAGATCATACTTGGCTTTAACTTGAAGACCCTCCATCTCCAGGTGTATTTGACTGACCGCGCACCCGAGCATCTGGCAGACTTCGGAAAAGTCTGGAGCCGAGCCGAGCTTGTTCTTAGCATTGGAGCAGGTCAGTTCCTGAATGCCCTCGAATGCACTCTTACTGGCAATCTCAATCCTGTTCGCACGGGTATACTCACATCTTTCGCTGTATCGACTCGTCAGTTTCATTCGGCTCTCGAACTAGTGATCGCCATACAGTTCAGCCAGTTCCTATACGAATTTGCCGAGCTGCTAGGTTGTCTCAGTGGTAGATCCATTGAGTCCCACCAGCGTTACTATGATCCGATGCGGGAGTTGCTGCGGAGGGCTTCTACGGATGCTTGGTTTGGGGCTAAGGATGGACTAACGGTTGAGCAGTACCGCGTGCGCAAGAAGAATGCAACCATTTTGTTCGATTCGATTGAGTCAGGCCAGATTGCTGGCTCTTCAGGCTCCGACGTTTCAGTACATTGGACTCGACTCCGACCCCTCACCCCCTTGATGCGAGTGATACACATGTTCACCGCTCCAGCCACTGTGGCGTGATGATCGGGTTCGGAAACTGGTTCCACGATCCACTGATTTTCGGAGTTTGAGTGGATGGGGGCTTGCTATACCGTAATTGGTAGGTTTTCGTATGTCTCACGTTACTACAGTACAAGTAGTGCCTCATGCTCTCATTAGATCATGTCATTGACCTTTTTTTGTGCTCTTGTCATATATAAAAATGAGTAAATTCATGAGGTTTCATCCGATAGGGGAATGGACACGTAAGACTGCATGAAAGAAGAAGAGACGCAAAGTCAGTGGCCCTCTGCAGAAAGGTACCGTACAGTTTATTTGTTGCACCGCCACGACACGGTGAAACCGGTTTGTGTGGCTAGAGAGGCTCGATCCCGGGCGGAGCCTTTAATCAATGGTCCTCAATTGGCCCGCCGTGCGCGGGGAGCTGCGCCGTGGCTCTTGGCAGCGTCATGACCTCCGATGATTCTCGTCTGTACCGGAATCTCCGCTGGGTCTATGCCTGCCCTGGGCGGTACTGGCTACTCTCGATCGGCACAGCTCATTTCGCTTCAGCCCTGTAGCCCTATTCTTGGCTCTCCTTCTCTACCTAACTCTTACTCTCTTTAGTTACAATTTCCTTCCCCCCCCCGCTATTTTTGGTGCTGTTGTTGTTGTTGTTATCAAGAGACGTTCCTATCTACGGCTCCCGTCACTCCCTTGACTTTCCTCCCATTCAATCCGCGAGGGCCTTTCGTCGCGTCAAATCCTTCCTGAATATGGCTGCTGGTGCTGCAGCCCCCGTCAATGGTATGATCCGGAGCTCCTGCGCTTCGCGCAAACGCGCGAGACTGACCAGATGTTGCTATAGGGGTCATCCCCAATGGCGAGTCCGCCCCCGTCGGCGCTAGCGATCGCTTCGAGCTCATTTCCGGCCCCTTGATCAATCTGAAGAACATGCATTTTCAGCCCTCTCCCGTCTGGCTTGGCAGTGTGCTGATTGTCACCAAGCCTGGCCAGGATCAGCCTCAGCTAGCCCTCCGTCAGCTTGGCCCCGTCGGGTCTCAGGAACAAGCCCTGTCTCCATCTAAGCAGACTGTTGAGGGCCTCAAACTATACCAGGACCCCGACAAGACATTCTGGCGTTTCACCCTAACTGTTCCGGTTGAGTCCTACGAGGCTCGCTGGGAGTATGATATCCCGGGTGTGTTCGAGTCCGGCGAGCAGCCCAAGGGTCCTTGGCAGTTCGTGGTCCCCGCGGAGGACCAGTCCATGCGCATTATGTTCCACTCCTGTAATGGTTTTTCCGTGGGCACGGATATGGATGCGTGGCTTGGTCCGAATCTGTGGAATGATGTTTTGCGCGTCCACGGTGAAAAGCCCTTCCACGTGATGGTTGGTGGTGGTGACCAGATTTACAATGACGGAATTCGTGTGGACGGTCCCTTGAAGCCCTGGACTGCCATTGGCAATCCGAATAAGCGTCGTAATCACGATTTCAACAACAAGATGCGCGCGGACTGTGATGAATACTATTATGCCAACTACGTTCGCTGGTACAACACGGAGCCCTTCCGCGCTGCCAATGGCCGCATTCCCCAGGTCAACATCTGGGATGATCATGATATCATTGATGGTTTCGGTTCATACACTGATCACTTCATGAAGTGCGCTGTATTTCGAGGTATTGGCGGTGTTGCTTTCAAGTACTACTGCCTATTCCAGCACCACATTGCTCCGCCCAAATCGACCTTCACCACCGATGCGCCTCAGACCATGCATGCGGTGAACGGTACTGCTGGTGTGGACGAGCGCCAGTTGGAGAACACCTACATTCTTGAGCCTCAGGTCCAGGAGGATAGTTGGATTATCGGCAAGCGCCCCGGTCCTTATGTCGAGGAGCGCAGTCGCAGTCTGTACATGCGATTTGGAAAGCGTATTGCCTTTGTGGGGTTGGATGCTCGCACCGAGCGCACTCGGCACCAGGTGAACTACCCGGACACCTACGACGTCATCTTTGATCGCCTGAAGCACGAAATTGAGCTTGCCAATGGCGATATCAAGCACCTGGTGGTTCTCCTGGGTGTCCCTATCGCGTACCCACGTCTGGCGTGGCTCGAGAACATCCTCACCTCGCCCGTCATTGCTCCCATTCGTCTCCTGAACAAGCGCTTCGGTGTCGCGGGTGGTCTTTTCAACGAATTTGACGGTAACGTCGATTTGTTGGATGACTTGGACGATCACTACACAGCTCGTCAGCACAAGAAGGAGCGTAAGATGCTCATTCATCGTTTGCAGGAGCTTGCCCGCGCCCACTCGGTGCGTGTGACCATCCTGGGTGGTGATGTCCACCTGGCAGCCGTGGGCCGCTTCTACTCCAAGACCAAGCTGAACCTGTCTGGCGAGAACGACCATCGCTTCATCGTGAACGTGGTCAGCAGTGCCATCACTAACAAGCCCCCTCCCAAGGCCGTCGCCAATCTCCTGGCCCGACGCAACAAGATCCATCGTCTGGATCATGACTGTGACGAGACTCTCATGCCGTTCTTCGACAAACAGCCTGGTGGTGTAGAAAAGAGTGCCTCGTGGAACAAGGTGACTATGCCATCGCGTAACTTCGCCTGTCTCACAGAGGTGGTTGCTCCGGCTACCAACGGCGTTGCGGGCGATGAGTCCGCCAAGCTCGACCGTCTGCCCAAGGACGGCCATGCGCCCCTGCACAAGGGTGAGGTTAATGCCGGTACCACCCACGCCGCGGCCGATGGCTTCAGCAGTAAAAGCGGCATGCACGGTGGATTGGACGTTGCCATTCGCGTCGAGATCGATCCCCACGATAGCAAGGGAACCACCGAGGGCTATGGCTTCAGCAGTAAGTGCAATCCAAACTCACGTTGATCGAACGTACTAACCAGGTACAGTTCCCCCTCTAACTGCCACCGAATCAGCCCCCGTCACTTCGTCTCGCATGAGCCTACGCTCGCGCCAGTCACGCCAGGATGTAAACCGCGACAGTGTCGAGAACGCAGGCCGCCCATCTACCGCCGCTTAATCGTAATTCACATCTAATGGTCTGCTTTTTTTTTGATGTTTGATACCTCTACGTCATGTGAACTTCTCCACATTTCCTGTTGCCGGTTTTAAATCATATTTCTTGAGTGCTTTCCCCTCGCGAGGATATAGTTACTCTTTCCGGCCTAGACCGCTTCTTATCTGTCCCCGCGTAGTGCTAACAATGCGAGCTTGTTGCTAAGGTCGAGCTGCCAGAGCTTGCCACGGACAGGATCACCTAGGGAAGTGTAAGCGCGAGTGCCAGACTGGCTGATAAGAGCTGCAGGGACTCGACATTCGCAGTCAGAATTGGCGCTCCACCCGATGCAGCAGTTGAATCCCTGTATTTCGGCTTCTACTACGCTACACGCAAGTCAAGCATTGGAACACTGGCTCGGCTTGAATTTGCCTGGTGGCGTCTTCTGCAGCCTTTTTCTGTCGCTTCTCCGCAGATGACTGGACCAGACGGACAATATAATGCAAATGCATGCCTGCGTCTCCGAGGCGATGGCCCATCCCTGTCTCGGTTGCACTCTCGATCTCGATCCCAGCCAACTTGAGGCTTCACTGTGACTGACCCCCCTATCTGAGTTCGAAGAGTGTTACTCTTCACCAGCGATCATGGTTCTTAAACCCAGTGAAAAGATCGGCACTGCCGATGCCATGGATCACGAAGCTGGCGAGATTGTCAGTGTTCATGAACGCGAGGAGCTCGATCGCTTGGGATACAAGCAGGAGTTGCGTCGCAATCGCTCGGTCATTACCCTCCTCTTCCAGACACTGGCCATGGCAGCCATTCCCTACGGGGAGGGTGGTCCGCTACTCAGCGCCATCTATGGCGGTGGGCAACTCTCCATCTTCGTCGGATGGATCGTAGTCTGCGCCCTCGACCAATGCATCGCCCTCTCCCTGGCCGAACTGGCATCTCGCTATCCCACTTCTGCAGGTCCATACTACTGGACTTTCCAAATCGCCCGTAGCTCCAAAGCAACGATATCATTCATCAACGCCTGGATCTGGCTCATTGGAAACTTGACAATCACACTCTCCGTCAACTTCGGCTTCGCATCCCTGGTCTCAGCAACGATATCAATGTACCATCCGGACTGGAGTGCAAACAGCTGGCAACTCCTCTTGATCTTCTACGCCGTCTGTCTCGGCTCCTTCCTCATCTGCACCTTCGCAAACCGCTATCTTCCCCAAGTGGACATTGCCTGCGCAACTTGGACCGCCGTCACCATTATAGTCATCCTGATCGCCGTCTCTGTCAAAGCTGACACAGGTCGCCATAGCGCCTCCTATGCTCTCTCCCATTATGATAAATCCTTTTCTGGCTGGGGCGGCTTCACGTTCTTCATCGGTCTCCTACCAGCAGCATACACCTTTTCCGCTCTCAGGGATGATCTCCTCAATGGCAGAGGAATGCTCAAATCCAGCTATCAAAGTCCCCCGCGCAATCGCCCTTGCCATCCCAGTTGGCGGCATCGCAGGCCTCTTTTTCATCATCCCCCTTTGCGTCACAATGCCTCCCCTCGAAGATATAATCAATAGTCCAGGCGGCCAGGCCCTCCCATACATCCTTCACCGCGTGATGGGCTCACCAGGAGGCGGTCTCGCGCTCACATTCCTTGTCCTTGTCATCACCCTCTTCTGCTCCATCAGCATCACCGTCGCCGCATCCAGATCTACATGGGCGGTCGCCCGCGATGATGCTGTCCCTCTAGCCCGCCTCTGGGCAACTGTTCACCCTGGCCTGGGCGTACCGGTCTGGTCGCTCGCTCTTTTAACAGTTATTCAAATGCTCCTCGGCTTGATCAATCTAGGCAGCTCCTCTGCGTTCACGGCCTTCGTCTCGGTAGGTGTCATCGCGCTCGCTGTCGCTTATGCTATTCCCATTTCATTGAGTCTTTTCCACGGCCGTGCGGAAGTCAACCATGCGCCGTGGAATTGTGGGAGGTTGATCGGTACCATTGCGAATGTTATTGCCCTAGCGTGGATTGCCTTTGAGTTGGTGCTGTTCAGTATGCCGACTGCCTTGCCGGTTACTCCGGTCAGTATGAATTATGCTTCGGTTGTGTTCGTGGGCTTTATGGCTATATCGGGGATTTGGTTCCTGATTTATGCGAGGAAGTGTGAGTTCCGCCTCCCCCCCCAACTCCCTCTGGGCTCTCCCGCGCGTTCCTCGCGAGTTGGGGATATGATGTTAACTTCGATACAGCGTATAAGGGCCCGCCGGAGTCAGATGCTTTGGATGGATTGGAGTAGAAAGACTTTTGATTTATATTGTCTCAATAGTGTATGCGATGTATGTTTTTTCCCTCGATATTTTGCTTTTGCGGGTGCTTGGTGCGGAAATGTCTCGTCAACGTAACCTGGCCCTTCATGAAACCCTCGTGATTGGTAGAAAACTGGGAGGTCACTATAAGTCAATTAAGACCAAATGTATTGAATTCTAATTACGTCATTTTCTTCCAAAGGACTAATCTGCCGTGGTTCCAAATGTGAGGTGTATCAAGTCAACCCCGTGTTGATAACGATTTCATACCTAAGTCCCCCCACCTTCCCCCGCCTCGCCCGTTTCTTTTAAACCTTCGTGCCCCTTCCTCTTGCCTGAGCATCCTCTACGCTCTCCTCGAATAACGATCTGCAACAACCAGCTAACTATCAATAATGCCCGAGGGAAAGGATTACTCGTATACCAGCTCCGGCACCAATAGCCAGGTATATTTGCACTTCCCCTGCATGTATCATGACCCGGAAGTTAACATGGACAGGGCAATCACTATTGCTCCCGAGACTATGGCTCTGGCTCTTCCAACTCGAATAGCTATCACTACTCTAACACGTGAGTCTCCAGATACGCTTTGGTTTGTCTGATACTAATGGTTGTAGCAATGGCTCGTACTACTATTCCAACCCTAATGGAAGCACCTACTATAACAGTGGAAGTGGGTACTCGAATTATACTCCTTCGTCTGGAAACTCGGGAAGAAATGAGTGAAGCTTGATTGAAGATGTAGTCTCATAGCAATATACCGATTCGGGGTTGATATGAATGCCTTCAGGCGCGTGCTCCCATCTTGTAGATGAACTCCGGTGTAATATCTATTGGTTACTCTGCTTCAGCGTGCCCATTTTCACCATCGCCTTCGCTGTTCCCTCGTCTCTGACGTGGGATTCCTTCATTAGGAGAATGGCGCACTGGCAGTGGGTCGCTGGGTCGGCGGCGCCGGACGAGCTGGTATCCCCGGTCAAGTTCGATTTCCACAGCTTCACGCACTTTTAAGGCACTGACAGCAGGCCAGACGCCTCGTTCGCCTTTCAATATCCATTCTGCCACGTGTTCCCGGGTTGGTTGTTGAAAGAGTTTGCCGATGTCTTTCAACGAGAGATCGGGTACGAGGGTCAGGTTCGGACCGGGGATGGTTTCGTCAATTAACATCCGGCTGACGGCACCGGGCAATACGCCAATATAGTCAAGCTGCCGGAGTCTATGGCGGAGCTCGACGAGAACGAGGCGCATCAGTGACCGGGAAATGTTGTGCCAGCCGGTTTGGCGGCGGTCGAGGAGATTGAGCTCCGATCGGAGGAATGGGATGAGATAGGGCCGTGCTTGGGAGACAATGAAGTGGTTGACGTTGAAGAGTTCTGCGATTCGGGCAAGAGGCGATTCTCCGTCGTTGTAGTGGACGTGCCGCCATGGATGGAAGACTGCGTCCTCTGTGTGTGGCCAGGGCACGATCGAGCCGGTCTCATCTTTGCAATAGATAATGACAGGGGAGGAGAGTGGGGACGAGGATGAAGCGTTTGATGCAGCAGCAGCAGACCAAATCAACTACTCACTTGATCAGGTCAACGAGCCAATCTTCAAATGAAAAATTACATACCACATTTGGTGCAGTCAGATAATTCAGCAGGTTTGGCGTGCCATCCTTGCCTCCTGTAGCAACGGTAATGTTCAAGATTCGCTTGGACCGAGCATACGCCTCTTCGAAGGTTAAGTCACCAACGTTGGTGCGCACACACTCTTCCAGCAATTCCATATCAAACAGATAACCCGTTCGAAGGAACCGCTTCAGGCGTCGGAGGAGGATTCGAAACCAGCTTTCTTTGCCATCGGGGTGGTCCTTCCGACGACTATCAAACACAGAAACATCAATTCCGTCTCCGTCCAATAATGGAAGCAGTTCGTTCTCGGGATGAATTCCGACAAGAGCGGCAACCATAGCCCCCGTGGCTGTACCGGTGATGATACGTGGAAGAAGACCCTGGAGATGCAAAGCCTTGACAACTCCCAGGTGACACAGGCCGAAAGCCGACCCGCCCTGCAAAAGAAGAGTCGTGCGGCCAAAGGCCTGTCGCGTATCGTGCAATAGCTCCAACTTGGCCTGCGGGGTGAATGTAGTCGCCTGGGCTGGCTCTTGCGCTTGCTCCGGTCGCCACATCGTCACATACTGGATAGACAGTGCGACCTGCGTGATATAGTCGTCAATTAAGAGCTTGGTACCTCCAAAGGCATGTGTAAATAGTTTGGTCGTGGTAATGTTGCCCAGGTTGCGCACCAGCCCGGACCGAAGGAGGTTGGCCAGGGCTACGATGTCGCCGGTCTCGCGTGCGCCCATCAGCGCCTCGAGTCGTCCGAGGATCAGTCGGTAGTCATAGTGTCGACTGACAGGATTTTGGCGCCTGTATGAAAGGTGAGTGGGGAGCTCCGTTGCTCGGGGTGAGGTGATGTACCAGAAGTCCTTGCCTAGCAAGTCGTCCAGCTCACAAGCGGCTTCTTCCCACACCTCATAAGTCTGTGCCGTCGCAAGCGTCTGAACGCATCGGTCTCGAGGGGATTTGGACGTCCACCATGAGACCAAATTCTATACATTGCGTAAGCCGTGGTTCCCATCTTGCCGATGTGGCCATCAGTTCTACCGATCACAAGATAAGGTAGTGGACACCCGCCCATTCTCTCCGCATCAAACATCGAGACTGTAGGGAAGACTCACGGCTCGCCAGAACTGCGCGACGTCTAGAATCATGCTGAGCCCTGCGGAAAGAACGCTCCACAGCCAGAAAAACCAGACCCTCATTGCAAGCGAGGAATTCCAAGTCGGGGAATCCGGCGGACTGGGGCTTTCACATGCTAGATGGCGTCACGCTACGCGATCACTGCAGGTTTCTCTTGAATTGATCAGAATGTGATCTGGGGAAACTTGATGGGATGATTGTGGAATGAGATATGGTGGGAGGTTTTGAGTTGGGAGGTGACGTTCTACCAAAGACGAGGCCGGTGGCACCCGGTCGCGCCTCCTACAAAGTACAAGGACAAGGTACAGCATTGAACATTTGAAGCCTTCACATTCAGGTATACAACAGAACACAGCGACACCATTTTTTGGTATGGATTCTTCGCTACATGTCTCATACAGGTCATTTCAGGAAAGTGAAATTTGCAAGGTCGTTTGATTTTTGTCATTTCGCTTTGCTTCCCCTATATGCAAGTAGGCGAAATTAAAAAAGAATCTCTCCCGGACACCCGAACCCATCAAGAGTCATTCTTTACTCCTCAATAATGTTTGTGCGCTCCGACACGTAAAGACCGTCCAAGAACTGGTGCATGATTAGTATGACAATTTGAAGGCGGAAAGACGCGATAGGTCGTGATATCTCACCTTACGGATATCCTTGTTGCGGACACGGCAAATCTGCTGGATGTCGGCGGCGCTCTGGGAGACAGCCTCCAGGGAGTTACCGGAGAGCTGGAGCTCATCCTTAACGTTGGGGGAGGGGAAGACCTCAACACCAGCCTGGGCAGTCAGACGGCGGACGAACTTCTCACCGAGGAAGTTACTGCAAGAGAAAAAAAAGAGACCGTCAGTATTCTCGTTCAGCTGTGCATGGCGCGTTCTCATAAGAACTGGAACAGAGTATTCCGTACCGGATCTCAATCTCGGCCTGGCCGGTCTCAGCGTTCTTCTCGATGTTCACGTTGATGGGGAAATGGGCGTAGACGTAGCGCATCTTGTACAGGAAGCCGCGGGTGACACCGATGATCAAGTTGTTGATGAGGGTGCGGACGGTACGGAGGGTAGCGACACCCTTGCGAGCACCGTGGTGCAGCTCGATCGAGATGACGTTCTTCTCAGGGCGGCCGAAGGTGACGGCGATGTGGGAAAGGTCCTTGACGAGCTTGCCGCGGGGACCCTCGACGGTCACGACGCGCGAACGAATGTGAACCTTCACTGTGGAGAGAGAAAATCACGAATTAGTCCCAGTTCTTTCATTTTGCCTTCTTTCGCTTCAATCCGCCCTGTTCACAAAGCCAGAGAATATTTCCTCGTTGCCGTAGTTGACTTGTGTCATCCTCCAGGGAATAGTGTGGTCTTGTCGCAGGGTCGTCGTCCCGAATTAAGATCATGTGCTATGTCCAACAATATTGGGTGCGATGGATCCCACCATTCCCTCAATTTCCTCGAAAAATAGAAAAGTCGCATGCTCACCATTGTCCGGAACGGGCAGCAGTTCCTCGGAGTGAATGTACCGCATCTTGACTGCGTGGGTGTTGTTGGCGAGGGGGTGAGTTGTCGATGTCGGGAGGATCAAAATTCGGGTTGGAGTTGTTGGTGGAGCGAAATTGCATGTCACGGGATTGTGCGTCGCTTAGGGCTAGATCCGGATTAGCGTAGGGTTCCTTATCGCGAACACGTTATCTACACGTGATGTCCACTTTCGGTTCATTTCGTTGGGAGTTCTTTGCAACTATGATCACTTATGTACAGCCTTATCATTTTGAACCTATTCGAACAAGCACTGAAGACATCGAAATCAAAACGCATTGCGGCAAATCCTTTACAGGTGCACTTCCATAGGAGAAGCCCGCGACACATCTACCACCCATTTACCCCCCAGTTCTCGCAGCTTCGATGCCAGCTCGTCGCTGTGGTCCAGGGCAGCGATGTCATCTCCGCCGCCGATGCTCTTGCCATTAACTAGCACATTTGGTACGGTGCGACGCCCTGTGTTCTGCGCCAGGAGAGATTGTAGGGCTGCTCCGATCGGGTGTTGATCTAGCTCGACAACGAACGGCTTCGGGGAGATCGAGTAGTGGTCAAGGAGGATCGACTTTGCTTTCTTGCTGTAGGGGCAGTAGGATTTGGAGAAGATGATCACTAGTGTGCGCACATTCATTAGCTTCGATGGTTCGTAATTTGCGCCGGGAAGAACAAAAGACAAGCATACCAGGAGATTGCTTCAGGATCGAGTTCAACTCGCTCTTTGCCTCAAGGTGATCCGTAGTATCCCCTTGTCTTTCGGGTTCAGAGTTCGACATTGAGTCCGACAATGATGAATCCTGAGCATCCTTGACCTTAGGGATTGTCATCTTCGTCCGTCCCGCAATGGGGATCTCCTCCATCTCCTCGCTCTGCATCGCCGCGGGGATCGCCGGTGAGATCACTGGGTGCTCGACACCAGCATCCTGCACATGCATGGCAGTATTAGATCCTTGTCGAGGAATCGCGTCCTGAATCTTGTCTTGTGATTTCGAATGCTTTGCGTCCTCTTTGGCCCGCATTGCTTGAAGTGTAGACTGGTAAAATTTTTGATTCTGAATACTGCTTGCTTCTCCCTATACAAACGAGCATATTGCATGTTAGTACTTTGCGACATCAGGAGAAAGAAGAGCTGGAATTGTAATCTCGTACCGAGTAGTAAAAGACGAGGAAAAGGATCGCGACAACCCCGACCACGATGAGTCGCATGCGCCGTTGTGTAGGCATATCGAAGTATACTCAGTCAACTCAGATGGAGGTGCTGTAGCTTCAGATCGCAATGAGGGGGAATGCGAGAAAGGCGAGCCTGCACGACCCGACGCGGTTCTCCAGATGCGGGAAGCGATACGTGACAAGAACCCTGGGCGCCAAGAAATCCGCGGATCAAGCTTCAATGATGTGGCTTGGCTCGAACATGAATTCTCTCGGGGTTACCAACATATACAATCCCGGAAAGGTACTTCGTCGTGTGCATAGGAGCTCCCGATCATGCGGGGGGCTTTTTTTTAAAGGAGTGTCAAGGCGTATTCTAGGGGCCCTAATCCATCCCTGAATGTGGCACTAGTCTGAGCGGGATACTTAGTAGTTTGTCATTAGACAGCACGGGAAATGATTCCTAAGTTCGATACACGAGATTTACGAATTATTGTTGGAATTGAAAGGTTCCGATGAAATCAAAGTTGATGGGGTATTATGCTAAATCACAGGATTTTTTGGTCCGGACACGGCGCCACATGAGAATCCATAAGACGACGTAAATCAGCCATTATTATGCTTATGAATGAGTGTATGTGTAGAGAGTGGGTTGAAATCAGTGTAAGCAGACCACAGAGCCAGCTGCGGCAAGAGGTGTGTTGAAGGAAAAGGCATTAGAAATTAGAGGGAAAGAGGGTCGGGACGTAATGCGTGGGGGAGTCCAATGGGTACATGAAACGGCAGGCAGGGTGTAGATGTGAAATGAATGCGTTGGAAATCAGGCATGAGCAGAAAGTCCGTGTCGGGCAGTTTGATTAGCATTTGCTCGGCGTTTGCCCTGGACGATGGTAGTCCAATCTTCCCACTCCTTGGCGATCTCGGTGAGAACGCTGCCCATTACTCCGGCAGAAGCCATGAGGCCATGACCTTCGCCCTCCAGAATTCGTACTTCACAGCGCCGCATCGTTTTACCCAGCCATTGAACATTATCAGCGGGCACACGAGTGTCTTTGCTACCATGATGGATGACCACAGATCGAGTGATATCCACGTAACGGAAGCCAATGGTCTGTCGGCGTTCCAGACAGGTCAAGAGATCAACGGCCGGATTGGCATTTGTGGTAGCCAGCTCCCAAATTCTGTGAGTAAGGCGGGTGTCGTAGTCTTGTTGGCGCTCCCGCTCTTCTTCGGGAGACTTTACGCTAGAGCCAAGAGTCGCATCACTGCGCCTGGCATGAGCAACAGATGTCTTTGGCCCGCCCTGCGGCGCCGAATTTCCGTCTTGCTGCTGGGAATCAATCTTGACGCCCGGCGTACTCTCTGGCATGGGCGGTTCATGTTCCACGACAGGTGTCTCTTTCACGGGTTTGCGTTTTGTTCGTCGAGGGGATTTAGGGAGACTGGTGGTTATACTCGCGCTGGTAGCACTCATGAAACTGGTGTTGGCTATTTTGAGAAGAGATGTCGGAAGAGCACGGAGGATCTTTTGCGAATATGGAACCGCATTGGTTGGCGCAGGCTCTTTCTGGGAACCGATGGTAGAGAGTTGGGATGGAGGAATCCATGGAGCCAAAAGGTGAATACGTCCTCGGATATGTTGTGGTATACGAAGAGCGGTGGCCAGAGCGTAGATTGCTCCGGCGGAGTGTGCGAGAATAGAGAATTTAGTGACCCGAAGGTAATTACAAACGATGGCGACATCATCTAATATTTCGATTAGTGATGGCAAGTGCGATCTGCTGCAATATGAAAGACTCACCAGGCCAGCTGAGAGGATTGCTCGGCTCGTCAGGTTGGTGCGGTCCGCTCTCTCCAACACCGGGTCGGTCTAGAGTAATCAGCCGCAGATTGAGAGTTCGGGCCAGCTCGTCATAAAACGACATGAGATATCGGGTAAGACCCATTCCCAAGCAGCAGAGCACGACGTGACCTTTAGGGTTGCCCACTTCAGAGAACGCAATAGTGCGGCTGCTGGTAGGATGAAGTACTCTCTGAGTCAACTTCGGAGAGAAAACATAGTCCTCAACCGCTAGATCAATCGAATCTGCACTGGACGGTCTCTCGGTGTTAATTGAGGGACGTCCGGCCGACAAATGACCAGAAGATGTGCGGCGGTGTTGCTTGGTCGGCGTGGCTGGCTCCAATGACCGCCTATAACGAGACTGTTCGACTTTTTCTGATGGTGGCGTTGGGAATTGAGGAATGAAATTGGTGTTTTTTGGCGCCAAGGGCTGCCCAGGCTTCCCAGGTCGGCTCTTTCCGGTCATCACTGACGGGGACGGAGCGCTGTCAAGTAAGGAAGGAGATTCGCCGTTCGGCTGCTTAGACATCGCGGTATGATCCACTTGGCTGATACTGCGAAAGGGCTTGGTTTGCTTGGCAGGTGTCGTCTTCATAGATAGACCAGGGCTGTCATCCGTTTCGAGCTCGGTCTTGATTCGTTGCTGTTGATCCTTCAATTCTTGGATCCTCCGAGTCACTTGCTCGGCATCATTGCTCGTTCCTGGCAGGCCATTTTCTAAAACCGACTCTTTGCTTGCAGTGGACGAATATCGAGTATGACGGCCCGATCTCCTCTTTTTCGAGCCTGAAGACTGACTATGTCGGCGCCTCAGAGAGGAATCGCGAGTAGGGATATATCTTCCGCTTCCGATGCCTCCAGGATTATTGTGGCCGTCTGGCGTACTATGGACTGAGGGGTAGTCTCTGGTTGGCGGGGTACTGGCCGCCAGCGCCTGGCTTGGATCTTCCTGAAGACCACTAGGTCCGTCCTCTTCCGCCACATTCGCCATGGAGTATATCGAGCGCAAACTCGCCCGATTGCGTGGCGTAGTATGACGCAAGCCGTCATTGAGGCTATTCGTTTTGCGCAAGCGATCTTCGTCGTTTCCAAGATCTCGCGATGAAGATTTCCTCAGAAGGCCGAATGTGCCCTTGAGACTTTTTGTGCGCCCAGTTGAGCTGTTGGAGGCGATACTCGTGGCTGTCGAAACACGGGGAAGCACGGACTCTGTGCTGATCGTGCCAAACGCAGTGTCTTCGGGAGCGGCCCTTACTGACGCATAAGAGTCTCTCGATGCAGGCCGAGTAGACGCATCGCTCGACTTGAATGGCTTGAAACGCGGAGACTTGGGAGATTTAGGCGAAGGCGGCGCTCTGGCCATGCGAATCACGGGGAGGAAGCAGCATCATCCGGATGCAAGAACGGTGTGTTTTGAGGCTCGTCCGCCTCTGTGCATGTTCCAAACCTCATCGCGAGGCCATGCTGCTCTGAAGGAGGAATGGTGAAGCAGGGTGCAGTGTGCGGCACTTCGGGCAGACCGGGATCGGTCGAGTCCTTCGAGTCAATTCGCGGCACGTTATCAAAATGCGAGTTCAAGGGCACCGAGATCGTGGACAGGGACGATATCAGCGACGAAATGACTTCAGGCGATGTGGGATCGGGGTTTGCGCCCTTTTCGCGCAAGGCACCTAGAGATTTGCGACGGCGGCGACGAGACAAGAGGGTCGACTCGGCCTGCTGGGGGGCCGGGGTGTCGTCTAAATGCATGGCGTTCAACGATCAAGGGATAATAGGCCGCTTTGTTTCCAAAGCCTCCTAGAGATTAATGAGATATGCAGGGTTGGGTGGCAGCGCGCATGATATGCAGTTTGAGGCCCCTGCGAAATGAGTGAAAAGCACCCCCCCTTACTGTTGTTCTAGTTGGGGGGAAGAGGGGTGGTCTGATAAGAGAGATATAAAGGAGTGGCTGGAAATAAGATATGTCGAAAAGGGTCAAAAGAACGAATAGGATTATTAAAAAGGAGTGAATCTTCAAGTTTCCTCCGGATTTTTTAGCGTTCGCGCAGTTCAGCTCCCGAGGTCCACTTGATGGATCCTAATTTCCCAATCGTTTGTGTACGCGCCCTCATTCGGGTATCGCGGCGACCCATGGTTCCGTCGACGCAGTACGTGCTTGTTATCCCCGGTCCACGCGGTAGCTATAGAACTAAAAGCAGAACGAGATCTCGTTCTACGCATGTATCTAGCCTATCCGATTCTGCATCATAGCCCACGTGGGATGCTATGCGACATCCTCGCCCTCTTTCTAGAAGACCCCGAAATCAGCGAAATGATCGGCATGAGCCTACGATCTCGGAAATGAGCGTGGCTGATGCAGATTTGAGCCGGGCAAACGCTTGTCTCGGACTGTCGAATAAGATTCTTCGATCTTGGTCGTGATTTGCATCATCCCTGCACTCGTATATCATTCTGCACATAATAGACTATGTTGTGACCTCTAAAGTTGGAGGTTTCGTTCTGGCGTAGTGTGGTTACTACGTGTTAAATATATATAGTTTCTCAACATTGAAACAAACAAATACTGAAATTCAAGGTTGAACAAAGTGTCGTCAGAAGGGGAACCCTACATATCTATGAAAGTTTTTATGTGAATTGAATGATACTCATCACCCCCACTGTAGTCGAAGGTCACTTATCGTGAAACATGACACATGAACAGAGCGTCTCCAGGGCATGCTCACCGCCCGCCCCGGCGGCAGTATTCCACATCCAAGCTATTCGTATCAGGATAGCATTCCTCTCGCACAAGCCGAACTCCGCTATTTACCCGAGTGGGTTGTTTGATTTTCACCGTGTGATTAGCACTCACATCAATTCGTTGGACAGTCTCTCATTTTAGACATGCGGTGACCCATTCGCGCTACCAACCCCATTGTCCGCAATGGACGCATATCCTGAAGACTACGTCAAACACAACCTCTCCCTTAGTCCTGCTTTCGGGGCTTGAGGCAAATTCGGAAGATGGCTCCAGCTCTTCTGTTGAATACCCCCTTATCCACGAGAGGGGTCACAAGATCTTCAGCGACTTCCCCTTGTTGAGCGGGGCTGTTGCGAAGGACTTGCGGGGAGTGTTTTTAGGGAATGATGGATCCAGTATGCCTTGGAGAGCGGGTCTAGGCTCAAATGGAAACTCTACAGCGCCACACATAGCGTACAGAATTAAGAGTACTGGCCGAGTATGTGCTTACAATATTGCTGGCAAAGACCCAGAGAGCTGCATGCTAATGTTTCGGTAGTCTTTTCAACTTCCCCCGCAGAAGGCAGACCCTCCTTCCACTACGTCTCCCAGAAGCTCAGTCGCCGATTCTGATACCGGTGCCAGCTCTACTACACCATTTGTCCTCCATTCGCCCATCTCTCCGTTAACGCCGAGCTCCCCCACATTTCCAGATGGCTTGCTTACTCCGCTGTGGGTGACCAAACACCAAGAACTTGTCCCTGCAGCTGTTATCAACTTCTTCCCATTATCCCTGGACCCGAATATGAATTCGTTGCGCGACAATCAACTCAAAATCGAGATCAACAGTCTGAAAAAAGAGTGGACAGAATCTGGCTACAAAACGCGGTTCTTGACTGTCCTGATTTCCGAGGAAGGTGACGGAGGATACGAGGGTGAAATCGATGATCGCGTGGCAGGCATTCGGCGAGCAACAAATCTGGATGAGAAGTCTATCTTCGTGATCCCGCCAGACGCCACATCATCCGAGCTCAAAGATTTTGTCAAATCATTGTTCTCTCTGCTGCAACCCTCGGTCGTGGAATACTACCGAGACTTGTCCAAACATGCTCGGCGCAAGCGGAATCGGAGTAGCATCCCTCCGCCAACTGCGCCTCCCACATCCGGTACATCTCAAACGCTCTCACTACAAGGATGGAATGTACGTTATGAGTTTAAGCTCGGCATATTCGCAGAGTTTCGTCAAGAGATGGACGCGGCTTGCCGCAGTTACGAAGGCGCGTATGAAACTTTGTTTGGACAAGAGGTTTTCGAAAACATCGCAGGCTGGGATGCTCGTTTCAATGATGCGCGTCTGTTGGGTGATGCCATTGCGATTCGAATCATCCGCTGTTTGCTTTGGACAGCCCAGACCACTGCGGCGACGCGTTTCTGGGTCGATCATAGGATCCGGACGAAAGACATAGTCTACCGCAGAGGCAAAGGCAGCAAAAATTATGGATGGGAAGCTTGGGAGGCGCGGTGGTCAATGGTCATGGCTCAGCTCATTCGCCGTGCAGAGATTTCTCAGAGAGTATCTGAAACTAATACCGACCAGGCGTCTGACTTGTCAATATTTACCACGCCAGAGAAATCAGTACCAGCTAGCGAGCGAGTCAACCCGTGGGAGCAAATGCATCACGAGGGATACTGGCTATACAGCTCAGCCAAGCACTCCGTGGCTCGTCGAGCTCTCGCCATGCAAATCCCTAAGGAGGACCGGATGCCCCCTAGCCAATCTCCTGCCTCCCAAAATGCGAACAAGTCTTACTTGTATGATACCTATCTCGCCCCGGAGACTCATGTGGAATACCCCGCGTCAGAAGAGCCTGGCTTTGATCATTCGGAACTGATTCTGACCACATTGAAGTCTGCCCTTGAAGAGTTCTCCAAACGAGACCAGAAACGACAAGTTGAGAGGCTCAGCCTAGAGATCGCTGAGGAGTACATTCGTATTGGCTCGTGGTCTGAAGGATACCAAGTCTTACAGCCACTGTGGGCGACCCTCAGCTGGCGTCGCTCTGGATGGTGGGTGCTGATGGAAAGATTTGGATGGGCCTTGAGAGAATGCGCTCTACATCTGAGAGAGAGCGAAACTCTATTGCGGGTCGATTGGGAGTTGCTCAACAAAGGTAAGTGCCATCTCGGCCCTCCCCTTTTCGATTCGAGTTTCTCACATGACTATGTAGTTTTTACGCCGAACCCTTCATGGCACTTTGACATACATCGAAGCCTCGAGAGCTATCCCCTCGAGAAACCCAAGCCTTCTGTTGTTCTTCGGGCCGAGGACGTCATGACAAGTTGTATGTTTCTTGCAAAATCCTAGACCTTTACCAAGCTGACTTTTGACTCGTATCAGTGACTGCATCTGTCGTATTCGAAAAGTCGGAGGGCAATGTGGGAGAACCTTTGCAGGCTCAACTAGTCATTTCTTCATGCGCTCAGAAGAAATCAGCTCCGATCAAGCTCGCCGAGGTGAAGCTTGTTTTCGAGGGGTGTCTTCGCCCAGTGAAAATTCAATCCGATCATAATCAAGACTCGGACACGACAACCTACTCTTGCATCTCGAACATATCACTTCGCGAAGCTAGTAGCCTTGGCGATGCTAGCATTCAATCTCCAACTGGAGCTTTGGCAACACTACTCGGAACTGCTGATTTGACGATTGGACCTGGTCAGACGAAGGTCTTCAATCTTACTTGCATTCCTCGCGAAGCTGGCGAGAGTCTTGTTGCTTCTATCGCAATGCTTGTCGATGGGGAGAACTTCGACCTCGCCTACGTCATAACCGAGTACGACCTGCATGAGTCTTATTGGTGGCAGCAGACGAAGAAGGGCCCTTCTCGCAAAAGAGTCGGCAAGGACCGAGATACTGGCAGATGCAAGATCATGCCGAAGCCTCCAAAGATTCGCATTACGACGCCCAACTTCAAGAAGACTTATTACACAAATGAGCGGGTTGCTCTCCAGATCTGTCTGCATAACGAAGAGGATGAAGCTGCTGATGTGACGGCCGAGATACGACTTTTCGGTAGCCCTGAGTCCACCACAAAACTGGAATGGCTTGATGGGGATGAAGGAGAAGAGCCTCGGGAATCGGGAGCAAGCACCCCGACAGAGGGCGCATCCCACTTTTTGAAGCGGAGCATCGGTGTCATGGGACAATCATCAAACAAAGATCTCACCATTATGTTGGCCGACACCCAGGATGCTGCGGAATACACACTGGAATTCTCGGCCGTGTATCACCTTGTGTCTGATGTTCAGACCCCCATCATCAACACTATGACAGTTGATCTTTCATTCGTGCGCCCATTCGAAGCCAACTATGAATTCCTGCCTCGCGTCCACCCTCAACCATGGCCAAGCTTCTTCTTCGTCGATGACGACTTGCTAGGCAAAGACCCTGAACCCACACCAGGTGGTTTAGCGCAGCGATGGTGCCTCAATTCGAAGGTGGTATCGTTCGCCCTAGAACCTCTTGTCATTGAAAGGATGTCTTTAAAGCTTCTCACCGTAGGCGCTGGTTCAGTGTGCAGTGTTGAGTCCGAAGCCCTCATCAGCCCAGAGACATCTCACATTGCCCCGGAAGAGCTACGGGAGTCGAACTTCCTCCTGGATGTTCAGAAGATGACCCTGGGTGATCGCCTTCCCACTCCTCTCAACTTTGCTTTGCAAATCGATTGGCGCCGACGTTCGTCTGATGACGAGATTGCCTCCGATATAACCACGAGCATCCTCGAGATCCCCCGCTTCGTTGTTCCCATGGGCGAGCCTCGTGTTCTTTGTTCGTCAACTCCGTCCACTACCCTGTCGGGCTTAATCCATCTAGAATACATTCTGGAGAACCCATCTACGCATTTCCTCACATTCAATTTGATGATGGAAGCTAGCGAGCACTTTGCATTCAGCGGGCCTAAGTCGACGGTTGTCCAGCTCGTGCCGTTGAGCCGTCATACAGTACGCTACAATATCCTGGCCGCAAAACGTGGGCTTTGGCTTCAACCTCAGCTTGTTATTGTTGACACCTACTTTAATAAGACTCTTCGTGTTCTTCCAACCGGAGAAATGCGTACAGACAAGAAGGGTATTCTAGTATGGGTTGACGCGGAGGATTAAAGGCGCCCGTGGCTACGAGATATGTGTCCCGGAGAAGAGATCGATGAACATCTCAAAACTTGTAATAAGTCTCATAACGAATCTCCTTCAAAAAATTTCCCGTTTATACGATCTACTTGTAGTTCACTAAGTATGTTGAAGTAAACCGCCGACGGTTTCTTATGTGGCCAGCCCTTATCACTCGCCGCCTCCAAAAGGGGTTAGCGGCGATCGGTCGTCCGCAGCTCTCTCCGCGAGCTTGGTTACTTTGGCTCGTTGCGCTCTGCCAGGTGAAGAATCATAAGCAGCTTTTGCCTTTGAAGGGGCCCAATCCAGCTCGACCTCATATTTTCTTTGTATTCAGACCGAATTCCGGTTCACACCCTCAGAACCCCTCTCTTTACACGCTCCTTCAACGTGACTGAACCTACTGCTAGGCGCAGACCCCCTCAGCCATGGCGACTCAAGCGGCACTAATCGCCGACACGATTGTCGGTATGAAGCGGGCATTGCGCAGGGAACGTGACGGTACGCTGGTGTCAAATTTGAAGCCTGAGAAGATACTCTGCTAACGTGTTCACTTCGGTCAGATTCGGGACCAGATGATTTGATCGCCCAGCCGACAAATCGCGGCAATAAGATGAAGGCAAATGCGAAATATGTCCGTGAAGGAGCCATGGGATACATCAATGCAGAGGAATTTTACAAAGAGGTGCGTGAAACTCAGCCGAAAAGACCTTTTGCGGGACCTAAGTGGCGCCGGCTCGAAAAGCATCGAAACTGAGACTCATTGACTGGGCTGTGAATAGAAGGTCGAACATGCTGGATACACGCGCTACATTTTGCAGCGAAACCCAATACGCTATGACTCCGAAGGCGATGAACTCGGCGAGGACGATGAAGATTCTGAGGCTGACGCCGCCGTCGCCGAAGAGAACCCGTTCTCAGGGATTGCGCTCGAAAGTTTGTGATTCCAATACGCAATTGAATCAGTTGCCCGCAGTACTAATCTCTTCTATGCGCAGCGCTTCTACGTCCCCTGACGCACCCCTCCGAACTCCCGGTCCATCCTTCGCTTTCCCAATCCTACACTTCCCCAGCCCTCGACCAGATGACAGTGGCAGTTGAAGAAAAGCTACGCCAGGAGCGGGCTCTTCTTTGGCGAGCCAGGAACCTTCATCGATCCTTTCTCGGAGATGGCGGCTGGATGCCGTGTGGGCTCCTTGAAACCCTCGACGACCGCTATATCTTCGAACCCAAGATTTTGAGCAATGGTAAAATTGCCTCTAGCATCCATCAAGGATTCAGTGGATCTAAAACACCGCTGGCTAGTTATAAAGCACCACAAGAGGCTGAGGCGCACCTGCACGGACTGGGGAACGAAACCCGGGGTACAGACAACGATACGGAGATGGCTGAGGTTCCGGCGGCCTCTGTAGACAATGTGCCGAACTATGACGGTCAAGAACACATCATGGAGCTCAAGTCAGAAGAGGCGGACGCAACAGTGATAGATCTTCCCCCGCATCCAACTGGCACCAACGAAGATAACGAGAATGCTACTGCCAATCACACCGGAGGCAAACATGAGGAGATGAATACCTCGAAGGACGGAGAAAAGGCTGGACTTGACGCACACTCCGAACATCTGGAGGGCCAGGTCGAGGACGAAATGGAGCAAGACGCTGAGATGCACAATGGGTCACCTACTCCGCCTCGTCGAATGACTACTCGTGCCCGAGCCAACGCGAACCAAGATGCCGGATCTCCTACCTCTACAGCCGATACAGCCAGCACCCTTCCAACTCCCCACCCTCTTTTCCTTGTTCCGGAGGGGGTTCGACCAGACGCGAATTTCGGCCTTCCTGCCGCCGAGGCAGAGGACACCCGCCGTCTGCTGTGGTCCTACATTCAAAAACAAGAAGAGACGGTGCGCGGCTTCGAGCACATGCTCGACTCTCTCCTTCGCGCATGTCACATGAAGGCAAACGTTTTGGAGTGGTGCAAAGCCGAAGGTCACGTTGGTGAAATGAGTGATGGCGAAGACTGGTACGATCGTGAGAAATGGGGCCTCGGAGAAGGCGAAGATCTCAAAAAGGGCACCGACGAGGACGAAGTGGAAACCATTGACGAGCGCCAAACAACTGCTAAGCGAGGCCGTGGCCGACGACAGTAGTCTTTTTGCCTTGTCCCTTTTTGATTTGCCCATAGCGTGGTGTTGGTGGTATTCGGTTCATGCATCTCATCTCCCACGTCCTTTTTAGCCCGTCTGGACCCGGTGTCGATATACCCCTCGGAGATTGGAGATAGTCAAATGCAGTATGCACATTTATTAGTATCATTCGATATTCTTATGGTAGTAATAGAGAGTTATTCGCCAGATCACACTGTTGTGAGCGATCGTGAATTCGTAGTACCATATATCCTTCTAGATACCTTTTAAGACGAAAGTTCACCTCTCTAATTTAGTCTGTGATTGGATTCTCTTTCTCTCTTTTTCTCTCTCTCTCGCCTTCTCTCTCTCTCTCTCTCATACACATACACACAAAAACGATATTCTTCTATCTCTAGCAATTCATCCTCCTTATCGCGTGACTTTTGGTGCAATCTATATGAATGGTGTCTGATCCCGAAGAATATTCAAAGCAGTATCACCACTGTTCTCGTGTATTTCTTGGCTACCGAAGTAGTCTGTCGACATTCTCATTGGGTCAGCATCGATTCTGACGTTGCTCGTCCACACACGCTCGCCGTATGTTTGGCCCTATTGAAGAGTTCACGCGTTGTGTTCTGTTCACTTGGGGGGACCTACAGCTACAACCTTCGCACTGCTGTCCTCCCCCTCGTGCATCCAAGATAGGCAGATCTATCGATTGTATAGTGTGCCATCAATGTTCAAAGAGGTTGCCTTTCAGGACAGCGGAGCTCTAGCCGCTGTGATTTCTTGCATCATCTTGGCATGTTCCCCAGTCTGAAGCTCATCGAACCTTACATCATTTATACTAGGAACCTCGATACTTTGGAAAGTCAACGCCTTGGCATGTTCAGCAATGAGAGTGGGGTTACAATCACCTTGAACCAGCAGGGCGAGCAATACCTGGACCAACCTGGCATCCTAGCCTGTCTTTCCAGATGTCTCTTTTCCAGCATTGTTTTAGTATCATTAAGGACCAGTCTTAGCTTGTCGCTTGTTGTTCAGAACATCTGCGGACTACTTGTAAAGTAAATCTAGGACACTGTTCAAAATTCATCTACCGCGCAATCGACCCGCCCACGACCTGGATACCATGCACTAGCAAACTGTTTGTCTCCATCCTGATAATTCTCTAAATTCGACGCTGCCCAAGAATGATATCCACTCCAGTAGATAAATTCAGATTGATCAAACAACTCAGCAAAATCCATGTTGCCAACTGACAAGTTCGTCACCGCCGTCATGCTATCTTCAACATTGGATCGTTGAAATCCATACCCGGTATAGATGGATCCATGTATATCCTCCATGTCATCCTTAAACCAGAGTAAGCCTCCTTCGATCGATGCGAGAATCACAGATTTCGATTCATCTCTCTGATCGACCGGCTTGTTCGCAACTCTTAATGTCTTTCGATCCACCGCAATGAAATGATCTGGTGGGGAATCCAGCTCATAATCTTTCGACTCAAAGAAGTCCATCAAACCCTCCATGTCGGAAGATCCCAGCTTTTGAGAGAGGTCGATCCATTCCAGATCCGTGTCAACTTCGGAAAATAGCTCTTCTTGTATTGTCTGGAGTTCTTCTTTGGTCATCGACTCCAAGATCAATACGCAATCACTGTTGCTGACCGGTCTCTTCTGTTTCCCGTTTTATGTCAGACATCTTAAGAGCTATCTGTTATGGCTCGTACATACCTTGGTATTCTGTTTTTCAAGACCATTGGGAAGAACTGGAACCCCGTCCAGATTCACGTTTCCTTCCTCCGCGGCACTCAGAAGCACATTCGCTCTATTAATCGGCACTCGCACGGCCTGGATCTCCCTTCCCCTGTTATGGAGGAGAATGACTGTATCATCCACACGCGACTGTTCATCTACGAACATCATCGAGTTACGATAGGCTGATCTCTCGAAGATCGAGAAGATGACCGACGACGGCGGGATCAGATCGTGCAGCCAGGGGACTTCCAGGAGACGGCGCGGCTCCGTAGCAGGGGGGGTCAAGCCAAGCCTTGTCGGTCGAAATGAGCTTTTGCATAATTAGATCTCGCTCGTCATCTTCCATAGGAAGCAGGAAGGCGACCATCCATGACGGTTGTGAGTATGCATCGTCGCTGAGATTGGGAAGTTGCCAGTGCGGTATTTGAGCCATGACGTCCGGATAATTTCACTTAGAAATTTCCGCACAATGTTTGGATCTTTCTGACAGCCGCCCTTCAACGGTCGAGGCCAAATCGGTTCGTCCCCGGGGCAAGGCTGTTAATGCGGCAAATTGATCACGATTTCCGCTTGACGGTACAACTGAAAACACTGGCTAGAACTGATTCACGTTAACCAGTGTCAAGCTGGGCTCCACGCCCCACTTGAACTGAGCTAAGCAGATTGACATTTAAAACGGACTTTTCAGACTCTGTCTTGGCGCTCTACGAATATCATCTGGATGCCTGATCTACCAGGCAGAAAGACGAATGCTTGGCCTCAGGCCTGCATTGGGGTATGATTGTTGACTCTTATCGTTTGACTCTTTCTGGAAGATGCTTCATGTCTTTTGAGGTCTATGCGGCAAATGATGTTCTGCAATGGTCCTGATTGGAGATACGGTAGTGAATACTGGTCTCTTCATCCCCTTCTGCATAACTTGAAATGTGCTCTGTGCGGTGAATTTTCCCAAGTGTAATACTCATCTAATTCTACCGATTGGACCAATTGGATGCCATATGCCAGAATGGCCGAACTTTGCACCATGTTACATTCCATCATCCAGAATATCTGTAGTACGACGCCTTGGACATTCATAATAGCCTTATATGAATTGCAATGTCAACCGCCTGGAGATACGGTAAATACGTAGTGTTTCGTGGTTGACTCGTACGTTGAAAGAACGAACAGTGAATAGAGTTGACCATATATTAGGTATCAAAGCTAAATAAATGGCCAGTGCCAACTGGGCCTATTAAGCAAATCGCTTACAAAACATGTTGGGCTCATTTTCGCGTGAAATTTGTCGCTATGGGTGGAAGGTTGTTTGTTGTCGCGTAGGGGAAATCAGAGAGGGGTAAAGAGGGAACACCTCCGTTGCCACACAGCCTCTGTACCGCAGGCCAAAGCCACGTCTATCATCTACTACTCCAGCTTCGTTGAGGATTCGGAGGCGTCCGTGTGTTGGAGAACTTGTTAACAGCAACCGGTGAGTTCATTCCGGATTTTGGGTTGAAACTTGGTCTGACCGAAGATCGCCATGCGCAGATTGTGGATGTTGAATGTCCCAGTCGATCGTGCTGTACATGTATGTCCAATTACTGTCTTTTACCGCCCTGCTTCTTAGCGCGTTCGCGCTCACGCTTGGCGTAGATCTCGGCAGTGAAAGGGCTGGTGATTCGGTTAGTCTATTTCTCAAGGTCGTGACTGCAGAAACTTACTCCTCCCACTTCAGAGCGAACCAGTACAGCACGAAGACTTGGGCGGTCAAAAGAATACCGGCTACCTTGCCATGGTACAAAGCAACACCGAGGAAGTTCAGAGTGCTACCCCAGTACATAGGCGAGCCAGTCACGTTGAATGGGAAGCCGGTAACCGGAGCATCCATGAGAATGCCGAAGTAGTCGCCCAAGTAGGTTCCGGTCACACCAAGAGCCCACATGCTGGAGAGAACGAGAACAGAGCCGATAGTGAACAAAATCCCACCAACAATGGGCTGGTGCACTGGGGCGTAGAAAGGCTGCTCCGCCAAAGCGACCTGATAAAGATGGTCACGCAAGATACCCAGGGAGAAAATAGTGACGGCGAGGAAATAGCATCCTCTGTAAGGGCCACCAAAAATGCGAGTTAAGAAGTGGGTGTTATACTCTGTTCGAGGCCGTTGTTAGCCGACTGCAAAGGCACAGTTGTCCTCAGGTAGAGGGATAGACCAACCAGCGCGCGCAACGATACTGCAAAGGTTTATTGGTAAGTAGTTGCAGAGAATACCTCTCGGACAGGCCGACTTACTTCCAGAAAATCGGGTTGAATGCGATGGTGGCCGCGGACACTTGCTGGGGTCAGTTCCAATCACATGCAAAATGCGGAGAAGCACCAGGGTTGAAGAAGCTCAACATACAAGCCAGCGACGGGGCAGAGAAATCGACGAATTTATTCAAGCTGGCCATGACGCAGAATCGGTGGGAAATTTGAGGGAGGTGAAGAAAGAAAATGCCAGATGGAAGAGGGGAATTGGATTAGCTCGTGGTCGATTAAGTAAACAAATGACGTTCCTGTTTCTCCACGGTCACGGGATCTGCGATAATGCGCCTTCTTTTCTGCTGCCCAAGCTCTATTGACTACTTTGCTTTAGATTTTTCACATTGTTCCTACTCATTTGTGATTCCTTGCGCCCCGAATAGCTCGACCTTCCTGTTACTGCGATCCCCGACTCCCGTCTTTCCTACGACGTCAATGCCGCATCGAGTTCTCCACTCCTGAGCTCCGCCGAGCGGCCGTCATGAGACGTGGAGCTCTTACGCGAGTCAGGGGAGAATGGTCCTTCATCGTCGCGATCTTGTTTTAGCGGGAGTTGGCGGCTTCATCGCTTGGGGCCTGGTAGTGCGCTGGCTGCCGATCCTTCGATATCTCGGATGGGCCTTAGCGTTGGGGGCCGCGTTGTCCTGCGCTGCATTCTTGGCGCTGGTCGTCCTCACCATCCGAAAGCCTACCGACAAGCCTTTCAGCCCGAAGACTGTCTCGGTGGCTTTCATCACACCTAATTACTGGCGAAGAGATGTGCTCAATGTGCGCAAAAGCTCACGGTACAGGCCCCGGCCTCTATATCCGCAATCTTTTGTTGTTTCGGAAGAGATAGATGGTCTTCTGTCTCTAATTACGCGCGACTTCATATCTTCATGGTATCACAACATCAGTCCGAATCCTACATTTGTGAATGAAATTGATCGGACGATCCGAGTCGCTCTGGAAAATCTTCGAGACAGGCTGCTCTCAGAAGATCTGATCTCTTTAGTTGTCTCACGGGTCTTTCCCATATTGACCACCCATCTGAAAGAATTTGATGTCGCCGAACGGCAAGTGCGTGGGCGTAATTTGAATCGAAATGTGACGGAATCCGAAGAGCTGGACTTGGCTGTCGCCAAAAAGTACCGCGAGGGCCGTTTACACCCTGCAGTTGCGCTCTCTACGTCTGACCAAAAGCAGGTCCAGCAAGAATATCTTCGCAAGATTTCCGTGGGGCTTCTTCCTCAGCTGTTTCCTGAAAGCGTACTCAACAGTCGAGCTGTATCTGTCTTGATTCGCGAAATTATTTCATGCGCAGTGTTACTTCCGATTGTGTCATCACTTTCGGATCCGGATACGTGGAATCAATTGATGGAGGCATATGGAAGAACCGCTTTACAGGATCGGAAAACTGTGCGCAAGCTTCGAGCTGCACTGGATGAACATGCATCGCCTGTTCCAAGGTCCAAGCGCGGACAACCATTTCCACGACTCTCACCCTCGGACTCTGAACGTGCGTTTGAACGATTTGTTCGAGCCATCAGACGATGTAATAATTTGTCGGATGCTCGTCGATTTCGTGCACTTGTGACTACTCAGTTGAAGCGTGAGAGCATGGTTGAGGGACAAGATCAAGTCTATCTACGGCGACTAGAGACTGGCAAAAGAGTCCTGGATCAAAAAGTGTCCAAGCTGTCGGTTCCTGGAGAAGCCTCTCGTCGACTGGCTGAAGCAGTGAAGCCACGTCGCGATAGCTCCGCCGCACCAGAGACTTCTCTTGTGGACGTAATGCATAGTGCATCGGGCCTCTCATACTTCATGGAGTTCATGGACCGCCAGAAACTGATGTCTCTAGTTCAATTCTGGATTGTGGTCGACGGGCTCCGAAATCCATTGGAAGACGACTTCGGGGACGACACATCGTCTGCTTCTGGTGCCTGGACAACTGGCGACAGGAACGACTTGGCGCTTCTTAGTGAAACCTATCTCAACAAACCAGAACTGAAGGTTTCGGACGAGGCACGACGTACGGTCAAGGCATTCTTAAGCGCAGGCAAACGTGCCACGCCCGAGCAGTATCGTAAAGCTCGGACGACCGTATTGACTACCCAATCTGCTGTGTTGGACGAAATGGAAAGCATTCATTACCCAAAATTCAAGAAGTCCGATCTATACTGGAAATACCTGGCGTCAGACGACGCCTCAGGTACCCAGATACCCACTGCAAACCACTCTCCACCACCTGCGGTCACTTTCGATGCCCCCGAGAGACGACCTCTGCCTCCATTAATGGTACGGACGGGCTCCCAGCCGAACGCTAGATCATCGAAAGATCTTCGAAGAGCTGCTGTCTCATCCACTGACATCCGGGGAATGGGCAAGTTATTTGACGATGATGATTCACCACGACGATCCATAGACTCCGAGAGGTCTGGCCATCTTTTTGACGACGACTATGATACAGATAACCTTGCCGCATCTACTGCAAGCCTGGGGAAAGATTCTCCAAATGGGGATAATGATACGTCCCAGAGCCAAGTTCTGGAAACTATGGAGGCGGCTCTCAACGACATTATCACCAATGAACCAAAGAATCCACGGGTCGAGGACCTGAAAGGTAGCGGTGACTCCTCTTCCTCGCTTTTCGGATTGGATCTTCCTGACCCTACGCGTCGCAATCCAACCGACTCATCCCGAGCCGAGAGTCGCCCAGTTGGGAAGAAGAAGAGTATTGCGACGCTAGGCCTTGTTGGTCACGGCTTACGCCATGGTGTCTTTGACGATGACCTATTCCCCGATCAGAAACAGTACTCCGAGGATGACTATGAAGAACCTGTCCCCGAGGAGAAGGATCCGGCAGATGAGGTCCATGAAGCTGCACCCGGCGACCTCGGTCTTACTGAAGCCATTGAAGCCCTGACTACCGACATCGAGAAACTTAAAAGCCAAGATTCCGTACTCGAGGCATTGAGACGCAAGGCCGAGCTCACAAATAACACAGCTGAGTTGCGCATCTTGCGTAAATCTAAGGCAAGCATTGAGCGTGAGATTCATCGCAAGGAGATGCAACGCCAGCAGTATATCATCCAGGAGAGTGACAACAGTTTATATGGGCGATCTACCGTCCGCATTAAGTCCATTGTGGTGGGCAAGGATGAGGACGATGGACGTGAGTTTGCGATGTGTACGTTATATTCTCTCTGCTTCGCATTCCTCGTCAAGCTAATGTTCGAGTAGATATTGTCGAAGTTCAGCGAAACGCCGGAGAACAGATGCCAGCTGCATCATGGGTTGTTGCACGCCGCTACAGCGAATTTCATGAACTTCACCAAAAGCTTCGACTGAGCTACCCCTCCGTCCGACACTTGGAATTTCCCCGTCGGCGGGTGGTGATGAAGCTTCAGAAAGAGTTCCTCCAAAAGCGCCGTATCGCCCTGGAGGCCTATCTCGAGAAACTTCTCCATCTACCGGAAGTCTGCCGTAGTCGTGACCTACGAGCCTTCCTCTCCCAACGAGCTATCTTACCCCGCGATAATACCAATTCCCGCAACAGCGAAGGCGAAAGCAAGGACCTGGTCACGCGCATCTATAACTCCGTCGCAGATGGCATGGACGATTTCCTCGGCAATTTCGGGGTCCTGGATCAACTATCCACAGCAGGCCAGAATTTAATCTCTGCTGCAACTCAACAGACCGGCACCAGCGCCGCTCAAGATCCTGTCATTGCTACCGAAGACGCCGTCACGACTGCCGAGGCCGAAGCAGAGCTCAATGCTTTCGAAGACCGTGAGCTCGAGCCCTTCATCAAACCAATCTGCGACCTCTTTCTCGAAGCATTTGAATTAAACCGTGGAAACAACTGGCTGCGTGGCCGCGCTGTCGTCGTCGTCTTGCACCAACTTCTTGGTGGCACGATCGAGCGCAAAGTCCGCGACGGCGCCCGTTCGCTTATCCAGGATGAATCGCTTCTACGCTATCTCACCCTCGCTCGAGACTCTCTGTGGCCGGGCGGTGTCCTACGAAAGTTCACCCCTCGCTCCGGCCCCGAACGGCTCAATAGCCGCGCCGAAGCTACCGTCGTCCTCGCAACCCTCATCCCAGATCTAGCAGGCAGTGTTGTCGGCCGTGCCAATGCCCAAGCCGCGGCTCGTCGTATCTTCGCTACACTGAATAACCAACCTTTGAACACACATCTCGTCTTCACTATCCTCGACGAGATAGTTCTGGTCCTCTTTGGCAGTCGTGAGCCTGGTCGCTCTCGTTGACACTATTATTCCAAAGCGTTTCTGCGTTTGATTTCCCCGTTCACTACGAGTTTCCTGTATTATTCCGCCCTTCAAGCTATGGGTGGTTCTCAGCGTATTGTATATACTCATAACATTGCACATGGAATTGACATACATACTTGGCTACGTTTTCTCCGACCTCTTGATTCAGAGTCAGTGCGAGGTCGGCGCGCGGACTAAGCGGCGCGTTGTGGGCCTGAGTGGATACGCTGTGCTTGGCGCGACGCCCACTCCCGACGTCAGCCCATCAACTTCTACTTTCACACAGTCATAGTATGATCTACGAGATGCATTCCCATGTGGAAATTAACTGGTATTTCCCGGGTAATAAAGGACTGAAACGGGTGCCGGAGCATCTGGGTGCCCCAGTCCCCGGGTCTTCACCCGATGAGTAAAAGGAAAAGAGAGAAGCAAAGTACAGGCCGAAAACTCGCTCCCACGCCCTCTCTGTAATTCTTGTTTCTAGATCCCAGAGAAACGCAATTGTAGAGTCGAGACAGAAGTTCTTCCCGGTCGGGAAGAGAGGAGAGGTCAGTTGCTGATAAAGTCCCTGCTGGGGGAGGGGATCAACCCTTGTCGTTTCACGTTGCGGTAGTTAAAAGGATAGAGCATTGAAAGCACATAAAAGAGACAGTAAGGGGCGGCGCTTAGCCGATGTGGCTGGGTCCACCAGTGACGAGGCCAAATTATGCCAAAGCGGCTTCTTCCTTTGCCTTCTTCTTGGATTTCTTGGTACTGGGCTGTTGTGCGGTGTTCTCTTTCTTCTGGTGGACGATCAGACGTGTCCAAGACTCGTCCTTGTCCCACTCGAAGCCAGCGAGGTAGGGACTTTCTAACTCGTCATCGGCCTGAGAAGTTAGATTAGATGGGGTACGAGGTACTTATTGGGGGAGCAGGAGATGAGCTTACCTTCTTCTTGAACTGCTTGTAGATCGCATCTAATGCGTCCTTGATTGTGACGCCTTTCAAGTTCCGGGCGGTGACATGAAGGCCCAGGGGGAAATCCAGATCAATCTTCTTGACCGGTGGGTTCGTGAGGAAGAGCTTGAGGATATCCTTGTCCTCGACTTTTGACGGATTGGTGTTGAGTTTCCTGAGGCATGTCAGTGGTTGATGTAATCAGACGGATGGAGGTCAACGTACCACCCAGTCTTCTGGGTTTCAATGGGGAGAGTGATTTCAATCTTCTGTTCCTCTGAAGAGGGGGGATCAGTCTGAGTATGGGTTGTACTAGTACGATATGAGTATTTACCGAGATCCTTGATGTTCCAGACACCTTCCGCAGCCGTTGAAGAAGCACGCCTATGGCCTTTCTTGTCTTTGGGAACCTCCTTCTTGGTGGACTCGGGAGCTTTGTCGTCTATAGACAAGCCAGCGATGGCAGAGTCGACTTTGGTAAGTGGAACAGACATGATGGAGTAGATGGATGAATGATGGAGAGAGATGGAAGAGAAGAAGAAGATAGAAGAGAGGGGAGCGAGCAGATAGCAAAGAGCAGGTGACCACCACTTTCCCCGCCCAAGTCAAGGATGTCATCCGCGTATGAGAGGCTTCGGTGATGCTCGCCTTGTAGCACACGCTTTACTCAGGTTGTGGGATCTCTTTCACCTGGATAATTCTTCAATCGAATCTTCCTTTCTTCTACAATCTCATTTCTCTGCTCTACACTTGACTGACTAGTCTCACCGGCAACCCCGGATCATAGCAACTGACATCAGGGGGAGATGTTTGGCTCGGACGGCAACCAATCTGGGAGCTGCACCCCGCATTCTACTCCACCCGGACTTTATTTCAGCGATGACTTCACCTTTCTTTCGCGACTCGTATGGTGAAAAGGTCAATCACGATCGAGGGAATTGATTTTTGATTTTGGACTATACATTCCACACGACCTGCGACCAACTCGCAACGCAACTATCCATACAATTCCGTACTGTGGAGGTGAGGATCACCTGATGTCATGGGCACACGCGACCATCAGGCCACTTACTTTGCCTCGCCTCACCTCACCTCCCCTCCTCTCCCACTTTACTTCCGACAAGCTATTCCGTCATTCTACTTTGATTGATACATTGCCCGTTCCGAAAGCCGACATCCGAATGCCATAGCTCACAGTACATGCTCTTTGTTCCGAGTCACGTCGATCCTCTTTTGAAGAAGCGGAGTGGATCCGGTTCTCCACAAATACCGGGCTATTCCCCCACAGTCCGTGCACATATCACCAATGCATACCACTATACCTTATCCCGGATGTGACTCCATCACCCAAAAAGGGTCTCTTCACGTGCTCAATTTTCAGTTGGAGCGAGCTCAGCTCTCGCCGTTTCAATCAGGAATAAGAGCATGGGTAACGCGTGAGCGATCGGCATGCAGGAATGGGGCATTAATTACACAATAGCGAGCGAACTAACTATAAACTCAAGAGCTGCCACCACATCACCACCACGCATTTGATCAGACTAAGAGAGAGACCTGATTATCAAGAAATACCCCTCTAGCCCAACCTTATATAAAAAACCCAGCTGTCATCAAAGCAAGGATACCTGCAACGCTCACCCCTTTCGAGTAAGACAAGTTGTCTGCAGTATTCGTGCCATTGGGGCTCGAGCTTCCCGCGCTGGGGGATGATCCGCTGGTGGACGTGGACGCGGACGCGGACATGGGTGCGGAAGACTGGTCGCTCTCCTTTCCGAGTATACCCCCTTGGATATTGGCGGGAACACTGCTACCGGTAGTACTGCCCGCCGCAGTATTGAATGCGGAGAGAGTGTTCGCGCCATTACTGAGATGCATTGACCGGTCAGTACCTTGTGGGGCTGCGTAGAGGTCATGATCGCCTACTCGGGGTTGATTACGCCGACCATTCCAGCCTGACAATGTCCGACTTGACCGCAGAAGAACCAAATGAATTTCGTGTTATTGACGATCAAGGCGAAGACCGGGGGCTACCAGGTCAGCCGGCTGTGCCAATAATCTTCCTCAGACGTACCGATCCATTACTGCTTCCCGTGACGAACCCACTGGAGAAGCTGCTGCCACTCAATGGGTGACAGGGATTATCAGAGGAGGCTTGGGTCACTGAGTGATCCCCTGGGAAGAAGTGGAACTCCACTTTGTCTCCAGCAGCAACATTGAGAGTATATGGAGAGAATTCCAGACCTGACTTGCCAACGTTGATTGTCTGAACGGAACCCGATGCGGAGGAGGTCTTGGCTGTAGTGGTAGTGGCAATTGCATTTAATGTGGCCATGCTTGTATCAGCATCGCCTTCATGTTGGGCACATAAAGACTGAGTCCATACAAGGACCAAGGCCCCGACTGAAGTCTTCATTGCGGGTAAGGATTGACTCGGCAGCTGGAGAGATTAAGAATAAGGATCGCTTCGAGGGACTAGCCAAGGGACTAGCAACGTGCCTTCTTCTTAAACCGTCGATCAGAACAAAGCAGGTGAGCTAGTCGTGTCATGCTTACTCCAACCGGTCTCCGGGTACCAAAGAGCTTGACAAAGAGGAAGCACCGGCACAAGCTTAGAACAATGGGTACAAAGCGATTCTAGAATCATTCTCACCTTCCATACGAAAGTATATATTGTTTTTTGCTTAAAGTAGAAAGTGTGCGGAATCATTCGATTGGGTCCATTGTAGAGGTACCAGCTTTCAACCTCATGGGACGAATCTATCTTTGGTCAGGTATTACGACAGCACGGGGCAAGGAAACCTGGCATGGTCTGCCTAAGGGACAAAACGACGTGTTGATGGGTCGCGATGCTGGATCCGGGGACAGCGAGATGAGATTGGGGTTTGCGTTCTCGTTCTCGTATTCTCGTTCCATGGAGACGAAGCACCGCGCCACGGAAGGTTCGGCCTCGGCTACCTGGGATGGATTTGGAGTTCATCAATCATTTGTCCAACATTTCATGATTCTTACAAGTAGCGCAACAATGTACCACTGATTGTTTGAGCAATAATATACAGCGTTGTCGGCCCTGCAACAGGCTTTGATGGTGCAGAATCGAAGCGGGAGTGGGAGGGGTACCGGCCTCGGGGCGGGACAGTACGGACTGTTGGTCATTTCCTTTCTCTTGTTTTGTCAGTTCAAGGGAACAACCGATACTACATACTTGAGGGGAAGAGCTCTCTCGACTGTATGATGACTTTGTGCGGAGGTAGGGAAGCCGTGGGAAAACATATAGAGCTTTATGTGGCTCCAAAAGATTTTACAAGAGAGCAACAAATATGAGAAGCGCATTCCAAGACTATGGACGAATAACACAATGTCAACTTCAGTAGACAAACTCAATGACATACTCTCATAATGTTCTTTTCAGAGTGCCCTGACCAGTGTGAGCTACATCTCAAAGAACAGGCCCGGCGAGCCGGAGGCATCAGTAGCCAAATCGATCTCTGAATCCTTGAGAATAATGATATGAGATCTTTCTGCCCCAGATTGTCCCTGATAGACCCTCGTAGCTCTAGAATCTGGAATTGTCTAGATTTGTCAAAGCCCACCTTCACTTATCTAGGTCTTCTGGTGTAAAGTGATTCAATAGAACACACGCGATGCCGATGCGAGACGCGTTCCAATGAGCGTAGATGCGGTATAAGTCGAACAGACTGGCTGGACACAAATCAGAATATTCCATCAATGAAAGCGATAATCCTACAGTTGAGATTCAGAACCAAACGCATAAGCCATGATAAACAGCAAGCTCATGAACCCCATGTTCGGCATATAGTTCCAGTTCCAAGGCGGTGAGCATCATTTTCTGCCGCAGTCATCGCGCATCTCAAATCGAGTCAGTGCAAGCGGTTGTCACTTTTTCCCAGCTCTCCCCACACCCATTTAACCTCCCTGCTCCGACCTCGTGCTCATCTGTGGGGATCATTGATTGATCCTGATCGGTGGCTTGCTCTGCACCCTCGCCTCTCGCCACCTTCCACCCTCTTTGATACCCAAAACAGAGCTCTTTCTCTCTCTCGCGCACTTTCGCGCCCTTCGCGATGTCTTTCTTCGGTGCTGGTGCCGCCGCTGCCTCGGCCGGTTCGACCAACACGACCGGTGATATCTCCAAGGATGTGCAGCTTAATCAGCCTCCGGAGGACAGCATCTCGGATTTGCGATTCTCGCCCACCAGCGATCACCTGGCTGTCGCATCATGGGACAAGAAGGTCCGCATCTACGAAATCAAAGGCGACGGTCAGAGTGAAGGCAAGGCATTGTTTGAGCATGAAGCTCCAGTCTTGAATTGCTGCTGGTCACCAGTGAGTTTTTTTCTCTCTTCTGATCTGTTCACTTTCAAAAAATTAACTATTGTCTCTTTTTTCCCCTCCAGGACGGAACCAAGGTCGTTGGCGCCGGTGCCGACAAAGCTGCTCGTCTGTTGGATCTTGGTGCAAACGGTGCCCCCGCTACCCAGGTCGCTGCCCACGATGCCCCGATCCGAAGCTGCCATATGATCCCCAACCCGTCAGTAGGCGGGTCACCGCTCCTCATCACCGGCTCCTGGGACAAGACCGTCAAGTATTGGGACCTGCGTCAACAGCAACCGATCGCGTCTTTGGAGTGTCAAGAACGCATCTATAGCATGGATGTCAAAAACAAGTTGCTGGTCGTTGGTACTGCTGATCGCTACATTAACGTGATTAATCTCGACAACCCGACCAAGATCTACAAGGCCGAACAATCCCCTCTCAAATGGCAGACGCGGGTAGTCAGCTGCTTTAGCGATGCTTCAGGTTATGCCGTTGGTAGTATCGAGGGTCGTTGTGCCATTCACTACGTCGAGGAGAAGGACCAGTCTGCCAATTTCTCTTTCAAGTGTCACCGTGAAACCCCGCCTGCCAACCGCGACGTCTGCAACATCTATTCCGTCAACGCCATTTCATTCCACCCCGTCCATGGCACCTTTAGCACTGCCGGCAGTGACGGCACTTTCCACTTCTGGGACAAGGATGCCAAGCACCGTCTGAAGGGCTACCCGGCCGTCGGCGGTCCCATCTCCTCTACTGCTTTCAACCAGACCGGCAGTATCTTCGCCTACGCGGTCAGCTATGACTGGAGCAAGGGCTACTCTGCAAACACCCCGCAGCTTCCTAACAAGGTCATGCTGCATCCCGTTGGCCCCGATGAGACAAAACCCCGTCCGGGTACTCGCAAGCGATGATTGGAGAGGCAATTTCCATTTATGTTGGCTCGTGATAGACGAGCCCCTGGCGCTATGAGCATTTTAATGAACCTATCTTCCATATCGGCGTGTATTGTTTCAAAAAGAGAATTGCAAATGAGATTCATCAAGCTTGATCCTTGTTTGAGATAGTGTCTATCATCAAAGGCCTCCAATTCTAAGCTACTAATGCTATATCTAGGGTGTGATATCTGAACTTGGTCGGAAGCCCATAGTTGATAGGGTCCTCAGAAAGTCAATCAAATGCAATGCAACTCCCACCCTTTCCAGAACACCCTTTCTCGTAGATTCATGTTGATATGGTAAAATGCTATTCCGTCGAGTATTCCCTTTCTGAAACCACATCATGCAACCCAACCGTGACTCTTGACCGATAAACATCAATGTCGCGCGCCAAAAATTCACTTCCTCTGTCCTCCCGGTTCCATCTAGTCACTTGCGGCTTACGAGGTAGGGAGAGTGACCTGGGCCACACCGTCAGTGACCTTCTCAATGCCCTCCTCGCTCACGCTGGGGCTCTCAGCGCCGCCCTTAGCGGTAGCCTCAACGCCGGAAGCCTTAGTGGCTTTCTTGGCCTGCTTCTTAGCCTTCGCAGCGGCCTTCTTAGCAGCAGCCTTGACGGCCTCTTCGGCCTTTTTGGCCCGCTCGGCCTGGGATCCACCGAACAGCTCGCGCCACTCGTCGGCCTTCTTGGGGTCAATGCGAGTGAACAGGTACTCAGCCTTGCCAATCTTGTGGCCGGCCTTGAGAGAGGTAGGCTTCCAGCCGTCCTTGAGCTCATCCAGAGTGGGGATCAACTGGACGGGAGCATTCAGCTGTCTGAGCATCGACTCGGTAGTGGCGGGCATGTACGGGGTGAATACGGCGGACAGCAGGTGAATCAAGTTCAGAACGGTACCAACGACAGCGGCAGCGCGAGCGGGATCGTTGGCGATGAGAGAGTTGTCCAGACGGTTGGCCTGGATGAGACCATTGCCAACTTCGGTGATTCGCATGGCGGTCTGGACACCGGCACGGAGGTGGACACTCTCCATCTCCTCGACGTACTGGCGCGTGAAGGTAGTGATTTCCTCCAGATAAGGCTTGAAGTCCTCGGGCACAGAAAACTCGGGGATCACACCGCCGTAGGAAGCAGTGACAAGCTTGATGACACGGTTGACAAGGTTACCCAGCTTGGCGAGAAGCTCGCTGTTGTTGGCGTCAACGAATGCGCGCCATTCAAATTGTGTATCACCGGTCTCAGGGCGGTTCTTGAGCAGGTAATATCTCCACACATCGGCAGACACGCCGGTCTCCTTGGCGTTGGTGCCGAACACACCGATGCCACGCGACTTACTGAACTTACCACCCTCGTAATTCAAGTATTCGGTAGCACTCAGGTGGTGGTTCATAGTCCAGGTGTCCCGGGTACCGATCTGAGTAGCCGGGAAAATAACACTGTGGAAGGGTACATTGTCCTTGCCAAGGAACTGGTACAGCTTCACATCTTCCGGGTTGCGCCACCATTGCTCCCATTCGTTGGTGTAGTTTGCGGTGATGGAAGGGTACCCAATGCAAGCCTCAAACCAGACGTACAGCACCTTGTTGTCGAAGCCCTCCAGAGGCACTGGCACACCCCATTTCAGATCACGGGTGATGCCGCGGTCCTTCAAGCCCTCCTTCAACCAAGACTCGGTGATGATTTTTGAGTTCTTCGGCCACTGGCCCTTCTCGATACTGTCGTTGGCCCACTTCTCAACCTCCGGCTGGAGCTTGTCCAACAGCAAATGGATGTGCTTGGTCTCACGGCGAACCGGGGTAGCTCCGTCGAGCTTACAGCGGGGGTTGATAAGATCAAAAGGGTCAAGAAGGTGACCACACTTGTCACACTGATCACCGCGCGCATCGTCGTAGTGGCATCGGGGGCATTCACCCTCCACGTAACGATCAGCCAAGAAGGAGCCGTGCTGCTCACAGAAGGGCTGCTCGGCAGTGCGCTCGCCAAGGAAACCGTTATCCCAGAGGCGCTTGAAAATGGCCTGAGAGATCTCGGTGTGCTTCTCGGTAGGAGTGCGGCCGAAGTGGTCAAAGCCAATGTTAAACCACTTGTACACTTCCTGATGGATCTTATTGTACTTGGCGCAAAGCTCCTCTGGCGTCACCTTCTCCTCTAACGCCTTGGTCTCGGTCGCTGTGCCGTATTCGTCCGTTCCGCAAATGAACAGAGTGGGCCGTCCACAGGCTTTGTGATATCTAAAGTTGGCGCATTAGTATAGTCCTCATAGTGTGGGGTGTTGAGTCATACCTCGCAAAGGCATCGGCACTCAGCACGGAGCCAACGACGTTACCCAGATGAGGAACATTGTTCACATAGGGCAATGCGCTAGTCACAAGGATATTGCGTTCGCCCTGCTTGGGCAAGATCGGATCTGAAGCCATTGTGTGGTGAGAGTTGTAACTGATGGAGGGGTGCGGCGGGAAAATCGAAAAGTGGGCATCTCGTGACATTACTGTTATCCGCCCCGCGTATCAAAAATTCTTTTGCTCTTGACTCATCGCCCACGATTTTTGTTATGGAGTCCAATCTACTTGATAGCCTCCTCGACTTGGAAGAGCAGTTCTATAATGAAGGCTACGAGCTGGGAGCTGCCGATGGAGCCAAGGCGGGATACACCGAGGGCAGTGTCTTCGGCGTGGAGAAAGGCTTCGAGAAATTCGTCGAAATGGGCAGGCTATATGGAAAAGCTTTAGTCTGGGCTCAACGCCTCGCGGATTCAAATTCACCGAAAACGTCCAAACAAGCATTGAGTCACTCGGAGACCACTGACAGCCTCTCTCTCGAGCCGTCAATCAGCAATGATATGCCAAGTCTTCCATCACATAGTGCGCGCCTGATCAGAAACCTCGAAACTCTGTTGGAGCTAGTTGACCCGGCTTCTCTGGATATGACCAATACTGAGGAAGCCGTGAACGACATGGATGAGCGCTTGAAGGGAGCTGCTGTCAAGGCTAAGCTTATCCAGAGAGCTATGGGCGAGAGTGAAGAGCCTCTTGGTACTTCGTCAATGGCCAAAGATGGCCAGAAACCGGGTGATGGAACGGGCAGCATTGAAGATATCAGCTCGTTGAATATTCGTCACTGAGGAAATTCCCCGAACTACAAAACTATATCCTCGGAAACTTTTTCAATCATGGCCCGCAAGCGATACTGTTGACAGAAAACACCAGCCTCCTGCGCACGCGTATACTTGCAACCTCAACGGAGACTGTCCAGCACCTGATGCCCGGGAAGACACACCCAGGAGAGCTTCTCAGGGTAATCGCAGTCTGGCTCCCTGAGCTGTACACACAAGCCTCCCAACATGCCATCCCTCGGATGGGCTACGAATGTTTAAGAGGTTACTCCTTGCGGCTTCTCTGAACCTTACCTGGCAAATTCACGCGTTGCCGGCTGTCATTGTGTCGAAGATTTTCCTATTCCACCTCTCCACCTCGATGGGCCTAGTTCGAAGCCGGCTAGATGTTTTGGCGTGGGCATCACTGTGCGCAGGAAATTATGGTCCATATACGCAGATGTGAACTATCATGCTATAAGCCACGTTGAGTAGAAGAGCCGCAAGTTTACAAACGTTGGATCAAAAATCTTGATCGATGTATCGGGGTAATCTTCATTTGATGTCATAAGATAAATTCTCTCAACACAAAAATCAGACATAACTTTTGTCTCGTATCATCCATATGCCTCAGAAGGTCGTCGTAAATTATTGCTCAAGGCTGCGTACAGCCATAGCCATGGCTCCTTCCCGAGTTTTGTGACCACCAATGAATCCGCTGGCGTGCACAAAGATGGCACCTTCGGGGAGCTTGGGCTGACCGGCCTTCTCAGCCTCGGTGGCCATAACACCATCCAGGTCTTGGTCACGGACACCGCGCCAGGCCTCGGGGAGGGGCTTACGAGAGGTGAAGCTGCTCTCGGACACCGAGACACACTGCACGCGCCACTTGGAGTCCTCAGCGGCGCTTTCAGGGTACAGAACATAGTACACCTCCATAGCCGGTTCAATATCTTGGCCATTAGAAGCATCTTTCTCGAAGTTGTAGAGGTGCTCCTTCCAGGGGACACCGCCCTGAGGCAGCACGAGAATGCGGCCAGAAGAGTGAACCTCTTTGCGCGACTGGTAGGCAGCACCGACGGTGGTGCGGGCCGGGAGCCATGAGGTACAGGCATGGTGAAGCTTGCGAGCAAAGACGTTACCGATGAGTGTGCTGGCTCGGCCGAACAGGCTATCCTCGTCCTGGGGCTCACCGGGAGCGCTGATAGGGTCGGGATTGTTCATGTCGTTGACAATGGAGGCAAGAGTGACACCACCATCCTTGAAACGCTTCTCCAGTTTGGCAGCAGTCACTGCGGCGGGGTCGTAGACGGAGATACCGTTGTCGTTAGCATCAATAGCCTCGACAAAATCGGTGTAAAGTTTTTCGTAGATAAGACCGACATCAGCGTGGTCCTCGGGCAGAGACATGTGCTGGGCAATTATAGCGCGGCCAAAGTGCATGTAAACCAGACCAGCAGATGACAGCTTGGTGTTGTGGTTGGGGAAGGTGGTGTCGAAGGTACGCTGGTGGTGATCATAGCGATTGATGGCGGCGTCATACACCCCACCAACATCGACCACAGTGTGACAAGTCTCTAGCTGAGCCGGATCGCGAGTTCGCACAAGAGGTGAGGAGGCATAAGTGGGAAGCAGGCGGAGCATGTAGACTGCCAGGGCCTCGTCGGCGTGGAAGTGACCACTGGGCCATGAGTTAGTTTGAGCCTCATGGAATGCAAATGATCGAGCTCACCTGTGAGTCCCGATCAAAGGGGACGGGGTCTTGAGCTTCTTAGCAGCAGTTTCGGCCATGGTAAACCAGCGATGAAAACGAAGCATACAACCAGAGCAAGAAGATATAGAACTGCGCAAGCTTATGATTTGCCGGGCTCTGGCAGGCTACTGGCTTATCTGCCCGGTCCATATCGGGAAAGCAGGGCTCCATGTCAGGGCAACTCGCCATCACCTGACTGTAGCGTGAGCCTGCTGTTTGCGGAAACGGGCACAACAATGCGGGCAAGTACCGATACTTCAGAGTGGCAGACGGTAAGTGCGCGCTTTCAGGTACCGGTACATGCTCCGGTCTGTTAGGTCTCTCCGTGGTTCATGTTCCCCGAGTTCCTGCGTGATGTCGTTATCGACTCAACCTGAGATAATAATCGTGTGCATCCAAGCTACTCCGTAGAATGAAACTATAACCGTCCAGAGTTGACGACTCCGACTGTGCCGTGTGCTCTGACCGCCAGTCTGACACTGGTACATGTAGATTTTCACATAATTCCAGTGTGATGATGCGCGAGAACCTTCAACGATACCTTCACGGTCAACGTACCTTGAGGAAGTGAAGTGAAGTGAAGCTACCCCGACTGGTACAACGTGGCCCCCTCGATTTTCTTCCTTCCACTAGAAACTTCATCTCAGACGTTATTCAGCAATTTGCTCCTTGGCCCCTCGGGTCCACGTGAAGAGCGATAAGGTCAAGGTTGAGAAAAAAGAAAAATAGTCGTGTGCATTTCCACACCCCTTCTCCTCCTCATCTTTTCGCGATATTGCCTGCGCCCCCGCGCGTCCTCTCCGATGTGGCTCTCCAGAGTCTTCTCGTCGGCCGTCTTTCTCGCCGTGACGATATCGTCCATCCCTCTCGCGTTCGATGTCGGCGGCAAGACGTGCGGTCTGGCCTTTTCGCTATCCTTGGCCACCTTCTACTTCCTCTTCTCTCTACTGAGGCTTACGACCCCTGAGCGCTCCTGGTTCCGTTCCTCCTCGTCACCGTCATCCGATCCACGCAATGGATCTTGATTCCCATCCTGTTGATCTGGTCCCTGAATCGCTTCTCGGAGGATGCGGGGAGTAACGGCGGATGGGTGGAACGCACCTTCAGTGGGAAGCGGACGCCGGATAGCTCTGTTCAGGAGTGGCTCTTCGGTCGTGACGGTTTGGTCGAGAGTGTGACCCTGGGCAACTGGGACCGACTCTTGAGATGGTCAACTCCCGTCTTTCAGCTCGCCGAGGGCTTTTGCAGTTTATTGGTGATTCAGGCTGCCGGGCAAATTACTCGCTGGCTCGTGAACCGAGGCGGACGAAGCGACAGCTGGATGGTATGTGTATTCTGGCAAACTCTTGTGTATTGCGACACAAACACAAAATTAACTTTGCATGGGCAGATCGGCCTCCTAGTTCTTTCCGCTACCGTCATTTCGAGCTCTGTCTACTTCCTCTGGCGCGTTCTTCAGTTCCCTGAGATCTCCAATGTGGATGCTGCTCTGATCGGCGTCTCCATTACGTGCGCAGTGATCCTGTGTGCTTGGGGCATTGGCAGTGGGCGTGGAAACCCCGTAGAGAGCTCTCTCCTCTTTGCGTACGTCGTTCTCTGCATCTATCAGATCTTCACAGATTATCAGCCCTCGTACCCTGTGGAGCACACACCTTCACCTTCGCAGGCCGGCGACTTCCCTCCGCTCCCGCCTATCATCATGGCGTCGTACACCACGCTTATGCACGCGTTGTCCCTGCTGCCTTCGATCATTCACGCAGCCTTCAATGTGATCACCGCTGTTTTCAGTGCAGTGACACCATCAGTTCTGATTTCACTCGCCTACCGACTGCTCGTGCTATATGCCTCAACACGAATAATTCCTGCTGTGCGCGGATCTGGGGCCCGCGCTCTCTCCCAGGAAGCCTCTCTCGATGACTCGGACGCGGCCGGTCAGCTTCTGGGCTTCTTGAGCTATTTTGCACCCACTATTCTTGTCGCTGTCTATACCAGTCTTCTGATGCAGCATTTCTCATCGACCTCTCAAGCCATGGGGGGCAGCGGCGAGTGGTGGAGCACACAAGGCGCCGGCGGTGGCAACTTGTGGAAGTGGATCAATCTAGCCTGCACTACAGCTCTTTACGCGGTCGAGCTGTGGCTTGGAGAGCACGATGACCTGGACAATGGTCTAGCCGGTCACTGGAAGACCGACTGAGCTAGTGTCGTCGACGCTGAGTGAGACCGGCATGTGTTTGGTCCTCACGAATCATCATCACATGGATCGGAGACTTGGCCTCCGATTTCCAGTAAAGCCGATCGCAGCAGCAACTAAAAAATAAGCCATGGTGATGTGCATTGCTGCAGTCAAGCCAAAGCACCTCAGTTGACAGATACGTCGCGCTGGTCTTGAGGAACAAGTTTTTGCAGCTTGCTTAACCATGCACCTCCAGTCTCGTTTCAAAATGAGAAGGCTTTTTCACGACGCATGGCTCTTGCCCTTGCCTTTGCCTTTTTGTTTTGTTCCGGTTCCAACGTCATACATGGCGACCTGTTGGGCCTCTTTCCTGGCAACGGTCTTTGTGAAAACTGGCTCTTCCCCCTCGTGCATAATCCCATATCATTCCTCACGTACACGGAGCACAGGTCCTTACCCAAGGGATACTGTACCCAAGTCATGCCTGCTTCCAGTTTGGAGACCTATGTCTTCCCCGCCTTGATGACCTCCCCCATGATACCAGCGTCAACCTTGCTATCTTTTCTGCCTTGTCTCATCCCGATATTATCTGGCACATTTATACCCTCCATCTCGTCTGCCTTTGGCCTTCAATGCAAACCTTGCTTCCGTCATTCCGAGTAAAGAGCTGATAGCTCGTTTTCGTTAAGTTTTGTACATAGAAACATTTGTTGCGTCTCTGAGCCCTCAGCCTAGCGCTATTTCTGGGAGACTTCAATTAGACATGATTATTTACTTAATCTGGACGATCTCAAAGTTCAAAATCATCATGAATTTCATAACAATTTTCCTTTTAGACAAACGGGATAGATCGAGCATTCTGCGTAGAACTACTGATAAATACGAAATGAATACAGCGAAAAAAAAAATGCAAAAGACATTGCTGTGAACGATAAACAATGACACAGATGGCGAAGATTGCATGGACTCGAAAAAAATAAAAATATGAACAAGCCGAAGAATGGGAGGGAGAGAGCTGATGCATGCTGAATATCTCAACAGTCAAGAACCGAGACAGACAGTGGCTCGAGTCAAGTTAAGTCGAGTCACCGCACGCCTCCTTTTTGTGCGTTTGTCAATATGAAGCCTGCCATGCCAGTTCCGCCTATTCTTGTTCTTTCCCAGTTTGCCCTGTCCCGCAGTGCACCTCGTCACCCCCGGAAAGATTCATTTCCCATAGCGCCAGGCTTTTGAACCAAAAAGATCAATAACACTCCCAAACCCGGATAACAATTAGATGCGAATGTGAGATGCTGGGTGTCATTTATCGACGGATGGGCACGCCCTCTCGGGCAGCCGGGGGGCTGACGCTAAGCTCTTTAACTTCCTTGTCGTCGTCGGGTCCAATGGAGCCCTCGCTCATGCTGGTGCCGCGGTGCAGGAAGCTGCCTTCCTTGGCGGGGCTGCGGCTTTGGAAGCCGATGGAGCCCGGGTGTCCACTGATGCTGCCGGGAATATGTTGGCCCTGTGCGTTCACGCCGCCGTTGCCGGCATTGTTGGCTCCGGGTGAGGTTGCGGTGAGGTGGGGAATGTTTTCGGGCACCGGGTGTCGCGACCCAATGCTGGTGACGCCAACGTCGGAGGCTTTGCCAGCTTTGCTGAGGGCGTAGTCGCCCGAGTCGAAGTATTTCCGCTCCTATGGAGAGAGAAGGTAGTGAGTAAAAGGTTTCCAGAGAAGCGGGGGGGGCGGGGGTTTGGAGCTGGAGACCGGGAGTTTCGACCTACCTTGAGCTTGTTCTGGAGCAGATCTTTCTTATTGGGCATCTTGCCGTAGAGACGGAAGAGTTTTTGCTCCTCCGGAGTCATGGCCTGGGGATGTATTCAGAAACGCTTTGAAGCAGAGGGGTGCTCGAAAGACTCACATTGATGTCTACCTTGTTCTGCTGGTGGGGGTTCATGTTGCTTTGGGTCAGGTCTGGTAGGAGAGGAAACCGAGTGAAGCGTCAAGAGTCAAGGGTAGAAAGAAGAAGGAGATCCGGTGTGATAGTTGAAAGCGAGTCCTACGAGATGCAGTGGAGCTGTAGAAATGGGAAACCGAGAGGAGAGAGTTACGGGGTTCTATCGATAAGACGCGGGGCCCGGCTACAGACCTGACACATCGGACACCACCGTCCGTTCCTGGTTGATTTCTTTTTTTATTTTTATTTTCTTTCTAGATTCATAGTCGCTAGCCTCGGTGACTATGGAATTATGGCTGGTGCTGAGTTCTTATCTACGAACCAAGTGGCTAAGGTGTGGGAGAACTGTACGTCATCAAGGGGCCAATGACGAGGTTGGGGACGAGATAATTTAGAGTCCCAGTAGTTTTCAGAATAGGACAAGTCCCTAGCGACATGTAAACCATCTGAACGAGAAATTAGGTCGAGATGGGCTAATTAGAAAAACAAGAAGAAAAAAAAGCCGGGGAACAGAGGGAAGAAGGGCGTAGTTGAAGGTCGCCGCATCCGCACATTCACATTCCACAATTAGGTTCCCATTGCGTCGTCCCGCCTGATTTTTTTTTGCAACCCCGCCATGACGGACAAAAGGGCCTTTGTGGTCGAGCACCTGGATCCCGAATTGGGACAGTGGTCGACACTCGAGTATGCCTGTATCGCTCGCGAATCTCATGCCCTGGGAGCTCGATTTCTGCTGAGTTCGGTGCCCGCTGAACTAAGCGCAAATCTGCCCGCGGAACTGGTCGCCACGGAGGGCTTCGAGGTCGAGCAGCGCAGCGTCGAGGAGACCTATCCGAAGGACAAGGTCTGCCTGCTGGATCCTTCGGCTCAGGTCGAATTGAGCCCGGAGGATGGCGACACCTTTGACGTGTTTCTCTTCGGGGGCATTCTAGGTAGGAAATCTTCACTCTAGAGCTTGACATTGAGCTAACTTAGGGATGCAGGTGATGATCCGCCTCGGGGTCTGTCCACCATGATCAATCTGGATTGAATCATCACTAATGGGATCCAGATCGCACCTCGGAATTGAGGAAAAAGGGCTACACTGGTCGCCGATTGGGCCCCAAGCAGATGACTACCGACACCGCTGTGCGAGTTACTCGTATGGTTGTGCATGAGAAGAGTAAGACAGACTCAAGCGATGGAACAATGCTTGAACTCCTACCTAATACGATGCAGTTCCTCTCGAGAAGATTGACTATGTCGACTACCCGGAAATTCTGATTAACGAGCACGAGCGGACTGAAATGCCGTTCCGCTACGTGAAGGATGCCCAAGGCGAGCCGATCATGCCCAAGGTTCGGGTCTCCCCTTTCGCCCTAGGGTTAGCGCTAACCAGTCTTCAGGGGATGGTGGATCTGATTAAGAACGACGCCGACAAGGCAGTCGATGATCTTTTCTAATTGGAACCCCCCCAAAAAGCCACCGTCAGGGATAACCACCTCCCAACGCCGGTTTCAGCATTGTTGCTCGGTTTGACTTTGAAAGGAGGCTCCAGCAGTATGAAATGAATAGGGAACTATGACTGAACAAATTTTAGACGAAGGCAAGCCAAGAAAACCCTCTTGAGCTCGAAAGGGCCGTGAATCGTGGCGCATCTATAGACCGCTGAATCGGGCAACGGGGCATTCGAGCCGTAAGTCGAAGGTTTGGTGAAGTATTCGTATGTCATTATCACCCGATCAAAGTGGGTAATCTTGTAAATTACATGTAATACGATGATCCAGACCGTACGCCGTAACGCCGCGCCCGAGGCCACGCCAGCATCTCCTGGACTCTGGTCTCCGCTCGTTCCGCTTCTTTGACCTACTTGACCAAGCTACGTCGCATTTCCCCGTCCACTTCTTCAACAGGGCGCAGCATTCTCTTGATACCAGCTTTTCGCCCACTTCCTCTTCCCGTGTGCGAACTCCTTGCATATCCGTCTCCGGGTTCGATGACCGCCTAGGCTGTGCTCAGTCCGCGCGGACCTATCTTCACACGGTCGACGAGCTATTCCCTTACGATATCCATGAGCTCTATACTGCCGACCTTGTAAAATAATCACTATGCCCTCCCTCGCTCGTTCGAAGAGGGGCAGCGCCTTCGCCATACTGTCATGGGCCCTTTCTCTGGCGCTGAGCCCGGTGCTATCCATGGCCAGCTCAGCTGCCGATTACTATGTGCACGACCTGCCTGGAGTTCCGGATGGACCTCTCTTGAAGATGCATGCTGGGTAAGCCAATCTTTTGCAATCACGCGATCGGCGACTCATCAGGACAATCTGTATAGACACATAGAAGTCGACCCTGCGAGCAACGGCAACCTCTTCTTCTGGCACTTCCAGAACCAGCACATCGCAAACCGACAGCGAACTGTGATTTGGCTCAATGGTGGACCAGGATGCAGCTCGATGGATGGCGCGCTGATGGAGGTTGGCCCCTATCGAGTCAAGGACGAAGAGACTTTGGAATACAACAAGGGCTCTTGGGATGAATTCGCCAATTTACTCTTTGTCGATCAGCCTGTCGGCACTGGCTTCAGTTATGCCAATACCGATAGCTATCTGCACGAGTTGGATGAGATGTCGGCCCACTTTATGATCTTCTTGGACAAATTTTTCGACATGTTCCCCGAGTATGAAAGAGATGATGTACGTATTTCGATGCGCGGAGGTATTTTCGGGAGAGCTTGGCTTCTGACACATCACAGATCTACATCGCAGGTGAGTCGTACGCTGGCCAGCATATTCCATACATCGCGAAGGCCATCCAGGAACGCAACAAGGCAGCCGTCGCGAATGGAAAGAGTAAATGGCCGCTGAAGGGCCTATTAATCGGCAATGGTTGGATTTCACCTGCCGATCAATATGCCTCTAATTTCGAATTCGCGCAAAAGGAAGGTCTAATCAAAGAAGACACCCAAACATTCCGCAATCTTGAGGCCTTGAACTCCGTATGCTTGTCGAAGCTGGAAACTCCAGGCTCCAAGAACAAAATCAACGTCCAGGAATGTGAGAATGTCTTCCAGCAAGCTCTGACACTCACCACGAAGGACGGTATGTGCTACAACATGTATGACGTTCGGCTGAAAGACACCAGCCCGGCGTGTGGCATGAACTGGCCCCCGGACCTGGAGTATATCAGACCTTATCTCCGTCGGGATGATGTAGTGAAGGCTTTGAACATCAACCCGGCGAAAATGTCTGGCTGGGAGGAATGCTCCGGTCTCGTGAGCGGCGCTTTCAGGGCGAAGAATTCCCAGCCATCTGTCCAGCTACTTCCTGACCTCATTGAATCCGGTATCAATGTTCTCCTGTTCAGCGGTGCAAAGGACTGGATTTGCAACCACATTGGAACGGAAAATTTGATCCACAACATGAAGTGGCATGGTGGCACTGGCTTCGAGACTTCGCCAGGTGTCTGGGCTCCCCGTCACGACTGGACCTTCGAGGGCGAGCCGGCTGGTATCTATCAATACGCTCGCAATCTGACCTACGTCCTTTTCTATAACTCCAGCCACATGGTTCCCTTCGATCAACCCCGCCAGACTCGTGATATGCTTGACAGATTCATGAACGTTGACATCGCCAGCATCGGAGGTCGTCCCGCCGATTCTCGCATCGATGGCGAGAAGCTGCCTCAGACATCGGTCGGCGGCTACCCCAACAGCACCGCCGGAGAGCAGGAGCAGCAACAGAAGATGAAGGAGACCGAGATGAACGCCTACACCAAGTCTGGTGAGGCCATTCTCGTTGTGGTTATCATTGGGGTTCTTATCTGGGGCTTCTTCATCTGGCGTAGTCGCCGTGCCCATAGAGGTTACCGCGGTGTTGGTGGCAACGAGATGAACGACATGAGCGGTTCAAGTCTCGATCGGCTCCACAACAAGCGTACGGCCAACGACATTGAAGCTGGCGACTTTGATGAAGCCGAGTTGGATGATCTCCATTCCCCGGGTATGGATCGGGAAAATTACGCAGTCGGTGATGTCAGTGATGATGATGAAGGCTTGCCCCAGCCGAATGAGGGACACCGATCATGATATGAGCAGCGTGTGTTGAGTGCGGTGTCTCGGTTTTTGTATTCCTCTACTTCTTCGTGATTTTATATGTGCATCTGTACAGCACTAGGCGTACCGTCTGATTTTCGATAGACTAAACATCTTGGATGTCATTCAATACAATCTCCTCGACCCCGTAATGAAATGAATTTGATATGTACATTCATAGGCAGGGTCAACTTGCGACGGATCATCTTCTCATGTCTACATGTGAATTCTTTTTCTTCGGCGGAAGAACAAAAGACTCATGCCTCTGTTTCCAATGCATTGGTGGCTCATCGCTGCAGCGTCCACACCTTGACGCTGCCATCATCTGCAGTCGTCACCAAGATCTCTTCTTGCGCACCCTCTGATCCACGATCCGCCCGGTTCGCCCAAGCCACGTGGTTCATCTCATAGATACCATGTGCTCCGTCAAAGACGGCAAGAATCACCCATTCTGTCTTCAAAGCAGGCCTCGTAGAAGGCTCGGTCTCCATGGCATCTGCACCGGGGGATGGCACCAAAAGTCGTTCTTCATATACCACAATGCGGCCATCGGCCCCGACAGATGCGATAAGTCCAGTCTTTCTGCTCCACGCAACAGCGTAGATGGCCAGCTCATGTGCATGGGGAAGCAGTGCGTCCTCCTCCCACGTCTCATCGGTACCTGAGGGCCGAATAATGCTCGGAATCCCAGTGGCTGCTGACGAGCTCATTCCCGGTTGTGAGCTCTCCTTAGGCAGGCGGCGCCAGACTCGAACAGTGCGGTCGTCAGAGCAGGAAACCAGTCGTGGCCCGGAAAGAGCTCTTTGCTCGCGCCATTGGCTCTGCAGATCGCTCGACTCTGACGCCGGCACGGTCTCGGGTCCTTCCCAGTCAAGGAACCAGACTGTCCCTTCGTGCTTCTTGATACACGCGACCTGGCCCCAATCATCCAGATCCTCCCGCCACAGCCGAATCGTGTCGTCGTATCCACCACTCGCGAGACATTCTTCAACAGGGTGCCAAGCCACACATTTCACATCACCACCATGCTCCTGCATCACCGCGACCGTCTCAAAATTGTTGTCCCCATCATCCAGGTCTTCCCAGATCCAAATCGACTTGTCGCGTGCACATGTGGCAAGCAACATCCCTGACGGTGACCAAGAAACAGACTTGACTTCGCTGTCGTGTCCATCTAGCAGAACGGCAAACCGCCATTCTTCGTCCTCGTCAGCGTTGGGTCCGGTCACATCTTGTTCGTCACCATTGATAGCTCCGTTGGTCCCGTAGCTGTCCCATCGTCGCCAAATTCCAACTGTGGCGTCGAAGCTGCCTGTCGCGAGTACGCTCTCGCCTTGTACGTGTGGTTTCCAGGCGCATGTTCGCACGCTGCGTTTGTGGCCGCCGGTGATGGTTGATAGGAGCTTGAAGTTGGTGAGTGAGTACACCCGCACGGTCTTATCGGAGCTACAAGTCGCGACAATTGGGAGTGTTGGGTGTGGCGCCGTAAGCCATGTCCGCTCTAGCGAGGGAGGTGTGAGGTCGGATATGAGGGAAATGTGTGGCTCGGCCATTATGAGGGGGTAATGGAGGTCGGAGGTTGGTGACAGGGGGGAATTTTTGGGAGTGAATGTGGGGTTACCAGCGATTAGATAGTGATTATCAATTTCAAGTCAAGAACGTTGCCTCACAGCTAGGATTACTCCTGGTCTTATATACAAGTAGCGATGCCCAGTCCTGCCAATCTGCCTTGATCGTATCCCGAAGTCAAACATTCTGCGCCAAAAGATGAAAAGCCCAACCCTCCAAAACCACAATCACTGTGACCACACTATGATATTATATATGCCCCATGGAAACGCCATTACTATGAGGGGGCGCCTTCTTCATAAAGACGCTCGTGAACTGCTCCATGGCAGAGCCAATCCACCTCTCTAATCTTCTCTAATTCGTCCACGAAATGTCCGACTTCATTGACAAACTCGGGCATGCCTGCTCCTGCCAGGCTCTGGCTTGCGGTTGTCGTCGCGCGTACTCTCTCCGAGGCACTCGAGGCGCTGAGACGAGACAGAACGTGACTCCGCAGACGCGATAGGATCAGCTTCGCCACAGGGTCGGAGAAGCTGGGTGCGGATGGACCGCTACCTGAGGAATCCGGGGTAGCTTCCGATCTCTCGATTGTGACTTGGACCGAGGCCCCAGGTGCGGCCACAACACTTGCTGTGGCGACCGGAGCAAGCACTCGTCGAATAGTAGCTGCGAGTTGTGCGCTAGCATTAGGCGGCATGGGATGTGTCGACTGAAGAATGGACTGCACCCGTTCCGCGCTGATCTCACAAAAGTCCAGTGATAGAATACGATCCGCCTCTTGCTTCCACTGCGACCGTGCATCCCGCTTCAGGAGATTTTTGGCCGTCAACAAGATAGAAGCTGTTGCCACAATGCGAAATGCTTGGGCATGCAGGCGCTCCAGTCGAGAGGTATCCAGGCCTGGTGTCTCGGGAATCAAATCCTCGGACACGGTAGCGTTACTGAGCACAAGATCAGCGAGCCCGTGCGCATACACTCGCATGGCGGGCGGTCGAGGCTCCCCATGGATATTTTCCGGGTCTCGCTTCTTCATATCATCGGCAATAGACTTACGATGAACTCGCCAGAAACGTCGGGACTTGCTTAAATCGATAGTTCCATCAGAGACACCCTGGTCGAATATCCGCCGTTCATACCCGGGAGCCTCTTGAATCAGCTGCGGAGCCGCGATTTGGATCATGAAATTCGTGTGATCCAGCGAAAGCAAATCAATCATGCTCATCAGCCTCGCCAAACGATCGATAGCATCGCCAGAACTGTCTTCGGCAAAGGCTTTGACCACTGGATCACGGTATGGTGCACAAAGTCGAGGCAAAATAGTGTTCATAAAGTCGAAGAAATTCTCATAAGAAAATGACCCGGCTTTACATTGGTTCTCAACCAGCTTCGGGTCAAGAACCTCACTGATAAGCACGTACAGGGAATTTCCAGGTTGCAACGAGCGCAGAAGGCGATCTTGGATCACAGTGGCCATGGCAACAGTCCACCCTGTGCCCTGTCCGGCCTCAACATCTCGCCTCATCTGATGACACATATTCTCCATAATTTGTCTGCGTGGCTCTGTGTATAATGCTTCTTCAATCTTATATTCTTTATTGAGCAAAAGCTCATGTACCAAGACACGGTTCTCGGGGAGAGCCGTGAGGATCTTGGTGAACCGCTCATGCGGAGAAACTCGTTGCTTATCCAATTCCTGGAGAACGGCAATATCAACATTGCTGAATGACTCACTAATGGGGGATGTGACACTCTCTGTCAAAACACTCCCCGATGAGGGTGCTGCCTCGGCGCACCGAGGAATGGCCTGCTTAGAGGTAGAGCGCTTCTTTTCTTTCTTTGCCTTCTTCAGGGAGTCTCGGATCATTTGCATAGCACGATCAGAGCCTGCAAGCCGCTTGAGCCTGGCGAGAAGTAGTATTTGGTTCTGACGTATGCCCTGTCGGTAATCCTCTGCGACACCGCCGGCTGTATCACCCTTGACAGTCTGCCAAATAAGTTCCAACTCAACAAATTGAGCAAGCATGATCTCAATAAGGACGGTCGAATCGTGAGATTTCCACGCATGGAACGCTGAGAAGAACACATTGTAGGATTCACAAAGGTTTTGAAGGTCTGCAGTGATCACGGTTGGCGAGCAGCAGCCCGATGAGAGTAGCGCAGCGACTTGCTCAAAGGCGACCAGCACTTCACGTGCCTTAGCAATCAAGTCCTGTTCCTGCTCGCCATCACCACTCAAGACCTCGGCTGGATGGGTGACGATGAGATAGCTGCTAAGGAACGTGCGCACCGCACCACGTTCACCCAGCGCCCCTCCCTCCATGTCCTGCAGCCCGCAGAGCCGAAGTACCTTTGTCGTAGTATCGAGAGCCTTCCGGTCGGAAAGAAGAGCTCCGACTTCTTCAAACGACATCTCCCGAACTCGGTCAATCGACAGGCTGAGTGCCCGGAATTCCTGCATCACGCCCTTCGCATGATGGGTTCTCCAGACGCGCTGGATTTTTCGAGCCGCTCCGTCTTGAGTCAACGATTTCGTGACCGCTCGCGCCATTTTCTTTTCTTCGGCAACCGGAAGGCTGCTGGTACGCTGCCGCCGTTGGCTCTGCTGGTAGAGTGTCCGCCGTTTCTCAGCTTCTGCAAGCTTCTCTGCCATTTCCAGCCGCAAGCGCGCATACTCTGCAGCTTGTTTCTCTCGCTGGTCCTCGGCCTTCTTCTTGGCCCGTTTGACCTGATCTTCGCACTTGGCGGTGATGTCCGCCAGAAGACGTTCGCGAGCTTGCTGGGCAGCTAAAGCTCTCTCCTCGCTGTGTAGGTTTCTGGTAGCGGCCTTTGCGAGAGCAGCGCGTAACCTCACCTTCTCGGCGTGCAACGCTCGGTCGGCCAGCCTCGCTTTACGGCTTTCAAGTATGGAGGTGCGGCGGAGGTGCTGGGCGACTTGGTCCGCACTCGGCGATCCGTTCGAGGAAGCATTTGAGTGTTGTGAATGCAGCGAAGAAACCGAGCTCCGCCGCGAAGAGGCCACGGAGGAGCGCCTCACCTTGCTGTTGCGACGGTAGAAGCGAGCTGCGATGTGTGGTGGAAGAGTCAGCGGCGGTGCCGACTCTTCGGATAACATTTCCACGTCCGATTCGGTTACGGAGTTTGGGGATAGGGGAGTGGGACCAGCATCAGGCAGCTGGATCTCGATGTCAGAGTTGCGGCGCATCATCGTCAAGGCAAGAGCACGCTGCACCTGAGTGCAGGGGGTGAGCAACGCGGTGGGGTAGTTCGTATGGACTTCTGGGACGAGCCTTGAAGAGGAGAACCTCTTGATGAGAAAATCAGAATCAGATGTCACGAAGGATTCAGAAGCTATATGAAGGCCTAGTACCGGGCACAAAGCCGCTTACTACTGTTTGCGTTCGAAAGCGTGGTTTCGATGATTTTAGACAGAAGCGTTGTTGTATATGAAACGAAATTGTTTGTGAGTATCCACAACCAGCACGCTTGGCCAAGTGGTAAGGCGCTTGACTTGTATTCAGGAACTACCTGGGTAGCAATCAAGAGAGCACCGGTTCGACTCCGGTAGTGTGCAATTTCTTTTTTCCGTTCCTTCCTTCCCACCCAATTTTTTTTGTTTTCCAACATGCTGACCGACCAACAAGTTTAGCTTTTGACACCAAGATCCGACAGGCGAGGACCCCTATCTTACACGTATATAGAACCGAAAACCATGTACGGATGGAATTTGAGGGCCGAAGCACAGAGCTATTCCTCAACGCGGCTCAGCTAATCCGCATCGGGGTGAGATCAGGTGGGAGTTGCACATGTAATTGGCAAACATGCTTGTCCGCGGTATGTACGTTGTTCCGAACTTGTTTCAGATTGGCGCAGATGCTGTTTCATTATTTACGAAGCCGAATCCGGTGATACTATGTGCCATGACGTAGACCTATTGTTTACTAACCAATCCTGTTCGAGTGTGACCCGGTCCATCGGGCGCGGTCGGATCTTGGCTTCCTTGTATATTTATTGTATATCTTGGAATATATTTCAATCTCACTGTTAATCGGTCATGATTGGTCAATATGATTGCATATTATCCGTGTGCCGCAGGTGGAATTCCCGTCAAGCCTTGAAATTTATATGTTTGAGCAATCTTCAGATAAAAAGGGTGTGAAGGATCTCATAACACCAAGTTCATTGATCTGATCATTCCCTTACCAATGAATACAGCCCCGTCTCACACTCACTTAGGGTGTTGCGAAGCTAAAGAAGCCGTAACCCAACTCTCATCTGACCTCGACCTCCTCGATTGGCGCGCAGGTAGTAAGGGATGAAGTGCAAGTCCCTCATCTCCCCTTTGATCGCATCTCTGGTCTCAGCTGTAATTTGGCCATTCCAAAATGACGTGTCGAGGTTACCTGCCGCACCTTTTTCCGCAACTATAGCCACGTGCTGGTCTGGTTGAGCCCGAGTTTCTTCCCGTAAATTAGACTCGGGATTGAAGATCGTCATCTGTCTCATCAATCAGTCTTCGCACAGACACGGTCTCATTGATGCCCTGATTTGATTACCTTGAAATGATTTACCTCCCATGGATGATCGACATCCTCCACACAATACACTATGGGCCCGCGCATGATATATACCACTGGCTGTAGGGTCAAAGGATGAGGCCGAACTAGTCGTGGCTGCATTGGACAAGAGAAGCGGAAATTTGGATTATTTTGTAACCACTCTGCACCGAGGTAGAGATATCCATCTCGTATATGAAGTTGGTCAGGGCGGGGTGTAATCTGACTCAATCCAAGTCAGCACTGAAGGATCAGCAGGTAACGTGAGTCTAACCTCCCATGCTTTCACCCATCCAGGAATCCGCAATCGTAGCTGAATGTCTAGTGGTGGGTGATCTGCACGTATATCAAATTCTACATCGCCATCCCACGGCCAGTGCGTTTTCTGTGTTATTTCAACTTTCGAACCGCCGACCTGAAGAGCAAGAGTAGCCGAAGTGTACATATGCACATTCACCACGGCAATATTGTCCCTCACCGTATGGCTCCAGATATAACCCCCAAGAAAGCCTAAGGTTCGAGTAACATTCGGTGGACAGCAAGCACATTCAAACCACTCGTGTCGCTCTGAAAGATCCTGACAAGAAGAAGCCAACTGATTCACATATGTGAATGCCTTTCCATCCAGACTCATGCCAGTCAAAATTGCATTGTATAAGCAAAGTTCCATGATATCTGCATAGTGGCCACTTAGTTCCACCTAAAGATGTTTCATTAGCCATAGATAGAAAGTTAGTCCTAGCGATCTCCGGTGCATACCTGTAGCAAGCGTTCGGCAAGCATCATAACACCAATTGCTGCACAGGTCTCTGCATAGCAGCCCCCCTCGTCTGTACTATGGGGTAGAAAGTAATCGATACCAAAGCCTTCCCATTGTTTCATGGCTCCAATGCCACCGGTCACATAGGACTTCTTCTCGACCATGTTTGACCATAATCGATGCAGAGCAGACAAGTACTTAGCACCGAAGCTACTCTCAGGGTGTCTGATTCGAACTAGGTCGGCAACTGCAGTGAGAAGGTACATCGCTCGCACTGAATGTCCCTCAACGGTCCTCTGGTCCGCGATCGGTAGATGGGCTTGTTGATACCTGGCTTCATGGTCAGAATAGCCTTATACAGGCGAGGGGACTGTTCATACCAATAGCTTCTTGCAGCAGGATAGTACATGGGTAGGTCATGCTCGCTTTCCCCTCTGGCCTCTGCTTCAACATCGTAGTAGTGTCTTTTTTCTTTCCCTCCACTTCCATTTCCTCGCTCCTCAACGAAAAACTGGGCCAGTCTTAGATGCTTTGGATCACTTGTCACCTTGTGAAGACGTAAAAGTGCGAGTTCAATCTCCGGGTGACCGGGATAGCCGGGGATCTGGTCTTCCTGGTCACCCAAAGTAGCTGAAAGTAGATCGACGTATTTGAGAATGGGACTCATCATCTCGTCATTCTTGTAGTAGAGCCGATGAGCGAGTGCCCCTTCAATCAGATGACCTGCATTGTACCTGAAGTAGAAAAAGCATGGTTGGTCTTTGTCCTCGGGGGAGGCATTTCATCGCAAAACATACAATTCGTGCATATCTCTCAGATTGGTAAAGCGCTTCCCCGGCTCGACTACAGAATAGTGAATATTCAGATAACCGTCTGGATACTGGGCCTCACGAATCATCTGAACCAGTTCTTGGACGGCCAGGTCAATCTCTGCCTCATAGCGATCTACTAGCAAATAACAAGCGCCCTCAATCCATTTTGCCACGTCGGAGTCCCAGAATTGGTGATTGGGTATGGGATAGATCGTGGGGGGATCCGAATAGCACGGATGCCATTTGAGCTTGAATGCGTCATATCGACCCGTTCGTTTCAGCATCTGAAGCTGGTGCCGAAGCGTTCGGGCTCGAACGACCTCGCGACGACGTGCCCAAAAAGACTCCGGCTTGAAAGTTGTTGCAACGAAGCTTTCCTGTGGATAATCCATGTTTTCTTCTCGGGCTGAAATTCACATGAGACTTCGAGATGAATGAACCGAGTACGACCCGGAACACCATTGTCCCTTATAAGTACCGAGGGCATCGGGAAGCCCCTCTTCGGTAGCCGGATCGGAGATGGAGCGACCCTGTGGCCCATATAGCGAGCATCATGATAGTCTGTGGATGGGCTCCGCTGGGACTGAGCTCCGAGCGGGATGAAGGGCTTGACTCCGGCGGAGACCCTCCGGCGGGGGGTGAGGGTTACGCCGGAGAGTAAGGTTGCCGTTAAGCACTGGGAACTCCTCGTACCCCCACATAACCTACAAGTGCACTGGCGCAGCTCCGAGACTTCGAGAATCATGCGCTCCACATACTCGGAACGTCTGCTATGTGGGGTCCCGATACCTCAGGTTTCGCCATGTGTATATGTAGAGACCTGTGAGCAATATCGCGGGTCCACCCCCCATGTGCCCTTCAAAGACCAAGTCCATTGATTCCGCCTCTGACTCAAGATGACTCTCTGGAGAAGTTCCTTCCCAAGGATGACCGGTAAGTACACTGTCACTTGGATGGCCAAGAACCGTGTCTGAACCGAACGTACAGCTATGCGGCAATGTTGCTCTATGGCATGGTGTTTTCTACCTGTTTCAATGGATACGATGCTGGCATCATGACGGTCATTCTAGCGGACAAACAATTCATCGCATACTATGGAATTACTGCTAACAGGTCCGGCCTGGTTGCGACGATCCCCTGGGCTATGACTGGTATGTGATGTCCAGGGAAGAATTTGACTTCAATTTGATTCACCCCTAATAGAAATATAGGACTGGCCCAGCTTTGGCTGGGAGGCTCTCTAGCTGGATGGCTAGGTCGCCTCTGGGCGTTACGTCTCTCGATCTGTATTATGATCATTGGAGTGTACGGAGGTGCCATTGCAAAAGCTCGGCCAGGGCTAACATCTATGCAGTGTGGTTGAGGTTGTTCCAAATAACTTTGGTGTCTTGATTCTAGGTCGGCTCTTGACGTGAGTTCTTCCATCTTATGACTACTTGAGTTTTCCTGACAGTTCTGATTGGTCTTGTGCATCAGTGGCCTAGGCTTTGGCTGTGTCTATATCGCCACGAATCTATACGTCGCCGAATGCGCCCCCACAAAGCTGAGAGGCAGTTTCGTAGGCACGGTATCCCAATTTGGTTATCAACTGGGTACTTTGATTGCTTTTTGGGCTGGCTATGGGATGTCTTTCCACAAGTCTCCCTACAACATCGCATGGAGAGTCTCAAATGTTGTTCAGATTCCGATCGGCCTGGCCTTTATTGCTGTCTCATTTTGGTATCCCGAAAGCCCCCGCTTCTTGCTGGAAAAGTACCCAGAGACACCTGAACGATCTCTACAGATGTTGAGCCGACTTAGGTCTGGGGTACCGACTGATGAACGGATTCGTACCGAGTTCCACGAATTAGTGGCATCGTACGAGTTCCGTCGACGGTACAATCCCGGCTATATTGGACTTTTCAAGGATAAAAGTATGCGTAAGCGCCTTGCATATGGATTCTATGCAGCAGGTCTTCAGCAGGTAGGTCATAACCAGACATCTAATGTGCATCTTCTGGAGATTCTGACAGAATTCAAGTGCGGTGGTATTGCCGCGCTTACGATGTACGCCACTCTCATTTATCAGAGTCTCGGATGGGACGCTGGCTCACAAGCTTTGTCAATCAACGGCATTCAATCTGTCCTGCAATTGTTGATTGTCTTGGTCAACACTTTCACTGTGGAAAAATTTGGTCGGCGAGGCCTATTGATGGCTGGATTCGCTATTCAGTCACTGGCGCTATTGATCATGTCTTGTCTCACCACGGCCTTCCCTTCCAATGGAAACAAAGCTGCCGCTGTAGTCGAAGTTGCCATGCTCTTCGTTGTGGGGTTGACCTATTGCTGGTCTAATGGCCCCATCGCGGCCGCGGTAGTATCCGAAATATTTCCGCAGCATGTTCGAGACAAGGTAAATTGGAGCTAATTACGAGAAAAGGGAACTACTTACTGATATGCCCATCCTTTCTAGGGCTTTGGTCTTTCGATGCTTGGCCAAACTTGCTGGCTCATCCTGCTCACCCAATCTTGGCCCTCGTTCAACGACAAAGTTGGAGGCCACAGCTATTGGCTATTGTTTGGGCTGAATGTAATGGCTGGGGTAAGTCAAATTCCCTCTGCACCCCAGAACGGGCCTTGTCTTTAATTTCAAATGTCTAGATCTCAGTTTACCTCATTCTCCCTGAAACAAAGGGTATCTCACTGGAGCGAATGGAAAAGATATTCGGTGGCTTGGATCATGTCGAGGCGGGCGAGTGTGAAGGTGGCTCCGAGAAACTAGAGGCAATGGCCAATGTCGAAAAGGGACAAAAGACCCCAATAGCCCATGTGGAAGACTTACCCAGGCAGGGCTCGTCGGTTCCACAAACATCGATAGTCTGACCCACCAGTTACCATTGATGCAGCTTTGGCACCATGTTTTAGGGAAATTATGGAGAATGATTCAGAAGCAGTTCATTTCAGTCGTGATGCTAGATAATGCGGGTTCAAATTTGAAATATGCGAGTGCCATGCCAATAAAAGCAGGCTTCTATTGCAATGCCAAACGGAATCCATACCGCACGAGGTGAATGCGATCAAAAGGTGACCAGAATCCAATGTCTGCCGCAATGCACGATTTTGCCCTCGATCAATGCTGCGCTGTTGTGGTGCCGTTCCACAATTAATGGAAAGAGCATATAAGCTGGAGAATCAAGCCTGGTGTCATCAGCTTGGTTATCGAGGGTTTCTGGATTCCTCCCCCGAGAACCTTGGGGCAAGTCTATACTGCAGTTCAAGTTGCATCGCCTTCCAATTGCATACGAGTCTCAACCTTGTAGCTCAAGATCCTGAGCGAGACCCGATGCGCGATGAGAATAGACTGCGGCATTGTTCGAATGGGCAAACGGCCCAAAGGAAGCAGGTAGATCTACCGTATGCGCCCAATTCCTTCTTGGAGGCTGATATGGCGCCATGATTATCGATGACCAAAAATATCGATGTGCTCAGCTCCTTCGTCTTCCTCCTCCTCACCATCCTCCCCACCATCCTCCTCTTCCAACTCCGAAGAATTACCAGAACCCGCATCGTCGTCTTCATCTTCAGCTTCGGACGTGCCTTCGGTGAGTGCCGTCTCACCTGCAAGGAATCCATAGCGATCTCGGAGCTTCTTGCTCAAAAAGTTCAATGCACCATAATCACCCCCGGAATTATCTTGAGATGCACCCCCAAAAAAGGGCATGGAGGATGGTTTCTCTGACTCGCGTTCAGTCGGTAGACCGAAGTAGTTGCTAACCACAGGTGAAATGGCACGTCCGTGAGTCATATTGTAGGACACAAATTGTCGATCGGATCCGGCGGCTCCTGGGACACTGAGTTGGGACTGGGTCACCTGGCTAGCACTAAGATGCAACGATGCCAATGATGCCGTTGCATCTCCAGTCACATTCAGGGACGACGACCGTGGCCGATGTGGGAGATTCCTGACGTTTTCCTCTTCAAGCGCTTCGGAAATATCACCTTGCAAAACTCTCAGTTGAGCAGTATTATAAGATTCACACCTGCATGAATGTTAGCCTCTTCATTCATCCCGTTTGTCGTAGATACTCACAAATCACACTTCAACCCCAACCAATGATACTTGACAGCTGACCTTGCACCGCAATCGTTACAATATATCAAACCTTTGGTGTCTTTAAATTCTTCAGGCATAGGTTGGCTTTCAATAGTGCGATCGAGATTCCTGAAAGTCGATTCCATGTTGGTAATAGTCTTGCTGCAGATAGGACAACGGAACGAGGTCTTCGAGTATTCTGACAAACACTTGTGGTGAAGACTGTGGCCACATCGCATCACAACCACAGTCTCTGGCGAATCGAACATATAGTCGCCACAGATGGGACAGTCGCATTGGGTGGACCTTTCGATACAGCGATGAGTATCCTCGATCGAGATGGGTAAGCATACAGAACATGTCTGAAAAGTCAGCATCGTAGAAGGTATTTCCCTACAAGTCAAGCCCTACCTTGCAGTGAAAAAAGTCCTTGCCAAGCCCCTGACCAATCCGGCAAATGCCACAGTCGTTACAATGATAAATGCTTTTATTTCCGTCATTGTCCCAAAGTTTGCAGATCTCACAAAAATATTGAGCAGTCTGTTCTCCACATTTTCTGCAGTCATGCGCCGCGGGCTGGGCATGGCCGCATAGCATGCATAGCATGTTCTCGATGTCTCGGCGAATGAGATGGTGGTCTTCGACTTTATCGTGGCAAAATCGACATGTGTACCACCTTTTGCAACTGAAGCACTCGATTTTGACATTCCTATGGTAGTGCTGACAACCAAGAGACGTCTCCTCCAACTCTTCGGTGTCTGGATCTTCTTTTCCCGTCTCCTCGCCCGTTTCAACCACTGGAGACTCAAGCTCCACCTTCGGAACATAAGTAGGCTGCAAATCCTCCGAAGTCAGGGTAAACTGATGCTGATACTGAGAAATCGATGCCGTCAATGTCGGGCTCAGCGGAGCTAAATCCTGCAAAAGTTTGCTTCGTAGGGTTGGCGGACTTTCTAGCTGGACCGGCCGTGGAGTGCTAAGCGTGGGAGATATCGTTGATGCAAGATTCGGGGCAAGAGTTCGACAGGAGTTATAACTTTCTGTCATCAGCTCGTGAACCATCCGTGCTTTATCGTCGTTGCTGAGATCAAGTTCGCGAATAGCGTGTATTTTATTTCTGAGCCAACCCATGCCATCATCAGCGGGTAGAGACATTTGACTCGATTCCGCCAAGTTGAAAGCAGGGTTTGGTGATCTCCCAGCTCCGTCGCTTCTAACTGGGGGGTTGGTAGTTGGTGGCTCCGTCACCTCGCGATGTCCAAATTCTACGTTTGCCAGGTCCCCTATATCGACAACATCAGCAGCCGTGCGTACAATGTCGGCGGTGTGCCGAGCGGTCGCCAATGTGTCACTTGGGAGAGGGCTATCTTCAGGCATTATTCGAACGCCTTCCGGGTCCGAAGCTCGGCCGTCCATGTCTTTGGGTAGGGTTGTGAAGAAAGGAGGCGCAGGCAAAGATCCTGCATTTCCGCTGACCGATTGCGAATCACCACTTTGTTGGATGGTTGAAAGAGCAGGATCGGGGTGACCGCTGTTTGCCGGGTGGGTTTGACGTTGAGGTGTCTCCGCTTGGTCAGAGTGGGGAGGGCGGGGTCTGGTGCGAATTCCGAGATCAGTCAATAAGGAGAATATGAAGCTGGTCATGAAGGGCCAAGGTGAATTACATTGCATTCACCAACCGATCGAAGATTGATGGCGGTTTGGCCATTTGGGCAATTCGGTAATTTGGCATGTGACGTCGGGCCCATCACATGACGAATACCGATGTACTACCAAAGTATCGAAGTGTGGGTTGAATCTATATTTATGAACACTTGAAGAGTGGATCTAGCGCTTGATTACTCTTAGCTTATATTATTAAGAAGTCTTCTGAATATTTCGCTCTCGACCAGTTGTGCGCCCAGGTCGAAGCCCTGCAGCATCGTGCATCGAGTCTGATTACTCTCCCCACACAGTTCCTTTTCGGGGGCTGTTCGAACCTAGCGAATGCACCATGCTGCGAATTTGGGTTGATGAAGATGCGTCATGCATTCTTTTTTCCCGATAGAGAGGACAATGCGAGGATGACAACAGACTCAGGATAGATCGTTGTTCCAGACCGTGTCCAAACGTCCTAATGCCCAAGAAGGGGGGCGGGGGTTGTTGGAAGAGGAACTTCCAAGCTGGGCGAGATTATGTGGCCTGATCCCATTCAAGGAGATAGTTTCCCGCCCTAATGGTGTATTTATGCCCAAGTGGAAGTACTGGCGCCCAATGCAGGATCATAGTGCGACGAATCGGACGGGCAGCGGGTCTCTCATTTCAGACATGTCCCTAGACTCTCATTAAGACGCTCGAGGGTCGAATGATACTGCTGGTATGCAATTTTGCGGAATCGGGTCTCCAGTCTACCGATTCCCAGAGCCCGTAGCCTACGGTACGAGTTAATGACAACCTTCTCCACTTGTGGTAGTGGCACTTACGTGCGTGACTCTTTAGCAAAACTGGGCATTTTCCAATACCTAGCAAATAGTAGGTTCTTCACGATCTTATGCTCGAAGCCCGTGGCGTCAGCGGCACGTTCGAGAAAGCGGAGAGTATTGGCGATCTTCAACGGATCAAACTCATCGCGTGGAGTCGAGCGAAAGGAAGTCCGCAATGTTGAACGGAGAACGTGGCGGCCGGGAGTGGCATATCTGATGGTTCTTAGCCCCTGTCGATAGAGGTGACGGTATGCATGAACAACGGTCTGGTCAGCCAGACTACCCGAAGCACTCATGTTGGTTGCACCAAGACGACGTGATCATTGATTCGAAGATCTGCGGCCTCAGGCAGCGCTAACCTAATCGGGACAGGTGACTTTGGGCCGCAACTTACAACTTACAACTTGCGACTTCTATCCTTTCTGCATCCCCCACCTGAACTTATATCACTCTGTTGGGTTTGCTTTCCTTTATAAATTGGGGAGACGTGTCATCCTGCAACCCTTGCTTAGACGCGTGGGGTTCTCCGGTCTGTTCACCCCCGGTGAATTTATGCACTGACCGCCCTCAAGCCTACAATATCAAGCGCCCAGCCCGGCTCTCAGAAACATGCGTTGAAAGATTCCCATAGGGTTCGTGTCAAGAGCCTGAGCAGTATGGCCCGAGTTGTCAGAAGGGCCGCGTCGGCTTCGGCCAGGCGCGCTCCTAGTCGGGCCGTTCAGAGGAGAGCACGCAAGCACAAGGTGATCATGGAGTCTGTCACCCAGGAGAAGAAGAAACTCCGAACTGTGGTGAGTGTGACCGAACATCTGAATCCGGAAAATAAACTTGACGATCGGTTTAGATTTCTTTCGAAGCTCGAGCGCCCAGTGGTTACACCTTCATACCAGCAGGGAATCCACTTCTCACCACCACATGTAAGGAGAAATGCCGAAAAGAAGGTCTCCAGATACATGCGGTCTCGGTAAGACGATTAATATGCTCTTCAGTCCGAACGCTACTTATATCTAGCAGACAACTCCGCATGCAAACACGCACAACCTATCGCAACACGTCCATCGAATAGGGTTTCACTTTCCGAGTACAGTGGTTGCAGCCGCCTGCTCAGAACTGGGTTTGTATCTCACAAGTACAGGGAAAGCGGTGCCTGTTCACACCCTTGGCAATCTGGACCATCCCCCACAAACGGACTCCGAGGCTTCCCAACTCACCATCAACACGGAGGCGAGAGATGCGATTAAAGATTTGTTCCCGAATATTCCTCAAAGTGATTTATTCCAGATCATCAAAACCGCTTTTCAGAAGGTAAGTTCCTTGGCGTGCTCAGAAGGGCAAGACTTGAAAGATCGGGGATGCCTGATATCTATTTCAGGGTCAACAGAAAGTCGGCACGGCACCTGGTTTACCCTTGGCGCGCCGAGCGCAATTAGCCGTGGTTGCGCATATTCGACATCTCTACACTGACTATGATCGTCTTTTGAAGCAGAAGTCTTTTCACGAAGCAAGGGCAGCGGTCGAGCAGACTACTCTGAAAAAAGTCATCCAATGGCGCGGGGATGATGAAAATGGCCAAACCGTTCTGGAGGATGTTTTCCGTGAAGTGATCGTCATTTCCGATGATGACGATAGTGAGACGGAAGAAGAGATGGTATCCGCTACGAACACTCGAGATCAGAGTGTGGAATATCTATCCAATAATGCCCGGTTCCAGGACGTTCAAACCCAACCGGTCAATATCGGAATTCCTTCCAGTGAAGAGCTTGCAAAAGAGCTGGCTGAAGAGGCACCCCCCGGATATCGTTTTGTGGCCAGGGTGCCAGCCAAAAAGACCATCGACCGTCGAGGTTTCAGCAGGTATCAAGCGTGGAACCTGGCTTTGCATCGTTTCCGCGCCGAGGCACAGGGTGCCGAACAGGCCCGTCTCGGCAAAGGCCCGCCAGAGCAGCAAAGCCCACGCAATGCGAAGCGATGTGCTGATGTGCAAGAATCATCAAACCCACTTTCGCGATGGGACATCGCTCCCAATTCCGTGGGATTTGTCTCCAGAGCCGATCCAGGTCCCATGCAGGCCAACCGCCCAGCACAACAAATACCTAGCGTTCCATCAGCGGATAGCCCGAGCGACAAGATTCATGTAGGTATACAGGAAAGACAACTACCTTTGGAAAGCCAGCGAGTGTATTCTCAATATGGGTCTGGTGGAAGGCCTCTCTCACTAACCGCCCCGGGGCCATCTGACATCCGTCTTATGGAGAGGAACCCTCGCACATGCGGGAACACCGTCTACTCTCAGAGCACTTCTCATGCAGGAGCGGATCCCGGACTTCGAGCTAATAGGTTTCCTGACCCGTCCAATACCAGAGCGAATGCGCCAGTCTTTGTTAGCGGACCCAAAGAGCTTCAACCGATTAGCGAGACCCAAGTTGGATCCCGACCCGGTCTCCCTGTTTCTTACTTATCCAGATCAGGAGCCATTCCACAAGACCATGCTTTACCATCGATCGAAACCCCCCTGCCTCTGGAAAAGCGGCTTGTGGATGGTCGACTAGAGCAGATGACGAAGAGGATGTCGCTTCGTTCTGTTACCCCGGTCCACCACCTCCAGGGGGATTCCTCTCATCATAGAAATACTGGGCCACCGGATGGTCTCGATGATTCAATTGCCAAGAGAAGGCGCATAGCGCATTATGCCCATCGTCCAGACTCGCGCCCCGATACCTGGAATATACTGCCGAACGGAATTCCAGTCTCTCAAGGGTTGAGCCCAAGAGGTCAATATCGCCGTGAGGAGATCGTCCCAGAAAACCGCTCGCAGGATCTACCTTATTCTCGACGATACTATCTCCCGCAGACGGAGCAGCCTCTGGCTGTAGCATTCCCACCAGAAAAGATACCGTTGCCTCTTGCCGCTGCTCAAGTCATCCAGGATGGGAGACCACCAAGGGAACGGATGCGTATCATAGATCCTCATCAGCAGGCCACAAAAAATCGCCCTCCCCCAGTTCCTGGACCAAATGGTAGCTATGCTGCAGGCGATCGCACAATCCGGGTTGTACAGGAAGCGTCCTGCCCTGAAATTCGTCCCATCTACTATTCTGATCGTAGCTCCCGCCTGGACCGAGCCCAACCCTCAACGCTTGAAGAGCCATACGACCCTATTTGGAAGCCCTATACTGATCGGGATCATATCTTTCATGAGGTTCCTCCTGCGGCAAGCAGTATGCGGATGGTTTCGTTCGTCACGTTGATACCCGCGAGGTTCGTCCGGTCGGATCCATGATTCAACATCCGAGGCCTCAGCCCATCCATCCGGTAGAGAATCTCAGTCGGTCCGCCAAGATGAGGAGGCCCGATCACTATGGTACCATGACATTGTCTCAGGCCCGAGCTTCGTCAGAGCAATATCAGCCCCCAAGTCCCCAGGTAGTGGCCAAAAATTCTCACGACCAGCTCTCTCGCCGCCCGGAGGTTGTTCCTGGAAGCCACCAGCCTCATGGATCTCCTCGCCAAAGACGCCCTGGTAGTGGGTTGAGCATAACGCGGTAAGCCCTTTCTACAACAAGATGAGCCAATTCACTATGCGCACCATTCCTTGGATCGTATGCGCCTGGAAACTTACACCTTTCACAGCCGGGTTCATGATCCCCGATCGTTTCAAGTAACGGAACAAAACCGCCCAATTTACGTTCAGCGAGTTGAAGAGCAACCGCAACAACAGACTGTTCCGGACGGACGACATGTGGTCATTGTGGATTGAAGGTCAAGGAGTTTGCGACGTGGAAAGGATTGCTTTTTCTTCTGTTGAGATTTTCTGCATTTGTTCTGCGCAGTTGCCCATGATACCCTCCTGCCTATTATTCGAATGCCCGCATCTTATGGACGTCCAATACAGATCGTGTCGCCTAGGGGATTTCCCAAGCATATGAGCATCGCACGTCCACCTCTTCAGGCTTGTTTGCCCTTGTAGCATTTAGCTTAGCTGTCTTAAAGTAGGGAAAGGAAAGATCCGAATCAGCGAAGATATGCCAAGGTACATTGCGCTTTGGATTTGGTTCCAGACAAGTCTATGAATCATATAAGGATAGCTCTTTCTAATCCTCTCTGATCTCGCGAGAAACAAAAGCTTTGTTGACCCCTCCCAAGCGGGGCTTCGGCCCGTCGTGCGCCTGGAAGCTTCAGACACTCATCGTCTGCCCATCGGCCTCGCCGCTGTTGACCTGCTTTCCAGTCTTTTTGATCGCGGCCAGCACAGTATCGTAAGAGACGGTCGACTCGGCGGTCACGAGCGCGGTCTGGGATTCAAGGTTGACGTCGAAGGATTTGACGCCTGCGGGGTCAATTAGCAAAGCACAACCCAGAGAACACAGGCTTACTGACCCTCCAAGCGCTTCAGGACACGCTCGACGGCGCCGGAGCAGCCGCCGCAGCTCATGGACACGTTAAACTTGTATTGGTGGTCTGACATGGCGAAGTGAAGTTGGAGAGTTGGAACCGCGCGGCTGCCGGGTGGAGAAAGGGCGGGATTGGAGAAATGGATTTGTCACAACGTTACGAACAGCGCTGTGATTATCTATTGTACGGGCTGAGTCTAGTGCATTTGTCATGCTTATTCATTCCTTTCACCAGTGTGAAGTCCACAATTGGCCGGGTTCGGCTATATAGGCGCCCGTTATTCACAGGGTTCTCTCTAGAAACCAGCAGCTCGCTTCTTTTTCCTGGGTTTGCTGCTCTTCTTGACTTCACGGGCTCCAAATTGACCTCGTTCCATCTGGGTCATGGGCACATCGTCCACCGTGGGCTGGCTGCTTTGAATAGGCATCGGTGGGTGGTCGGGCTGACTGCCCCAAGTACGGATCATGGGTGCGACCGGAGTCGGCGGCAGGGATGAAGTAGGTTCAGGTTCAGGTGCAAGTGCGTTCGTGGTAGCAGTAGCAGTAGAAGTAGCAGACAAAGCCTGCGATCTCCTCCTACGATGCCGTTGCCGGGGTTTCTTTGTCGTCGTCTGGTTCCCATCTGCATCAAGCAGTCGTGAGCTCTTCTGCCATTCATATGTGGCCGGGTCGACGCCCATTTGCCAATGGGATAACAAGTTGGCCACATTTGGAGGCATTGGACGGGGCTGTTTGAACACTGCATATGCAGAGAGAGCTGTGTAGTTTGTAGCCGGGACTTTCTTGGTCTTTTCTTTTCCATTCGACGTCTGAGTAGATGTCATTTGGGAGGATGACAATTTTAAACGATGGGCCTGTGATGATGGCGTGAGCTCCTGCCGAGTCCGATGCGTATCAGTCGATTCGACCTCGCTGGTCATGTTATCTGCATTGGGTATTGATGTACGAATGAGACGAGCTAGAAGAAGGTCCAGGGCAATGCCCCGAACAGATCGTTCTTTCAAAACCCGTGTAAAATCGGGTATACCTTCTTCGCCATGGGGCAGAAGCGCAACCCATTCGTCGACCAGGTGGTTGTATGTCTCCAGGAAATCCAACCCTGGATCCGGCGAAATGCCCTTCAGACCCAGGAATGTGTTTGCGAACTGTAAAGGCAAAACCATATAGCGCCATGGAACGTGTGTATCCGAGCTCTTGGACATAAGAGTCGTAACTAGATGAGCGAAATCGTCCGCTCCATCGTCTATGTCGTTCAGCATTGGGCGATCAACGCTTATCTCCAGCCTAGGGTGTATCAGTATCATCCGAACGGTGAACCAGATCAAATAAAGTAGACATACACAGTTTTGCTAGCACTCAAATGATCGAATTTTCTACTCGGGTCCAATATGAAATTTTCAATCATGCCGTTCAAGGTCAATTGAGTCCCTCTTGAGTCAAAAGTGTCTGTCAGGACGGTCACGTTATCCACTGCCCGGGCGTAAACAGACGTCCAATCTAGGGTCCATTGGAGATCCTCTGTGCGGTCGTGTAAAGTGTCCATAGCAGAAACGCCGGAGGCAGATTGACGAAGAGTGAGGCGTGAGATTGCAGATTCATCCCAGTCCTCCACAATGAAATCCTCGTCATCGAACCCAACTTCATCGGTATAGTCCTTTTTCACAAGTGGAAAAGGCGTTTTGGTCTGCAATATACTGAAAGACTCGCGAAGCGCCTTCTCTCCGGCCTGTCTCTGGTGATTGTCTGGGCCTTTAAACAGCGTTTCATGAACGGACAGGTGTTGATCAGCCCAGAAGAGTTTGATTAGCGTCATGTTGGGATTGTGGTGCATTGTCGCATGTGCAGGAGTGTGGTGTACTTGTCGAAACACGACTGTCGAGTAATTCAAGGGCGTGTTCTCGGGAAAAAGTTCCCCTTCTTTGGGAAACTTGAGAATAAAAGGATCGGGCACGGAGACCAGTTCTGTCTTTCCACCCTCGAGAATGGGACATGGAAATCCTTGGACAAGGTCGGTGAGTCGCGAATATAAAATCATGTACAGATCTAGTCCGGTCAGTGGTCAATCAACTGGAACAAAGGATTCAGGCACACACCGCCATTAACCAGGAGATCGCTGATATGTAATGTTGTATCCTCAGGATCTCGAAAATGACGCCAGGTTAGGGACGGAAATAGTGATGTCCTCGTGCCATTTGAAATCGACGCTCTTGTGACATCAAACCACAGAAGTCGGGAGCTTGTGAGGATGAAGAAGTGAGACGGATTCTGTATGCTTCGTTGTAAATCCAGAATCCACTCGGATTTTTTGTCCATGCCAAGTTCGACAATGCTAGATCGAACACTCTTGCTGGTCAACTCGTCGGTCATCTCGTAAAGCACAGTGGAACGACGATCAGAAACCACTACGGTCGAGGAATCAGCGACCCACTCGATCGATGCCCAGCCGTCGTGTCTTGGACGCACAGATTTGGGCTCTCTCGGAGGTGAGGTCGGTAATGAGGCCATCATGAGTTTCCTAGGAGCGTAGGTGGATCCATGCTTCTTCTGCCGCCCTGTGATTTCCCAAACGGACCAGTTGCCCATAATGTCAACGACGCCGAATATCCTCGAGTACCACGGATTGAAAGTCACATCAGCTAAGGTAAATCCTCCCGTAAAGTCTTGCAGCAACTCCACTACGGGGTTGGCGTCGAGTCGAGAGTTTCGGAAAGAGATAGAGAGAGCCTCCGTATCGGTAGCGTTGATGTGCGCGGGCACGGGCACAGACTGAAGAATGGGTCGAAAGATCATGACTGACGTCTTCAATCGAGCAGCCATCCAAGTGGCCTTCTTTCCTACGGTTCGTGCAAAACGGAGTTGCTGGATCGGGGCTTTTCGCTGCGACCATTCAGTTGTCTCCACATCACCAATGGATGGTATAAGTAAAGAAGCATCGTGTCGAAACCCCTCATTCTGGATCTCCACCAGGTCATCCTTCATCAACCGGAACGAGATGATATCGCGACCAATGCCAGTCACTGAGGCTGCTACAGCCACCGGTTCCGGTATACTCGTTGAATCATCGCTCGCATGGTCTAGAGCATAACCCAAGGCAAAGATGGAAGAGATCTGTGGGTCGCAAAGATCGGCTGCATTCATGATTATCTTGGAAAGGGCATGGTCGCGAAGAGTAGGCCATTGTCCTGCAAGTTCGGGGTGGGCGTTCGAAATCAGTTGGTCGTCTGCTTGTCGAGAAATTTTGGGTCGCGGTTTTAGGTCGGCGGTGTTCAGCGCCGGCAAAATTGTAGTCCGTGTCAGTCCGGTATATGAAATGGGGGTACAGCGGGCGAAAGAGCGGGCGAATGTCCATTCCTTCGTCGCTGGGAGATAGACAGCTCGTCCCACGTGCCCATAGTGTAGAGCACTGTCGGGATAATCATCCATCGGATCGTGTCTTGCTCCTGGTGAGCGTAAGATCTGACAAGCCCATATCGACAGTCAATCGGAATAGGCCCAAGTCGACTGGTGACATGTCTGGTGAAGTTGGAGGACTACAGTTTTTCCTGGATTGCTTATCGATAAGAACGTTGCTCCGCAACCCAACAATCGTTGATCTCCACGCGCCTCTCTTTGTCCAACTCACGCACCTGAAGAACAAAAGCATCAAATAACGTACAAACTCAACCTACGATCATGGCTTCATCGTTCGAGCCGTCACTATCTACGAGTGGTATGCGTCCTCCCTTAGCCTCGGCAGATGCCCCATCCATGGCCGACTCGTTGCCCAGCATCAACTTTGGATTCGAAGACTTGCGCAATCGCATGGCTCAGTTCACTGCAAAATTTGATGCATTTATCGAACGAGGTCGTAAGCAAGTCCTGGAGGAAAGGAATCAATTTCATATCAATCTCGCTGAGTTACAAGGTATGGCTTCGCGACTTCGAGTCCCCTGAACCAGTGACTGATCAGAAATTTTCAGAGGACGAACGAATGCGACAACGAGACATTGAAATCCTCAACCTGAAGAACCAGACACACGATCAAACTCTTCAGAAGGAGGCTGCCGAGGCCGCCGAGATGCACGCGGCCATCTCTTTCATCACTCTGGAACGCGACTCGCGACTCGCCAAACGTGATCGCCTCAAGCAGCAGATTGCGGAGACTCAGAGAGCGATCAGTCAGAAGGTCGAGGCACAGAAAATACACGCAAAACACTTGGACGCGCAATCTCGACTCAATTATCCCGAATTGGAGTTTTGGCAGGACTACCTTTGTTTACGGATTGAGGGGGCAGGCCGAGAGGACCGGTTGAAATTCGTTTACACTCACCTACTGGAGAAAGACTGGGAAGCCGAAGCCTGGTTTGAACTAGGAACTGCCAGTCGAGATTACGAAGTCTTCCACACGCGACCCAAGGTGGACCAAGATGCGTTGGAGCGTGAGGTGGACCTGGTCAATGACGACCGCGATTTTGGGGCGTTTCTCAAGCGAATGCGCAAATTGTTCATGGAAACGATGAGCTGAGGATAAATCCAAGGTATTTGAATGTTCTATGTTATGAAGTTCATGAATTTAAGGCACATGGAGAATCGTGTTCATTCAAATCATCATCGTGTTTCAGTAGATCATGAAGAGCTTCTCTTAACCTCCGGTAGCCTCGCGATAGAAAGCAACACTGCGATTTGCACCACCGGTTGCAAATGCCTCTGACCTGGCAGTTTTTGGAAGCCATTTCACACTCCAAACAGCCTTTTCAGTCTCGGAGTGGGTAGCAACACATGTCTTGGTGTCGATCGACCAGACCTTGACTTTCCCATCAAAGGAGCTACGAGAAAGGTCAACATCAGATGCTTCAAGGCTGCATTCAACTTAGCTTACCTGCTCAGAAGATACTCTCCCGTAGTGCTCCAGGACAGAGACAGAACCCACGCGGAGTGGCCTGCGAGGTTGGCAATTTGTTCGCCCGAGGATGTATCATACAGCACGATCACTTTCGAGTCTCCTGCCGCTGCAAGAATCTTCCCGCCAGGTGAGAAAGCCACAGCACGTACGGGTTTCACCAAGCCTATGATGTGTCAAATGATGCAGCTTTTCATGGCAAATGGTACAGACCTGATAAGGAGAAGGGCATCCGAGCATGTTCCGTGGTGAAGATGTAGACAGCACCATTCTCATGCCCGCTGGCAATGAAGCGGCCATCAGGTGACTATATATATCAGTACGATCCATTTTGATACAGCTCCAGTGGCTTACCAGGTCGATACAAGTGCCGAAGCTGCCCTTGGTCTCATGGTCTCGTATCTGCGCGCCATCGGCATTCAAATCCCAGACGCCAATGTGACCATCCTGGGAGACCCCTGCAAGATACTGTCCGTCTTCAGACAGAGCGACTGCCCACACATTAAGCTCGTTTAAATTCGCTGCAAGATCTCATTCAGCACATAGTACCTCGGCGAAGATCATCGACACTGTACCTGAAGCCGCCGCGTCTGCGGACCAGTAGTCATCTTGACAAGACCAAACCTTAACGTCTCCTGCGAATCCCACACTAACGGCCCGTGTGCCACTAACATCAGTGACAACGTGATGGCAGCCGAGGGCATGAGCCCCATCAAGGGACTGTACCAATGGAAAGTCTGCATCAACCGTAGAATGCACCTTGAGAGATGGCGCGCCCGATGCCGAGAGAACCTGCTTCTGAGTCACCGCGAGCGAGAAGATATCGACAGGGTGCGCTGGTCCTGGTTAGCACGTATGGAAATTCACCACAGATGTGATCACTCACCATTGTCCGCCGAGCCCCACGCGAGATATTGTCTCGACTGCCCTGAGGGTTAGCTGTAGGTCCAATTGAACGACCGATATCATCTCACCATGATGTAATTCGGCCAAGATTCCTGGTATTGCTTTGGGCGAAGTTGAACTGTTGTGGAGGCTGTGACGTTTGGTCTGGGTGACCCGCAAAGACGCGTACCGCCTTTGCGCCTCAGGTATTGGGAACAGTGAAGCTTTCACTTTCCGGATTGGAAATTTTACCATTATAACCATTATAACTCTAAATGACTCGAACTATGTTGGAAACCCCGTTACGGCAAATCTTTTACGTCGAGTTCGGGTCAATTGCTTAGAAGTAGCCTCAATACACCACTCTTATTTGAGATGGGATGGATTGATTCTTAGGCTTCCCTACTCTCCTATTGTCTAGAGATAATTTGACGAGCGTGTATGTCCTGGCTAGGATTGAACGAAGCTTTCTCGATGTCTTGCTTCTCGCCGACTTCGACAAGGCCCCCTGTGAGGCTATTTTCCAGCATGCCTTTCCGAGATATTGAAGTCCTTATATGGCCGAAATCTTCATGTATGGGGGCTGGGGGGAACGCTGTGGATGATCTCATGGCTGATCCTTGAGCTTATCTTCGAGTTCTCCATGGTCTTTGGAGCAGTAGCAAATATTCGCGATGCAAGTCGTGTCGCATGATAGAAAGAAATTCTTTTCGTCCTCTCGGATGATAAAATACAGAAGGTCTATTTTTGACCTTCATAACCAGACGCCTTATGCCATGCAGCAGATATATCCACAACCCCATCCATTTTAGAAATACACGGTCCTTCTTTTCATGCGGTTTGCGCTGTTTTCCACGAGTCCTTGATATCTGGTGGATAGTTAGCTTGTCTATTTCTCGCGATGTCGTCAAAGGTGTCTTCGGAGGTGTTCGGAAGACGCATTGCATGCCATTCGATGGAATGAGTTCAAGGTCCTGATCATCCACAGATCGAAAATCCTCTCAGAAGCAGCAAATCCAGAAACAGCACCCGCGCACGAAACTTACCTCTCACGCAGTGGGGACACATCACATGAGCCCTTTTGATTTGACCACACCCAGGGCACTTGTTGAGGTTCTGTACGTCCTTGAGAGCTTTGCCGGCCATTTGGCGGTGGCGTTTCTTCATGTGCGAGGTCTTCTTCTTGGGGACGGCGCGGAGGACGGATTCCCAGAGGTCAGCGAGGATCGGCGGAACATTGATGGAGATAGGCAGGGCGAGAGATTGGATGAAGCCGAGAGGAGCGAGCCGAGGCACGCGCGAAGCGAGCAATGAAGCCATGGCGAAAGGTGGGAATTGGAAAGTACAAGGCACGAAGCAACGAAACGGTCGAGTTCGTCGGCGCAAATCGTTTTGAGTCCGGAGGTGTGCTAGTCCCAAATAGGAATAGCGCACCCCTGACTGTCGATAGGGAAATAACAGAAGTTAAGGGGCTCCAACACCTTCACCTGGGGAAATCTCCTGCTCGATTCTCTACTCTTACCTCCATAATGGCCGCCGCTACTACTGCTGCTTCGGCTCAGCAGCCCACCGTCTTCCCTCACAGCCATGTCGGTTTCGACAGCATTACTTCCCAGATCGAGCGGAAGCTGTTGAAGCGTGGCTTCCAGTTCAATGTCATGTGTGTTGGTATGTATATGCTCGTCGTGATTGACTGTTTTTGGAACTACTGGGAATTTGCTATATTCGGTGGCTCTTGACTGACTCTCAATGCGCGCAGGACAAACTGGCCTTGGCAAATCAACTCTGGTCAACACCATCTTCGCATCCCACCTGATCGACTCCAAGGGTCGTCTCACCCCCAATGAGCCCGTTCGTTCCACCACTGAGATTCAAACTGTCTCGCATAGTACGTGTTATGTGGGAGCCTAGTAAGGCGCATTGACTGACGGAGTGGCTAGTCATTGAGGAGAACGGCGTGCGTCTCCGTTTGAACATTGTGGACACGCCTGGCTACGGTGACCAGGTCAACAATGACCGATGGTATATTTCGCCCTCCCTTTTTTTTTGTGCGGACGTGGAAAATGAGCGCAAACTAACAGCAAGTCCAGCTGGGACCCCATTGTCAAATATATCAAGGATCAGCACTCGGCCTACCTCCGCAAGGAACTCACTGCTCAGCGTGAGCGTTACATCCAAGATACCCGTATTCATTGCTGCTTGTTCTTTATTCAGCCCTCTGGACATGCGTGAGTTTTTCCATTCACCATGTTCTCCAGGTACCCCGCACTAACTCAAGTGACTCCAATGCAGTCTTAAGCCTATCGATATCGTCGTTTTGAAGAAGCTCTCAGATGTGGTCAACGTTGTCCCTGTCATCGCCAAGGCCGATTCCCTCACCCTCGAAGAACGCCAGGCCTTCAAGGAGCGGATCAAGGAGGAGTTCACTTTCCACAACCTGAAGATGTACCCCTACGATAATGATGAGCTTGATGATGAGGAGCGTGCCATCAATGCTCAGATTAAGGTAAGACCATTCTCGAACAGCTACCGAGATTCATCTAATATGAGATCCAGGATATTATTCCTTTCTCCGTTGTCGGCAGTGAGAAGACTATCGTTGTGAATGGCAAGCAGGTTCGCGGCCGCCAGAATCGCTGGGGTGTTATCAATGTCGAGGATGAGAACCACTGCGAGTTTGTTTACCTACGCAACTTCCTCACTCGCACTCACTTGCAGGACTTGGTCGAGACCACCAGCCAGATCCACTACGAGACCTTCCGTGCCAAACAGCTTCTGGCCCTCAAGGAGAGTAGTGCCGCCGGTGGTGGTCACTCGGCCGGCAGCCGGCCCATCAGCCCCTCTGCGGAGCGGGAGCTCAGCCGCAACTCTCAACGCGCCGCCATGAACGGATACTGATATTCCCAATTGGTATTGTGACTATGTTTAGCGAAGTGAGCGTTATGATGCGCCACGACAGCAAAGCAAACCCCATGGGCCCAGCTCTCATGCATCCCGCAAAAAACTCACTGTCCCTTTCGGTGCCAGCAGGCCCTTGCAGATATCCCTTTTCCTTTGCGTTTCCCTGTCCTTGTCTCCCACTCTCTGTATCCCTCTCGGGCTTATCTTGCCGGGCTTCCCTTATTGTTAAGGACTTTACCTCTTCGGGAGAAAGAGTGGCATTCCGCGCTCGTGCCATCTGGACTTCTCCATGTACCTAGTTTCTTTAATTATCCCTGATGAAACTTCTTTTTTTAGATACTCCATGACGGTCTTACCGCATACAACGACGGCAATGAGACGCAGATGATTGGCCTATATCGACTTGTCTGCCCTGACTCATTCTAACATTCAATCGCGGAACAGGAACAAGGAGTAAGAAAAATCCTTAAGAAACTCTACTAGAAAGGTAAGGTGAGTAAGAAAGAGCCTCAAATGTGTCTAGGCCCCTTTGTCATGTTTTTTTGATCCGGCTGTATGTATATGCTATTTTTGAAGGTATTATCGCTTGGGATGAAAATATACACATTGTACGGAATGCATGTCGCTGGAGAGTAGTGCAAACTATTGGGGCGCTCCGAACCTGCCACCGTCAACCACCCAATCCCTCACTTCGACGTAGGCTTTCTCAAGATCATCGTTGACAACAATCCGGTCGTGGGCACCCGGCTGCTTCGCATACTCGAGCTCGTTCTTTGCCTGTGCCAATCGCTTGTTCAAGCTATCATCAGTCTCCGTACCGCGGCCTCGCAGGCGACGCTCCAGCTCTTCGAGGGAGGGGGGTGCCAGGAAAAGGAAGCGAGCGTTGAGATCGCTGAGCTTGACTTGCTTCACACCCTACAAATTATCTTGTCAGTCTCTGTGTTCAAATGCCAGTGTCAATATGTCCCCATCACATACCTCCATCTCGATATCCAGAACACAGATCCGCTCTTGCTCTGCGACGGTCTTTACGGCTTGCTTGCTAGTACCGTAGTAGTTGCCCCCAAACTCGGCATGCTCAATAAATCCATTGTCGGCGACCAATTCCAAGAAAGACTTCTGGTCTGTGAAGTTGTAGGCAACACCGTGTTCCTCACCCGCGCGAGGGGCACGAGTAGTGTCTATGCGCACGCAGGAGACATTAGCTTCGGTCCAATCTGAGCATGTAGGGATGCCACATACGACTAACGGAGAACCCAAACTTATCAGGGTACTCCGCAAAAAGTCGCTTCAGAATTGTGGATTTACCGGTGCCCGAGGGGCCTGATATCACCACTGGGCGGAATTTCTGGACTGCAGTAATGGGTTAATTTGAAGAGTTGTTTGAGAGGTCTCCCTGCGACAGGGACGGTTCAGGTCATACCAGCGCTGGAAGCCATTATGTTTCTCGATCGAGTCACACAAAGACGTGATTTAGAGAAGAAGACAGACAAGGGACGCAGAGGGGAGAGGCAATGCATCGGCCCGCAATAGAGAAGTTGGTTTGATGCGCACAACTACGAAAACGTCCGGCAGAATAAAGGCGGTGATTCCGCTATCTATGCTACCTTCTATACATACACAGCCTAGACACAAACATAACACATGCACTATGGCTTCGTGGGGCCTGGATGACTCCCTCGTCTCATGGAATCAATGCTTCCTACCTCTGCTTCCTGCTCCAGGAAACTGGACCACAGTTCGGCCAATGTTTCCTTGCTCGAAGCACCGTTGTCCATAAAATCGGTGGCAAGATTTGGTGTGCTAGGCGTGCGTAGAGGGGTACCGGGCACTCGAAGCTTGCCTGGAATACTTGAAGTTCCTGGTCGAGCCAGTCCTGCTTGTTCACGTTGTTCTGTGCGCACGAGTTAGCAAGAGGCTAATACAAACCAATGCCACTTGGACACCTACCATCGTCCCAACCCAGTAGAGCTGCGATCAGCTGGAGAATCTGGAATTTTTTTGGATCCGATCGATCCAGGGCCAGGAAGTGCAAAAGATGATTTGTGACAATGTGCCTGAGTATTACGAATGAGTAACTTGGTTGGTCTTCACTGCAAGACAAGACTCACCGGTCCACGTTGTCTTCTGGCTTCCCCTTTTTAAGAAATCGCAAGGCCTTCGTCAGATGGTCATTGAGAGTGACTGCTTCATGTCGTAGCTTGCCAATGAGAAGATTCTTCTCCTTGACCTCTTTCTCAAATGGACGCGCTCGTTCCAATTCTTCCTCCGCCACGTGAAGATTCTTTTCGGCGTCGCTTGCTTGCTGTTGTGCTTCTCGCAGAGATCGCCTCAACTCTTCAAGCTGGGAATCTGAGCTTTCCACCAGCTCCCGAAGCTCCTGTTTTCGTGCAGTTTGAATCTCCTGCAGAGCCCTTTGCAGACCGTCAACTGTCGATTGATGGCTGTCGCGGTCATTCGAAGCCTGTTCATAGGCTTCGCGGAGGTTGCTCAGCTGCTCTTCCAAATCAGTTACTCTCTCGCCCAAGTTTTCACGAATTGATCGCTCCTCCATTGCAAGGACTTCCCAGCTGTGCATAGCCTCTTTGGCCTGTTCAAATTCGGCTTGAAGGTAAGATTCATGGTCCATCAATTCTTCCTTTTCCTTGAGCCAATTTTGCTGGGATAGGTTCGTCCGATCCCGAAGGGTAGAGATCTCCCTCATCTGCTGGGCCGATGCCTCTGCAAGTTTTGATAGCTCCGTAGATTTTACTTCGAGCTGCTCCTTCAAGTTCGCGTTGTCATCCTCAAGTTCCTCGATCTGCAACCGAGCTTGCGCCAACTCTTCCTGTGTGGTCATGTAAGCAATGCCGCTCAGCAGGCATAAAACGAAAAGGTCTCACGCACAGCATCCTCCTTCATACGTTGCCCGAGCTGTGATTTGATCGTATTCACACGCTCTAGCAGGTTCTGAAATTGTGTTTCTGCCTGTTCCTTCTTGGTCTCCGAATCCTCCAACTTCTGTTGCAGCGACTCCATATCTGTCTTGTATCTGGATTGAAGCTCTTCGAGAGACTTGCGCATATCGGTGACGACGGCACGGAGTGAGTCTCGGTCTCGAACAAGCGCATCAAATCGGTCATTGGGCTCGGCCTTGTGGAAGGAAGGATCGCGGATGTCTTGAGCAGCATCTCCAGTGGGCTTCTGGCTTTCAGAATCAGAGGCATCATTCTGCGCGCTGGTATTGGTGACTTGTTGTTGAGCGCCGTGGGCGTCCGAGGTCGCCATTGAATTGGTGGATTCACCGTCGTCCTGGGTGATCTCAGCAACGATCACAATGGTAGGCAGGGAGGGCCCTTGACACACCTGGGTAGCATTATCCTTGCTTCCCGACGCATCTGGGTGCTCGTTCTCAGACTCTTGGGGATTCTCCCTGGCTTTTGCGCCCTTCTTCTTGTTCTTCTTCGATTTGGAGCCTGGTCAAGCGGGGTCAGCAGGATTACTCGCAGGGGGCTAAAGGTCCAATGGTCGCACCTTGAGTAGGCGGGAGGTTTTCTCCAGGCATGCTTGCGTCGGTTGACTGTCGGAGGGGGAGGAAGAGATGGCGATCGAAGTTCCAGGTAAACCTGTCAACAGCACTAGCGCGGGCCTGGGGTGGTGGAGAGGCCTTTCCGCCCTACGGATCGCGATGATTAATCTACCTCTGACAACACTTTGTCAACTGCATCATAACGCTTGTCTACGAGAAGTGGAGATGTCTTTTTGAATGCTCTTTCTCATACGGTATGCTTGGCATCCCTCCGTTTACTTGTCCTTGCTTCCTCATGTACAGGCATTCGACGATGGCCTCTCAAGGAACCCGCCTGTGCCTCGTCTGATCTTGTATGAATGCATTTGGGTATTGATGGAATAATGCCCATTATTTTCAAGGTATCATGGGCGCAAAGAAAGAAGGGTGTCATAGCTTCATGTACTATCGTCGACTCGCAAGTTTGTTGTCTCACATAAAGTCATCCAGGAAGTCGGCGTCTCGGTCCTGGTTGCTGCTAGCCTCCATGTTTTCTGCGCTAAACATGTCATCGTAGGCATGATCCTTCTGCCACTTGAGTTGCTCCCGCTCTCTTTTTTCCAGCTTGTCCTTTTCTCGCTGCTGGTCTCGGCTTTTTCGGTCCTCGTTCCGCTTCTTCCTCATGAACTCCTCCTTCTCTGCTCGGAGATCGGGAAACTTCTCAACGCGGGTCTTATTGAGTCGGTTGACAATCGAGTTTTCACGTTCCCGGATCAGGACTTTGCGGACCAATTTGGGGTTATGAAATGAGACCTGACCGATCGCCATCGAGCCATCCTTCTTGAGATTGGACCACGGTGTGTAGATTATGGTGATGTTGTCTTTCTTGTTTCCTGTCGTTGGGTCCGAATTACTATCTGTAGCTGTCGGTGGGTTATTCTTGTCGACTGACCTTCAATGGAATTCGCCTTAGTGAGTTGTGCGCAGTCATCGAGCAGGGGCTGCGGGATATTTTCCCATGTTTCTCCATCACGGAGGCGAACGTAGACGTGGGCACTCGAGAGGTTATCAACGTGGAACTGTGTGAGCAAGTATCAGACCATTGGTCATAACAGTGGGTGTGCAGTACAGGCAAGGAAACCGACCCTGTCGCAAGACAAAGATGTTAGTCGCACAATTCTAGACGCATTCAACCATCGCAGGTCAATCATACCAGACATCGCTTTCTAATCCAAACTGGATCAGGTCCTCATCTGACGAGAATTGTTAGGAGTGTTCCCGGCAAGCCAATCGGTGGCATACTTTCAAACTTGTCCTTGCCGACGTACAAAAAAGCGGACGGGCTGACCACGTTGGATGTGAAATAGTAGACCATGGCGACCGGTCTGCCAACTTCAGGCGGTGTTTGACAGGGCGTGTACCGGGCACGTTGGCTCAAGAAATCCCGAATTGGTGGTGGGGAAGAAGCTCACGAAATATTGACTGATGAGTCAGCGATAACTATAGATCAGCCATTGGATTGCAAAGCAAAGCACATTACACGGGCAGTCCAGGGTTCTTTGCTCATTTGTTCTCTCATACTGAAGGTGGTAGATGCCTTGATAAATGGGGATATTCAAAGGCGAGTTCCGAATTTTGATCTGATCAAGAAAAGAGAAGATGTCAACAAAACGTTCAGAGAGCGGGCTTGTCCTGGACATTTGGAAGTAAACACGATACAGTCTTTAGGGCTCACGACATCTCGTTGGTCGAAGCTCTGGTTTCTTACACTATATAATGAGCAGACGTTCATGGGTCATTGAGTCCCTGTCAAATAGAGGCCTCGGTAACTCCAAATTACGAATGGCGCGAGGAGGCCAATCCCAGAGCAGGGTATGATGTGCTTGCTCTGCATAGATCTTCACGGTCAAACGCGTTGATCGGTGATATTCTCAAGGCAACTTGGACTCTTGCCGAGCAAAAGAAGATCTTCAATCGATGGATTCATATCCTATCTTGAGGTTCCGATATGAGCAAAGAAATGCAAAAGGAATACTCAAGAAATCTAGGAAGAGTTAGGCAATATAATAAGCCAAACCAGAGAATATAGCACACATTCAAAGGGTAAAGAAAAGTTGACAGTAGTAAGGGTTGACAGGAAGGTCAAAGCGGCGGAAGAGAATCCAAGTTCAGAGATCGGTCTGCACTTGAGTAACCATCTCATCTCAATTCATCCTAATTCATCTCACCCCCAGCTCTCCTACTCCCATGCTACCTCATGCTCGTAGCCTTTGGAACAGGGAAGAACACCACGGAAGCAATCACCGGAAGGAGTCTGGTTCGTTCGCGGATTTAGGCTTTGCGCGGTGGAGCCAGGAACCGGAGAACTGTGCTTGACTTCCTCCCTCTCTGACTTCATCTCAGCTCCAGGTTTCATCGTCAATTTTCCCCGATCCGCTACATATGAGTAGATCGATATCTCAGAGACCCGTTTGATGCACTGGCGTGGGAAACTCGATAGAGACTTCATTCCGGCGCAATAGCCTCTCTGAGTTCTAGCTTCCTTCTAGCCAGTGCGAGACTTCGACCGACTCTCCACGCCCCTGACGTATCAGGCTCAGCCCGATTTGCTTTCTGGCCTCGGGAAACCGTTAATGTGCTGTTCGTCGCCTCGGAGATCACGAACCTGAAATGGACTCAAATTATGAGACCATGCGGCGGCCCTGTCGTCCGCGTCTATGTCGGCGAGACATTCTGAAACGGCCCAGAGACGCGCCTAATCAGCGATGGAACCAGATGTGGTGCCAAAGTGGAATCTTCTCAGTTGACAAATACATTCCGCAAGAGGGTCATCTTGCTGTCTCCAATTCCTATGACGTCTGAGCCGAGATAGATGGAGCCGGGTGTGCGCGGCCAACACAACCGACAAAGCCCGGCACAAGTCACCAATTGGGAATAAGAAAAAAAAAGATCGGGAAAACAGAAAAACCAAACAGAAAACAGAAGAACAGCAAAACAGAAGAGAAAGAAGAAAAACGCGAAAAAGAGAGACCCAAGCTCAGCACTGTTTCGTGAATTCTTGAGCCGCTCTATGTTCAGGGTCTCTGCGTCAGACCTGAGTCAAGCCAATATGAGTTCGAGGATCTCCAATCGATCTTAGTTTGTCATGGTGAACAGCCGGACAGATCCTGGAAGCGGGAAATGGCTAGCTCGGGGCTGTTTTAGAGGAGCCTCACCGTTCCCGGGCTAGCAATTCTCCACTCAACTGATGCACCGGACTTGATACTTGGTGGGCTCGGAGAAATGTATGTCTGTTGCTCGCAAATTGGATTGCGCCTCTAATGTCAGGCTAAGCGACCTGTCCGACCCTTGAACCCTATGGCCCAACGACGAATCAGGGCCTCGCATACGTGGACTCGTCTCGATCCTCCCCGGCTAGCTCGATCCTAGCCGGAGCATGTCATAATTTGGGCCAGAAAAACCGTTACGCCAAGGATGGTTAACGCTTCCACAGCGGGCGAGCCCGTTCATAGCAAACCACACCCCACTACCCTCCTGTTCATATTTCAAAGATATCCCTTCCTGGACATCCCCGTGGCCTTTTTAAAGGAAATTCCTTCCTGCTTCATCCTCTTTTTCCCGGGATGAAGTCCGATCCGGGTCTGTCCTTTTACATCGGAATCTATAAAACTAAACTTGACTGCTACTGGTGTTTTTCCGCGTGTCACCCTTAGCATCTCGGACTACTGGATCGGGTCCCTCCCTCCCCCTCCCCTTTCCTTTGCTCCACTTCGGCCCCGTTGGATTATAGAAAAAGCCGCCAGTCTTCCATCTGGTCGCATGCCAGATTTCGCCTTCTTGTCCTTCTTCCCGTCTCAATCCTCGTCGGCTTTCCTCGCGCATATTTCCAATCGCCTTCGCCATCTGCGGCGGTCCCCAGTCACGAACTTCTAGAGGACCCCGCATTTGCCATCTTCGCGTTGATCTCGCCATGCCTGGCTCGTCAAACTATCCAGATGCCATCCGACAGGCTCTTGACCGTGCCCGGGACTGTGAAAACGGTCCTGTGGACGCTCCAACTTCCGCTATCCTCGAAGCTGCTCTTGCGGATCTATGGAGCCGGATTTCCGCCGCACCCGAAACCTATGTCCCTAGTCCAGATGAATTCGCACTTTTCAATTACTTCCTCCGTCGATTTCAGGGCAATCCTGTAGCCCGACGGGTTGTGAGCCGATTCTGGGACAACTATCAGGCCCCGGCCAACACCGATGCAAACAATAAATAACCAGCACGAAGAACCCCAGGCTGACTCGAGATATGCTACCCAGCTGACTATGTGTCTGCCACCCAAGGCAGCTTTCCAGTTTGTGGGCATCCCAGAATCTCCATGATGGTAGAGCCTGCATCTCTGCAAGCCTGCTGCACTTTGTCGCATGCTGGCACAAATCTGGACAAAAGGCATGCCACGACGCTTGGCTCATGAGGTACTCCGCAGGTGAACACACCGACCATCCCCCGCTGCAGAAGAGAAGTCTCCAATGATGAAAGCTGGGGGCGGAGGAGTAGTCCAGGGCGACTGTCTTCTGGTTGGGCTCTTCTACTCCTCTCTGGCCATTCGGTCTAGGAGGTGGGGGGATAGGGCCAGTATGGTGCGGACCGTTGCGCTTCCAGCGGGAGTCGGTGTGTGGTGCATCGATCCCTGTCTTAGTCGGGACCGCATGCATAGGACAGGGCATCTCCGCATGCCACACAGACCTAATTGAAGACGAACACTTTGTCTCATGGATACTACATAACAAATCTGATGTTGTATGACAATGATCGCACTGTCATAGCACATACAGTTGACATGATGTCAATCTCACGATGATTGCTGTCTATAAAGCGCGGATAACAGACATCTGCATGATTCCATTAGGGTATTCTCCAACTGGCTCACTAGCGACCATGGGACAGTGGGTCAAGTATACTCCGGTAGTCTAGTTGGGATGGAGAACCTGTTGATAGCCGGCCGGTGACGAGTGTTGAGAATCCTCGGATGTATATAGCCGATCGAAAGCGACGCCAAGACAGGTGATAAAATCCGATGCAGATCCAAGGCATCACATCAACGATAGGACCTCATGGAATGGCGGAAGTGATGGTTAGTGGAATACCAGCTTCCTCGTACCAATGTAGCTTAGTCTCAGCAGCACAGTCTCCGGTGGCCAAGCACCAGGGTGATTGCGAAGCCTGTGACAAGCCCTGAACAACAACTTTGTCGTTGCCTTCTCACAAGCTCGGAACCATTGATGTGATGGAAGAATGTAGTCCCACAATAAAATCAATCAAGATCAACCGCCGCACCTTGAAGATCGAATAGCCGGGTATCCACGACAAGAATGCGCCCTCGAAGTCCCACAAAGACGGTTGTAGCTTGAAAGAAGTCTTTGACTCTCCGATACAGGAACCAGAAAGAAAAATCCCAGGAGATCGAAAGGCGGCGAAAGGGGGAAGTTTCGTGAAGCAACCAGTCCGGCAACCAGATATTCCGACTGGATCATTGGCACAATACATACCGTGCGGCCCAAACCCCCGGCTGAAGACCGGAATCTCTGTGGTCATCATTTAAGATCAATCTGAGAAATGGTATAGACGGTGGCCCATGCTGCCCAAGCCACAGACGTCTGGGAAGGCACAAAATGGTGCCACAAAATGGCACCGCGAAGCAGATGGGCATACATGGACTTCATCACAGGATTTACACCACCAGGAGCATCACCGACTGTCAGCGCCAAAGGGCCTTGAAAACCGCCATGGCATCGCAAATTTTGGCAGAGGAATCCTCTGGCTTAAGATGACGTTGCAGGTGCAGTCAAGGAATGTTTTGCTCTTGTTCGATAGCGAGTATGATGATGGTACGGTGAAGGGGTTGACGGCAACATACCCTCAAGGATTGCAGCTGCCATTCATAGCGATCTTCTGTACTCGATGGAGATCCTCATCAGGAGAACTAGGTTTGCTCTCCAATCTATTTGTGCTGGCAAGAGTGAAGAGCCACCCCTTTTGGTATGAAAAGGAGCGAGGTTGGGACACGGATGAAACAAGGAAGACAACTCTATTTGTACAATCACTATTTCTAGCTTATTTATCAACCCACACATCTAACTGGCCGGAGCTGCAGCCGGTTGGGCAATGGATTCGCCCTCGAGAATATCCGCCGGCGGGTCTGGCAATGGGTCAGCAACTGATCGAAAGGGTTATAGGATTGGTGGAGACTAACCAGTGCGGGAGAAAGTCTTGCGCTCATGCGCATCGACATCCCTGACGCGCCCATTCACGACTTCTTGTCGAGACATTCCGAGCAGGCTCTTGGGGAGACCCATCGAAGAGAGGTACTTGACCGAATCCTTCCATTCCGTGTCCTTGCGGTGGCTGGACCAGTTCAGCTCCTCGCCCATCAGGTCAATCACGCTGGGAAGCGCTTCCAAGGCAGCCTCGGCGTTCAAAAAGGCCAGACGAGTGCGGCGGGCGATCACGTCGACGGCGGTCTGAGCATACTCGTGGCGGACGGCGTAGCGGACCTCACCGTCAACGAAGGGGTACATGGGGGAAATACGGCAGCCACGCACGGGGAAGCGAGCATTGGTCGGAGCCGACAGGGCGGCTACCTGCCACGCACGGTCACCGTACGAGATGGTGAGGTGCTGAGCGACATCAGTCTCGAGACCGAAGTGCTGAATCAGGTTGATGAAGAGAGTCTTGGAGAAACCGTGAGCACCAATCAGGCGAACCTGGTGAGTCTGGCAGGAACCGTCCAGGGTGGCACCATCGGCCACCAGGCCGCTGCCACCGACACCACTGATATCCGGAAGGTTCTTGACCTCTCGAGGCTTCAAGTTGAACTGGCTGATAGCTTCATCTACGGCCTCCTCGGCCATCTGACGGTAGGTGGTCCACTTGCCACCGGCACAGGTCAACAAGCCCGAGGGCGAGACGGAGATCAGGTGGTTGCGAACGAGGGCCTGGGAGCTGGTCTTGTTAGGATCGCGCACCAGAGGACGAATGCCCGACCAGGCAGCCAGAACGTCGCTACGATTGACGGTGATGTCCGGAGCGAGGTACCCACGAATCTCCGACAGAATCCAGTTGATGTCCTGCTCAGAGGGCTCGGGTTGCTGAGTGATTTCGGTGGGCGCATCGGTGGTACCGGCAATAGTGTTACCCTGCCAGGGAAGGAAGAAGATGACACGGCCGTCAGAGGTAGAGGGGTCGATTAGGCCCATGTTCGAAGGACTATAGTATCCAGGCAGAATGACGTGGACACCGGAACTGGGAGCCACGATTTCCTTGGTGTCAGGCTCGTCCATCTTGCGGATGGAGTCAGTGAAGGGACCAGTGGCGTTGATGATACCCTTGGCGCGGATGCTGAATTCCTCAGTCTCCTCGCCATCCTTGGAAGGGATCACATCCTTCATGCGCGCACCGCACAGCTTGCCGTTGGCATCCTTGGTCAACCCGGTAACTTCCATGTGGTTCACGACAGTACTACCATAAAGAGCAGCCGTCATGGCGAGCGAAACGTTCATCCGGGAGTCATTGTGTGCGCCATCTTAAATCTGTCAGTCATGGTCCATGGCATTTTTCCTCCGAATGAACAAAGAAGGGGTTCTCCTACCGTAGTAAACCATAGCACCGATCACATTTTCGCGCTTCAGCATGGGGAAGGCATCAATCGCCTTGCTCTTCGTCAAGAAATACGAGCTCTCAATGCCTTCCGAACCAGCCAGGAAGTCATAGGCCTTGCAACCAGCCCAGAAATAGGGAGCCTGCCACAATTTCTGCAGGGGGACCATGATGGGAAGCCATTGCGAAAGGTGAGGAGCAGTATTCAAGAAATATTTGCGCTCACGAAGAGCTTCCTTCACCAACTTATACCTGCCACGCGACACGAATTAGCCAACTTGCTGGGCGCCGAGTGCCCCAGGCAAAGGGAAGACTGACTGATTGTAGTCCAATTCCCACACCGCTTTCTCCAAATAGCGCACACCACCGTGCACCAACTTGGTACTCTTGCTGCTGGTACCGGCACTGAAATCATCACGCTCAACCACGGCGACCTTCAAACCGCGGGTGGCGGCATCCAAGGCAATACCGGCACCTGTCGCACCACCTCCAATGACCAACAGGTCGTACTCCTCCTCGGTCTGGCTCCGCTTCAAGTCCTGGATCTGCTCGAGGCGGGACTTGATGACGGGGAAGACGGGCGGCACCAGTTTGCCTTCCCGGTAGCCGGGCGGGGGCACTGCGGGAGCTTCGAGACCGGGAATGTTGCGCGGGCGGTAGGAGATGTACAGGACTCCCGCTCCGGCGGCCGCAGCCGCCGAAGTGTAGAGCAAAGGTCGCAGAAACTTGCGCGAATGACGAGCGGCCATTATCCGATGGCTGGATTATTAGTCCCTAACAATTCGTACAATTGAAGTCGTAGGGGAAGAAATCGACCGAGTCGATGGCGAATGAAGGGGGAAAGTGGATGAGAGGAGATGGAAGAAGAGAGAGAGAGAGAGAGAGAGAGAGAGAAAAAAGAAACGAGAAGGTTCACAAAAGCGTAGCTACTACCTAAGGACTAATGGGTACTTGGTACTCGGTACGTGGTACTTGGCAGAGAAGTCAGCACTATGAAGGCAAGATTTGCGGGAAATGGGGGGGCTTCGGGGGGGGTTTCTGTTATCGCTACACCTTCCCTCCAACCGGTCACTTGGCTGCATCCAGCCCTGCGTCATTCCCCTTAATAAGATCCAGCCCAATTGGAGACTCAAGTGGATCCAGATGACGGCGTCCCGACGCCTGCGATGAGATTCCTCCACCAATAATCGGCTCGGCAGGCCCTGTTGAAATCCACCCGGAGTTCCGCCCCGACTACACATGTGACGCGCAGAGATTTCGCGCTTTCTCTCTCTTTATCTGGTGTTGGTGGATTACTGAACATCCCGATTGTCATTTGGTACGAGTCTCCTGGTTGTTGGCAGGTCTGACGAATTATCTCTCCCTGTCTGTTTTCCTTTCGGAACTCGATCATCGTTGGCAGGGACTCAAACGAATCTCTTCCTGGGCAGCTGGACTGGTTCCACTCTAGATCGCGGCCCCAGTTTTCAGGGGTGACTGCCAGGTTCGCAGATCCACTCTTCTCTCATAGTGTGTCATCTCAACCCGCCATGGTGAAGAAAACCGGATGAGATCCACATCCCCATGCCAGGTTCGCATTTGCGCTCCTTGCTCCCTGGAATGCGCTAAATGGCGATCCCCTGAGTGGAGCACAATTCAGACCCGTGCAAGAGTGGAGGCTTTTGATTGCTTACAGTATAAATGATGCCAGGACATGGTCTCCAGCCGCCTATTTATCAATGACTATCAGTAGATCTGACTAGGGTCAGTAGCGCTTTGAGCCGCGTTCCCGAGCTCCCGACCATATTCAGTGCACAATAATCGAGGCTTGATCCTACCTCGCAGGATGACCTTACTGTCAATATCAACTCGGGTCCATTCAACCACAATTGTGCATCCCATGAGTTGAATGCCGGGCCTGGGAATATCTATATACCTTGGTCACGGATTCGGTCCGTCGGCCTGAACAGGTATCTATGGCCAATATGTCTTGACTTGATCAGGACGTTTACAAAAGACTATTATGAAGAATTTACATGGAGACTGGAATTGGTGTCAACGGGACTTGTTCCCATGTCTCGAGGGTTGGCAGGGCGAAGAGGTTAAGAGGTGAAGGTCCACTCGGGAATGATGGAGGCCTCATTGATCTATTCTTAGCTTCAATAGCTACTCTAGATCGAAAGAATGTCAAATAAGCGGTGTATGCAGACTATCCTAGTCGAAGGACATGGACGAATTCTCCGAGCGCTAGATTTCCGGTAGAGGGCAGGGCGGGTGGATTCCGCGCGGAACTCGGCGCAGTGGCCTGGGGTAAATGTGTGGGGTAGCACTTTCTCATCGGGTTGACGGGGAGCTCTGGCACGGAAAGGTTTCCATGCCGCCGGTACCTCGATCCTCTGAGGGTCTCTTATAACTTGGCTGGTGAGACTTGGGAAATCAACTATTCAACTATGGCCATCGCAACAGTATTATCGGCCCTCCAGGGTAGAGTGATTCACTCTCCCTGGCAGTCATTGGGCGTCACCATTCTCATCCTACCCGTCCTATATATTGTGCTCAACGAATTCATTCGCTATTCAGCCCGCGTCAAAGGGATGCAGGGCCCTACCGGCCTACCGTTGATTGGGAACCTGGCTCAGATTCGAACGAACGCGGCTGAGCAGTATCGCTTATGGGCAAAGAAGTTCGGATCCGTGTACCAGATTCAGCTCGGGAATATTCCCGTCGTCGTGGTTAACTCTGCAGCTGCGGCAAAGGTCCTTTTCGGCCAGAATGCCCAGGCTTTGAGCTCGCGCCCGGAGTTCTATACGTTTCACAAGGTGAGTTCGGCGGAGTTTGATCACTCTTTAATTTTTTTTTTTTTATTTTTTTCCGCGCCTGTAGACTCACGCCAGCCCTTCTATAGATCGTCTCTAACACATCGGGCACGACTATTGGAACTTCACCCTACAGCGACTCACTGAAGCGCCGCAGAAAGGGGGCTGCCTCGGCCCTCAATCGGCCGGCGGTCGACACGTACGTCCCTCACTTAGATGTGGAGTCCAAGGCCTTCGTGGACGAGCTGAATCGATATGGTCATGGCGGCAAGACCCCCATTGATCCAATGCCCATGATCCAGCGCCTAAGTCTGAGTCTGGCTTTGACTCTGAACTGGGGCGTTCGGATCGCCTCGCAGGAAGAAGACTTGTTCGATGAGATTACCCAGGTCGAGGAGGAGATTAGCAAGTTCCGCAGTACCACGGGTAATTTGCAAGATTACATTCCTCTCTTGCGGTTGAACCCGTTCAGCAGCAATACACAGAAGGCGGCAGAGATGCGCATGCGACGAGACAAGTATTTAGGATCTCTCAATCGAGACTTGGACGACCGAATGGAAAAGGGTATTCACAAGCCATGCATTCAGGCCAACGTGATCTTGGACAAGGAAGCCAAATTGAATAGCGAGGAACTCATTTCGATCAGCCTGACAATGCTCTCCGGTGGCCTTGATACGGTCACTACGCTTGTTGCGTGGAGTATCGGTCTCCTCTCGGCACGACCTGATGTGCAGGACAAGGCTGCCGAGGCGATTCAGGAGATGTACGGCACCGACGAGCCTATGTGCTCTGCAACCGACGATCAGAAATGCGCATACGTTACAGCGCTGGTGAGAGAATGCCTTCGGTAAGAGCTCATTTTAGATCATCTCTATCATCAATCAGCCAAGCTAACCAGACGCTCTTACAGGTACTTCACGGTTCTTCGACTCGCCCTCCCGCGAACCTCAATCCGGGACATTACGTACCAGGGTACCGTGATTCCCAAAGGTACCGTCTTCTTCTTGAATGCCTGGGCATGCAATATGGGTAAGTGGCCGTCCCGCGTCCTGCCGGGCTCAACTCATCCCTCTTCCCAGACCCAGACGTGTGGACCGACCCGGACGTGTTTCGGCCGGAGCGATGGTTGGAGCAACCGGACGCACCCCTGTTCACTTACGGCATGGGCTACCGCATGTGCGCCGGGTCGCTGCTGGCCAATCGTGAGCTTTATCTGGTCTTCATGCGGACACTCAACAGTTTTCGCATCGAACCCTACGATGACACGGACTGGCACCCCGTTCGTGGCAACTCCGATCCGACCAGTCTGGTGGCCATTCCCCAAAAGTACAAGGTGCGGTTCGTGCCCCGGAATGCGGATGCATTAAATCAAAGTTTGGCGACATCCTGAACGGGGCCGGGGTACTTACAAACCGTAGCTAGGTGAGAGGGGCCATAGAGCGCCTGACAGATGGGAGATTTTAGCCCGAGGAACTAGGTGGAGCATCTACCCGACCTGCTCCACTGTTTACGAGAGAGGTATGAAACGCTTTGGCCAATTGTTGCTCCACGGAGCTTGTTCATTCGATGTAGTCTACATTCTGGCATCAGATCCATCGCCCCACGGGCTTTACATTCTGCATCATGAGCTCATTAAAACCTTCCAACTCCAAATATATCACAGAGGCTTTGTAAAAAAGAAAATGAAGAGGGTATATAGTGTCGTGAAGAGCAAGAGGTGATTCAAATCCAAGCCAATTTTCCGAGTTTTTAACCAAATTGACGCCGAGGTGGTTTTCCGTATGCAATGTTTAGCTGAGAGCAAGGGCATCGATGCCCGCAAAGTAAGCAGGCCATGTCCAGATTGGTCGAGGCAGGGTCTGACATGATCAAGAAGTGGTCAATCGTCGCTTCAGGTCTCGGACGGGATCGAAGGAGCTCGCATAGTCACGGAGTTCATCCTGAAGGTGATCGGAGATGGTGGCATTTGATGCGTGGCTCCTCAGGGAGGATAAAGAGGTTTGGGAGGAGGAAGCCGATAGGCTTCGTGCCGATCGCATATCAATGTTGGAATCGGCTGTGGATGAACGAGAGTGTGAGTGAGAGTGTGACTTGGTGGCCTTTCGAGGCTGCAAGCTATCTTCGGGAGAAGTTCGATCCAGCTCGACGAGTCGGCATGATTGAGAGCAGTAGGGACCGCCGGAGGTCTGGCGATCACAGACGAGACAGAAATCCAAAGACCATTCGGTAGACATGGTGGGCGAGGAAGGAGTCGTGTAGGGAAATTGGGAAGAGGTACCCAAGGCCCAAGAAAGAGGCGAGGTGCAAATATGTACTGGAGGTTGAACACGATCACCTTCATGGGTCCACCGTGTTACCGTCAGGCCACACCCGGGTACGAGGCAAATAATATAGCAAGATGATGGCACGGATAAGCCCTGCAGCCTAGCACGGCTCACGATGATTGCCGGGGGGGGGGGTTGGAATTATGGCGTGGCTCGGGCGCTTAAGACGAAAAAGAGGACCTGGCGAGAATTCCAGCTGCAGGAACCTCGAACGGGCAAACATCGCCCAAGGTCTCCACTCATGTCGTGCCTCGCGAGCCCGTCATCTGCCCACATGAGGTCCGAGCCCCTCGGGTGTTGGATGCCTGGGACGAGGTGGACTAGGGACTATCCTGGTGGTGGTGCCGAAAACCGTGTACATCTTCATGAAGATCATGGGCTACCTTTTGCCGTGATCACTAGTTTTGATTGTCCATGGCGTAGCGCCGGAAACTATGATAAGGTAAGATGGGAGATACTCCTCATCCTGCGTCACTCGGCGTCGCTCTGGGGCGCTCTTGGTTGGCTCGTCCACCTCTCACCTCGGACCCCCTCTCCTCCAGATAAACTCGGGCTGCATTGACTACGCTACAGGGTCACGCGATGATCGCTTAAGGAATGTTAATCCCCTGAAATGCGGGGGCGATGATGCGATCTTGCCTCGTGCTTGGGCCCAGCACGATCGTGATCCTGGTCGCTCCAACCTCCCTCCGGGCCTATGGTGATAGGCAATTGGGTGAACTGCCAGGGTAGAAGGGGAGGCCCGAATTTAAGGCTAGTCGCACAGGGAATTCGAGAAGGTGTGAGCCGCAGTGGTAATCAGTCGCCTAGGACGGCAATGGTTGAAAAGAACCAGACGCCTCATTCGCCAGTCTTGTCGCGATGCTCAGCGGGGATGCGAACCAAAGTGGCTGGTAAGCGAGACGGAGATTCGTCTGTCTCGGGTCCAGTGGACTCAGTGGGAGATCCACTAGCTTTGTCTGTGATAAGGTCAGTCATGGCAGTTCCCCTCTGATAAGCATACTCTCAAGCTTACTGGAGGCAAGGCTGATAGCACGGAGGACATTGTCCCAATTTGCAAGCACGCATGCAACAGCTGGAGACATATTAGTAGGCGTGCAGTCGCAGGGGGCGGAGGAGAACCACCTTCGGTTCCATCTTTCAACGTGGCAATTTTACTCTCGAGGGCTTGCATTTGCATGGCCAACGTCCCACTTCAAATCCCGCAGCTGTCGTAGATTGTCCAGCTCGGCCTTTTTGGCCGCGATACGGGTGGCCAACGCCGACGAAGGCTGAGAAGGCTGGCGAAGCCCGGCTCCGGGCAACATGGTCGACCGAGACGAATAGGCCATGGGGAAATGTGGCGCTCGTTCAGAGAACGCTCGTAGTTCGCGTGGTTTGCGTAGTTCTCAACAGTATGTTCGAACTACGTGATCCTCGGTCACGCGTTCCTGGAGGGGCAGCTGAGTCATCCAAATATGCGCTAGGCTCAATGCAGGTAAACATCAACAGCCGTGTTTACCTCTGATCTTCGATACTTCATTTCCCACAGCGCTTCTTGCATCCACCTGTCAATCGGCCTCTTTTGCCACCATGGCTCGGCTGAACGACTTTGCTGCTCCATCGGAGTCTGTTGAGGCTTGTAAGTCCCCTCTATCCTCCCCTTCCCCTTTTCCGACCGACTCCCTGGATTGACGCGATGCTTCAGTGAAGCGTCGTTTCGTGCGACAAAATCGCGAGATTGCACGAGTCAACTCGATGCAGTCACTGCGCATCCGCAGCCTAGAGTCCGAAGTGTCCCACCTCCTTGGGGAAAATGTTTCACTGCGGGAACAAGTCATCAACCTCACTCAAGAGCTGGAACGACTAGAATCAGCCAAATTGCTCCACGATGGGATCTACAAGATTAAGAGTCGCCTGGATGCAAAACTCGCCGAGCTCAATGGAATCGCATTGGAGCTAGGAATGTTACCACGCAAGGTCGGCAAGGTTGGAGACAAGTCTGGCGATTCAGATCACCCAAAAGCGACCGCACTAGACGCGAGACCTCGAGCGATAAATTCAGATTGCAATGCTGAAGTTGACGACAGCAAGCTCCCAGCCATATTGGAGGATAAATATTTCCCGCGCAGGACACTGGAGTAAGGCCTACACCGATACCATGATCTATTTATTACCTTGCTAAACTTTGCAGACCTCAAGAAATTCACAATCTCGTTCAGACCGATCACAGTCTGCCCAACTCTCCCCACATTATTCATCTAGATCACGATCACTCCGATAATACCTCAGATCATTCCAGCCCCACTTCAAGCAAACCCTTACGAGAGCGCCAGTCTGAGGCCGGTGCCCCTGCTCTAGAGCCATCTCTTCCCCCCACGCTCGAGACACGAAAGAAGAAAAAGAAGACGGGCTCGTCAGAGCCTTTTTCCGAGAGCATGGTCCCGCCAGAGATTTCAAGTCCGAAGACTGGCGACGCACAACCTGAGAAATCCGGATCGAAGCGCAAATTCAAGCCCGAGGACGATGGATTCTTGTTCGATACGGCGCCGGAAGATGATGAGTTTCAATTTCGTCGTCCGAGTCATAGCCCATTCAAGCAAAGAGAAGCGTGTGATCTCATGCGTCGGGACCTTTCGCCTAGCAAAACACCGGTGAACATGAAGCGAGGATCGTCGAGCGTCGGGGCCAGCAAACGAAAGGTTCTTGAGCCGAGTACGCCAATTAATTCCCCGCCCCATTGATTTCATGTACAAATTGTCTGATGATATGAAACAGAAAGCGCAAATGCCACCCTGGGATCTCCAAAAAAGGCTCGAGCAGTTCTACAGCCTGACGACAAGATGGTGCCGAAAACAGGAAGGGACGAAAATATCAAGTCTCCCGCTAAGCCCAAGGAGCTGGAGAGTAGCAGAACCAAACTTCTGAGTCAGAAGCCACGCGTTCGATCGACTCCAACGCTACAAAAGCAGAAACGCTCCAGCCGATCTACGGAGTTTGACGAAGCACATGACCAGTCTGTTCCCATCACGCTCAAAGACTCGCCCGTGGCCAGATCTGGAGGGGGGCTCATGGGAGTGTCTGATTTGGCTGCATCTCGGCCCTCGCGCCGTCGTGGTGCTGTGGTCAGCTACGCGGAGCCCAACCTCCGAGACAAGATGCGCCGCCCGACGAGTGAACTGGCAGACGCAGTTACAGTTGGTGGGTCTCGCAGATCGTCCAGTTTCCAGCTTCGTGAGAGTTTGGACAACGAGAACGACCATTCAAGAAAGAGCGGGGCTGGTTCCAGTTCTTCCTTGAATGTCAATTTTCCTGCAGACTTGGCTCTCGCAGACCAGGCAATCGACATGATCATCAAAGACAATGCATCGGCGCAATTATTGGAGACCGTCTCTCGTCGAAGACAATCCCGGCGGCATTCGTCGAATCCGAACAGCACCACTCGACACGTATCATCGCATGACGTGGACATCGGAGAATTGCCGTCCACTTCCGCGCAGATGAACGGTGCGGAAGGCGAGGAAACTCCCGGGGGGCACTCTGCAATGGATGAAGTATCTCGGCGAGAAACTCGCGTTGCGGCAAGGAGAAAGAGTATGATGGTGTGAGGGCCTGTGCCCCAACTTCTAAGCTTTAATCGTGTATTTACATTTTGAACTGTCCTTTGCTGCAGCTAGGATATACAGATACCCTCTTCTTGCATTTTTGGTCTGCCAATCCACGGTTTTATTATTCGGTTCCAGCGTTCTCGGATGCGTAGACCGAAGATGATTAACCCCCTCGAGGAGGCGCATGTCATAGTTCATTGAATCGTAGATTATTCGTTGCTGGATCTTGGAATGATCTGATTATTTGGTGAAGCCCTCCAGGGAGTCAAGAGGGTGATCGCGACGGCAGGTGACTACACAGAAGACTGTGTGCCATGAGGTGGATTCTTTGAAGGCTTGGGCATCTTCTCGTAGGCATTTGGACTCGGCTTCCGCCTTTTGGGTTTTGTAGGATGGTGCCCGCAGCAAGCCTCTTGATCTTGCTCTGGCAACTGCTCTGACGATTCTCCCTCTGCCGGTCTTCGGCCCCGACGGTGCAAGTGACGGTCGCGGTTTGCTCGGAGTCTGCGGCGGTCGACTTCGTTTTCGCTATCGGTATCCGACGAGTTCGAGTCAGAAGACTCGGATTCGGAGCTGCTCTCACCCACAGGGCGAGCTTTGTGGTAGATGCAGCACACTGAGCCTGATTAAAGTCCGCTCTTCAGTGGCGAGGGGTAGAGATACCTTTGGAGCTCTTCTTCCCCATTCCTTCATTATCCACCACATCTTCACTCCACCTAATGCGCCTAGCCGTCGACGGCTCGCTTGTGCTCGGGGTCTCGTCGCCTCTCAGTCGCAGGGTCCCGGTGAGGCGGACGGTGGACGGATCGCGTGGCTCTGTGGTGGTCTGGAGCTGAGGATTCGTTCCCGGCTGACGTGTCCGTGACATGGTAATGGGAGGTGGTAGTCACTGGAAGGTATAGATGTATGATGGATTTGCGAAGCGGATCCGAGAGATTGGGAGGATAAGTCAGGAAGCAGGGCTGTGACAATTTCAGCAAAAGAATCAAGAACATGACGCAACTGATGAGACGGCAGCCGTCACCGCCTTACTACTAGGCAATTTTGCTGCACACGAACCCAAGCTTAATGTACTCCTCATGAATGAATTTTGGGAAGCTATCTTAAGAAATATCAAACAGGACCATCAGGAAAGTCGATGGTGTAAGGCGAGAATGAACGGGGTGAATCGAGCTATCTTGCCAGCCTCTCGGCTTCAGCAAGTTCTATGGTGTATGTTCCGCGAAAAGGATGCCCCTCAATGCCCCTAGGGATTCAGATCTCGTAGAGGGACCAGCCATCGAGGCCATCATTCATTGCCGGTTTCTCTTCCCCCACATATCCAGAAAGGCCAGCCGATGCAGGCGGGGGAAATTCAGTCCGAAATTCCTTGTCCAGTCATAGCTCGTCTTCCTGGTCCATCTCTGATGGCTTCAACAAACCACCAACCTTCATGGCTCGGGTTCGCTCAGCAGCCTGGGCATCGCGCACAGCCTGTTCTCTTTCCTCTGCATAGAGCTCTGCATTGTCATCGGAGAACTCTTTCAGAGAAATCAAGAAATCACGCAAATGAGTCTTGAACTTGTTTAAGTCGTCGGTATAGGCAAACAACCCAAGCACGAATTGCTTGATTTGCACTCTGTGATAGGATTTAGCATCATTTCAGGGGCCCCAGGTCTTCCACTTTCCAGTAGAAAAGCAAGAACAGGGACTTACTCTTGTAGGTTCTTGAACGCATTGTGCAGCAGGTTCGCAATGTACTCCTGCAGGAACTCCTTGTTGGATGGTCCAGCTGGAGCCTGATCCGGGGTATAGATAGGCTCTTGGATCTTCCCAGCTTCAATGAAGTAGAACATGCGAGACAAGAGCATGGCTTGGGATTTGAAGCCTAGAGAGAGAAACGTGAGTAATGCGGCGGCGGGAAGTCGGAGAGACACGAATGTACGCACCAGCCTTATGATCACTGTCGGTCAGGACGAAGAAGACATCCTGGAGGATCGGGATGTAAAATTGGCGGAAGAAAATGCTCGATGTGTTCATATCGGTCTCGGCCATATTGTTCATCAGCTCCAGGCACATGGTAAGACCTGTGTTCTCCACCTCACGATTGTCATGCTTCGATGCCCACATGCAAGAATCGATGACGAACTTGAACTGCGTGCCATCAAGATTGAGTAGTGCTGGGAAGCAATACAAGTTGATAGCCTGGAGGAGCTTGAAGAACTGAACGCGATGTTCAGGATATTCGTGGAAATCCTTGTTGATCATTTCCAGCGTACAACTGAAAACACTGTCCATGATGGCGGGGATCTTATCCTCCATCAGAGCCTACAGCGGAAGAAAAACACGTCAGCTATTGACAAAGGGGGCGAAGCGGCAAATGCAAATCGAGAAGGGCCACAAACATGAAGCTTATGAATAATTGTCGTCATGACATTCAAGACCTCCGCTTCACGCGCATCTGGCACGTTGCGGTGATAGTCAATGAGAACAGCTTCGAGGAGAGGTGGAACCATATTGGCATTAACCATCTCAAGATCGTCTGACTTCTCCACGTAGGTATCAATGAGCTTAAGAATCTCCTTCTTAATGGTGCGGAGTCCTCGGACTTTCGGGGTCTTGGGGGCAACGCTTCCTGTGTCATGTCAACACTGATTGGACACTGAATGTTCATTGACCATCGTAAAGCGAACTTACCATCACTGGCGACTGCATCGTTAATGAGCTGGCTAGAAGCACGATACATGTTCAGCATGTCGTGGTAAATGCGGCCAATCTGGGAGTAGAAGTAGGTTCCGATGGAAGAGCACGCCGCAACGTTTGTCTTCATAATGTTACCAATGATCTTGATTGTATTACCATCCTGGAGGATCGCAGCATTTTGGTTGGCTTCAGCAATGATTTGATCCCAAGCCGAGTTGGGCAAAGCCATGAGGTTGTCGATCAACCGATCTTGAAGTGTCTTTTGACCCTGAGCAGAAATCATGTAACCGCAGGCCTCGTAGAACGTGTGAATCTGCTGTGGCGACAAATCCATGGTGATCTTCCGCATATTTCGCACGATCTCCTCAATAAACGGCTCATTTTCGCCAGGTTGAAGGGCCACGAAGTGTCGTCGGCATTTGTTGGCGATCTTGATGAAGGTATCGCAGGCCATGTCTTGGACACCTAGAGAGTGGGTCAGACAATAGTCAAATTAAGCTGTTGGTTGCGCAAAGAGCTTACCTTCATGGGTTTCATGCATGAACTCGAACAGCTTGTTGACCACGGTCTTCAGGAACTTCCAGTGAGCCTTCAAGAATCGAGGGTATTGGCCCACGATGTACATGATATTACTGGCCACAACGGCCTTGTTATCCTTTCCACGCTTCTGCTCCGTCAGGCCGAGAAGATCCTTGATCACCGTGACCAGGAAGCGCTTCTCGGTTTCCTCGTTCATGGCGCCGGAAATAGAACCAATGGCCCAGCAGAGAGTGTTGCAATTTACCCATGACCATTCAGTACCATCGACTTGCTTCGCCAGCTTGTCAATCATGATGGTTTCGGTATCCACGACGTCCAGATGAGTGAGGTAGACCAAGCACTCGCGGATTGTCTTATAGAGCTGAATCGTATCACTTTCCTTAACAAATTCACGCACAATCTCGCCCTCATCGTTCTCAACGATTAAGACTTCCTCTGGACGGACCATCTTCTCGATCATGACGGTACGCAGGTTCGAGAGCACGGTCTCGTATTTGTGCTTCCGAAGGGGATAGTTGGCGAGGGTACTGGGGTGAGGCGCGCCACCATTAGACAACCCACTGACACCCATTGTCACGAGCGGGTTGATGTCGGTGATGGGGAGTTGTTGCATCTCTTCGTAGAGCTCCTGCACCAACCGAGTCCAGTAATCCAAACAAATCTTGAACACTTCCCGGTCATCGATCTGGCTGATGCGGATTAGGTAGAAATGAGCGTGCGTGAGGTAATCTTGGTTCGGCAACTTTTCAATAAGCTAGATAGAAAGAAAGAGGTTAGACTCGGTCCAAAAAGTTGGAGGGCTGCCTCTGGTTTTTGGGCTGGGAGGCCCATTAGTTCACGTACATCCAAGTGGGCGCTAAAGAAGCTCGACAAGAAGAGGGCCAGGTTGGAGACAAATTCCTGATCTCTTCCATTGCTCCGCGCAAACGTCTCCTTCAAGTCCATGGACAAGGGAATGACATTCGAGACCTTTGTCAGAGTCTCGGTGAACATGTGCACCAATCTCTCATCATAATTGTAAGGGGACCCAATTTGCAGGCCACCAATCTCCGTGAGACACTTGAGCGTGACATTCCGGAAATCGGGTACGTCCAGGAAACGGGTCAGGAGCGTGTTGATGATGGGGGTCTCGAAAATGTAGCCTAGCGGAATCCAGTTCAAGAAGCGAAGAAGCGTTTCGAGAGTCGCCTTCACCAAGCTCGGCTGGTTGGCAGTGTTGAGAACTTCGGAGCAAAGTGAGAAGATGGCAGAGAATTCCTGGGTCATAGAAGTCTTCAAGTTTCGCGCTTTGACCGAGGTCATCTGGTCTTGAGAGAAATCAAAGACTTCCTCGGACAGCAGGCGCAGAATGGCCATGTTGTTTTCACAGATCGAGAGGCTGGCATGGCAGGAGGAGACTATCTCATTGATGAAGGTGGGCCAATTGTGCGGCCATTCCTGCTTCAGGATCGAGACCAAGACCAAGTTCAGTTTGTTCAAGAATGCGCGTTCGGTGCGGAGCTTCTCCTCGGAGCCGGAGTTCTCAATGATGAAATTGACGATGAAGTTTCGAATACCTGTCAGGTAAATCGTCCAGTATTAGCGCATGCTCCTTAGCACGTTCCTCACGGGGTAATTGTTAATTACCCTGGCATTGATCTCTGGGTAGAACCTTCCATCTAGTCATAATCACATCGTCGAGGACCTGGAGGGCAATGTCTACATTCGCGGTCAGTCGATCATCTTTCGAGGAAGTGGAAGAGCGCAAAAAGAAGGGGTTCTCAAACCCACATTTCGTTTGAGGATACGATGCCTCCTGGAGGATGTTTCCCACGGTGACCCAGGCATCGGGATTTTGCTTGAACTAATAAAGCGCAGATGTGAGCAGGGGTCGCGTTGCGCGAAACTGGCGAGCTTACTTCTGTGAGGGTCTGTTGGGCTTGTTTTTGCTGGCGCGTTGTTAGCAAGTGAATCCATCGAATACGATGGCCCCACTTCAAGGCAGAAGGCAATATAGGGCACATACCACGTCGCCTTTGCCTTCAAAAAAGGCTTGGACTGTGGCGTCCAGCTCTTGGACCGAAACAGACATGCCGCCGCAGAGATTGGCGATCTCGCCGGGGGATCACGAAAAGGGCTTCACGACACAAAAGTCCGAGGGTATCAGGACGATCGGGAAAGGGAAAGAGAAATTGGCAAGATACCAACGTCGCTTAAGCTTTGGGAGAAGGGGGTCCAGATGGAGGGAGGGGTTTGAGAAGAGTGAGGTTCTGGTGGGGTAGCAAAGAGATCCTGAGGGGTTGAGTAAGCACCTCAGACCTTAGGATATCCGATCGCTCAGGGAACCGGGGGTCCACCAGGATCTCGAGGGGGAGAATGACCTGCAGGGGAATTTGAGTGGGTTTGAAAAAGGAAAAGTTTTTGGAGAGTTGATTCCACCTGGCGGTGAGAGGAGCGCGTGTGGTTGAGCTTTGGATGGCCACGGGGATCTTAGTCATCCGCGCTTGTCAACAACTACATCATAGAAAGCCGAGCAGCCAGCGGCCGGAAATAGGTATATACATATGATTATGTACTGTCAGGTAGGACTCCATATTGAATCTTGTGTTCTTGATAATTTTCTATGTTCTGCATTCACACCGGGGAATAGATATGTGACGAGGGTGGGTCATAGCCCTATCACCTTAGAAGACCCAGATGAAGGCGCTGGGTCACAGCACAGAGCCCGAGCCCGAGCCAGAGCGCGCGGGAAGACAAGGAAGCGATGCATAACCGCCCAACCCGCCCGGCGCCAATTGGCGAACGCCTACGACAGGCTGGCATTCACGGCGCGACCCACCAACACACGGGGCGCCTGGGAACGCGCGCCATCGTCGCTCCGGTCGCCTGGGAAATGACCTGTGTCTCAGACCCGCGCACGCCTCACCTGGATCCGGCGCTTTGCTCTTCCGATTGGCGGCCATCGTGACGCCGTCCTTGCCGATCGCGCGCCAACTCCTCTCCCCTTTCCCTATTGTCCCGTCAAAAGGTGCTAAGTGTGCTAGCCGGGGGGGGAGGGGAGGGAGGGGGATGGGGGCCATGGGAACTGGCTTGGGACTTATTTTTTCCCTATAACCTATACTTGCTATTCCCCTCTTCCTCATCCTCCCCCCCGGTTTCCTTTTCCCTGGTCTTTTCCTCCCCTCCCCTTTCCCTTTTCTTCTCTTCTTTCTTTCCCTCTCTGCACTAGTAAAATAACATAACCCTACCTCAATCATCTTATTCATCCGCTTATTTTGCTTTCATTTTATACATTTTCTCCCTCTTCCCCTAATTTGGATGATCTTGTTTGCCCGGGTAGTGTTGATCATTGAGGCGCTGAAACCATCCCGTGCCCGTCTACCCCGACGCCCCACCCCAGACGAGGTTGCCGCGATCCTTAACCTGCCTGGCTCGGCACTCTCGTTCTCTGTCGCTTCAAGTCATTCGGGGAAACAAGATACGTGTGTCAATTGAGACTCCACGACTCCCCCGCATGCGCAGCTCCCGGTATCTCTTGGAGTTGCCGCGTGCGCTTCCCGAATTGGAGTAAGCTGCTGAGATATTCGCCGGCATCCTTCTCGGCGCCTTGATTTATCGTCCTTTCGTCTTTTTATTCCCGACTTACGGTTCCGTTTCGCTTGGGAGACTGAAGTTCTGAACCATGACGGCTGTCGCAAGTGCACCAGTCATGAGCAATCGTGATTCTGGCACCGAGACGGGCACGGTACATAGCCCCTCTCGGTTTACGGCGGTGAATGGCAGAGACTCGACGGCCTCGGTTGGGGGGGTAAACTCCACCTCCGGTACACAGATGGATGACGGGGACCGAGATGCTCCGTCTGGTGGGAATGAGAAACAGGACGCATCCCCCCGGGAGAATCCCAGTCACTCGCAAAGGTCATCACCAATCGCTCACACTCACGCTTATGCTCACAAGCGCAAGCGCTCGGGCTCTGGAGATCTGGATTCCCAAGAATCCCAGGATGTAGACGGATATGGACGAGGTTCTATACCACGTCCTGGAGAGGCTCCTCCCGCCCGTTCGTCGTCGGCCTCGGAGATTGAGGCGGGCAGCGGCGCGATCGCCTCAGGTCGATCTGATACGAATGAGCCTTCTCAGCCTCCGTCGAGTGGGCCCTGGTCTGATTACGAGTCGCGTCTCATCAACCAGGCTCAACGGGCACAGCAGATCGATGCCTCGGATGCACAATTGGCGGATGTGCTACAGCGAGAAGCGCAAGGTCAGGACCCACGATCGCTAGGTCGTCCCACAACCTCTGTCAACGTTCAGCCTGTACCATCCTCCGCATTTCCGGAGCGGCCGGCAATCCAGGTGGCGCCGAAGAGGAAGCGCGTCTTTAGCAACAGAACCAAGACGGGTTGTATGACTTGTCGTCGCCGGAAGAAGAAATGCGACGAGCAGCATCCTGCCTGTAAGTCTCTCCCCTGTCGGGATCAATGTTCGGGTTCTCCAATCTCCATTTGGTTGAAGGACAGGAAGCTGATCAGTGTCCTTCAGGTAACAACTGCACTCGCGGTGGTTTTCTCTGCGAAGGGTACTCCACGCGGACCCCTTGGCAGAAACCCTCAAGCTCCAAGGCACCCGTTCCCTTGCAGTCAAAGGAGGGATACCCCGATCTCGGAAATCAGTACTTACCAGAAGCAGCGCCCTCGCATGACCGACCGCCTACCGTGATGGACCATGCCGAGTCACGGAAAATGAAACCAATCGTTTTGGACGAAATTGAGCGGCCGAGTCAGCAGTATAACACCAGCCCGACGGGCACAACCCCCAGCCACACGTCATGGACGAAGCGCGCATGGCCAGGGCCAGGACCGGGCCATCACCCGTATCTGACAGAACCAGTCACGAAACCTGATTATAGAGAGATTCCTCCGATCCATGAACTCCCTCGAGATGGACCGCCCAAGCCAGAGTATCAGGTTGTGCCACCCATTCGGGAACTCTCCCATGGATCTCATGCGAGACCTAGCATGCCTATGTTTCAGGCAGGGGAGCATCGACCACTTCCTTCGGTGACAATGGATACAAATAGTCCACAGGCACAGGCGAGGATGGCCTTGGGAATGGAGAACCCCCTTTCCAATCGCACCGCCGGCCCCGCGGATGAAACCGAGAAGGGAAAGATGACGCGAGGGGAACTTTACCGGCCATTTGATATTCAGCTGGTGGAGGAGAGGGATCGATGCCAGTGTGCTTTATCACGGTTCAATAATGCATGCAACCCAATTTATGGGCTCAGCTCAAAGGAACAAAATCGCCTGCTCAAGGAAGTCCTCGTGCCGCCATCAAATTCGGTCAACTCTCCAACTGGCCCTTCTACACCTCGACTCGTCGGCTCTATCGGGCAAGGAACACTGGTTGAGTCTCCCTTTAGATGCCACTACGGGTGGAACATCAATCTTGAAGCAGATGTCATGGTGTCGGAGAACTGCTTGTTTGTCGACGACGGTGCTATACAAATCGGCTCCAATACTTGGATCGGTCCCAATGTGACCTTGCTCACTGCATGTGCTTCTGATAATCTGCAGCATCGTCGGGGCCCACAAACCCTTTATCAAGCAAAGCCGATCATTATCGAGCAGGACTGCTATATCGGCGCCGGGTCCACAATCTTTCCCGGTGTGCGCATCGGACGCGGTGCCGTGATCGAAGCTGGTGACATGGTGAAGCGGGACGTGGCGCCTTACCAGCTAACCAGAAACCGGCCCGGCTACTAAACGCGATTAATCGAAAGCTCTGACACCTGCTACACCGTTCGCTCTCGATGTCAAATTCAGAGATGAACGATAACGATTTACTATTTTCTCCCCCGTGGTCGTATGTGTACATTTTCCATCTGTTCCTCCTGCATCTTTACGCTGGTCGCCTATCTATACGTCCTCAGGGCGTTTTGCGGGAAGGAGTTTTATATGTGATTGTTGAATATGTGTTATTCCCTTTGCACTGCTAGGCGATATATGGGCGTATTTCTTTTAGCTTGTTTGGTGCAGTACATAATGTTCAAGTGACTGAAAGACAACATTGATCTGATTAATTGGGGTATCTGCGTTTTGTACTGCTCTGCAGTCGGACATATAAACAAGGCCTTGTGGTGGCGGACACTGTGGAAAATGTCGTGGGTAGGCACATCAAGTATTGACTTCCGATGGCATTGTCAAGAGTCCACCTCCCAGAATCGAAAAGACCGAAGGGCTTTCACCTCAACCATTCCAGAAATTCAGGGACAAAGTAACTGATTACAATTCCGGCTCCTGCCCGGAGGATACCCTCGGTGCTTTCAAAGGCCATGGCCTTCAGGTCAAAGACGCCCGCCTTGGCAGCTGCATGGATCATGGCAAATTCACCGCTGACCTGATACGCAGCCACGGGAAGATCCTGGGCCAGATCTTTAGCGTCCCGAATAATGTCCAGATAACTGCTCGCAGGTTTGACCATGATAATGTCAGCACCCTCATTTATGTCACGCTTGATCGCGCGTCGAGCAAGGCCACGACCGCCGGGCGGTAGCTGGTAGCAGCGACGGTCTCCAAAGGAGGGGCACGACCCGGCGGCATCACGGAATGGTCCATACAGGCACCCGCTGAACTTGGCACTGTACGACATGAGAAGCACACGGTGTGCCAGGCCGGCCTCGATCAATTTAAGCTTAATGGCCCGCACTCTTCCGTCGTTCATGTCCGACGGAGCAACACAGTGAGCGCCAGCGACAGCATATGCGAGGGCCACATCTGAAATTCGATCAACGGATTGCGCGTTGTCCAGTGTCCCATCTTCAGTAAGGATTCCGCAATGGCCGTGTGATGTGTATTCGCAAAGACAAACGTCCGTCGTAATATAAAGCTGGGGGAATCGAGTACGGAGAAGGCGAATTGCCTGAATAACCGGGCCAGACGGGTCATCAGCAGCGGTTCCGAGCGCATCCTTGGCCGATGGTTGGAGCGGTACACCAAACAGCATGACCGATCGCAATCCTTTCCGAATGAGCGGGGTCAGGAACGGGACGAGACGGTTGACGCCCCGGCGGTATTGGTTGGGCAATGAGGGGATAGCAGTCTCTTCGTCAGGATTGTCGGTAATGAAGAGGGGGTAGATGAGCATGTCCTTTACTACTTGAGCAGGCGAACTAGGGTCACTGATCGGAGCAAACGAACCTTTGTCAGTTGCCTCTCCGCCTGCCATGATCGAGTCAGTGGGTGGCTGTAGCCAGCATGAAGTTGGCTGGAAATATCCCCGGATATGCTGACGCTGGTGGCTGTCGTACTCGTGTATGATCGAGCTGTGCGGGATTGCGCGTGGGAAATCTGGGAGCGATCATCGGCATTGGAGTCTCGGAAGGCGATATCGGAGACAAGATTCGAAAACGACATTTTGAGGTGTGGTATAGAACAGCCAGGGAGAAAGGCAAGGAAAGGAGAGGGGTAAAAGGATAAATCAAGTGGCGAACGGAGGTGAAAGAGCGGAATGTGACAATCTCGCGGAGATTTGATCTGTCAGCCGAGGGTCAGGCGATTGCCGCGTCCTGTAATTGGGTCCTACAAAAGGCGATTTACCGCCCTGGGCACTTATCTTGTCTGTTGGATTGATTCTTGTATTTTTTTTAATTTCTTTATCCACTAAGCAACCAAGCAATGGAGGCATTCTTATCCGGCTATGTATCTTTTCCAACTTGAGGATACTATTCTGTAAACCCAGAGAAGTCAATCACCCTCTCTCAGTACATGAATATCTCGACGCTGCGTTCCCCGCTCCATTCCCCGCTCCGTTACGCCTAGAAAATCTCAAGATAATAATATATTCTTCCCTATAAGAGTTGCTTATGAACACTACTTGTGGATATTTCATTGTCAACGATTCCATAGAAATAGACATATCTCAGAGTTGGCTTTGGTCTGGTTTCCAAGCACATGGTATCGGGGACAACAAGTGATGGTGGTTGTGTGGGATTTTTCTTTTATTTTCTTGAAAATTCTTCAATTCGACAAATATACTCAGGGATAGATGATGGTCGCGGGATGCTTCTTTGATTTCTGATATGGGTTGTCTTCCACTTGTCTTGGCCAGTCCGCGGATAGGACAGCATAGATCTCAGAGGGTTGATCTAGGTAAGTTCAAATATACCATTTTGATTCCATTAGAATGTATCTTCCTAGCGATATCGGAATTTATCTGATCAATGGGAATTGTATGATCGTTTTGGTTCTCTGCTGCTATAGGAAGAGTAAATTGTAAAGAGATGGAACATTAATTCGGAAAGCTATAGCTTTTCTATTTAACGAGGGCTGGTTACACATATTAACATTTGGAACAAAATGTATCAATTTACAAAGTCAATGTGACGATTACTATATCCTGCAATACCCCCACTGAGTCCCTCGGAGGCCAGCTTACCTTTTACATTATTCATCCTTATATTCCAACTTTTACTAATGAGCACGGCCTGATTCAACTGACATGTAGTATTAAGAAGGAGCTTATGGGTCAGGTCGCAAACCGTTCATGTTTGTTCAAGCTCTGTGGAAGCTTGTTCGGGGGCCTATCATTTTTCGTTAGGCTCAAGAATACCTATTGTAGTGGGAGAAACGGTGACATGATAGCCTGTGTGTGGCCTCCGGCAGAAAAAGAATGCCCGAAGCGCATGATGCATCTTCGAGACAGAGTTGGAGATAGACTAAGCAACTACCCAATTCCATTCCGGTTACTACCCCATTTTTCTATTCATGATGCAGTATTAGGCATAGTCCGTACGGCCTCGACAGAATATCCGTACGGCATCATTCAGACCGATCGCTACGCCTACGAGGGAGTGTTGTGTGTGTCGTCCAGTCTGCATTGTCAGACGGTATGAGACCACGCAGGAGTCTCTAGTGTAGGTGGGTAAGCGAGGTAGAAGCCTTCTCGTGCGTGTGCACAATATGGTATTATTGTGGGATGAAAACTGAACGCTGGTCTCCCCTAGACCAGCGCGGATGGGTTAAATACATGGACTGCCCCTGCTGAAGGCGGTAAAGGTCCCCCTTTCTGCCATTGTTACTGAGGCATCTGATGCCTCAGGCAACGACCATTGTCCGTCCTGAGATGGGTCCTGACAGACGGCCATGGAGCCGTCCCCAATTCACTAGATAATATCTTCTTCTCCAACCCTGGAAAACATATATAAAATATATATAAAAGGAATCTTTGAAGGTTTGATTATAATAAATATTATAACTATACTAATTTAGTTCTTTTCCGAGGATCTATAAATAGGTTAATAGAAAAAAAAAATAGAGAAAGAATATATTAAGGCTATTTAAGACTAATTTAGTCTAAAAATGTACGATTATTTATTAGATATACTGAATTATATTACCCTGTTGCAAGTATCTTGACTATTTATATCTATATCTCATTTATCATATCATAGGATAGCGAAAGCGAAAAAGCGAATATAAAAGAGAAGGATTCTATCAGATACTGTTGGAGCATAAGGGGAAAGCTACCACGAAGCAGATCGTGGCCCCTTAAGTCCGTGGGATCAACCTTAGTCCGGCTGGGTCAGTCGGTGCCAGACAAAGGTAGAAAGTCAAAGGTCGTAGGATAGACTATAAGCAGATATAGCCTAAACGAAGGCAGAACCACAGTCCTAAGGATCAAAGGAAGAAGGTAGAGATGACTTTTGGAAAGTAGAACTGACTTGATTCTTTCTGCTAGAAAAGAAGGACATATTTATAGGCTAAAATAGCCTAGAAATGACGTCTAGAATAACATACAAATACTAGACAGCAACATAATAAAGGTGGCAAAGAAGGGAACCGAAGAAAAGCCAAAAGAATGATGTCAAGGATCGACGGTTTCAGCCACCCCGAAAGCTTCCCCGCAGTATCTGGTTATGCATACCCAAAGGTGGACCATTTTATCCCTAAGGGAAAGTGGTCCGCCTATCCTTGAGGGGACTGAGGGTCGAAGTCTGTTCACCGAGGTTCGAAGACCATGGTCGAAGTCCGCGGGCAAGATATGCCCGAAGGCACCTCCGAAGGAACGGACCATTCATGCCTGAAGGCGGACCATTTACCTCTGAAGGAAAATGGTCCTGCCTATCATTCGGGAGAGGGCCGCGGACCAGAATCAGAAGTGGTCAAAATATCATTTTGATAGAAGGAAACATCTGGTCACGTGATCAATACAATCTGGTCTTATATGTTGAATATAAGGATAGATCTTTCTATGTAGCATTGGTCTATATTCCAATAGATACCTAAGAGATAAATAATACAAACTCTTACAAAAACGCGAAAAAGCTATCTAATAGCCTAGACACTACCTAGTGCTTATTATTACATTTATTTTATTAGGAGTATTTATTTAATTTAGCTTTTAATTAGTTTCTATTACTATTATAGCTATAATAAGCGGAAAGAAGAAAGAAATATATTCTTAGAATACTTAGAAATACTAATTCGCTAAAAGAGTGTAAGCGATATATATGTATAAAGAATTTACTAAAGATTATAAAAGGGTGAAAGAAGACTATTCATAAATAAATAAATATTTTTTAAGTGCTCTATTTTATCTCTAGAGATAATAATCTTTAAAGAACTAAAATAAAGAAATAATAGTATATTAATTAGACTTTATTTTAATATTAAATTTATATTAAGTAATAGCTTCAATGATAAGAAAAGTATAATAATTATATTTTTTATGATATATAAGCATTTATAAGTTTTTATATATAGTA